GAGACTCGAACTTCGGATTGACTCATACACCTGTTGGACTGGGGACGACTTTCCCACTGCACCACAAAAGCTCTCGAGCGTTCGGATACAGGGTCAGTGCTCCATATACCATTGCACCTGCGCACAACACTTCACCTGATTCTATATCCCCTCTCGGATCATAGCTTTGCGTCTATCAACACTGCGCCTAGCTTCCTGAGGTCTACATGGAGATCTATCGTCGACCCATGCCTCTGACCCCGAGCCTTCGCGACAGCAGCATTCGATATTTCACTGTCCCCATCGAGACTCGAACTTCGGATTGACTCATACACCTGTTGGACTGGGGACGACTTTCCCACTGCACCACAAAAGCTCTCAAGCGTTCGGATACAGGGTCAGTGCTCCATATACCATTGCACCTGCGCACAACATTTCCTTGTCAAGAGGGTCACTACCGTGTGCCGACTGTATTCGATCTATGCCAGCTGGGCTTTTTAGGGTTAAGCTTATGTGTCGAAATACCGAGAATTCAGTCACGCCGGTAGTGCTAGCAAGTGCGACAGTCATATGAACACAGGATATGTACACACTGACAGGCTGTAGCCTGTAGCTACAACGGATCTTTCGCCTGGTTCCAGCGCCTCCTGCCTGGCCTATCGAGATGCTAGCTACGATAGCAGCAGTGAAGTGTTGCACCGGCTCTTGACAAGGAAATACTGACAGTAGGAATTCGAGGCTGCGATGGCACCGGCACCTGCAGTCATGTACCATATCTAACAACAAACTATGTCTCCAGTTCAGGGATCTCTTCAGGAACTCGAGGCTGCCATTGCAGTAATGCACCATTCTCTTGACAAGGAAATACTGAAAGTAAGGCCGTGAGGCTACAATGGCGCCGAGACCTACAGTAATGCACCAACCTCTTGACAAGGAAGTACTGACATCAAGACCTTCAAGCTGCAACAGCCCCGACGCGCCTGCAGTAATGCACCATCTCCTTGACAAGGCAACGCTGACGGTAGAAGAACCCGGTTTCAAGCGCTGATCTTGGCACCAGATAATTGTTGTAATCCGCAGCTGCATTGTGGACTCGAACCTGCCATGGCGCCAGCATTATTGTCAATTGCAGCTAGCCAGTATTACAACGATTATTTGGTGCCAACTCCAGTGCTTGACACCGTGGCTCTCCTACTGTCAGAACTTCCTTGTCAGAGGATGGTGCATTACTGAAATGGCAGCCTCGAGGTCCTGAAGACATTCCTGACGAGGAGACAACGTCTGCTGTTAGATCTGGTGCATCATTGCAGGTGTCGGCACCATCGCAGCGTCTAGTTTCTACTGTCAGTACTTCCTTGTCAGAGTTGTCAGAGGATGATGCATTACTGCGATGGCAGCCTCGAGTTCCTGAAAGGAGTCCTGAAGAGGAAACATAGTCTGCTGTTAGATATTGCTCCTCGTAAGCGGCAGAACAAGGCTTACTACAACGGCTGGGAGGTTGTAGGAAAATAAAGGGGGACGCAGGCATGCGTACAAGCAGACGGACAACCGAGCAAACAGGGATGCAGGCAGACGAAAGACCCACATACCCTCATGCACACTCGGCTGTCGCATTAGCGCATCACTATTCGGCTCTCCTGATTGTCGCCAGACTCACTCAAGCACCGGTGCGCTGCTCGAGCAATGCAAGCGACGATTGAGAGACCTTGAAGAACGCAAAGCGCCCTGGCATCTGACCGAGTTCCGCTCCGAACGAGTCTGTGCAACTCACCGCGTCGAAGCAGCACCCGAGACCGCTTGCTTGCACGCATCTGCCCGCTTACCCTTAGTATCGTTGGCGAGCTTCGACCAGTCTACCCAACGTCAACTTCTTTCAAAGATCGAGCCAACATACGACGACATCGTGATCTTTGCAGCATTACAAACAGCCGGACGAGCCCGTGCAAGAATCTTCTCTTCAGAACAGTTGCCTGGCTAATGGAGAAAATTGTCTTCAGTAGCAGAGGTGAAGCGTTGCACTTCACAGGATCACGGCCGCTGAATCAGTCCAATGCACAGCCTGGGTGCGCAGAGTACGATTCAATGCTAGCAGCGGCCTCATAATCAAATCAATCAATTTGCTAAGGCTGTTAATCATGCTAATCATGTCTTGTTCAGCATTGCTTAGGTTCTACAGCAAGGCTTGTTCACTTGACCAGGCGGAGTGCTTCGGTTGGTCGTTTATGTTGATGACTTGCTCATTGTCGCGCGTGACATACATTCACTTGAACGTTTCAAGGCTGCCATCAAGCAAAAATGGGCCATGTCAGACCTATGGCCGACTGCAAAGGCACAGCACTTCCGATGGACCCGAGCGCGAAGTTCTCGTCTCAGCACAGGGACACCAAGCCTACGCCAAAGCAGGCATCGGAGATGGCCATGATCCCTTACCAAGAGGTTCTGGCCTGCCTCATGTACGTCATGATTACGATCCGCCCAGACCTCGCATTCCCACTCGGCATCCTTTGCAAGTATATGTCGCATCCGAACCACGACCACTGGAAGGCAATCATCTTGCCACGCTCGCAGAGTGGGAGTATTGGAGGCGATGCTACTCGCGGTCAAGATCTCATGACGTGATCGGCAGTGGCAAGTTGCATGTCTATGGATGACCATCATGAAACAACATGGAAAGCAAGAGAAAGAAACGGGACAACAGATGTTCTGTTGGCTTCCATGAACACAATGAGTGCTTCAGTAGCTTCCATGAGCGCAAGTATATGAAGGCGGCAAGGTCTCATAGTAACATAGCAAAAGCTAGCTGGGATGGCCCTCCCTTTGGGGGCCATCACATTCTATACACTTTATTTTCAATTTGCTTGCTGATACGAATTGACATCTCTATGAGCGTCATGAATTGCTGCTCCTCAGCATGACAGGGCTTAATGAGTTAGGCCATAGCTGTCATAGCAAGGAAATCTTAGCCTACAATTGGAGAGCCATTGCTGTTGTTGCAAAGAGAAGCTGTAGCATTCAACCCACTGGACCTACTTTAAGGAATTTCTTGCAGCTGAGAGCAGGAGTGGCACATATCTAAGTCATGTCAAAAATGCCATCGCTCATTTTGCAAAGCGAAGCTCAAGGCAGCACTTACTTTGACCGGTTGTTATGACACTGTCAAAGAACTGTACCCGTCTCACCAAAGAGAGTTGCAAGGTGCGCCTGTTTGAAATGACCGAATCGGCTTTATCAAAGAGCTATCGCTGTTCTTGGCAAGAGAAGAGGTGACCTTGAGAGAAATCTTGATCGTTCACAATGCTTCTGCCGAGGAATCATCCATAGTCTAGCAAAGAGAGTGTGTGTGTCGAAGTGTCGTCGCCGCTTTTGCAGAGAAGCTCCATAACCTACAATCAGCTCGAACAGAATCGTCTCGAACAGCCGAAGTCGCAGTGGCATCTGCCCGTTCAAAGAGCTGCAGAAGTCTTCAACACAGCCCTGCAAAACTGCTCAATCGCTGCTAAGTCGCAATGGCATCTGCCCATTCAAAGCGCTGCAGAAGTCTTCAACACAGCCCTGCCAAAGTGCACAATCGCTGCTTTGTCGAAAAGAAGTCGTGGTGTGCAATCAACTTGATCAATTACAGTCGCATCTGACCTCAGAGAGCAACAATAACACGTGAGCCAGCTCTGTCAATGTGCAAATTGCTATTTTGGCGGAGGGACTTTATAGCCTGCAATCAGCTCGATGAACCGCAGTGGCATATTTTCATCAGAAAGCGACGATATAGTCCATAGCTTGGCTCAGTAGAAAAGTTCACCATTTCCTTGCAAAGAGACTTTACAGCTTGCAATCAACTTGATGGGCCGCAGTGGCGTCTATTCATCAAAGAGAATCAGCAGTCCATGGCCTAGCTCAATTGGAGTCCATCTCTGCCCAGGTGAAGAGGCTTGATATAGCCTACAATCGGCTTGAAGAACCACAGTGACATCTATCCAGCAGAAAGCAACAGTGTTTCATAGTCCAGGTCAGTCGGGATGGACCGCTACTCTTGCAAAGAGGTGTAGCTTGCAATGGGACCCAAAACCAGCACTCATATAGATTGGCTGTATTGTCACTTGCCACAGCAAAGAGCAGGATCAGCGCTGTTATAGCAACGTGAAGCTGCAGCCGACAATCATTTTGACTGCACCCCACGCGACAAGTGCAGCATAGCAATGAACTGCAGCTCAAACAGACTGGCAGTAGCCGAGCAATGAGTGAAAGCAGGCAGAAAGCGTTGTCATAGCGTCATTGCTGATGTAGCAAGGAGAAGCTGTAGGAAAGTGAAGCTGCAGTCTGCAATCACCCTGACATTATTGGTTCGTTGTGAGAGCGATCGCATTTTCAGCAGATCAATTTGATTGACAGCAATCCTCTCGCAACATTCGACAGCAGCCTGCAGCTTTGATGATTTGGCATTTGCATTAGCATCTGCAGTTAAGGGAGCGGTATCTGAAACGGTCCGCCCTTGAGATTGGCAAGGGTCTAGCCGCTTCCTTGGCACGTCGCGTGGATTTCTAGCAGCCGCAGCACCTTGGAAGGCTTGGATTCTATCGTCTGTGCGAGTTCCTGCGTGCGTAATAACAGCCATGTCCATCACGCAGTCCAGACTAAATTCCTGCTGCTCACTGCCTTGGCCCCTGCTTGTTGTTTAGTTCTACAATTTTATCTGAAGGAACGAACGAACAAGCACTGGAGTGAAAAACCAAATGAATTACTAGATAAGAGAGTGCAGATGGCCTGTTATATAGTGTCTGCGTCGGCTCATCCCGAGAGGGTCTCACGCCTTGCTCACTGCCAGTTTGACTACGCATTACCTCACAATGGCTCGTAGTTGTTCATCTACCCATGAATTATGTCGCTACCTGTCGAATGCTAGCTAATCTGCTGCTCACGGAGGCGTCTAGTAGCACCGAGTTCCATCAGTTCAAAGACATACTAGATACCAACAGGGGACACATACAGGAACCGTTGTGAATAGACACACCTTGCCAGGTCGGACATCAGTCGTCGTCGATGACCTCGAAGCCAAGAAGCTCTGCTGCTTCGGTGATGGGCTGGAAGAACGTGATGTCGCACTCCCTGGTGCCGAAGTCCGAGGGAATGGCCATTCGGGTGCCTCCCACCACGATCCCAATCGCCGCATTGTCATACAGCTCCTTCCCCTGGCGGACGACAACTGCACCACTATCACCTTTGGCGGTGAAGTCCGAGTGTTCATTCCAAGCTGACCAGGAGAAGAAGGGCTTCGACTTGACACCAGTGTGCAGTGTCATCGACGAGACAAACCTGTACTCGTTCTTGTTCGCCTTGGTCTTGCCAGACGTTCGGCCGATCATCGTCAATACGTCGTTCCGGTGGACGTCTGCAGGACTTACGAACTTGGTGATGTTGTCTGCCCTTGTCTTCTGGAAACGACGCAATTCGATTGAGTCAGGTCTGTCGATCGTGAACAAAGCGCAGTCAGAGTAGACGGGATTGTCCTCGCTCGGCACTTGGAAGTCCTTGGCGATGACACGACCGAAAGTGCTCCGATTCAGAAGCTTAGAGAGGTCTTCCTTCAGAGTATCCAAGACTTGCTGCTCCTCTCGAGAGTCACGCCCACGACTGTTCTTCTGTCTCACCACTGTCTGGAGATGTAGGATGACAGGCTCTAGGTGGTTGATCAGCGGTAGGGCATCAGCTTCAGCCGGGCAGAGGACCTCGTCATTCGATGAAACCACATGATACGCAGTCAAGCCGCAGATCGCTTTTGAGCTCTTGTGACGGACAAACATGCCCAGTGTGCCAGCATGATCCGATCCGAGGCTCCCGAGGCTTGCACCGGCAGCTTTGTCGGCGGTGCGCCGAACCAAATCTAGATCAATAGCAGCATCACGCGTCTCCGTCCTAGCTTGCACAATCAACACTGGCAGACCACCGTATGTTGTAGACAGATGTTGACGCACGCCTTCGGGCTCTGATACGCCTACCAGTATCGTTGGGTGGCTCTTATATTGCACGATCGACATGGCAAAAGTCGTGCCCGGACACCGTTCTTGCAAAGTGGGAAGGATGATTTCGACGATCGCTGCTTCTGCCTCGTTGTAGTCAGAGTGGCAGGCAATGGGAGCCAATAGCTGGCGGTGACGAGGATGCATGAGACTCAGTTTCACGTCGTGCATGGGACCACTCGGCGCACTAGGCTTGGCGATGCGCGTGTATGGTGTGTCTTTGAACGCAGCCGGTGCAGTCGCTGGACGTCCAGTAGGTCGTGTTGCTGCTTGAGCTGACCAGAACGCATACGCCGTGCGAGGTCTCGAGACAACAGGCATCTTGGAAGATATAGATCTGGACGACGTAGCTCGATGTAGGGACAAGAAGTACTTTTGGACAAGTTGGCGGAGAGTGACGAGCGTGGACGATAGGATGTAGAGGCCGGGAATGCTTTTGGGGCAATGCAGGAGTGCGATGAGTCTGAATGATTCTGCAAGCTTGACAAGTTTTAGAGGCAGAGATGGGTCTTTTCGGAACACCAGAAGGCTGTTATCTCTAGGTCCAGATTTGGTAGCTATAGCTCGTCTGTGCACTGGTGGATTAACCGGTTTCCTTGTCAAGAGGGTCACTACCGTGTGCCGACTGTATTCGATCTATGCCAGCTGGGCTTTTTAGGGTTAAGCTTATGTGTCGAAATACCGAGAATTCAGTCACGCCGGTAGTGCTAGCAAGTGCGACAGTCATATGAACACAGGATATGTACACACTGACAGGCTGTAGCCTGTAGCTACAACGGATCTTTCGCCTGGTTCCAGCGCCTCCTGCCTGGCCTATCGAGATGCTAGCTACGATAGCAGCAGTGAAGTGTTGCACCGGCTCTTGACAAGGAAATACTGACAGTAGGAATTCGAGGCTGCGATGGCACCGGCACCTGCAGTCATGTACCATATCTAACAACAGACTATGTCTCCAGTTCAGGGATCTCTTCAGGAACTCGAGGCTGCCATTGCAGTAATGCACCATTCTCTTGACAAGGAAATACTGAAAGTAAGGCCGTGAGGCTACAATGGCGCCGAGACCTACAGTAATGCACCAACCTCTTGACAAGGAAGTACTGACATCAAGACCTTCAAGCTGCAACAGCCCCGACGCGCCTGCAGTAATGCACCATCTCCTTGACAAGGCAACGCTGACGGTAGAAGAACCCGGTTTCAAGCGCTGATCTTGGCACCAGATAATTGTTGTAATCCGCAGCTGCATGGTGGACTCGAACCTGCCATGGCGCCAGCATTATTGTCAATTGCAGCTAGCCAGTATTACAACGATTATTTGGTGCCAACTCCAGTGCTTGACACCGTGGCTCTCCTACTGTCAGAACTTCCTTGTCAGAGGATGGTGCATTACTGAAATGGCAGCCTCGAGGTCCTGAAGACATTCCTGACGAGGAGACAACGTCTGCTGTTAGATCTGGTGCATCATTGCAGGTGTCGGCACCATCGCAGCGTCTAGTTTCTACTGTCAGTACTTCCTTGTCAGAGTTGTCAGAGGATGATGCATTACTGCGATGGCAGCCTCGAGTTCCTGAAAGGATTCCTGAAGAGGAAACATAGTCTGCTGTTAGATATTGCTCCTCGTAAGCGGCAGAACAAGGCTTACTACAACGGCTGGGAGGTTGTAGGAAAATAAAGGGGGACGCAGGCATGCGTACAAGCAGACGGACAACCGAGCAAACAGGGATGCAGGCAGACGAAAGACCCACATACCCTCATGCACACTCGGCTGTCGCATTAGCGCATCACTATTCGGCTCTCCTGATTGTCGCCAGACTCACTCAAGCACCGGTGCGCTGCTCGAGCAATGCAAGCGACGATTGAGAGACCTTGAAGAACGCAAAGCGCCCTGGCATCTGACCGGGTTCCGCTCCGAACGAGTCTGTGCAACTCAACGCGTCGAAGCAGCACCCGAGACCGCTTGCTTGCACGCATCTGCCCGCTTACCCTTAGTATCGTTGGCGAGCTTCGACCAGTCTACCCAACGTCAACTTCTTTCAAAGATTGAGCCAACATACGACGACATCGTGATCTTTGCAGCATTACAAACAGCCGGACGAGCCCGTGCAAGAATCTTCTCTTCAAAACAGTTGCCTGGCCAATGGAGAAAATTGTCTTCAATAGCAGAGGTGAAGCGTTGCACCTCACAGGATTCTGGCCGCTAAATCAGCTCGATGCACAGACTGGATGCGCAGAATGCGGTTCAATGCTAGCAGCAGTCTCATAATCAAATCAATTAATTTGCTAAGGCTGTTATGCTAATTTTTGTCTCGTTCATGCTGAATAAGGCAGCCCGACTCAATGATCACTCGTCAGGGTCTCCAGCTCTATCCCATCAAGAAGGTCGCTCATATCATTGCTAGCTTTGCGGAGCGGCGTGTGAGCCTTGGGTGAGACTGTCGTTGAGAGGGCAAGTTTCAGTTTATTGACCCGTCCGGCGTGCTCTTCCTTGTCTTCCGCAAATGATGAAGGCTCGATAGATCCTTTGCTAGTGTTTTTGGTCGACAAGATCGCTGAGCTCTGTGATTCTTTCGCATGCAGAGGTAGCTGTAGTGATGAATCATTTGCCTGGGTATCCCATTCTTCACCAGTATCGTGCCCACAATCGTCAAGGCGGGCACTTTGAAGTAGGCTCTGCATGATGATCTGCGAGGCGGGAAGTGTGATTTGCGCGTGAGTTGATTGAGATACAAGAGGCTTTGCGTCGGCTTGTATCAAATCGGTAACGCTTTGACGTGTCTGGTCGCGTGCAGCAAAGACAGTCGTGAATAAAGAGGTGGCAGCTTGCAGATCTAGCAGCGATCTAGCACTGGTCAAATCATGGTGGTCTGCTGCAGCTCCTAGGATAAGAGTGACCAACGCGGAAGCCAGCGGTTCCTGAATAGTGCCGTGCGTAACAATGTGATAAAACATTGGGACAAAGCCAGCAAAGTGCTTCAATTCGAGAACGACAGCGAAGGTTTTAGCCAGCACGAACCATGCAAGCAAGCCATTCGCGTCCTCGCAGCTGCATGCGGCGCATCGAGACATCGCCACCTGAAATTTCTTGAGCAATAGTTCCGTGTATTGGAGTTCGTCTGTTGAGGAAGGGACCTGAAGATAATCTGAATGCAAATACTGCAGAAGGACATCGACAAATTCCACCCTCAGAGCACGCTCCTTGTGTTCAAGCAGATGTAATGAACCGATCCAATGATTTATGGAGATGCGCTGGTGCGTTTCACCCGGTACGGTGAACGGAAGGGCAGCCTTCATTAGATAGGACAAGACTTCCAATTGAAGGAAATCGTAGAGTGTCTGGCCCGTATTGTTTTCTGTCGCGGGTGAGCTCAAACTCCCGAGAACTGACTGGCAAAGATCAGAGAGCTGCCCTTCATAGTAAGAATGTGATGAAACTGAGCCAGCCGTTCGGACGAAACGAAGTAGAAAGTCTGCCTTCTCATTGCTAGCTCGGCCAGCTCCCTCCTCCCTGACCAGTCTAATACTGTGCACGACACTGAGAGCGGTCGCAGAATCTGTCATTTGCGCCAGCGTACGCGCAAACGTCATGAGGGTCTCTAAGACGTCCACAGTCGAGAGGCCGATCAGACTCACCTTTGACGTCAGTAGCCCTTGTATCCAATACAATAATGAGCTTTGCTTTGCGTCTGGCCAGGATTCGGTTGCCATACTCACCAACTCCCTCAAGCATATGCCAAGAATGTGAAAGCGAAGGTTGATCGGAGCCCAGGCTGTAGCAAATTGTATAATAGTACTAGCCCAGCCGCTATCATTCATCTGATGTGCTTGAAAGAATGATAGGATCTCGATAGACGCGGCACGAATCTGTGTTGCATCATTCGTATCGAACAGAATTCGTAGTGTTTGGAGAGCAGAAACCTGTACTTTCCATTCCGCTGACTCGCATCCGGATTCTGCTTGAACCATTTGTGGGCTAGTAACAGTGGGTCTTGATGCCGTCGCAGACATTGAAGACAGGCGCCGCTCATGTTTGGCAAGATCAACAGACCTACGTTGAAAGCTCGCACGCAGACCATAAAGGGCATCTTCCGTGGTAGTGTACAAAATCTCGAGAGAAGAGCGGATGAGAGTTGCAATCTGTATTTGCGCATTTGGGGCCGCGACACCTTTGCTCTTACACGCAGCTTGTAGAGCTTCGACGCAAACTTTAGTAGCCTTCCAATCTTGTTCAGAACGATACTGAATAGCCATACTCGCAAGAGACGATAGCAGTTCGTTATATTGTTGCGCAAAGACTTCATCTGTTGCTAGCAGAGACTCATTCAAATACTTCGCCAGGCTGCTGAACTGCTGGTTAGTCGTTTCTTCAGAGGCGCACACACTTACACACGATGCAACATGATCAAGCATGGCAGTATCTTTGCTTGCCAATGTGACTGCAGAGTTGAGCACTTGAATGACATCTCTGGCGAAGAGATTTAGATTATTGTGACACTTCTCAATGAGTGCGGCGCAAATGTCGAGCGACACAATGATCTCCGTCTGTCTGTTCCAATACACGTCCTTCACAACTTTCTGGCGGATGTATAGACCGACTTTAATGAGCTTCTTGGGCCTGCTAGATGCGTAGTAGGCGAGATATTGCAGTTCACTGGAATTGGGATGAGCTGCAGCAGTCTTGCTTTTCGGGTAGCACGCGAGCGTGAGCTTGACATGCTTCGATCTGTATGTCAATATGGCTCTGCATGTGTGTTTCTTACTGGGGAATGCAGTAAACCATGGCGGGCAGGGCGCCTATGTGTGGCCTTGTGATCATGACGCGCTCCAGTAGGACAAATTGTTGACATCGTGGCACGAAAGAGCGTGCGACCGTGCAGCGCGTCCACCAACACAGTGAACACCATCTACGGAGTTTCTTTCGGCATACAGCGCGGGGCCACAAAGAAGCAGCAGAGTCGCGAGCCTTTGCGACGTGCTTTCAGATTCGGCGGTCTCAGCTCAATGTCGTCACTCAAGGTCTTCATAAAGACTTTACGCGCTACCAAGACTGCAAGCGACGAGCGGGCTGTGATACAAAAGGAAAGCGCTGCGATTCGAAGTGGTTTTCGTGAAAGGCCCAACGATCACAATGCCAGGCGAAATAACGTTGCAAAGCTGCTCTACCTGTTTACTCTTGGCGTGGTATGTCGATTCAAGTACTTGCTACGGGACTAACCGTCAGCCAACTCATTTCGGTCAAATTGAATGTGTCAAGCTTCTCGCAAGTGCCAAGTTCACCGACAAACGTCTCGGGTATCTTGGGACCATGTTACTTTTGGACGAAGCCCAAGAGGTCCTGACTCTAGTGACAAATTCTCTCCAGCACGATTTGCAACACTCAAATCAATACATCGTCGGGCTCGCGTTATGCACCCTGGGCAACATCGCCGGACAAGAAATGTCTAGAGATCTCTGCAGCGATGTTAGCAAGCTCCTTGGATCCACCAATTCGTATATACGAAAGAAGGCTGCATTATGTGCGATGCGTGTCATTCGCAAAGTGCCCGAATTGGAGGAGAATTTCCTGGACAGAGCCAAGGTTCTACTGGCTGACAGACACCACGGCGTTCTGCTTTGTGGATTGACGCTTGCGACCGATATGTGCATCGAAAATCCAGAACTGGTGCCTGATTTTGTTCCAACTTTGGCGCCTCTAACGAAAGTACTCAGGTCGTTGGTCACTTCAGGTTTTGCTCCCGAGCATGATGTGACTGGAGTTGCTGATCCATTCCTCCAAGTCAAACTCATCCGCTTCTTTGGAGTACTAGGCAAAGGCAATGCAGACGTGTCTGAGCAGCTCAACGACATTCTCGCCCAAGTGGCCTCAAATACAGAGTCGCAAAAGAATGTCGGCAATTCAATTCTCTATGAGACTGTCTTGACGATTCTTGACATTGAGGCAGACACGGGTCTCAGGGTTCTTGGTGTCAATATCCTCGGCAAGTTTTTGGCAAACAAGGACAACAATATCCGTTATGTCGCCCTAAATACCCTCAACAAAGTCATTGATATTGAGCCAAACGCAGTGCAACGACATCGCGCAACAATTCTGGAATGTCTGCGCGACCCAGACATTTCAATTCGCCGTCGTGCGCTTGACTTATCATTTGCCCTCGTGAACGAAGGAAATGTGCGCATCCTCATTCGAGAGCTGCTGGCTTTCCTGGAGGTCGCAAACAACGAGTTCAAGCTGAGTATGACGACGCAGATATGTATTTGTGCCGACAAATATGCTCCCAACAAACGCTGGCACATAGACACCATGCTGCGCGTTCTGAAGCTCGCAGGGAACTTTGTGCGCGAGGAGATCTTGTCTAGCATCGTTCGGTTGATTGCTACGGCCACAGAATTGCACGCCTATGTGAGTCGAAAGCTTTACATTGCCTTGAGACAAGACATCACGCAAGAGGCTTTGACGCTCGCTGGCGCATGGACCATCGGAGAATTTGGCGATTTACTCATGAATGGCGGGCAACTCGAAGAGGATGAAGACAAACCCAGTGTTCCCATGGCCGCTCGGGACGTGGTCACTTTACTCGACTCCATCTTGCAAAGCACTTACGCGACGCCACTCGTCTGCGAGTATATTCTGACAGCATTGATCAAATTGACAACTCGGTTTAGCAACTCCACAGGGGTGGAGTACATCCAAATTATTTTGCGTCGCTATCGCTCAAGTGCTGATGTGGAAATTCAGCAGCGCGCTCTTGAATATGACCATATGTTTGAGCATGCCCAATTGCGGAAAGGCGTCCTGGAACGCATGCCGATCCCCGAAGTCAAGGAAGAGAATCGAGTTTTGGGCCCAACAGCCAAATCTTCAAAGAGGAGGAAGAAGGTTGTGGAGGCCGAGAATTTGCTTGACTTGCTTGGCGATAATGCACAGGCCAATGTTCCTGCACCACAGCAGCCCGCCAATGTCGACCTCTTACAGGACCTGTTCAATGATGGAACGCCATCTCAACCCACTATGGCGACCCCCCAACCAAACTCTGCTTCTGCAGATATGCTTGATCTCCTATCCGAAGGCCAGGAATCGATTGCATCCAAAACAACCGTTAACTCGCTCCTCGATGGCGTGAGCTTGTCAAACATGACTCTTGATCAGCAATCTACTCGACCTACCTCAATTGGCGCATATGCCCCTATTGTGGCGCTTTCAAAGCACGATCTGGAGCTGACATTCGAGCCAAGCCGAGATAAAAACTCGTCCGATACGGTCCGCTTACTTGCACGCTTCAGCAACCACGGTGAAGACATCACACAACTAGCGTTGCAAGCGGCCGTGCCTCGGTCTATGAAGCTGCAGATACAGGCGCTGAGCTCTACCTCGCTACAACATGGTGAGACAGCGATTCAAGTTCTGCGGGTTACGGCAACGCCGGGAGTGAGAATCAAGTTGAGGCTGAAGCTATCGTTCAGTCGCGGTGCCCAAAACATCACCGAGCAAGCTGATTTTAGCAACCTCCCGGCGACGCTTTGAAGTCTGACACACTGAAAATATAAACTAAGGGAGTCGATCCACTCTGCCGACTGCAACAGCAGATCTGTGCACTGGGCCCATCTGGCTATCAAACCAGCCCACTCGAGGCAGAAGGCCATCGAGGCCAATAGTGCCCAGCGCTCTACCACGAACGAGCGCAAGAGGAACAGGCCCATAGTGACGCGAGTCAACTGAATGAGATAAATTGTCACCGGCGATCCACATGTGACCCACAGGCACCTTGATGAATTCGCGTTTGCTTTCCGACGGATCCTTGAGCACAATGTCACCGGGCTCGCTGTTAGCAGTGTATCTCCTCTGGCATTGGCTTACCATGCCAATGACCCGCTTGAGTACGAAAATGTCGTCACCTCCAGGCTTGCTAGCCACCACCAGATCGCCAACCCTGAGATTGCGTCCAAGTCTGTAGCGCCATTTATCGACTATGCACCAGTCTCCAGCTGTATTGATTGTCGGCAGCATGCTGGGACCGAAAGTAGAGTGTATTTCTCCGCCATAATTGATGAGTAAGTGGAATGCGGTGAAGAGCTTCATTGTTCTAGATGTTGTTCGCCACAGTGGCGCCCAGGGAGCTGACATACATCGAAAGCACCAGCTGCAGCTTCACGCCTTCACCTGCGCTGGTCCTGGTCCTGGTCCTGGTGTTGTTCTATCAATGCAGTTCGTGCGATCTTGGCGCCAATTTACGCGCGGCGCGTAGCATCATGCATGCAAGGCGCGACAACAAACACGCCCAGGGGGACTCAGTGCTGAAGACGACCACACGCAGCCTGACACAAGTGCCTGGCATTTGTACGCGCTACGACCCTTGGACAACTCATTTGGCATCGCTTGCACGTCTAAAGATCATGGAAGACCGACGCATCCTCGGCACACTCCAAGTAAATGCTGCTCTGAAGCGAAATCACATCGACGACTTGCTGCACAACAATCAAGCAAGCAAGAAGCCAAAGTTGGCAAAAAGATCTCCAACAAGACAAGTCGTGGCGCAGACGGAAACTGGCTACGAGACAGATGCTACAGAAGTCGAGGAGGACGGCTTTACATCGCGCTCAGCCACGCCCTCGTTGATCCAAGAGCTTGCAGCGTCCGATCATCAATCGTCCGCAAGTCCGTCGCAAAGGAATGCGCGAGGAAAACACGCGACGATGCCTCGAGATATTGTTTTCCACGCTACTGCTCTCAAGTTGAGGTTGGGAATGGCAATGTTCAAGCTTCGCCGCAACAAAGCCGAAGTGAACTACCGCAGCGTGGTGTCGTCCAAGAATTTGTCTCGCCAAGTCAATGTCGGCGCACATGCAATACAGCCAGGGGCCATACGCACTAGGAATGTGTACGTTCATGGTCACAGTACCAAAGCAGCATGGTTGTTGAATACACGAGCGCCGTTGGTGTCGCAGCCCGTCGCGCCACGTCTGTTCAGCAACGACTGCAGTGCCCCATATCCAGCAAGAATATAGCTCAATAAAGCAGCTTTTCGTATGCTTGGCAGCTGGTTCATCAGTCTTGCGAATGCGTATTGATCTTCCAGCTAACCGATCGAAGCATCTCTTCTGCTTCGAACGCTGGGCGGCTCCATCTGCCATCAAGTCGACCGCCAGGTAGTGATTTCTCTTGACCAGATGACATGCCCTCGGGGACCACGCCTCCATTGACTGAACTTCCTTTCGCCCATCCATCGCCTCCATTGAATATGTCTTCAATAACATCAGCGGGATCCAGCTCTCCTGCTTGAGCTTGCCATCGTCGTCTCAGAGTGTTGCGGTGTATATCTTGACTCAAGAGCGCTTCTGCCTTTTCAGTGCTCAGGGAAGCAGGATTAAAGGCCACGTCTTCGTCACGTTGTGTAATATCCTTGCTTTCAGACAGAAGTCCGGTGATCCCACCAAAGACTTGCGCTTTTTTCAAGGCTGGTGTAGTGAAATCCGTATCGCCCGAGATTTGCACCATCCTGATACCAAGTCGTAAGGTCGAATTCACCTTGCTATCTTGCAAAAGATAGCGTCTTGAGACTTCTTGCTCGCTTGAGGCGTATTCAGCTAGATTGAGAATGAGGTTGCCAAGTGCATGGCGTTCCTTGCCTCCATACATTTCTTGATAGACCTGTAGCTCTAGAAGTGCGTCTTGCAGCAGACCTTTCTTGTCTACAATCATCTTGGCTTTCCAGCTTGACTCATAGCCCCATTCGACTTTGTGTTCTTTGATATTAGCGCGATCAGTTTTTCCCCGAGTCTCAGATCGCAAGGAGTCTTGCAAGTGCCAGCGAACATGAACAAGGCCGGACACCAACGGCACGTTTGTCAAATCTTGAATAGAAAGCAGTATACGAAAGCTAGGCTTCCTATTTTTCGGCACAAGCAAAGCGTCCATCAGAAGGACGTCCGTCAGCTTATGCGACAGAGGGTTCAAAGTGATTGAATCCGTTGAAGTTTGTTGAAGCTCCGTAAAATGAACCGGTTTCATGAGATGGGTTTTGTTTGGCATACAGCTACAGCCAAGCCTACAAAATCACAGTGCTTGCGCTACTCTGCTACTGAAAATCCTCCAAGGCTGATTGCGGAAGCACCTTGACGAGACTAGCGACGGCTTTCGAGAGGGTCTCGGGCGCAAAGGAAGCTTCCGATACCCTCATCATGATTTTCATTTTTCAGCAGCCATTAGACCAACAGCTATTCCCAGAGCCGCACTAGCTAGACAAGCGCTCGTAATGTCCTCCATCGGTATGCTGCTTGGGTGCGAGCTAAATGCAAATGCAACCGCGTTGCAAGTCTTTCGCCATATTTCCGGCGCAAGGGACTTGCCGTGAATTGTGAGCATCTGGAGCCAGTAGCGTGCTTTGGACACCAGCGCAACATACATGTCCGCATCCTGATCTCTACTGGTAGGAGCCATTGAGATCGAATGATCAAAGCCCTGGGCTGCGGAATCAGCATCAGTCAAAAATTCAGCTTCTTCGGCAGCCCTTTGGTTGAACATGGGATCATATTGCCCTTGCTGATCTGCGGCAGTCAAAAAGACTTCGGCTTCCGCAGGGGATTCTGAGTTTTGTGAAACCTCGCTTGATGGCAGGAGATTGGTCAATGTACGCTCTTCTTGCACAACTTGACGAAGCCTGTCTTCGAATCGGGCTACCAGACGTTGACGTTTCCATGGTTCCAAGGCTAGCTGCACAAAGACAAAGAGGATGATGTTGATCCCCATGAGGGCCCAAGTGCCCCAAGTAGACACACGACGGATCTTGTCAGACCAGATCTGTTCTTCGTGATATCTAGTCAGAATCATTGTCGACAGCTTGCTGCGCACCTTCTCAAGGTCCAATTCTGCTTGCTCAAGACTGGCTTTACACTCTTCCTCCTTCAAAGCATTTGAATGGTCGCTTCGAAATAGCGTCGTGAAACGCTCGAGATCGGACTGGATCCAGGTGCTCTTTCTCTGAAGCAACTCATTGACTTCGCGCTGGCTGTTTGATCTCAGCTTGATTGAGGCATCATACTGATCCTTGGCCTGGCTCACTCTTTCGATGGCCGTAAAGACGATAGATTCTTGCTCTTCTATACGACGCTTCTGGGCTTCGATGCTCGAGTAGCCTGTTGCATCATTCAGTCGCTGGCCGGCAGCTGCAAGAGATTCTTGAAGCCGCTTCATAGTCGTACTAGTTGAGAAAAGCGAGTCTGTCGCTTTGACATGCCCTACAGACTGCAACTGAGGCTCTGCAACAGATTTACCAGACGCAAAGTATCGAAGCGCGCCAGAGCAGCTAACTGATGGGTGTAGTCTTCTGGATGATTTTGTCAGAAGATTCGTGGGTAGAAGCCGCTTTAACATCAGTGACCACAGACAATGGCCAAGGTCAACAGTATACGCATCCGACTATGTTTTGAACGCTAACAGCGCGCGTATCGCGTATCATTTTGTGGCATGATTCGTTGTCTGTCGTCGCTTTTCACACGGTTTTGGTAACCCCGCTTCCTCCCAAGCTGGTTCATCAAATATCCGTCTTTTATATCAAGCCATCTTTTGTATCTATATAGTCCTTCTGTGGATCGAGACGCTCTGAAAAATGCCATTCACCGTGATTGAAGGCGGTTGCTTCTGCGGGCGCGTGCGCTATCGTGCAGAAAGCGTTCATATGCTGCTCTCTGCGTATTGCCACTGTACTAACTGCCAACGACTGACAGCTGGGACTGCCGTGCATTCTATCCATATCGAAGGAGATGGTAAATTTGACCTTCTTCGAGTCCTTAAATTGACAGCCAGCGTTGGCAATCGACGGCAAGATCCAAGAATTCCATCTATTCAGCAACACAAACAAATTCCGCAAGCGCTGCGTATTCTGCGGTACTCAATTTGCGGTAGGTCGTACCATTATCATATCTGCTGACAGGCAGAGCTGGAATGCGGACAAGAAAAAATGGAGCATTTGGGCCAGTACGGTCGACCGGGACAGCTCTGGCCAGATTCCTGAGTGGTTGCGAGCTCAACACCACATGTTCTATGGCACACGCAGATTCAGCGCCTTCGATGAGCTTCCCAAATGGATTGGCTACCCAGAGATATCAGAGAGAGTTGTCGAAAGTGTCAGCAAGTGAAAGCAGCAGATGATTCAAGTGTCATCTTCGTCTTCTGAATCAGACTGCATTGCAGACCTGATGCTCTTTGCGCGTGAAAAGTCCGTTGCGTGCGCCTCGGAGAGCTTGGGTGCCGGCTTCTTGGTCTCAGACGTGACCCTGGTCGCTGGATTTGTCGAGAGAATGACATTGTCAAGGGCGTAGGGCAAAGGCAACTCTCGTATTGCGCGATAGAGACGCACATTTGCGACGTGTTCATTTTCCACACGAAGCAAACTCCAACAGGCTCTTCGAAAGACTTCTGCCAAGGCGATATAGAAAGACAACCCGGCAGCATGTTGGATGTCATTTTGGAAGATGATGTAGAATATCCAAGAGCATCGAAACAAGGGATCGAGAAGCAGAAAGCTGTAGTAAAGCCACGTCAACCTGTATGCACGATGTTCGCGCAGCAAAGGGTGTTTGCCTTGGAATTGTAATAAGGAAGCATCATAGTTGATATCCCAGAAAGTTGTGTAGAGGGTGTTGCATGTCGCAAACGCCACATACAGCCACTTATATCGAGTACTGCCATGAATTCGCCACAAGGAGAGGAACATGTAAGTCAAGATAGTGAATAGGTACTTGAGAGCATTGATGAGATGCGGAAACCAATGGAGCGTGTCAGTGTAACGCCTGACGCATTGCAAAAATCGAAATATGCCCGGAAGTGTCGTGAAGAAGCCAAATAATGTTGATCGTGACGACCCGCATTGACGGGGATCGTTCCAACCATGCCGGTAAAGACACCAAAAGAGAGCGATATTACCGACAGAATAAGTGCTGCTTGTTAGCGGATCAGAAGGCACAACACAAGCCATTACAGAGAATTGAAAACATCGCCAAGGTAGACATCCTGAAATCTAACAAGAGCCAAGCCCGAAACGAGAAGACGCCCGTTGGCGACGATGAGCCAACGCCTACTAGACCAGTGAAGAAAAGGAAACGGAATCACCAATGTCGCAACAGCGGAGCAGAAGAAGACAAGAGGATACCAGGTTGTAAACTGCGGAAAGAATTCACTGAAACACATCCAAAAAAGGATGCTGAACTGCAAGAGCAGAACACCCGGGACCTCAAAGTATTGTGTCCAATTCAGATGATGGTTGTGCTGCCACTCGAAGATGAAAGGATAGCTGATCTGATTTCTTTGCCAAATGTAGCAAGCGCCTCCAAATAAAAGTGCCATGAGCAGCAAAAGAAAAAAGCCGGCCCATACTTGAAGAAGCACACTTTGGACCACTCCATCAGTAGTATTGACTGTATCGAAGCTGCGTACAAGACCTTCCAACAACAGAGGTATTGCTAATCCAAAATAAAGACCAATTCGCAACATTGTGAATCGATCGTCTTCCGTTCTCGCTTTTTGCCTGAGCGACACTGCCGCTGCCTTGCGGTCGCCTCCGCAATAGTATTTTGCATAGACGAGTTCACTCTGACGTTGCAGAGCATCAGTGGCGTCAGACTTCCCGATATGTGTCTCGTCGTTGAAAATTTTCATGTATACCACAGAAGCCTTGCCGTGGACAGTCTTGTCGAACTTCTTGAGAATCTTTCTCAGCGCCTGCTTGTTTAGGGAGCGATAGCTTTGCAGTAGTTCGAGGGAGTAGTAATACTCTTGGAAGGCGAGTTTGAGGCGACGTTTTGCCACACGATAAGTCAAAGTCATCTGTGTGAACGTGTCGTTGCGTTTGCCTGGCTTGACAGGGTGCTTCGACAGCCGTTCCTCGTCAGCCAATGTGAGCACCGATTTGAGATTTTCGTAAAGGCGCTCGAAGAAAGAGTCATGACGCCGTGTATACTCTCTGGCAGGAGGTTCCAAAGATCCGTTGGCTGCCCCATTGCGCAAGGCAGCCTGGCGTTCCTTCATCTCTTGGAGTTGATTCTTCAAAGTCGTCAGCCGCGTCTCAGCCTCGCGCTCGTGCTCGGTGTAGAAGTCATCAATCTTGTCAAGTTGTGCACCGACGAACTGATAAAATGTGAATTCCGCCTGAGTTGCGTGCTGCATCAGGCCCTTCGCCGACCGCTTACAAGTCGCGTCTGCTGCACGACGGCCACCAAATTCACCGCGTGGCGCAGCGCTCGAGCCTGAAGCTGAAGCTGATGTTGATGATTGCAAGCGATTTGTCGAGCCGATGCTGCCATAGTTCTCCGCCGGCACATCTTGTCGCAAGGTGCCATTCGGTACACCAGGCTGCGCACAACGTTTGATCAACTTCTTGCCAGCTTTGTAGTCAAAATATGCCTCTTTCCACTCAGGCACCGCGACTTCCTCGAGTTGCTTTGCAAACTTCATGGCCAGAAAGCGAACATCAGGCACTGCAGCTGATATACTGGTCTATTCGGCGAGGTTTTGACTTCCGGTTTGTTGTGTCCAAGCTTTTGCCTGGAGCCTTTTCGCACGCTTGAGAAGGCCCCACAATTGCTGGACTCTTCTCGTAGTACTTCAGATCAATGTGTTGGAATCGTTCTGTTCAGAAGACGGCAATCGTTCGTGCTATATACTGCTAAACCATACGCTGATCTCGCCTTCCACATGAATCCCTGCAAATCTTTCATTTAGCAGCAGTGCACAGGTCTCAGGGGCTGAGCGTACTTGGTCCAGCCAGTTTTGGACCGTACGACATTTAGCCAGGCAAGTCATGTAGATGGGGTGCAGAACGAGGCGGGCTAGTCTCAGGCGGAAGAAGCCGTGACTTCGACCGTATCGGACGCTACCGAGCAAGATGATGAAGAGATTATGCAAGGTTTTCGATAAAAGCACACGCGCGTGCTGAGGCAATCACCATGGCAGCCTTCTCTTGAGCGACACTTCTGAGCTTGCCTTGCTCTAGACACGCAGTTGTCTGAGCAACATAGAATCAGCGGTCAGCGTTTGGCCTTTGCCCAAAATGAGTGCATACATGTCGTCGGTAGGTAGGCTTACGCTTAGCGATCCTGCACAGCTAAGGATAAAGAATGGTGTCGTTACTGATTTGTGCGCATCGGCTAGCGCCTGCGCTACAGTACACCCGAACAGTAGGCACTTGATGTAAAAAGACCGAGTCTGGTTCCGTAAGCTCTCGCAACCTCCAATTTAATCCTTTGACTTGCCATTAGAGGTTGATAAATGATGAACCAGACTCAAAGTTTTGCAAAGCGCCGTTCAAGAAACTCTCCGCACAGTGACTCGTCATTGGATAATCTTGTTTAGTATAGCATCAAGTGAGGCGACCTTTTGCACCAGTATGCTTGAAACATGCGTCTCGGGAAAGGAATGAAAATTATCGCATTCTAAAAGCTTTTGTTGTCGCAAGCTAAGCCGAAGCGGTCCGTTGCGCTTCATCGATAAAATTAGCTGCTCAACAAAGCTCTATAGGGCTTCTCGTGAGGTTGTGTAGGCTTCATGGCCGGTCAACTGTCGACACTGGATACGCAGGGGCGGTGCGCATCACCCTGGCAAACGCAACTGGCTGAGCTTGTCAAGGTGGTCCGTGGGAGTAGTGTTTCCAGTCGTGGCATCCAACGCGCGCAAAAAAATCATGCGTACTGCGAGCTCCACCGCGTGACAATCCTGATACATATGTGTGCGCTTTGGTGAAGCTACCAGCACAAGTGCTCTCATAGCTATACCAGCTCTCAAGTTAAGAACGAGCACACTTTGCTTTATACAGCGCGGCCTAAAGCTGCCAAGTGTCGCGACGCCCGTCATTGATGGCCGCTACTGTAGTCCCAACTACGCCAGATGCGACGCGGAGCTCTTCTGCTGATGAATTGTCCAGCGCATCAGAAGATGAAGGTACAGTTGTTGTCTCTGCGCCTGCTGCCCGACTTGGGAGACAAGACGCAAGGACGATGTTGTCTCAGTCGCTTGCAGCCAATCTACCGGCTGAGCTCATTCTCGATATATTCATGAATCTACAATCGAACAAAGATCTTTATTCGACCTTGCTCACATGTCAGAGCTGGTGTGCGTGCAGCGTAGAGCTTCTATGGTACAAACCTTTCCTGTATCACACCCCAGCGCTCATCAAGTTGCTCAAAACTTTGCGCAAGAACGCGGCGACGTTCGACTATCCTCAGTTCCTGCGTCGCCTGAATCTCAGTTTCCTGCAGGACCATGTTGCAGATGCCATCATGCTCAACTTATCTTCGTGTCGCAAGTTGGAACGTCTGACACTGACTGGCTGCTCAAGGGTGTCTGACCGCGGCCTTTGCGATGTGATTTCACGCAATCCAGGTCTGATTGCTTTGGATGTTCATGGTCTCTTGGATATAACCGACTTGTCTATCCTTTGTCTTGCACGTCGAGCATCCAATTTGCAAGGCTTGAATCTCACCGGCTGTGTCAAGATCAGAGACGACGCGATTGTAACGATTGCGCGCAGCTGTCCGAATTTACGAAGGGTGCGTGACTCTCAAGTCTGTTGTATGCTGACTTTAGATCAAACTGAATGGTTGCGTTTTGATCACAAGCAAATCCGTCCACGAACTTGGCCAACATTGTCCGTTCCTCTTGGAGCTTGATGTAGATCATTGTCACCTCATCAACTCCGTGGCTATCAACGCGCTGATCAAAACTTGCACAGATCTCAGGGAACTGCGTATCAGTATGTGTACGATGATTGGCGATGAGTGCTTTGCCGATCTAGAACGAGACAAATACCAGAACCTTCGCGTACTTGACGTGGCGGGATGTGCTCGAATCACGGACGAAACCGTCTACCATATCGTCACTGCGGCGCCTAAATTGCGCTCACTGGTACTAGCAAAATGTCCCAATGTCACGGATCGTGGGGCAGTACAAATTGCACGTCTTGGCAAGCATATCCATTTTCTTCACCTTGGCCACTGCAGCAATCTCACTGATCGCACATTACAGTTTCTGGTTAAGTATTGCAGCCGATTGCGGTACATTGACCTCGCTTGTTGCGTTCAGCTTACTGACCACGCTGTGCTCGAGCTCAGTACGCTACCTCGATTGAAGCGGATTGGTCTCGTCAAGTGTTCTGCAATCACGGCGGAAGCCATTTTTGCGCTTGTGGGCCGCGGTCTCGTGCCGCAAACACTTGAACGGATTCATTTATCTTACTGCATCGATTTGACTTTACCAGTACGGAACAACCATCGTGCGGTTTATTGGCTAACCTTAGTGCATACATGCCTTGCTCAACGCCTGCCAAAATTTGACGCACTTGTCGCTCACTGGCGTCCCAGCATTCTTACGACACGATCTTCGAAAATTCTGTAGGGCTTCTCCGAAGGACTTTCAGCCTAATCAAGCTGCTGTATTGTGAGTGAGGACAGTTTGTGGCCAACAATGCTAATCATCAGTTGTGTTTTTTCGGGATCAGGGGTAACAAGGCTTCGCGACTATTTGAACAGTCTTCATGATGTGGGCATGCTGAGTTTCACACCAGTCGCCTTGGAAGCCCACCCAACAATCGAGCAAATGCTTCTAGACATGCCCATTGTCGACGATGAATCAAATACGGAAGGGCCTCAGGAAGACTTCATCTGAATGAGCAAGCTTGGATGCATTTTGTACCTGTATAATCCTCACGAAGTATGTATATCACAAGCTGGAAACAAACGTTGACAGATCATTAAAATCGGCGTACTCCGAGTGGGTGTGCAACTCTTGGAGATCGTCAAATAATGCCTTTTGGCCACCCATAGCAATCAGATTGCCTTGCGCGTCGAGACCATCGTCATTTGAAGCGCGCGGCTTCTCCTCCGTATTCTCCGTGCTGAAGAGATCGAGGATCTGATCAGTCCCCATTGTCGCTAGTCCAGAATTTTGCTGGTTGACAACTGTAGATGCTATGTTTAGCTTGAAACGCTGCAAGCCCATAATTTTTTCCTCTAGCGTATTCTTTGTGATGAGCCGATAAACATTCACAGTCTTCTTTTGACCAAGGCGATGAGCACGATCCATTGCTTGTAGATCTTTCATGGGATTCCAGTCATGCTCCACAAATATCACGGTGTCTGCGCCGGTAAGATTAAGGCCAAGGCCTCCAACATGAGTTGTGAGGAGCAAAACATCGATCGATGGGTCGGCATTAAACTTTTGCACCGCGGCTTGGCGATGACGGGGCTCTGTGCTGCCATCGAGACGCATGTATGAAACAGTTGGCAGCAAATTCTTGAAAACTTCTTGTTCGACCATGTCCACCATGTCCTTCAGTTGGCAAAACACAAGTGCTCGGTGTTGATTGACAGCACTCGTGACAAGAGGCGAGGAATCAGCATGTTGCGAGCCGAGTCCGCAGTCGAGCAGCAAGTCGCGAAGTGCAAGTAGCTTTGGGCCGTGCTTGACATCGCTCAATGTCGATCCTTGGGATTTGAGCGACTTGACCGTAGATGCATATTTTGGATGCGTTTCTTTCAAGACAAGAGCAGGATGGTTGCAGAGCTTCCGCATGTACTGAAGGGCTTGAAAGACGTGAGTCTTGCCGGACTTGTCCGAGTCGCCGCTTGTCTCGTTAACCACCGTCTGGGCTTGAGAGTTGGTGAAGTCGGTGTATAATGATTGTTGAAGAGGGCTCAAGTTGCAGTAATAATCCTGAATAATCTTCGGGGGTAAGTCTGAAAGGACATCTTCCTTCAGGCGTCGCAAGAGAAATGGCAGCACTTGCTTATGAAGTGCTTCTAGTGCCAGCATACCTGCTTCGTGCTCCTTTGAAGAGCTCTTGGCCTCCCTGCTACTTGCAATTGGCTTTGCGTAGCGCGCGTAGAATGACTTTTCGGTGCCAAGGAAACCTGGCATCAAGAAATCAAAGAGCGACCAGAGCTCCAGCACATTGTTCTGTATTGGTGTCCCTGACAAAATGAGACGATGACCAGCCTTCATGAGCTTGACCGCTTGCGTCAATTTAGCTTTCGCGTTTTTGATGATGTGACCCTCGTCAAGAACACAGTAATTCCAATTTTGACGACAAAGGACGTCGACATCGTTTCTCACGACATCATAAGATGTGACCACAACGTCGGCGGTTGCTATTCTTGCATACAGCTTTCGGCGCTCAGCAGGGGATCCCACATAATTGATCACTTCAAGAAACGGAGCATAATTGGCAATCTCATATTGCCAGTGGCCTGTCAATGTTGGTGGGCACACAATCAGACTGGGCAGGGCCGACCATTCATCAGCACCCGTGAGCTTATGCTGCGCCTTGCGATTGTGATGATCGCTAGCAATAATGCAGATTGTTTGCAGTGTCTTGCCTAATCCCATATCGTCGCAAAGTATACCATGCAGCTGATATTTGTTCAAGAAAGCAAGCCAATTGACGCCATCCTGCTGATAAGAGCGTAGATCTGCTTTGATGGCAACGGGGATCTTAAAATGCTCAACTTTACTTCCATCGAGCATTTGGTGAATGAATCTCCTTTCGTTGTTTCTGCCTGCAAGCAACTCCTCTGAAATGCCAGGAGGATCTGGTATACCAGCTTCAAGCGGCACAAGCTTGACCAACTGAGCAAATGTCCTGGTTGCCAAGTTGCGTATGTCGTCGTTTGAATCGCTCATCCGGCCAAGAACCGGGACAATGAGGAAAATGATGTACGGTAAGATACGCACATCCATAACTTGTACAAGAAGGTTCACAGCTTCAATGGCCCCTTGTCGATGGCGAAGACTTGCAGTGTTGCCAATCATTGGCACAACCTCTTCAATGGCAACCTGCATCCCTTCAATCGTGACTGCTTGGCAACATGCGGCGAAACAGCTTGCAGCTGCGAAGCGGATGGCAGCATATTCGCTCGTGAGAGCGCTCAAAATTTGAGGTGCTTGATGAAGTACTTGCTTCTGTAGCACGGGGTCGAAACATGAGATGAGATCCCCAAGTATGCAAAGACAGTCCACAAGCTCCTGACCTCGAGTCGAAAAATTGTCAGCTGTCGGTAAGGTATTTTGAAAGTCAGACACCCATTGTAATGGATCGTAGATACAATGCTTTAGTGTCGGCACAACCTGGAAGAGATCAGCACCAAACTTCCTTGCCATTTCCTCCAATGCCATTCTTGCACCCATACGCTTGATGATTGCGTCTTGTCGCTCACCAGGTGAACTCATGGAAGCTTCAATTATCTGGGCATCGCGTTTGACTGAATATATTGAGTCGGTGAGCACAAGATGTCTGTGGAATTCCGGTGTCTTGGCTGTGTCGATGCAAAGGAAGGCGCACAAGTTCTTGACAAGCTTGTCCAGCGCCGCTGTACGACCACATCCATGGCAAACAGCAACGAAGACTGCCAGGCTTCGGGCAGAACGCTTTTGGATGAACGGCTCATCTTCTGTCTTGGTGTTTTCCATGAGGGACCTGATGATTGGGTTGAGCTTCTTAGGCAATTCACCGGAAGCCACGAGGGCTCCTGCAGCGGCTGCAGAGACTCTACAGTCTTCGGCAGCTTTGACATTGATTGCCTGCTCAAGAGCCTGCGAACAAATTCTGTGTGCTTGTTCAATTGCTTTTGCCGTCGAGCCTTTGAAGGATCCTTGCATGGATCGCTTCAAACGATCAAAGTGCTCCCCCATCAGCCGCCGAGCGTCGTCCAACGCAAATTGATCAGGACCACCTCCACCTGTGGCCTGCACTGGTGGGAGGTGGGGCACTTTGTCGCGAGTTACGCGGCCAACCTCAACAAATGTATTGCATAGGCTCTGGCACTGCGCACGCAGAGCAAATAAACTTGACGCAGTATTGGCGTAAAACAGATCTTGGCTCGGTGTCAGTAGAGGCTCGCACAGGCTGTGAACTGCAGATTTGATGCCTTCCACTTGTGTGTGTTCAAGCAATTCCTGCAAGAGGGCTGCATTTATGTATCTCGGTGTCGATGATCCCGATGATCCCGATGATAGACGGTGTAAGAACGAGCTGGTCAGCAGACGCGTTACCGCGTCTGACGGCCAATGGCTCAGTAACCGACCGAGCGCCCTCGCTGCGTAAGTCCTTGCGCGGATCATCGTGCCAAAGCCCACGAGCTCAACATCCCCATCAAGCATTGGCCCGTCAATATTGTGCGAATGCTCAACAATCACAGTGTCCGCCTTCTTCTTGCCGCGCCTGTTCGGAGCGTCCGACTGTGGAAGTACGGCGGAACCATATGTTCTACCAGATGGACGAATGAGATGACCTCTGTTGAGCGGGAAAGAATGACGACCCCTTCCTATAGGAGTGCTGACGAGGTCGAGACTTGGCTCCAATGATTCGACGTAGAGTCTTTTCCGTGCGCCAACGCTATCCAGACACGTTGTCCAGAATTCGAAAGAAAGCTCAAGGACTGTGATGTTTTGCTCCACGAGCAGGTTTTGAAAGACCAATTGCAAGAGCCGGTCATCAACCCATGATGTACACTGATCTCGATCAGCAATAACAAAAGCTTGTATAGCCCGCATGACAGCTGTGCGCACTGTCGTAATTGTGTGTCGAAAGAACGCATATAGCCGCGGCATCAGATTTGCGAACGTTCGAGCAGCGTCTTCGGTAGCTTTTCTTTGCATAGACGCAATGACCGGCCCAAGAGAACATAACTTAGCGAGCAGATCCATCACGCTGCCTGTGCTGGCACTCAGGTCATCGCGCATGTCAGCAAGACAATCCCACAAGACTTGCAGTAGATCATCAATAACGGCAGGCTTTCTGGCGATTAAATCCTCTGCGACCGGGATGAGGGTTGCAGCAGCGACCGCGCGAACGTCATCATCAGCATGTGCTAGTCCAGTAAAGACGACCGCAAAAAGTTTATCCATAAGCGCGTCATCGGAGAGAATCACGTCCTTTCGCATTGCCACTAGGTACTTGAGACCCAGCATTCCGCCATGTGTGACTTCCCATACTGCTTTTTCCAGACCGGGCTGATAAACAAGCTGACACAGGAGCCCAAAAGTGGCGACAATGGAGCGTTGAGGCAAGTGCTTCAATAGTGCTGCAAGAGTTTGGGAGACGGATTCTCTGACCGGTGCAACAACCTGATCGGCCACGTAATCTCCGAAGCGGTCTAAAGCAAATACACAGCAGATTCGACATGCCATATCGTCGAGAAAGGCTTCATTAAGGCTGTCATTTCGACCTCGAGTGCTTTTCAGTAGCCTACCAGCACAACGACCTTGCGCTCGAAAGACTTCCCTCAGTGCCATGGCCGCGCCATGACGTCGTTCCCACTTGGTATCGAATAGATCTATTGACAAGAGTTCTGTCAGAGCTTCAAGAGGCCAGGCGTCCCTTTCGGTTGCAGAGCGCAACGTGGCAGCAGGATCCGCGACGCGTTTGTGCTCAACCACGACTTTGGCATCATTTTGGGCCTGGTCTGTAACGGCGATATAGTCCACAGCTGTCTCGTCGCCTTGTGGGGTTCCACCCGTTGGTGTACCGGAGACGTCAATGACTCGTACCTTGTTTCCGCCATTGCGACCTACCAATTTTGCTTTGCGCTTCATCATATTCCGCTGTCTGGCTGAGAGCGCTTCTTCGCCATCAGCAGTGACTTCGCGTGATGGAGGGCGAGGCATTTCGACTCTCGCAGCCGGCATGGGTGAGGCTGGCTTGCTCATTTGCTTTACAGGTGCTCCAACGTCGTGTGTGGTGAGGATCTCATCGTCCATATACTCGGCTCCAAGCCCAAGCCTAGCTGTGATACTCTGCTTTGCCCTTGCCAGTCTCTCTTCATTAGAGAGGCCCTCGAGATTATTGTCATACTCCCTTCCAGCGCTACCAAGCAGTGCCTGTCCATTTTTGATGATATTCAACACGTTGAAGTCAGCGAAATTGAAACGATCTTCTGCAGATATGATGGCTGCTGCATCAGGATCCTCCGCTTTCGTTGATTCTAAAGCCACTTCTCCGCTTAGTTCCACTTTCAGGCGTATTGCCTCTTCTTCGTTCTGGTTCGGGTCCCAATTGGGAGCATTGTCGATGATACCGCCGATGGCTCGCGCTGCTGCGACTCGCGTGTCCCAAGACTGATACTGAAGGAATGGTACGACACGGCCCAGGAGGTTGTACAGCTCATGTGGGTGGGCCTTTTGTATGTCGGCGAGCTGGTCTGCGGCGGTATTTCGAATGACCGGACTTCCTGTATCTAACAAGAGCACTAGGCGATCGAGCCTGGCTTGTCAGCGAGCAAGCCTTGCTGTCAGAAGTCACCTTACCTTGACGTCATGGGAGGTGAGGTGCACTGTGCCTTCTATATGCAGCTTCCGTACTCTATGCTGGGCATGCTGGCCTGTGAGGATGACAATTGCTTGGATGCGTGAGCTGGCGCTTCACGGGCACAGAGCTGCGGGCCTGTCGCGTACAGATGCAGCTGAGTGGATGATGGGCTCCTTTGCGCGCGCGTGTCTGCAGCTGCCTGTCCAGATCTGCTTTCTGCTTTTTGCTTTTCGCCCTTTTGACTTTTCTGCAGGCGCCGCTCCTCTCTTTATATATTTGCGCACCAGCTCGACTCCAGGAGGCACACCATCGCCAGACATCCCTGCTGACAGGCTGCTGTGCTATCACCCCTTGTGGCCTATCTGCTATGGACTAGTCTGATACATAGCGAACCTCAATGCCGCAGAAGGGCAGCCTTGTGTCCGGTGCACCTTCTGCGGGCCAGTCTGGTCTGTAGGCCGTGCTATGTATGTCGCGACGTGGCACGCCTAAGCTTCATACCAATAAGCTCAGTATGCGCAAGAGAGGATGACGTAGCAGACTGATGACGGCTGTCCTTGTATAGATGCACTCTCTGCTGCAGGCCCTAGTCTTCTCTCCATATTTGGCAGACATAGCTAGCTGCTGCGTGCCTGTTTGAGTAGCAGCGGTGACACGCGTGAGTAAACGAGGCCCCCAGGCGTCATCATCAACACCGCGCGAATTTCTGGACCTTGTACACGACCAATTCTCCTCTGCTGGACTCGATACTGGAGGCAACAAACGGCCTAATACACTGGGCCTCCTACAAAGCAGGGTGATATAGAAGCAGACTTGCTTGGCCCGCGTCTTGATCTGAACAGCGCCAACACTCCCTCTTCTTTTGGCAAAAGCACACTCCGCGCTGAACAGAGCATACAGACGCCTCTTGACAGATGGCAGACTCAATTTCGAAGATGCCGCATCTTGCACCTGGCACGAGAATCAAAGTCGGGCAGTACAGCACCAAAGTGGTCCGATATTTATCAGAGGGCGGCTTCTCGCATGTCTATATTGCCAAACTTGACATACCAATCAAGGGCAGCGACGTCGCTGTGTTGAAAAGAATCATCGCTCCGGACAAGGCGGCTCTCTCCGCCATCAGGACAGAAGTGGAGACGATGAAGAAGCTTCGCGGCCACCGCCATATTGTGATGTATTACGATTCCCATGCCACTGAGCTAAAAGGCGGAGGCTTCGAGGTCTATGTTCTGATGGAATACTGCGCTGCGGGCGGTCTCATCGACTTTATGAACACGCGCTTGCAAACGCGATTGGCGGAATGGGAAGTGCTTAAGATCTTCAGCGACACTGCTGAAGCCGTGGCCTGCATGCACTATTTACGACCCCCATTGCTCCATCGAGACCTGAAGATTGAAAACGTCCTCATCTCAAGCCCGGACTGCTACAAGCTTTGTGATTTTGGGTCTTGCAGTGAAGTTCGGCCGGCGGCGACCAACTCCCAAGAGCGTAGGTTGCTAGAGGATGACATTCAAAAGAACACAACGATTCAGTACAGATCTCCAGAAATGGTAGACACAACCAGGAGACTGCCTATCGATGAGAAGAGCGATATCTGGGCTCTCGGTGTATTACTCTACAAGCTATGCTACTTCACCACACCATTTGAATCCCAAGGACAGATGGCTATCCTTAATGCGGCCTATACATTTCCTCCTTTTCCGCCTTATACCGACAGAACTAAGCGACTTATTGCTGTCATGCTTCAAGAGAATCCAAAAGATCGGCCGAACATCTACCAGCTTCTCGCGGAAGTTTGTGCCATGCGCAACACAAAGGTGCCCATCCCTGATATCTACAGCCGGTCAGTGAAAGCCGTCTCGCAAGTACGCTCTCGTCCTCCTAGTGTTGGACGCGATGTTGCTGAGCCCGTGCTCGCATTTGATGACGAAAACACCGCAAAAAGCGCTGTCGTCTCAGAAAAGGAACCGATGCGACGAGGACGACCTGTGCGGCAAGCATCATCTCCAGAATTGACTGCATCACGAGGCAGATCAACTGCAACATCCGGAGTCGATGACATACCTATGCCAGCTCCTGCCTTTGAGGATGATTTCACTACAAAGTTTCCGACACTCGATGAGTTGGATGCTGCTTTGGTGTCAACTCCGCGTCAAGTAATCCAGCCACAGCCACGCCCTTCAGATCAGCCTACCACAGTGGGAGACAAGAGACGAGATATCCCTGGAGTGATTCAGGCAAGTTCTAGTACTGCCTCACGACCAGCAGGCTGGGAAGTTCGTGTACAACAACTCGCCCAGAAGGGCGAGGGATCCCGCCAAACAACTCATTCGGCTCTTGATGGGCCTCAGCGTGCTGGACCTGTTATGGTCGCGTCGCCTCGGCACGCGCTGCAGAATGGCTCCCAGGAGCTTCGCGATCTTCCTCGGAACACAACACAGCACTTGGAAGCGGGCTTCCGTCCACGGCCTCAAGTAGTGAACAGGTCCTCTCAGACGTCGCCAAAGCAAAGAGGTCAGCAAACACAAACGTCTCCGCCGAAAGGAACATCCACGGCGCCGTTATCGGGAAAGCCACGCATCGCAGACAAGCCACCCACATGGCAAACATTCTCAGGGAAAGAGTCTACAGCTACATCGCACGATGTTCAGTCTTTCGCTACTCCTGCTCCAGTGCGTGCGCGGCCGTTGACGATACATGTTGCTCCCGCAGCTGAATCTCGAAGTTCATTTGCAGTCCCTCGGCCGCCATCGCGCCCGGCCTCTGCCGCAGAGTCGCGAGCTTCGGACGTCCAGCCAAGCGAATCCCTGGAGAGTTCTACGGCTGCACAAATTAGGAGATCAGCCAGCAGTGGCCATGGGAAGCATCACAAGCGACCAAGCCTCACACAGATTGGCTCGTTCTCCGGTGCCGCAAAGACGCTGGTGAATGGCAAATTCGGCGAGGCCTTTCGCAAATTTGAGTCTACAGGATCGAAGACAAAGACACAGACAGCGCAAAGCTCTGAGCCGCTATTCGTCGAGGAAGTGGATGATCTGCCGGATCATATCACAAGTCATTTGAGAACCACGAGTGCTCGCAGGTCGCTCAGCTATGGTCGGGCGCAAGCCACAGCGGGAGCGTTGCATGCCGCAAGCCAGCAGCAAGAGAACAGCAATGTCGATCAAAGCTCCTACAGCGTCAAAGAAGCCATGCGCAGGCTGAAGGAAAAGGCAGCACAGCCGTATGAAGTGAAGAAGACCGCGACAGGATATGGAAAGTACACAGATGAACCGCCCACGCGGTCTGCTACGGTGATTCCCACAACGCGGGTTGCTGCACGGCAACAGATTGCTGCACAGACACCTGTTGAACACCAGAAGCACCCTGCGCGCTCTGCGGGTGGGAGAGGCGAGGACGAAGACTTTGAGAAGAGATATCCGTCGCTGCCCTTCACAGTTTGAGTCGTAGCACAAAAGAAAATCGCCTGCACCCGCAACTCTCCTTCCCCCCTTCCCTATCCCTACAACGCTCCCTCATTTGCAGAAGCTCTTCAGACTATCCACCCGTCTCCTCCTCTTCTGCATTGGCTTCTTTCCACTTCACAGCTACTCTGAATCATCACTTTGCAGGACAACATCACAATGTCTATGCCTGCGCTCACCCAAGACTTTCTGCCAAGGGGCGATCTATCCAGCTACGCTCATGCGCTGTGTGAGGAGCAAGACGTCGATGCAGAGTCCTCGTACAGCCTAGAAGCACACATTCAGCAGACCCAAGATACACCAGCTTCCGCCAGTTCTGTCACATCTCCACACGAACACACCGTCAACCGGTCACAAGACAATACTGCCATCATCCCGAACGCCAAAACCTTTGTGCGCCAGAGTGCACCACAAGAACTGGTGCGCACTTCATCGCAGACCTCTGCACGTGGAGTCAAGGCAGACGTAGTCTTGCAGTCGGTCGTACACTGTGGAGGGGGCTTGCTCAAAGGAAAGGTCGAGTTGTGCTGGAGCGCTAAAGCTAAGCACAATCAGCAGACTCAGGTGACAGCTATCAAGCTTGATTGTCTCGGTGTGGAATGTATGACTTCATGGTAAAGAGTCTGTGCTAACAATAGCGACCAAAGCAAGCGCATCCAAGATGTTCCTATCCCTGGCTCTGGATCTTGTTGCCACTGGCATTTACCTCAACGACCTGTCGAATGTCTTTCCTCAAGATTTTCAAGTCAAACCTGGCAACTGCTCTGTCCCCTTCGAAATGCAGCTTCCTCTTGATGTAGGCAACTCTTTGACACATTACAAGCTGACGGCAGGTTGGACCAGGCTCATTCGAAACGACAGGTGCGCAGATACAGTACTCGTTCGTTTGCACAGTACAAGTAGCCAATGAAAAGCGATTCGCAGGTACGTCCTTCTAGAAGGTCTGCGTGAGCTGACTCTAGATGGCAAAACGATGCGTATCGTGCGACCCATCAAGCTTTACCCCTGCCTGAATCCAACAAAGGCACTCATCCCCACACCTGCGCCCATCGATGCTTCTGAGGAAGGCAAGCTGCGTTTTGGAGGCAAGGAGACGCTCAAGATTGCTGCCCGCATCCATCGGCCATCTTGGATTGCTGGACAGACCGCTTTTGTCGAGGTGCACATCACAAATGACTCGAAACGCAAGGTGAACAAGATCCAATTGGATCTCGTTCGCCACTTGAGCTTCTTCAAGAACTCTGCTGCAACCGCAGGCTTCCAGTCGGTCGACTGCCGCGTGCCGGAGCGTACCCTGACAAAGACCATCTCAAGCAATGCTACAAGCATCAAGTCTGATAAGTCCAACAATGCATACTGGAAGGGCGTCAAGCATGGTGGTCGAGATACGATACAATGTCAAATTCATGTCCCGGCAGATGAGTTATCGATTCAGGCTGGACGATTTTGTAAGCTTTCCCCGTGAATCTCCAGATCTAACACCAGTCGAGACTAGATACTTTATTCATGTCTCCGTCGTCACCAGCGGAGGAGGGATTAGTGTTGAGTTGCCAATCACGATCGTCCACATCAACTCACTCGACGTGCTCCCTTCGGAAGCCAAATCAGTCGCAAATATGGTTCAGATCTACGCAGACGCAGATGGTGTCCATGATGCTACAGGATCCCCTACCTCGAGCCTGTCAAGTGGCACACGACGCCACTCTGTTCCTTCAATTATGGGAGAAATAACTCGTCAGGGAAACACTTCCGCGCTCGTGACAGTCCTCGGAGATAAGGACCACAACTCCGTCGATAATGCCGCTCGTTTGGCTGCGACGAAGCCTGGCATTCAATGCGACCTGCGGCGAGCACTTTCGCTAGATTACCAGAGCAAGTTCTCGAAGCTCGACATTTCTGCAGAGCAAGCTTCGTACACGCGTGGAGTGCCTCTTGCAGAGCGTAGCCCCGCCCGAGCTAGGCGTGATACCAAAACCAACCTTGCTGATCACCTGGCGCGCACCAAAAACACGAACATGAGCTTCAACGACATTATCTGATCAGATGTTGCTCGCACACGATGTACTCTAGCTTTTATGACTTTGTAGCAAAAATCTGCCTTGCCTGTCTGACATGGCGTGCTGTGTCCATCCTGAGAGTCTGTCGCCACATTCTATGGTCAGGTGGTTCGGTCCCTTATTAGTCGTCAACGTCGCGCTTTCGACGCACGAATTGACGCGCGACAGACGACACCCGCGGCCTAAACAGCTCTACTCGGCTTTGCGAGACCCGGCTAGAATGGCCGAGGCGCAGCACGAAAGGGCTGCTGACGAGTCGGGTAGAGTCGTCCTGCTCGAGAAACTACGGGATGTGACTGCACTGTTCTATGAATTGGAGTTGCGGGCAAGTGATTTTGGTGCAAGCTCGTCAAATGACCAGCTATTCGAGAGAATGTATGAGCTTCGTGCAAGCAAGAACCTACGCCTGACACTTCAGTAATGATCTCGTCAGCAAGTACGCTGAACTCGATGACTTGCAGAAGGCCGTTGACATTGACATCCCACAAGACGTGCTGGAGTACGCTCACCTGCTGCATAGGTCAGGCTGACATTACTCCCTAGATATATCGAGGCAGGCCGAAATCCCACAGTCTACACAAGGCAATTCTCAGAAGCGGTCGTGCGCGATAATCAGTATCTGAATGGAAAGCTGCAGGGCTACGAAGACTTTGCTAGCTGCCTTCTCGACGAGCTTCAACGGCAGTTCCCAGAGACAAAGACGGGCGACAGGGAGGCTCAGCAGATCGACCAAAAGTCGGATGCTAGTTGAGATGAACATGGGTAAGCTCTGTGTTGCTCAAACCCTCAAAATTGTGAGCAACTCCGTCGATGTGGATCGACGCTCTGGTATCTGGCACTCTCCAGCAAAAGACAAAGGGTAGACCGGCCCAGATTTTGACGATGTCCTTGAAGAATGAAGGGAAGATGGAGAGCACGTCCGTCACGCTCGAAGGCTCGCCCAGGGGCAGCTGGACTTGTGCATCAAAGCTTTTCCCTTCAAGAGTGCTTCCTCGCCAGCTCAAAGTACTCGATGTTGGTATCATGTAACCTGACGGCGCATGTTTGACCAAGTCTGCGTGAGCCAACTTGTTGTCTTGCGCGATGGCAACCACCTTCCCATTCTCAGTGTAGGACCCCTGCGAGATTTGATGACTCTCGTCGAGGCCTCTCGGGATGTAATGGAGCATAGTCAGAACTTTGCTAGAATCTGGTGACCTGAGCTGAAAGTTGGCAAATGAATTACAAAGATCTGTGAACTTGACGTGCGTGAAGAATGCTTCAATGTAGGTTCCTTGACCATTGACTTCAACAAGCTTGCCATGTGCTTCTACTGTCCCCCTCACTTTCACGACAGGGACGATTCGATGCCGGAGATGCCTCTTTGACGAGCTGGCGCCCAGGTTGTAGCCTGCAAAGCACTCGCTCTCAATGTCAAATTCAAGATTGTATGTCACTGCTGGGTCCTTGATACACGCTGTCCACCCACTGCAATCTTCTCGCATGCTCAGTGAGTGGCTACCGATGGTCACTGAGTACTGGTCCCGTGAGATGTGCATGCTCGAAGCGTGCAGCGTCTGAGAACCGACAATTGCATCAGTGCCTGGGGTATACAACGTCCAACCCATAGGAGCCACTTTGACGAGGATTCCTAGATTTCCGTACGCGAACTGGAAATAGCCAGCAGAGCCATCCTCAAATGTGAAGTAGAAGCTTTTGTATTGTGTCGTCAAGCCTTGCGTGGATAACTCCCACTTGAGCTCGGTCGGCGGCACGGGTGTGCTATAAGCACCTGAAGTGGAGGCTGATGCAGCGTCTGTGCCATCCTGAGCAGCTGTATCAGTCTTCCAGAAGCGCATACGAATGGTAAAGCTCTGTTCTATGTGTGGACTGTTGTGTTCAGAGCTTGTCGAGACAATGTCGACGTGGCTGTAGCAGAGGTTTTCGACGCGCGACATTTTGGACAGGGGTAAAAGTTGACCCTTGAAGTTGAAGTAGAAAGCCAATATGTTGAACACGACAGGATGCAGTGTGCTCGCTATGCAGGGTGGGGACCTACGTGTACTCAACGACCAGACCTCGATCTAGTTTAATATGTCTATTCACTGAATCAGGCACTTCGTCCGAGTAGTGCGTAACAAAAATGAGACTCTGTTCCGGGTCCATCTCCTCGTCTATGTATGCTCTGGCTTTTTCAATCATATTGGCATCCATACCAGCGAAAGGCTCGTCCAGAACGACCAGCTTGGGCTTTTTCACTAAGGCTTGAAGCAACAGGAAAAGACGTTGCATGGCGGGCGTCATGTCGGACAGCTTTGTCGCCAAAGAGTCTTCAACTTGAAAGTAGGCCGCTACTTGTTTGATCAGCGCAGTTTCTTGTGAAGTGAGATGAGCTTTGGGATAGAAGGACTCTGCGAATGCGCTTGCCAAGCACTGCTGACCTGTCAAGTAGCGTGGGAAATGACGATGAATCTCTGGCGAGCTGTGACCCATCTGTGCTTGTATCTCAAAGACAGTCTCGCCGGAACCTCGTGGACGGCCAAAGACGTGAATTTCGTTCATATAAATTTTAGGGTGGTCGCCAAGGATCATGGCTAGCAGAGTCGTCTTGCCAGAGCCATTTGACCCAGACAAGTGCCACTTCTCTCCCGACCTGATTGTCCATGAGACATCTTTGAGCACGTCTTTTCCCCAATAAGAGACTTTGACCTTCTCAAGTCGTACTACTTCGGCAGAGCTCGACCTCGGCGTTGGCCTTACCTGTGCGGGAGTCTTTGAATGAGCCAGAGCTTCGTTCGAGATGAAATGCTTCAGATCTGCTGCAGTTCCATTTTGACGCACGCTACCATCGGCATTCAGCCAGAGAATATGGGTAGTCCAATCTGGTATGTCATCGAGCGGGCGCAGCGCCATGACTATGTGAGGAAACCCTCGACTGTATAGACGTCCAAGCACTTTGCTGAGATTCTGACGGGCAGCAACATCGAGTCCAACATATGGCTCATCTAGAAGCAAGACTCGTGGCTGCTTCAACAAACTTCTTGCAATGAGCGATCTCTTGCTTTGTCCATTGGACAGATTGATAATGCTGGAGTCCAAGAACTCGGAAAGTTGCAAGTCACCCGTGACACTCTCCAACAATGTATTATCAGTCTTGTCTTTCATGTCCTTGACCAGCCATTCCCGAAGGGTGAAGTCATCTTCCCTGCGAGAATGATAGCGTTCGGCGTAGTACGCACTACCATTAGAAATCTCTGATTTGCTAGTCAGTAATTCAGTGGCCTCGTTGGGCCATTGACTTTGCCCAAGGAATGAAAAAGTCAGAGATTGAGCAGGTTCAGCAGGCAGGTCTCCATGAAGAGCCGAGAGAAGTGTTGATTTGCCTGCGCCAAGCGGACCGATCACAACATAGGCTTGACCAGGATTTATGGAAAATTTCAAGTTCTTGAGTACGGCTTTGCCTGATCTTCTGACTGTAGCTTGGTCGAATACTGCCAATGCCTTTGCAAGCATGCCTTTCCACCAGCTCACTTCCGAGGCTGTTGCAACCTTGGACCTAGGCTGTGCACATTGGTGGATGTCATCAGATGGGAAGTCAAACTTAATGGCCAACTGCGACGCAAGCGACTTCCACACCGCACCAAACAATTCAAAGCTTGTCAAATTTATCTTACCCAGTGTAGGCATTGTGATTCCTTTTGAGAGTGTATGCTGTAGCTCTACTTATGACGCTAGACGTCTCCGTTGTGGACTGGAAGGATGTGGCCAAGTGGAAAGTAACGCTTGGCCCACGTGGCAACAAGCAAGCGCTTGTGCAGCCCTATTTTGCCCAGCCTAAACTGCTGTCGTTCGGCTGGCCGGTCTACTATGACCCGAAGATCACTTTTCGTGATGGTCCAGGAGAATTTTGGGTGTCCGCAAAGCGTCTTGATGACTTTGCTGACTATGTGCTGCAAAGTACGGGTGTGACGCTCCCAGCCTTTCCTGCGCGTGCTGAGTGGATTGATTCCAGTTGCTACAAGCTGATTCAGCTGTCCCATGCTGATCAATTCAAGGAAATAAAAAAGGAAGTTGCTCATGATCGCCACATCGCCGAGACTGCCAAAGTCCTCAAAGAAGCTCGGACAGCCTTTCAGGTGCCACGCCGCTATCTCGCACTCGATTTCGAGACGTATGAGCTCGATCATCGGTTTGTCACTGAATTTGGCATCTCGCGCCTGGACACTGGCGCCGAGGGCATCATCGAGACGCGCCACCTCATCACTCAGGAATATGAGGCCTTTCGCAATGGGCAGTACGTGCCAGATTGCAAGCATCGCTTTCGACACGGCTCGTCACGCTTGCTGCCACTCGAGGCATGTAAAGCTATGCTTGTAGAGTCGTTGCAGTGGGCTGACGCTTTGATCTTCCACGACACGGCAGCAGATATGGACATCATCCAGGGACAATTAGGCCTACGGCTGCCTCGGCGAGGCGTGCCATGCTACGACACGAAGGTGCTATTCGGTGCAAAAGAGAAGAGCAAGAAGGGCGAGTCACTTGGCTTGGGACGTATGCTGCAGAAGCTGGGCGTGGTGGCCATCAACATGCACAATGCTGGGAATGATGCACATGGCACGATGGAGGCGTTTGTGAGCATGATGCAGCCAGACCTGCCGCGGATAGAGTGCGGGACTGCGCTTGTGCTGCAGTTTGAGAGCGACGATGATCTGGAGTTCTAGCTGTAGACGGTGGTCCACTGTTGCTTGCCTAACCCTGCTTCTCTGCGCCGGAAGTCGGGAGGAGAAAGAAAGAAAGAAAAAAGAAATTTCAGCGAGTTGGAGCAGTCACCCGCACGCAGCACACAATAAGAGGCACCACCCTCCCATCCGCCAACACTCACACCCCATAACACCAACTCCCCCCTCATATCCTCATCTACAATGGCTACCACCAGTATGTCCCACCGTCCAGGTCTACCTGCTTCATCCGTGCCCAATTGCTAACACCATTTCCCCCAGAGGCCCCCGAGAAGAACTTCGCCCTCGACTTCCTCATGGGAGGTGTCTCTGCCGCCGTGGCAAAGACAGCCGCTGCTCCCATTGAGCGTGTCAAGCTTCTTATCCAGAACCAGGACGAGATGATCAAGCAGGGACGTCTTGCCAGGAAGTACGACGGTATCGTGGAGTGTTTCTCCCGTACCGCCCGTGAGGAGGGTGTCATTTCCTTCTGGCGTGGAAACACAGCCAACGTGCTGCGTTACTTCCCCACACAGGGTCTCAACTTGGCCTTCAAGGATTACTTCAAGAAGATGTTTGGCTTCAAGAAGAACGACGGCTACTGGCCATGGTTCTTTGGAAACCTTGCTTCCGGTGGTGCTGCCGGTGCCACTTCCCTTCTCTTCGTCTACTCCCTCGACTACGCACGTACCCGTCTCGCCAACGACGCAAAGTCCGCCAAGAAGGGTGGTGAGCGTGAGTTCAACGGTCTCGTGGATGTCTACCGCAAGACCCTCAAGTCTGATGGTATTGCTGGTCTCTACCGTGGTTTCGGTCCTTCCGTCGCTGGTATCATTGTTTACCGTGGTCTCTACTTCGGTCTCTACGACTCCATCAAGCCTGTCATCCTTACTGGTTCGCTCGAGGGTAACTTCTTGGCTTCCTTCTTGCTCGGTTGGGCTGTCACCACCGGTGCCGGTATCGCTTCTTACCCTCTCGACACTGTCCGTCGTCGTATGATGATGACCTCTGGTCAGGCCGTCAAGTACAAGTCTTCGTTCGATGCTTTCCGTCAAATCGTTGCTGCTGAGGGTACCAAGTCGCTCTTCAAGGGTGCCGGTGCCAACATTCTTCGTGGTGTTGCAGGCGCTGGTGTGCTTTCCATGTACGACCAGATCCAGATGCTCCTCCTCGGCAAGAAGTTCTAAGCAGAACTTTGAGCGTTTCTCCCCGGCAGTCAGCGGTCTTTTATACGCTGATTGCTGGGACCTGCGGGACCTACATAGACAAATCATCTCGTTCATTGCATCCCTTCGCCTGTTCCTCGTGACCCCGCATTGATTCAAGTTTGATAGATGCTATTCCCAAAACCTTGATTTCGCGCAGACGACACACGCGCGATTTCGCGCGACTCTTGACCAGCTCCATATCTGCCACACTTGCAAGGACCCTCTGTGTCTAGTTACGTGCCTGAAAGACGCATGGCGCGCTAGACGAAGCTTCTCTCAAACATGTCTGATGAGCTCGATCTAGATGCTTTGCTAAATGAGCATATCCCTTTAGCTCAACCTGCAGCACCGTCTTTGGATGACCTCGTTCAGGCTTGGGTGTCCGAACGAACGGCCCCAGAGCTGCTACCGTACGAACAAAGGCTCATTGATCATATAGCCGACCTGCTTCGCAAGCAGATTGAGCATGTTGAGGAGACGAGCGGCATGGACGCACGCACAGGCTTCAAGCTTGTGATCATACAAACCGAAATGGAGCGCGTCAAATACCTCATCCGGTCCTATCTACGTGCACGGATAGCCAAGATCGACCGTTACGCGTTGCACATACTCAAGTCACCAGAACAGCTAGCGCGGCTGTCTCACCTTGAGCGTCAATACCTACAAAAGCACCAAGCCGTCCTCGAGCGGCATTTCCATACGGCATTCTTGCGAGACTTGCCAGATAATGGTAATCTGCGTCGGTTGGACGATACAACTGCTGCAGGTGTTTCTATGGTTACTGCACCAGACCTCAAGCAGGCCGTCTTTTGTCGAGTGCTCAAGGAGAGCAATCAGGTCCGCGTGGGTGCAGAAAAGGAGGATTTGGAAGAGGGCAGTACCGTGCTGCTGCGGTATGAAAGTATCAAGGGTTTGATTCTCGACGGTAGCGTTGCCTTGATGTAAAAGATTGGCAAATAGAGACCTGGGGCTGCCTTGGGTAAGACCTGTACAGAGCATATAGCATGTCTAAGCATGAGCATCAAATCATTGCAAAGTAACTTTTGCCGCGTAGGACTTGGAAGGCCACCACCACGCTTTCTTCAAAAGTCTTTTTGCTCAAGCTATTGACTCCAGCTCCTTGACACTGTCTTAGCTCTCATCAGGTCCCAAACCTCAGGCCAAGGAGCTTCTACGCCAGCCTGTTTCCGTGAGCTTTGCGTCTAGCTGGTCATCATGTCCAACAAAATGCTCGAACACGACGAGGAAGTCTCTGAGAATGGTAAGCCTTGTACGCTTCAAAGCTACCAAGTCTAATTGCAAGTCACCTGGGAAGATCAAAGCATGATCAATACCTTCTCAAAATTAGTCAATCGCCTTGACGTGCGGCAAGAGACACTCGTGCTGAAGAAGCAAGACAAGGAATACCTAGATGATGTCGAGATGGAGCTCGAGCTTGCAGATGATGCTGATGCATTCCCCTACAGGATAGGAGATGCCTTTGTCCACCTCCCGCTCGAGCAGGTTCAATCTCGTTTGTCGGCAGAGAAGGAAAGTGCCGAGGAGTCCATTGATCAGCTCGAGCAAGAGGTGGAGACGATCAAGGAGGAGATGGCAGGTCTCAAAGTGAAGCTCAAGCGTAAGTATGGTGACTCCATCAACCTGGATAACTAGCTTGTGTATGAATCTATGTGACTGCTGCTTCCTGGTCGCGCCTCGATCGTGTTTCGCGTTTGCACCCGAGCGCAAGCATATTCGCTCACTATGTTGTGCGCGTAGCTCATCTGGCGTTCGGTATGGCAGGAGCTTGACTTGCTGCCTGCGGTGCCGAGCTGCTCCTTGGTAGGCCGAGGTCAATTCCCCGTGGTCCTTGTTGGTCCTGGGAATCATAACCAGAGTAGACTTATGTTTGCCCATCCAGAAGGCATCTTTGACTTGGATGCCAGAGCGGATGGAGGCCGAAAAATTGTCCGCTGCACGAAGAGCAGGAACGCGTGTTCCAGCCTGTAGTAAATCCAGCCAGTTGGAACGTTCTTGATCGGCGGCTGTCTCGAGAGACTTTCAACGATGAATTCGGGAAGGTGCTCCTGAGCCTGTGCGTAGATCTAACCGCATCGCTATACGCACGGTAACGCAGTCAACGAGGTGTACGAGTACCAGTTTGGAGCCTCCAGCTTCGAACAGGCGCCCAAGGTCAGCATCGCATCCCGCCGCCATGAGAACAACAATGGCAACGGCCACTCCTCCGCCTCTGACACGGAGAGTGACACGGGAAGTGAGATACCAGAGGCCCCTACTGGCCCTGTGGAGGCCAATGACACGTCTAGGATATTGCAACTTGAGAAAGCAGTTGAGGAACTCCGGGCAACCGTTGCCACACTCCTGGCCACGGTGGGCCAGTTGCAGAGCGCTCAGAAATCTCCCGAGACGCGCCCGGTCAGCACGACCAAGGCTCCTCAACGCACCGTCACCACGGCAAAGGCCCCGCAGCAAGCCAACAGAAGCTGGGCAGCCACGGTCAGTCAGGCAGCCCGTCGGGGAGACCCATTGGCAACGAGTGAGGCACAACCTCAAGTCCCACAACGACCATGGTTGACCGTGCAAAAGAAGGCGAATGTCATCAAGAACGCCTATCGACCGATGACAGCCGCCGATCAAGGACGCTCCAACTGGCTGGTGTTATTACGGGCTGACTCAGGCGTTCCCGCTGTTCGTGCAGCGGACAATTTCTCGGACTCCATCCGCTCTGGCATCCAAGTCAAAGATGCCTTCTGGATGGGCAAACATAAGTCTACTCTGGTTATGATTCCCAGGACCAACAAGGACCACGGGGAATTGACCTCGGCCTATCAAGGGACAGCTCGGCTTCGCAGGCAGCAAGTCAAGCTCCTGCCACACCGAACGCCAAATGAGCTACGCGCACAATATAGTGAGCGAAGGCGCACGCTTTACTGAATTGCCCGGATCATGCCAACAGGTCACGACCTCACAAGCTTAGGCCGAGCTGCAAGGGACAAACATACTTCATGCCATCCTGCAGCCATGTACAAAGCAGACGCAACTCGCCATCAAGGTCACAACAGAAGTATGCAAGAGACTCAACGCGCGATACGTCGCGCCTACACTAAAAGCTTAATGCTTAGAAGTAGGCCTAGAGGGGGATCTTACTCTGACGTTGTTTGTGCCTGCGGCTCTCTGCTGCAGGTTGCGTAGGGAGTCGTGGTAGATTGCCATTAGTAGTAGCCGAAAACATCATCGTTTCATAAACTTAAACTTGACAACGTACCTGACAAAGAGCACTCTACGTAACCCTCTATCCTTGTAGGGCTGCTGGAGGGAATGGCGTCTACTCAATTTGATCAGCAAGTCCAAGCATTTGTCACGGATGCTGCTCTTGCTAAACGAGTCTCCGGGCACGCTGCGGCCTTTCCCGAGACGCAGCAGACTTGGAGTGATCTCATCAGCTTTGCTCAGCAAACACAGGACGGCCCGGCGCGGAAGAAGGTGCGATTGGATGTGCCCGATGAGGGAGAGGATGAGGTGATGCTCAGTGTACCAGACCTCTCCTTTTCTGCACCCGTCAGGAAGAAGTTGACGCTGCAGCTCTCGAAGCGCAGACTGGTTGCTAAGAGTGCGACTGCTATCGAGCTCGCAGTGGAATACGCCAGCATTCGGCATGTCTGTTTGCTACCGGTGCCAGAGAAGGCTGTCAAGCAGTTCAACTACTGCATCTTCTATACGGATGGCCAAGACAGCGAGGTTGCGTGCCTCGTCTTTACAGTGAATGATGTCAATGACAAGCTGCCGGCACTGAAGCGGCAGATGGTGGCAATCAAGGGACAAGTCCATGAGCCGCGGTTAGAAGACTTTACGAGTGCAATTCCACAACCGCACCGGAAGCAAGAGAAGGCCGTGCATGCCGTTGCGCATCGTGGCTCCAAGGAAGGCTTCTTGTTCTTCCTTGAGGTTGGCATCTTGTATGGCTTCAAGCGGCCGATACTACTGATCCCTCTGGCAGATATCGAGACCATCACATACAGCGATATACTTCAGCGGACATTCAATCTGACCGTCGAGCTCCACGGTGAGGACGAGGACTCGGTTGAATTCAGCATGATTGATATCGCCAATCACGAGCGGGTAGATCACTACATTCGCAAGTACAAGCTACAGGATGCTAGCATGTCAGAGAGTCGCAGAGCAGCGCAGAGCAAGAAGGATATGAATACTGCTATTAGCGATGCGGCGGATGAGATTGCTGCTGGAGTGACAGGCATTGCTGGCGAGTCAGATGAAGAAGCAGATGAGAGTTTCCACGACAGCGATTCACATGGCGGTTCGACCATTCACTCTGACTCGAGCGATGCTGAAGAGGACGGTGCAGGCGAGGCAGATGGCGACGGAGGCGAGGAGGAAGAGGATGCGGATTAGAGATATATGCGCGTGCAAGTCTAGTCTGATGCAACGGAGACCGCGTCTTCGAGATCATCCTCGTCAACCTCATGTTAGTTCTTTGTAGCCTATGACCATTGTAGACTTACAATATCTTGTGCCATAGACACAGCGAGGTCGGCCTTGAGCAGTGCGTCCTTGATCTCTTGGCACTTGTCTGGCACACAATCGAGGGGCAGGTCGCCTTGCTTGTTGCGAAGACTTGCTTGTGCTCCTGCGTCAATGAGGAACTCCACTAGTCAGTCAGCTTGGCGAGTGGATTGAGAGGTAGAGCACCATACCCATATCCAATGCAATTGTCTTGTCCTCCTCTGCTGTCCGTACAGCCAGGTGCAATGCCGTGTCCCCTTCCATATTCTGTGCGTCAATGGGCACATCCTCCATGTCTAGCAGTAGATCCACACACTCCAAGTTGGCAGAACGCGCCGCGATATGCAGCGGTGTGTTTTGCAGCGCGTCTTTTGCACCAACACAGTCTGGCGCCTCTGCCAGGGTCGAGCGGAGGAGGTCGACATTATTGGCGCGGGCTGCACCAAAGGCGACCTGTGCAGGCGAGGCGCCCTGCTCTTCACTTGCCATGGCCTGCAGCTGAGCGAGTCTTTGGGCTGAGTGTTGTGGTTGCTGCACTTTTGGGCGATGACGACGGCGAGAGTCAGGGACGATGATGCTGGACAGTGGACACAAGTGAGATGAAACACAAAAGAGGATCAAGGCAGCAGGGAGGATGGAGCAGCTAGGAATGGATGGATTTGTGTCGATGCAAAGACTTGCGTCCAGTGGATGAGAAGGCTACAAGCAAGGCAGGCAAGTCTCTATACTCGCCCTAAGTGTGTGTGTGTATGTCCTCGCTTTGGAAGAAACCTAGTAACCGAACTGAGCGAGCTTCTCGTTGATGGCAGAGGCCTTCTTGATGTTGTCGACCTTGGTGATCTTGGCCTTCTTGATGGCATAGGCAGCCGCTGACTTGACCTTCCTGCGCTCCTCGAGCTTCGAGACAACATCGGCGTACCTCCATCCAACTTCGTGAGAGAGACGGCCAACGGTGCAGTACTTGCGTCCTGGCTTCAAACGCAAGACACGCAGAGCCTGAGGTACGACCATACGCTTGACCTTGTCGAAGGGCGGCGGGATACCCTCGAAGACCTTGAGCCTCTCGAGCGCAGCCATACCACGGGCAGTCTTGTGAGGGATCTGACCACGGATGGCCTTGTATAGGATGCGGGAGGGCGCCCTGAAGTGGAACTGACCCCGGGCTGGGTTGTATCGGCAGCCCTTGCGGAGGTAGGCGAGGTACTTCAACTTGTTGCGGAAGAATTCACCAGAGATGTTGATGTCCTCGCATCGGACGACGACGATCTTCTGGCCGTTGAGGAGCTGCTTGGCCACAGTTGAGGCGAGGCGACCGAGCAGGTGACCCTTGGCGTCGATGACAACCTCACGTTCGAATGCTAGGGGTGGTTAGCTTGTGTGTTTCATGGTTGACTGGGTTGTCTCTCTCTTTGTCCGTTGTGCCTGGTTGCTCAATGAATCTCGCTTGGTAGATGGAGCGTGCAGGGCAGGACGAGAGGGACAAGAGGGTGAATGTTACATACTGCTCATGGTTGATGGGTGATTGTTGGCTCTGCTCTCTCTGCGTGCTCTTGCTTGTCTCTTGTGCTCTCTCTCTCGCTCTCTCTCTTCTCCATTTCCCGCGCGCAGAAATTTGTTGACTCGAAGCGACAGTCACAGCAACAACGAACATTTACATGGAACTGGCATGTCTTCAATAGTCAGCAGCAGGATGGCCCCAGCGCAGTCAGCCGTACTCTCATCAGTCATGTACAAGGCTCCCTCCTCTCATCTCTGTGCATATACGTGACTGCTTTGTCCAATTGGCATTCAGATGGCTGCACTTTCTCGCGTCTTGAGTCTCTCTCTGTCTGTGGCTCTGTGTTGGACATGAACAAGAAGATACAAACAGTATACAGCTACAGCCTACAGCTTCGCAGGAATCGCATCCTTCACATCCCGCGGCTGGCGTCCATCCATAATCTTAATCTGCTGCTTCATTGCCAAGTCAGACATAATCTCATACGAACCACCCCCAATCACAATCACGCGCAGGTCGCGGCTGATTTGCTCAACACGGCCGCCGGCAAGGGTACCACGCTGGTAGCCCAGGCCGCCAAACACCTGCTGGCACTCCCGGTTGACATACTCCAAGCACACACTTGCATTGACCTTGCACAGTGCCGTCATACCAGCCAAGTCAGCATCAGAGTAGTTGCGGTTCAGGTGGTAGTACAGCGACTCGAGCTGTGCTTGCAGTGCTTCAACCAGCCGACCCATGTGTGTGAATTTATCACGAATGATGGGCTGCTCAATCAAGTGCTTGCCGAATGTCTTGCGCTTGTTGGCGTGGCCGTATGCATCTTCAATACAGATGCGCGACATTCTCAGTGCCTGGATACTCAACCCTGTAGATATTAGTGAGATGGCCATGCGGCAAGAAGCACTTACAAAGACGCTCGTGGTTGAAGTTGCTCAAGAAGATCTTGAAGCCCTGGTTCTCCTTGCCAACAAGGTACTTGACGGGCACCTTGACATCCTCAAAGTCAATCAATGTACTGCCTGAACTCGCAACACCAGAGTTTTGCAACTTGCGTCGCTCAACGCCAGGCAAGTCCAAGGGGATAATCAGGCAGGAAATTCCACCAGCGCCAGGTCCACCCGTACGCACAGCTGCCGTCACATAATCGCTGTACACGGCATTCGTGATCCACTTCTTGGAGCCATTCACAATGAAAAAGTCACCCTCTCGACGCGCAGTCGTTGCAATGTTGGCCACATCGGAGCCTGCTCCTGGCTCTGTCACACCAAGACAAATACGCTTGTCGCCCTTGAGAATCTTGGGGAGCAACTCGCGCTTGAGTGCCTCGGACCCGAAATTGACGAGTGGTGGGCACCCGATGATGTTGCCTGTTGCAAGGGCCCAGCAAACACCTAGGTAGCCGCAACGCATCAGCTCATCAATCAGCACAAAATCATGGAACGCGTCCCATTCATTGGCTGGGATGCCAGCTGGCAGCGTAATGCCATCCATGTATCCTTTTGCGAGCGGGTAGACACATGCGGCCGTGCATCCAACTTCGGCGAAACGCTTCTGCACTGCATCAGGCACGGCAGACGCTTCCTCCCAGTCTGAGCAATAGGGCGACAATTCTTCGTCGACATACCTGCGCAGGTACTTGGACAGACGGCGGTGGGAGTCGTTGAAGTAGGGCGAGTCGAGTGTGGTCATCCATAGGGGGTCCGCGAAAGGCACGAGGGTCCCGATAGTCTCACTGCCTTTGCTGAGCATACTTGTCTGTGATTATGTCCAGTGGAAGTATGAGGGGCGGAGGAGCAGGTATCTATGCTCTTAAAGCAGCTCTTTCGTGCCGCTGCCAGAGTTCGACTTTTGCCGGCGGAGGTTGGCGGCAATCCCGGCGACAGGCGACAAAATCCGGGGAAGAGCGCGACCTGCATGCAAACATAAGGGCGTGTCCCCGTCTGACCTTCTGTGCTTGCTGTTTACCATCTTCTGAGACTTTCGAGAGTCCTGAGACTCATCTACAATGGCAGACCGTCTGGCCCAAGTCGGGTCGCACCTTACTCAATTGTCTATCGTGCACGGAGGCTACGAACCAGCCTTGCTTGAAGAGACACTGGGTGACAACTTGCGCAGGACAGCAGCGCGCCATGGGAGCAGGACTGCTGTCATCTCCCACTGGCAGGACAAGCGGCTGACTTTTGCACAACTCGACCATGAATCAGACGTCCTGGCTCGATCTCTCTCGCAGCGTGGTGTCGGTCGCGGAGACCGAGTTGCCATCTTTGCCGGCAATTGTATTGAGTATGTCGTCATGCTCTACGGTACTGCAAAAGTAGGAGCCATCTTGGTAGTGTGCAATCCGCAGTATACCGAGCACGAGCTTCTAAGGGCCATCCTCGGCGTTGACGTCAAAATGCTGGTCATTGCGCTGACTCTGGGTGAGCGTTCATTCAAGTCACACATAGAGCTCCTTCGAAAAGAGCTCAATTTGCCCTTGGTACTACTTCCAAAAGTGGGTCAGGCGACAGAGGGCATGCCAGTCTTCTCTGATGTGCTCGAAGAAGGTCGGAGCAGCAGTCTCGATGTCAAAGCCATCCAACTTGACTGCAACGACATTGTCAACATTCAATTCACAAGCGGCACTACATCAGCCCCAAAGCCTGCGTGTCTGACGCACCGAAATATTCTCAATAATGGCCGTTTCATTGGTGACCGGATGAAACTCACAGAGCAGGACATATTGTGTGTGCCTGTACCACTTTTTCACTGCTTCGGCCTTGTCCTGGGCAATCTGGCTGCATTCACACATGCTACTGCAGTCGTGTATCCAACAGAAGTATTCAACGCACGATCCGTTCTCGAATGCGTGCAAAAATACCGTTGCACCGCACTGCATGGTGTGCCAACCATGTTCATCACTGAGCTTGAGCTGCTTGAGAAGGAGTCCTTCGATCTCAAATCTCTTCGAACAGGTATCGCAGCTGGGACCGTGGTCAATGCAGGCATCATGTCTCGTATTCACAAACACTTGCACATCTCCAACTTGACCATCACCTACGGCATGACAGAAACAAGTCCTGGCTCATTCATGTCCTCTGCCGATGATCCAATGGAGAAGCGAACCACGACTGTTGGCACGTGTATGCCTTGGACGACACTCAAGGTTGTCGACGAATCGGGAAAGATTGTTCCAAGGGGCACACCCGGCGAGGTTTACGTCGCTGGCTACCTCTTGCAAAAATGCTACTGGAACGATCCCAAGGCGACGGAGGCGTGCCTGGAGACAGACGAGAATGGCACTGTTTTCATGAAGACGGGTGATATCGGTCTAATGGACAATGAAGGCTACCTCAGCATCCCTGGACGCATCAAGGATACCATCATTCGAGGCGGCGAGAACATCAGTCCATCTGAAGTTGAAGATCAACTTGCGGCGCATCCCAGCATTAGCGACGTCTCAGTGGTGGCTGTTCACAGCGAACGATACGGCGATGTGGTCGGTGCATTCATCAAAGTGCTACCAGGCAAGCCTGATCCAACACTTGAGGACATTCAAAACTTTGCTCGCGAACGCATGGCTCGCTACAAAGTACCGGCACATATCTTTATCATGGGCAAAGAAGGTCTTGCTGATGACTTCCCAAAGACTGGGTCGGGCAAGGTGCGCAAGGTGGAGTTGAGAGATATGGCCAATGATGTGGTAAAGAAGCGTAGCTCTTTGTAGATGATCGTTCACGACAACATGTTTCAGGGGCAGTGAGCCATATAAGGGTTTCAGTAAGTAGATAACAGTAGAATATGAAGGAGATGATAGTGTCATCTAGGATAGGGAACTGTTTCCCAGCAAGGAAAGCCTCTCAAAGGTCAACTGCTCTGGACGTGCTTCCGCTGCTGAATACTTCGGCAATAGTGATATGAAAATTGTCAAACCTACTGAGCGCTTTCTATCCTTACTCCTTCTTGACATCTGCCAATTGAATACCCTCCTCAATCAAGTCACCTTCCTTGACTAGAATTGTCGCGATACCATCCTCTCTCGCGAGGATTCTGACTTCCGTCTTCATTGACTCAATGACGAGCAAGCCTTGGCCTGCTTTGACCGCCTGCCCATTCTTGCATTCGATGCGCACAATCTTGCAAGGCATCGGCGCTGCATAGCCGGAACCAGTCGCGCCCCGCACGCCACTCGCGCGAGAGTCAAGTTCGCCGAAGCCTACCAAGGCAGATCGTCGCTGGAAGCTGCCGAAGCCGTCGAGATGCACATGCGTGACGCCGTTTGTTGTCCTGACTGTAGCCAAGTACAAGGTGGCCTTGTTTTGCAGCGTGATACGGGCAGACACAACGCGTACACTGGGATCGTATTGCATTGGTGCATGATGCAAGTCAGAGACCAGGACATGACAGGTCTGTTCATCATGCCGAGCCTTCATGCTGCCGTAGAAGGCCTGAACAAGTTTAGCGCCCTCGACATTCAATGCCTTGCTGGTGTCGGGCTCAACATCCTGCACGACCCAGGATTGGAGTGAGTAATTGTCTCTCGTGGCAGTGCGACTGCTTGGCTTGCTGATACAGTAACGACCCTTGGTAGGACCGATGATGAGTTCGGGAGGGTTAGTCGTCAAGCGAGCCGCTTCCCTTGGTGCTGGACGAAGCGCTCGAAGCAAGACACTCGACGCAATAGCACCTGTGCGTTCGTCTGCACGTTTGGTCAGCGCGGCCAGATGCTCAGCAATGAACCCAGTCGTGTAGGATGAGTCACGGAATGCAGCTTGCTCCATGCACTTAATCATGAAGGCTTGGTTGGTTTGCAAACCGAGGCAGACTGTCGAGCCGAGCACTTGGCCAGATTTGAGGATGCACTGTCGCCGATCACCTGCCCATACAATGACCTTGCAAATCATGGGGTCGAAATTGATGGTCACCGCATCACCCGTCTGCACACTAGACTCGTATCGAGCAGGGATTTTTGATTCTCGAAACAGCGTGACGAGGCCCTTCTGTGGGAGGAAGTTCTCGTACGGATCCTCGGCGTAAAGCCGCATCTCGATAGCGTGACCTTGGAGTTGCATTTCAGGGATATCTGTGAGCGCTCCTCCTGTGGCAACAAAGATTTGAAGAGCGACAAGGTCGATGCCGTAGACTTCCTCGGTGATGCTGTGCTCTACCTGAATGCGCGTATTGACCTCCAAAAAGTAGGCCTTTTGGTCGAGCACATCGACGATGAACTCGACAGTACCTGCTCCTCTGTAATTTGTGGCCCGGGCGATCTCACGAGCAGCTGTTTGCATGGTGTTCTTCAGTGCATCAGAGACGATAGCAGGTGCTTCCTCAATGACTTTTTGGTGTCGTCTTTGAACAGAGCATTCTCTGTCGCCAAAGATGCGACAGTTACCGTGCGAGTCGCCAAACATCTGCACCTCGACGTGCTTACCTTGGGCGATGTACTTCTCGAGAAGCATATCGTCTGAGCCAAAGGAACGCTTTGCCTCAGATTTGGCCATGGAAAGAGCACTGTCGAAATCGGCGTCAGACTCGACAATGCGCATGCCTTTGCCGCCGCCACCTGCACTGGCCTTAAGGAGCACAGGGTAGCCGATACCAGAGGCCTCCTTACGCAGCATTTCTGGGTCTTGAGACCGAGAGACCATGCCAGGAATGAGTGGAACACGACCACCAGCCCTTTCGCGCAGAAACTGCTTGCATGCAGCTTTGTCACCGAGGATATCGATTGTCTCGCCTTTGGGCCCAATCCAGATGAGCCCAGCTTCCTCGACCATGTTTGCGAATGCAGCATTTTCAGAGAGGTAACCATATCCTGGGTGCACACCATCAGCTTTCATCTCCAAGGCAATCTCGACAAGCTTCCGGGGATTGATGTAAGCGTTGCCGTCCTTCTCCAGATCGCCAATGTAGTAGCTTTCATCCGCTTCTCGCCAGTAGCTGCTCCTGGCATCTTGCTTGGAGTAGATAGCAATAGAAGTGATGCTCAGCAGCTTGCAAGTCCGAACGACGCGCGAAGCAATCTCTGCACGGTTGGCGATGATGATGCGCCCTATGCTAGGGCTCTCGAGAGGCCTGGCCACATACTTCGGCTGCTGTGCTTGCACCATCTATTGTCTTACGAAGGGAAGGCAGTGATCCTTTGACGAGGACGAGGGCCGGGCCTCTTGCAATTGTACTTTCTGCGAGCTGTTGTGTCGCCTGAGTGTGGGGTGTCGCTGCCGAAGGCGCTCCGTGACTCTTGCCGTTCAGATGGAGGAACAGCTCCGAATCAGGACTGGGCGACGCCCATCTGCAGCAAGGAGAATGCCAGAGTAACGACGGCGGTAAACCGATGCAAGCTCTTCAAGGCGATTCCCTGTCTCATGAAACCCTCTTACTGGTCTCCAATGGCGGCGGTAGTGTAGGCCGCTGTGCGCAAGTGTGTCGGGAGTTGCCGACGTGTGGATGTGGCATCTGAATGCTTCCCCACACAGAAAAGGCGACAAGGCAGCACCCTCACTGTCCTTCAGCTTCAATCTCAGCTGCAGGGGGTTACAAGCAGAGGAGGCCTGTGCACTGTGCATCTGCAGATATGAGCGCAGACCAGCTGACCGTATGTCCGAGTACAGTCATCAAAACATCAGAGGAGTATCAGAACAACTTGGCCGCATGGGAAGGTCTGCTCGAGGAATTGCGCGTCAATACAGAGGCAACGCGCCAGCAGGGATCAGAGTCCTACAAAGACCGACATATAGGCCGTGGTATGCTCTTGGCCCGGGACCGTATCAATCTCTTACTAGATGAAGAGGCGCAGTTCTTGGAGCTGCTGCCATTCAAGGGCTTCCAAGAAGACGCAGGACAAGACACGACATGCGCAAACCTGGTGACGGGCATTGGCACCGTCGCAGGCATTCAATGCATGATTGTCGCGCATTTACCTACCATCAATGGCGGTGCCTGGTCAAAGAGCATGATCGCTAAACAGTTTCGCATCATGGAGATTGCAACAGAGAACAGCCTACCCGTCATTGCACTAGTACAATCGGCCGGTGTCTTCTTGCCCAACCAATTTGAGATCTTTCACCCAGGAGGCAAGATCTTCCGTGATCTAGTGACACACTCACTGGCTGGCAATTCATCATGCTCAATCGTGTTTGGCTCCGGCACCGCTGGAGGCGCCTACCAGCCGGGTTTGTCCTCCCACACCATCTTCGTCGACAAGCAAGCTCAAGTCTTCCTCGGCGGACCGCCCCTTGTTGAGATGGCGACTGGCGAGAAAATCACAGCGGAGGCCCTTGGTGGTGCAGAGATGCATTCGAAGGTATCAGGCTTGAGTGACCAACTTGCAGATGATGAGTTTGACGGCATTGCCAAGGCTCGCGAATGGTGTCTGATGCTTCAAACAACCAAAATCAACATGCCTCTCAAGCCTGTTGCGCCCTATCTTCCGCCTCGTCACGACCCGGAGGAGCTTCTGGGCCTGGTCAGCACCAACCTCAAGGTGCCTTTCGATATTGTGCAAGTCTTTGCTCGGATTGTCGATGACTCGCGTATGACGCTCTTCAAACCACTGTATGGTGTCAACTTGCCATGTGCCTTTGCAGAACTTCAGGGACACAAGGTTGGTATTATTGGCAACAACAATGGAGTCATTCATCTGGCAGAGTCGCTCAAGGGCACGCAATTCATCCATCTCTGCAATCAACGTTCTATTCCCATTATCTTCATGCACAATGTTACTGGATTCATGGTCGGTTCAAAGTCTGAATCTTCAGGTCTGATTAAAGCAGGATCTCGCTTCGTTGCCGCCATTGTAGCGTCTCGCGTGCCTCACATCAGTGTTGTCTGTGGCGCAAGCTACGGTGCAGGCAATTACGCCATGTGTGGTCGCTCCTATAATCCACGCTTCTTGTTGTCATGGCCCAATAGTCGCTGCTCGGTGATGGGCTCCTCGCAGCTCGCGGGTGTCTTGTCCTCTATTGCGCGTTCAAGTGCAGCTTCACGCGGCAACAAAATTGACGAGTCGGAGGTACTCAAGCGCGAAGAGGTCTTTAGACAAGGTGTCGAACGCGATTCAAATGTCTACAGAACGTCAGCGAGTGGATTGGACGATGGCATCATTGACCCACGCGACACGCGCGAGGTACTCGGTCTTTGTCTGGATGTGTGCAAACGACCTGGTGTCAAGGGGTGGGAAGGTATGATGGGCGCGAGCCGGATGTAGAGGCGTGCATCGTCTAATTCTATCAGTATGCTGCAGATGCTTAGAATCCATGGTATCCATGACCACCGCCATGTCCGCGTCCATGACCGGCAAAGCCCCCAAAGCCACCGCCACCGCCCTGCTGCTGAGCAAACATGCGGAAGATGTCATTCGGGTCCATGCCGCCCATGCCACCACCCATGCCGCCCATGCCGCCTTGTTCGAGGTCTGCGCCAGAATCATACTGATACTTCTTATCAGCATCCGACAAGATGGCATACGCTTCACCAACATCCTTGAACCGTGCCTCTGCTTCTGGATCATCTGGGTTCTTGTCCGGGTGATTGATGAGGGCTGCTTTGCGGTACGCCTTTTTGATTTCAGAGTCGCTGGCATCCTTTTCAATGCCGAGAATTTTGTAGTAGTTTTTGCGCTTCGACTTGGCCAGCTCGAGCTCTGCAGCACGGAGTTCTCGTTCGAGCGTCTCGTCATTGGGACTTGACTCTGAGGCTTCCTTGAGTATATCAACGGCTTCTTGGTACTTTTCCTGGGCCATGAAGATTTTGGCCCTCGTTACAAGCGGCTTTTGGTAGGCAGGGTCCAAGGCGACTGCTTTGTCGCAATCTTCCAGCGCCGCGTCGTACTTCTTTAAGCGCAATCGACAGGTCGCTCTGTTGCTGTAGAGCTTTGCATTTGTGCCCCTGTTTTCCTCGTCTATAGCTAGAGCCTCTGTGAAGAGCCCCTCTGCTTCCGCCATCTTGCCAAGCTTGAACTTGGCATTACCAGCAGATTTTGCAGCTTCGAGTGCTTTTGCCCGCTTAAAGAGTGTTCGTGCGATTGTCTTGTCTGGGTCGAGACGCAGGGCTTCCTGGAAGTGATTGATGGCCGTTTGGGTATCGCCTTGGATGTACATCATGCGACCCCGCAGCACCAACGCATCGACATCCCTGCGGTCATAACGCAGAATGTCAGAAGCGTATTTACCAGCTTGTTCGATATCGCCCCGCTGAAAGAGCGCTTCGCCCCGCAATCGCTGCCAAAGTCTCGGAATGGTTGCTGAGGGCGCAAGGGATTTTTGCAGGCGGTCAAGCAGATGCAAGCTCATACCCGGATTCTTTTGCTCGATGAATTGTTCTGCTTGGTGAACGAGCTGTAGCTGTGCTTGTGCCTGGGCGATTCTGCTCTGCGTCTTGGGAACACCAGGCGCCAGTGCATCGGCCTCCAAGGAGTCTTGTAGCGCTCTTTGGAAGTCGCCAAGCAGCATGGATGCCGCAGCACGATTTCCTAGTATCGCAGCATTGGGACCTTGATCCAGTGCCTTCGTGTAGGACTGTACGGCGAGTGCATACTTGCCGGCCTTGTAAAATGTGTTGCCCTCTGCCTTGTGCTCTTCCGCAGTCGGCCCACTGACCTCTGCGGGGCCATCCTGCACGATTGGCTCTGTATTTCCATTTGTATGTGTAGCGTCCTCCGGCATGGTCAAATTTGCCTCGACCGCCCGCTGCCCTTCTACTTGCCCCTGCTAGATATCGACAAGGCCTTCTTGGTCGTCGCTGCTTATTCGCCGTCAAATTTTAAAAATCTTGGACAGACAAAAGCCAGTCACGAAGCTGATTTTACATTATGTATAGGTCTTGTACATGAGCTACATTTATATCCAATGACCACTTCTAGTCGGGGGCGCTGTATGGAGTCTTGGCCCATACGGCTCATGGTCACGCATCTTATCCTCAAGCTGCGCGAGGTCGATGCCGTACATCGACTGGCGCTTGCTGACGTGCGTCTTGACGGCGAGCTGTCGGCCAACTGCCAGCCAGTCCTCCACAAGGTCGCCAGTCGCTTGCCGGACAGGCATCGGCTTGGATTCGTACTGTTTGAAGTCCAGCTTGCTTGCACCGGATGAAAAGAAGAGCGAACTAAGGGAATTGCGTTTGTGCGTTTTTGAGGGTGAGCTTGTTCGTGAGCTGATTGAAGGCGTCTTACTAGGAGAGGTATTTCCTCCGTTGATAGAGCTCGTCCGCACAGAAGGAAATCCGAGCGCCCGTTTGACTTCCTTGACTTTGCCACTTTTGATGTGCTCAGAGTAGATGATGAGATCTAGATAGCCTCCTTCCTCAACGCGCTTGAGCTGCTCTGTCTGCCAAGCTTTTGCATTGGGCTCACGCTGCTCAGCCCAAAAGAGACTACCGTCAGACAAGAGACAGACGTAGCCGAGCTTGCATGGCTTCTTGCTGCTGAGCGGCAATACATCAACGGCACCCTCAAAAATGAGCTTTCGACCATTTGGTTGTATTTCGAGGATGGTGCAGAGGGCTTGGAGGTAGATGTGATCCTGCTCTTCGCTTTGTGATTGCTCGAGCTGTCTGCAAAAGAATTCGCTCGTTCGTAGTGTCTTTGCAGTGAGATGCTGATACTCTGCCGAGGCGTTTTCCGCAATCAGGACGCCCTGTAGTCTGCGCAAGAGAAGTTCGTACCGCACCGCGCGCTGCATCGGCGCTAGAAAGCGAGAATAGGCGCCGAGCCCATTGTCGGTCGATTCCCTGAGCTGCTGCGACAAGTGCGGCAGGCTGGAAGTGAAAGTTTTGTATAAAGAAAGAAGAGAGTTGAAGGCAGAGAGAAGATGAGAGAGTAGTTCATATTCACTCCGTGCACCTTCAAACATCTGAAGCAGGCAGGTATGGGCATTCACCATGCCCTCGATGCACCGGAAGGAGCGTTCGAGGTGATCTGGCAGCATGGGATTGCGCAAGTGCTGCTCGAGGTCAAGGGGTCGGGCGATCTTTGGGCGGACGGGTGAGGTTGGTACGCCGCTCACCGTAGATACGAATACTTGTGACCGGCGCTTCGGCGCAACAACTGTCTGCTTGAGTGCTCTGAGCTCGCTGAGGTATGTTGCTTCCGAATCAACAAGCTCCTGCAATATGCGCACGGATTCGGGCACGGGCGCCGTCTTCAGCTCTGCAGCATAGGCTCTGCCGGCTGGATGCGCTAAGGTCGTAGCAGGGTCGCTTGTGCGTCGCTCTTTGCGGAGAGTCGAGCCGAGTGCTTGCGACTCCTTGAGGAGCTCGTCAATCTGTTTTGCCGAGAGCTGTGTCGAGCCTGGCCTGCGCCGTGCGGGCGATCGGTGTATTGCGCTTGTCATTGCATCGCCCGAGGGAGTGGTTGTGCGTTGCTGCTACAAGACAAGACGGTGTATATGTGATGCGAGGATGGACCGGGGATAGCTCTAGAATGCGGGCCTGCGTGGTCTTTGAACGAGGGTTCGTGCAGGGATGGATGGAAGTGTGTGGTGGTTGTGTTTGGTGGGTTGGGTTACTTGTGTGGTCTTAACCGGGAGAGGTGAGACAAGAGCGCACACGATTATTTCGACTGACTTGCCATAGATCATGCTGCTGAGAGTATATACAGCATGATACAGGCCAGCCACAGACAGCATCAGCATCAGCATGACTATGGCACCTAATCACCCACACAGTCACTAGTACTCACTACCCGTGACCAGCCTCTGCTGCACCATCTCGACACGGCGGGCCCGGACACCGCCCACGTGGCTGCCCGCGTGTTTGACTTCATATCAGACGCGTATTGCTACAGTGTATACTCTATACTCTATACGAAATAGGACCTGCTATAGTACTTGCCTGCTGCTTCACATCCTAGTCGCCTCGCACAAACTCGAGCTTCAGCTAGCTCAACACAATGAAGCTCAGACTACAGTTCAAGCCTGCGGAAGGCCCACCGTCCAGGCAGGTCGTCGTTGCAGAGGACACTGCTTCCTTGGCAGATCTTCGTCAACTCGCTGCAACCACGTTTGACTTGGCCGGCTCTGTCTTCACGCTCAAAGAAGGCTTTCCGCCAAAATTGCTGGAAGGTTCCCTCGACCAAAGTCTCTCATCGCTCGGTATCCGGTCAGGCACTTCGCTACTCATAGACTTGATCAAGTCTGACAAACCTGAGACACAAGCCTTTGCAAGCAGTAGTTTTGCCCAAAAGGCAACATCGCCAGCACCAGCTGCCGTAGAATCGATCAAGAAGCCGCAAAACGACGATGACGCTCCCGAAGTGGCCGTCCCGGGTCGTGGCTCACTTGTACTTCGTGTGCAGCCAGATGACAACTCATGTCTTTTCCGTGCGCTAGGCTACCTGTGTATGCGTTCCATCGATGCAATGGAAGAGATGCGTGCCATCATTGCACAAACGATCCAAGATGACCCCGATACGTACTCTGACGCTGTCCTTGGCATGAGCCGGAATGCCTACTGCGCCAAGATGAACAGAGCAGACACTTGGGGTGGAGAAATCGAGATTCAGATCCTTTCCCAGTACTTTGGAGTGCAGGTGGCCAATATCGACTGCAAGACTGGCAAAGTTTATCGCTACGGCGAGGATTTCGAGCAGCTCATCTTCATCGTCTACTCGGGTATTCATTACGACGCGCTTGCCTTGTCACCTTTTGCCAATGCACCGCCAGACATGGATCAAACACAATTCTCAAAGGCTGAGCAGCCAGTGATTGAGAAGGCAGCTCAGTCCTTGGTGGATGAACTGAGGAGACGGCATTACTTTACCGACACTGCTGACTTTGCGTTACGGTGTAACCAATGTAGTAAGGCCTTGAAGGGCGAGAAGGAAGCGCAAGCCCATGCAAAGCAAACTGGGCACACACAATTTGGGGAATATAATTAATACGATTTTGTCGATGCTCAAGCTCGTCTCGATCTGCTGGACGTAGACGTTCTTATTTTTGGATGCTCAATGTAGTATAGATTCGATCAGCATCAGGCTCTTCGCAGTCAGATTGAGGTGTCTCGAATGGACCAATGAGTGTGAAACGTCGAATTTGCAAGCCCCTGAAATTCATCCATCTGAAAGTCCTTGTCTTCCTGGTCAAAGTGCTGGCTCACCACAACTAGGGTCTGCCAAGACGGCGTCCTCCTCCTTGAGGGACTTTCTTTCGACTGCAATAGCACATAGAAAAGTCAAGACACTCAGCACTATGGCCGTTGCAAACAAAACATGCATGCACCCAACATAAACACCAAGAACTACATTTCGCTCATGCTTCTTGAGTGTCCAGATAACATTGGCATCCCGCTTGATCATTTCCGTCAACTTTCGTCCCACAACCGGCGTCAAGCGAGAACCAAGCAATGTGTTGAGAATATTGCTCGATGCTGAAATACCAACAATTGAACCAACAGCTCGGAATAAATAGCTCATGCCCGTTGCAGATGCCATTTCCTCAGAGCGTGTATTTGTGAGCAGAGCAATCAGTGTTGTAGTGAGAAACCCTCCGTACCCAATTCCACATGGAATCAAGACTGTATATTGTGCAAACAGACTGCTGTGCGTATCGAGTGAATAGACATACGTCGTGCCTAGCATCAAGAGCCCCGAGCAAATCAGCATGAATCGATAGTAGCTGCCATGATATGTCATCAAGAAGCCAATGGCCAACGATCCACTGCTTCCGGCTACTGCGCCTGGAATCAACCGCTGTCCAGCACCAGATGCAGACAAATGCATGGTAGCCCGGTAAAAGAGTGGCAGCTGGAACAGCAAGATGAAGTAGCCTGTTGTCGAAAAGAAATTGCAAATCGAGGTGAGTATCGGTGTGCGAGCATGCATGAGTCGGACAGCCAGGATGGGATCTGAAGCAACATTCTTTTCCACCAAAATGAATGCAATGGCAAAGATGACGAAGCCTGCCATGAGTGACAAAGGGATAGGTGAACGCCATGCCACCATGTTGCCTCCAATGTTGAGACCAATGATCAGACAGCTGATGGCAGAAACAAGCATTGCGGAGCCAATGAAGTCTATTCGCCGCACACGCGCTTGCCACGTAGCAGTCGTATCGTGCATAGGGTCCTTGACGACGATGAGGCGCCAAATCATAAACATTGAAAGGACAATGATGGGCAGCTGTATGCCAAAAGCCCATCGCCAGCCAGCAGCACTGTCTGCAATGAGGCCACCGATTGGCGCACCCAGAGCACTGCCAGAGCCAAAGATGATGTTCATCAGACCTTGAAATATGCCTCGTCGGCGTACTGGGACAAGATCTGAGAGGATGATGACACTCACGACGTTGAGACCGCCGCCGCCAATGCCAGCAACGAGGCGTGACAAGACGAGAGACCCCAAGTTCCTACTTAGCGCACATCCAAGAGTTCCTATACCAAAGACGGCATTGGCAAATAATAGACACTGTTTGCGACCAAAGATGTCACTCAAGCGTCCGTAGAGCGGTTGAAAAGCAGTGTTTGACAGATGATACGCAACGGCGACATACGCCATTTGATTCAAGCTGTTGAACTCGGCTCCAATAGTTGGCCAAATTGCAGCAACAATCGTCAAATCAAAGGCAGCGAGGAAGGTACCACACGAGATGGCAGCGATGGTGAGCGCGAGACGTCGCGACGAAATGCCTCTAGCTGTAGCTGACTCTTCTGTTCGAGGAGAGCCATTGAGAAGAGGAGTAGTCTCTGTCTCTGCCGAAGGTATTTGTCCACGCGAGCGCTGCGAACTGACATCTGCAGGGCTCATCAGACGAGCCTATAGATATTCCCCTCTGGGCACATAGAAGGTGCAGCTGCTTCGATACTCCAGTACTTGAGGAAGTAGAGCTGACTCAGCTTGTCGAGCAATAGATCTAGTTCTAGATCTCGGCTATTCCTGACAAAGCAGTCACATCTAGCCTCAATCAGTATTGAGCGAGTATTCAGCAGGGAGAAGCCGGAGGACAAACAGAGAGGTCGTCAGCTGGCCGTCTGCCTCCCGCAAGCAGCAGACTGAGACTGGGTAAGATCCAGAGGGAGGCTGAGTCGTTGGGAATCTTGCGACGATCAAAGCGCGCCCACGGATGAGGCATTTACGACCGCAACAGCCAGACATGCGACCTGGACGAGGACAAAGCTGCGGCCTTTTCTTGAGCGAGCAGAACTACAAGACAGCAAGGGCCGGTCCTTCTTGACTATGTTTGCGGACGCGAGAGACGAGGACTTCCAGTAAGAAGCCTTTCACAAACACCGGGCACCCTCCCTCGGCCTTCCCTTTCTATTCTACTTCTGGTCCGGGCACTTTCGAAATATGGGCTCCAATCATGATCCACTCAAGTCGGCCGTGTTGCTCAAGTACAACAAGCAAACGACGTTTCAGTATGGTGTCTTTTTGGCTGCTGTGATGTTCTTCTTCATTGGCACGCACTGGATCGACATTCTTGTTCGGCCGCGACAATCAAAGCTCTCTGGCCCTATTCGTCTGATTCGTCGGATCACGCTTCGGCAGCTTCGGGTGTTTGGTTTTACTTTGCCTTCCAACGGTCACTTGGCTGTGTCTCTCCTCTTTATTGCTGCACAGTTCTTCTTTTGTTTATGGAACTGCTCCCTTGCAACGCCATACAAGGAGTTATACAAACGTGTTGGCTGGATCTCCATGGCCAACATGCCACTGTTGTTTCTGCTCTCCATTAAGAGCAACCCACTTGGCAAGCTTGTTGGCCTGAGCCATGACAAGCTCAACATCCATCACCGCGTTGTCGGGCTCGTCACCATCATCGAAGCCTGGGTTCACACGTGGATCTCTATCAAGTCCATGTACGCTCAAAATTATGTCTACTACCTCGGCAACAATGACCAGAGCATGGGTTGGATTAGTATGGCGTTTTGGACAATCATTCTGGTAAGCAGCCTGAAGCAATTCCGGGAACGACACTATGAATGGTTCTACATGCTGCACGTTACTAGCATGATCCTGTCTATTGCCTTCTTGTACTTGCACAACTACCGTTGCGAGGGCTTTTCGATCGCAGTCATTGTCCTCTGGGTAGCTGATCGTCTCATTCGATTCGTTCGCACAGTCTGGTACAATCGCTCGTTCAGGCAGCACAAGGCCAGAGTGCATTGCTCTGCGGACGGCAGCATCAAGCTTTCCCTCTTGCGTCCAGGTTTCAAGTGGGAACCAGGATCGCACGTCTTCTTGTCGCTACCTGAAGTCAGGCAATTGCAATCCCATCCGTTCACCATCAGCAATCTTTATGTGGATAGCGATACGCCGATGATCTTTGCTTTCGACGCATACAACTCCTTCACGCGGGATGTTGCCGGTGCTTCGCTATATGGAAAGCGCGACTTGATTGCCACCGTTGAGGGACCGTATGGCCACATTGACAAGCTGTCTGTCTTTGACCGCGTCTTATTTTGTACCGGTGGCTCTGGCATTTCCTACACGCTGCCGCTTGCTATGAGTCTGGTTCAGAGCGAACTTGGCAGTGAAAGTCTGGATCGGTCAAAAGTGAGCTTCCTGTGGTCTTCTGCGAAACCTGCTCGATTCCAGCAATTCGATGCTGAGCTTGCTATTTTGGAGCAAGCCTGCAAGGTTGAGCTCTACAACACGGGCTGCAAGTGCTCAACGCCGGCTGGTAGTGCTCCTATGAACAAGGCCTGCTGCTGTGTCCAGCGTAAAATCTCCTCAACAAAAGGCGAGATCTTTGAAGTGACGCAGGATGAAAAGATGCCGGTGATGTCGGAATCGTCTTCTAGCAGCTCTATCGATGAGCGTCGACCGTGGCTGGCAGACAAAGTCATCCGGTGTCGCCCGGATCTGCATGCGATTGTGGGATCCTTTGTAGCGGATGCCTCGCCTGGTGACAGATTGGCTGTGGTGGGGTGCGGGCCTGAAGATATGGCAGCTGCGTTGCGGGCTGCAGTGAGTGTGCACATTTCTGTGGGCGGGCCTGCCCTGGACTATTATGAGGAGCGATTTGCATGAGGCTGTACCCGTTCTCTGGTGTTCCTGTACGCTTATATTGGCATCTATATCTACTGCATGATCAGTGATAAGCCCCATCATGTGCTTGTCCTTGGTTCTTTCCCTGCTGCACAATGACGCTGCCTCGTATTTTTATTTTGCTTGGCCCTGAATGTCATAAAACAACAAAGCACAAGAAAGGACAAATACCCTCCCCCTGGCAGATACTCCTGAGGTCCCTGTCCCTGTGTTGCGCTGCTGGCAACTTCAGACTTCAAGAGGGAAAAGGGAGAAAAGCCTTTCATCGCAGAAACAGGAAACCACGTAGCTTGTAGCTGACCTCTCAACCGTTGCTCACCATGGACAACGCAGCAACACAGCCAGGCACATCCCTCCAGCAATTCCTCACCTCCCTCGTCGTCTCTTTCAGTATCTTTGTCGGTACGACGCTGGTATTTGTGCTCCTCCGAAAGCGCATCTTGCGCATCTATGAGCCAAAGTCGCATGTTGCCCACATACCAGCCAGGCGACAGACGAGGCCGCTGCCAGGCGGGCCCTTCAGCTGGGTCAGTCCCCTTGCGATGGAGACAGATTTGGCGCTTCTTGCTAAGGCTGGGCTTGATGGCTACTTCTTCCTGCGCTACCTCAAGTTCATGGTTGTGATCACGCTGGGTGGATGTGTCATGTTGTGGCCTATCCTGCTGCCCGTGTATGGAACAGGCAAGGCAGGCTCCAAAGGCATGGACAAAGTGTCCATTTCCAACATTGCCGGCGATGAGGGACGCTACTATGCGCCCGTACTACTCTCTTGGTTCTTTGTCGCTTTCGTTTGTTTTGGCATCTTTCGTGAACACAGGCACTACCTGCAAGTGCGTCAAGAATACCTTACTTCACCAGGACATGCAGAGTCGATGCAGGCATGTACTGTGCTAGTAACACAGATACCAGCCGCATTCAGGTCCAAGACGGCCTTGTCTTCCGCCTTTAGTGGCTACCCCGGCGGCATTCGTCACATCACCATGAACAGAAATCTTGATAAGCTCGAGGAGCTGGTGGAAGAGCGAAGCAAAGCAGCCCTGAAGCTTGAAGCTGCTCAGATCAAGCTCATCAAGACAGCCATCAAGAAACAAGGCATGGACAACAAACATGACGGCAACGAGGCAGGCGAAGGCGCAGCTGGACAACATGTTCCAGTCGGTAAGCGACCTTCCCACAAACTCGGCTTCTTGGGCGTCCTTGGCAAGAAAGTAGACACAATTGACTGGTGCGAAAGTGAACTACAAAGGTTAAACAACGAGATTGAACACGGCAAAGCGAACATGGACGAGCAGCCCATGATGAACAGCGCCTTCTTGACTTTCCACAACCAGACGGCCGCTCAGATGGCATTACAAACCATAACTCACCGCGATCCTTACGCTATGCATCCACGGTACACCGAAATCGCTCCGCACGATGTCGTTTGGAACAATATGAGTCTGACTTGGCAGCAGCGGCTCGTCAAGTCCTCAATCGTTACAGCGTTTATTGCTGCTCTCATCTTGCTCTGGTCTGTACCTGTCGCGTTTGTTGGAACCCTCTCCAATATTGACTACCTCACAGATAAGGTTCCCTTCCTTCGCTTCATCAACAACTGTCCAGAGGTACTCAAGGGTCTCATCACAGCATACCTGCCAATTGTCCTCCTGGCTGTGCTGATGGCCTTATTGCCAGTAATCATGCGATTCTGTGCCAAGACTGCTGGCGTTCCAACACGGTCTCTCATCGAGTTTTCCGTCGCCCAGTACTACTTTGTGTTCCTTGTCGTCCAGTCATTCTTGGTTGTTACTGTTGTCAGTGCCAGTGTTGCTTCCGTCACGGCCATCATCGACAACCCCTCTTCAGCGCCATCCCTGCTCGCTGAGTCGCTGCCAAAGGCATCCAACTTTTACATCGCCTATATTTTACTGCAAGGACTGGCCATCAGTGCGGGTGAGTTGGCACAAATCGTGTCCCTTGCGCTCTACTTTATTCTAGGCAAGCTGCTGGACAAGACGCCCCGCAAACAGTTCAATCGCTACACAACCTTGCGTAACGTCGGCTTCGGTACGCTCTTTCCGGTCTACACCTTTCTCGCCTTCCTCTCTCTGGTCTTCTCAGTGATTGCGCCAATTTTACTTTTCTTTGCAGCCCTCGCTTTTGGTCTATTCTACTTGGTCTACAAGTATCAATTTCTTTTTGTCTACCAGCTCGATGTCTCAACCATGGGCAGGCTTTACCCTCGCGCATTGCAACAAACGCTTGTCGGTCTTTACTTTATGGAAGTCTGCATGATTGGTTTGACGGCAGTTGGCAAGTCCTATGGAGCCATTGCCTTGTCCATCATTATCCTTGTCGCTACGGCAATCTTCCACATTACCCTCAACAATGCATTCGGGCCATTGCTCGATGCTGTCCCTACCATGCTCATTGGCTCACATACAAAGGAAAAAGGAGCAGCGATGGAAGGTGTCGAAGGAACGTTGACAGCCTCCAACACAAACCATTCTGAGGAAAAGACAGGCGATCGGGCATCCCTTACCGGTCACCGTTCTGAGAATGTGTTTGATGAAAAGGCTTACCAGCATCCCGCTTTGCAAGCACGACAACCCGGCATATGGCTGCCTCGTGATGGACTTGGTGTCTCAGCTGACTTGACACGAAAGACACGCGAGGGTGCGGGAATTGAATCTTCTGATGCCGGTGCTTCGATCGACAACAAGGGCCGTGTCACTTGGGATGGCAAGACAAACCCACCAGACTACGACGCCTCGCAGCGGGACTACGAGCTCTAAATTCATAACTGCCTAGTCTTCCAGCTTTCATTCTTCTTGATAGAGTCTACTCGTATACTCAATTCCCCTTCACCGTTTTAATGATCCGCACACGACACTGAACTCTACTGTGCCACGCTCAAGACCACCTTTCGCGACTATAGCGTCAAGATCCAAGCTTCGCAGAGTCCTAAGAATCCATAAATTCGATCGTGTTGCTTCGCGAACGACAATGGAAAGCTTGTGAGCCAGCTCGCGCCAAAAGTATCGCGCGAGGTTGGCACTGTGATCAAAGGACTGTTCCAGCAACTGGTGTCTGCTCGCCGCTGGCAAAGCTGCCTCTAGCTGCGAAATCTGACCGGCTGATTCTAGCAAACTAGCAAAGAGCGTTTCCAATCCAGTACCAAATTGTTCGACTGCCTTGACATTGTCTGTCGTTTGCAGACGCCGTATGGATGGCGAAACCTGAAAAGCGATCTTTGCTTCCTGAGCAGACTGATCAAGCTTCTCTTTGATGTTGTTTTGGACGAGCTGGAAGAGCTCAGCTTGGTCGAGTAACGCCAGGCTACTCAGCGACATGGAGAGATACTTGAAATTTCCAACATTGGCTGATAGCTCACGAATCGTTTGAGCGGTCTTATCCTTCAGTCTTGACTGTAGTGCCTTGACAAGATCAAGCTCTGCTAGTGCTGGTGTCGCCTTGGCAAGCATACGTAACTCGAGAAGCGCACTTGAGCGGGAGAACGCTTCTTTACAGCCATCAACGACTTGCATCTGCTCGAGGTAGCCAGTGAGCTTCTTGAGCAGGGCCATGGTAGCCATCATACCGGCCAACGAATCGTACAGTGGTTCGGCAGCTTCATATGGCTCTACTACTTTCTGCTCGAGCTTGCCATAGCTGGTCTCCAGCTTGTGGAGGTCGGCTTCCAGCTTGGCAACATCCTCACTTGTGGCCGCAGCCTTTTCCGTCCTTTCAAGAAGCGCTTCCCAGTGGACCTCTACCTCTTCCCGCTGAGCACGTTCTACCTCTTGTAGGTCAAATTTGAGCTTGTTTTCAGCAGAGGTGAAGTCAAGCTGTGTCTCATCGCTGTCGTTTGTAGCCAGTATAAGCTTGTTGGCATAAGCGTACGGATCAAAGTCATCAGCAGCAATTGCATCGTAGTCTACATAGCTCGGGCCGCTCATGGCATGTCTCTAGCCAGGTGTTCAAGCTGCTGCTGTCTTTTGAGATTGTCGCTTCGTTGTCTTCTGTTGACAAAACACCACAACCACGCACAGCTTATCGACTGTAGCTTTGGCAAGAACAGCATTGGCATCAATAAAGTATGGAGCATCGGCCCGTACAGCTCGGCGCAGCAGAGATATGGGATACTTCCAAGTGCATGCGCATTCTACGACCACTCAAACTCAAAATCATGGCCTTGCAGCGGACCTTGACTAGCTCGCGATCAGTCATTGACGGCATGACCAGCTGGAAGGACCTCTCCTCGACGACATTCCGGCCGCCCAGTCATAGTAATACGTCGGATGACTTCAGCGACGCAACGTATGGTAGGCCAAAGGCGCGTATGATCAAGTACGGTTCAAGGAAGACTGCGATTCGGAAGGCTGTTGTTGATAGCGTCTCAACACCAGAAGACTTGATTCATGGCTTACGTGCAAGCATGCCGCCTCATCTATCTGCAGCGTATGTTGGCGTGTTTGAAGCGTACAAGGGCATTCTTGAACGTTCGAATCAGGTGGTTGCTAGGCCAAGTCTCGCAAGTCGCGCGGCATCAGCAGTCGGCAAGTGTATCGTCCTGACTTCCGAGGATGTCACAGGTACGCCTGTTGATGCCGATGAGTGGTATGAAGCGACACCAGCGCACCTCAGAACAGCTACCATGATTGGTCAAGCATGTCAGACAATCGTCAGCCATTCCGAGATGCTTGCCCCCATCATGCCTGCCTTGGCACTTTGTACAGCCCCACATCCTCTTGCGTGTGAGATACTCGAAGGCTTACTGTCAACAATATCATTCACGGGTTGCAGAAAGGTCGGGATGCTCGCTTTGCAACGTCTGGCGTGTCAACTGGGCTATCCGCAGCTCCTGCAACGTCATTATGCGCAGCGTTTCTGTCTATCCTACTTCAACAGTATCAACATACCGCTGCTGACATTGCCGCATCTCGATGAGCCTCTCGACCAAGACACATTTGCATTGTACAAAAAGATGGCACAAGCTGGCTTTGATGGTTGCCGGCGCACCAAAGACGATGAAGCAAGAGAGGCTATTACTTCCACGCTTGAGGAAATGGCAACACGCACTATCCAGCATGGATCTGAGACTGTTCTCACGTACATGGCAGACTTGTACTTGAGCAGACCACAGCGGTCAGGCGAGTTTGACGAATTCCAGGTCCTTGGTATGGCACACGAGGTAGCGCTTCTCCAGCATCAAAGCAACTCACAGACGCAGCTAGTCTCTCTCCAGACGAGCTTCAGGCGTCTTTCACACTGCTCAAACAAGACACAGCACATTGCTTCAATGGTCAGTCTTTTCAGCCAGGACCAGGTTGTCACGCTTGCAGAGCTGTTAGTTGGCCGTGTTGATCAGCTCGCAGTGCTCCTTGCGTATGAAGCAGCAAACCAACATCAGGGCGACTTTGTGGACTGGGCCATTGAGGTAGAGCGAAGCGTCATGGAAGCGAAAACTGACAGCAATGCCGGACGCTGGCGATATGAGCCATTGCTAGATTCGTGGGTCGCAAGCACACCGGGAGTTAAGAAGATCAAAGGCATTCAGCAAAGCATGCAGAGCGAACTTGATGTGGATGAAAGTACGGATGAAACAGACTACGAGGCCGACACCTCTCAGCACAACTTTGTGATTTGGGACGCCAATGCAGACGAAAAGGATCTCATTTCGCCCTTTCAAGCGGCCATCAAACCACTCGACTTGCAGGATCTGTCTGCTCGTCGCCTTCAAGACCAGCAAGCGTCCGCAAAGGTGCTCAAGCGGTACAAGCAGCTTTCTTACGAATCTTGCGGGATGTCTCCGCTGGTGAAGCGTGCTCAGCAAGGCATGAAACGCGTCTTGGACGAAAGCGACTTGATGTCTTCGCCTATTCAAGCGACTCGCAAGCGATCACGCATGCATATTGTCGAATCCCTGCCTGTAGCAGACGACTCTGCCGATACGATGCCACGGTCGACGCAACACCGGTTGAGGCAGACTCGCAGTCGGCCGGACGTTCTAGTGCCTCTTTGTGACTCGCCACCAAAGGCGCGCGAGATGCGTGCGCCAATGCGAGAGCTCAAGAACCTCAAGAGCAGCTTTTTGTCCTTGAGACGCAAAAAGAACGCTGAGGAGCCAAGGCGACTTGCAACTGTGACCAAGACGCCTCTGAGACAAGCGACTAGGTATGAGCTGAGCAGCAGTGACGAGGAAGAAGAGGTCGTTTGCCCTCTTTCTGAAAGCGATGAGCTCTCACTCTTGTAAATTACATCATTTGTCTATCTAAGAGGTTCGATCGTGCCCCTGAAACCTTGACCACAAACCACTCACGCAAATGCTTCGTCAACTGTTAGCTGTGCAGTTGCATGCTGTTCTGTCTATCTTTTCTTCAGCATCCCTCTTCTTGCTCCTATCTCCGCTGCTAGAGCGGCACCGTATAAGCTGTACGATCCATTTCGAGGCTAACAAGGCAGTCGCCACGATCGCGAGGCCGCCTGAAGCAATTCCATGGTATGCACCGGTTCTCGTCAGGCTCATTGAAGTCGTTTGGCACTCGCAACTGTCTGATGAAGGTACACAAATCTGATTCGCAAGAGCAACTGACAACAAGGCGATGTCATCCGATTAGCAATTCTTGGCAGAGCAGGTTGGGCAGTACTGCTATGCACATGCTACAAGATACCATTCTGGGTCACGACCGTGTGCATCATGTGTGATGTCTTTTCCCTCTACGTGCCACATCGACTGCTTTATGGTGCTCATTACAAGCGCGACTCGATGAATCCTTGGCGAATTGAGCATTTTGCGCAAACCTGCGCAGGGAGTTGTGCTCTAGCAACCACGTTTTACATCGCGTGGGGCTATTATCTTTCGTCCTTCATCATCATGCACTTTGACGACATCAAGTCAGTGCTGCAGCCTTGGCCAATTTTACTCGCAGTAGCGTTCCTGCCCATCTCTTTGCTCGTGCGAGCACACCTGCGCACGGACGAGATTTTAGCGCGTACGGCCGAGATCATCTGGGCAAGTCTGCTTTGTTCCGGCGCAAGTATTGCCATGACATGCCCGGCAAGCGATATCTGGGGCGTTCTTGGGTATGTGTGCACATGGAACGTCTGCCTGTACGCGTCCTGTTCTGTCATTGCATATTTGAAAGCGTAAGGCCACTTTGATCAGCTGATGGAGTAGTCTTCGCCAGCATCAGGACCTTTCCATGGACTTGTTTGCATGCCTCCATTGCGCAGTTCCCAGATGTCCTCGCTGTTTGGGCCTGAGCGGACACGCTTGAGCAAATCAATCTGACGACGGCGCAACATAGCTTGCTCCCCTTCCTCATCCGTCATCCGCGTGGAGATGCACCACTTGAGATCACGCCAACGCTCACTACAATCCTTTTGCTCGCCGTAGCGATACCAGTTTCTTAGCTGCGATTTTGGTGTGTAGCACATGAAGAATTCGTCAAAGTAGTATTGTAAAGAGCAAGGCTCAGCATCAGGTAATGTATTGCCTGATGCAGCTGATCTTGGTGTAGAGGCCGATGCATCTGTGCTGGCTGATGCTGGTGCAGCTCCTCCTGTAGCTTTTGTCCCTGGAGATGCACTTGCGTCTTCAAAAAGCTTCTTGACTTGCTCTTCAGTCAAATCGTCATTGCCGGATGGCAGCGAGAGGCCTGATCCGCGGAAGGGCCACATATCCGAGCTGTGTGTGTCTTGTCTTTGTGGGCGTCTTTTGATGTCGCAGATTTTCGCAAATGGACGACACACCACACACAGACCCAACTGATCTAGCGCCATGCCGGTTGTCACGCTAGACAAGGCCGATCTCTATGATCGCTTAGGCAAGCAGTACTCAAAGGAAGAATTTGACCAGCTATGCTTCGAGTTTGGCATCGAACTGGAGGAAGACGTAAGATCTAATCAGGATTGATGTCCCTGCTAACAGATGCAGTCAGAGGACGAGCCGCCTGTACTCGTTGATGGCGTTCCAGAGCGGGCAACACTCAAGATTGATATTCCGGCCAATAGATATGACTTGCTCTGCTTGGAAGGCATTGCCCTTGCGCTAAACATCTTTCTTGAGCGCGAAAAGGTACCCCAGTACAAGCTTGTGGATCCTCCATCCGGCAAGCATGTCCTGACGATACATCCAGACACAGAGTCACTTCGTCCTTATGCGGCAGCGGCAGTATTGCGTGGTGTCAAGCTTGACAAGCGGCGGTACGAAAGCTTCATTGCGCTCCAGGACAAGCTACATGCCAACTTGTGCCGTGGTAGGAGTCTTGTTGCCATTGGAACGCATGATTTGTCAACCATTCAAGGCCCATTCACATATGAAGCGCCCAAGCCAGAGGATATCCATTTTGTCCCACTCAACCAATCTGAGGAGATGGACGGCAACCGTTTGATGGAGTTCTACAGCGGACATCGAGTCTTGTCCAAGTTTTTGCCACTTATTCGTGACAGCCCAGTATATCCAGTCATCTATGATGCCAACCGGACTGTATGCTCCCTGCCGCCCATAATCAACAGCAATCACTCCAAGATCACCCTCGACGCGCGCGACATCTTCATTGAATGCACGGCAACAGACAAGACAAAACTTGAAGTTGTGTTGAATATTGTGGTAGCCATGTTTTCGCAATACGCAGAACAGCCATTCACTGTTGAGCCAGTAGAAATTCGATCCGAACACAACGGCTGTTCCCGCATTACGCCTTCTATCGCAGCTCGCAAGCACATGGCAGAAGTTTCATACATCAACTCATGCACTGGTCTGAGCCAGACGCCTGAAACCATCTGCAAGCAGCTGTCGCGCATGTCTATGGAAGCTGTCGTTTCCGGCGATGATACAGTGGAAGTCTCCGTGCCTTGCACGCGTGCCGATATTTTGCACCAGTGCGACATCATGGAAGATGTCGCAATTGCTTATGGCTACAACAACCTCAAAAAGACGTTCCCCAACGTAGCAACAGTTGGGCAACCGCTGCCTTTAGGCAAGCTCACTGATCTCATTCGCAGGGAAGTGGCCATGGCCGGCTTCACCGAATGCATGCCGCTCATTCTCTGCTCGCGCGAGGAAAACTTTAGCTTCCTACGCAAAACAGATGACTCCATGGCAGTGACACTGGCAAATCCCAAGACGATCGAGTACCAAATTTGCCGGACATCGCTGCTGCCAGGCTGTCTCAAAACTATTCGAGAGAATAGGAAGCATGCACTCCCAATCAAAGTGTTTGAGGTGAGCGACGTTGTCTTCAAGAATGAGGCACTCGAGAGACGAGCCAACAACGAGCGACACTTTTGTGCTGTGATGGCCGGTCATGTCTCGAGCTTCGAAGTTATTCATGGTTTGTTGGATCGCGTCATGAAGATGTTGTCCATCAAACTCATCGACAAGGACACCGAGGAGGCCGGCTATTACATCTCGGAGGGCGACGATGCAACATTCTTCCCAGGCCGCAATGCCACTGTTCATGTCCGTCTTGAACGCGGTGTAGCTGTACAACAGCTGGGTGTCTTTGGTGTTCTTCATCCTGAAGTCATGCAAAACTACGACTTGCCCTTCAGTGCTTCTGCACTCGAACTCAACGTTGAAGCGTTACTCTAGATTGGTATTAGATTATCTATCTCTACTGTGCCTTTGCTCTCGTCTTTTTGGCCAAGTCTTGCTGCCGCTTGAAGACCGCTTCTGCGGAAATGCCACCAAACACAAGTGCTACGCCCACCATTTGCCCCTTTGTGAGCGCATGACCGAACCAGAGAACTGATAGCAGCATAGTAAACATCTTGCGCGTCAGTGTGACAGTGACCAATGCCAAGCTACCAAAGTGCTGCAATGTGTAAAAGATGGCCAGCTGGCCAGTGGCACCACAAAGTGCAAAGAGTGCAATGTCCTGAACAATAGCCGGGTGCTGCCTCATGAACGACAATGAAGATGCCAGCTCTGTGTTACCAAGGGGTGAGAGCAAGTAGCCAGAAACAAGCACCGAAGAGAGCAAGTTGAGACCCACCATCATACTCGGTCCAGACAACTTGAACTTTTTGAACATGGCGTCTTGGGTCGAATTGGTCAGGCCATCGAGTAGCAAATTGATGCTCAACAGCAATAAGCCGTACAAAGACTGCTCAGCTTGGGCACCTCCCTTCTTACTCTTGTTGGACGCTGGTGCAAACAGGGTGAACAGGGCAACGCCGATGGTCACGAGCAAGACAACTGCATACTTGTGTGCTGGGAATTTTTGGCCGTACACAATGACACCAAGAGCCATGACTGGCAGTAGCTTGCAGGACTTGCCTAGAATCTGCGTGGGATAGTCGATATATCTGAGGGACGCATAGCCGAATGGTGATGCGAGCGAAGAGGTGATACTGATGGCAGCAAAGTGCCAAAAAGCAGAGACAGATGGGTACAATGTCTTGATGAGACTGCTACGAGCAGTCTTCTGAGTCAATAGCAGGTACAGTGATCCGGTCAGCGTGGCTGCAAGCGATTGAGCCGTGTTGAGCACAAAAGCAGCACGGAAGATCTGCTTGTCACTTCCATATGGAGTGGTAGCTATCCGCTCTTGCAAGATGGCCCATGACAGATAGGCAGTGTAGATGGCAGCAACGCAGAAGAGCAGCCGCAAAGTCTCCTTCGACGACGCAGACATGATTCTATTAGCTGATGCAAGTTGTGTATTTTTGTTGACGTGGCGCGTTTCAGCTGGACGCGTTGAATTCGCCACGCAAACCAAGGCCAGTGCCACGCATACGCCCCTAGGGAGACACCAACACTAGAGAATCGAGCTTTCACATCGCTTTCGATCAGATACAACATAAATTTACACAGCTGAAAGGTCGAGCTTCCGTTTCGCTTTCATGATGAACGATCAAGAGCGTGCACTAGATGCCATGGTCAATGCTGACGCTGAGCCCCTCAACGTTGACGCTAGTTATGCCTACCAAACCTGCTGCATTAGCACTCATGGCCCAAACCGCATACTGATATTGAACGCTCCAGGTGTTTTGCGCAATATGCTCGTCTCTGCTGTTAAGACCTCGTATCGCAAGGGCATTTCAAAAGAAGTGGGCCAGCAAGAAGTGATCCTTCATGGTCGTCCATTCTTTCCTTTTGGCCAAGACTTGCAGGACGGTGTGCGTATCACCTACGCACTCATTCGCTGCATGATTCAGTGCGGATGGGACATCACTACAGATATCAATTTGAGTTGGCGAACCTTTGACGTTGCCACACTCTACTTCCACAAGTCTGAATCTTCAGACTCCAAATCTCGACAGCATGTTGTCGTCTGTGCTATCGACCTCGTCGATCTCAATGGCATACAAGTGATTGACGCACCCGTGGCTCTCGTCAATTTGGTCAAGACTGTCATTCAACAAAGGTGGACTGCGGGTCATACCTACAGCCTCGCTCAAGGCACCCCTGAATTCCGCCTGAAGGGATTTGCCTTTGAGTCTGCATCTTCTTCGCAACTTGCAGGATCGCGGATGCTTCTCGGTACCTTGCTATCAAGACTGAGGCAGGATGGCTATAAGCTCATTACAACTTGCAATACAAAGGCTACAGAGCACGGCCAACTGAGTACTTTGATTATACAGTGTCCTACATCAGCATTGGAGCCTAGCGAGCAGCCCGATGCCAAGTCTCAACGGCCGGGTACGTTTGCCGACTACACAGATGCGGACTGAGCCAATGTCTTCACATCTGAACAACTGGAGGGCGGCCGTGCGACAAATTATTTTTTGGCCATCATTCAAGCGCAGCGATCGCAAGTCGCGACAGGACACATCCATAATGGTAGCGAAACGCAAGGCAGACAGCTTGGCAGACTCTGGCAGGGAGAAGATTGTCAAATTGGAAGCAGAGCTCGAAAATGGACAGTCGTCACTCAACAATATCGTCCATTTGCTTGACTTGGCGGCGTCCGATGATTTAGACACCCTTGAGCAGGCGCAGCGATCGCTATACAAGGTATTTAAGCGACTCATATCTTTAAAGAAGCTCGAAAAGCCAGCGGGAGAAGTGCCGACAATTGTGACGTGGCTACGCGAGCGCTACGGAGAATATACGCGACTCTTACTCGACTCCATCAACCACAAGAAGGCATCTGTCCAGCTTGCTGCCATTACACTTTCTTTGCGCTTGCTCAAAGTGGATCCATTGAATGCAAATGTTGGTCAATTTCCTGTCGATGCGTATGGCAAGATTGTGCGCGCCATTCTAACGGCCTCGAATTTGCATGAATCAACCAGATACACGTTTCGCAACGATTATCTTGAGCCGTTCGATGATCTAAGGTACTACTTTTATCGTGCTTGTGAGCAAACTGTGCAAGCGACAAAAACGCGCGGCTCTAAGCTCCATGTCTGCCGTGACAATAGCATTGGGCTACTTTCGGCACTCGTCTCGTTTCCTGACAAGGACGAGGAGATTGTCAAGTTTTGGCTCTCAGAGTCGACTACTAAGTCTAGCCTACGGACAGTCTCTGGGCATAAAAAGGCCTTTAGTGAAGCTTGGATCGCCGTACTCAGTTTCAAGCTGACTGAAGATCAGTACAAGGCCATCCTCAACATGATGCACAAACGTATCATTCCCAGGTTGCCCAGACCGCAGCTGCTCATGGACTTTTTGACAGATTCGTATGATGTTGGTGGCGCCACTTCGCTCTTGGCGCTCAACGGACTCTTCTACCTGATGCAACACCACAACTTGGACTATCCCAAGTTCTTTGAAAAGCTCTATGCCCTGTTTGACGCACAAACAATGCATGTGCGCTATCGATCGCGCTTCTTTCGCATGGTCGACATTTTCCTCAATTCGACGCACGTCTCTGCCATGCTCATTGCCAGCTTTCTGAAGCGCATGTCCAGGCTGAGTCTGTCTGCGCCTCCAGCGGCGATTGTCACGATTTTGCCATTGACGTACAATCTGCTGAAACAGCACCCGTCACTCATGCCGCTCATTCACAACCCGGATGGAGCGGCAGGCAACGATCCATTTGATGCAGACGAGACGGATCCGGAAAAGACGGGGGCTATGCAATCTTCACTATGGGAATTGCAGTCGCACACCATGCACTACCACCCGAATGTTGCGACGTTGGCCAAGATTTTGAGTGAGCAATTTACAAAGATTGGATACAATCTTGAAGATTTTTTGGATCATTCTTATACAACCATGACGGATGCCGAGATGCGTAAGCGGCTGAAGAATCAAGTGCCCACGGCGACGGACAAGCCTGCGGGTTTGCTCAGCCCTGAAGGGATTCTTATTTGGTAGATCAATCAGAAACTTGCCAAGACTTTTCTAGCCTGTGAAGGAGCCTTGATGTTTGATCATATGTCCACAGTGTGATGGCACTGCTTGGTGCAGATTTCAGAAGTGACACGCCAAGACCACGATAGAGGCCTCGGAACCCTTCGCGCGACAAGATACTCGTGAGGCCGGACAATGTAGAGGTGTAAACTGGAATGCCCTTGATGATGTAGGCTTCACGACTTGGCCCTTGAACTTGGAGTCGTTTGCGTACTACGTCCAGCGGGAAAACTGCCGTTTTAGCCCATGTACCTGCCAGTACGCCAGCAATCGCACTATCCCAGCCCATGCCATTTCGGATGCCCAAAGATTGTGCTGATGGGGATTGAAGCAGCGTATCAATACCTTGTCTACAAGGCTCGTAGATGCCGAAGAGTAAACCCATGTACGGCATGATCTGAATAAGACTTGCATTCAAGCCGCGATACAAGCCGCGCACACCTTCACCTTTTGTGATCTGACGCACTGCGCCAGCAATGGAGTAGTAAAGTCTCGACTCACCTTGCAGGGCATGCTTGCGTCCAATGAGTTGCGTTGGACCGTCTTGCGCTGCGAAACGGGTGCGTAAGAGATCAAAAGGGTATGTGATGGCCGTGGCGAAGCAACCGGCACAAGCACCAGATACAAAGGCATGCGTCGCTGGAGGAGTTGTCCCAGTAAAGCTTGGCATGATGAATGCACACGTTGCGAGGGCATACTTGTAGGCCATGAATTGAGAAGCTGCATAGGATACATACAGCACCTCTGCAGAGGCATTGCCTTTCCATAACCCGCGGACGCCTTCTTGCTTGATGATTGTTTGGAAGCCATGTACTATACCATGATAGAGCCTTGGCGTGTGCGACTGGCTTGCAAGAGGCAGCACAGCCGCAGGGGGTGTCCCGAATGGACTTGTTTGAAGCTGTAGGCGAATCTTGAGAACATCAAGCGGCGCTATAAAGAAGCGCGAAACAAGACCAGCTGTTCCGCCGCAGATGATCGTCTCGATCGCATTGTCCTGAGATCTCATTGAGCATGAGCACGAGGTCTAGGTAGAAGCATCAAACACAGAGAGTATAGCAGTGGTGGGAAAGGATTATTTATGGCAAACAAATTTTTGTCCAGGGCGTGCAAGGGGTTCACGCACTGCCGAGTCACTTCCAGCCAGGCCTCGCCGGGACTTTCCCTGGAGAGCGCATCTTGCTAGTCTTTCTAACTTGCATTGCTTGTTTTCTCGCATCAAGCCGTTTTTGTTCTCTGTGTCCTGATTGGTGGGCATGAGTCTTGTTCAAAGCAGGCTCTTCCAGGGCATCTTCATGCCGCACGCTGCGAAGCTCTGGGCCTGCAGGCCGCACAGGAGGACATGATGATTGCTGCGCCTGAGCTGATGGAGCAATACGCCGCCGCTTAGCAGGACTATCCACCTTATCCTCTAATGCCTCCCTTTTCTCGGCTCGCGGCACGCCAGTTGACGCAAGACGCACTGCAGGTCTTTGTATTCGCGAATTCGCTGGTGATGAACGAGCTGATCTACGCTCTGCATGTCCCTTGGGCCGCTGCTGTGGTCGTGTTGCCGGCTGTACGGGACTACTAATGGCGCGCATGCCGGAAAACAGGTTGCGATGCAAATCTGCAAAGCGACCGGAAGTATCTTCTGGCTTGCTACTCGAGCAAGAAGTGCCTGATCCACGAAACGGGCTATCTGGCATCTCTCCTATGCGCGCATTAAGTTGGTGTAGAAGGGATTGTTTGAGAATGTCGGATTCGACAGGGCCTGTGTGATTGACACAAGGCAATGCAGACACAAAGGGGTCATACTGAAGCTCATCTCGTTTTGAGATTTGTCTTCGTCTCGGGCTGCTGTGCATGTCTAGATGAGGTGAGAGAGTGCTTCCGTGCTGTGTTTTGTGTTTTGTCTTCTTGCTCGTTGCCAAAGGAGTATTCAGATGGGCACCGACCGTCCGACGGCTATTTCGCAGGAGTCTGCGGGAAGCCCAAGATGGCACAGACAATGTACCGTTTGCGCTGTACAGGATCTTCGCAGTCGGGCCGTACCGGGTCCCAGTCTCGTCGCTCTCCTTTATAGTTCTGCTCATAGATTTCCTTCACTTCGAGTCCCACGTCTGCAATGTAATCAAAGAAGCCAGAGAGCTTCTTGCGGCCTGTATGGAATCCAGCGATGCAGTGAATCTTGGACTCTGATGAACGACTCAGTGTGTTTGCAAGTGTCTGTGCGAGATTGGCATGCTGCTCTGGAAGCCATAGACAATCAGCTAGTAGAATAACATCGAATGTGCCTTTTTGTGCCAAGAGTGGTTCAACAGAGTCGCCCCAGATGTGCCCTACCACACACGCTGCGTCTTGTTCACGCGTGAGCAAGTTGCTGGAGACGTTCTCTCTCAAGTTGGCAAGAATTTTGGCACCCGGGTAATCGGAGAGGGTCACATGCTTTGCGCCTGCTTTGACGGCTATGATCCCACAAAGACCGGCTCCAGCACCGAGTTCCAGTACTCGAAGGCCTTTGATTGCTACGAGGCCTGCATCCATCTGAGCAGCGAGCTCAAGCTCAGACTAGCATTCTTAGCAGATTTGTTTTATGACTGGCAAGACATACCACCCAGAGATGATGTGCAAATTTGTGTAGCTCAGTGTCTGTGTCTGTTTTGACGAGCTTGAGCTTGATGTCCCTACAGGGTCAATATTCCATGTAGTAGTAGGCTTATTACCCATAGTTTTGTGTCTTGTGAGTGAGGTGTCCGCCTGGTTCACCATGAGAGACTGGCACATCCTCAAAGATGGTCACAAGCGATTCACTCAAGAGGTCTTCCGGTTCAAGCTCCTCAGTCATGGCAGCAGCCGACAGCCCATTCATGTCAGGACCTAAGTCAGGTGGAAGTGTGATGGGATTTAGCTCTAAAAAAAGCTACGTCGTGCTCAGCTCAACTACTGTCCCCCATAATAAGAGGGAAGCGAAACAGAGAATCCAGCCACCCAAGGGTGCTCAGACTCTCCACGCCGGACAACGCATAGTGCCATAAGGCTATTTGCTGGTCATAGAAGACACAGCTAGAGTATTCTCAGGTAGCGCCCGTTGACTTTGCTGATGACAGCGTTGACAATGCGCGACACGAAGGAGAGATGTTCTTTCGGTGGGTCGACAATGATTTGCATGATGTCGGCAGGGCTCGAGTCAGGCCAACGCAGCCGTATGTCCGCCAGTTGAGCTTCGTGGTCGCAGCATTCGAGCAGTGCATGCTGCAGAGTCTCCACAACATCGCCGGTCGGCTTGCATGCCGGGCAGGAGCGATCCAGCTCGTCATCCCTGTGTCTTCTCCCTCTATTGACCATGAGCTGGTCATTACTGCCGCGCATACGCGCAATCCATCTGCCAGCATATCCGTCCTGCATCTTGACATAAGGCCTTTGCTCCTTGAACTCCTCGAACGAGACTGGTGTAATGTGTCTGTATAGCGCGTTGTTGGCACATTCATGCACCCAGTTCTCATAGTGCGTCTTCCAGAGCGACTCAGTGAAGTCTTTGCGGCACGTTGGAGAGCCGAGAGTCGCACCGGAGCCATTGAGAAGTGTAGAGATCTGGCTGTACCACGTTTTGCCTGCAGTATCGTCTTGAGCGTTGATCTTGGCTTGTTCAAAAGCAAAATGGGCGAGGCGATTGTCGGTAAGGTTCTCCAGGTAGTCTGCAAAGCCAATGGCAATCTGCTTCCTCCTTTCTACTACAGGCAGAATCGCCAGGTCCACAATAGCCAGCAGTCTTGCAGCATGACGCGTGAGGCCAAAGGTTTGACGACACCAGTCGGTCTGCACCTGCTGCATCGCTTTGAGGTCTTCCGACCCGCCATCAAACGAGATCTCGGCGCCAAAAATGACATGACAGTGTGGCTCTGTGCCTGTCCAACAAATTTTTGCGACTCCAATGCGACTTTAAGCTTTTTCCATAGCGACCCACAAGAGAAAAGGTCATGCAAGCGCCCATGACCTGAGAGCAACAGGGCGCAGTCATTCACTGCTGCAATCCATTCGTCAGCTCATTTCTTATCATTTCGAAACATCCCTTATCACAAAAGAACCAATGCGTGCGCCGATAGCTGTGATGAGAGGGCAGCGCGACGGCGAGCAAGCCGACACCAACACAACCCTTTCTCGTCAGCCCCGCAGAGTCCTCACGGGACAGCAAGAGGTTTCTCGATACACACAACGTCAGGCAGATACAGGTGCGTATTTACCTGAGCGACAACGTCGGTTATGGCGAGAGTACGTCGCTGATAGAACTTCCCCAACGGTACGGAATGAGGAGGCCCGTCGTGTGCCGTCAGCGCAAGCTCGTGGTGCGTATTTTCTGGAAGGCTTTGATTCAGAGATGTCTGCTATGGATGAGTTGGATGGTCGCGAGGAAACGTCTGCGCAACGCGGCATCGTGGAGGAGGATTTTGAGGAGGATGAGGATGAGGATGAGGCGGATGAAGATGAAGACGAAGACGAAGATGGATCGGATTCTGATGCATCTGATGAAGAGGAGGCTCCCATTTCTCGTGCACCGAGATTGCCTCACTCCCGATCAAACGGTTGGGTAGCACGCAGCACGCAGCAAGAGGCGTCAAGCTCACATACAACGACGCGCACTGCCAATACATCTCGCAAAGTCTTGCTCCTTCGCTTGTTTCGATCGGTGCCTGAACCCATTCATGGGACGAGCATGCGCCGTCAGCCTTGTTCACTGCTGAGTGCGGGTTCTCGTTTTTCAGGCTGTCAGTCATTGACAGTCTACCTTGATCCACCGCAAGATCAAACGTCACAACTACGCGTCAAGGAGGAGTGGCTCGTGAGTCTTGAATTTGAAGCGGTTGATTTTGCAGCTGGCACGGTGTATGGCCGTATGCGCGCGAGTCATGTCCCGAATGCGAGTGTTTCTTCGATTGTTACGTTGTTTGAAGGTGAGATTCTGGATCACCTGCTGACGGGCAAGTGGAATGCAACGGTTGAGACAGATGTGTTGTACTGGCGCAAGCTGAGTCCGTTTCGCATGATGGAGGAGGGTGAAGCACTGCAAGCGATGGCACGGTGTCGTGAACTGTGCCACGAGCATGTATTTATGCGAATGAAGGAGACTGCGTTTGGGGATGCGAAGAGTGCGGAAGCTGGGTTGACCATCAGTGGCTTCTACTATGCAAGTGTGCGTCGGTCGGATGGCAAGGTGGAGGGTCTGTACTTTGACCCTCACTCTGCGCCGTTGCAGAAGCTGTTGCTGCGGCGGGAGGATGGGCCTTACCAGAGTGCAGCTGTGGCATTCAGGTAGCAGAGATAGTGCATGCCATCTGAATATTCCCTCACTTGCCAACTCGCAAACACAATTTTGTCTTGGCAGGCAGAGTGGAAAGTGTAGCGAGTACTGCAGTCTGTATACTGTAGAGAGTACAGGATAAAGAAAGTATTGAACTTTCCTTGGCAACAGGACCAAAACCACAAGCAGGCCCAAATCTCATCCACTAAGCAGCCCATGGCAGATGCACCCACCGCCTGCGCATGGAAGGACTGCCAACAGCACTTTGACAACGCAGAAGATCTCTACAACCACGTCTGCGAAGACCACATCGGCAGAAAGAGTACAGGCAACCTCACCCTCACTTGCGCATGGGGAACTTGCACCATCACGACAGCCAAGCGGTACCCTCTTCCTCTATTGTGATGTATATATTGAAACTAACAACCAAATACAGCGACCACATCACCTCCCACATCCGCGTGCATGTCCCACTGAAGCCGCATAACTGCCACCACTGCAGGCGCTCCTTCAAGCGGCCGCAAGACCTCAAGAAGCACATCAAGACGCACACTGAAAAGTCGGCAGAGTTGCTGCGAACACCTTCCCTGACGCCCGAACGTCAGCAGCATCAGTCGCAGCAGCAGCAGCAGCAGCAGCAGGTGGCGCGTGCAAGTGAACCGGCCTTGTCCGTGCAAGAAAGTGGTGCCGCCTCCTCCATGGGCGACTCGAGCCTATCACCACCAAGCAGTGATGCACTCGGCTTCCAATCGCCGCGCAGTATGGCATCAGGCCCTTTTACAATCTCTCACCGGACACAGCAGGAGATGTATGAAGAGGCGCGTTACCCAAACTTGTATGACCTCGAGCATGGCGGACATACACAAAAGGAACAAAGCGCCTATCCAGACTTGTTTTCTGCCAGTGCTGTACAGCAGTCGCAGCCCCTTCCTGCCTCAAGGAAGCGAGCATACCAAGAAGAAGCGTCCATCTTCTTTGAAGATGCAAAACGATCGAGGATGGAGCCAGTTTATAATCCCATCATGGCAGAACGGCTGTCCACGCTTGATACGTACTTGCATGATGGTGGGTTCTTCTTTGATTCTCCGCCACAGCAGCAGCAACAGCTACTCCCTGAAGGCCCACTCTTTAGTGATGGCACCTTGACTGCCCTGCAAACAAAGCAAGACTTGCTCGACTTTGATGCTTGGTTGTTGCAGCTCTCTGGTACGTTCCCAGGCCAAGAAGGCTTTGAAGACCCAACATCCGCTTTATATGCGCAAAGCCAATTCTCACCGGGGTCCGAGTACCCTGGGCTGCAGATGAAGCCGGACACGATTGGGTTGTACCCAACCTTGCCACTCTCGCTCTACCAACAACCCTTGTATGGTGATGCACTGGGATTAGCATCCACCTCGTCGCTGCCCATGCTAGCTGGTGATGCTGGATTGTTTGCATCAGGTCGACGTCATCTCAATCTCGGACAATTACAAGCGCCGCGTCCTGCATCACCTGGACTACGACTCTCTCGCGGTGCACCAGAGTCGAATGTACGGGATGCACCCCTTGCTCCACCTCAACCCGCGGCAGTAGGAACGAAAGAAGAAACCATTGCTGAGCGCGTTGGAAAGCTGACCTTGCAAGAAAAGGAAGAGCAAGAGAAGCAAGAGGTTGCAACGCAAGAACGTGTCAAGCGCCATGCAGCCATGATTCGACGCTTGCGGTTGGCCATTCATCGGCAGGTTGAGCGGCTTGAGGGGAAGCAACATGTCAAGTCGACCGTGATGGGCGCACGTCCTGCTGTTGCCGTATGAGTTTATTGGTCCTTACATATTATGAATGATTTTGAGAACACTAACAGTAAGCTTTGAGCACTTTAGCACTTTGATGGTCAGCAAATACTTTCTATAGCTGACCTGGGTGAGCTTGACGTCATTTCCCCTGTCGCAGCACGTGACTTTTACGTCTAAACTTGAAGGCGAAAAAGGCGAGCGCAACTACCAAAGAAAAGGTAGAGAGTCTGGCATCAAGGAGCTGTCCCGTTGACGGTCAGTCCAACAACCATGCACCCGGAACAACAACCGTTGCAGCCCATGGGTCCGCCGCCGACGCCTCCGTTTTCGGCAACAAACGAAGCGCTTGGGTCGCATGCGAATCTCAAGCGACGCAGGGTCTCTCGTGCTTGCGATAAGTGCAGGTTGAAAAAGATCAAGTGCTCGGGAGAACAGCCTTGTATGCATTGTACCGTCTACTCTTATGCCTGTACCTTTGATCAGCCAAGTCCGAGGCGGCGGGTGCATACACAAGATCAAGTAGACCAGCTTGAAGAGCGTTCTGCACGTTATGAACGTCTCCTGCGAGCCTTTGCGCGGCGGCAGAAACTGACCTTGACGTCGGAAGACGGCAATTTGCTTCAAAAAGAGCTGTTGAGTCTTGAACAGGCCCTCAACCTGCCAGAGTGGCAGGAGTCAGTGAGCCCGGATGGCGATAGCCCTCCATACCAGTCTTCCAAGACACAAGTCTCTACGCCGGGTAAGCAGCTCGAGAGTATGATTGACGGTGTTGGTGAGCTACACATGGATGTGCATGGTCAGACTGAGTACCGAGGTGACTCCTCAGGGACACGCTTTACGCATAGCGTTTGTTCTCGCGTCCTGGATGAACGAAGTCTCGCAACGGGCGATATCTATGGGAATGGAGATAGCATCCAACATCACTTGCGAGCCCGCAGTCAATCTCGTCAGGGAGCTGTCAAGCAAGAGAACAGCGATCCAGCCGACGAGGCTGACGAGCATATTGAACTCGAACAAAACGACGTCCTTGCAGATTCTGCGGAAGATGTGGATTTGCCTCCGCGCGACATTGCAAAAGTCTTGATCAAACTGTGCTTCGATCACGCTTTGGCAGCCTTGCAATTCTTCCATGAGCCGTCCTTCCACAAGGAGATGCAGGCTCTGTACAAAAACGTCGAGGCGGAGGAGGACGTGGAGGAAGAACCATTCTTGCCAGTCTTTTTCGCAACGCTTGCTGTTGGTTGCATCTTTTCAAAGGGCGTCAGTGATGAACTCAATATTGAGGACCCAAAGTTGCGCGCCTTCCAATACTTTCAAGCATCCAAGCGTCGCTCAGACCCGCTGACTCGAGCCAATTACTTTGTGTTGCAGACACTCCTCTGTCAAAGTCTGTTTCTCCAGTCCACTGCAAACATGAGCGTATGCTGGTCGCATCTTGGATTGGCACTCAAGTGTGCGCAGCGTATGGGTATACAGCGCAATCTCGGCCGTGCCTTCCGACCCAAGGAACGTCATCTACGCAAGAAACTATTTTGGATTTTGCGCAATCTCGACATGTACCTGCATGCTGTGCTTGGTCTGCCACGCGGTATTGAAGAGGAAGACTATGATCAGGCACCGGCTGAAGAGTTGGACGATGAGTATCTCATGGACGATGATCTCGTTGGTGTACAGCCAGCCGACATCCCATCAACCTACAATGCCGTCAACCAGTCCAGCAAGCTCATGACAATTCTTGGACACATCGTTCGCCAAGTGTATCCGATCGGCCGCGAGCAAGGCCGTGCCACCATCTCTCACCAGGCAATTGGTTCCCTTGAACAAGAACTGAATACCTGGTACGACGGTTTGCCACGCCACATTCGAGAAGAAGCAGAAGCCACACGACTAGGCCTCATGCATTGGCGCATCACAACGCTCATTCACTACAATTACCATCACATCCAGTTCTTGTTATACCGACCCTTTCTACACTATATCGCCGACTCTGGGCGACCGCAGCATCAGTCTTATGCAATACGCTGCAAACAAGCAGCTTTTGCCATTTTGGACCTCACGACTCGTGTGTTGGATAACGAACCGCAGCTGTTTGGACACATTCTGACACTGTATGCGACCTTTTTCGCCGGACTCATCTTGTTCTATTGCTTGATTCAAGAAGAGACCGAAGCTGTTGCAGGTGATCGGGAAGCGTGCTTGAAACAGGCTGACATTGCTATTCGCGCCATGGTCGTCTGTTCATCTTGTTCATTTGCTGCCGAGCGCTGTCTTGAGATTCTACAGCAAATGAAGAAACAAGTACCAGTTCATTCTGCAAAGAAGTTGAAGCAGCGAGAGCATGTCAACGGTAGTGGCTCATCAGGAACTGGTTCTGGCAGATCTAGACAGCAAAAGAGCAACAGCTCCGACTCTCTTGGCAACGGCAGTGGCCCCTCGTCCATCCTTTCCTCGAGGTCTTCCGAGTCGTCAAAAACGACCGTCACACCTCGTGCGCAAAACGGTTCTATTGAGCCTAGAGGCCGCGGCAACAAGAATAAGCTGTCTCTTGCTGGCTCTATGCCGGGTCCTGATCCAATGTTCAACTCATCGGCAGCAAAAAGCACCACTAGTAAAGAACCCACAAGGCCGCCGATGCAGTCACGGCTCAATCCCTCCTTTTCCAACTACTCTTCCCATCCGCAACAGCAGATGACACAGAGTCAGCACCAATCAAACTCTCAAGACCAGCAAGTGACGATGGAGTACGGCGATTCAGCATTTGCACAGCTCGATTATCCTATGGGTCAACATGCCATGCAAGTGATGGGTACGCCGCAGACATTTGACTTTGATGGCGTGTCGGACACGTATCAGCCATATCCACCTAGCAGCAACCAACTGGGCCAAGAGCAATGGCTGCCACACAATGTAGTCCAGATGAGTGATTACGCGCAACCTTGGCTGCAGTATGATGCACAGTCTGCACCTCAGCAGGATATCGGGCTACAGGGACAGCAGTGGAATGGTCAGGAATGGACACAGCAAGATTATCAGCAAGATCAACAGGCAGACTACATGTATCAATAGAGCAGTTCGGTAGTATCAAATCCAAATTCCAAATTCGTGTTGCGCGTCGCGTGTCATCTCGTCGCGTCCATCCAAAAATGCATCTACTTCAACGCAACTGCCGCGACTTTTCGTATACAGATCTCACAAGGCCATTCGTCATGAGACTCAGGTGCTGATCCATACCGTCATGTCGGACGAAGATTACGATGAGTTATTTGGCGACGCTGCTATTGACGAGCATGACATTGTGGTGATTGACGATGAGCCAGATCCAGTGCGCAAGCTTGTCCAAACCACGCTCGATGGCAGGCGCCTCGCAGAAGGAAGACCGACAACGCCGCGTCCGCGCAAGTCCCCGACGTCTGCTGGAAGTGACATTGCAGCTCAAAAGTACGCCAATGCGCGCTTCAGAGACCGACAAGAGCCACCAACGCACCATAAGCTAGATGAAAGCACGATCGGAACATGGGTCTTTCCCACCAACTATGCACAGCGTGACTATCAGTTCAATATGATATCCAAGGCCTTGTTTACGAACGTGTTGGTGGCTCTGCCTACAGGATTGGGAAAAACATTCATTGCTGCCATTGTCATGTTCAACTGGTACAGATGTGAGTGGCCAGGGCTCTTGAGTACATTCTAACAAACAGGGGCACCAGAGTCGAAGATCGTCTTCCTTGCGCCAACCAAGCCGCTTGTGGCTCAACAAATTGAAGCTTGCTATCATATTTGCGGCATCCCCTGGCGCGATATTGCAGAAATGACGGGCAGTGTACCCGCCGCAAAGCGTACCTCGGCGTACAAGGAGCGGCGAGTCTTCTTCATGACACCACAAACATTCCAAAACGACTTGCGCAATGGCCTGGTGGATGGCAGGCAAGTCAGCTGTCTCGTGATTGATGAGGCCCATCACGCGACTGGCAGTTATGCCTATACAGAGGTCGTCGCGCAAATCAAAGCCGTCTCTCAGAGCTTTCGTGTCCTTGCGCTGACAGCCACACCCGGTAGGACGGTCGAGGGCGTCCAAGAAGTGATTGACAATTTGCTCATCTCCCAAATCGAGATTCGCAACGACGAGTCACTTGATATTCGTGCCTATACGCACACCAAAGATATCGAAACCATCTCGCTGGACCTGGATCATGATATGATTGCTGTGCAAACCTCGTTTGCCAGTCTCGTCAAACACGATCTTGATCGGATCAAGTCCATGGGTGTTGGCTGCACGAGCGATGCTACCAAAATTAGTGCTTTTGGCATTCGAGACGCAGTCAATCGCTTTTGCATAGCAGCCAGGGGTAATGGCAATATGAATGCCAATGCCGTCAGAAGCATTGGCGCATTCGTGGCAAGTATGGGCCAAAGCATGACGCTGCTCAACGAACATGGCATGCGACCATTCTACGAGGAAATGAAGGAACTCAGAGCAGGTGTCAAGGGCTCTCAAATGAAGGCGAGGGTAGTCAACTCGCGCGTGTTCAAGGAGATGATGGCTGATATTGAAGAAGCGCTGCAAGACCCCAACTACACGGGTCATCCCAAGCTGGATTATTTGAATGGTCTCATTCTCAATCATTTCCAGAAAGCAGCCGAAGCCGGAGAGATGGGTACGCGGGTCATGGTGTTTTCCAGTCTTCGTGCATCAACAGAAGTGATTATCGCAAGTCTCAAACGGCATCATCCGCTTGTCAAGGCAACTGGTTTTTACGGCCAGTCCAAGGGCAAAGGTGAGACTGGCATGTCGCAAAAGGAACAACTTGCTACCATCAAGAAGTTCAAAGAAGGCGTCTTCAATGTGCTTGTTGCCACATCTGTTGGCGAGGAAGGTCTGGACATTGGTGAGATTGACATGATTATTTGTTATGATACAAGTTCGTCTCCTGCAAGAATGCTCCAGCGGATGGGTCGAACCGGTCGAAAGAGGTCTGGTCAAGTCTTTGTGTTGTGCACAAAAGGCAAGGAAGAAATGGCATTCGTCAAGGCCAAGGACGCACACAGGGTAATGCAGCGCAAAATTGAGTCTGGCAAGGACATTAGGATGTCTGCAAAGGTTCCTCGCATTCTGCCATGGAATATCAACCCAGTCTGCGAAAAGAGGCTGCTCGAGCTGCCGGAAGATGACCGGCCAGAGGACCGAGAGCTCAAGACTCTTACCAAGACCAAAAAGCAGAAGAAGGTCTTTGCTATGCCAGAAAATGCTGAGCGTGGATTTACGACTGCCAAGGCGCTTGCCAAGAAGAAGCCTGCTCCATTTCGTCTGGACGATGCCCTGATTGAGTTGACGCCAAGCTGTGGATTACTGGATGCCGCTGGCGAGGATGAGCTAGAACGTCGTTTTGGAGCCAGTCGGGCACTAGACTTCAATGCAGGTGCAATCCTGCAAGAGAATGGCTGTTTTTCTGACGTCAAATCACTCTATAGCCTCGACACGACTGTGCGCGTACCACACAGCAAGACTCTGACGAAGCTCGTTCACATGGTCGGACAAGAATGGCGTCCGGCAAAGCTCAAGGCTAAATCAGAACAATGGAAGCGGATTGCTATGCAAAGCAAGCCGCTTTCAGAGTGCATGGACGACAGTGATGAGGGATTTGGGAATGACAGGTCCAGTCTCCTACAAACGAGGGATTCTAATGTGCAGACGAAGCGTCAAAGAAAGCAGTTGAGGATGTCTAACACCACACGCAAGCGGAAGCATGACAGCGACAGCGACGAACCACTCATGTTCGTTGCCAAGAAGACGAGTGCCAGTGTCATTTCCAAGTCACGCGCAGCTGAGAACGTGGAGCACTTGTTTAGTGATGTTTCAGACGACGGCATCTTGACGCGACTGACTATCGACGAAAGTTCCCCTGAATATAAGAAGCCACAACGCAAAGGAGTTACCTCCAGTCAACTCGACAGAGAGTCGGACGATGACCTGCCTGAGGTTGCAGTCATGCTACAAGGAAATGCAAGGGGTCGTCCTACAAAACACGCGACGCCTCTCAAACGAGTTGCACCAAAATTGACAAGCTCAGCAGCCCGGCGACGTATCAAAATTGTTCAGGACGAGAGTGACGACGAAAGCGACATTTGACTCGTCACTGCGCAGGTAGCAACAAGCCCCAGAACTGTGCCCATCTCCTTCTTTGCTTTATCTTAGGGTTGAGGTCCCCTGCCGACGGCTGAGAAGCTGTGCTTGCCTATTCTGAGGGTTCCAACTTCCAGGGTATCTCTAAGACTACAAGTGCATGAAAGCTTATTTTTGCCCCTGGAAATCGAAGGCGGGCATCATTCAGCCCGGGGACCGGCAATGGTCCGGCAGTGGACCGGCACCTTCATTCCAGCGATTTCCCAAGGATCGCCCTGTCCCACGTCCCACGGATGCGAATTTTGTTTGGGCACGTCACCGGAAGCGAAAATATCCGCGAGCATAGAAGCGACCGCCGACCAGGGCCTTGAGGCTCGGGCAAGCATAGGCATGCATGAGTCAAGTAGCTTTCTCAGTAAATAGAATCACAAGCATGATGCTATTATGCTATATAGCACATGAGTACGGCTATATGCAAGCATGAATCTAGACAAGAGCCTTTGGCGGGCTTGTGGGAATTTCGAGGACAAGAATGGGGCTTCTGTGGTCGGTTTTGTCGAATCTGTCTAGATATGCACCGAAGAGTTGCAGCTCAAGGGCCTATATGTAGATGCGCTCTTTGATCTCACAGTCTCTTCTCAGGGTCTTCTGCCTGATGAAGCCTGTTGTCATAGATCTGGCATCTCTTGTTGCTCTGTGGCTGCTGTGTGATTGGTGGCCGGCAACGGGAACGGAAGTCATGCGATCCGGGCGAAACAACCAAAGCAAAGAGGTGCGACAGGCGGACTCTGCGATCGCACACGCGCTTCGCTTGTCTCCGGCGGGTTCATGGCAGTCAGACAGACTCTGTCTCACTGACTCATGATTAATAGGCCCGGCGGCTGAGCAGCCGACAGTATATAGAGGCCGTGTTCCCTTCGTTGTCTCTCATACAACCCAACTCTTCCGACCTAGACTGCGACCCATGTCACTGCACGCTCCTGTGCCAGCAGCTCCCCGGGACCTGGAGACAGGTCTCGAACCTCTGGGCCCACCGATCGATGAAGCTGCCATGACCGGGCCTCATTCTCCCAGTCGCGACAACAGCAATGAGTCCAGCGACACGGGCACTATTACAGACAACCATGCCTTGGCTCGCACGCAGACGTTCACGGATGCGCAATTTGATGAATTGCGGCAGACCCTATCAAAGCGCACGACTGCCGGTGATCCTCTCGACCTGGAACACAATTTCTCGCTCGAGCGTTATGTGCGTTCTATGATGCAGCAGTCTGAGAAGGAAGGCCGAAAGGGCCGCTCAGCTGGTGTGGCTTTCAAAGATGTCTCGACGTACGGCAAAGGCGCTGATATCAGCTACCAGCAGACCATTTTTGATCCGATTCTGTCGCTTGTTCGTTTCAAGGAGACGCTTGCATCTTTTAGGCACACCCCCACCAAGAAGATCATCTCGAATTTCAATGGTCTTGTGCGCGAGGGAGAGATGCTCCTCGTGCTCGGCAAGCCCGGTGCTGGTTGTTCCACTCTACTCAAGACGCTTGCAGGTGAACACGGTGGCTACACGAAGATCGAGGGAGACATCCACTTCAATGGCGTGGACCTTGAGCGCATGCAACGAGAGTACAAGGCAGAAGTGGTGTATAACGGCGAGATGGACATCCACTTCCCTCACTTGACTGTTGCTCAAACACTTGAGTTTGCGGCAGAGACGCGTGCACCCCGAAATCGTCTTCACGGCTGGTCTCGCAAGGAGTACATTAAAAACATGCGCGACGTGCTTGCCACAACTTTTGGCCTCAAGCACACATATAACACCCGTGTCGGCAATGACTACGTTCGCGGTGTTTCTGGTGGTGAGCGTAAGCGTGTCTCAATTGCAGAGACCTTGTCCAGTCGTGCCATTGTGCAAATGTGGGATAACAGTACGCGTGGTCTGGATGCCTCGACAGCCCTCGAATATGCCAAGGCTCTGCGTGTCATGACCAACTTGGTCAAGTCTACCTGCATTGTCTGCATTTATCAAGCTGGTGAACACTTGTACGAAGTCTTTGACAAGGTTACCGTCGTCTACGCAGGCAGGCAAATCTACTTTGGCCCCGCCGAGTCTGCCAAGCAATATTTTGTCGACATGGGTTTCGAATGCCCTCAGCGACAAACGACTGCCGACTTCTTGACTGCCGTGACCGACCCCAAGGCTCGTTTTGCTCGTAATGGCTATGCCAAGAAAGTGCCTCGCACGCCAGAAGAATTTGAGGAACGTTGGACCAAATCAGAAGAGTACAAGGATCTCTTGCGCGAAATGGACACCTACGACAAGACTTTCAAGAACTCGGATGCCGTTGCCCCAATCCAGAACTCTGTTGCTGACGAAAAGGCCAAACACGTTCGCAAGAAGTCGCCTTACACCATCACCTACCCAATGCAACTCAAGCTCTGTGCCAAGCGCTCTTACCAGCGTATGTTGGGAGATCCCGCCTACATCGGTGCCAACATTTTTTCGTCCATCTTCCAAGCCTTGATTGTCGGGTCCGTCTTTTACAATACGCCTCAAGACACCAGTGGGTATATTTACCTTTTCCCCATGACTACGCTAACATTAGCTACTTCTCTCGCGGAGGTGTCATCTTCTTTGCTATCCTCGTCAATGCGCTCTCAGCCATGGCTGAGATCTCGTCACTCTATGAACAACGCCCCATCATTGCTCGTCACAAGTCCTTTGCCATGTACCATCCATCTGCGGATGCCTTGTCACAACTCTTGGCAGACATTCCAATCAAATTGGTCGTGGTCACTGCCTTCGATCTGATCCTCTACTTTATGACGAACCTCTCGCGCACTCCTGGGCAGTTCTTCATCTTCTATCTGTTCACTTTTCTGGTCACCATGTGTATGACGTCTTTTTTCAGGATGTTGGCTGCCATCACGAAGACTGTCGACCAAGCGACGACTCTAGGCGGTCTCGGCGTTCTGGCACTCGTCATTTACACTGGATATCTCATTCCTCTCGAGCAGACTGGCTGGGTAAGTGCATTCTCATGTTTCAAGAAAGGCATTGCTAACTAAGCAGTGGTTCCGCTGGATCAAGTATATTAATCCCATCTCGTATGGGTTCGAAGCCTTGATGGTCAATGAATTCAAGCTCTACGACAATACTCCTTGTGCACAGTTGGTCCCATCTGGTCCGGGCTATAGTGCGGCGGCAAATCAGGCTTGCGCGGTCACTGGAGCACAACCCAATTCCATCACGGTGAATGGTCTCAATTATCTCTCTGTGACCTATGGCTACGAGCTCTCCAATCTCTGGCGCAATCTGGGTATCGTTATTGCATTTTGGATCGGTTTCTTGGCCATCAATGTCATCGCTACTGAGTTCATTGCTCCAGTCGCTGAGGGTGGTGATGTTGTGCTCTTCAAACGTGGTGGAGCACCTAAGCACCTTGCAGCAGCTGCGGCAGGCAAGGATGTGAGCGGGGACCTTGAGAAGCAGAATGAGCCTGTTTTGGAGCACAATCCTGCGGATGATATTCAGGAATCATCCGAAGAAGTTTCAGATGTGATTGCAAAATCGGAAGACATTTTCACCTGGCAAAACCTCGACTATGTCATTCAGATCAAGGGCGAGTCACGCAAGTTACTCAACAATGTGCAGGGCTACGTCAAGCCAAAATCCCTGACTTGTCTTATGGGAGAGTCGGGTGCAGGCAAAACCACGTTGCTCAATGTTTTGGCTCAGCGCGTCGATACTGGCGTGGTCACGGGCGACATGCTCGTTTCTGGTCAGCCACTCGGACACAGCTTCCAGCGTAACACTGGTTATGTCCAGCAACAAGATATTCACATGGCTGAGATGACTGTTCGCGAATCTCTCCGTTTCTCTGCAGTGCTGCGTCAACCCAAGACTGTCACTCGCAAGGAGAAGTACGAATATGTTGAGGAGGTCATCAAGCTGCTTGAGATGGAACAGTACGCTGAGGCTGTTGTCGGTACTGCCGGTAAAGGTCTCAACGTGGAGCAGCGCAAGCGATTGACAATTGGTGTTGAACTCGCCGCAAAGCCTAAGCTACTTCTCTTCTTGGACGAACCCACCTCTGGTCTCGATTCGCAATCCGCCTGGTCTATTGTGCTTCTTCTGCGCAAGCTCGCCAACGCTGGTCAAGCTATCCTCTGCACCATCCATCAGCCGTCTGCTATTCTCTTTGAGCAGTTTGACCGTCTTTTGCTTTTGCAAAAAGGTGGTCGTACTGCTTACTTTGGCGACATTGGCAAGAGCTCCAAGACCCTCTGTGACTACTTTGAAAGACAAGGCGGTGGCAAGTGCGGCAAGAATGACAATCCGGCTGAGTATATTCTCGATGCTATTGGTGCTGGTGCGACTGCTTCCTCTGACAAGAACTGGTTTGAAATGTGGACTGAATCTGAGGAATGCAAAAAAGTGACCAAGGACATTCAAGAGATGACGACCAAGATGCGCAGCGAGCACAAGAACGATGAGATTGAGAAAGGCGCAGGCAATACCTATGCTATGGGCTACGCGACACAATTTTGGGAAGTCACCAAGCGTCTCTTCATCTCCGACATGCGCGCTCCCGTCTACGTTGGCGCAAAGATGGCTCTCAATGTCGTTGCAGGTCTCTTCGTCTCTTTTACATTCTACAAAGCCGACAACTCTGCTCAAGGTCTTCAGAACAAGCTCTTCGCAGTGTTTATGGCTGTGGTCCTGTCCACGTCGCTGATGAACCAAATTCAGCCTCGCTTCGTCTCTGCCCGTAATCTGTTTGAAGTGCGCGAGATGCCTTCCAAGATTTACAGTTGGCCTGCATTCATGTTTGCCCAAATTGTCTGCGAGATCCCACTCAATGCTGTTTGCGGAACGCTCTTCTTTCTGCCCTGGTATTTTGCCGTCAACTTCCCCAGCGGTTTTGTCGGCTCGGCGCTCAAGGCTTCTCGCGGTGCCTATGCTTGGGGTATCCTCATGATGTTTGAACTTTGGCTCAGCACCTTTGCCCAATTGGCCGCATCATTCGTGCCCAATGAACAAACCGCCGCCATCGTCTCAACACTGCTGTTCACCTTTGTGATCATCTTCAACGGCGTGCTTCAACCTCCTGCTGCTCTCCCATCATTCTGGCAATTTGCTTATCGAGTCAGTCCTTTCACCTACCTCATCGAAGGTCTCTTCACTGATGTCGTCAGCGGTGTGCCCGTCGAATGCAAGGCATACGAGCTCACACAGTTCACAGCGCCTGCTGGCCAAACTTGCCAGGACTACATGCAACCCTTCTTTGCGAACGGTGGACTTGGTCAACTTGTCAGCTCAGCGACGGATGGTGTTTGCCAGTACTGTCGCTACACTGTCTCTGATGACTTCTTCTTGGGCGTCAACATGAAGTTTTCACACCGTCAACGCGACATTGCGCTCGTTTTTGCCTATGCTGTGTTCAATGCTTGTGCTGCCTTTTTACTCTTCTGGTTGTTCCGAATTAACAAGTTCAGATTCTTGAAGAAGAGCGACAAGAAGAAGGTGGCCAAGGCGAAGCAAGCCAAGACTGAAGCTGGCGATCGTGAGGCTGCAAAATCAGACACTGGTCGCGCTGCAGAGAAGGTGGGTGATATTGGACGAGATGTGATGGGTGAGGCGCACCCTCAAGGTGAGATGCGACCTGTTGCCAACTAGACTCTTGTTGTTATGCGCGTTTTGGAAGTGTTCAAAGTAGACTTTGCAATGATAGAACTAATTAATATGTCTTTGATGATCTATCCGACGAGATCATAGTACTTCCTTCGCTCGAATAGCAGAGCTTTGGTGCAAGCAGCCCAACCTGGTTTGTAGACCGGTGCCTGGACGTATCGCGCATCATTTCTGACAGCCACAGTGTATGTGCATCGTACACTGGACAGACACGTACACAGTGCAAAGATTTGAAAGCATTGACGACGAGCAAGTACAAACATTATGTGTAAGAACAAATGCCTTGGATAGCTCGCCAAACTTGAATAGAGGCGATACAAATAGATTAGTCATACCAGGCGAGAGACGCGCTTTGACCGTAATAAAGAAGATGTGAAATTGAATGAGTCGGGCTGGATGAGAGAGAGATTAGAGTCCATGCTCGACGAATCGACTGCCAGATGCGGTCAATGAAGCTCTTGACGAGTGTCCTGCTAAGGAACCTATCCGGCCTGTGCGTGTGAATGTCGTCGGACTGCTATCCGGCGAGGGTTGTGCATCACTCATGATCATGCCTGCACTCAAGGGCCAGGCTATCGCAGCCGAGTCTGAGAATGGATCTTGACCGTCGCTATTGCCCGTACCTGGCGGCGGCTGACCATTTCGAAACACAATGGGTGATGGTGATACGCCTCGTGTGCGTTGACCAGGTAGAATCATCGATGGCGGTTGCGGCAGATGTTGACCAGACACAACGTGGAAGGAACGTTCGTGCGCGTCTTGACCAATCCCACTCTCACCGGCGCTGCCAATCTCGCGAGCTCGAATAGCAGCTGCTGCATTTGGGGTTGTCCAAGTACTAGCATAGCTCTTCTGCTTGTCGCTCGCCAAGGCAGTCTTGCTGTCTCGTTTGTTGAGACGCCGACGTTTTCGTTGTGAAAAGAGGAGCAAGGCAACGGCACAGAGAAGACCAAGGCCACCAACAACGCCAAGAACACTGCCAAGAACAGTCTTGCCGGTTTGAGAAAGGCCTGTGCTGCTATCACTTCGAAGGCTGCCGGCCGTGCCTGGTCCAAGTGTTCCAGCTGAAGAGGATGGCGTGGGTGAGGCAGTGAGCACAACAGATGACGCAACGGCCACGCCAAGATCGTCCATAGCATTTGTCATTGTAGGTGTAGCTATTGCCTCATTGCCTACTTCCGTCGCTGAAACCGCTAAAGCAGTTGGTTTTCTGAGCCATGGCAAGACATCAGAGCCATTATGCGCATTACCATAAGTGATATTTTGAATGGTTCCATTGACATTGGTCACGACGAGTGTATTGGTCGGATATGGAGCCGGTTGTGCTTGGCTCGGTGGGCTGCTTTGAGTTGTGCTTTGTCTTGGAGGAGACACGGACACACGCGAGACTGGAATACTCTGATTGGATTGACGGCTGCTTGGCGGATAACTTGATCTGGAGCTTGCCTGGCTCGAGCATGATGAAGAAGGAGTAGGCGTGCTGGCATCAAGTGGATCATCCAGCAGAGGACTGGCTGCCTTGACTGCCAACACCCCATGAGCATTGAGAGCAGGCGTCGGCGTACTCATTGGGGGTGACGCGCACGATTCAGCCTTGTTCGCCTCCGTGTGCTGCGAATGCGCATGTCGCGTTGTATGTGAAGGATCATGCGTGGTTTTTTCTACCCATTGGCCAAGATCTTTATCGAATTCCTTCTCTAGTGCGCCCATGTCCATGATGTTCCGCTTAGAGTTTTGAACATGGCCCTCAGCTGCAAGCCCCTTGTGATGCGTGTGTTTAGGTTTTTTGTTCATTGCATTGGTAAGGACAGTTTGCTTGTTGTTGGGGATGCGGCCTGCTATAGAGAGTGTGGTGCCGGTGACGTTGGCGTGTAGAGTAGAGAGCGACGGAAGCCTTATGAGGCAGGAGCACCAGGTAGAGAGCGAGAGAGAGACAGAGAGTGTAGGGGGTGCTGGTTGTTGTTGAGTCTCTTTCTTGTGCTGCATGCGACACGACACAACCACGACCAGGGACCAACCTCCCCGTCTACTCTACTGGGCAGATGATGCTGGTACAAGCACTCCCACGTCGGTAGAATAGTCAATCAACAAGGCCATGCTCCGTGTATCGCGCGACTCGGTACATTGTCTTACAGGCCAAGGCACCCGTGCAGCCATTCACCGTGTCGACGCGCTCGATGCACCACCCGTCCAGCAGTGGCAGACACAAGCAGGGATTCAATGCCTCGACTGGTCGCATGCTTCCACGAATCTCCTGGCACTAGGCTATAGTACTGGCGCTGTGGACCTCATCAAGCCCTTTGCCGATTTGGAGGAGGCCATCAAAGTACCTGCTGCGCGACAACGCAACTGTACAGCTGTCGCATTTGGATCAGGAGCACACCTTGCTATTGGGCTAGATAAAGTACGCCACGATTATTCCCTCTCCTTGTATAATGTCGAAACGCAAACCGTCACGGGTCAGTATGCAGGCAGTGAAGGCGTTTCTTCCCTAGCCTGGGCGCCAGACTCACAGCATTACCTCCTAGCGGGCCTCAATTATCGGTGGCTACGACTCATTGATCTACGTCAAGACCCCAAGGATGGCTCGGCCATTTCAATACCGACCAAGGCGGCGTTCAATATAACAGTGGATGTGCAAGATCCCAATAAATTCGCATCAACGTATGGCGATACAGTGAGCATTTGGGATCGTCGAGCAAGTACAGGCAAGCCAGAACTGTGTTTATGTACAGACGACAAGCAGCGCATCACAGGCTTGCGCTTTGCGCCAAGTTATCGCGCCCACCTCGCAGCATCGTGTGAAGACGGCTCCCTCAATTTATGGGAGTTGGATGATGCAGGGGACATCAGTCGCCTATCTCGCGCCAATGTAGCAAGACGACAGGAAGAAGGCCTACGTGTCAATCGGCACCACGTCGTCAAGCGGGAGAATCTCGCTGGATTTGACTATTGTGAGCGTGCTGGACAATCGCCTTGGACGTTTTTGACGTTGCATGGAGATGGTGGCGTTAAGGCAGATACAGTTCAAACTATTAAACCAGCCATGTCGCTCTCAAGCCGCGGTGATTTGAGTATGGCCTTTGGCGGCAAGCTGCGTATTGCTCAAGCACAGGAAACACCAGCAGCAGAATTACACAAAGACGATAGTAGTTGCAGCTCTCCACGCTTGGGAAATCCCTTTTCACGATCAGAGTCGGTATCTGATTCGGCAACAGATGCAGAAGTACCTGCAAAGTATCGCGACATGTCTAGTGTCTTGCAAAGCGACATTTCAAATTTGATGCGGCGACGTGCACTCGACAAGTATGAAATGGATGCAGAGCTGAATGCGGGACTCGTCCAGGAGGAGAGTTTGCAAACGGTCTGGCGCTGGATTGCTTGGTCGCGTCGACAGAGCCTTGCTGGCAAACTACGCCATGGCAGTTTGGATTTCTGCTATGAGGGAGCCCTGAATATTTGCAGTGGCAGTGCAGGGAGCTTGAAGCGACCGAATGCTTTGTCACAGGCACACACGGAGAAGTTTACACAAGCCGTGACGCAAGTCAATAGTCGGCGTGCATGTGACATTCTGCCAAAATCACTCTCCTCGCTCGGTACGAGACAGCTCGCTTTGACAACGACCGGCTGGTGCTTGACGAATGAGGAATTTGACGTTTTCCAGAAAGACTTGCTTGATAAGCGGCAATTTGACAAGGCTGCCTTTTATGCGGTTGCCCAGCACGGTCAAGTGGAAGAGGCTGTCAAGATACTCATGATGGGTGGGAGCGTTATGCGTATTATGTCCGCTGCGATTGCTGGCTTTGTTGCTGCAAAAGCTGGAAAGGATGAGGGACAGCAACCATTCAACATTTGGAAGGAGAGCTGTAAGCGTCTTGCTGTGGAGCTGGATTCTCCCTATATCCGTGCGCTCTTTGCCTTTGTCTCTGAGGGAAGCTGGCGCGATGTGCTAGATGAGCAAGGTTTGACGCTGCGAGAACGCATCAGTATTGCAATACGCTACCTCAAGGACGAAGAAATTGCGAGTGTTTTGCGGGCCATGAGCAAGACTGAGACGGATGAGGGCAACTTGGAAGGGTTGCTATTGACTGGTATTACCACCACGTCGCTTGATTTACTACAAACGTATGTTGATCGGACGGGCGATGTACAGACCGTGGCACTCGTGACGTCCTTCAAGCCGGAGCTGTATGAAGATCCACGCGTCATGGATTGGGTTGCAGAGTACAAGAATCTGCTCAACAGCTGGGGCCTGTTTCATACGCGATGCCGTCTGGATGTCATGCGGAATCGCCTGTCTCGCGAAGCAGGGGTCACGACACGCCTGCCACCCAGGCAGATTTACGTGCGATGTAATCATTGCGGTGCTAATCTAACGCATCATCGCAGTGATGCAGCCATTGCCTCGCGTGATCACACAACGCACAGTGGGCATCAACAGTCTGGTATGACGGCTACAAAGGCGACGTTGTGCCCGAGTTGCCGAAAACCCTTGCCACGCTGTGCACTGTGTCTCTTGCCACTTGGAACGAGCCCCGACCAAGATACGGCGACGTGCAGAGTGCAGGACAAGGCACAGCGTACGTTTGACTGGTCGCTGAACTTTTGCCTGCGGTGCAATCACGGGTGCCACTCAGAACATGCTGTAGCGTGGTTCCGGCAGAGTGCTGTGTGCCCTGTGTCTGGGTGCAGCTGTGAGTGTGATGGATAGTTACTACTTACCTACTACTCTACTACTACCCATCTGATAGTCACGTGATAGCAGTCACATTGCCACGCAATGACTCACCCTTGCCTAACCCCAGCTTGGTCCTGTTGAGCTGGAGAGAGAAGGAAAGAAAGGAAATTCTCTCTCCCAGAACCAAACACTTTCTAGGTCAGTTCCCCCCCTCCCCCTTCTACCTTGTACACAGCCAGAGACTAACCAGAGACAGCCAAAGTCTTTATTCTACAATGGCACCTAAAGTGAAGAGCCACGTAAATGTCGTCGTCATCGGACACGTCGACTCCGGCAAGTCCACCACCACCGGCCACTTGATCTACAAGTGCGGAGGTATCGACAAGCGTACCATCGAGAAGTTCGAGAAGGAGGCTGCTGAACTCGTAAGTCATCTCCCTCTCTCTACTCGAAAGAGCACTCAGAGAAGAAAATTTGAAAACAAGATTGGCTAACACCTACAGGGCAAGGGTTCCTTCAAGTACGCCTGGGTGCTCGACAAACTCAAGGCTGAGCGTGAGCGTGGTATCACTATCGACATTGCTCTCTGGAAGTTCGAGACTGTCAAGTACTTTGTCACCGTCATTGACGCCCCTGGTCACCGTGATTTCATCAAGAACATGATTACCGGTACCTCGCAGGCTGACTGCGCCATTCTCATTATTGCCGCTGGTACTGGTGAGTTTGAGGCTGGTATCTCCAAGGATGGTCAGACCCGTGAGCACGCTTTGCTCGCCTACACGCTCGGTGTCAAGCAGCTCATTGTTGCCATCAACAAGATGGACACTGCCAAGTACTCTGAGGCTCGTTTCCAGGAGATTATCAAGGAGACCTCCAACTTCGTCAAGAAGGTCGGCTACAACCCAGCCACCGTTGCCTTTGTCCCCATTTCTGGCTGGCACGGAGACAACATGATTGAGAAGTCCCCCAACATGTCTTGGTTCAAGGGATGGGAGAAGACCGTCAAGGGTAACACCACCAAGGGATTCACCCTCCTCGAGGCCATTGACGCCATTGAGACCCCTGTCCGTCCTTCCGACAAGCCTCTCCGTCTTCCTCTCCAGGATGTCTACAAGATCGGTGGTATTGGAACTGTACCTGTCGGTCGTGTTGAGACTGGTGTCATCAAGGCCGGTATGGTTGTTACTTTCGCTCCTGCCAACGTCACCACTGAAGTGAAGTCTGTTGAGATGCACCACGAGACCCTTGAGTCTGGCCAGCCCGGAGACAACGTTGGTTTCAACGTCAAGAACGTCTCCGTCAAGGAGATTCGTCGTGGAAACGTCTGCGGTGACACCAAGCAGGACCCACCCAAGGGTGCTGCGTTCTTCAACGCTCAAGTCATTGTCCTCAACCACCCTGGACAGATTTCTGCCGGTTACGCACCAGTCCTTGACTGCCACACTGCACACATTGCTTGCAAGTTTGCCGAGTTGCTTGAGAAGATTGACCGTCGTACGGGTAAGTCGATTGAAGACAAGCCCAAGTTTGTCAAGAGCGGAGATGCTTGCATTGCCAAGATGCAGCCATCGAAGCCTATGTGTGTGGAGGCTTTCACTGAGTACCCACCTCTCGGTCGTTTCGCTGTTCGTGACATGCGTCAGACTGTTGCCGTTGGTGTCATCAAGTCGGTTGAGAAGACTGACGGTGCTGCCGGTAAGGTCACCAAGGCTGCACAGAAGGCTTCCAAGAAGTAAAGCGGGTGTAGGAGTTTCATCTCCTGTATTTGGTTTTTCCTTCATGGTGGTTTCTTTCACAAAAAAAGAGCTTGCTTCCTTGCACGACAATCTAGAGTCTCAGAGTCCATATGATATCAAGCGTTGCTTGTCTATTGCGCTATCCTTGCTATCTTGATTGACTACTTCGCTTGTGTGTTGAGAATGAAATATCGCCCAGACGTAGAAGACTCATCACGCCCGCATCCACTATTGCCAGGATGAGGGATTCACGGTAGCCATCCCTCAGCGTGGGCGTCTGTGTATGGAGTGGGATACTCGCCAACAATGCATCCATCTCTGCTCGCAACGGCATAGCGTCGTCGGTTGTACAAACGCAAACCCTAAAATGCGGCTCTCCTGGCATTGATTTTTTAAAGTGCACACCAGGTTTCCAAACATCGTAGCAGACGTGTAGCCTGGATGGGGTGGTTGTGTTGATTTGTTCACGAGGATCATGACAGGGTGACATGGCGAGTCGGTTGTAGAGTTGTGTGTAGGACCGATACACGCTGCGTGCATCCACGCAACCACTTTGCAGTTGTGTGAGCGTACGAGAGACTCGGCGCATGGAGTCTTGTAGGGTTGTCAGGAAGCTTGGTATGTCATGCTTGACTTGTGTTGCACGAAGGACATGGAAGCCTGCGCGTTTGAGATGGCTGTAGACTTGATACTGAGCGAGTGAGACGTCTTTGTCCAAACACAATGCATATGCCGCTTGAACTGATAAGGGGAGTTGTTCAGTGTCGTCTTGCAGGTGCAGGACAAGACTACCGCGTTCAAGAAGGAAGAGGGTCTCTTCCGGTAACAGCATACACGCCTTATTGGCGCCAAAGGAGCGACCCATGGACTTGAAGAGGGGTCCCTTTGGATGCAAGAGGATGCCATGCCCCATACATGGGTTCCATGCACACATCATACAATCAGCTGGCAAGACACGCTGCACTGCAACGGCCGCATAGAGGGCCTGACGGGATGCAAGCAGTGTAGCATCTTGTTTGCGTGTGCCATCTGGCTCAAAGTCCTTGTCGCCGCGAGAGGGCAGGGAGTAGGATGATTTAGAGAGTAAGCGGTAGTCTGGTGCTTCTAGCTCGTCTGAGTCTGAGCCTGAGCCACTCATCTGCCCAGCATGTGTACCACAGCAATAGTATATAGTATAGTATAGTATATAGTAGAGTATAGTTGAGTCATCTCACATGCAAAAGTAATCTGCACGTGCACGGAAATCTCGAACAGAAGACAGGAACGACATCACCACCACCAGACTATACTACTAGACGACTACTAGCCTACTACACTACACTCACACAGCTACGACAGATCAACGCAGCAGCAGAGCAGCAACGGCACAAGCAACTGCGACCGCACTAGACCAAGGCGAGGCCCATACACGGCAGCATCATGTCTGGTAAGCCACACGATCTACTTCAAACACCATCACTCACACACATGCAAATAGACCCGGACCGCCCTGTCCTTCGTCGCGTCCACTCTGCCAGACCTACAGGCAACAACGATCTCACACGGCCCTCGGGCCTCGGTCGTATCAGAGTCAGCGCGACTCGACAAAATAGTAGAGAGTGGATACCCGGTTCAGGCGCCCACTCGCCACAAATCCCCTTGATCCATGCACAGCAGCCGGTCGGTGGCGGCTTGTCTGCAGGCGCACAGATTATGCACCATCAAAATATCTCAACGACGCATCTTGAAGATCTAGAGACATTTCCGAATACATCCTTGCATGCGTTTTCATTTGCCGTTCAGCATGATACCATTGCAGCGAGGCATAACATCGTCAAGCGATCCCTGGACTACCTCAGAGATAAATTTGGCTCAAAACAGGAACAAGTAGCGGAAGAGGAACGGCCGGCAAAGGTCAAGAAACCTACATTTGCGCTTGATTTGGAAGGCGTTAATGATGGCATGCTGGATCCGAGTCGGCAGGGACCTAAGACAGCGCCGTTGACGTTCATCTCACCACCGACATTCAGTACAGAGAGCTCAGAGGCGAGTACAGCGGAAGGCTCACCCGATGTATCGCGGTCAACAACGCGCACCTCCACCTCCAATCAATCGACCATGCCGCCTCGTCGACGTTCCTCCTTTGTTGAACGTCAGGAAGTTCGCCTGGCCTTGCACTCTTCCTTGTCGTGCACCAATTTACCCTCTCTCAATACAGCCTATCAGCAATCTCCCCTCATGCCCGTCCATCCAACCAATCGATGGGGCCAGCAAGCAACTCAAGCAGTCTTCACCACAACACTCGAAGCACCCTGGTCGATCCAATCTGCGAATGACTATGCCATGATGATTTTTGGGATGGGTCGGGATGCGATTCGGAAACGTACGAGTTTATTGGATTATGTCGTGGAAGATCGACGAGAGTGGTTGCGGGAAAAATTGCAGAGTGGTGCGAATGAGGATAAAGTATTGTTGTGTGGTGATGTGTTGCCGGTCATCAAGCGGCTAGGTACGGGCGCTGCGAGTTTATGGATCAAGGAGAAGCAACTTGGTCTTGTTTGGGTGATTGAAGAAATTGAGGAAGGGGTTGTGGAGTTGCAGCTCGATTCAGAGGACGACAAGGTCTTGCAAGTGCATGGCGATACTGTCAAGATCTTTGAGCGCGATGTTCAAGGTGAGTTTCTCTCTGCCATTCTACCAACCTTGCCACGGGACTCGGCCGGTCGTTTGGAAATGCAGCAGATCAAGGAACGCATGCACTTTACCCTCAAAAGTAGTGCTTCTGTCGCACCCTGCACCGTTGAACCGAGCGTCTTTTCAACAGACGAACGCCATAAGCTGCGCGTGTCCTTCCTACCACACGTTGCAGGAATCATTATTGTTGGTGCGCAGCACTTGGATGTCAAGTCTGCGAATGGTGCCTTTACGAGTTCTTTGTTTGGCTACAAGGAAACTGCTGGCTTCCACATTTCAAGGCTTATTCCGCATTTTGAGTTGTTGCTCAGACAACTCGAGGAGCACAACGGTGGTGAATTCGCAGAAGGCACAATTGTACCGGAACTGGCATTCAGGGAAGCTGGCATCTACCTGACACGTCCTGAAGACCGACATGTCTTGCAAGGCATTCAATCCCTGCATTGCGATGGTTGTGTCTTGCCCATTGATATACAAATGCGTGTGGCTCAACAGAGTGATGGCGAGGGTGGATTACTCTATGCACTGTGGGTTTCCTATGAACGCGCATTCACGGTGTCACGCGATATGCAGACCTTGCCTGCAACGAAGCGTGTTGCCTCAGAAACCTCATCGCCTGCTGAATCTGGTGGTGATGAGATTGTACCGCGCCGGATTGGTGAGTATACCATTTTGGAAGAAATGGGCGCTGGTGCGTATGGTCAAGTGAAATTGGCACGGTATGGCAGGAAACGACAACGTGTTGTTCTGAAGTATGTGACAAAGTCGAGAATTTTGGTGGATACATGGACACGCGACCGTCGACTTGGGACTGTACCCTTGGAGATTCACGTTTTGAATCACTTGAAGCAGCATCCGCATCGCAATTTGGTGGAGATGAAGGATTTCTTTGAGGATGATGAAAACTACTATATTGCCATGACGGCGCATTCACCGGGGATGGATTTGTTTGACTATATCGAGTTGAATACCGATATGCGAGAGATTGAGTGTATCAGCATTTCCCTGCAAGTGGCACGCGCACTCGCACACTTGCATGCACTGGATATCGTGCATCGCGATATCAAGGATGAGAATGTTGTCTTGGATCGGAATGGATGGGTCAAGTTGATTGACTTTGGTTCAGCGAATTACTGTCGCAATGGTCCCTTTGATACGTTTCATGGGACGATTGATTATGCGTCGCCGGAAGCACTCGAGGGAAAACCGTATAATGGCAAGGAACAGGATGTTTGGGCGTGTGGGATTCTCTTCTACACGCTCATCTACAAGGAGAATCCCTTCTACAACATTGATGAGATTATGGACCGTGATTTGCGAGTACCGTACATCATTAGCGATCGAAGCATTGATTTGGTGCGGCGGATGCTGAATCGGGATGTGCCTAGTCGGCTCACGATGGAAGATGTACTACAGCATGCGTGGTATGAAGGATTCGAGGGGGATGCGATTCAGCAGCCTGTGCGGATACCTGGTGAGATGAAGTGAATAGGATGTAGCCTTGTACGGGTATTATTTGATGGTGGTGCCCAATAAAAGTGAAATCAGCCAGAAAAGTGAAAGAAAAGGCCACAAAATAAAAGCCGTGTCAAGAAAAGGCCACAAAAGACAGAGAACAAGGAGAAGAAAGGGCCACAAAAGACGGAGAAGAAGGAGAAGAAAAGGCCACAAAATAAGATCAGTCAAGAAAAGGCCACAAAATGAGGAAGAGAAGGAAAAGAAAGAAAGAGACTTCAGCCAGGAATCAACCTCAACTCCATCAACCAAGTCGCGCCTGCAATCAAGACACAGACACAGCAGCACTCGATGCCCCTCGACGGACGCAAGACAGGCTCACGCGTCCCAGAGACCACAAAGCTCGCCGCAGTCGCCTACTACAGGCAGCATGGCTCCCTCAAGCTCACTGCAGAGAAGTATGGCATGTCCATCGGCACACTGGCAACAGCACTCAAGAATCACACAACCCTAGGCGAAGTCTCCACTCCCTCGACACGACCCCGGAAGGGACGTTCCTCTCGCCTGGATGCAGAGGGGATCGATCTCATTCGTCGGCTACTGGAGGAGAACCCACAAATGTACCTCAAGGACATCAAGCAGCGACTGGAAGACGACCTCGGCATCCAAGTAGACACGTCTAATATCTGTCGACAGATGAAGAAGGCTCGCATCAGTCGCAAGGCACTCGCAACGCATGATCCTGTTCAGCGGGAGGCCATTGAACGGCAGGAAGAAGAACACAACAGGCAAGTGGCCATGTTGCGCGCACAGCAAGAATTAGAGCGCAGGTATCAAGCAAGACGACAAAGACTCGCTGCGCAACGAACCCCAGAACAAGCACAAGCTGCACATGATGCTGCTGTAGCGGCTGCGAAGCAACGTGCTGAACGGAATCGCGCTGCTGCAAAACAACAACAGCAAGTCTTGGCATCCTTGGCCGTCCAACATGACCCGGCCAACCAAGAACACGAAGGCGGTGTGCCTGGACCTTTACTCCCTGGTGAAGTGGATGCACAAACACTAGATGAGCTGGCACTGGATGCACTGCATACAGCGCATCATCCACATCTCAATCTCAACCATGCACTCGCCATTGATGGTCATCCCAGCCAGAGTGACGATGAGCGTGCTCAACAAAATGCATTACTGCAGAGCAGCTATGAATCTGCCATGGCGCAATTCCGACAAGAGACTGGACCATCAGATCGTCGCAGTGGCGGCGGTGGTAGTGCGAGGAAACGACGTGCTGTCAATGCTGCTGCGATGGAATCGATACAGGCGCAGATGCATCATGATTTGATGCACGATGACTCTGCGTTGATGCAAGAACACCTCGGAGATGCGTATTACACCGGCAATCATGCGCATGCCTTTGATGCGCCATTCGATGCAGCGACCATGAGGCAGCTGCAAGGGAGTGGCGCGGAGGATGATGAAGATGCTGTGGCACGCTATGCAGGCTTGCAGATGGAAGATGGAAGCATGGCCATTGACCCAAACATGGATGGTATCGACTAGGCTAGCATCAGCAGTGCAACAATAGAAAATCCTTCATCATGCTTCTATGTTCGTGTCTATATCATGATATGTACATGCTCACCACGGCCGCGGAGGTCGTTGCGAGGGGGCTCGTCTCTCGTAATCCTCTTGATGTCCAACATCTTCCTGCCGTAGCAAGTTTGTGTAATCATCCTGATCCTCTACATACGCTGGATGCTGCAATGCACCATGATAGGCCGTGGCTTCTCCAAGCGATGCAGTCGAATACGTATCTTGCAGTGTATACATTGCCGACTCGGAAGGTTGTTGCATCAACGGGTACGGCGCCCTCGGTGGCGTCGTCGTCGCGAATACGGGCTTCCGCTCAATCCCGCGCGTACTGGGCCGTGACCAGTCTTCATGCTCACTCGGTGCCAATGACCCTTGTCGTGTACCAGGTCTGGATACATCAGCAAACAAATGCTCGTCGTTGCCATTTGCTTCAGCCACTTGATGCACGTACTTTTCATCAGCGACATCGCCTTCCCTAACAAGTTCGAAGCGACCTTCAAATGATCCAGCACGACTCAGACCAGGCGTCTGTGTACCCGTGGACCCGGGAGAATCAGCAAACGGCGACTGGCCAACCTTATGAGGCGTCGTCATGGCAATCCCATCGCCACTGAATGTTTGTGAATCAGCAAACAGACTACCAGATTCATCATCTGTCAAACGACCCTTATAAACTTGTCTTAGCAAGTGTCGTGATTTTTCGTAGACCATGGGAACCATGAGTGGTTGCGTTAATGCCGGATGACCGAATCGTTGACGCAAGCGATCTTTCTTTGCATCATTCTTGTGGACCATGGGTACTTGACTCTCACTCGCCTCTTCCAAGCAGTACTCAAATACCGTATCGTACTTTTTCCATAGAAATAGCTTAAAGGCAATGAGCAAGACAAAGATGGGCGCAACAGCGATGGCTGTATAGATGCGAATCTTGATCCAAATGACCACAAACAACACCAGATTGGCGAGTGCCAGGATCCAAAGCAGACGATTGACCAAGACGCGCCAGAAGCTGCCGCCAGATTCTACTTTGGTAATTGACACATACAGCAAAGTGTATTTGTAAGTGACCCCAGAAATGACAAAGTAGAGCAAGCCAAAGGGCAAGATTAGTGGAGCAATGGCCGCATAGGTCACCACAATCGTAAAGTTGTATAGGAAGGAGTTGTAGTAAGAGGCATAGTCGAAGGGTTGCGGTGCAGACCACTCAATCATTTCCCTAGGGCTTGGGGAGAAGAAAGTCCGTTTGACCCATTTGAGCACTAAAATCCAGATCTGTACCAAGTCCACGAAACATCCGAGGTTGCGCTGAGCCACGTACAGAATCCAAAAGGTGGAGGTATTGATGATGGCGTTGGACGCACCTGCAAAAAAGTCGCTCTTCTTCAAGGCACGCCAAAAGCCTGCGAATCCAGTCTGATCTTGCGCGGTTTGAACAATGCTCGAGACGACAAAGGACCAGACGACTCCAAAGAGGGTGAAGATGACAAAGTTGTTGACAAAGAAGAAGAGGTACAACTTGTGGAAAACGTTTCGCTCGCGAGACGTTTTCGTGAGTGATCCACTAAATTGGCTGAGTCGTCGCATGAGAACTGGTAGAAGCAAAAAGAAAAGGGTCAAAATCAGTGGTGCCAGCACACCTTGCACGGCCGCCCAGAGTTTTGGGTTTGCATTGATGCGGCCCTGAAACCAAGGCCAGACGTAACCAAGATTGTAGATATTTTGCAGAAAAGTGGCAACCAGCGCGTTGGGCACTGTCCAAAGAATACACATAAAGACAAATAGCACATTGCCAAAGATACGATTCGACGTGCGTGTACTTTGCCTTGTGCCCATGTTCTTCCAGATGATATCCCGTGGCTTAGGAGCTAGAAAGACGTTGCTGTCTCCCTTGTTGGCTTTGGCCACAGCATGAGCTTGGGGAATTGCAGGGTAAGAGATGAAACCATACGGCTTGGTGCGAAATGCCTCATATTCGTCACGGGCCACTTCAATCTGCTTCTCCAGAGAACGCACTCGCGATGAATAGTAGTCGATCGCGTCCTGACCTTTGTGGGTAGGTCGCTTGGCTGGCAGCTTATCTGGGTTTTTGAGATAGCTTGCCAGATAGCCTTCAAGTTTGCGCACTGCAGCTTCGTGACTCTCAATCAGCGCTGGGATTTTGCCCACATCACGGCCCATCTGGACTTGTGAATATGGCTTGGCCTGTTTGAGGGTCGAGGCGCGTTCCGCCAGTGCTGCATCAGACCGTGCTTGTGATGGCAAATCAATTAGCATGAGGGTGCGAGAATGCAGACTCGCTTGAAATTCATCGGAAGCAAAGTACTTGCGCCTGAGCTGAATGACACGCTTTTGATTATGCCAAATGAGAAGAAGCAGTGCAAGCGTAAAGATATAAGACATGCCGATATGTGCATAGAGCCAGCTGCCATACAGACCTGCCGTAGACAACTTTAGCAATGGATTGGTCCCGTTTGTATTGCTGCTGCTTAGCTTGTTCGTACCAATCAGGTTGACTGGGATGAGCACACCGCAACCAAGCACGGTAAGGAACAGCAGGTAGTTGCGGCACATGCGCAAAAACCGCAGAAAAATGACCGCATCCAGACCTATCCTCTCGAGCATGTAGTCCTCCTTGACACGCAAGACAGGCTTGATCCAGGCCCAGGGCGCATTGTTGAGCTTCGGCGGTGCAAACTTTTCGTCCGCATATTTGAGTTTTGGTGCATAGACGACGGTGTTGCGAGGCCGTAGCAGAGAGAATGCGACAAAAAGAATGGCGGAGATGCCCAAAGAGAAGCCAACAGACGACAATATACTGTTGACATCGAAATTGCCTCGGTCGGTATTGGCATTGCGAATGATGTCGATAATGTCTGGCTTAGACATGGTGAACGGTTGTCGTCAGAATGAAAGGTGAGATATGGATCTAGTCCAACAGATGAGCAGATGCACAGACAAAGATACGACGTCACGAGCAGGGGCCTGTGGGTGGTTGAATTTTGACAAAGGACTTTCTTTCCATCCAGGGATCGCTCTTTGTCGGCCGTGCGTCATTTTCAACGTCTTCTATTTATGGAAGCTGTCATGTGCAGAATCAACCATTTCACACAAAAGACCAGTATTGGGATTAAATGCTTGAGGGGAGTATATATGGACCTGCTTAGTAGCAAATCTAAATGCTTACTTCATCGGCCGCGCCTTCTTGTTCTTCGACTTCTTCGGTGCCTCGTCTGTGTTGCCCGTAATGTACTTGACAAGCTCTTCAACCGTCTTGTTGGAGACGTTGGCGAGCGGTTTGACAGTTGCACTGACAGCGGCAGCTTCCTTCTCCTGAACAGTGGTCGATGTAGCGTGCATTTTTTGCATAGACGCCACTCGGCTCGCTAGCGATGTACTCCTGCCTGCACCCGTAGATCGCGTTGCTTCGAGCCTCGCTTGTTTTGCCAACTGCACAGCATTCTGCGTCAATTGCGACAGCCAGAACTCAGCTTCTTTTGTGTTCTTGTTGTCTGCACCGAGCTCTCGCTTGAAGATGTTGAAGGAATCACGCATCTTGTTGATGCATTCGCGGTGCTGTCCTGCCATGGCCATGGCCTGTGCAATCTGGAAGTACAAGGTGGCTGCATTCAGACTGTCTGGTCCAAACACAGCAATACACACCTCGGCACTCTTCTCGAACCAAGCCAGGGAATCCTTAAACATGCGCAATGACTGGAGCATCACGGCCGTGTTGTTCATGGTCGTGATCATGTCTGGGTGGTCTTCGCCATAAATAACGCGCCACTTGGACAGAGCGTGCTGGATGTACGCAAGAGCCTGCTTCGTTGCACCATTCGCATGCTCCAGGAGTGCCAAGTTGAGATAGAATAGCACAGTCTCGTGATTATCAAGACCCAGAGTCCGCTCAGCGACAATCACAGCCTTGCGCGACAAGTCTGCAGCCAAGAGCTTGTCATCAAGGTTGCTGTACAGCAACGACAAATGGCTGTATCCCCGAGCGGCTCTTGGGTGTAAGACACCGTAAATCTGCTCGTGCAGTGACAGTGCCTCTGCCAACAGCTCCATGCCGAGCTCCTTCTGACCTTGAGCAAGCGTCAATCGACCAGCTTCCAAAGCTTCTTCTGCAAGTCCGGAATGAGGAGCAGAGTCCTTGACGACAGGCAAGATGGCCGTAATGTCATCGGGGATGAAGCGTTGGGTGCGCGCTGGCTCTACAATAGCTGCAGCGGCAATGGCAGCCTCCTTCTTGGCCTTTTTGCTCTTCTTCGCAGCTGTTGCCGTTTGTGGCTCTTCAGCATGGCCATTCGTCAGCTTCTGCTGAAGGGTGGCAAAGTAGTCGCGTGCTGCCAATTGAATGCCAAAGGCAAGACAGATCTCACGCAAGAGAGGCGCGCCGGCGACATCAACAGACCAGTTTTCTGGCAGTGTATAACGGAATCGGCGCGAGACCTCTTTCTCAATCTGCGCTTTGGCAGACGCAGGCGTCCACTTCTTGAAGTGTAAAGCATCTTTATAGAGATTTGCGACTTCAGGATCTACCACGGCTTCAGCTTTGTCTGAGAAGAGACAATTGAGGTAGTAAGCAATGGCAAAGCGAACGACGGCGAATGGCTGGGCTCGCATCGACCTGCTCAGAATATGCTTCACCGATCTTGCAATGACACTGCGTGTGCCGACCTTGACAAAGGCAGCGCATTTGCTGACAGCAGTGCCTTCCCGAGCAAGCTTTAAGACTTGGCCCAAGCAGCGCAAATTGATGCCTCGCTTGTGAAGGAGTTTCGACAAGGCTGCACCATCCATGGGGCAAGCCAATGCCCCATCGCGCAAATCTTCAACGAGCTTGGGAATAACGACCTCGTGCAGGTGCGTTGACAAAGAACGAACAAGCTGTTCGTCCTCTTCCTTTGCTTTGCGATCTTCCTCCGTCAATGTCTCAGGATACCGCGCGGTGAATGTGTCGGGGTTGAAGAGCAACTTGAAGCCGGAAATGTCAATGCGACGCTCTTCGTTTGCATCGGTCTCGGGGACGTCTGCTTCGCCCTTAGCAGCAACAAATTTGTCGCTCTCGGCTTCAGTGTCGCCCTCAGCGGCGACTTTTGTGAAGCCATCAGAGTCGAGACTCGCTGCACGGTCATGACTTTGCGTTGGCTCTGGAGGTGTATCCTTGATAGTCGCTTGTTCCTTCTTCGCCGCTGCCTCCTTGTCCTCTTGCTGCATCTTGTCCTGAACATAGGTATTGAGCTTCTGCTCCCAGAATCCCTCAACAAGCTCGTAACGCAAGGCGACCATGCGATGCGGGTACTTGTCCGACTCGACAGCCTCTGAACTACCACGGTTCTCAAAGCTGCCTAGATTCTCAGGACCACATTCGTTCTCGAGGAAGGCAATATCCACGGGCGTCAACCGGTACAAGTCCAAGATGTACGTCCGGCCATCTGCACCAGCCAGGCCTTTCGTCTCAACACTGAGCTCGAGTTCCTTCCTACGGTCCTCCTCCTTTTCAAAAACGGCGTGACGCTTAAGTCGCATGGTTTGTGCCACTTTGGCAAAAAGTTCGCCGCAATCCTTATCATCGGCAACGACATCGCGTCCGTCGACGCCGCCATAGATGATTTGTGATTCTCCTTCTGGGCGGGCCTTGAAGATGCCAGGAACGATGGACTGTGCGACAATGCGTTCACCACAGTAATCCACGACACATGTACCGAGCGTGCATAGCTTGTCCACGTCGAGCGACGAGAGGGCCTTGACACCGTTGACGTCCAGCGCAACAGCCTTGTGTGCTGCATCGTCACCGCCCTCACGGTGGAAGGTACCAACACCATCCAAACCATGAGAAAAGAAAATATTGCCATAGATGTACATTTGAGCATCGCGGTCCTCTGTTGGGTTCAATGGGATGAGTTCGCCCTTGACGAGGAGCTCAGCGCCCTTGGCTGCCGCTGCAGCGAAGTCGTACAAAGTCTTGGCCAACAAGCGCGAACGTAAGATCCGTTCCGGCAAAGGGGTTACTGGCATCTCGCGCGTATTTTGAATTTCTTCATTCCAGTCGCGCAATGATTCATTGAGATCAAAGCCATGTTCGAGGAACGGACGCTGGACGCGAATTGGATCTGCCGTAAGGGTTTGTTTATGTGCAAGCCAAGACACGGCAGGGGCAGCGTTGACAAGCGGCACGGTGAGGATCGCATCCCGGGTATTCATGTACGCTTCCAACTTGCTGTAGTGCGCTTTGAACAACGGACTCTGTGCTTTGAGAAGAGGCGACAAGGAATGGAAAACCTCACAACCAGATTTAATGGACGGGTCAAATTTGGACGAGCTCGAGTTGCTGACGTAAAAGCCATTGATGGTCGATGTAATGTGCAGATTGTCGCCTTCGAGTGTTGTGGCAATGAGATAGAGCAAGTGTCCACGTAGTCTGAGATCAGAGGGGACAGGATTCCACGCGGACAGTGCCAGTCTCTTGAGACTTGCTGTGACGGGGGACTTGGGTTTTGGTGCCAAATCAACCATAGATACGGCAGCGTGCACTGCATCTCCAGACAGGGGCGCAGGCTGATTAGCCTCGTCTTCAAGCTGCAGCAACTCGAATTGCGTCTCGCCGCCTGGGCCTATCGATGCACCACCGTGCAGGAAATCAAGCAGTCGGGTGACATGCACACGAGCTTCTCGTTCAGAGTACGGGTTTTGCACGAGCTTGAAGTCTGATTCTGCTTGCAGACCCTCGACACTACTCAGTTCTGCAAAGTCATTGAGTGCTTTGCCGTTGTACTCCAAATGGAAGCATGAGTATTGACAGGTGCTCGGTTGTTCGATAATGCTTTGCTTAATCTCATTAATTGTCTCTGATGCACTTGCTTGAATCTGAAAAGTGCTCGGGTCCGACTGAGGCAGCTGTACGGTGATGGTAAAGAGCTCTACACCAGATGTCAGCTTACGTACCACCTTGAGACGGGCGTGCGATGCATGTCTTACGTTGTGGGGCCTGGTCAGCGGTCTCGTCGTTGTATGGCTCCTGCTCTGCCATCTCTAAATGAATGTATTGTAGCCTCTAACTGGCTCAATGAAGGATGCAAGCACGACTCTCTCGCTACAGGGCCTCTGTAGATGGGGCACTGGGGGCTGTTCGGGGAAAGCAGGTTGCTCTGTGCCCGGGTGCAGGTTTGGTCGAGGTCGCGGCCATAAATTTTTCTTGTGACTGGCGAGATGGGCTGGCAGCGTCAACTTGATCCTACAGTATTTAAGTATGCACTATGCAACGACTGTGATGTCCCCAGCAGCAGTGACATCGCCGTTGACAGTCGCAGTATCCTCTTCATCCGCAGCAGCACTTGTCTTGTCGCCATCTCCAACCACCGTCTCGCTGTCCTGGCTTGCAAGCGCCTTGTCCATCGCTGCTTTGAAACGCACAAGACTCCGCTTCGTGACCATATCACTGCATCGTTCCAATACATCATCCAAATCCTCCACTGCCGTTTCAATCTGTTCCTGCTCGAATCGTCGCGGAAGATGCACTTTGCCGAGCATAGATGCAAGGACACGGCCTTCCTCCTTCTTGCAAACGCCCAGTCGTTTCAAAAGACCAGGCGCAATATGGACGACTTGACAAGCTTGAACGCTATCCATGGACTGGGCAGGCAAATTGGCAAGTCGTAGCGGGTTTGTCCATTCCATGAGTTGCGCGCCAACACTCGTCAATGCTGCCATCTCTTGCCGTTCCTCAGCGTCCAGTTCTTCGTATTGTCGTGAAACGCGGCGCATGACGCTCACGACAACAGTCGCAAATGCTTCTTGGTGCTGCGCTGATGAGTAGCAGTACACTGGGAAGAAATAGGCCAGGCATTGCTTGAGTGATTGATTGTCAAAGGACGCAGGGGAGTAATATAGCGTTGCCATCTCCTTGAGCAGTCCACGGGCATTGACTGAGTCTGGCAGAAGGATGTTGTGCAGGAGCAACTTTGAGACGGACAATGCAGCGGTCGCTTGAACCTCTGGAAAGTCGTCATTCTCAAAAGCCTTCAAGAACATGCGGACGAAACCTTCCTCTGGAGATGATTGTTCGGCCTCTTCTTCATCGGTCGATGCGATGACCGTTTTGAGTAGTGCTGGATGCGCCATGAGGATGTCAGTCACAATTCGAATCGCCAAGATGCGCATCTCTTCATGTCCTTTTGCAAAGCAGTAAATGAACAAATCCATGTTCTCTTCGGCCGTCTTCTTGTCTAAGAGGCAAATCAAGCTCAAGCACTCGATACCACGCTCACGAATAGGGCCTTCATGTGAACGAACGGCAGGATGAATAATGCTGCTCAAAACTTCCGTCAGCTTTGGATTACTTGCGAGCGTTCCTGTGAGGTTGAGGATCAGTGCGTGCACGAGGTTGAGTGCCCGTAGTGTTGTGAGGATGTACTTCACTTCGCCACTCGTCTCCTCTTTGCCATTTGGTGTGCCTGACTCAGCAGAGTGGAATGAAGCCTCTTCAGGGTCATCCTCGAGTTCATCATAAAGATCCGTCACCACCTCCCGCACAATACTGACGTACTCCACCTCGTTCACGGCAATCTTGCTCAATGCATTGACTGCAAGTGTCTGCACGTTGTCAGACAGCTGTGCGTGCAAGATCATATGCACGGTAGATTGAATGCGCCTGCGACCAATCTCATCTGAGAAGTCTGACTTCTGCACAATTTTGAGCAGATTCTCAATGACAAACTCTGTGTCGACCTTGTCCGCATCTTCTTGGGTTAGCGCAAGCTGTACTTGCTTCATGACAAGTTCAGAGAGCTCCGAGAGTTCAGGAAGTTTATCAGACAAATCTATCCCTTCCGTTGTGCATTGATCATTCAGGCAGCGCGCCAGGAAGACACTCTCCGGGTTCAAGTCTTGCCAGAATTCTTCATCAAATTGGATACTATCCACAAACTCCTTGCGAATCTTGAAGAAGGCTCGCATGACGTCTTCACCGACAGTACTATTGACGATATCGAGACGTTGCAGCAGCTCAAGAATTGAGCCATGGGCGAGATTGAGCCAATCTACTGCAAACATCTTTTCCGATGCCTTGCGCACAGATTCGTCACGGTCTCGCAGACCCCATTTGAGGAGCTTGTTGCGTTTGCTGATGGACAAGGGTTTGAAGCCTTGGATGGAAGGTAGGACAGTGGTGTAGATGTGTTTGCGCATGATGGGATCCAGGTCACGCGCGCGTTCTAACAAGAATGGCAAGGTTGCAGGGCTCTGACTGAGGTTGTGCAACACTGCTCTGCGTACCTCGGCTGCTGGATCATGTTGTAGTAGGTGCAGCATGACTTCAGTTATTTTGGTCGAGTCTTCATCCTCATCGACTTCTTCTTCCTCGTCATTCATATCAGCCTGGAAGCGAGACAGTGCAAGGACCGCTTGCACACGCACGCTCGCTTCCCTGTCTCGTACGCGACGAATGAGTGCTTTTTCAAGCTGCTTAAATAGATCTTCGTCAATCTCGGAGAGACCAGAAGACATGATGAATGCAAGTAGCTGCACAACACGATAACGCACATTCTTCTCCTTTGATTCCATACCACGCAACAGATGATGGACGAGGTCAGCCGTGAATTCGCCAAACAATTCTTGCTCGGCTTCATCTTCCGTAGCATCCAAAACAGAAACAAACAGCGCAGTTAGTTTGATGATGCGGTCTGCATTGGCATCTGCCTTTTTAAGGACAAGCACACGATTGAGGAGCGATAGGAACTCTTGAGTGAAGCGCTCGTTATGGAGCAGGTCTTGTTTGAGGAGAACTGCATTCTTGCGCGAGATGCGCGATGATTGAGCTTCTGTGAAGATTTGCGCGATGGCCGAGGGACGGACACGGCCTGGCATCTTTACAATGAGCAGCTGTAGATATATGTAATCAGAGCTTGAGGATGAGCAGCTGTCGGGGGAGGATCAAGTTCAACGTCGCGTCTCCCTCAAAACAAAAACAAGAAATCCGCAACAAGCACGTGCACTGCAACGACGCGACAGAAATTGAAGCACCGCAGCCTGATTCAGTGATTCGCAGGCCATCATCAAGGACTTCCCTTCAGTGGCAGGAGAGGCAGCAGACCCAATGGAGCAGACATAATGCCACCTGCAACAGACGAAGGGACCTCCGGCGATAGTCCCATGGACTTTCAACTCCCCGGCCATACCTTTGCAACAACTTCAACTTTATTCAAACGTCGCGCTCGTGGTCGATCGAGTGGCAGCACGAGCGCGCACCGTCGCAAGTCTCATCATGGATCAGGCGATCGTACGCCATTGCGGCAAAAGACACACGCGCAAGTGCAAGCAGAAGATGACGCGAGTTGGTTTCGTGTGCCGCCTGCAGCGCGTGAGACACTTGTCAAGCAAGCAGCGACAGAAGAGCCAGAGCGGACAGAGGAAGATCTTGCCAGAAGTAGGCTGTTGATTGAGTTTGGTGAGGTGTGTGGACATTTCCCTGTCGAATTGTATCGATCATTGATGTTTATGCGACAACTAGATGCCGCCTACCTTGCAAAATCGCGCGCATTGGACGAGTTGTGTCGAGATTTACAAGCAAGTACGACTTTGACAGAGTCTCTCGAGCTGAGGAAGCGAATCACTCAATTGATGCAGAGTTCACGTTCAGATCGGGCAGAAATCGCCGCTGAAGTCAACAAGCTGCAGACACTGGTTGAGCATCATGCTGCTAGTCTGCGGCAGGAGATTCGCAAGATTGAAAAGCCAGCAGAGAGTCTGGCAGCGACGAACGCGCACCTAGCTGCTGTTCAGCGGATGGCAACGGAAGATGAACTCTCTCAGCCGCGGCAACCCGAGATGGCAACGCCAAGAAGTCATAAACCAAAAAGCAAGAGCAAGCAGGCACAACGGAAACCTGCAGCAGAAGCAACATCTACCCCCGACCACTCAGCAGCCAAGGATAAGGTCGAAGACGCGTATGATATTCCTATTGATGACGATGAGCCAGTATATTGCTACTGCAACCGCGTCTCCTTTGGCAAGATGCTAGCCTGTGAGAACGACGCTTGCGAGGGTGGTGAGTGGTTTCATTTCGCTTGCTTGGGCTTGACGGGTGCACCGAAGGGCAAATGGTACTGTGACACCTGTCGCGAAGGTGGATTTGATAGTCGCCATCCCCCAAAAGCACAGGAGACTGCACATCAAAGAAGAGCCCGGGAAGCCAGGGAGCGCAGGGAGAAGGATGCAAAGAGAAGACGGTCACGGCGGTAGTCTCTTTTGATGAGTGCAGCTGTGACTGCTATATTTCACTCTACACCAGATGACGTCAGTTGATTGGCCAGGACGCAGCTCGGGAAACGTGCGACGAGCAGCTGTAGCCCATGTTGGCTGTGGGGTGGGCGGCCTTCATAAAGTGCCAAGGCGAGCCCATGTTGTCATGCAAACCTCTTCCCTACACATCCAATCCATTCAACTATCATCATGTCAGCACCCCTAGGACAACCAGGCGCACCAGCAGGAGCAGGCCAGCAAGACGCACTTGACAAGGGCGTGTCTTTTGTAAGTTTCTTGTTATCAGGAGAGACATGTTGCTAATCCTACTAGATGAGCAAGAAGGCCGGACACTCGACCAACGCAGGTACCACCGAGAAGATCTCTGATGGAATCCGCTCTGGCTTCAAGAAGATAACTGGCAAGGACGTCCCTATTGCAGACAAGCAGTAGTTTTCGACACTCATCTGCCATAGTGAAACAAATAATCCTGCCTTTAACCTTGGTGATATTGTACATGTTCTTTTTATAAAATGAGAAGGACCTCTCATGTACGACGATCCCGTACATTGGCATTCTCCAGCCTGTACTTGCGCAGGTCCTTTGTATAGTCCACCCGACTGAAATCCGCCTCCCACGCAGGCAGCCGAACAACGCAGCAGCTCGCATTATCATCCGTTCCCAAATGCTGCGCTAGTAGGACGAGTTCTTCAGCTGCACGAGCAGGTGTATCCGTATCAAATGTCTTGACCACATCAATGATCTCCTGATCGCTCAAAACATCCGTCACACCATCCGTACACATCACCATGAACGCATAGCTCTCTGCATGACAATCAACAACTGCCAATTGCGGCTCTGCACTGACTCCAACTTTCTTCATCTTGGCATCACCAAAGGCTCGCGTATTGGCAAATTGACCAAAGCGTTCAGTCCCAAAGGAATCAGTTGTGAAGCGCGTCGTGAAGCGTCGAAGCCGTTCGAGCTCTGCCGGGGAAGAAGGATGATGGTTCGTTGTCAGGACTTCTGACAGACCGCCCTTTTCTGTTGAACACAGCAAGATGCGTGTATCGCCCACATGCGCTGACGTGATGGTGTACGTGCTGGAATTCCAAAAGGGCTGATCATCATGCGATTGAATCAACGCAATCGACGCAACAGCGCCAGCTTCCGCATTCTCGCGGATGTAGTGCAAATCTGCGCTCAGAAAAGCAGCAGTCAGTCGAGCTTCAAGGGATAGCTGGTCTGTGTTGTCTGGATCAAGGCCGCCGATGTAATCTTGCAGAACTTGCGGCCTGAACCTTGCAAAGTACCCACCCACCTCCTTCCGCCATGCTGTCACCATCTTGGCAATTTCTCTTGACCGGACCCCTTCAATATGATCATGCAAGTTCTCCTTGAGCCACTCTGAGCACGTCTGTCCACCATGCCCATCAATCACGGCAAAGTAAAACATCGTCTTATCCTCTGTTGTGGATTTATTGACAAGTTTGTTGAGTGTGCCAACACGTAGCCTATCTTCATTGGTAGGCCGATCGCCACGCGATGAGTATAAGCCGCAGTGCGCTTTGGCTTTGGCGATAGGAATTCGTACTTCCGGCCGGTCACGCGGTGTATAGTAGTCGTGAAAGGTACGCCGATTCGCTGTGCAGCAGTCTCTTGGATTTATACGGATACAGCGCGTCAGACTCAGACCTGTCGTGCGAACCATCACCCAGGACAGCTCAAGGCCCGCAGGCTCGCGTGCAGCTGGAGGTCGCGGTTGTGTGTCTGGCGCTGTTTGCGTTGTCGATTCTCGGTTTGGCCGATGGAGCAGGTGGCCCATCTGAACAAGTCGTCGCCATGAGATGCAGGCTAAAGCCGCGTACTAAAGCGGAATCGCTCATGGCCAAGCTCAGCTATGTATGCCTTTTATCGGCATGTTATCGTCTTGAATGTACAAAGGAGCAGCATCTGACTATCAGATTTGGCAGTCTGTCTCTTGGAGGACCGCTGTTCAGCGAGAGCTACTGGATTGGTTCTGCCGGCTCTATGGCTGCGAACATCTGCTTGACTTGGATCATTTCAGATGCTAGAACGCAGGATATCTATATCTGAGCCTGAGTCTCGAGCACTCGAATCTGGCAGCCTGTTCACTGTATAGGTCTGTATCACAGTCTACCAATCGATGCACACTGTAGAGTCCATAGACGCAGCAGCAGATCATCGGGCAATTTCGAGCACCGAAACCGGCCAACGGACTTCATCTCAACGGCCTGGACCACGACTCCACACCATTGTGTCAGCATCCTGAATGCCGTCGCCAACCTTATAAGGGCGCAGCACACTGACTTTCCCGGCAACTTAGATCCGCCGTCTCTGCATCTGTTCCAAAGAGGTCCAGATCTGACTCAATTCAGTATATCCCGGGCCAGTGACAGGTAGGCATGACAGCATGCGGACGGAAGTCACACAATAAGCGCGTCTTAGTTTCGAGGCACTCATACTGTTGGCCTTGACAATCTACAGTACTTAAACCGAGCTGCCTGCTGCTACTTTCTTCTTAGATAGTCTATTCAAAATGCTCGCGTCCATCGCCCTCTCCGGCTTGTTCTCTGTCGTCACCGCCAGCCCGGGATACAACATAGCCAATCTCCCTCTCGTGCAAGCAGGCATCATCCCCAATGTTTTGCCTGACTTCAATCCTCAGACATTCCCACTCCTCAAATTCACCACGGATGTTGCTTTCCTCGGCAACAACATCCCTCAGGCAAGAGCTGCGTACCCACCAGCATTGAGCTTCTTTGGATCACCCAAAGATCTGTTCACCCTCGCTATCGTCGACCCAGATGCGCCGGAACGCAACAACAACATCATCTCACAGGTGCAGCACTTCCTTGCCTTCAACATCCCAGGCAACACACTTGCTGGCAACCTGTCCACCCTAGGGGATCGTCCAGCCGGGTCCTTTGGGTATCTGGGTCCCTCACCACCCGCTGGCTGTGGAACACACCGCTACGTGATTGCTTTATTCAAGCAACCTGCCCAAATTGATCCGGCTGTCGCAGGGTTTGGTACTGCCAGGTACCCACTCTTCTTCAACATCAAGTCCTACGCTGCTGCCAACAAGTTGCAGCTTGTGGGTGCAAATTATTGGCGTACAACGGCAGCACCTGCACCATTCTGCACATTCTTTACGGATGCAAGTGAGACTGTCATTGCACCGGAATTTGCTGTTGGCTTTGGACTCGGCACTGATCCCTCTGTATACTCGAAGCAGCCAAACTAGCCTTTCCAGGAACTTTGGTAAATAGGTTTCGTAGTAAGCATATTCTCGTGGTCCTCTCACACCTCCGTATGACTGTAGCCCGAGGCAAAGGTATCTGGCAGGGGATCTCTGAGTCTCTAGGCTTTCAGATGGTCCAACAATATCGTGCCTCGAGTCGGGCATTCTCCAATGCAGGACTTCAAGCATGCCTCACTGCTCATTTGATGGACAAGAGTCTATTCACCTCCATTGTTCGGCAGCATAAGCCCAGCAAACGCTTCAAATAGAGCACGCTCATAGATGTCATGCACACGTGCACCGCCTCCGCTGAATGTTTTGTCACGCTTGAGTGCGGACAGCGTAACATCTTCGTAATCACCTTGCACATTGTACAAGTCTGTAGGCTGGCCCATCCCAAGCATTGGCGAGAAGGGCGTATCGGCTTGTTGCTTCAGCTGCTGCAGTCTTCCTTTTGTCTTTTGGAAATGCCTGAGTTGTGCTTGCGCATTTGCAGCACGCGCATCAGCATCACGCTTGCGAGCCTCGAGACGACGCTTAGCATTCTCTTGCGTTTCTCGAACGACGGCCTCTACATCCGCTCCAGCTGCCATTGCAGACAATAATTCTTGGCGTGACTCTGCTTCCTCGAGGATTTCCTGTTCCTGCAATTGCAGTGCTTGTCGCGCCGCTTCTGCTTTGGCTTCCTTTTCATACTTGGCAGCTTCCATCGCCAGGGCAACTTCTGCTTTCTCTCGGGATGTATTGGTAGAAATGCTTTGCTTGTTGGCATACTGGTACGCCTTGACTTGCTTTTCTGTTTCCGCCACATCGACACCCTGAGTCAAGTTGAATGTGATCATCTCCACTTGCTCTAGGTAATCATTATAAGCCCTCAGACTATCGAAATCTTCTTCAGTCTTGTTGTAGATGCGATTGAGACGCCGCCGCGTATCGACTTCCCGCTCAATGACTGCATCACTAAAAGTCTGCTGCCGAAACTTGTTCCTCCGGAGTGTTTTGGAACAGATGGGACACGGCGCTGGTCCAAGAGTGAAGATTCTAGAAACGCATGACTCACACATCTTGTGATAGCATTCTGGGTTGACCAGGAACTTCATATTGGGATTGAGATAGCGGTCTGATGCGCATACGGGGCATTTCTCAAGCTCTGCTTCGACCATGGCGGCTCAGAGTTATATCAAGCAAAACAGTAAAGCTGCACAGCGTATGAATGCGATAAAAAGCGTCTAATGTGACGAATTGACTGGGCAGAGGTTGCTTGTTCGAGGTCCTGGCAGTTGGGACGCGCCTGCGACGATTTTGACGGACAAAAAGAGTTGGAAGCACAACGAGACCAAGACTCAATCTAACACACAGCCTAGCCATTGCACGAGGAGCGCAGCAGGCACTGTACGATCGCCTCGCCTGTATCGTACAATAGCAAGAACCATCGGCGACTGTGGTCTTTCGCAACACGGGAAAGGGAAGTTCAATTATCTCACTGAATTGCCACCATCAGGCATCCGCCGCTCATCGCTCATCATTCACAACGACTGCCTGTTGCTTCAAAGACCTGACCACTGCACGCTATAGACAATCGCAACATCATCTCTTTTTGCCGACCAGGGACCTCTCATCTCGCGCAACCTACACTCTTTCTTGACGACTTCGCAACAACCTTTTATCGCATTCTCAGCATCTAGCGTGTTTCTCAATCCATTGTCAACTTGTTTCTCTGCTTATATTACTTTCTCTTTTCAGCTGCATCTGCTCTATACTAGCCTCATCCACACCTAATCATGCCTCCAAAGAAGAATAAAAAGAAGGCGTCCGCTGCGAATTCAAGAGGTTTCGCAACAACTTCAGTCGCTTCCAAAGCTAAAGAAGCTGCATTGGCAACCCCAGTCGAGTCTCCCACTCCACCTGAACCTGTTGTGGAACTGGCAGAACCACAAGACATCGTTATTGACCGAGAGCGCGCTGCCCAAGAGGCACTCGAATCTGCAACAATCGTGGAGAATGGCACCAGAGCCTTCAACAAGATATGGAGTGAGGTGCAAGTCGAAAGACGCTCTCGCAAGGCATGCATCCCTATTGCTCTGCCTGAAACAATCATTGCTCAAGTTCTGACACTTGCTCAGGCAAGTACTTCTCGACTACAAAAACAAACGGCTGCAGAGTCTATGAGTGATCTCTACTGTGGCGAGATTTTGCTTCGTGAGCTGGGCCTTTCCGAAGACCTGGTTAAGACAGTCCTGACGCACACTGCGATGCCAAGCAGTCCGGAGAAGCTCCTTTACTATGTGAGTTCACCAGCTGTCGCAGCCCTTGGCTAATACTAGATTGCAACCGCCACTGATCACGACATTCTTTACGACTTTCTACCTGAGCGGCCAATGACACCCGTCGAAGACGATCGAGCATTGACGCCCCCACCGTCCGCCAAACCTCGCAATAATCGCGTGATGGAAATCTACTCTGACGAGGAAGACCAAGACGAAATCGCAGCATCACCAAATAAGTATTACGTTGAGAATCAGCTCAATCTCCTCGTCATGCGAGGCCGCATCAAAAAAGAGCCTGATTTGGCGCCCAATATTGCAAAGCTTGAGAAGCGCTCGCGCGTCATTGCATGTCAGATTGGGTTCAACAGGCAAAGTGCAGCGAAGCAAGTTCAGCGCGCTGTACAAGGCGGTCATCTTGCACGGGCAGCTCAGACACGCAAATTGGAACTGACCAAAATGCAAGCTGCACCAAAGGCTGACAGCCCTGTGGCTATTCCAGCCGTCCTCCAAGAAGAGCAAGTCAGTGACAGTGAGAGTGACAGCGACGACGAATGGATGGCTGTCCAAGGCTCCGGGTCCCGCTCTTCGTCACCATCTCGAGCTTCATCTCGTGCGAGCCTTGTGCTGGTGCCTGATGACCTTACCACTGATCAAGTCAAACAATCGGCTGCTTCAGATGTCGAGGAAGAAGAGCTTGGTGTCTCGGCTCTCTTCGCTGCTGTCGATTCGCCTCCCACGACAGCGAGTTCGCCTGATGAATCTGTTGCTCTCTCGCCCTTCCCCCTAGTTCTGCCACGTCTCTCACAAAACGTCAGCCCAGTCAAGCTCCTTGAACAGCGCCTCAAGCGTGCAGACAAGTCTGCCAAAATTGATTTTCTGGACAATAACACCAAACTTGTCATTCGCTTCCGTTCAGCAAAGGTATCGCGCCGGAAAGTGTCTGTTGATGAGAAGCTCTATGGCTTCCCTGATCAAGACACCGCACGCAACTTCTTGAGTATGCGAGCATTGTTCTCCGTGCCAGAGTTGGCGACTGAGAATTTCGGTGCCCGATTTACGGGTGAGTTTCGCGACGCTTGGCGTATACTTAAAGACGAAGATGCCGAAGTGCAACGACTCATTGTTGAAGGCAAGCTCCGCAATGTTCGAGAGGTTCACCTGGCACGCCAAAGTCTTGTAGTGCCATCTCCAAAGACCGCATTGGGCCCTGCCGCACTCCCTTCGAGTCACCGCAGCCACCACAAGACCACGCGCGACACTTCTGATGTCAATGTGCAGCGCATGTTTGAGCAAATGAGGTGCTCGGAAGCCTACATGACCATGTATGAGCATCGTGCTCAGCTGCCCATCGCAGCATATCGGTCCGATTTGCTACATGCTATCCAAAATAATCAAATCACCATTCTCTGTGGTGAGACTGGTTGCGGCAAGTCCACTCAACTTCCCACCTACATCTTAGAGTCTGAGCTGGCAAGCTCTCGTCATTGCAAGATCTATGTTACTGAGCCAAGACGTATCAGTGCCATTTCGCTGGCGATGCGAGTCAGCTCTGAGCTTGGCGAGCCACGTCGTGCAATTGAGCGAGGCGAGTCGTTACTTGGTTTCAGCATTCGACTCGATTCTCAAATCAGCGACAATTCTCGCCTTGTATATGCTACCACGGGTATTGTCTTGCGCATGCTTGAAGAATCACCTGATTTAGGCGGCATCACACACTTGATACTCGACGAGGTGCACGAGCGCAGCATCGAGTCTGACTTTTTGCTCATCGTCGTACGGCGTCTCCTTCGCACCAGGCGCGATCTCAAGATTGTGCTGATGAGTGCAACGCTGCAAGCTGAAGTGTTCAATGATTACTTTGGCGGTCATTGCTGCATCTTCAAAGTCCCCGGCCGTACATTCCCTGTCGAACAAAAGTTTTTGGAAGACGTGATTGAGTCAAGTGGCTATATCTGTGACGAAGGCAGCTATTTTGCGAAACGCGGCGCCGTTGCTGAACGTGTCAACACGGAGTGGGAAATTCCTGAAGACCGCGAGGATGAGGATGAAGATGCCGAAGAGGACCTCATTACCTACTCTGACCGTACAAAGAGGGCACTCAAGCTATTGGATCCCTACAAGGTCAATTTTGATTTGATTCTCAAGCTTCTCGACAAACTAGCCAAGGAGCCCTCGACTCTGACACAGGCAGTCTTGATTTTCATGCCAGGTATGGGTGAGATTCGCCGTTTGTTCGACACATTACAAGCACACAAAGTCTTTGGCGACGAGCGAAAATGGCTAATATATGCACTGCATTCAAGTATCGCCAGTGATAAGCAGCAAGCTGCCTTTGATGTCCCACAGCGGGGCATTCGCAAGATTGTCATTGCCACCAACATTGCAGAGACGGGTATCACGATTCCAGACATTACCTGCGTCATTGATGCTGGTAAGCACAAAGAGTCTCGCTTCGATGCTCGTCGACAGCTGAGTAGACTTGTGGAGACATTCATTGCAAAGGCGAATGCGCGTCAACGCATGGGTCGTGCTGGGCGAGTGCAGCCAGGTGTTTGCTACCACCTCTTTTCTCGAGCGCGCTTCAACAAAATGGCTGAACACCAGCTGCCAGAATTTCAGCGTCTCAATCTCGATGAGCTTGCGCTGCGTGTCAAGACGGTTGGTATGGGTGGCATCGAAGAAGTATTGCTTGAAGCACTGGACGCGCCTACTCCCGAAAATATCAAGCGATCTATTGCCAGTCTCATTCAAGTGGGTGCTCTGGACGAAGATCAAAATCTGACCTCGCTTGGTCGATACTTGGCCCGATTGCCAGTAGACGCAACACTCGGAAAACTCATCCTATACGGTGTACGATATAGCTGCCTAGACCCTTGTCTGGTCATCGCTGCTGCGCAGAGTTCCAAGGCGCCCTTTGACACGCCCATGGGCCGCGAACGCGAGGCTTCGGCTGCCAAGCAATTGTTCAGTCGTGGCGATTCCGACTTTTTGACGACCTGGACGGCCTATCAGAAATGGCGACAAGTGTGCATCGACAAACCCGCTCACGAACAGAAATTCTGCCGGGATAGTTTCCTGAATGGCAAGTCTCTAGCTGCTATTGAAGAGCTGAGACTCCAGTACCTCAAAATTCTGGTCGATGCAGGCTTGCTGCAAGTGGGCGAACAGGATCGTCGAGCCATTCAGCGTGCTCGATTTATGAGCAGTCGCGATGGATTCATCAGAACACCTGCACACGTTGAGCAAAACACCGAGACGCACACCTACATTGAGTTGTGTATCGCTGCATCCTTCTATCCCAACATGGTCAGCTGTCGCGATGGCTTCAAGACCGTCTCAAAGGGCCAAGTGGTGTCCATTCATCCCTCGTCTATCAACCATGGCAGCTCTGGCTCGTTTGCAAAGCCGTGGGTAGCTTTCTTCTCGTTGCTCAAGACAAAAGGCCCGCTCTATGCGCATGACACTGGGCTCGTTGATGATTATGTTGTTGCTCTCTTCTGTGGCAATGTTGAATTCAAGCCTCTTTCCGGCATCATCAGTATCGACAGGAATCGCATCCGCTTCCGAGTGGGTAGTCTGCGGACATGCATTGCACTCGCAGTATTGCGAAACAACCTTGCACGTTGCTTTGCACGATTCATGGACAGGCGCACGTCGCTCAATGAAGCTGTTCAAGATGAGGAAGCGGCGTGGCTCAACATTCTTGGAGAGTTGATCAAAGACTTTGATGAAGTGCATCGCCAACGTCTACGATAATGTACAAGATGAGTTGTACATGCTATCTATGCCACGGCACTCCCTATGCTGCCTCCTTCATGTAGTGTTCGCACGAGACGCATGTCCCAGTCTTGCATTTTGTCTCCTGTCGGTGTTTGGTCCCTTGGCACAAGCTCATACTCTCTCGCAGCACAGTTATTGTAGTAGTAACCTCCCACACGCTCTGCTTCCGGCAGCGGGTCCAGTCCAAGAAGGTAGCGAATGAATGCCCCATGACTGACCACTGCGATCGCTTCTCCGTCAATGGCATCCTCAGCACTTGCTAATGCAGCGAGGTGTTGACGAACGATATGTGCACGCTCGTGCAAGCGTATCCGATCGAAGCTGAACAAGCCCCGTTTCGCCAACCACTCTTCTTCTGTTCCATCCGCTACAGCTGCGTCACTGCGTGACCAATCCATCGCATCCACGCACGCTTGTGATGCATCATTGAATACAATCGGCGCATTCGTCTCGTTGCGCACAAACGCAGCAATGCGACGTTTATTGCATGCCGTCGTCTCTGGGATATCACTTGGCCAGTTACCCGTTTCTTGAAGTTCTGGCATGACTTTCGCATCACCCATCAAACTCGACTCATACATTCCATTCTGTGCTGTCGTATTCATAAGACCCGCCGCTTCTGCTTCAGCCGGCCGCGCTTGGAGCTCAGGCTCATACGTGAGTGTTGCCGATGGGCCCAATGCGACTGTCGCTGTTTGTAGCGTTCTCAATAGATTTGATATACACGTGTATCGTATACGATGTGGCCCGTCGCCAGGATACGCGCGTGCGAGCTGTGCGCGAAGGTGGGTCGCTTGCGCAATCCCTAGTGGCGTCAAAGGTGGATCGCGTAAGTGGACTTGTCCGCCGTGGAGGTTTGATTCGGCTTGAGCGTGTCTGATGAGGATGATGCGCCTTCTCAGACGCCGGGCTGATGCATTGCCTGTCTGCATTGAGCTGGTCGGATGCCTGGACTCAAGTAGACGGTGGATGGATGTCTTGCTGCTGCTGCTTCACTGCGGGAGAGAAATCAGATGGGAAGGAAAGGGCGACTTGAACAGAGTCTTGATCTATTGTATGCAGCATTCTAAGTCATGGTCTTTCTACATCATAGTACACTGGCGATGGACAAGGAGGGAGATGTTCTCTAGAACCACTCACCCTGGTCGTGCATAGCACCAGCAACCTTGAGGAAACCAGCAATGTTGGCACCGGCCACAAGCGAAGGCAGACCGCCCTTGCTAGGCTTGCAGAACTCCTCTGCCGTCTTGATGGATTGCACAAAGCAGTTCTCCATGATACTGGCGAGCTTGGCGTCAACCTCCTCGCTCGTCCACGACACTCTCGCCGAGTTTTGTGACATTTCGAGACCAGAGACAGCAACACCACCAGCGTTGGAAGCCTTGCCCGGGCCGTAGAAGATGGCCTTCTTTGAAGAAGCAACTTCACGTGCAGCCTCAAAGGCATCAATGGCCTCTTGTGTGCAACCCATGTTGGAGCCCTCAGCAATGAACATGCAGCCAGACTCAATCAAAGCCTTGGCTTCGTCACCCGAAACCTCGTTTTGTGTAGCAGATGGCAAGGCAACGTCACACTTGACATGGGTCCAGGGACGCTCACCCTCCTTGTACACGTACTTGCTCGTGTCCTTCTTTGAGCAAAAGTCGCTGAGTGAGCCGTGCTTGAGCTTCAGAGCACCAATCTCCTCGACGTCTTCATTTGTGAAGCCAGCCTCACAGATAACAGCGCCTTTGGAGTCGGAAAGCGAAACAACCTTGCCGCCGAGCTCGTTGACTTTGAGAGCGGCGTACTGAGCAACATTGCCGGAACCAGAAATGGCGACTGTCTTGCCCTTGAAGGACTCTGCACCATCGGTTGCGTATTTAATCATGTGTGCCACGTAGTACACAAGACCAAACCCAGTGGCCTCAGGACGGATGAGCGAACCACCCCATGAAGCGCCCTTTCCGGTGATCATACCTTCAAACGAGTTTTGCAGCTTCTTGAAAGCACCAAAGAGGTAGCCGACCTCGCGACCACCGACACCGATGTCACCAGCTGGAACATCGAGGTTCTGACCAATATGTCTGTACAGGCATGTCATGAAGGCGACACAGAATCGACGAATCTCATTGTCGCTGCGACCCTTGGGGTTGAAGTCAGATCCACCTTTACCACCGCCCATCGACAAACCCGTCAAGGCATTCTTGAAGATTTGCTCGAAACCGAGAAACTTGAGAATAGAGAGATTGACGGTTGGGTGGAATCGCAGACCTCCCTTGTATGGACCGAGGGCGGAGTTGTACTGCACACGGAATCCACGGTTCACCTGGAGCTCGTGGTTGTCGTCCTCCCAAACAACACGGAATTGCAAGACACGCTCGGGGATGGCAATCACCTCGAGGGCTTTCCTGAGTTCAGGCCGCTTCTCAAACAGGCTCGAGGACTCGATGGTCGACTTGAGCTCGTTGTAGGCTTGCTCAAACTAGATTGTTAGCGTATTGCCGCAGGTCGTGTGTGACAGTACCTCTGGCTCCGAAGGAAGGTTAGACATGTTTGAGTACTAGTCTTTGGCTTTGGGTGTAGCTTGTGCCTGCTCCAGGGCATTATATAATGGTCGTGTATATGTAAGAGTCGCCTGTCAGCCACAAGATAGGCAACGCTCCTTATCTCTCTGGCAACTGCCGACCCGAGATCTCAGAGAGATTATAAGCCATCAACGCAGCCTTCAGAAAGCGCGGCGATATCGATGTTTGCATCAAGATGACGAGCACACAGCATAGCGAGGACTTGCCAGGATGTCTTGGACACCGATGACAAGCTGAAAACAACGCCTGCCTGCCTAGCAGCCTTGTTCCGATGTCGGCCGCAATCTCACCTGTCGAAATAAATTGTGGCAGATCTCATCTCGCCCGCGAATCCCGCGCAAGCCGCAACCTCAAATGCCGTCCTATGCGCACCAGGACTCTTACTTCTGTCTCAAACTACAGCAACAACATGGGTCGAACGACTGGGGCATGGTTTGGAGCTTGCCTAGTATGCCTACTGCCTGATGCTTGAGGAAACCTGTCAGCTCCAGATGAGGAGGAGCCCTGGTCGCTGGCCTTGTTCGGAGTTGCGCTGCGAAGTACGCGGGATGATCTCCGAACATGTGCTCAGCATCAGATGGCCTCACCAAAACACAATTTGCCTGTCTACTTGGACAACCTTCCTACCAGGCTCTTTTCTTGACCTGTCCACTGCCGGTCCAGTCTGAGACTTGAGCTGCATACAAAGTTGCTCATAAATGGCTGCACAGCTGGCATGGGCGGCATAGGATAGTCTATTGGCAGTACCTTCACACAAGCCAGCAAGTCTCTCGCATTCCAACATCTCTTGGTTCGCATGCTGCAGTATCTAGCGTGTCAATTCCATTTCTAAGATTGGAATCTCTTACCAGACTTGCAGTGAAGCCAATGTGTTGCAATACGAGGACGCGTTCAACGAGCACGCTCTGACAGGCTCGACAAAACAAAGCAGTGCTGCGGTCACAAGAACCACACAATGTCCCCTCAATCGTCGTCTCGAGTAGAGAAGCTACCCATAAAGTTGTGCGAATATCGCTGATGACTGCTGATCAGTATCTCCGTGTGTAGCGACGGCATACCATGGTGCTTGATTTGCTTGGTGGTCCTGAGCAAGCTAGACGAGATTGCCACTGCTTGATCCACATCCAGTGGCAGGACTGAGGTCTTTCGTAAGATGCGCCCTAAACGACAAGTGTCGAGGTGACACAGCATGCGTGCTTTGCATCGCCCCAGCAATTGCAATGCAGCTACTGTAGGCAGACATTCAAGGGGTAAGCTTAGCAAGTCTAGGTCCTCCAACTTGTTGCCCACCTCGTCAACAGCCGCGTGACAGAGCGAAAGCAAGGTGGCTGCTGCACCCAAGCTTGCATCTGACAGACTCATGTGTTCAAACACTTGCTGAGACTCGGCTGTCTTGAGGAACTGCGTCAGATGATGTAGGAAGAAGGGTTGGCGAAGAGATTGCTTGATGGCCAAGTTACCATGTCCTGCATAGCGCAGTAGTGCCAATGCTTGTAGAGAGATGAGCAGTGCTTCCCATCGCCATGCTTGAGACGCGTCTTCTGCAAGCGTATTGAAATGATGGATGAGCTTGTGAGTGCACCCAGCGAGGAAGTTGAGCCAAGAGGACGACTCTGTCAGGCAGTGATGCTCCAGTGACTCAAGTGGCAGGTTCAAGAGCTCATCCAGCTGCGCTCTAGAGTCCTGCAAGTCTTCCTGCGCCAGTGGAAAGAGTCTCTCAAACAAAGGAGGCATCGTCGACATACTCAGTAGGTGTAGTATCATGTCATAAAGTATAGTAGTACAGCAATAGCTGCAGCACCCATTCGTCTACTCTGCTGCTTCCTCCTGCAGCTTGGCAACACGTACCACGTCGTCTACGCGGTCGAGCAGTCCCTGCGTATACTGTACACCTTCCTTCCGGCGCTTGCGTAGTGCTTCACGGTCACCCTCCCCTGCATCATCCCGGCTGACAATACCATCCAGAGCAAACAGCTTCTGCAGTAGGAGCTCAGCCAACATATCATGCTGCTCTTTCCGTTGCTTCGCCTCCATCACTTCTGGACCCGTATACATCTCCACCTGTGGTGCCAGGTCACGCTCGATACCGGCAAGCAGCGCATTGAGTTGCTCCAGTGGCGACAACAGCGCCTCCTCCTTCTTCTTCTCCTCTAACGCTTGTTGTCTTTGCCTTGCTGCAGCTACATCGACATTGCCTGGTTGCTGCGCCAGTGGCTCACGCGTCGCCATACAGAGTACTTTGGAACCGCTCTTCATGCCAACAGAAACCAGCTTGACTGCGTCATCACCCAATATCTTGCCTCGAAAGAGCAGCTTGACGTGGTTCGCCGGCGTCTTGGTGATTTCTGTACATTGCTGGCGTAAATCTCCTACGGTTGCTGAGCCAGACTCAATGGACCCTGGGAGAAAGTCGATTTCGTAGCGGTCCTTGCCATGGGAGACTTCGATGATGTTGTCCTTGCGCGTTCCGAAGAACTTGTCAAATATGCTGGCCATGGCTGTCTGTGCAGATGGCTCTAGATTGCTAACAAGATGCAGGTCACTGTAGTTGCGTGAATTGCAGAGCGACGTCAGAGAAAACAACCATCAAGGCACAACACAACACAAGATGCCTCTCTAGCCCAAGCGGAACGACGCTCATTGTCTGTCTGCGGCTGCTTGCCTGATCTGTCTGTTGTGCATGACCCGGGGCTACTGCTTGTCCGAGCTCATTCCTCTTCAGCGTGTGTGGACACTGTACGCAGCGCTACATTGATCACTTGAGTGCTCAAGGCACTATAGGCCACGAAGAGAATGAATCCCAGCGTCGGCCCGTATTCTAGCACTCAGCAAACCTATGGGAGCGCGTCTTCGTCCTTCTATTCTTCCGCAGAACGGGACGTGTATGCCAGTACACCGCGCTCGGCAACGGCTCATCTATCGCGTTCTCCAAGCCCACAGGCATCCACGGGTCTTGATAGACAGCCGGTAGCTTGGCCGATACAGCCTCAGACGAGCTCAGAGTCTGCGTGCAGTATCACTTCGTCTGCACGTAGCAGCCCAGTCAATAATACTCGCATACCTGTGAGACGTGGATCAGGGGCACCCATCCCATCAAAGCATCTGCATCGTCAATACCCGCTTTCGAGGAGTCCCGAGGGTGTCCTAAGTGATCAATCAGCTACAAACACGAATGGCCTAACAGGACGGCAACTTTACGATGAAGATGGTTTCTTGATATCAGGAGAGGATGAACAGGCGCGTGCGCCTCCTATTCAGCGCTCATCTGTACGCCATGTGACTGCACCAGTGACCTCTTCTTTGGTTCATTCTCACTCAGTACCAATCGACTTGATGAGTTCGACAGCAGAGCCACCACTGCAGAGAGGTCAGAGTACATCCAATCCCTCCAGGACCGGCCAGCAAGTCCGGCGAGTACGCTCTGTAGATCGACTAGCTGCTCGCGCTGCCCGTGTCGCGAGTGATACACCACAAGACCGTCAGCGTCGACTCCATGCCATCAATACGGCACCACAAGGCCCACCACCTTGGCTTTCCAAATATGCACCTGATCCGTCCCTACCAAGTGATCAGCAATTACTCCCAACAGTGGCGAAAAAGCTTGCTCGGGAACGGGCATCGATGGACGGTGGTCAGGAGTTGTTGGATGCTTTTGGCGTACCTGTTGTCAAGCCTCTAGGTGCACCTTCGAGAATAGAGCAAGCGAATCCATTGCCTGCTGTGAAGGAAATTGCTGCAGGTGACAGTACACCGGTCACGCCCATGTTGAGACCGGTCACAGCCAGGAGTAAGCTCGATACGCCGATTCGTAATTTTTCGCGACGAGCTGTTGCACCGAGTCCTGCACCACCCTCCAAGGGCTCAGAGACTGTTTCTGTTGCCAGCCCGTTGGTTACTATACATCAGCAAGTTCCTCCATTGGCATTGACAACGCTAGTCGACTCTGTGCCTCCTGGTCATGAACGCACGCTCCAGTCTAGCGCCAAGTCACAAGGCAATACGTCTGCAAGAAGCGATGGAGAGCGAACAAAATCAGTGGGATGCTGTGTGCTGATGTGAAGCACCTTCCAAAACCTTATAACGAACAACGATCATGCATGTATTTTCTTTCTTCTTGCTGCTTCAGACTCTGATACAAATGTCTTTATGTGTCTAAAGGTGACTCTGAAATGTATTTATATGTTAATGTTCGCTCCGCTACTGTTGCCACTCACACCTGTCCTCGTCGTGGAAGCAGCCACGTCGTCGTCCTCAATCACCGCACCGAGGACAGTCTGTGTCGATGATCTGACAGTTGAGCCCGCTGCGGCCTCTGCTTGACTGCCTGCCTGGCTGCCTGCTTCAACAGACGCCGTACCTGCTTGACTGCCTGAACCAACGGGTGCTGTGCCTGCTTGGCTACCAGTTCCCGCAGCCGCTGTTACTGCTTGCCTGTCAGCTGACGATGCGGCAGCTGCACTTCTCATCAGCATAGCAGCATGTGACGCCAACTCATCCAATTGTTTTGCTGGATTCCAATCTTGAGGTTTGGGTAAACCAGCGACTTCTTGTAGCAAGAAATCCGGTCGTTCTTCAGCCGCCTCCCGAGTTTGTGTACCTGGTATTGTTTGCGAGAGTGGCAAGCTGCTATGAGCTTCAGCGCCTTCTGGCAATTCTGCCTCACGCGGCGTATTGGAGCCACTACCCCATGTTGAGCTCGGTGCGCGCGGTCGATTTGAGAAGGGCAACGAGGCGACGTAGTTTTTGATTTCTTGTACTTGATCCCAAGCATTGCTGACTTGGAAGTTGGCGAATTCCTGACGTTCACATTCTTCACCATTGTCATCCTCATTGGTGCTTCCGGTCTCCTCTGGTTCGAGCTGGAAGACTTCTTGAAGGGGTGCGATCGAGTCTTCGGGGAAGACACGTTCAGCGACCGTCTTTCCCTCCCAAGGGAACACAGGCGCACGACCAGTCGGCGGCTGAGGCGGCTCAAAGTGAACTGATTTCGGCATCCTCGTTGGTGTTGGCGGGGGAACGAAGCGCTCACCTAGTCTACTTGGGTCATCCCATGTATTGCTGAAACTCCCAATCTTGAAGTTCCCTGCTTCAGGCTTTGCATGGAGGGGTGGTGATCCTTTACTACCATCCCATGCGGCTGCTGGTGCTTCGAAATGCGGTCCTTCAGGAGCTTCGAGCTCTTCGCGGATGGCAGATAAGCTTGATGCGCTCGGGCGTTGACGAGGCATCTTGGGGATGACAGGCTCAACGTCATCAGTTGAAGCGTAGTGACGCTCATAGACTGACCACCAACGTGACAACAGTTCCCCATAAGCTCCTTCATGCTGGGTAGAAGCCTGCCTTCCTCGGTTCCACGGCTTGATCGTTCCAATAAAGTGAGCGACCTTGATTTGGGATTCGAAATGGCGATAAGCCGGTAGGTATTGGTAGCCTGATGACGGCGTGACGTTGTATGTGAATGAGAGTCGGTGGTAGTGTGGAAAGAAAGTGTTGAGGAGGCCCTGATCGCCTCCATCGAATGAAACGCCGCTTGCAGCAAGTCTACGAAGGGCAGCGTAGTTGCCTATCGAGGGCTTTGTAAGAAAGACACCAGAGTTGAAGATGTCTGGCCACCCGATATCGGGCGCAGCTGCAAAGGGAACGTCCAAGTCAAACAGATGATCGATAGACTGCAAAACCACAGTATCTGCGTCGAGAAAGATAATCTTTTCATATTGCACCTGCCGCCATAACGCAATCTTGGTGAAAGACGCGAGTAAGTCCAAGCGACCGAGCAGATTAAGATTGTCTGTCGAAGGATTGGAAATTGGCTGAACCTCGATTACTTCGTCATACAGTTCCTTCGGTTAGCATGCGCGGACAAGTCCGTTGCGGTCCTACCACTAGCCCAGCAAGCGCTCTATCGGAAACAGCGCTCGAGACCATGATGACAAGTTCACAAGTCGTGCCTAGATCCCTGAGCGAATGAGCCAGCACCTGAGCACCCTTGAGGTATCCATCATTCAAGAGGAGCGTAAAGTACGCATGTCTCGCCATCTTGAAGGACAGAGAAGGGAATCAGAGAGCGTGGATGTAGGTGGTTTTGTCTCTTGTTGACGGCATTTTTGAAATTTCGGTGGGACACAAAACCAACGGCACGGTCCAGCCTCAATCAACGACCAGACATAGATTCTGACATACCTCACCTGGAGCTGATCGCTTGCCGCCATGCTAGACACGCTTCTTGCTATCTGATTTCAATCTGTCCTTGTGCGTACATAAGCGCATCTGTCTCCTACTGCTTCTATGCAGATGTGGTACCTTTTGACCCACCATTCGATGAAGGGTAAAGTGCTAGTCTACATCTTTTAGCCAGGTAAGCAAGGCCTGTACTGTGCTGTCTCTCTTGACTTCTTTGCGGGATCTGCGCTGCTCTCATCGATGTTTGTCAATCTGTTGCAGTAAGCGTTACAGCGAAGATACTTATTCGGTCGAGCGCTATCAGGTTTCTCTAGCACCATGAAGACGTCACTTGCATGCCTCCTCGTCTGCGTTGCTGCGGCTCGTGTTGAACGTCACGGACAGTATAACTCCTTGGAATCCATCATGTCGAATCCATCAAGAATTCGCCTGGCAAAGCGCCAAACGCCTGCCGCCAGTATGAATCCGCAAGGCTGGATCGTGTCAAACTGACCTATAGCATTCGGTTCTAGTTTCACGCCTCTGTTACAAATCTCAACAGTACAAGACCAGCTGAATGGCGCACGTTCAGCTGTACAGGCCGCACCGCAGCAGGTACAGGCAGAACTTCGCAATTTTCTGGGAGCCGAATATCCACAGTAGTGCGAAGCTTCTACCACCCGTTCATCGTTCTTGTCTGTCCGCTAGGTTTGTTGCTTGCCCAATGCGATGCCCGCTGGTTTCTGTAAGACTAGTAATTCGTTGCTTGTGCTGGAGATGTGACGGTTCATGGGCATCCCCAAGATCCAATCGCGAATCCCAGCTCTGCGGGGAGTCTGGAGACTGCATTCGTGATTTGATGCCATTCTCTTGCATGAAGCTCCCAAGACTCCTGAGATGGCGTGAAGTGTCCCCTGATACAACATGCTCGGATGATTTCGGGATAATCGGGTCTTCGAATATGGTGTTCTGTGGTCATCTGAGCTGCCAAAGTCGGTAAGTGCATCAATCAATGTGCGCTATCTACCGAGCGTAAACTAATACGGCTGAACGGCCGGATGCTATCAGTACAGGTGTCGCACTGGATCGCGTGGCAAGCACGGTCGACACAAATATCGGCTTATTTGTCGATAAGGACACCTGGAGATGCAACATCAATGCTGATAGTGGTGTTGAAAACCCCGAGCCCCTGAATATGTTATCGTCGCGCAGGAGTGTCTACATAAAGGCCTTCTGCTCGCTCGAAAGCTGAAGCAAGATTTGTCTGCCAACATGGGAAACTCCTATGAGCTACAGGATAAAAAGCAAGACATTTCCTATGAAGTCAGAGTACCCACCGATATTCAAATGGGAACGATCACTACTACACCGCGTGGGTTCGTTGGGCGTATGGTTGACTCCTTCAAACCACCTTTGCCAGAGCTTCCAGAGAGCGAAGAGCACGGAGAGAAGCTTGGAGGTGAAGCCTCACCACTCAAGCGTCAATTGAAGGGTATGATTGCAGTTCAGTTTGCTCTCTCCTTTTGCTTACATATGCAGGCCGGCATATGCAGATGATCGCTATCGGTGGGTCCATCGGCACTGGTCTTTTTGTCGTACGTTCACAAAGGTATAAGAAGCACAAAGCTAACGGTAGGGATCTGGCAAGTCTCTAGTGATTGGAGGTCCCGCCAGCGTCGTGATCGCTTTCATTTTGATTGGTGTTATGCTCTTTAACGTCGTGCATGCCTTGGGAGAGCTTGCAGTCATGTTTCCAATTGCCGGAAGTTTCGCCACATACAATACACGTTTCCTGGATCCTGCTTGGGGATTTGCCATGGGGTATGTCTTCTGCCACTTTTCTGGTTTGCGCTAACTAGCTAGATGGGTAACGGACCAAGAATAATGCTGCAGCGCTGACATTTAGAATTACGCTATGAATTGGCTCGTGGTTCTCCCTCTTGAGCTCTCTGCTGCTTCCATCGTGGTGCAATACTGGAACGTCAATGTCAACGTTGCCGTTTTCATTACGTTATTCCTGATTATCATTGTCTCCATCAACCTCTGCGGCGTGCGGGGCTACGGCGATGCAGAACTTATCTTCTCCAGCATTAAAGTCCTCGCTGTGACATCGGCATGCATCATCTTCGTGGTCATTAACGTTGGTGGAACTCCAGCAGGACAGTATCTAGGCGCAAAAACATGGTCAAACCCTGGAGCATTCAACAACGGATTCCACGGTCTATGTGGTGTCTTTGTCAATGCAGCCTTCTCCTTTGGCGGAACAGAGCTTGTTGGTCTCGCAGCTGCCGAAGCTGCTAATCCTCGCAGAGCCATGCCGAAGGCTACCAAGCAGGTATTTTGGCGCATCACCATTTTCTACGTCCTTTCGCTGTTCCTCGTTGGACTCATTGTGCCCTTCAATGACCCTAGACTGACCAAAGGTGCAAGCAAGGCTGCTCGAAGTCCGTTTGTCATCGCCATGCAAATCGGAGGTATCAAGGTCTTGCCATCCATCTTCAACGCCGTCATTCTGATCTCTGTCTTGTCTGTTGGCAATTCGTCTACCTACGGTTCTTCTCGTACCCTTGCTGCTTTGGCAAAGGCTGGTCAAGCTCCTAAATGGCTAGGCTACATTGATCGTAAGGGCCGTCCAATGGCAGCTCTCGGTCTAGCCCTCTTCTTCGGACTACTTGGCTATGTGAACGCTTCTCCTCACGGTGGTCTCATCTTCGACTGGCTTCTGGCAATCTCCTCCTTGTCTTCCTTCTTCACCTGGGGCTCGATCTGTCTGTGCCACATTCGCTTCCGCAAGGCATGGCGCATTCAAGGCCATTCGCTGAAAGAGATTCCCTTCCGTGCAGCTGGCGGTGTCTATGGTTCCTGGTTTGGTCTCATCTTCAACATCCTTTGCCTGGTTGCCACATTCTACGTTTCCATCTGGCCACCTGGTAATGGCGGCAAGACTGGCACCCTGCAAGACTTCTTCATCAATTACTTGGCCGTGCCGGTCATCCTACTCTTCTACTTTGCCTACAAGCTCATTCGCTGGAAGTCGAGTGCTGTCGTGCGGAGCGCAACCATGGATGTAACCTCCGGTCGTCGTTCTCTCGACTTGGCTCAAATTGAGGAAGAGGAGCTGTATGAAGCGGAGCACCCCAAGTCTGCGTGGAAGAAGCTTTGGAGCACTATCTGCTGAACGATGGTCAGGGCTTGTTCATTCCATTGACATAGACATATATTATTTCATAACTTCTCATGTCAATGACCAATTTTATGCAAGACTATGAGAACACAGGGGATTGCAGTTTGCGAAGCAGAGTAGCACTATTAATGGCTCTCTGATAGCCGCATCAATCTTTCCATCTTATTCCGTGTCCTGCTGAGTATCTCTTCTGTGCCTTCCAACTGACCTTTGAGACGCGCAATCTGCGTCACCTTGAGTGGACTATTCGCTGGACTCTGCCGCAACGAGCCGGCCTTCTCCCACCGTTGATATGCCGCAGAGACACTTGCACATTGTTGCTTGGCACTAGCAAGACGCTTGAACAGTCCAGCATGACCATGTAGGTGCGTCTCAATACGTTTCAGCTCATCAAAGTAGCGTGTTTCTGCGACCGACAGTTCTGGAGCATTGGCATTGCGCAATTTCGTGAGCATTGAAGCAGCTCTTGCCTCTAACGCCGTTTGTCGCTCTTTGACTGCATCATGTCTTTCACTCTCCTCAGGACCCTTTGGCAATTGGTGTATCGCATCTGCCAGCCGCTCAAGTTTTTCCCGCTGTCTGATCTGTTCCTGCAGCTGTAGTTGAAGTCGATGATGGAGTGCAAGCGCAGCACTGAGGAGTGCAGCAATCTCTGTCCGCACCTCCCTTGCCACTTTGGTCAGGAAGCGCAAAGTCTGAACATCAGAAACGAGTGGTTCGCTGCTCTGTAAAGCCGCGGGAACTGCGATTTTTGGGCCCTTGGACAGTGATGGTTGTTGGTAGGCTTGTGCTTTCAACAAGCTGTTGTAAGATGCCTCGGGATGAACAGCATCAAGGCTGTCCAAGCCAAGGTCAAGATCATCGAGAGAGAAGGATGTGAGCGCTATGCTATGCGCCGTCTTCGCATTGAGCACAACGAGGCTCTGATCAAGTCCACGTTCCGTGATGGCAACACCTGCACTTCCGCTACCTTCGGCATCAAGGAGTTTCGTGATGGTCGATGAAGAAGTAGCTTGATCCAAAATGTCCTCCAAGAGTAGCTCGCTCGTCTCATATACTTCTGACAGCAAGTCCAGCCAAGATAACTCCACCTTGTGCAGGCCATTCTCGTGTCTCGCGAAAAAGCTCATCTCATCGATTGGCTCAAGCACTGCAGAGGCCGACAAGTGAATGCTCTCATGAACAGCCAAGACGACCTCTGATTTTGACTTTGGCAAGAGTGGTCCTACCAAGCAAACATCAATCTTGCCCTGCGAAGCGATAGCGAGAACATTGACCGGCTGGCTCGGTAGAAACAGGATGCTTGTTGCTGTTACCTCAGTAGAAGCGAACTCAAGTGGTACTGGCGATTGCAAGCATGGCCCAAGAACAACAGGCGCGAGTAATTTTGCAGGACGTGCAAATCGTATGCTCGATACCAGCCGCGTGCCATGATCCATCGCTGCTAGCAATTTCCTGTAGCCAGCTGCAGATGCAGTGCCGGCATCGATGACTGCATGCTGCTCAAAGTTGGCTGCCTGTCCATGTGTCAGAGCACAGCTGGCAGGCATAAATGGCAAAATAATGTAGACATCACCGCTAGCTGTAAGCACAAAGACTGCGAATCCTGCCCATCCATCACCACCAAGACCAAACGCGAATGAGACAGCTTCACTGTCGTCTAGGTCTCCGTAACCTCGTGATGGCCGCTTGAAGATGGAAACTTCCAACTCTGGTTCTGTCATCGATATGTCCAAATCATACAAGCGCAGTGACCCATCTGCAGTCAAGACCACGACAGCATTATCCGTGGCAGAAAGTGGATGCAGCTTGACATCTGCCACAGGGCTGTTTGAGTGATGGTGCTCGCCAATGACATGACATTTCAGCCGGTGCTTGAGCAGACCTCGCTTCTTGAGCATCGATGCCCTAGGCACATAGAGGGCAACGACTTTGTGGTCTCCATAGACGACCAGAATACTTCGCAACCGATTGAGTAGCAGGCCCGTGATGGTGAAATCGATACCGACTGTGTCCAACTCAAGAAATGTTTGTTCCGATAAGTCTGCCCAGCGTATACCGCTGCCGCAAGCGACAAAGACCTCTTGACCGCTCGCTACAATGAGTGCTGTTGGTCCATCGGCTGAGCATCTCGCCACACCTTCCACTTGGTAGATTGGATGTAGGTCCGCCATGACACTGTGCTCCCCCACTAGCAGCTCTCCCTCATAGACCTGCAAGCAAGCAGACTACAGCGCGTCGGTGTGTGAGCCTTTACTGCTTCTTGTCTGTGTCGTCTTCTCTCGCCCAGCAAATTCTGCCCTCGCGACCACCACACAGCAAGGACTGGCGAAGAGAGCGTACAGGCTGTCCTCCCCCTGCGCGACTCCCCTGAGTCCATTGTATCCTGCATAGCACATCCATTCAAGACAGCGCGCAATGACATGGGCCAGTCTTTGCTAGCCATCCACGACACTCATTGTTGCAAGACGCGACCACAAACATGTCTGTCATTGGAGAGCACGAATACCGTGGTATACAGATAGGTATCTCATGGAAAGCATTGGATGGGCAGCGTGGCTATCTCTACCTTGACTATAACAATTCACTCTCGAGCTCATCCTCCCTTGTCACCTACTGGCTATCGCCCAGATCACGCGAATGGAAGAACATCAACCGGCGCGCAGCGCTGGAAGTGCTTGCCATCGATACTGAAAGACTCAATCAAAAGGGCAGAGATGCAGGTCCAGGCGAGATCTTGAGGTATGACACGGGACCGGCCAAGATTGAGTTGGGCTCTGGTGTGTGCAAAATTGGAATATGGACCATGACTTATATCCGCAACGAAGAGAAGCTGATAGCCGTCAGCATCAGTGCACTCAAGTCGAGACTCGTGGCAAGTGCTGTTGTCAGTGGGTCCACTGTCGACGAGCAAGTATCCGATGCATTGCTTGACCGCCTCATGACTGTGCCCAATATCGTTGAAGCGTTGCAAGACAAGGTCAAGGTGGCCAAAGGCAAGGAAGCACCACAAGCAAAGATCCAAGGCTCTCAAAAGAGCGAGAAGGGCAAAGCCGTTCAAGCAGGAACGGTCGATTCAAGTGCAGACAAATCAGCAAGACTGGCAAAAGCAGTCGAACATCTCAAACTTCTCTGGCAACGCATGAAGACTGTCTCCAGCCTCAGCGACGCAGACTTCCCACGAGAGATGACGATTATGCTTTCAGAGATGACTGCCGCTCAGCGCGACAGCTTCTTTATTCTGACTGGCGTCTTCATCGAAGAAGTAATCATGGAGCTCATGCGCGGTCTAGTCAACGATGCAGCAGCCTTCGGCAAAGATCCCGTCGCCGCAAAGTCAGCCTTGTCGGTTGGCGAGTTTGTCAGAATATGGGATACGCTTCAAGAAGGCAATGCCTCACCCGATGTACGAAAAGCCGCCAAGGAGTGCTTCGATGCCTTGTCATCAGGTCTTACCACGGTGCAGGATCGAGTGGAGATCAAAGAAGTTTTGGCAGAGCTGCAAAGCGAGATTGATGAACGGTATCCCGCCGCTCGCGCCATGGTCAATGGCAAAAGCAAGGGCAAGGGAAAAGGGAAGCAGGCAATGAGCAAGGCTGGGCAAAATGCCATGGAAGACGCAATGGACTGGCTGCGAACGCTCTGGACGCGTGCCAACAATGACTTGGCCATTCAAGAACACGAAGTCGGAACATTTTTGGAAGTGTGCATCCAAACGCTGCCTGAAGAGATCAAGGTGGCTTTCGACAAGCTCAACATTGATAAGGCAGCTCTCGCAGCTGCAATGCGAAGTGAGATACAAGAGGCCAGACCCTTGGCGCGTGACACTGGCGTCCCATCCGACACGCTTGATTTGACGAGAACTCCAAAACCAGGCAAGCCTTCTAAAGCAATGCTACATGCCGTCTCAGACTTACGTTCCATTGTGACGGCAAGCCTACGTCAAGGTGGTTTCAGCAAATTGGAAGTACCGGCTCTGATTCAATCGGCCATCAAGACCATGCCGCCATCGACGAAGGAGTACTACGAGAATCTCGGCGTCAACATGAACGATGCCGCTACCCTCTACTGGTTAGAATATCAGCGAGAGCATTCGGCTAATGGCGAATCCGCAGGCACCAAGGGTATTACTGCAAGCAAGAAGAGCAACGCACAAGGAAAGGGCAAACATGACAACCGCAGCGCAACAACCTCGGCGCTCGTTGAGGGCATGATGGAAGCAGCACGAGGATCTATGTCCATTGGGGCAACACCTGCAGCGCCCGCCGCCTCATCTGGGGCGAAGAACAAGCAAGAGGTACAGCGCCCAGCTCCTGCTGGCCCATTACCCGATACTCCTTCAACAACAGTGCCAACAAACTTGTGTGTGGTCTGCTACGATCAGGCACGGTTCGAGTGTTCCCGATGTCACGCCAAGTATTGCTCTGAAACATGTCAGCGCGACGACTGGGCACACCATAAGCCACTGTGCAAGAAAGTCTAGCACAATTGTTGGTGATTTCTTGCGAGGACTGAATAGGAATTCTAGCATAGTTTCTTCTCGATTGACTTAGACTTTAATTGCATCTCACTACAATGTATATACGGCTGCAGCCTTCATGACCGGATCGACAATTTGGCCAACGAGCCGGAAACAAGGATATTTCTCGTCTCAGCCCAATCCACCTCCATATTGCCATAGGCCGTATAGCCTGTTCTCCAAGGAATCAACCGAACGCACTTGCTCAGGTCTGCATAGCTTGGAGCACTGATTGTCAGAAGAATGGCATCCGGGCTGAAATCATGATTTGATAGCTTGAAGGAGCTGTATGTCTGCGACGGGTCCACCTTGAGTTCGATGCGAGAATGTCTATGGGGTAAAAAGGATTTCAAAGTACTTGAAACACCTGTGATGTTGTGGTAGAGTTTCAACGAATGAATGATGCGGTCGACGAGTATCTCAGGGCCATCCACAATGATTGACAAGCTGGATTCCAGTATACAAGTCAAATTTCGTAAAACAACCGTACGTGGACGTGATGTGATGAGGTGCCAATGTCCTCCTTCTGCCTTGACGCATCCTTGTATGCTTGACAAATGTTTCTGGAGATTGTCAGCAACGACTTCTTGGCCATCAATGAATAGCGTCTCAACACCTTTCGACTTCAGTAGGCTTCTTGTCAATGGCTCAAAAGCGAGAGCTTTTACAGCCGAGGTCCTGAACGAAAGGCTCTTGCCATCGACACTCAAGGTGGCGGAGCATCGAGCACCGATATTCAAAATAAAGTTGTCGTCGACTTGTACGATACTCATGCCAAACTTTGTGATTGGAGTGCCCCACGACATAACGCAAAACGCATCGGGAAGAGGCCTGGCCACTGTCCTTTTGGCAATCATCTCATTCACAAATGACTCAAATCTTCCTGTAGTCAAGATACCCTCGTACCAATGCCCTGCTCCCTCAATCTCTTCCAAGTCAATGTCAAGAGCAGAGGCCATTTGACGTCCATGGGAGATTGGGACATTGTCATCATCTATTCCATGCCTAATAAAGCAGGGGACATCCTTGAAGAGGGCAATATTGCGCAAGATGTCAAACTCGGGCTTATCAGCAAGAGACGCTGCGTTACAGGTCCACTGACTGTATGGGACATAGCGATTGATGGAAAGATAACCGGCTGCCCAGGCGGCCCCAATAACACGGTCGCTGTTGCGTATGACAAATTGCATGGCACCTTGGGCACCATTTGAATGCCCAAGTACGATGAGAGCATCAAGGTCAGGCTCTGGCACATGATATTCGGGAGATGGGGCGAAGATTTTGTGGTACTCTTTGAGCAGCGCTTTCAAGGCCAAATCGATGGAGATGGCGCCGAGGGCATGGTAATCGTCACCCCATTTTCCACAATCTGGCTGCAATATCCATGCGGCCGGATACGTATCCTTGAAACAATCTCTCCAGAATCCGTTGTGGTGATCGACACCAGCACCGTGCAAAGCCAAGACGATAGGAGATTTGAAATTTCCAGGCTTCGCAGCTTCTGTTAAGGGAGTACGGTAGATTGCGCTTGAGAGGTTGTGATCGTCGCCATACGGCAAATGCCTGGGCTGCCTGGGCTCGTGTACGCGTGGTCGATGATACAATCTGACTGACTCTAGATCTATGCTCTCGGGCGGGCTCCAGTCTGATGAGCTATTTCTGGTTGAGCCGATTTGTGAATGCGATTTGCCCGGCTGGAAGGACAGGCGATGAGCGTCGGGAGCTGAGGACGCGTCCCTGGTAAGTTCAGACCTAATAGGACCTGCACTTTGCAGTGCACAATCTTTTTGGATGTTGACCACGATCTTTGAAGTTGGCTGTGCTGCGAAGCCAAGAATCCGGACTTCAGCAATGACACGAATGTCGAGTTGATGCCTACCAGCATTCAAGTGTAGACGTAAAGGCTCTCCTAGCATATAAATGTCGCCTTCATAACGTTCACCATCAAGAAGGAACTCGGGAGTTGACATGACCTGCAAATCGACGTCGCTGCAGTGGTCCAAGACAAAGAACCCACGCAGATACGCTTGAAATTGAGTCGCTGCCCAGCCGTTTGTCTGAACATGTCTTTCCCAGTTCACTTGAGGAAATGAGATTGAAATGGAAATCTCTTCGCCCAGGCCGGCTTTGTCGACCATTGATGTCGACGACCGAACAGCGGTCCAGGAAGCGTATGTACATAACGTCGTCTTGTAACGCTTGTTCCAATCGATTTTCTCTGCATATATGTCTTGAACTGCATCAAGCCATGGGTCCTCTCTTGTGCCGATAGAGAAAGGGCCCAGAACAGCCCAATCTGTTATCATTGAAAGCGCGACCCTCGCTGGCACCAAAGTGCAATGATGAAAATCAAATTGTGAAGCCTTTGGTGGCTGGATCACAGTCGCTAGGCCCTAGTAGCTACAGCGCTACCAGAAATGCAGGCTGAAACATGCGTGCGTGTGTACAATGTATATGGGTTGTGAGTAGTATCTTCGGCTCCACACATGAGCAACGACCTGCCAAGACTTGTCGCACGGTCCCTGGGTCCCCCTGACTCCATGAGTCAGGTCGAACTACTCCTTGAAGGCTAGACTCCTAGGCCAGTCTTCAGAAGCTTTTTGCTCCATAGCCAGCAAAGCTTACTTGCTGAGGTAGTCATCCGATTGATACTACACTTGCTAAGTCTGCTGGCGGTGTCTTGCCGCTTCTGCAATCCCTCCTAGACCTGCTGTTCAGGGATTGCGCAGGCCCCTTGCAAGAAGCTGATCATTTCCGAACATCGACTGATCACCAGTGATGAATCAGTTCAAGTTTGCTTACAGGCGTCACTGTCGCCGCTACGCATCGTTTGTGGGCGACGAGGTGAAGGTAAAATCAAACCGCAGTTTCCTGCTCGGCGCAAGTGTTGGCGCGTCTGTGGGCGTAGCCACTGCTCTGTATGCACAGCATCAGTTCGTGCCGAGCAAAGTCCGCTCAAGGGGCAAGTACGGTGGTCCGGACGACTTGAGGGACGCTACGCATGCCCTGCGAAAGGTCCTCCAGCAAAAGCAAATATCGGAAGATGAGTCAGACCTGCAGCAACATGGCTCTAGTGCGTGGTTTCCTTCTCATGACGAGGGCTCACCTAATATTGTGGTCTATCCCAACTCTACTGAAGATGTGCAAAAGATTGTACGCATTGCGTCAACCTACAAGATCCCAGTCATCGCTTATGGAGCTGGGACGTCTATTGAAGGACAATTCACTACCTCACTTGGCGGCATATGCATCGATCTAAGCCAGATGGACAGCATTGTTCAGATTGATCAAGAAGACATGACTGTCACCCTTCAGCCTGGAGTCGGTTGGCAGAGTCTCAACCTCGAGTTGGAAACGCGCAAGACTGGCCTGCTCTTTCCTGTAGATCCAGGTCCAGGAGCATCCATTGGCGGCTGCGTCGGCACATCATGTTCAGGACCGAATGCAGCTCGCTGGGGGACCATGAAGGACTGGGTTCTTTGTATGACAGTCGTCACCATCGACGGTCAAGTGTTTCGAACGCGTTCCAAGGCCAAGAAGTCTAGCACGGGTTATGACCTGAACCACCTATTCATTGGTGCAGAAGGCACACTTGGCATCGTCACCGAGATCACCCTCAAACTGACTCCTAAACCGACGCACGAGCTTGTTGGCAGTTGCAGCTTCACTTCACCAACCGACATCACACAGGCAGTCCTGCTCGCACAAAAGGCGGGCGTCAATGCCCAGTGTTTTGAGCTTTTGGACGACACCAACATGCCGGCCATCAATCGATATGGTAACTTCAATTATCCGGAAAAGCCGCACCTCTTCTTCAAACTCTCTGGCAATTCTCCTCGCCTACTAAAACAGGAGAGTGCACTGCTATCCGAGATCTGTCGCTCACTTGGTGGCGGAGAGTTCACCGTGGCGAAAAGTGACGAAGAGGCTACAGCCATCTGGTCGGCGCGCAAGAATCTCTTGCTTGCCTGCTTATCGATGCCTGAAGCACAGGGCTGCACAGCTAAATCTACAGATGTCTGTGTGCCCGTCAGCAAGCTGCCAGATCTCATTCGTCGATTCAAGGCTCGGGCCAAAGAGTTGGGCGTCATTGCGCCGGTCATTGGTCACGTTGCTGATGGCAACTTCCATTCCCTCATGATATACAATGAGCAGGACACTGAATTGATGACAAAGGTCTCACAGCTTAGTGATGAACTTCTCAAGATGGCGCTTGATCTCGAGGGCAGTGTCAGCGGTGAACATGGCGTCGGCAACCAGAAGCGGCATTATCTGGCAACCGAATACGGCGATGTCGGTGTAGAACTGATGCAAAGGGTCTGATTATCGTCTTACTTTGAGCTTGTTGCTAACGCAAACTAGATCAAGGACGCATTCGATCGGGATGGGCTGTTGAATCCTGGTAAATTGTTACCAGAAAGCGGCAGAAGGGCCTGAGCAAGTATGTGTCACAAGCATACGGCCTTTCAGGTTGAAGGGCCTATCAAAGTCGTTTATGTCGATGAGATCTGTGTACAAACGATAGCTATCGTGTCATGGTCATGAATATGCTCCAGCTTGCCGCATGTCGTAATTGGCAAAAGCTTGCAAAGATGGACTGTTGGGTAATCTCAGAAGGGCGTCTTCCTCCATCTCGTTTTCCGAAAGCAACATCACTGGGCTCTTGAGTGACGAGCCCGGCAAAGACAGAGCAGAATTGAAGGTCACTACAGTGCCTCGCCGTCCATTACTGCTCTCAGTATCTTGGTATTGGAGGACATCGAGCGCCGAGCAGTCTAGCTCATGTTCTTTGATGACCTTCTCTGTACTACCAAGCTTTGCCTGTGATGGCTTCTGAATGCAGGCAAGCGCGGGCCGCTTCGGTCGCTCTGACCACTCGCCTTGCGTGGCTGTTCCAGTTTGCAAACCTTTGTTGCGCACAACAAAGTCGAACTGAGGTTGCGAGGAAGACAAGACCCCTGCCAGCATCTGCATGAAGCAGAGTGTCATGGTCGCATGCAGGATGGTCGCCGATACTTCGATTCCCGCAATCTCCCATGCGAATATGTGCCCATGGATGATGTGGCTCTCGGTCTTTTTTAGGGAAGTGAGCGTGACAATGCCACAGTCGAAAAAGACGATGAGAGCAAAGAGCTTCTGCAGTGTGCCTAGTCTTCCAATCATGTACGAGTGCGACGTGTCTCCCATAGACATTTCTCTGCGACCCCGTCTGATCTGTGTGACAATCACCCAGCCTAGTATTGCGTCAGTGATGCCAGTAGATGCAATCCAAATGCAGTAGCCCACGGATGACAGGGTATTGATAATCGACGCTCGACTGATGATGGTCGAGGGTGAGATGAAGAGCTCAGCAATGCCAAGAGTCCAGCCCAGTGCACTCGCAACTCCATAGATGCTGAGATAGATCCGCAGCCCATATTGTTCTACCACCTTGGGGAATAAGTGCGATATTTTGCGGTAACGCTCTAGCACAAGCAACTGGAATGCGATTGTTGCGATAGCACAGCTATTGTAATAGATCATAAAAACAGCATACTTATTTGCTCTTGATAAGAATTGCCATGGACGACATTCGTAAGCCGCGCGACCTGGGCCGAGAACCTCGACGAGCGTATTTGACGTATCTAAACATTTCAAATACGCCATTGACCAAAGGAGCGATATCGCTATTGTTGCTGAGCCGAGGAAAACGGCGAATAGAATAGACCAGACTTGATTTGGACTGCGTATGTGCATAGTACGCAAGTTGTCGCGGTAACGCATGGCCAAAAATATCAGGAGCACCAGTGCAAAGCCCTCTGATGCAAACATGCCAAGCGTGACTGGTGCGCAAAGCATGCCGGTAGCGTAAGCGCCGTCGCGCGATGAAGCTTACAAGCAATGATATGGTAAGTTTGAGGTCGTTGACTCCGTATCAGAACCGTGTGTTGCGGATGGCGAGACGTTTGCTTCTATAAGACGACGCATGACATCGATGCAGCGCTAGCTCTCAAAGCCACAGCCTCTCAGAGTCTCAGTGATCTAGGAGCAGCCGTACTGGCCCGCACAGCTGTGCAATTCTATGTGCGGAGTTTAAAACCGAAGCCGATGATACGGGATGTGATAGATCGCGATTCGCGACTGAATCCAGATTTCAGACTTCTAGCGCTTGCACTGTGCGGAGTCAAAAGTGACAACCTTTTAGCTAAGCTGATTGCACTGGCCCCCAGCTTGGCAGAAAGAGCAGGTGAATGCTTCAAATATGGAACCCTGGCTGATGAGCTGCCAAGTTCCAACGCTTAAGATCTGGGCAGTCTAGATGGCCAGCAAGGCCTAAGTATCGAGCACTGAGCAGGCTGGCCATGGCCCATGGAGTCTGCATCGACTCTGCGACCAAAGTCAAGCGGGATGAGTCAAAGTCAATGTTCAGAATTATGTTCTACTTCTACGGCCCGCTGACTTGATTTGCTGCAGAGTTGAATTTCCATTGGCTGTGAAAAGCGGAGGCTCAATTCAGATGGGAACTTCTCCCCTTTCGGCCATCTGATTTCTCGAAATGGACCAAGATAGCATTGAAAGTGTCAGAGCAGTCGCAGCTTTGAGGTCACGACTCACGATCATGGACTCAAAATTTGAATATTGCGCTTCAAGTTGCTCAGTATAGCTTCATCAGTCTTCATGTCGTCCTCTTGAACTGATCGCCTATTCTCCTGTCGTCGTGCCGAGGCCCCGATCGTCTACGTAAAGAATACGAAGGTAAAGACTCTGGAGAGCAGGCTCACTGGCTCAGCTTTTTGGAGAGCGACTCGTTCTTTTTGAATGGCTCTGTCTCAAACTCAAATTTTGAGGCTTGCAGACAAGTTGCAGACTCGTGAATCATGACTCGAAATCGAGGGCCAAGAACGAATGAGGTGGTCGGAACAGCACTATAGAAGATATTGCCGAGGGCCTGATGATCGAGCCCGGTGGTCTGCTCAGGAAGTACTGATTACTGATAAGTATTGCCAATTATGCTCGATGATGCGGTGGTGTCAAGGATTTGATTGCAGGAGTCAGGACTCGCCGACATGGTCATGAGTGAGTCAAATGAACCTCTCCAGTGAGTCTCCAGTGAATCTCCACTGTCTTCAGATCCAAGCTGACCGATTGATTCAGCGAGGTACTGGTGTGGGAAAGAAGAGCCAATGTGAAGGATGAGTCAAAGTCTAGCCATGATGGTGTTTAGTCCCGCTTAGACAACACCAATAGCTGCGATATGCGAGGAAGTCACGCTCGAAGACTTAGGAACAGGATGCTAGTCTTCTGCATACAAAGTGCCGGGACCCCCGGATAAGTAGTGCTGAGCATGATCCGATTGTTGCCTTAAGCTTGTCTTTGCAGTGGAAACACATTGCAGACAATGCCAGATGTGTCCAGAATACCTCAGCCTGATACTTGCAAATCATACATTGCCTCAAAGTCCAAATCCCAGAGCACTCAGCAGAACCACAGTCTGAGCAGCGGACTTATTGCAAATAGGATCTTCTCCACAGCGGGGTTAATGCACGAGCCTGTCGAGCAGCCTTGTCAATGTTGCCAACGTCATTTAGCAGTCAGTACTGTCCAGAATCCTACCTTTTTGGTGGTCTTGCCGTCGCTCATGCTTGCCGTACGTGTTGACAGTGAATTGTCGAGCTCAGCCTCTATCTCATACTCCATGCTCACAAACAGCGGAATAAGCGCATGGGTGTCAGATTCTGCAGAGGTCTGAGCCACGCCAGACCTGGCCATGTGGATCTCAATATTGGTCCAATTACTCCCTGATGAGTGTAGTCTGCCCAACACAGCTTGACTGCCTTTGCCTGGCTTTGTTTCTTCCATTGAACCCGATGTTGTCGATGGCTGAGTCTCCCATACGTCTGTGAAGCCGCCGATAATGACTTCCGGGGCTAGCACGGTCACTTCATGCCCAAACTCCGTGACGCGAGGCGCCGACAGCGTGACCTTGATCGACTCGTAGAGCGGATTGGCGATTTTAAGCAAATAGACTTCGCTTGGCGGGCTTTGCTCTGTGGCTGTCAAATTGGAGGTTGCAGCGGCGGTGACTTTTGAGAAGGTCAGCGTTGGCAGATAGTTGCTTGCCGCTAGTCTGATGCGAAACTTGACTGCTTGCATGACCGGCTGCCTTGTCTCAAACTTGCACAAGATGTGCCGACATGCTCGACATCGCTTAGCCCGACGTGTTCGCAATGGAGTAGGAAGTGGCATCAACTGGCCAATGCTGTGCATCGGCCCAGCTGTTTGCATTGAGCTTTGCATAATGCTTGGGACATCGTCCAAGTCTGTTGCGTTCAGCAAGTCCCTTGCAAAACTCTCATCCACTTCATCAGGACGCAAGACCGGTACGATGAATGATTTTGACAAGGCTTGTTCATCGCGCGTGAATGTGTCGGACAACGAGACTCGCTTCAATTGGCTGCTCAGAGATGCATCAGGTTCATCGTCCAAAAAGGCGTCTCGTCTGGCTTGCGCAGCAATCTTGGCAGATCTGAATGCTGATTCTCGGGGACTGGTGTGCTGTTCTTTCATCTGCTTGAACATTCCATTGGCCTTGGTGAAAGTAAGTCGCGTTGAGAGGCTCGACCAGGCGCAGTACGGGCATTCGAGATGGAACAGACGATCAGCTGTCGCATCACTGGAGCCGGGAGACTCTCCCGCTTGCAGAGCACTAAAACAAAGCGGACAGCGGAAACAACTGCGTCCACAGACTGCCTCTGGTGCAGACACGGCCGTGACACTTGACTTGGCAGGCACTTCGAAGAGGCAATTTGGACAAAAGAGTACAGAGACTTCTTCCATCACGCAGCGAGGGCATCTAGCGCAACCGCAGTCTTCGCAAAAGTAGAGATCATGTAGTGAGTGCAGCGCAAACGGTAGACGCGAATCGAGCAATGATATATCCACAGGCTTGTCGTCCTCAGTGTCCGACTTTTCCTGATCTGTACTGTGTGGATCGACAGCTTCTGCGTCCGTCGCAGACTTCTTGGCAAACTTTGGCAGAATGCCAAGTTGATCTGCAGGAGAGTCTGCGCATGGGCAGTGATAGCGCACGTTGCTAGTGTCCATAGTGGTAACTAGTAGTCCATGTGTATGGCAAGCTCGAGATGAAAGAAGCAGTCTTCGGTTCGCCTACAGTATGTAGTGATTTCGATGCTAAGCCCAGACGCTGCCCAAAGTAGCAAAGGCGCACTGCCGTGGTGGCCTCGCGTTATGTATGTTGAAGTTGAACGGAAGCAATGTCGTGCGAAACATAAGACAAGGATTACAAAAGATGGGCTACAAATTAATTGACCATTGATTGACCTCCATGCATTGTTATATACCATTGCCATACTCGATGGCGCCAATGACGCGCTCAATAAATTTGTCCATATCCACACAACGTTCGTTCCAATGATTGAGCCAACGACATCTCATTCGACCGCGACTCCATTACCATCAGGACCGAAATGTGGTAAGGGATGCGCAGCAGCTGCTTCTTCCGGCGTAGGCGTCACCTCGAGATACTTCTGAAGCGTCAGACTAAGCAGTGCGACATTGATTGGCTTTGAGATGTAGTCGTTCATCCCTGCATTCAAGCACTTTTCGCGATCTCCTTGGATAGCGGAAGCAGTCATTGCCACCACGGGCAACGAACGAATCGTCCGATTCGGTTGCCTTCTGATCAATCCTGTCGCTTCGTATCCATCCTGTGTGTCAGTACAAGTCATAAAAATCGAATATCATTACCATCAGAGGCATTTGACAGTCCATGAGTACAAGATCTGGTAGCTCCTCGCTGTGCGCCTGCAAGTAATCCAGACACTCTCTTCCATTCTCAACAGTGTAACTTGTCAAGCCTAACTTTTCCAACGTCTTTCGGGCAATCACTTGATTAATCTTGTTATCCTCAACAAGCAGAATCTTGAATTGCTTTGAGAACTTGTGCAGCTCCTCAGAGTCTGTATGTTTCAAGTTGATTGCACTGGAGAGCTCTAGCGGAATAATGCAGGTCGCTCGACTGCCATGCCCAGGTTCTGGCGCTGGAATACTTTCCAGCTCAATTGCTCCAGACATGAGCTTCACGAGCTGCTGCGCAATGGACAGGCCTAGTCCAGTGCCACCGAACTTCCGTGCCGTACTTGAGTCGGCTTGCACGAAAGGATTGAAGAGCTTGTCCAGTGCCGTTTTGGGGATACCGATGCCCGTATCGATGACTTCAAACTTGACTCTGGACAGGCCATCGGGCGATGCATCTGGCAGAAGATTATTGTCCCCGGCTAAACTGATGCGACAAATGACCGATCCCTCCTCTGTAAACTTGAGGGCGTTCGACATAAGATTCATGAGCACCTGACGGATACGGTTGCAGTCGCCCTTGAAGATGAGCTTTGGCGGAATGAGGTACTCGAGCTTGCACTCGACTCCCTTGGCAAGATGTGATCCGTGCAAGGCCGTCTGGTAGATGTCTTGCGCCATAAGTAGCATATCGAATGGATGCAGCTCAATGTCCATCTTGCCAACTTCAATTTTGCTGAAGTCAAGAATGTCGTTGATGATGACGAGCAGTGCGACACCAGAACGCTTAATGGAGTCAAGGTAAGACATGGACTCCTCCTCACTTTCAGCATTCACAAAGACGCGCTCTCCATCCGCAGGATGAAAAGCATCATTCATGAGTTGCACCATACCGAGGATACCGCCAATCGGAGTACGGATCTCATGCGACATTCGAGCAAGAAATTCTCCCTTGAATTGTGAATTCTGCACGGCAACGAGACGATCTGTGTTTGCCAGAGCGAGCTGGTGGTCTTTGAGCTTCTCATCCGTTACATCCTGCACAGTGCACACTACCCCGGTGACCGACTTGTTTTGCGGGTGTTTCATAGTCTTGAATGTCGTCTTCCACCATGTGCCGCTGAGCTCCGACTCTTCGATTGCGGAACTCGCCACACCAGAGAGGACAGATTCGAGCTTACTGAGCAGTGAAGCGTTGAAGATACGTCGGACATCTGTACCTAGCAGCTGTTCTCGTTTTGTGTACGTGCCATACAAGCCAATTGAATCGCGTGCTCCAGCCAAAAAGACGCTCGACATTTTATAGTCGAGCTCAACGACAAAGTAGTGGATATGCGCCGTCTGCATAATATTGAAGAGCTGCTCTTTCGCTTGCTTTGCCTGCTCGAGTGCTTCTGTGATCTGGGTGATGTCGGTGCTGGTTCCGAGCCAGGAGATTAGCTGCCCAGTAGAATTGCGCGTCGCGATGGCACGCGCCAGGAACCATCGATATGTGCCGCTCGCGCTACGAATGCGATAGTGCGCGATGTATCGATCTTCCTCGTCTCCTAGCAAGATCCAATTGTTCTTTGTGTTCGACACGTCATCCGGATGCAGGAAGTCGTACCATTTATCGCCCAGAGACTGCTCTTCCGAAGCACCCGTGTACTCATACCAACGTGAATTGAAGTAGGACTTTTTGCCATTGGTGACCACCCAGACAATCTGCTCCATGCTATTTGTGATTTGAGCAAACTTGATGTCTGATTGAGCCATGGCCAACTGCTCCTTTTGGGCAGCCTCTTGCTTGATCTTGGTAATATCAGCTGAGTACGCCATGCCACCAATATGTTGACCAGCCTTGTTGTAAAGTGGACGACCCGTCAAGAGATAGATATAATCGCCAAAGTGACACTCAACAGCAGTTTGGGAGACCCCATCCACAGCCGCCCTGAAGATGGGCAAGGCCGAATGATGAAAGGGTGATCCATCTGGTCGCCTTGCAGAACCGTACTGTCGTTCAATCCACGCTTCAGCGCCACCTTCAGTCGTCATGATGGGACCCAATAGCGTCTGAGAGAAAGCATTCTGATAGGAGTGCTTGCCATCCTTGGAGAGTGCCACGACAACTGCTGGTATTTGCTCGAGAATCTGGCCTGCAACATCGTTCCAGCCAGAGCCACCTTCCTCGAGTTCTCCACCTGTTGATGCACTGGTCACCTCACATCTGTACAATTCGCGATGCGCCTCGGAGCAATGAACGATCGTTAGGTAGTACCACTCAAGACCGTTTTGATCCGCTCTTGCATGAGTGACAGAAAATCCAAAGAGCCTACCATTGATACGCGTTTGAAGTGTGCGCGTACTCAAATCCAGCTCTTGTGTCCGGCTATCCAAGTTGAGACGCGGCCCAACGAGCTGTCCCTCCATCTTGCATGGCTCATCGCCGAGCAAGTCGCCCGCAGTATTGCTGACAAACACAATGACTTTATCAGCATTGAGCACAATGAGCGGCGTCGGAGCATGAGCGAAGAGATGACGCCAAGCTAGTGGAAAATCATTCGTCATGGGTACCTGTGCAGCAAGGGCGTCAGATACGGATGAATGTTGTGTTGAACGCGGTAGCGCAGGTGGTGGCAAGAAGGCCGAGGCCTTGCTGTGTGTCGAGAGCATCGGCACTGTCGAACCAGATTTGTTGCGCGTCAGCCAGTTGGAAGGCCGCTTATCGTTGTGCTCGTGAACCTCTTGTATTGGACTCGCGTGGTCGCCATCGACGAGTAGCCGTAGTGACTCTCCATTGCTGATGGTGCTACTCACGCTTCCATCTGGACTACTTTGACCAGGGCCATCTACACTCGCCTGGTGCGCCCGTTTCCGGCTGTCCGTAGCAGAAAAGGGCATATGACGATCTGTTTGCCGGCCGGTGAAGGGGGCTCTAGCAGGCGGCGTTCAATTATAAAATACTCGGGTGACGGACGCGTTCACGCGGTTGCAATGGGCGTCGTTGAGTCTTGACCAAGACCTCGGAGGAGGACGATGGCGTGCCTTTAGACACTTGGAGCAGAGCCGCGTCGGGACTTGACCGAGAGTTGTCTGCGTGTGGTGTGTTCTGTTGTTTGCGCCGATGCGATCGCCGTCGAGATCCAAGCGAGCAAGAACTGCCGCCGAAATTCACAACTTGCTTGATCAGGGCACGCCCCTGGTCTCGATGCTGATGTAAAAGAACGTGCCTGCCTTCGTCTTGCCTGCATCTGTTCATACTGAAGCCAAGCTACACTTATCTTAAGTGGTCTTGCGCCGTAGCGACCGTACAACTCTGAAAACAGCGTACCAGCAGTAGTTCTATTGGCGCGAGAAGCGTTCAAATTCCAGACGTCCCTGATCGTGATGATGGAGGCTCAATTTTCCAGTGCGATAGCGTCCTCTGCACCAGTTTCAGCTTCTCTAAGTATGACAGCTTGTACATGCTGCACATTGTGACTGGTGAACTATGGCTGCACGTGTTGGGTTTCACGGCTATCAACGCGAACAGCTGAGCTCGAGCAGCTCTTAGCCAGAACCCCTGCACGTCCTTTGTGTAAGCTCAAGCTTCGGGTACTTTGTGATGCCCAGCTCTCCGTGAAGTCATACTTACATTCCTCCCTACTTGCAAGCTCAATTGATGGCCCATCCTGATGATAGCAGAACGCTCTTTGCTCGCTCTGACCTGAATGATCACGACTCTGACCAAGTCGAATTGGCATCCTTAGCCTCTTCCAGCAACGGAGAAGATGCTGCACTAGACAGCTGTTCCAGCCGTCGAATATCTTCAAGCCCTCGCTCAAGTCTTGGCTCTGAATTGGCTCTTGAATTGGATACAGATGCTCTGCCCATGGTGCCACTCTCTCAAACTATCGATGGCCAAGCACAGGAGGCAGCTCCCAAGACTGTCACATTCAGGAATGGCTTGGGCCTGGTCATCGGCTTGCAGATTGGCTCGGGTATATTTTCGTATGCAAGCCCAGCTCGATTCGCAGCTCTACAAATGCTAACAAACAAGAACACCTGGCTTGGTTGCCAAAGTAGGCTCGCCTGGTGCTTCGATTTCTATATGGATCGTCTCTGGTATCCTTGCATGGACAGGAGCTGCTTCATATGCTGAGCTAGGCGCCAGTCTACCCTTCCAGGGTGGTCCCAATGCTTACCTGCGTCACATCTACGGGGATCTAGCAGCATTCCTCTTCAGCTGGACTGGTATCTGCGCCATCAAGCCAGGCTCTGCCGCCATTATCTGTATCATTTGCTCAGAATACGTCAACGACATCGTCTTTCGGGCGCTGTTTAGTGACCTAGTCGCGCCACGCTGGCTAGTCAAACTCATTGCCATCATGTGCGCTTCCTGTGCAAGCGGTATTGTTGCCCTGAGTACAAAAGGAGCGACACGCGTTATTGATCTCATCACGCTTAGTAAAGTGCTGACACTCATCACCATCACAGTAGCTGGCTTTGCTTGGCTTGGCGTCGGAAAGGGCACCGATACCTACAAGAAGAGCCTGTTCGCAGGATCGAGTCATGATGTCGGGACGTACATCAAGGCCCTTCTGTCCGGTCTGTGGGCGTATGACGGGTGGGACAATTGCTCTTATGTTTCCGGTATGTTGAGAAGTTGCGGCTACGCCATGCTAATACTAAAGGTGAAATGATTGACCCTGCACGCGATATCCCCCGCGTCGTACATACTGCGCAGCCAATTGTCATCACTGCATACGTCCTCGCGAATATGGCATACTTTGCAGTACTGTCTCTTGAAGATATCCAACAAACGCACACTATTGCCTTGGACTTTGGACGAACTATCCTTGGCCACAGCGGAGCCTTAGTTCTGGGAATCGCCGTGATCGGGTCCTCGTTTGGTGCTCTGCTCAGCTCAACTTTCACTACTGCTCGACTTGTGGCGACCAGTGGCGAAAATCACGGTAAGGTGCGCGATGCTGCAAACAAAGCTAACAAGCAGAACTCCCAAAGGTTTTTGCCAAACTGCATCCAAAAACAAACACGCCAGTCAATGCGCTTGGACTTCAGCTCGCCATCACAGTAGGGTACATCATCGCTGGAGACTTTGAACATCTCGTCCTTTTCTACGGCCTAGTAGTCTGGATCTTCTTCTTCGTTACCGTCCTAGGGTTGATTGTCTTGCGTGCGCGACAGCCCAAATTGGAGAGACCTTATCGAGCTTGGCTATCAACACCCATCGTGTTTTGTTGTGCGGCATTGTTTATCATTTTTCGAGTTTTGTTTGAAGCGACAGTCGAGGCGACCATAGGATTTGGATTCATCCTACTAGGTGTGGTCGTCTATTTCCTGAAAGCTGGTTTATCTAGCTGGTCGCGTACAGGTAGACCAGAGTCTGGCTCTCGTGTACAACAAGGGACTTTTGCGAGACTAAGCTCAGTCGCTCAAGACATGTTTGCTAGGTCGAGAGGCCATGATTATAGGGCTGTCTAATAGATGACAAGCACGACATTACAAATTGCATGATGGATATACAGGAATCGTTCTGCCCAGCTCGATTGCCAAGAACCACTACGCAATGATTTGGCCTATTCTCCTACTGATGACGCTTGCGTCCTGTTTCCTTGTGGCTCGATGTTGCATAAAGATTTACCGTCATCTCCTCCGCCGGGACATTATTCAGGAAGGACTTTTGTGGCTCGCATGGTCGGCGACCATACCAACAAGCGTGCTCGCCATCCTGATTCTCACGACGGAGAGAGAAGATAGGGCAGCCTACTTCTTGCTTGTGGCGCATTACCTCTCCATCTTTATTGCGCATCTGACAAAGGCCTCTCTCGCTCTACTCTTCATCCACTTCGCACAGCTGCGCGAGTATAAGCTCATCAATCAGTGCATCATCCCTATCATTGGTCTGTCATTGACACTCAACCTCGTGGCTCTTTCGGTCCAGTGCAACTTTCAAGCGACCTTCGACGGCGAGACGGGCCCTGAGCAATGTCATTTTGAGGGTGTAGCCATGGTCGAGTCGCTATTCAATATTCTCCTTGGTATTATGCTTGTCATGCATCCCATCAAGCCGCTCTACAAAGCTGCTTCTCTCATTGGGAAGCAGAACGTAGTCATGCTATCCTGCTTGTTTGGTACCGCCATGGCCGGCTCTTTCGTCAGTGTCATGCGAGCCGTCGTTGCGCACCGCCAGAGCACCCGCGTCAAGTCGGCTGAGTTACTGGATGACGATATCGAGGAGGCAATCAACGTCATGTCTCGTGTGCGAACGCTGGCACTGCTTCTGGTGCTTGAAGCGTGTCTTGGGATTGTGCTTGCAGCAGTACCTGATATGGGTGGTCTTTACCTGCATTGGTATCACCAAGGTGCACTCGACCTGTCTCGAAAAGATACGACAAGCACCGAGGATAGTGCAATGAAATGTGCATCAACCTCTAGTGAAACTCGACCAGATGGACCAAACATGTCCAAGTTCAGTGCCGAGACATTGCCTTTAGCCCAGAAAGCATCAAAGCTGCAGAAGCAAAAGATGGATCAGTTCTTGTGGGGATTTGACGGCAGTCCTGATCGTTGGAACAAGATGCCGTCGCTGCACCATCTGCCACTTCATTCAACTGGACGGATACCGAAACTTCCCTTGGCGAAGCTGCCTTCCACGACTTTACCAGATTGCACGCATTCAAATACCGTACCAGCCAAGGGAGACTGACTGATAGTATCGCATGCTGGGTCCACAACGAGGCGGCGAGCTGCACGGCGAACTCTTTCGCGCAACTGTGCTTGGAGAAGGCCTTTGCGCTGTGAGTCTGCGCTTTCTAGAGCATTGAGAACTTTTCTGTGCTCAGAAATATCCACCGGATTTTCTAAAAGAGTCTGTTGAATATAATCACACTCGATTCCATCGCAGCGAAGCCTTTTGTGGCGACTTGAATCTGCAATCGCTTGCTGCAAGTCCGTCAAGAATAGCTTTTCGATGTGCCAGTCGAACTGGCTTGGCTTCTTCGTACGACAAGCATGAGAACAGTACTTTTGGGGTGTAGTCGTCTGTATAGAAGCATCTTCCTCCTTCGAGTCTTGCTCATTATCTGACAAATTGACAGCTTGCTGGCGTCTAGATGATGAACTAGCCTTGACAGCCATATTGGCAGCTTTCACGGGCGATTTGCGAGAGATGACACGTCCACAAGTACGGCAGAACATCATCTTGATGCTCATACTGCTCTCTAGTAAGGTTGCGGTTGAATGGATGGGCCAGTTCAAAAGTGGTGAAGTTGGCCGAGACGTCATTGAATTGACCCCACACTCATCAAGGCCAATTCTCAACCTCTTTACCCACAACAACCCAAGGCAGCATTCTTGAGCATTGAATAGCAAGATGCCTACCTCGAAGTGTCTCTGTGGCGAGATTGAGCTCAAGTTTGATGCAGAGATGCAAGCCAAAGCATTGTGCTCTTGCACGAATTGCCAGCAAACTAGTGGTTCAGCCTACTCAGTGGTCAGATCCCAGATTGAACTTCCAGGACCTTGCTAATCTAGTAGAATCTGGTGTTTCCTAAGGGCTCGATGACTGCCACGAAAGGCAACGTGAAAGTCTACCAAAGTACCCACGCGAAGGGGATGAAGCACAGCTAATTTTACAGACAAGGGTGATTCGGGCAATGAGCTCAAGCGATGCTTCTGCGCCACTTGCGGATCGCCACTCTACAGCGAGGCTGCAGATGGCACCTACTATGTTAAGGGTGGAAATATGCAGGAAGACAAGGGCCTTGAAGGCAAGCCCAATCTTTCAATCTTCTGCCGATCGCGACGTAAGATTTCGTGATATCGATATAGATGCTGACATTTAGCTGACTGGGCAACGCCCAAAGAGGCAGGCGATTCTCTTCCTGGTAGCACGGCCTAGCGACAGTGACTGACCTCTTCATATACTGAATTCGTATTCATAGCATTGCTCAAGTGTCATCCTCGCCATCGGTCGTTGCATCGTCCTCCTTGTCTTGCGCAGGTTTTTCGTCTTCCATGGCTACATCGCTCGTAGCATGGGCCTCAGCGGATCCTCCAGCTGCCTTGTCAGCAGCGAGAATCTCTGAATCCTGAATCATGCCAAGGCCATTCTCCTCCAGAAGCTTGGCGAAGTCTTCTCGACCTTGCTCAGGCAAACGGGTTTCGAGTTTTCCACGGAAGGCATTGAATGTGGCATCTGCTTCATGACGAATTGCCTCCTCTCGCATGACTTCCATCAACTCAAGCGCTTTTGGATACTCCTCGTCACCCATGGAGTGGAAGATGATGTCGTCCAGCAAATTGACGAGTTGTACAAAAGGTGCCTCGATATCTCCTCTGATCGGACAGCGGTCGACAAGTGCTTTGAATGACCTGACTTCATCATTGTTGCGAATGCCATCCTTGAGCATCGTTTCCCAGATGTCGTATGCTCGATCATCAGGGTCAATCTCTTGGTCATCGTCCTCGACTTCACGGTTGAGCAAGTCTTCGATATCCATTGGTTCTGGTTTGATATCCTTTTCATCCCCTCGCGTGCGCTTGTAAGCAGACTTTGGTGGCACCTTCTTGATGTCGGCAGTGCTGATGGCGCGTTCCACAGCACTCTTGAACTTATCACTCTGTAGTACCTGCTCCGGAACTTTTGAAGGACGTAAGAGCAGGTCTTGCGTTGGGGGCAACTCGCCGCCACTGTCGTTGAAGAATCGATGCATGATGATGTTCATGGTCCGGTGAATAGCAACACTGTATGTGTCTTCTGGAGCAAGGTAGTTTTCGCCCAACGAATCAAGCGACATGCTCTCGACCAAGTCTTCCATGGCATTCACAAGCGGTTCTGTTGGTAGATATCGATGAGACTTCAAGTACTCGCCCTTGATATTCTTGATGCGATCGAGAGGAGCAAATTTGTACTGACGTACGTCTTCAGCAAAGGGCAATCTGACCTCGTAAAGAGCTTCATAGCCAGGCTCGATATGCGGCGCAAGAAGGACCATTAGAGGATGTGTATTGTTCTTTGTGACAAGGCGTGCCACGGCATACACATCGCCCACTTCGAGCGCATGAATCATTGCCGATAAAGCCAGTCGTGAACGCTCATCTGATGATGGAGCCACGAGCTGATTAACTTGGCCCATGTGCAAGTAACGCTTGTACCCCTTTTTAACACGAGTCGACCCGTCACTCATTTGTTCAAGGGCATCATTCCTGGGCACAAAGCCGAGGACAAGCATGCCAGGCTCGGACTGGAAGCGTAGATAATCCTCGTCAGCTTCACTCATGCCAACAATGGTAGAACCGTACTTGTATCCGCGTTCCAGGAAGGTCTTATCAACTTCTCTGCCATCTGCCGTCTTATAGGCACGTTGCATACGGACCTGGCCATGCAACACAGGCATGGCGGTAAGATTGCTCGGGTCCTGATCTTGCAATTGCATCTTGACATCACGCTGATTAGCGACGGCAGAAACTTTCTGCGCTGATGGCGGTATGGCTTTTTTCGTCTTTGCGTATCGCTCAACATTGAAGGCAAAACTCTCTTCATACTTTTCGATGTCACCCAAGATGATCTGGCCCTTGAATGTCGTCACGGGGCGCACCTGTTTTATTCTGGGAATCTTTGTGCTCTCATACACTTCCTGGAAAGTGGCACAAATCCCCGAACACGCTTTGCAAAGCTCTCTGAGTCCTTCTTCATTGCCTTTCTAAGACAATTAGCGATGCCGCTTGAGCAAGAGTTGTTACCATCTTGTCCGACTTGTCCTCAGCTTTCACCCCGAGCTCTACGTCGTCAAAATCAATACCCCTGACCTATTAGTGAATGTGTAAGATGCGTAGCGACTTGCATGACAGTCAGGTTGATGCCCTCGCCTTTCATACGATCAGAAATCTCAGATATGCCATCAAAGTCTGTTTGCAGCTGCCCAGCAGTGATGACAATCAGGTTCTTGATGAACTTGTATTTGGCGCAAAAGGTACTGATGAGCTCCATTCCAATGAGGATTGCCGAAACCACTAAAGTTAGCTGGCGGGTGGATTGTGGTACCGTACGATCGCCTTGCAAATGGTCTGACGGAACCAATGCCTGGTTGATGGCGTTTATCTGGCCTCTGCCTAGTCTACACGTCAGCAGATTGTAGCTCTGGCGATGTCATACACGTAGTCTGGCGTATTTGCCTGGCCCTCTTGTCGTCTCGGGAAACCAAGTGCCACATCAATGTTGCGATAGTCGTCCTCTGCTTGCATGGCATTTTTGGTCCTATCACTGCCAGCACACACCATGGCTACGTAGTCCGTTTTCCTGCCGGCAAAGACCTTGGGCCCAATCTTATACATGATGTACTGCTTGACCCACTCCATGTTTGTGATGCCTAGGTCATCGCGGCGAGCGGCCATGGCGCTGGACACATCGACAACGAAGACTGTCGCCTCTTTGTCGGCCATCTTTGAACGAGCTCGGCTTTCCACTTGTTACAGCATAATCTGTAGATCAAGTCAAAGGCGCGCTCGATTGAGTCCGTTACCGTCGCGCTTGAGGAGCATACGCGATGAGATGGGTTGACACCTTGGCACGTCCGAGTCTGCGGACGGCAACAACCTGGAAACAACATGATGAATGGACTGTAACTACCTGCACCATCTTATGTACATGTACGTCTAGAGCTTTGCTTCTGGCTTCTTCCCCAGCAGCCTGAGATCCTTCCTGAGAATTTTTCCGCTGGCAGACTTGGGCACGACGTCCAGAAATTCAATGTTGGCCGGCTTGATCCACTTGAAACGAGCTTTGGTATCCTCAATGTGTTTGCAAATGCTCTTGATTGTAGCATCGTTGCGTTCGACACCTGCGTGTAACACCACAAAGCCCTTGGGCAGTTCACCAGAGTAGTCGTCAGGAATGCCAATGACGGCAGCGTCTGCAATATCGGGATGATCAAGCAGTGCAGCTTCGAGCTCAGCAGGTGCGACTTGCAGGCCCTTGACCTTGATGAGCTCCTTGAGACGATCGACAATAAAAAAGTGTTCAAAGCCTTTTGGCGACACGCGCACAACAGCTTCGTCGCCTGTGCGAAGCCAGATGTCTCCGAATCTTTCCTCTGCATTTTCAATTGGCAAGTAACACTCATCTGTCGCCTTCTGGTTCTTATAGTAGCCAGAAGTCACACTGGGACCACGCACCCAGAGCTCTCCAGGTTTGTCGTACTCAGTCACTTCTTTGCCTTCTTGGTCGACCAGCTTGAGAGAGACGTTGGGGATGGCAACACCCACAGAGCCATCCCACTGGTCGGAATCATGCACGATTGTTGCTGTTGTGCATGTTTCCGTCATACCGTAACCCTGACGGACGATAGCATCTGGGTGAACAGCTTTGCGGAGTTCGCCTTGCAACTGCGCCGATAGAGGTGCAGCACCGCAGAAGATCATCTTGACATCCTTCAGTGGTTTGCCTCGCTTGGCGACTTCAGGATCTTTGGTCAGTCGTACGACAAGAGGAGGCACCAGGAACATGATGGATATCTTGTACTTCTCTGTGCAGTCGAGAAAATTGTTGAGATCGAATTTAGGCACCATGCAGACAGTGTTACCCACCAAGATCTCGGTATGCATAATCACCACTAGGCCGTAGATGTGGAACAGTGGAATCAATGCTAAGCTCGTAGCGAGCTCCTGCTTGGGCTTTCCCTGGAAGTAAAACTCGCGGTTCTGAATGGAATTGGCAATGACATTGTAGTGGGAAATCTTGACACCCTTCGGCTTGCCAGTCGTGCCGCTCGAGAAGGAGAGGAAGGCAAGTCGCTTGCGGTTCTCGCCAGGCTTCAACACGATCCTTGGAATCTCTGGTGACGATTCTCCAAGCTTGATGAGCTGGTTGATATTGAGGCAGCCCTCAGCTACTCCATCAAGAAGAATAATCTTAACGTTCTTGGGACAGCCCGCTTTGACGACGTCCAACATGTCCTTGCAAGTGTAACAGGCAGTCAATTGTGTGACCTCCGACTGATACTTGATCTCCGAGGGGGTATACGCAGGGTTCATGCCAGTTACTGTGCCTCCTGCCAATTGAGCGCCCCAAACAGCGATGGGCACTTCAATGTTGTTGGGAGTGATGATGCCGAAGATGGTCGCCTCGGAAGATGTCACATCGATGTTGAATTGCTTTGCTAGACCTCGAGCAAGCAGCCGACACCTTTTTTGGACATCGACCCAGGTGCGGTGCTCATCTGTTACACTGTCGATGAATGCCACCTTAGCGCCATCTTGTCGGCGAGCAGCGAAGATCCACTCGGGAATGATGACATCGTTTGGAATTGGACCGCAGTCTTTGATGATCTGAGGATAGAAGACCATGCTCGGTGTAATCAATGGCGACGATTGACTTTTGTAAGATAGGTTTGAAGGGATAGCAGGGTTGTACAGAAATATGGCCCCGCAGAATCTGCACAGCAATTTCGACCCCACAATTGATCCGGAGGATGCCGCAATTGTCACACGGCGGGTATCGACGGGATGTGCACTGCTATCAGTGCCTGGTATTCTTGATCAAGTCTCCGAGGCTTTGCAAGGAGTCAGACACGTTATCAGTAAAGCGCGTCCAGGTCTTTTGCACCGTGCTCTGCTCTTCAGCTGCGTCGTCGCGAAAGGGTGTAACGACTGAACGTGCGTCCGCATCGGATGCCCATCGATTTCCTACCAAACCATGAGACTCTGCAAGATGGTGCTTGAGTAGATTACGGCCCTCCGTCAGCTGCATGTTTGCTGCGTCTTGTGCAGACTCATCGTCTTCATCTTGCAGCCAGGCAAGTCCTAGCCGTTTGACATCCACCAGTGTCAGCGCAACGGGCACGAGTATGTACAATGGCAACCAGTCATTGAACGCCTTGCCAAGTGGCTGCAGGTCGATGGCCTTGCCCAAAAACTGTGAAAAGACACTGACGTTGCGCAAATCGGCTGGCAACAGGCTGATGAAATTGTAGCTCAGCGGGATGGTGACTCGACAGCAGTAAGAACCGTAAAAGAATAACGAGGATTGCGACGTGTGTTGCCTATCGAGCAGTGCATGTCGATTGAAAAGACGGATGCGCAAGAGCGTTGAGTATGTGCAGATGCACATGTACGTGAGCAGCAGCCCCGAAAAGACCTCCATAGTCCAGCTCTTGCTCCGTGAAATTGGCAAAACCAAAAAGCGTAGAAAGGGTTTCTCCTGATTGACAAACAGCTCCGCCCAAATGATGGCAAATGAGAGCATGGCCAGACAAAGTGCAATACAACGTTGAGCCAATGGTCGTATGTACTCACGCAGTACGCGGCTGTTCGTGCCTCTCGTGTCAGGCCGTGTCAGGGACTCGTAGCTCTTGAGCAGATGGGCCCAAGCGGAAGTATACCGGTCTCGACGTTCAGCAACACTGCGCACACGACGTGTCAGGGCCGCAAGTCTATCGTCACTTACGTCGCTTCTGTCTTGAGCAGTTCGCGATGTACCAGCTCGAGACCAGAAGGATCTTAGACCATTATCTGGTTGGTGCGATTGTGCTTGTAGAATGGCTTCTGGCATAAGACTGATGATCTCCGCGACCCAAGCTTGATGATACTCTGAGCTTAATGCAGCATCAAAACTCACAACCTCTTTGGCCAGAGCTGCTTCGTCTTCCTTGGCTCTCGTAAGTTGGTCCATCACAGATGTTGCTTTGGCCTCACAATCCGCGATCTGCTCGGCCACACTGGCAGTTTGCCAGAGCCGTTTTGGCACGCCAATCAGGCCATGACCCATGAAGGTGAGTGCAAGAAACAAACCCCAAGTATTCGCCAGGGCGATGAGAAATGCCTTGAATGCTTGTGGTGAGTTGAATAGTCTGGATTGGGTGGTAGCGACAATGTAGATCAGGCCAACGGAGCCGAGGCCAAGATAGAGCGCTTGAAATCGCAAATTGTCTCTTACAGAAGATCTGAGTCGTTTGCTGAGGTCAAGAATGAAACCAGACTCGACAAAGGATTGCATCAAAGGTAGAAGCGTTAATGTGAGTGCAAAGGAGATCCAGTATTCTGATCGCCATAGCTTCAGCAAAATACGTTGCTCCAATGTGGCAGCATCTTCAGTCTCATCAAAATGACGTGCACCATGGGCTAGGTCGAGTGGAAGGATGACGACGATCGAGCTCGGTAGAAAGAAGGCGAGAAAGCCCAAGACGCTCGTGTAGAGAGGTACCGACGAGAGAGAAACAACACGATGTAAAAAGAGCAGTACAGCGAGCGCGACGAGTAGAGTCCCACAGACCAGGAGCAAAATCATGTCAGGCTATCTCCCAATGCAGAGGTCTAGCATGTTCGTTGTGTTCTGCCTGAGGCGGTAGCTGTTTTGAATGCTGACAGTGGACGGCGTTTCCGTCTTGAGATGGGCTGAACATGAAAATCACTTAAGGTCAAGGCAAGGTGAGGAGGGTTAGCTATGCTGTTTGCTGCAACTATGCAAGGAAGGGGATTCGATTCACTGTCACTGTTGATGATACATGCCAAACGAGTTCCAAAAGTTTTGCGCATCATAGTCGTCCTTCAATACATCCGCACCCGCCATGGAATGTGATTGGAAATCAGAAGCATACAGTTGTTGCTGTTGCTGCTGCAACATGGCAGGCTGATGCAAGAAGCCCGTGGGGGTTTGCTGCAGTACCCCTTGATCAATGCCCGAGGATGCTGCAAGGCCAAAGAGATAACCAGGCGACAATGCAGGTAGACCAGCAGCTAGATTCAAGCCTGCCATACCTGCCGGTGCTTTTCTCTCCGCTCCGGAGCCTTGCATACCAGGCATGTTGAATCCTACTGGCCATCCAAAATTGAACAACCCACTCGAGTCAGGAAAGTACTCAGGTGCCAAAGTCGGTCCAGACAGAGTCGCCGCAGTACCAACGCCACCATTCAACGGACCAAAGTAATTTGGATCAAATGCAACACCTGGGTTGGCAATGGACATGTCTTGCATCTCTCCGAAAATGGATGGCATTTGGCTTTGCAAATCGCCGACATCCTCTTCAGCTGAACGTTTCGTGCGTGGCGAGCCGGCACGTTGAATGGCCAATGCACTAACTTTACACAACTCGCCGAGAATCTCTGGCATGATCTTCGTTAGGATGCCAAAGTGCCTTGGGATCTTGTCCTCCTCCGAGGGTGGGAATCTCGTGTGATGCTCCAAGAATGCTGCATGAGTGAGCTGGAGTAGTTCCAAGTCTTTGCGCGCAGAGGAGGAGGAAGGATTACGCACGATACTGCTGAAGAGCATGAGCGACGCTGCTGACGTGAATCGCGACAACAAAATATGTCCGCTCGTGGTCATGAGGGGTACACGATGGCAGAGTTCTGACAAGATGGTGCGTGCTGTTTGGACAGCAATGGAATGAGATGAGCAGGCTCGCGAAGCGCGTTCGGACAGCTTAAACTCTGATGGTGACGAGAATGCGCTGCCAGCTCGCTGATGACCTCGCGGACTGTGACTTCCACCTCGTGAGCCGTGTGTTGGCGATGCGACAGTGGGTGACAGAATGGGCTTCGTGTTGCGTCGATGGAGCAGCATGACGAGCTGTAGGTATTCGAGACGTAGCGAGGGAATCAAGTAGCAATCCCTGATGACCTTGCGTTGACAGGCGGCATGCTTGGTTGGGAAATCTTGAAAACGCTGGGTAAAAGCTTCACGCTGCTGCTCAATATCGCGCCCATCTCCAGGCTTGTGTTCGTCTGGCAAGTTTTCAGCAAAAGCAAGGAGTTGCGCGTCAATTTCAGCAACGATCTTGTGGACTTGCTCTGGCGACAAGTGATGAATAGCCTGTACGCTATACAGTCGTCGATGTATTTGATGGTTGATTTGTGCCAACTGGATGCCAGCAATACTGTAACTGAATTGTCGGCCATCTTTAAAGCGAACATCGTTGTTTTCTGCAATTTCCTCTGGTGTAAGCGTAGGCAACTCTTGATCACAATCGGCATCGTGGATCGCACTCGGATTGCCACTTAGCAACGTCATACGGCTGTCCAGATCATAAATGATCCACCAACATCGTTTACGCACTTCCTTCGTTTCTTCATCCATAGATGGATCCGAGTGTCTGCGATGTAACCCTAAGGCTTGTGCAGACCGAACAAGCACACCACCAATGATCCAGAGCTCCTTCATCTGTCCGAGACGCTCAAGGTAGAGGGCGTTCAAGATGGCACATTGTACAAAGGTGAAGCGGCCATACTCCTTGACGCTAAACATGAGCGTCCTTGCATACGTGAAATAGGTGATTCCCTCGTCCTGGTCTTCAGTGTAGAACACATCCTGTCGACTTAAATGAGAGCCGAAGCACATGACCAAAAGATAAAGACTGAGGAAGGGTATGTCTTGGAGTACTTTTGGACGCCAGGTAACAGGGTCGAGCGACTCGAGAAACTGACGTTGGTTGATGAATGCAAACTCTGCATGTAAAATTGAGAAGTACGCATCAATGTACAGCTTGCAGATTGCTGGGTCTGGCAAAATGGCCAAAAATCGCTCAATTTTCTTTGTGATGCTCACATCAAGCAATGCGTTGATGTTGTTTCCTAGTATGCGTTCTTGTGCAATAATTCGCTTCCTGAACCCATTGATGCGTTGTTCAAAGCTCTCATCACCAGTCAAGTCGCGCACAGTTCCTTGCACACCGACAAGTGGCATATAGCTTGAAGCAGCCCCTGTATATTGAGCTTCTTCGTATTCCTCGTCAGAGTCATGCCAAAGGTGTCCCATCTGCTCTACCAGCTCTTCTTCTGGTTCTTGTGAAGCTTGCCGATGTAGCGAGGTGGGCGCACTATCTAACAAGTCCTGGTCGAGCTCAGGCGACATAGTCGGCTGCCGACTTGTGTGCAAAGGTGTCAGGACAGGCTTCGCTCGCCGTATCGCTTGGTCCACACCTTGATCATCCAGCTCGATATCTGGTAATAACTGTTTCACGAGCGCCTCCATCTTGCCCAACCTCGCCTCGAGGCCTTGAATGTACTTGGCACTTCGCGGCATGGCGCGCTTCTTGGGCGCATCTGTGAAATGACACGGCGTGCTGTACGTTGAGCAGTTACTGCACGGGTTTTCTCCCTAAATAAGTCAGCGATGCGCCAATCCACTCATTGAAGTGCATACGCTACATTTGATCTTCTTGCGACGACAGCTGCTATTGAGATGTTAGTATGGGGTCGTCGGGGATTTTTTTAGGTGAAAGATGTCACATACTCGCATGCTTTCGCTATACGGCGTCGCTTGCTCTCCGCCATAGACTCTGCTGTTTGTTCGCCTTCATGCTCACCGGCATACTCGTCCGTTTCGTCCATAGCGTATTGCGCATCGGCCGCTTGAAAGAGTGACATGGTAAAGTCTGTTGCGATTTGAGATTGAGTCTCTGATCAAGCAAAATCGACCTGTTATTCTATATATATGTTGCGCAGTCGCCGCGTGACAGGCCTTGATTACTCAGACTCGCACCTAGATGTGTGTTCAGGGGCCACACGGCAATTGAGCGAGAACGCCGAGAAGCGTCAGCCTCAGGGAGAGATCTGTGCGCTGCTCAGGCAGCTGCGGCGATTGAGCGATTTGAGGTTGTCTGACAGTCCGTCCCCTCGGAATAAGAAGAAATGACTCTTGAGAGTGAGTGTGCCAGATATGTGAGTGTCGAGGAGAGGAAGGGTGCACAGCTCAGGATGTGGTGGTGTCAATGTCAGGCCACAGAATGATCATTAACATATGCGCAGGCTGACAGATGCACTGACCTACCGACCGGGCCGACCGGCGGACTGCTGGCCATCGTCCGGCGCATCATGTCAAGCAGCTCTTTCTGGCAGGAGTTGCAGGACCCTGACAAGCAGGCAAGCTGAGGCAACTAACCAGGGTCAACCTTACCGCGAAAGCAGGAGAGTTCCTAAATCGAATGCTAGGGAAATCTATTGGAAGGGACGGCCGCGGGTGAGGGCTTATCCGCGGCCAGTGACGTGCTTGAGCAGAACGCACAATCGACCGAATCCAAGCATTAACACTTCATCGATATACATTGCATATAGTCAGACAAGTGCCTGTCAAGTGTCTAGACTGTACCTCCTGTCAAAGATACCAGATCTAGACACTCGTTGGATCGGCCACAACTAGCTGTCGTAGCGCCGATGTATGCACAGATGCGACGCTAAAAAGTCCGAGACCCCGTAGCTGATCGAGCTTAAGCCTTAAGACGACACTAGACGGCTGGCCTCTATGTATAGACCTGCCTCTGATTGATGAAGCTCAAAGGGCGAATGCAGCGTTTGAAGCGGTCTTGAACGAATTGCATAGGTCCAAGTAATGCATAGTCAGGCAGCCCATCTTCACTCTTGCGAGCTTAAGCAGGCCTAGTCAAGTTCCGTCTCAGGGGCTCCTAGGCCTCGCTCAGTCAGTTGTCATCTTGTCAACTTGTCATGATTTCCGGAGGAGCTGTCGGTCATTACGCAATGACACGGGGTGACACTTGTCAAGTTGTCAGGTCAAGCCTTGTTTGTCAGGCTGCTAGGCTGTGCTAGCGATGACCTTAGCCACTGACGAGCAGATTTCACTCAAATATCGACTGCCTTCATAGACTAAACATCGTACTGCAAGACTACAGACTTGCTGCTCATAAGAAGGACTGATCGCTTCCCTTTGCCAGGATAATCTGCGGCGGTATCGTCGTGCAAGACGACTGAGACATATTCCGGGCCAGGCTACTTGCAGGGGTTTGCTTTCAGGTGCTTCCACATGGCTTCCCTTTCGACCATCGTGGGCATACAGTCGAGGCCTCTAGGCGCCTTAGGACGCCGCATGAGCCATGACTCTGGATGCATGCTAGAGCCTGGTTATGGGTGTCCGGGGCTGGTGCTCTCGCTTTCCTCTCGCCCGCCACCCAAAACCACCACAAGCAACAAGAGTCAACGGCCTGTGCATATATCCAACTCTCCTGTCCAACACATCCTCTAGTAGGGTACCCAGGTAGCAAGGCCCGTCTAATCGCGCGCACCGACAGTCCCTTTGCCGCCACTACTTAGTCTTGTACAACATACCAGCGGCTGTTTGCGACCATCAGCCCAAACAACCCATACTATGAGCGCAACAACAACAACCAACAGGCTGCCCTCCTTCTCTGCGCAGAACCCAGTCAAGCGGAAAAAATCCAGCGTCGCATCCGGCGTCAGCGGGTCTATCGCAGGCTCTGTCTCTTCAAGGTCGACGAGCATCGCCCTATCTGCAGAATGTTTGTACAGCATGCAAGAACCATCAGCAACAAATCTCAACGCGACTCAGCAGTTTCATCGGCCATCCCTCAAGCGCGCCGCTGAACCGGTCTTGATTCGATACTTGCGCTGCTCGGCCGTCCTGCCTATCCCCCTACAGCAAGCGACAAGGGTGATTGCGATGTTCAAGTGTTTCCGTAAAGTCCTACCGGCTGGTGCGCGCGCTTCAGCAACACCTACAATGGAGCTGCTATACAGTCATTTCACGCGCATCTGGCCTAAAGAACAGGATGTAGCAGCTGGAGCGTCTGCGCAACAAGAAGAAGGCGTACAATCGCTTGTTATGTACGACCAGAACTCGCGAGTTGACTTTGTCTTGCCGGTTGCTGAAGATTTGCCACAATCATTATCGTTGCCAGGCGGTGGTAGTATCTACTATACTCTGCAAATTCAAGCAAACTTGCCAATCCCAGGAAAGAAGACTGGCGAAGCGAGCATGTACAGTCAAGAACTCGTGGTTTCCATTCCAGCGCCCGAGTCAGCCTATTCTCCTTCTCGTCTACCAAGACGCATTACAACGGCCAACATGACGGGTCACGCACAAGATCATTTTGGTATTCTCATCACACCAGACATTTCACTCCATGTCTCTGTACCACAAGAAATCCATTATGCGCGGCAACAGCACTCTGTATTCAAGATTCACATCAAACTCATGCCGCATCCACCAGAAGCAAAACTCCCAGCCATTGCAAAGCTAGAGTGGAAATTAACGCAACGCACGCATATCGGTAAAGTGAATACCGCAGGCACGAGTGATTGGCCTTCTGCAGGCGTCTTTCCTGAATCTCCCACAAAAAGTGCTTTTAATGCACATAACACGAATAATGCCAAACCCACCTCGCAGAGCAAGAAAAACGCCAAATTGGGTGAATCAAAAGCGACACTTGCATCGGGCATTATTGCCTTTGCCAATGCCGCAGAATCGTCAGCAACACCCGGTGCCAAGGGAAGATTCTCAAGTGCCTCACGTCATGTTGGACAAGGTGCCGCTGCACAAGCCAAACATGCCGCTGAAAAGGCAGCCGAATCAGATGCCGGTGCTGAGGATGCTATGATGGGTGGATCTCGCAAAGACCAGTACCTCTATATTGCACTCCCTGAACAATCTGCCTTGTTGCAACCCATGTCAGATGGGAATCCATTTTTGGAGATTCTGCATCAGCTTGAGATTGAACTATTCCCCTTCCATGCGCAGAATGTGGCAGGTGGAGCGAATGGCAGTGGTAATAATACTCTCAGCAAGACATTCTGGCATTGGCGGCACTCCTTATCCGCATGGGGTGGCGGTGGCAAGAACAAACCCGGTAGTTACGGCGAACCTGCTATGCCGGGGCAAACTCATGCTCGAGAACGCTGGCAAGCGGAGATCCCCGTCAAAATCACACTTGCCTTTGATCAGCATGAAAAGTTGACTACAGCTGTGACGAGTATGACTCCTGCTGCACGCTCCTTGTCGTCTGGTGGACCAAGTCCTGCGCTACCGCAAGGGAATGTGCGTGGCGAACGTGGCTTCAATGGACCTGCGCTGATCACACCAGGACCTGGATTTGGTCATGGTGGGAAACTTGCCATTAGTTCTGGCGCTTGAAGTGCGCCTCAATTTGAACGAGTAAAGGTTCACTGATGTGCCAAGATCTATTTAACAATCATGTAGCTCATTGAATTCGATTGAATTTTACCAAAAGCAAAAGCTTGTATCTTGTCGTACAAAAGGACTTAAGGAAGATGAACTAAACTGAGCCATGTTGAGAAGCAAAATGCGAAAAAAGTCTAAAGGGGTTGTTGGGATGGTTTACCACCTACACGATAGTGTCTGCGGAGATGAAGGATTTGCCGGGCTCACCAGGACGTACTGAGGTGAGGGAGACTTTTTGCCTCACGAGGCCACGCTCGCTGCCACTCTTGGTGCTGAGGACGTCCATCTGTGTTGTCTTGTGCACCTTGAACTGATCCGTTTGCGTTTCATTGCCATGCAAACTGACGACACTAGAGAAACGCGCATCCACTTCAGACGACATGACGCTCGTTGCATCTGAAGCATGATCAGACACCACTTCAACGATATCGCGAAGCTTGCCAGCAGCAGCCGAGTGACCAGATTCGCTGGATCGAAGCATGGAGTCTCGGTTGGACGACATGGTGGAGATGGATCTGGCCAATTCTGGCAAGGAGGTGTGTGTTGTGGAGTCACGCGTCTGACAATCTGCAAGACTGCGCAGAGACTTATCGTCACGTTCGTTGATGGCGTCGATGGCAGATAGGCACTGCGAGGTCATCTTATTGAGGAGAGCTGAAATTTCCGAGGTCTTTTCACGGACAAGGGCATCTGCCGAGTCGGACACGGAAATGGTAGACCAGCGCTTCGACTGAACTTCCTTGGTTGTTGTTGCAGCAGGCGCAGTCTCGTTGACGGAAGCCTGCTCTGGCGTGTCTTGAGCTTGCCCAGGTTCCTTGCGCTCGAGAATCTGCTCAAGCTGTTTGGGTTGCTCAGAAATAAGCTCGCGCAAGCCCAACAAGACTTGTTCAATCTCATTGCGCTGCTTCATCAACAAGTCATTCTCCGTCTTCATCTGTCGCATCTTCTCCTTCAAGTGTTGTTTCTCCTTGAGAAGCTCTTCCGACATGCGCTTGTTGTCTGCAATCACAGCATCGCGCTCTTGTTCCGTTCGAGCAAGCACTTCAGCCTGCTTTCGTGCTTCAAGTGCGCGTTCCTGAATGACGAGCGTCAACTTGCGGTTCTCGAGCTTGTAGTGATCAATCTTGGTCTTGAGCTCCAACGACTGCTTCGTCAATTCCTCGGCAATTCCCTGGAACTTTTCGAATTGAGCCTTCCACGTACCGAGTTCACCAACAAGGAAATCATTCCGCTTGGTCAACTTTGTCACTTCCACCGTCATACGTGTCTTGAGCGCACAGTAAGACTGCCATGCTTCAGCCACCTCACGCGCATTCGTGTTCTTCTCACGACTCAGTTCCTGCAACGTCTTGCTCAATACTTTGGTAGTGGCAGGCTTCTTTTGAGATCCCTTCAACACGGCAGCCAAACCACGATTCTTTGCAAGTTTTGTGGCAACACGATCAATCTCGAACAAGACTTGCTCTTGCTTCCACCACGTTGGGTCTTGCACCACTTCAATCTTGCCCGTGATGGCAACAACGCCACCTTCAGGGGTCAATTGATTATGTGCATAGGATTCCGTCAAGTGCGAAGGAACGCCGTGCTGCTCAATAAACCCAATCGCAGCAGACAATCGAGCAATAAACTTTTGTCTACTCGATGACTTTGTGAATAAGACGGGCGGTGCAGAGGTTTGCACAAAGCCACGGTCCAAATCAACAAGTAGCGCGTCGCTCGGTGGCATGAGTAAGGTCTTGCATTCTGCAGGGACACCGATAATATAGGGTCCTTCTTCAGCAACGAGAGTAGCGACGTTTGACCAATGAGCAACAGGCACGTATAAGCCAGACCATCCTTGTGCACGACAACAAAAACGAACCGTCTCAGCGGCAATGTTGAGGATGGCCAAGTGATCCGATGTGAAGATGATACGTCCCTGTGGCGACAAGGCCGTTTCGAGAATACCAACAATGTTGGGAACCGACAAGCACTGGAAGAGTGGCCACAAGTCAAAGTTCTGGAAAGCATCAGAGGATACTGGGAATTGGTAGGTCAGTGCATAGTCACGCATGTCGATCCTGACGAGGTCTTGGAGGCGTGGTGCAGGAAAGCCTAGGATACGACTGACTTCTTCCGCGTGGAAGAGGTTGGATGACTTGCTCCAGTGGACCCACATGGCGCGCAAGTACGAGCCGAGCAGTGAGAAGAGTGGATAAGGAGACAGGAAACAGAGCTAGCAGGTTAGTAAGCACAATCAACAACTTGAAAGAGGACATACAACGTAAGGGATCCAAAACGTTTCAGTAGGGGACACCTCGCGACGTTCTTCCTTGGTGCGCAACTCAGCGATAGTACGCGCACGCTTCGAGTCTGCTTTAGACCAGACTTGCAAGCACACACCGTAGCTCGTTGATGTGGAGCTCTGCTGCAACACAAACGAGTGGTTATTGCACGTTGGCTGCACCTCTCCCATAAAGATCTCAATGTCCTTGGGCAAGCAAGCGCGCATAGCAGCATGCAGGAGTTTCTGGAACTCTGGGTGGTCGCTCTTATCCTTGGGTGAGGAACCGAGCATGACTGGTTTGTAGAAGGTCTTGACGGCATCGCGCTGGTGGGTGACGCGAGAGGCGACGGATTGCCATTCAGATGCTTCGCGTGGCAGACCAAAGACACCATAGGCGGTACAGAGTGTGTGTGCGGGTCGTGGTGCGGGTGCTGCGTTGCGGCGACCGTGATCCGTGTGCATACTGGCGATGGAATGCTGGCTCTGAGCAGTGGGACGTCTGGCTGCGTCGCTCATCGTGCCTGCAGGATCACTTATCGATGCGCTTTGTGTTTGTGTGCTGGTGACCTGGATGTCGGAGGTAGGGATACTTATGAGACAGACGGGCGTTTCAGAGGATGGAAGGGGCAGAGGGTGGGTTCCTCTTATAGAACCTGCCAGCAATGCTTTGTGGATGCGCGCTTGGTCTGATGTCTCCTGAGTCCTTTGTTGTGCGTCGTCAGAGATTGATCATTTCCTTGTCTTTGCTGGCTCACTTGTCGACCAGGACCAGTCGCATGGCAACAAGGACCCCTGAACAGGGACTAGAGCCACTGACATGCACAGTTCAGAGCTAGCAGACACTGTAGACTGATTGGAAATGGCAAATCCAATGCTGCGTACAGCGCACGAGGACGCCAGAGAACGTGCTCATGCATGAAGCCTCGGCAGACCAGGATCTCCTCGCAAAACAACGTTCTCCATATTTGTTTGCGATGTGTCGAGTCTGCTGACTGGTCACGCGCAGCATGATGGACGCATCATGAAGCATGCACCTTTGTGATTAGCGAGGCTATTCTTGTTGGGTCTCATCGTCCAGCGCGCTTCAATGCTCGCAATTCAGACATCGTTTCCAGTCTCAGCCGCTCAATCTCTTCAAGTCGAGCAACCAAATCTGCCTTGGTCTCTACTTCCTTCTCCAACAGCAGTTCAAGCTCCTTGAGCTGCACACGAACATTTGCTTCATCTGCTTTGCGTTTGATTTCTCGTTTGGCATGAATGGCCTCAATATCGGCTGTGGGAAAGCTCGTTAGCCCTGTACAAATAATCAACATTTCATCAAATCCTCGCATGATAGCTCATTTGTTGGCCATAAGGAGTGTGGCTCTACTGGACAAGGCTCCATTTACAAGTATTTTGGTATACACATGAGTTTGTCATGCTAGATTGATTGTGAGCGGTGTTTCTTACCATGAGGGGCCAGAGAATGAAGCGAGGCAAGCTCAAAGGGAGTCATCTAGCAGTCTGCTGCTCTGTCCAGCTTCAGGTGAGCCTGGTGCAGCAGTACTGAATTTTGTTGAGAGTGTCGTTGTAGAAAGTTGACTTAGCACAGTCTATTGTAGCTCGAGCAGAGTAAGCAGCCGATGCAGTGTGATAAGAGCAGCCAAACGAGAGTAAGTAGAGTCTCTAGCTAACTAGCTGAGTTGTCCTGTGCATGTCGTTGCAGGGTGAGTGTCCAGTGTCCAGCCACCAGATTCACATCTGCAAAATCAAATCAAATCAGTGGAGCCGAAGCAGCATCACAGAGATGGACACACACGGCATATCAGTATCAGCGACTGAATCATAAGTCATAAGGATTGCAACGCCTGACGCGACAGATATGGTAAAGGGTATCAGCAGACTTATTTCATAAAGATTGCATTGCCAGAATGGACATATGTGGAAACGTAAATGGCTTCGAACGTGACGATCGGACTCCCCTCATCGTCGACACAACCATAGATTGCATCAGCTTCGACGCCGACCATTGCGCCGTGATCGAGCTGTAAGTACAACCAACAAAAACCGTAAATCACACCAGGTGTGCTTGCTAGTGCACCTTTTTCAACAGCAGCAACATCCACTCAGTGCTTTACAAGGACAACACACAATACTCGTGACGATATCACAGAGTGCATCAATGGACGTACAGATACAGCATCCACCACGCAACCTCGCCACGTCTGCTTCCTTGTCTTCGTCGTCGTGTGTCGTGTTTTGCTTGTTTGTTGCTGGTGAGTGTGCGGACATGATTGGGCCTTGTGTGTAGAGAGGCGCTGGGACGGCTGGCAGGGCCATGTCTTTCGGCATCGTCGTAGATGTCATGCTTGATGGGTGTCTCAAGATGTGGATGTCCGAGTAAAGCGAGTCGTTCCGTGAAGGGGTTGAAGACGTGTAATGTTCAGGGGTATGTGTGTTTCAGCCCCAACAAGTTTGTTGCGAGCCAAGACGGCAGACGGAGCAGTGAGTAGAGATAGACAATAAGTCTATGAAGCAGCCTGCGACCTTGTTATATAAGAAGTGTACTTGCCTAATAATAGGGGCCGTCATGGTGCATCGGCAGAACTTTAATCGTACTGCAACAACGCCAAGGAAAACGAGCAAAGCTGAGCCATTTTCCGGAGGCGAAGCACACACAAATAGACTCAGCATTCAAGGGCTGCGACTTGCGACCTTGGCAGAGACGGAGCTCAGATGGACTGCATAGTTGCTGCAGTCGTTGTTGCTACTAAAGAGAGCTTGATACACAAAGGCCCCAACATATGGGTCTCAACACAAAAAAAATATGCAACAGACAAGAACCAGTGAGTGACAATGATGGCATTTTCATTCCCTACGCTTACCGCCACCGACACGAAGCGATCTCACGCGTCCAAGCAAGCCAGGTCCAGCTTGACCATTCGCCGAATCCGTCTTACTCGCAGGCCGATACAGCGGGCTCAATGAAGCAGTAGGATCACTACCATGCGCCGAACTCGCCGCTACTTCATCTTCTTCCTCAAGATCTGAATATCCAGGCGCATCTTGCAAGTCTGAATGGATCTTGCGAAGTGGTGGACCCGTGTGTGATGGGGATGCGGTGGATGAACCCGTTGCTACAGGTCCCTTCATGTCAAAATATTCAGTCTGTTGCGCACCAGGAATACTTGCGTATGCAGGAGGTGAACTCGTTCCTCGATCAGAAGGCGTCCCAGCACCCGGTGGCCCAGTAGAAGAAGGCCCAGCACCAATACCACCACTTTCTTGACGTGTTTTGTAAGCGCCTCGAATGCGTTGAATGACACTCTTCTTCCTACCGAGTCCTGATGCGTGATCTGAAGTTGCGCGCGGACGTCCAGCACTTCCCTCACCAGCGTCGACGTTGATATTGCCGGAATCGGAATGTGTACGAGCCATCATTGCTGCACGACTTGCTGGTGCACCTTCGAGAAAGGTAGAAGTTCCCAAACCGGTTGTTTCATAGCCATGAATAGGATCGACCTTGATGGTTGGGTCGAACGAGCTAGATCGTAATGCTGGCGCTGGTCGCATCTTGCCCGATGCAAGGGCATGTGCATTCGTACCGCCATAGTCGTTGAAGGATTCAGCATTATTGACATGATCACCGAAATAGACTGGTGGTACGTGTGGACCGGCAGACATGGACATGGCTGTTGAGTCCTTGGCAAATGCCAATACGGGTGCTTTTTTGGCATTCTTGTTGCGAGACGGGTTACAGGCGTCAAAGGGTCCATCATGATGGAAACCACCAGCAATCGATAAGCCAGTGACATCCAACATATCAATTTTATCGAGATGCTTCCGTCTCCGTGTTTTTTCCTTTTCTTTTTCCTTTGAATCACCTGAACCACTACTCATGGGCATGGTGGATGCTTTCCCACGTCGCCGATCTCGCTCAGCGCGTTCTTTTTGAAGATCCTGCGCACTCGTCTCACTCACAGATCGTGGACGACGCGGACGTTCAGCATGCGTGGTTGTCGACATGGAAGGTGTAGCGCCGTGGCTATGTTTACCACTCCCAGACAGTGAAGAGGGGCCCTTTTCCTCATGACGCGTAGATCGACTTGAGCGCGCACCTGATGCATGCGTCGTACTCGTACCAGCAGTCGGATCACGTCGTCGTGAACTCGTCGGAGCAAGAGGTTGATCTTTTCGTGAATCAACAAGGCCGCGCGATGGAGTCGATCGATGCTGTTGTTGGGGTGAACGCGCTTCCGGCTGGTCGAGGAATGGATTGCGTCCCTGTTGCTGTCTGTTACTGCTAGGCATCGCACTGCCTGCTGCATAGGTTGTGGTGGCGGGTGATTTGAAGGCCGCGTCGCGGAATGGGTTGTTGTCTCGTAATTCAACCATCTGTCGCGGTCGATGAGATGTAGTGTGTGTGTTGTGACTGGACTCCTGTTTGGGTCTTGCGTGATTGCGTCGTGTGTGCGTTTGGGCTGTGTCTGGGTAGTCGGTGTTGTGTATGGTGTGCTGGCTGTGTGTGGTGGTTTGGTTGTTTCAGGTTTGGGCGCAGTGAGGGGGAACACATCACCATCGAGCTGCTCTCTTCTTCTATGCAATACGGCCTTGACCTCATAGCATCTGCCAATCTGCTCTTCTATATGGGCTAATCGATTGACTGCCAAGCCAAGCCAAGCCAGAACAAGACAAGACAAGACCTGCTTCAATATCGACTATTGCCCATCGCGTCTCCTGGCATATCCGCCAAGTCGTGCTATACAAGTCAGTCCCTCTAATCACAATGCCACTGCTCCTGCTCGTCTGCATCCACCTGATCCTGCCCCATCACTGCCTGGCCCTGTCCCGCTGAGTCTGCCTGTGTCCCATCTGGAGTTGTGCACACCCAGGTGCGCAGTCTGGCTTGCGTGACTTGCAAATGGGAAGAAAGAGTGTAGATGGATAGATATAGATGGTTAGATGGATAGATAGGATGGCAGGCAGTGCAGCAGGTAGCAGTGCATTGTAGAAACATCTACTACAGCCTCCATTCTCCCAGAGCACACGTTGAAGCAGCAAGACCGACTTGAGCCAGGGTTAGGCCAACTCCCGACGACGAGACACGCTCGATGGCTGCCCACTTCCACCCTCTCACTTCAACATCAAAGTCCCCTTCATCGCCTCCTCTTCCAATGTCGAGTGCAACTCGCAATCCATTTGCGTTGCTCAACGAAGACGGTGACAATGAGCAACCCCAACAACAGGCAAAACCAGCCGCACAACAAACAGCTGGGGTCTCGGTGAAGCAAACACCAAAGGAAATCACAGCAAAGCAAACCACCTCAAAGAAGCGTGACCCGACTCGTTCGTCTGCCGGTGAGCAACGTCGTGAGGGTCAGCAACAAGCCTCCACGGGTGCTCGTGGTGGCCGTAACAATGGCCCTGGCGGTCGTGGTCCTCGTAATGATAACGAGGCCTTTGCCAAGGATAAATCAGTGGGACATGATGCGAATGCCGCAAAACCAATCGATGGCGATGCTCCTGCACGCGGCGGTCGTGGTGGTAGCCGTGGTGGTCGTGGTGGCCGTGGTCGTGAATTCGATAGGCGTAATGCTACAGGCAAGACCGATACCCCTAAAGCCACTGAACAAGCTTGGGGTAATGAAGCTGAAGCTCAACAAGCCGCTGAAGGTGAAGAAGCAGCTGCTCTGGGTCCTAAAGACCCGAATGCCGAGGAACCTGCTGCTGCACCTGTTGAGGAAGAGGACAACACCATGTCGTATGAGGAATACCTCAAGTCCAAGACCTCCAACGTCCCAGCTGCACCACAGCCGCGTGCCGCCAATGAAGGTACGGAGGACAAGTGGTCCAACACCACTGCCTTTGAGAAGGACAACAATGAAGCCTACTTCACCGGCACTCAAAAACAAAAGCAGCAAGACAAGAAGGAACGCAAGCAGAAGGAATTTGTTGCTATTGAGCAACGATTCAGTGCTCCACCGGTTGCTTCAAGGCCTGAGGGCGGTCGTGGCGGTGGCCGCGGTGGTGCGCGGGGTGGTCGTGGACGTGGTGAGGGTCGTGGACGTGGTGAGGGTCGTGGACGTGGTGGTGCGCGTGGTGGTGCCAGCTCGAGGCCTCAGTCGTCTGCTGCGCCGGTGATGGATGAGTCTGCCTTCCCTGAGCTGGGCAAGGCTTGAGCCATGTCCGGTGTTAATCTGCAAGTCACTGCAAGTCACTTGATCTACAACACAGACATCTAGCTCTTCATCTACGTAGCAACTTGCTCCAATTGATCTCCTGCTCCTGCTCTGCTCTGTAGATTGAGCTGAGTTGTCAATACTGCTTGCTCAATGCTGAGTAGTCAATTTAGCCGAACCTGCTTCAACCACAAGCAACAGCAGCAACCACTCGACGCACCAGCTAGGTACAGCCATGTCTAAAGAGCTCTACCCCATCGCAGTGCTCATCGATGAGGTATGTCCCCGCGCAGACCTTCTCCTGCTACAAACGCATCGTCACAGTCGCTAACCCGTCAAAAGATGAAGCACGAAGACGTCACGCTCCGGCTGAATGCCATTCGTCGACTCTCCACCATCGCCCTAGCACTTGGCCATGCTCGAACACGCGACGAACTCGTTCCGTTCCTTGATGAATCCCTCGATGATGAAGATGAAGTCCTTCAAGCCCTTGCTGGTGAGCTAGGCGGGTTCACTGCATTTGTTGGTGGTCCACCATTTGCGCACTGCTTACTCGCACCCCTTGCACATCTCGCTGCTGTTGAAGAAACACTCGTTCGTGACAAGGCCGTTGAATCACTTGATACCATCTCTCAAGCACTCTCAGAGGAACAAGTCAAGCAACACTACATCCCACTCATTGAACGCCTCGCAACAGGTGATTGGTTCACCTCGCGTAGTTCAGCCGCTGGTCTATTCGCCTCTGGCTATCAAAAGTCTGATGCAACGAATCGCGAAAAGCTACGAACACTCTTCAATGGCTTGTGTAATGATGATACCCCCATGGTCCGTCGTGCTGCTGCCTCAAATTTGGCAAAATTGATTGCAGAGATGGAGACATCGGTGGTGGTGGAGGAAGCGATTCCTCAGCTACAAACACTCTCAGCGGATGATCAAGATTCTGTGCGTTTATTGACGGTAGAAGCATTGATTGCCGTGGCTCAATCACTCAAAGCAGAGGAAGAGACACGTCGACGTGCTTTACCTATTCTCAAGACATTGTATACAGACAAGAGTTGGCGTGTACGATACATGGTGGCAGACCACTTCATCAAGTTGTCTGAAGCCTTTGGTACTTCCTTTGTTGCAACCGATCTCGTTCCTGCCTTCTTGCAGCTATTGCGTGATTCAGAGGCAGAAGTCAGGACGGCCATTGCTGGGCAAATCAGTGGATTTTGCAAGTTGGTGCCCACGGAGACGATCCTGGATCCCATCTTGCCGGTTGTCAAGGATCTCATCACGGATTCCTCGCAGTATGTTCGGGCTGCGTGGGGTAAGCAGATTTCCTCACTTGCACCCATCATGGGTAAAGAAGCAACCATTCAGTACCTGTTGCCCATGTTTTTGCAAATGCTCAAGGATGAGTACCCGGACGTACGACTCAACATCATCTCACAACTCGAACAAGTCAACCAGGTGATTGGCATTGAGTTGCTCAGTCAAAGTTTATTGCCTGCAATTGTGAAGCTTGCTGAGGATAAGCAGTGGCGTATCAGACTGGCCATTATTGAGTATACGCCACTCCTTGCCGGTCAGCTGGGTGTTGACTTCTTCAACAAGGAGCTGAGTGCATTGTGCATGTCGTGGTTAGGAGACTCTGTCTTTTCCATTCGCGAGGCAGCGACCGTGAATCTACGCAAGTTGACGGAAGTATTTGGTGTGGATTGGGCAAAGGAGACCATCATTCCTAAAGTCCTTGCAATGGGCGACCATGCCAATTACTTGTACCGCATGACGACCATCTTTGCCATCATTACACTCGCACCCGTTGTCAACTTGGAAGTCATTCAGGGCGCCATTCAACCGACCTTGGCACAGCTCGTCAATGATAGGATTCCAAACATCAGGTTTAATGTGGCCAAGGCATTTGAAGCATTGGCACCGGTCCTCAAGGAGACACCTGAGGGTAGGCAGTTGCTTCAGGATCAAATCAGGGGTTCGTTGGAGCGGTTGAGTGCTGATGCGGATTCTGATGTCAAGTACTTTGCCAACAGGGCGATGCTTGCTGTTTAAGTATGGCAGAATGAAGCTCCCTGCTGGAAGACTTCTCCTTTTCGTAAATACAAATGTGTGATGCCAGTCGTGTCCTTGTTCCTGGCTGTCTTTTGTCTTCTCTCCAGCGAAATTTTGCCAGAGAACAAGCTACGACCACCACCACCATCACCAACCCTCCCCTTCCTCTCACTACGCCTACACCCCTCCTCCCCATTCTACGCGTCCTTCCCTCTTCTCCACCAACCCCAGCCCTCTTCATACTACCCACTCACCCCCTCCACCAAAAAGAAAACCTCCCCGATCTCATTCCATGTCTGTAGCCGATACCGTCCAGCGTCTCACAGGCATCAGTCTTGGTTCTTCAACACCAGAGCCAGCCAAGGAAACAAAGCAAGAAACCCCGGGATCAGAACAATCCACTGTTCAGCAACCAACAGACACGCAACCCACCTCCTCCTCTCAGCACGCAGACGATAACGCGTCTGAAGTATCCTACACCGATGCACAACTCACACTACGTGCACTCGTTTCAACCAAGGAAGCAGGCATTATTATTGGCAAAGCCGGGAAGAATGTCGCTGACTTGCGTGACTTGACTGGCGTCAAGGCCGGTGTGTCAAAAGTCGTGCCAGGCGTACATGATCGCGTCCTCACTATTACCGGTGCTTTACCTGCTGTGACGCAAGCGTATACCCTCATTGCTCAAACCTTCCTTGAAAACCCCGTGTTGGGTAGTGATGGTCATCCAATTGCACTGGGTAGCTTGCATGGACCTGGTGGACAGCAACAGCAGAACCCACTGCATGCCACCATCAGGCTGCTTGTCTCGCATAACCTGATGGGTTCATTGATTGGTCGTCAAGGTGCTAAAATCAAGGCGATCCAGGATTCCTCTGGTGTACGCATGGCTGCATCCAAGGAGATGCTCCCACAATCACAAGAACGTATCGTCGAAGTGACTGGCGAACTCGCGAGTGTGCAAAAGGCAATTTGGGAAATCGGCAAGTGTCTTGTGGATGATTGGGAGCGTGGCGTTGGAACAGTCCTCTACAACCCATCCGTCCGTATCTCACCCACCAGTACGGTCGTTGCGCCAACGGCTGCGAATGGTGTGGTACCAGCAGCGGGTATTCCTGGTAACTACCTTCGTTCTCACCGTGGCGGCCTCCCTTCCTTTGGTGGCCGTTCCAACTATGGCGGTCGTGATGCAGCTGCCGGTATGACTGGTAGTGGCGAAACACCTTCTGCTGACTTCAACCGTTTGGATGCAAGTGACCCGTCGTTCACCTCGCAAACGGTCAGTATCCCTGCTGAGATGGTAGGTTGTGTGATTGGTAAAGGTGGTACGAAAATCACTGAGATTCGCAGGCAGAGTGGATCACGGATTGCTATTGCAAAAGAACATGATGAAGCTGGTGAGAGGCAATTCACATTGTCTGGTACAAAGGAAGGTAATGCGCGTGCATTGCAGTTGATTTATGAGCAATTGGAGAGGGAGAAGGAGAGACGCGCTCAGCACCAACAGCAAGGTGCTGAACAGACTCAAGTGGCTGAGTAATGTCATGACATGCTCTTCTCTACGCCTTCTTTTTTTGCGTCCTTTTCATACATTCATGTATTACCTATATAGCCTACTCTGCTTCCGACCCGCTTCACCACTTTCAAATAAGATGCCAGTCGCCAACGCCACCGATGCATGACTTGATGCATTCGACAATGTAGCCCTTGCCTTCTGCCTGGAAGGAAGCATCAATCTCGCCCGTTGGGTGGACAAGGAGCTGTACATCCACAAGATGCGGCCAGGTCTTGCCCAAAGCAGGCTGATATGAAATATCACTGAATGCACTCCCATCAAAGCCTGCGCGTCTTTGACGTCCACCGACTTGGTCAGGCTGTACCAAGGGTGTTGATACGGCACGAACGGTGTTGTTGAGGAGCAATACCGTCACGCCAAATGTATGCGCCATCCATCTCAATTGCCGCATGATTTGTACAAGGAATGCATGTCCCTCCGTTGCATTGCCGGTGCCTCTTGTCGCCTCGGGTCCTTGTATTCCGGCAGAACGTTGGATGAGCAGGGACAGTGGGTTCGTGATATTGCTGATGAGCAGGAACCCGATCCTTCCCTGCTGCCGGTTCTGCTCATCAGACGCTTCTACCAGGGCATCGAGCATCTCTTGAAGCGTTTCTGCAAGGCCATGTGCATTAAAGACTCGAGTCAACTGTATCCGATCTAGCAACTTGGTAGCAACCTCTTTGCCATTTGGCTTCCCCTCAAGCGACGCGGTGATATGTGTTGCAAGTGCTTGAGGCTGCGTTGTACCAAGTGAGTCAATGATCACTGCTTGTGTCTCAACATCACTAGGAAGCATGAGATATGCAAGCATCTCTGTATAGGCTAGTGTTTGTCTCGTTGGTAGCGTCGATGCAGGGCCAGCAATATCTGTCACAAGCGCTCGATGACATGTTCCGAGCTTTGGATGTGGATCTTGAGGGGAGAGAGAAGCTTGTTGGAGCTGTAGCTGCTTGTTTCGCAGTAGCTTGGACGCTTGCATCACATGGTGGTGTTGTAGAGAGATGTTCGCATTCGCTACAAATTAAAAGATGTCGTGCAATATCGACCCTCTGCTGGCCACCAGATCAATATTCCAAGCAAAGGCTAGCATAGCAAGTGCTTCTCAGTGCCGTATCTAGATGAAGCGGTAGGAGTGATTCAAGGCTCGGGCAGATAATGCAGCTTGGCGAAAAGAGTTTGATGCATAGAAACTGTGCTTCCCAGCCATGAATCAAATTGCATCTCGAGAAGTACTACCGCTTCGACTCAAGCTGAACGTCCACCTGCGTTGCTAACGATGATGCCGTCTCTGGAGGAACTTCCATTGCGACACGAGTTGCTGACCACATGCGTGTTCTCCAGTCACCTCCACAGTATAAGAATGTGACAGGCAGACTCACCACGCAAAAGAGGCTCAGCACCCAACACATGGTCCCAAATCCATATCTTTCTCGCAAGGCTGCAGCAGCCAAGGGTCCAATCAACGTCCCGAGACTGAAGGAGATGTTGTAGAGCGCATAAGCTTGTGCATACGCACCACCTTTACCAAATTGACCAGGATTGCGTCGTTCTTCCTCCTCCACTACAAGGGCAATTTCCACCAAGGAGGATGGAATGAACAGATTGCAAGCGAGGCCATTTAAACACAGGATAACCACAAACAGAACAAGCTGTCCTGTCCTTGGAGACGTCTTGTTTGGCAATCGAAGCAGCACCAGAAAGACAATTTCAAGGAGGATACCAATAAGTGTAATGATTTTTGGCCCTCGTTTATCGATCCACCATCCAGCGATGGGTGCTGCGATGACTGTTGGTAGTACAAGACAGCAAAACATGGCACCTGATTGTAATGCATCAAATCCAAAGAGGTCGAGGAGTTCGAGTGGTAGAACGGTGTCGAAGGCAGTAAAGATGATGGCAGCCACCAGACCAATCCAGCAACCAACGAGTAATCTTGGATATTTGAGCAGCTTGAGCAAGGTCGGTACTCGACTCTTCCGTCTGGCCACAGGCTGGATGATCTGTCCTTCCGTGGGTTCTTGCAATGTTGTATTGATACGAGGCTTTTCAATCATGACGAGTCGCAGGAAGATGTCGAGCGCCAACAAGCCAAAAGAAAAGTAATAGACGCTGTAGTAACCAGCAGCTTCATAGAGAGCACCTCCAATCAACGGAGAGATACCCAGTGCTAGAGCAAGTGAAATAGAAACAATGCCCATCGTTTGACCGATCCGTTCATGGCCAACTGTGTCTACCAGCAGGGCAAGACAAACAACCCAGACGACAGCTGCACTTGCACCTTGTAAAATGCGCGCTGCAATGAGTAGTGCAAAGCTACGGCTGAGCATCAACATCAATGTTGCAGCAACCAGCGCAATCAGGCCTAGGAGGAACAAAGGGCGACGCGAGGATGTCTTGTCGGAGAGCCAACCGACTGGCCCACAAAAGGCAAGGAGACCGGCAGCATAGGCTGCGAGTGAACCAGATACTTTCAACTGCACAGAGTCTGCTGCGATACTGTAGCGTGTTTCGAGCGCAAATGGGAGAACAGGGACAAGAATGCCGTAGAGTGCGAGATCAGTAAAGACAGCGATCGAGCAGGTGAAGATGATGAATTTCTCGTTTGAGCGCAGTGCAAATAGGAATGGTTTGGCCATGAATACAGAAGTAGAAGAGAACTAGGCAGCTACTGTCATCGTCGCATGTCAAGAAGCGCAATTAGTCTCGACATTTGTGTCGAGATGTAGTGGTACGGCATTAGACCACAAATTTTTGATGGTCCAGTCAACGGAGTCAATGAAGTCAGTCAAGATGAATAGGATTCTGAGCTACGCTAGACAGATGAGATGCAATTACTGAGCAACGACTTGAGCGGCGGACTCGTCACCCTCCTGCGGCTGCTGCTGCTGCTGTTGCTGTTGCTGCGCCTGGACCTGTGCCTCTGGCCGCTGGTCATCAGTGTAAGGCGACTCAATCGACTTCTCTGGCTTGGGCTCGATGATAGTCACGGCATCAGGCAGAATCTTGTTGACACCTGCACGACCCTCTGGGTCAGATCCCTTCATAATCTTAACCTTCACACCGAGAACACCTTGCCTAAGGAGCACGTGCCTGGTCGCTGTGTCGATAAAGTCGTTGACTGGCTGACCAGAGTGAATCATGAATCCATCAATGAACTTCATAGACTTGGCACGCGCAGCACGCAGCTTACCAGAGATGACAACCTCACAACCCTTGGCACCAGACTCCATGATGAAACGGACGACACCGTAAGCGGCACGACGAACAGCAAGACCAGCAAGGAGCTTGTAACGGAGAGACTCGCATTGAGCAACAGCGCAGAGACCACGGTTCTGGACCTTCTCGGCGTACAGCTCAACAGTGTTCTCTGGGAACTTGAAACGCTTCTGCACCAAAGCTGTCAATTCGCGGATACGACGACCCTTCTCTCCGAGCACCTCTTGGGTGTGGGTGGCACGGATGATAATCTCTGTACGTGCAGGAGTCACGCGGACCTCAGTGCCGGAGTAACCTTCCTCTGCGAGCTCAGAGGTGAAGAACTGGTTGAGTTCGGCATAGAACACACCGTCGGCGATGAACTTGCGCTTTTTGCTGATAATCTAAACAAGCAGGGTCAGCATGGTCGTTCGGCATGGCTCGTGCGCTGTAGATGTGCATACCTGGTTCGACATGTTGGGCGTAATGAGCTACTATGGGCGCGGTGCTGATGCTGTCGAGTGGTCGCCGTCGCCAGGAAATTCATGTTTGCTTGTGACTGCTTTTGACTTTTGGACCAACAGTCACGAAAATGTGGATGGAGAAGATATTTCTGAATCTTGTAACTGTATGCTACATCGAAGGGTACTGTACCCTTGACAAGCAAAGATGTCCCAGATCCACCACATTTACCTTTTGCGAATACCTTCCAACTGGCCATCTGAAGGCATTGTCCCTGGGCAGCGCGGTCAACGAAGCGCGTCTCAATAGTCAGTGGCTTCCTTTTGCTTGCTTCACATACACGCTACTGAGCCAGAAGTCGGTGGAGGACCACACATATCCTCACCTGCTTTGTGAAAGGGCCATCTGCCTCTGCAAACCAAAACAGGCAGCGTGAGTCTCTGACTTCGAAATACCTGTCAGGCATATGCTGCATCGTTTTTCTGCGTCGTCCAAGTCCTTCATCTTGACATCCTCTAGTGGTCGCAGGTCTGCATGTTGTCCAGCGCTGAGTGACTTCAATCTTGGCAACAGAGTTGTCCATCTTGCTATAGTCTGTCGGACTAGCGTAGTTTCAGACACCTCTTCCTGCGATGAACGTGTGGCATGGTGCCTGCCTCGAATGATTCGCTGGCAGAGAGCGCCAGCATCGCTCATCGCCTGGACCCAGGCTTTAGTGCGCTCATTGTGCAGTACTTTTTGCCGCAGTGGATAGGATAGCGGTCCAAGAGCCTTCAAGAAGCCTTCAGGAACGATGAGAACATTGTCCAAGAGGAATTGTAGCATTTCTGTCGTCGATGGTCTGCTTGCTTCAACCTTCGGGCTGTCGAATGTACCCATATCTGGATTTGGCGATGCCACGAAGTCTCCAAAATCATCATCGTCTTCAGCCGCATCCAAGGGGTCAATGGGTGTGATCAGATCAGGTGCAGAGCTGAATGTGTCGAAAGAAAGCAAGTCTGGACGCGGTTGTTGCACCATCTGCTTGATGGGCGACGGCTGTGGCGCTGGTATGTTGCCAATCGACTCTTCTCCCATGTCAAGTAGATTCATCTCTGCTACAAGTATCTCTGGAGCGGCTTCAACAAAGTCGCCAAAACTGTCCTCGTCAGGTGCTTCTGCCTTGTGAGATTCAACAGAGGCCTTCTGAGGCGTCGTGACTTTTTGCTTCGACAAACGCTGGCGCATAGTCAACGCACCTTCGCCCTGATGCTTATGCCAGGCCGCACGGCTCGAGCGTGATTGCCGCTCAGCTGATGGTTTCCCTTCCGTTGCCACCTTCTGCTGCCGTAGCAAGTTGGGCGATGCAAGTAAATCCTTGTCTGCTCCTGTATGCTTTGATGGCGATATCTTTCTTGGCAAAGTAAGAGGACCTGACTGCATCAAATTCATACCAGTCAGCTTCTTGTTCGATATAGTCATCTGCGGGCCCTTGGCAGCTTGAGTAATTGCAGGTGGAGCATCAAAGGAGAGCCAGTCATCAAAAGCCGCTGTAGTAGAGACTGCTGGACGTGTAGGCTTTTTAGCTTGTGTCTTTTCTGCGGGTGCTAGATCACCGAGCAAGTCGTCCATGACGCCTCAGTAGCCCGTCATCCTATTACACTGAGCAGCCCAGGATGAAGCATAAGGAGTTTCAAAGTTGATGGTTTCTTGTGTTCGACCAAAATCTGACATCACATCCAGCGCGACCGACCAACAACTCGGCTGGCTAATGTGGATTCAGTGCTGGTAGAAGTATGGCCGCCCTGTCTAGCTCCTCAGTCGACTCGAGTCGTCATGTCTCCTCTCTCTCAATCGCATCGAGTCTCCCCGAGGCAGAGGACGATACTGCCAACGGCTCCGTAACGGTACCGGCGCGACAACCGTTGCCTGCACGGCATCCTGTATATCAAAACATCTGCTTCATTCTCTTCACAGAGCTGACATATCATTAGAGCTATACTTCCATTCTTGCCAAACGCGGCTTTTCAACAGAACCCGTTCCTGCTGCGCATGCATCACCACCCATCGGCTCGTCGCGCTTCTCAAATTTACCGCCGTCATTGACGCGAGCGGCAAGTACAGCGACAACGGCGAGTATCCTCGAAGAATGGAAGACTGCGCGTGCTTCATCGCCTAGAAGTCCTGCTTCCGATTCCGATGAACCTACCAATCCTGCGCGTTCGTCCACTGAAACAGCGCGGTATGGTCATCCGCAGGACACTCGTGCGCTTGAGGAGTCGAAACGTCGTAGTCTTGCGGTACCTGCTCGAGAGGCCTCAGGGTCTCGTCGCTCGAATGTTTCTCGAACACCAGAGCCCATCGCTGAGTGGTTACAAGACGAACGTACGCCGCAGCCTACCCAAAGAACACGCTATTTCGATCGCAGAGAGACTGATACGGCTTCCGTTGCTTCAGCTGCAAGGACAGATGCTGGTCTTTGGGACGAGGTGGATGCCTTGCGTTTTCGTTTAAGACGCCTTGAATACAGTCATGTACGTGCACCCTCTGTGGCCTCCTCCTCGCGTCATTCGCGGTCAGATTGGGCATCACGGCTGGAGCACTCGCCGGGTGAGCGAGAGAGCAGCACGGTGTTACTCAGACGTTACTTGCAGCGGCTGAGAAGTCTACAAACAACAGATGATGTCCACGTTGCGCTTGATTTGGCAGCGACCGACGTACTGGCATTGGCAGCCATGCCTCTGGCTGACTCGGCAGCGGTGCGTGTTCAAGGGCTTTGCAGGGCACTGACGACGCTTTGTGCGGGGCATCTCGCGGAGCATGGAGGTCCTTCACCCCGTCCACGGCGAGAACCATCGATATTGCAGGAACGACTGAGTCGACGCGCGACCATGGGACACAGTCGTCCTGCAAGCAGTCTATCTGGTATTTCTCGTTATGAGAGTGGTGGTCGTTCAGGGAGTGATTTGCGTTCAAGTACAGGCAGTATTCGCTCTTCCTTCCAGTCACGCTTACTGGACGATGAACAGGGACAAAGACCACATCGGTATTCGAGTCTTGGGGATCGACTTGGGAATGGTTCACGGCATTTGGAGACACGGGAGAGGTTGCAGTATGAGAGTACACCTGAGCGCGGAGAGTACAGGCGAAGTCCCATCACGCGGGCAGATCTTTCAGCGCGGTATCGGCGAGGTGAGTCAGAGTCGCCGAGAGGACCTGAGTCTGTGTATGGCAGAGAGAGAAGCGTTGTCTAGTCAGTCTAGTGTGTCTAGTGAGTCCAGTGCAGGCTCATCTGAATGTGATTGGCTCCAGAAATAGATTCGGCACGTGACCTGTTCCCCCGCCAGATGCGGCCTTGAACAGGTTTGATGCCTGAAGGCGACTCTCGGAGACAGCATAGGTAGCGAGCCCTGGTCGAAGTGTCGCATCAAAGAGAGCTCTCTTGCTGTGCTAGCATCCAGCGACAAAATACACGCTACGACCGCGAGTTCAAGATCTTGGGTCTTTTTTGACGTTTGCTGAGGCAGGGCGGATAGTCATCTGCAGTCGGTCACTACAAGCAGCATCAGTCCATCGCTTGAGTGCAGCAAAGGACTACTTGGCCTTCTAGGGGTTCTGTTCAAAGCCTGCTTTAAACGCCCATCTACAAATTCACCACGGCGTTGGTATTCGCATCAGGTCCCATTTTAGCTTCATCCCTTGGGCCTGCCATTGCAACGCTTACTTGCTGGTTACACTGCTAGTCAGGTCTCTTCACATAAGCGTATTCAGGCGGCCTTGCGGGGTACAACAGATCGCTGCTCCTGCCAAGCGACACTGCCACGCACCAAGCATATTTGCCAAGGACAAATCAATCAAGATCAACCACTGCCGCCTGGGGCCTTGGTAGCTGCACACGCGCCAAGTGTTGGGACCTCTCGGTACTCAGGAGCCCCTTCCAAGCCAAAAATAAAAAAAGGCCGACAAGCGAGTGACAAAGCGCATCTCTTTTCTCTGAACCTTTGGCGTCTGTGCGCCCTTTACTGGTAAAGAGTCGCACCCTTTGGTTTAAGCATTCATGGACGAAGACGGCACGACACTCCCGTGTGTTGCGACCAACATACGACTGCAAAGTCCAAGTCGCTTGTCCGCACATGCTTTTGACCACCGATACAGGCCAGACGAGCAACAGCAACAGCGACAGCAACAACGCAATCGATCGACGTCCGCTAGCTCAACCTCGTCGAGCAGCTCAGTGGAATCCATGTTTGAGCGCTCCTCACGGTCGCAATACAAAAAGGGCCTTTCATCCACCTCTCACTCACAAGAGCGTACACCCATCACGCCGCACACAGCACTCAGTAGTCCACCGACCAGCGCGCGTGACAGTTCAACAGGCGGCTTACTTGTTCCTGGTCCACCGACACGCAAGGCCAAGAATAGAAAACAACTCTCCCTATCCACGACTGCAGCGCAACAACTTGCACCACAAGCGACTGTTGCACAACAACCCACACCTTCAGGACAAGTCAGTCATTCTGTACCCACGACACCCATGACAGCTGTTGCTGCTATACCCAGTATGCGACGTGGCGCACCGCCAAAACTGCCACAACTCAATATGGCCATGTTGAGTCTGACGCGACGACCCAGTTTGCCTGTCATGGGACAAGGATCACCTGTGGGTGAGTTGGACCCCGGATTCTCACTTGTTCGCGGGGCAACACCTGTTCGTGCTCGACGCAGTGGATTGACGCTTGCGCCATTACAGAGTGTTCGCAGTCAAGAGGAAGATCGGGATAGACCACCGAGTACCCCACGCTATGGTCATGCTGGTGGCGATGAGAGTGATGCTTCTAATGCAGCGGTGTATACCTCTGGCCCAGTCTGTGTCGTTCACCCACATTTATGGCTTTTTGCAAACCCGACAGCTGCACAAGCAAAGGAGTATGACGTGGTCATCAATGTTGCCAAGGAGATTGCGAGTCCGTTGTTGGAAGAGGCAAGTGGTCATGAAGAACCTACAGTGCCTGTTATTGAGGATGAGCGCCGGTCGCCATTCCCATGGACCAAACCGGGTGGTGGCACACATATGCTTGAGAGTGCTACGGGTTCAATGATTAAGCCGCGCAAGTTGGCTGGTGTTGAGTATGTGCATGTACCATGGCAGCACAATGCATCGCTTGCACAGGATCTTCCGTCCTTGACGGCGTACATGGACCGTTGTCTGAAGCAGGAGAAGCGCGTGCTGGTTCATTGTCAGCAAGGTGTATCACGGTCTGCATCGTTGGTGATTGCCTATGTTATGAAGAGTATGGGCAAGGATGTCAATGAAGCGTATGGCTTCGTCAAGCATGAGAGTCCCTGGATTGGACCCAACATGACACTCATCTATCAACTCTGCGAATGGGGAAAATTGCTCAAACGTGAACGAGAAGAAGCGCAAGACAAGTCACATGGCAGCGGCGGTCGTGTAGCAACGGACTATTATCATCGGCATCGACGGTCACTCGATCTCTCAAAATTAACAAGCACAAAGCGTGAGGGATCATTAGGGAGACAAGGTGCTACTTCAGCGGCTGCAGCGACATTTGATCATTCCATGCGTGGCATGTTGAGTCGTCGACCCTCTGCCGATCCATCTCCTGCCTCTGCTGCAACGGTGACCGGTGTGTATGCACATGGTTTTCTCTCATCACCGCATGAGATGCCTGATTCGCCTGCCCAGCATTCACGATATCCGGAGGATGCAGCAGGACATGCGACGTTGGTGTCTCCCAGAAAACGGCCGCGTGCAGTCAGTAGCTTGATGGAACGGACAAGAACACGGTCAGTGGCGCCTGAAGCAACGAGTATGTCAGCAACGAGTACTGCAACGGGCATGCCGACCATGGCGACGTTGCGCGATTCATTGACAAGTCAGAATGGACCACAACAGGCACCTGTCTTGAAACCACATTGTGGAACGTTGCCATCACCGACCTTGCGGCTGAACGGGGTTGCCATGCAGAATGAAGGTGTTTGATATCTTTCTCCTTCTTTTTGGAATATATGTATAGAGGAAACGATTCATGCCGCTCTCAGACTCGTTCATTTTTCGTAGATCGAGTTGAAGGAGTACTGGCATGCTATACTGCTAACTCTGCAGTCATGTCCAGGAGGCCCTTGGAAGTTGCATAGGCTTCATTCTATATGGTTAGCTGGGTACCACAATAGCTTGAGCAGGATACCCTTGTGTGGGACACTTGGTCAACAAAGTGCTCATCGAGAATAGGATGTATCAAGACAGTCCCTTCTCGAATGGTCAGGATGCTGTTGGTTGGTACGGTGACCCAATCTGCGCGTTGAAATGTCAATGGCTCACTAGAAATGAGCACAATACTCTGCCCTTTCCCTCGATTCATGCGATACCCAATCGAACCGTCTGATTGCGTATAGGCATGAAAGGACGTTCCTGAGGAAAAGAAGAGCGATGCAGCTTCATCTGTGCGTGAAGAAATGTAGCGCGTGCACACGACGTCTCTGCCGTCCGTCACTGCAAAATTGAGAAGCGAAGGTTCAACACAGCCGGCTTCCTTTGTCAAGCGATTGATGATGGCGATGGTATTGAGCATTGCTTGTCTAAGCTGGGTTGCTTCGAATTGTGTGTGTTGGTCGGGTGGCAAGCCCAAATCGTGCAGACAATTGAGGAATAGGGCGAATGCGCACTCTGAGTCTGTTGAGCCTTGCATGTAGAGAAAGTATTCTTCACGCAACAAGGCATGAAGTCGTCGTTTCACTTTTGGATACTCGCCAATACCACCATTATGCATCCAAAGGAGTGTTCCATAAGAGAATGGATGACAATTCACTTCTGCAAGCACACCAGCGGTACTTGCTCGTACGTGACCAAAGATGAGAGACGAGAGTGTCTTTTCAGAGAGACGCCGGAGGTTTTGGTTGTTCCAGGCTGGGTTGATGGAGGTGAAGATGCATGGGCCAGGTCCGGTTTTGCCAACGTCTTGACGATGTGAGTACCAGCCGACACCGAAGCCATCGCCGTTGATGGGCCGCCGTGTATCAATGCGCAGGCGGGAGTCGAAGGCTTGGTTGATGATGGAGTGGGTGGGACGTGCTGTGTGGTTAGCCTTTGTGCATACTTGAACAAGGCAGTACTCAGAATATCTGCGAGAAGGATAGGCGACTCTCCCTTGTAAATGAGAAGCCTGCACATGCTACAGTGCTGCAGATACAAGCTGGTGAGTAGCCTTATCTGTGGTGTGCTGTCTCTGTCGCTGTTTTGGCCATTTGCGTTTGACAGGCGCCACAGAGATCAGGCATCAGGAGCAGCAGAAGGAGCAGGGAGCAGGGACAGGGAGACGGAGGGAGTAGCAAGACAGAGCAGACTCAGCAAAGACTCCGAAAGAGTTGATCCCTCATCTCCCTCAGCATGGAGCGAGGTTGCAGTTGCGCCGATGGGTCAGGGGCAGGGTCGCTTCAACTGTCGCTTCAGTAGCCGCACATCTCGATCAGCTGCATGCGACAGACTGCGACCAAGGCACAACCCAGCTATCCAGTCTAGTCTTTCCTCTCTGCCTGCTACCCAAGGCCCATATAAGTCCACCCGGCCCGCAGCGCATCTGTCTCGCTCTCGACCCGATTTTGTGTTTCTCTTTGGCGCTCCGATCCAGTCAAGCGAGACACCACCAACCACCACCACCCAGCTCACTGCATCCCTATCTTCCCCTCCGCCCTCTTGCTCTACTGGGCTACGGCACATAGGGCGCATAGTAGAGGGGCAGGCAGGCAAGCAAAGCAGCTTCTCATCTGGCTCTCCTCCGTGAGTGAGTGAAGCCAGAGACAGAGACAAGGCGTGGTGAAGAGCGCGCTTGTATCTCCTGCATGGCGATGAGCCAGCAGCAACAGCAGCAGGGACAAGCAAAGCCATGGCATATGGAAGTCTCGACCGATGACAGACGCAGACTCGTCGCGCAGCTGTAAGGATCTCATGTGACGCGCTATCGGCGCTTGTTTCAACGTGGCTCTAGTACTGACGAGGATAGCAACGCGACACTCAAGGCGCTTGAACCGAGCTATACTGCGCAACAGATTGGAATGGTTGCCAATAACTTTGGTATGTCTCCTGCTGGGTGGCTCTACACGAAAAGGCAGGCTAACATATGTCTAGAGCAGCATGTCTTCAACGCAGCACACAGCAAGCAGGAATACGGCCAGCTGTGCAGCAAGAGACTTCAAGATATCCGCCAAAAGATTGTACAGAAGCAGCAACAGCAGGCGATGGCAGCGAATGGTGGACAAGGCTTGATGGGACACAGTGGACAGGAAGGAGCGCATCAGATGCAACAGCAGGCCAACATGCATGCGCTCATGGCACAACGTGCGCAACAACAGCAGCAACAGCAACAGAAACAAGGTGGACAGCAAAACGCAGGCCTTGATGCAAGAACCCTCTTGATGCAACAACAAGCGACCATGTTGCGCAATGTCGCCGGAGGCGGTGGAAGCCATGCTGGCAGTCCAGCGAACCAACGGGCAAATCTGTCGACGTTGAATCAGCCCATGAATGGGAGTCAACAGACCACACCGGTGATGCAACAAAGACAGCCGTTGAATCACATGCAACAGCAGCAACAACAACAGGCTCAGCAGCAAAATCAGGGTCAGCGGCAAGCTGCTTTTACAAATGGTCAGCAAGGCTCCGCTGTGTCGACGAATGGAAATCCTACGAATGGCATGATTCCTGCATTCAAGCAATTTGGTGGCAACCCAGTTCAAGCGCAGCAATTACAAGCCATTCTGCGGCAAGTTCAAGAGTATCAGGCCAAGATTGGCGGTCAGCCCATCAATTTGAAGGAACTGACACCACAAAAGTTGATGCAGATGTATCATGCCCAAAAAGCACATGCAGCGCAACAAGCTCAACGCTTTGCATTGCAAGAGGAATCTGCCAAGCAGCAAGGACGTCCTACTTCACAGGGTCAGCAGCAGCAGCAGCAGGCTGTGGGAAGCCAGGCTGGTGGTCCTGCTTATATTGCTGCACAAGCGCAAATGCGTGCAAAGCTACAAGCTGGCCAACATCAGCAGCAGCAACAGCAACAGGCGCATCATCAACAACAACAGCAGCAACAGCAAGCGCAGATACAAGATCATTTGCGGTCGATGCAAGCTCAACAAAAAGCATTGCAGCAGCATAGCCATCAGCAAGCGTTGCAGCAACAACAGCAGCAACAGCAGCAACAGCATATGCAGCAACAACAACAACAACAGCAAGCCCAAGCACAAGCGCAACATCAAGCGAGTCTTTTGCAACAGCAACAACATCTGCAGCAGCAAAGACAAGCTCCTTCAACGACTACAAGCAGTGGCGGCGGCCAAGCAATCACAAACGACAAGACGAATCCAGTGAATTACCCAATTCCAGCCGCTTTGTTTAGTAGGTTTGTCAATTTGCCGGCTGGTGTCACGACCTGGCAGCAGATTCTCGAGTTGGGTAAAAGGCGGCAGTTGACGCCTGAGCAAATCAACAATGTACGGATGGTGTATAATCTGCATCACAGTATCATACTGCATTCTATGGGATTGTCAAAGCCAAATAATGGCGCTCAGATGCAGCAGCAGCAACAACAACAGCAACAGCAGCAGCAGGTACCCACGAATGTCAATCAGCAGCAGATGCAACAGCAGCAACAGTTACAAATGCAGCTGCAACACCAGCAGCAGCAACAGCAGCTTCAGAATCAAAATGCCCAGATTGCAGCTCCCAAGGCACAACGTGTGCCGTCAAGAGGACAGTCAAGCCTTGAGGAAGGCTCTGCCCAACAACCTTACCCCATGCAAGGGCTGGCACAGCATCCGCAGCTGAATGCGCATCAATTACAGCAATTGCAGAAGCAGCAGCAGAACAAGACACTAGCGCTACAACAACAGCAGCAACAATTGCAACAAGCTGTCAAACGTGGCAAGCAAGATCTACAGACGCCTGTCATGGCTGCTGCTCAGGTATCGCCACAAGCAGTCGCAGATCGTCCATCACCATCGAAGCGGAGGAGGGCCAATTCAAAGGCGCAGCCTGTGGCGACGCCTGTTTTGCAGGGAGCATTGCCAACACCTGCAGCAGTAGAGCAATTTTCGACTGCCATACCTGCACAGAATGCGGCGCGCCCGAATACTGCAACGGCCCCAACGACGCAAAAGAATGAATTGATGGCACTATTGCTGCGTGCTTGTCCGCCAGCAGAACAACGTCGCCTGTCGTTGGAAGTGCGTGCTATGGAGGAAGTCATTGCCAACAGAAAGCGCAATAATGCCTTCAAGGACTTGAGTGCGCAGGAAAAGGTACAGATTCAAGAGATGGTGAGGTCCATGATGTTTACGACTGGCAGAATCGACCAGCTCGCGACATTATACTATATCGTCACAAAGAATGCACAGCAGGTGCGTCAGTTGTTGGAGATGAAGTATCTATTTAAGGAACAGGTCATGCTGCTTTCACAGGACAAGTACACGCTGGATGCAGCATCGCTTGCCAAACTCAGCGCAAATTGCGATCGCATGTTTGCCAATGTTCGCGAACATCTCATTCAAACGGCCAAGGCGCTCACCAAGGCAAATCAGCAACAACAAACGCAAAGACAAGCCGGTGCGCCTATTGTCCCACCTGCGGTTGCTGCAACACCAGAAGCGTATGTGAATACACCCTCACCAGCTGATTCTGGGTCTGCTGGATCGCCGTTTGGCAAGCCACTCAAGCAGGAAGATCTCAAGTTGCCCTCGCATCGCAAGAAGCCAACAAAGCAAGAGTCAGTACAGAATGTCACCTCTGCGCCCTCAACGACCGCCGCAGCCAACAAAGTCGAGAAGCAAGCACAACGCGAAGCAATTGCATCAAAAGCTGCAAAAGCCAAGGAAGCAGAGTTGCTCAAGAAGCAGGCTGAAAGGGAGGCTGCAGAAGCACGCGCTATACAAGCCGAAGCTGAAGCAGATCCCTTGGCTTGGGCAATCAAGCAGGTTGAATTATTCTGCTTGACGGAGGAGCAAGATGCCGCAAAGGAATTAGCAGCGACGCAGAACGGCCAGCCTGGCTCTTCCGACAAGATGGGCGCGCCTTCAATAAAAAAGCAAGCCGTTGCTGGACCTACGCCAAGTACGATACTGAAGACGCCGCAGCCGTTTGTTGCTGCTCAGACACCCATCACGACTGCGCACAGCTTGCTGGCTGCCAAGGAGAGCAGTAAATCTGGGTATCCATTGACGCCGCCACGCTCAGACAAGCTGACACAGCGCGTGCTACAGACTGAATTGCTGCTCGAGCCTGGGGCTGGCTTGTTTGATATGCTGGCTAGTATGGAGGAAGCAGAGGACGCAGCAGCTACAGCAACGGCAGCGGCTGGCGGCTTTTTGGGTGCTGTCGAAGAAGATGTGGATGAAAGTGCGCTGTGGTCCATGTCGGTGCCGCTTTCAAACAGTTTTGCGATCGCGTGAGGACGAAGCGATCAGAATGAGGGGTATAGATGAAGCATGAGTATTATTTCTGTTGCTAGCGATACATATAGTCAACTTGATACTTGCTGCCTATCGCTTTCTCACTGTACATGGGTTTCTTATGGGCTTCTCGATGCCCATCTGAAGCTGCTTGTAGTGTTCCTGAGCATGTAAACCGGTACAAGCTCACGAGCTAATAGGGTTCATGTGGTCAGGAGAGCTCTCACAATTGGATAGCTAGCAAAGAGTCTGAGATCACCTTGATGTGAGTCTGCCTGCATCCTGTTTTTGTAACGATGTGGCAGTGCCTCAAGAAGGCAGAGATAACCCAGATCGTCGATCAATGTCATTCAGCGAGGGCGATATGTTGTTCCCGATGACTCAAAGACCCATATGAAGAGCGAATGGTTGAATGCTCACGCTCAAGTGTCAAGTCTAGTATTGCGTGCCAGGCAAAGAGCACGTTTGAACAAGTGTGGCCATCGACTTGATTATCTGCAATCTGTGAGACACCTCGAGAGCTTGACGAGCGGAGACTACATGAGTTTAGCCTTTCCCGTGCTCTGGAAGATGCGCATGTGCTCGACAATGTCTTGGTAATGGCCATCAATGGCTCCCTCAATCCAAGTCGTCAGACCAATATGCTTGTTTTCTGGTACTGCACCCCATGCCTTTCTGCCCCACTGCATATACCGCTCGCAGATCGTTTTATTGATGTTGACTTTACGTATACCGCCTGCTTTGATGCATTGAACAATGAGCTCATTAGGAAAGTCACTGAAACCATGCAGCACAAGGTGAACGTCTTCTGGACATGCTTCACGGATCTGCTGAAGTCGGTCTAGCTGCAAGACGCTGCCAGGACCTGCTCTAGGATACGCGCCGTGCATGTTACCAAATGCTGGAGCGAGGTAATCAACTCGCGTCTCAGCAATGAATCGCACTGCGTCTTGGGGATCTGTCAAAAGACCATCCATATCCGGTGCATCCACACCATCCTCTGCACCATCAATACGGCCCATCTCCGCTTCCACAGTGATGCCCATTGCATGCGCTCTCTCCGTCAGCTCTTTTGTCTTTTGTGCATTTTCAGCAGGCTCGTAGTGGGACATGTCAACCATGACACTGTCGAACCCTAGATCCATAGCAAGCTTGCAATCTTCGTAGTCTTGGCAGTGGTCAATGTGCACGGCGATATTGGGTTCGGTGGAGGCAGCAAGGACTGCAATCTTGGCAATCAAGTGGTGTTCTGCTGCATGCAAGGCCCATGGAAAGACCTGAATGATAGCAGGCGACTGTTCGGCCTTGGCAGCTTTCACCGTCGCGAGAATGGATTCGACCGTGTAGCAATTGACGGCAGGAACAGCGTAGTTGTGTTGCTTGGCATGATTGAGGATACGCTTCGTCTTGTTTTGCGAGAGATCAGGACGGACCATTTCTTAGCTTGTAGAAGAGGAGAGGATGAGCCTCAGCTGTAAATGAGCCTTTGCCCCTCTTATACCAGACTGGGGACCCCATCTTTTTGTCTCTTTGGTCGTGGATGTCGCTGCTTCTATCCCACCCTGGTCGCATCCCGCCTGAAATAGCACAGTCACAAATATTGGCGATTTTCTTGATCAAAAGGAGGGCAACCAGTAGTAAGAGACTGTCTGGTATATGGTGAAAGCCAGTACTCGATCCAGTCCTCATGGCAGAGGTTTGTTGTCGAGCACTTAGATTCACCCCGCACTCACTCTATCAACGACATCCTCAACCACTCCACTTCCATCGTTTGTCCTGTATCGCAGCCATGGGCAGTGCACAGTCTTCCTCCTCTGCTGGCCTGATACAAAGCCCACCCGACAAGCAAGCTGCCAAAGTGGCCCCCTTCCTTCGTGCAAACCACAAGTTCTCTATAGTCCAAGCTCATGATAAGCCCAATGCATCTTCTCAGCAACTGACGGCTGCTGCATTCCTGGCAGTCGAGCCAGTCTCGCTTCTCTTTGATCTCTGGGATTTACTCTCACAACAAGCTACCATTGAAGTGCGAGACAATGAAGAGATGGACGAGATTGTTACGACTTCTTGGCAAGATTACCTCGGTGTACTCGACCGTTCTGATGCCTACGTCAATTTCTTCGATGACGAAGTCGTGCGCTACCTCTACGAGACGGAACAGACTGTCAAAGCATATCTGGCAGAATCACAGATCCAGGCAGGGTTGCTTGCACAAAATGGGTGGCCCTTACGTCAGATTGCTGCTGGAATTGAAATGCGCTCACAAGAAGTCGTTACGGAAGGACTGGCGGGGACATGTGCATTTTACAGCGTGGATCTGATTGATGTCATGCACAAGAAACCCGTCAAAATTGAGCCGGACACAGTGCCCACCTCCTTGGATGGCGTCCGAGCTGCTCGTGATATGGTCATCCAGCAAGCCATGTCTCGGCCGGAGCATTGTAATCATGCAGTCCTGCAGGAGCTTGTTAATCTCAACAGTGTTGGGGTCCTTTGGCGCTTCTTGCCAGCGGCAGATGCCACTCGTCTGTGGAAAGCAGTTCTCTATCGTCTCGGGCAAGCTCAGAGGTCGGCTAGCACCACCTCTACGGGAGATGCATCAGCCAAAAACTGGCAAGAGATTGTCCACATTGCCCTCACGAAAAAGCCTGAGCTGCTCGACACATTAAGACTACTGAAGGAGCACGAACAGTACGACCCAGACTCTCTCATTGCATCACGGTTGCTCGACTAGATTAGTTGTGGAATGAATTTTTGTATCCTGTATCTAAGACGATGCCATCTAAGCCTTCGCAATGAGTCGCTCAACATCAGCGATGCTCTGCTGCAAAATCTGCTGCTGCACCTTCGGGTTGGTGATTTCCTTTTGAATCTTGGCAATCACGCTCTCAGCGAGCTCCTTCTGCTCCCGCTGCCTGACGCCTGCCTCGTAACGCACCCAAGAGTCCAGCACGGTCTTGGCCTCTGTAGCGAAAGCAACACGCTGCTGCAACTCGAATGCCTTGGCCTCCAACTCTGCCGTTTCCTTGGAGATGGCAAACAGGGACTTGGTAATTCCAACAACATCCTTCATCTCGCTGACACTGTCGATGCGTTGCTGAACAGCTGCAGTGTGGTCTGCACGAGCACTGTTGAGGAGATCACGCATGCGGCCGATATGGCCCTCTGCCCACTCATTGTAAGGACCGCCACCAGCCTTGACAATGACGGCGAGAATACCAATGAAAGCAGCCAAGACGGTTGTCTCCTCATTGACGACGTAAATCTCCTTGGAAATAGCAATCGCCGAGAGAGCGGCACCGGCAGTCAAAATACCAGTTTTGGAGAGGATGGAGTTTCCGGGGAGTGCATCGATGATAGAAGCAGCCTTCTTGCTCGGCTCAACGCGTGTAGAGTTGTAACGGACGGCAACACTGGTGGTTAGCAAGAAGATCGTCGTTCTCGAGCATGCATACGGAGCGATGGCTCGAGGTGCGGCACGGCTAGCCTGGAGACCTGCGGATGAGTTAGTCACTTGTGTTGAGATAGTTGCAAGGAGCATCAAAATACATACCGGCTGATCTGGCGATTCGAAGAGCACTCATACTGAAACTGGCAGCCGAATGAGGGAGGTCTGCTTTCTGCTCGTCGTCGTTTGTATGCGAACTGCTCCGGCGTCTGGGGTTAGGGCACATATTAGGGTACGGGGCTTCAGATGGAAAGTTTGAAGAACGCGACACAGTGACCACAACCTTGACCCACGTACTTTGCTCCCTCCTGTCTAGCTACCTCCATGTGCCCAAGCTATGAAAGTGCTCTGTGTCGCAGAGAAACCCTCCATTGCTAAAGCTATTGCTGGTATTCTCGGTGATCAATTTGTCACGCGTCAAACAGGCAATCAATACATCAAAAACTATGATACGCGCTTCCAAAGTCAACGCTGGGGTGACTGTAATATGACCATCACGAGCGTCGTCGGACACATCACTGAAACTGATTTTCCGGAGTCACATCGTCCATGGAATAGCTGCTCGCCCGATGCATTGTTTGACGTGCCCATCAGAACCCTGCCTCGTGATGCTGTGCGGCCTATTCATGCAAACCTTGCTACAGAAGCGAGACACGCACAGATCCTTTTTATTTGGACCGATTGCGATCGTGAAGGGGAGTATATTGGCTGGGAAGTGCTCATGGCTGCTCGGAAGGGTAATGCCAATATCGATGTCAAACGAGCAAACTTTAATAACCTCGAACGAGCGTATGTTCCCTGTGAGATATTGCAATGCTGACAACAGGCACATCATTCAGGCAGCATTGAATCCTGGTTTGCTTGACATGAATCAAGTCAATGCCGTCGCTGCACGAATGGAACTAGACCTTCGCACAGGCGCCGCTTTCACACGTTTGCAGACGACACAACTGCAGAGCATCCATCCATTATTGGAAAAAGTCATACTATCTTATGGATCTTGTCAGTTCCCTACGCTTGGCTTCATTGTTGATCGATGGCGCAAAGTGACCAACTTTCGTCCTGAACAGTACTGGGCCATCAAGGTGACGTTGAGTCGCGACAATATTGACGTTGCATTTCGATGGCAGCGCTCAGTCCTTTACGATCGCCTCGCCGTGGTCGTCCTGTTTCAGCAAGTGCTTGAAGGGCAACGCGCACGTATTGCATCTGTCCAGCAAAAGCCAAAATCCAAATGGCGACCATTGCCACTCACGACCGTGGAGATGCAAAAGCAAGGAACACGCTTCTTACATCTCTCTGCGCATCAAATCATGGACCACGCTGAAAAACTCTATCAAAAGGGATTCGTCAGCTATCCACGTACAGAGACTGATCAATTTGATCCAGGAATGGATTTACGTACTCTGGTTGCCAAGCAAACAACAGACGAGGCATGGGGCGAGTATGCACGAGGATTGCTAGAAGGTGGCAGATTTCGACAACCGAGAGCAGGTCCGCACAATGATAAAGCACATCCTCCCATTCATCCAATCGCGCATGTCACGCGTGGTGCATGTGCGTCCATGGAAGAACACAAAGTCTATACACTGATTACACGTCGTTTCCTCGCTGCATGTTCGGAAGATGCAAAAGGGTCTCAATCGACTGTGGATATTGAAATGGGTGGAGAACGCTTTTCAGCGAGTGGATTGACGGTGCTTGAACGCAACTACTTGGACGTCTACCCTTACGACCGCTGGGAGTCTTCAGCGCAGCTACCTGCCTTTCGACAAGGCGAGCTGGTGGAGCCAAAGAGTGTTGAAATGACAAACGATAAGACGACGCGCCCAAGTTTTCTTAGTGAGCCGGAACTCATTGGCTTGATGGATGCAAATGGTATTGGTACGGACGCAACCATGGCTGCTCACATTGAAAAGGTCCTGGAACGGCAATACACCTTGAAGGAAGCAAATGGCGGGACCCCTCAATTCATTCCAACGACCTTGGGTATTGCTCTGGTAGAAGGCTTTGATGCAATGGGCTTCGAAGAATCACTCACAAAACCACAACTCAGAAAAGAAACTGAACGACAACTCGCCATGATTCATCGGGGGGAAGCGAATAAAGCAGATGTACTTGCAACACTGACTGATCAGTATCGGATGGCTTTTCTGCGCGTCAAGGGGAATATACAAGTTCTGAAACAGGCGGTCCTTCGAGAATTACCAAGATAGCATGAGCATAGCAATGTTTTTTTTTCTACAAGATTACTTCATCTTAATGTCCCGGAGGAGGAGGCTGATTGTACTGCGAACCAGGAGGCGGTGGAGGTGGCAGGGTGACACCTGGAGGCGGTGGCAGTGATGAGACGCCTGGCGGTGCGCCGTATGCATCGATTCCCGGAGGAGCACCGAAGCCAGGCGCACCACTATACCCAGGTGCAGATGGTGGTGGTGGCATACTTCCATATCCAGGAGCTGCAGGCCTCGAAGCAGACGCCTGTTGTCCTCCTTGTTGCTCCCAAGGTGCTGCAGAGCCACTACTGCCTTGTCCCGGACGATCCCAAGGAGCAGCACCACCACTTGCGCCTGGTGGGCCGGACATGATTTGTCGTTGAGGACCCCGCGACCATTGGCTTCACCGAGCTCATTCATGAGTGTTGCGTATTCTTGATCTTGACGACTTGCTCCACCGAGTGGTGCACCATTCGAGCCAGACCCCTGACGACAATCGCGAGCCATGTGACCTGCGTTGCCACAGAGTCGACACACGATGTTGGCGGTATAGTTGTTGCGCTGTGGGCAGTCGTAGCGACGATGTCCAATTTCACCACAGTTCTGACACATTTGGTTTTCATCGTCTCGCAAGGTTCCGTTGAGGGAGGCCAGCTCACGCAGCTGGTTCTTCTTGAGGGTGTTGAGATTTTCTGGTGTTGAGGCAGCTGTGCCAATCACTTCTTCGACAAGCTTGACTGCAGCGACAATCTTGTCTTCATTGTCAGCCGTGATGAGAACATGCAAGTCTTCTTCTTGTGCTTGACTCGTTGCTGGATCATTGCGACCTTTTCCTACCTTGACGGAGCCTTTTCCGCGGATGGCAATTTTGGCACCAGACTTGGACTCCATCGTTTTGAGTGTATTACCTCGAGGACCGATGAGGAGTCCGATAAAGTTGATTTCAGGATACTGCGCAACAGGTACGTAGATTTTCTCCGTGGTCCTTGTTGGACGTCGGTAGTCTGGCGGTGGCTTGAAGTCAGGAATCGTCTTGAGTGCTTTCTCAACAAGACCATGCCGCTCATCCTCGAGACGCTTACGATACCGTGTTTCTGCCGTGTTGACACGCCTGCCAAATGTGTCATACGTAGGCGGTGGTGAGGGACTACGACGAGACTCATCCGGAGCCACATCATTGACGCGCAATTTGTGCGTGATCTCTTCTAGTCTGACATGCAATGCATACGCTTCCAATTGCTCCATTGTCATGGGCGAGGTAATGGCTGTTGTTAAGCCAGTGACACCTTTGCCGCCTTTGTCTGCATCGTCCCAACGAATCTTGCGTTTATGGGCACTTGGTCGGGAAGGCGGGGGTGCAGGGTATCCATGTCCTGAGCCCGAGCCTGAGCCTAAGCCTGATCCGGTACCGTAGCCAGCGATGGAGCTGTAGCCTGAGCCTGAGGGTTGAGGTGGTGGGGGCGGTGGTTGGAAGGAGCCTGGTCCATCGCGTTCTGCAAGCCTGTTACGTGCGAGGGGGACGTTGTTGGTGCCTGACTGCTGCCTGTTGTACATGCTGGCAGGCTAGTAAGACAGAAGTACCAGGTCAAGCTGTAGCAGGACTTGGTCAAGTAGTCAAGATTCTTCAGTCGGCCAAATCTTAGAACTACAGCGACAAGACAGTCAAGTCAAGAGCCAAGACACCCTCAGCTCCTACAACCAGCAGCATGGCATCCGGCTACGGCATCAAGGGCGGACAAGGCAGGTGCTTTCCTCAGTGGCAAGACTTCCTCGCCTGCTATGGTATGTTGCTTCCTCATCCCTCTTGCGCACATCCACTGACACTGTACAGCGCAAGCCGATGAGCTCAAGGAATGTGTGCTACCCAAGGCCGACTACATGGAGTGTCTGCATCACGCGAAAGAGGCGAGTCTTCCTCTCAGTACGCCAGGGCATCCGCTAACCAGCAGATCCGGCGGACACAGCAGATCAAGGGTGAGATGATGCGCCAAGAACATCTCCAAGGCATCACGCCAAAGACACAAAAGGAGATGATGGGAGAAGTACCACGGCTGAATATCGTCAAGTAGACTCTGATACAGCTCAAATAACAACAGAGGTTTCACCAACTCTGCCACTGGCATGCTCTGAAACAGTGACCCCAGCTGACCCTTGACTCTGCCGACTGCTTGAAACTTGCTGCCTATCGACTCTTCTTCTTCGGCAATGCTTTTGTATCCTCTTAACCACTAGATGTACTTATACTCTATCCTATCAGTTGTCTCGCTAGCATGCGCACAACGGCCACAGTCAGCGCGAGCAGGCATCTCTCCTCCTCGACCAGGCGCAACAGCTCCCGATGGCAGTCTCATTATCGACAATACCGTGCTCGTCGATGGTCTACGACTCCGCTATAAACTCTCCGTCCCACCCAGTCTCCTCGTTGGCGGTGCTAGCGCAGACCCAGCAGCAAGACCACTCGGTCTAAATGTCCTTCTGCATGGTGATGGTGGTGCATCCTTTGAGGATTTCCCACACGCAGGCGTACGTGCTGGTCTGCTGGGCTGCGTCGTGCTTGCTCCCAACGACGCATTGCTATGGGGAGGGCAATCAACGCGTGCCACACAACGCCCTGATGGCGTTGCGCATGCTGCTGCTGTGAATACCTTGATTCGCTCGGTGCTTCCGAACATTGCTCGTTTTGATCCTGAGCAAGTGTGGTTTACTGGTGTTTCTGGTGGATCGTTGCTCCTCTCTGGGTTCTTTGCACCAGCCTTCATGGCGGCTTACAAGACAGGTATCATGTTTCTCTGTGGCGGTCTTGCACCACCTGCACGACGTGTGACAAGTACGCTGGATACTGCCACGTTGAGCAAGATACGACTACACTGGCAGTCCTCGCAGAATGAGCTCGTCTCTCTGAAGACGCAGATTCCAGGGGCCATTCGATTTTTTGAGGATGCAGCACGTACTGCTGGCGTCGATCAAGGGGTGTTGGATAAATTGCAGACGGTGGATGCCACACCAACAGGGAGCCATTGTGCATTTGATAATCGTGGGTTCAATAGTGGCATTGCCAAGATGATGGAGGAGGAGACGTGGTCGCGGATCATGTTTCGCTCGGAGACGGCTGCCTCTGTGGGTGTGACGGGACGCGAGGATCCGTTCAGGCGGCAGCAGAGGTAAGGACTGCTACTAAGACTACTAAGGAGAGGACTCAGAGAAGTATATCTCATCCATCTGATCGCATATGAGGCGACATCAGATTAGATCTACTGCTACACGACCTCGAGGCACACTTGGACAGGTTAGAGGTACGTGTATTCTTATTCGCCTGGATGGACGCAGAAGTATGAATGCATCGCCATCATTTCCTCGACTGACAACAGACCTTTCGCAAGGCCGGCTATGCAGCCATCGATCGAATCATCGAATACCACCAGACCCTCGGGCAAGTACCGCCCGCAGATGTACAGATGCAAGCGCCCTCATCAGCAAACGATGCATCTCTCAAGCATCTCACCTCCAAAGTCGTCTCACAAGTGGAACCTGGCTACCTCGGCCAACTCATACCGAGCGTTGTCTCTGAATTACCGGTACCGTTCGCCCAGCTACAGCAACAGCTCGAGCAAGCCATCATGCCAGGCATCACACACTGGCAATCACCTAATTTTATGGCCTATTTCCCTGCTCAATCATCCTTCCCGGCCATTTTGGGAGATATGTACTCGGATATGCTCACATGTGCGGCGTTCAATTGGCAGGCATCTCCTGCTGTGACGGAGCTCGAAACCATTGCCTTGGATGCCCTTGGAAAAGCTATGGGTTTGGATGAAGGATATCTATCTGCCGGCAAAGGTGGTGGTGTTCTCTTTGGCACAGCATCCGAAGCGGTTCTCACAATGATGATTGCTGCACGAGATCGATATCTGCGTCGTCGGCCTGAGATTAAGGTGGATCAGCTCGTTGTCTTGATCACAGATCAGACACACTCCGGTGTAGAGAAGGCTGCCATGTTGCTCGGCCTGACATGCAGAAAACTCAAAACTCACAAAAAGGATGCTTTCGGACTTATTGGCAGTACACTTGAGCAAGAACTTGCCCAGCTCCAGAAGCAAGGCCTGTACGCATGTTTCTTGTGCCTGACGCTTGGTACAACGGCAACATGCGCTGCTGATGACTTTGCTAGCTTGACACCCATTATTGAACAACATCACGATCTCTGGACTCACTTGGATTGTGCCTATGCCGGTGCTGTACTCATTTGTCCGGAATACCAACACTACCTCAAATACACCACCCAGTACGATTCAATCGAGTACAACAACCATAAATGGGGGTTAGTCAATTTCGATTGTTCATCGTTGTGGACGCGTGACAGAGCCGCTTTGATTGCAGCTATGGACATCACGCCTGCTTACCTACGCAACCCACACAGCGAGTCAGGGCGTGTGTTGGAGTATAGAAACTGGGGTATCCCACTCGGTCGACGATTCAGATCATTAAAGTTGTGGTTTGTTCTACAGACGTATGGCTTGGAAGGCATGCGCCAGATGATTCGCAATCACATCGCCTATGCAGAGACATTTGCAAATCTTGTGCGTAAAGATGAGCACATGCAGTTGTTTGTTGAGCCGAAATTTGCATTGACCGTCCTGTCCTTTAGAGATGGTGAAGAGATGACCAGAGCCGTGTATGAGCGCATCAACAAGGACGGCACGCTCTTCCTGACGAGTAGTGTCGTGGATGGCACCTATGTCATCAGAGTGGTTGGTTGTACGACACAAGTCACTGAAGCACATTTGATCGGTGCATACCGGGTCTTGGCAGAGACTTATCGCCAAGTCAAAGCCGAACACTGAAATTTAATGCCATACTTCATAGATCCAACGCGCCATGTCTACTCTCTTTGCCATGATACCCGTGACCCAGGGATGTTCAAGCATCTCTCTTGGACTCGGTCGATTTTGTCGATTGCGTTCAAGGCAGACCTTGAGGAAATGTCTGAATGGACGAGACCATTTCACGCCAACGTCTGGTTCGTCCAGCAATGTCGGCGGTTCAGCAGAAACAATGACGCTGAGAAGCTCAATAGGCATGAGCTGTGCCCCATCATCCTGCATAAAAGGAAACTTGTTGGTCGCCACCTCCATTAATGTCAAGCCAAGCGACCAAATGTCAGAGGTCACTGTATATGGCTGGCCTTGGATACGCTCAGGTGCCATGTAGTAAGACGTGCCAGTAAATGTACCAGCCAATGAATTGACCAACTCGCCTGATACGCCAAAATCGCATAGCTTGACGCCTCCTTCGAGTGTCAGGAGGATATTGCTTGGCTTGATGTCGCGATGGATGATCTTGCGTGAGTGCAGGTATGTGAGTCCTTGCAACACACCATGCGCAACACGCCCTAGCACGCGTTCCCCCGTCCGTCCACCTCTGCGCTTGACTTGCTTGTATAAGCTATCCAAACTTCCACCTTCACAAAACTCCATGGCAATATTGATGACCCCTTGTTTTTCATCCAAGTACGCACCATAATACTCTGCAATATGTGGCGAGTCAACCGAGCGGTTGATGGACAACTCGCGCAGGATTTGACGTTGAATGACTGGATCTGGATCAGCGGGAATACTCTTCAACGCGAAAATGGTTGGGATACGAGCAAGTTTGCATCGTGTCACGGCACCACCTGTTCCCTCGCCAAGTCTGCCGAGTACTTGTACTTCACCGCGCGCAAACGCTTGTCGCCAACAGTCTTCATCCATCTCACCGAGTGTCTCCGGTGGATGGGTCGTATCGCTTTGACCAGGTGATAATGCCTTTTGTGAGGGATCACTCTCTGCCGTTCCCAGCACACGTCGTAAGTCAGCATTGAAGGATTGCGATGAAGAATGCGCAGAAGGAACAGTCAGGAGCGGTGTTGAAAGGGACGCATCCCGTGAGAGCGCCAGATCTGTATTGATAGCCAGACGACTTGATCCTGTTGCTGCAGACTTGGCTGTGGAGCCTGCATCTGGATCAGTGATTTGTAGAGTTTGTAGAGACGGTAATGACAAGTCTTGCGCACTGGACGCTGCATCACGCGACGCGGGGATGGCAAGGGACGGTAGACTCGGGGTCTGTCGTTTAGGCGTACCTGAGCGCCCTGGCGGCCTGAAGTTGAATGTCAGCTTCATTTCGTCTTGAAGACACTGGCGTCAATGGGATAGAAAGGACTTACTTGAGGGAAGGAAACATTGCCCTTGTATCGAATGCTCTCTCCGAGCTCTCTGTCGCTTTGTATGTTCCCGGGGTTTGTTGTTTTGCCTAGCAAATGAGCGGCAAATGATGCGTCTTGGCAGCACGGGGGCTGCTGTAGCACCCTGAGGAACAGGAGGTTTGCGAAGATGCTGGCTCTGGCCTTGTGAAGGCTGTGATGGAGCTGGGTCAGAGGGCCGAGAGCCTCATTGAGCAGGCCAGCGCTCGTAGATGCGCTTCTGGTGCGGGTGCCGTCTGTCGCGTCGTTTGAATTGCGTCGTTGCTCTTTATTGACCACAATCAGTAGAACAGCTGCAGAATTGCTGACTCGTGTGCAGGGAGAGTGCTTGGCTCGTGCTGGAGAGATCGATGTCCTTCCAAGACTCAGTCTTCTCCAATCAGTCATATCTGATATCAACCTCAGAACCATCAAGGTGATTTCAAATTCCACTGTATGCTTCAGGGGTCAAGAGTCAAATACAAAACCTGTATGCTCGTCTACTTTGCACTCCGGATTTTACGCTCATACGGCCCACGACTTGCCTTGACGACGCCATGCTTCTTCCGCCTCTCCTCCTTCCGCTCCCCGAAATTCTCATCCGTCAACGCCAACTGTGCCTCTCGCTTCGCCGTACTGACTTGTGACAAGTTTTCAAGGACGCGTGATTCTTTACATCCCTCATACGCCTGCATCTTGCTGCGAACACGCTCTTCTATCGCATGCACGAGTTCGACGTCATGTTCACCAATCAACGAAATACTCTCTCCATGTCGACCCGCTCTCGCTGTTCGACCTACACGATGGATATAGTCGTCTGGATCTCTGGGTAGATCGTAATTGATCACCATCTCCACCTGAGGAATATCCAGACCACGACTCGCAACATCGGTCGCAATGAGGATCTTGGCTGCTTCTGCACGAAACCGACCTAATGAGTCGATCCGATCGCGTTGTGCCATATCTGAATGGAGTGCCGTGACACGGTGTTCAAGCGCACGTAGCATCCGTCTTAGCAATTCAGCAGTGCGCGTCCGATTCACAAAGATGATGGCTGATTTTCCCTCGTTCTGTGGGAGTGCCAGGAGGTCTTGCAGGTAGGCTTCTCTGACTTGTGTCGGGATGAAGAGGTAGCGTTGATCTAAGGTTGCCGGGACTGCAGAGAGACTTCCTTCGCCTTCTACCTCATGCAAGAATGGAGCAGGTTTACCATCTTTTGCAGGCTGTTGGCTGAGTGTACGAATCGCATCCGTCACCGTTGCCGTGAAGAGTAATGTTTGTCTATCCTTGGGTAATAGTGAGAGACAATCCTCCAAGGCTTCAGCAAAACTCGGACTGAGCAGACGGTCTGCTTCATCGAGAACAAGATACTTGCATTTCCGCAATCCACCGACCGTTTCATCGCCATTACTGCGAATGATATCAGCAAGTCTGCCAGGTGTTGCAATCACGATATGCGGTCTTTTCGAGAGTGCTTGCGTTTGTTCAAGCATATCCAAACCCCCCACCACCGTCGCAAACTTGAGATCCATTGACGCACCCAGTGCTGCAAATTGGTCGGAGATTTGGATTGCCAATTCTCGAGTTGGCGTGAGGATGAGGGCAAAGATGCCAAAGGGGTCTTGCGACCATTCTTGCAGGATGGGCAGTGCAAAAGCAGCTGTCTTACCGGATCCTGTACGAGCGCCACCGATACAATCACGACCGTCGAGGATGGCTGGGATACAGGCTTGTTGAATGGCTGAAGGCCGTGTGATGCTGAGGGATTGCAGTGCGTCGATTAACCATGTTGAGAGTCCAAGCTCTTGGAAGGAGGTAGCGGGCATCTTGACCCTTGCGTGTAGATGTATAAAGTAGCTTCTCCTCTGCTGCCAGCCTCTAGCTTGCGTGTCGCCTTTTGTGTGTAGCTTGGTTGGGTGTCTTGTTGCCCAAATCTTTTTTTCGACGACAAAAACATCAACGAAGCAGGGTCAGGACTCAGAAGCAGCCAGACAACCAGCCCATGGCAGCCATCTCTGCGCTCACAGTCCCATCCACCCTCAATCTCTCTCTCCCGTATGCGCATCCATTAACAAGTCATGTGCGACATTGCTGACGTACCGCAGGAAACCTCATACGACCTACCAGATCGTACGTCATTCTTGACTCTCTTACTCTCTCTATTGCTGAACTGACGCGACATGGACAGCAAGTCTCGCTAGTAGGATCGCTACAATCCTACCAAGTCTCGCGCAGATTTTCGCAATTCGTCGAGTTGGATAGAGAAATCACAGATGTCACAGGTCTTAAAGCGCCCATCCCGCTACCACCAAAGACACTCTTCAGTCGTCCAGATGTAGCGCAACGACAAAAAGCACTGGAGCAGTATCTATGTGGATTACTTTCCCATCCATCTTTATGCGCCTGTCTACCACTTCTCCACTTTCTAGACATCTCTAGCGTATCGACAGAGACAAACAAGCATGCATCAGCAGTTGCCGGCGCAGTCAGTGGAGGCGACTACTATGACCTTCTTCGCACCGCAAAACTCGCATTACAACGCGCAAAACAAGCACTGGCAACCGTCTCCTCCTCAACATACCCAAGTGATCGTGCAGCCTTCCACACGACACTCCAAACAGCTGATCGGTGTCTTGCACAACTTGAACGGTGCATTGAGCATGAACGAGAGGTGTTGCAGGATGTGGAGGTGTTGAAGCGACGGGATGTGGTGGATGCGCTGTTTCGTGATTTGGCAGCACTCAAGGCATCAGGTCTACATCTCCGTGCGGGTGGTGGTGGGCCAAGTCATACGCAACCTTCACCATTCGCTATCACTGGACAGGGAAAGCAAGGTGCGAGTGGTGGTGGTGGTGGTCGACGGTTAGGTCAAGCACCACAAGAAACAGAACGGACCGTTGGACAATCGAATGCTGCCTTGTTACAATCACAAACACAAGTCATGGCAGATCAAGAGACACAACTTGCTGGATTACTACCGTTGCTGCAACGACAAAGGGAGCTTGGCTTGGTGATTGGGAAGGAGCTGGATGATCAGAATGCAGCACTGGATGAGCTTGCTGATGCCACGGATCAAGTGGGTGGTAAGATTGCGAGGGGGAAGAAGCAGATTACCAAAATCACTGGCAAGAAGTGAACTGTTTTGTGGTCTCTTAGGTTGTACATCGGAAAGCATCAAGCATTGGCATTGAACACGATGAAAATGAATGCAAAGGTATTGGTGATATGAGTATGTGAAGATCACAAGTGTCTACTCTTGCTGCTGGACGGCAGGGAACTCAAAGACAACTAAGGGGTTAGCTTGGTCGACACGAGAATGAACGATGTGCATACCAGTCTTGCCTGTAAGCTTGCTGTACACGCTAGAGAAAGAGTCAAGCTTGTAGTCAAGGTTGCCAGCATCCTTTTGGTCAAGAAACCTAAAACATGTTAGTCTCTTTACGCATAGACGTAGCATCGACGCCATGACCACAGCAGCGTCATGCAGAATATTGGTATCAGGAAAATCCATAGCGACAACTCTGGCCATTTGCAAAAAGCGAATGGGTAAGAGGCCGGTGTATGAACTCTTCGATGCCAATAAACGACGCCTGATTCCTCTCTTTTTGTAATTGCAGAAGGAAGGAGGAGGTAAAGCCTATTGAGCGTGGTGGTCAGTCAGTCCTTCCGCCCCTTTTCTTGTTGACGTTGCGACAGAGGGAACCAGGACGCCGAAGAAGGAAAAGAGAGCTCATCCACAGAAGTCACGTAACAAGATGGCACCATCAAAGAACAATACCCATACACATCGGTGCGCTGTACATGGTCCGTCAGCAAAACGAGGGAACTTACACTTTCTGGATCTTGCGGCCATCGGTGAGGGAACGGGTACGCTTGCCAACGATCTCTGTTGGGAAGACGAGGTCCTCAAGAATCTTCTCGTGAACCGATGTCAATGTACGGTTACGCGGCCTCTTCTGAGTAGCACGCGATCGTCGTCCTGGCTTCTTGAGGATACGGCGTTGCGCAACAAAGACAACATGCCTGTCAGAGAACTTCTTCTCCAGCTCGCGGGTCAACCGTTGCTGGATCTTGTGGAAGGCCTGCAACTGAGGCACGGGGACAAAGATGACAATGGCCTTCTTGCCTGCACCCACCTCAATCTCCTTTGCAGCGGAGATTTGGAGAGGACGGAGGTCTGCCTTGAGGTCTGCGACGGAGGTCTCGAGGTCGTAGAGTGCCTGAGCGACGGTGAGCTCGACGGAGTCCTGTGTGATCTTGTTGATCTTGTTTGCGGCAGACATGATGGGTAGCTGCTTCTCTGTCTCTCTTGTCTACTATCTACTGTCTACTGCTTTCTCCTTCTCTGCTGCAAATCAACTTTTTCCCTGTTTGAACATTGTGACTGCTGCTGGAAACTATTTCAGATGGAGAGTGATGAGCAGTCACAAGTAAGGCAAAAACAGCAGCAACATCTAACACGCACACTGACCAGACTTGCTTCCATCACCACCTCCGCCACTGCTCAAGTCAACACGCTCCTCCCGCTGCGTCTGCCTCGCAACAGGCACCTCCTCAGGAATCCCCCTCGCAATCCCCTCAAACACATCCTGCACACCCTGCCCAGTCTTGGCACTCGTCTCAAAGAACAGCAGCCCTTGTTCCTCCGCATACGCTTTTCCCTCTTCGAACGTCACTTGACGACGTGGCACTGTTGAGTCCTCTGCATCACCCTCGTCCTCCCCTGCAGCATCTGCCAAATCAAGCTTATTGGCAGCCAAGCAAATAATGATATTTTGACTGGCTTGACGTTGTAACTCCTTCACCCACGTCTTGGCCTTATCCAGCGACGCTGCTTTTGTGATATCATACACAACCACTGCAGCTTGCGCATTGCGATAGTACATCGGCGCCAGTGAATGGAAACGCTCCTGACCAGCTGTATCCCTGTATACTGTTAGCCATCTCTCACTATACACAACACAATGCGCCGCCAATGCTTAGAAAAGAGCATACCAAATCTCAAATTTAACCGTCCGGTTCTCAATCTGGCATTTCTGTGTCAAAAACGCAGCGCCAATCTAACGCGCAAATGTCAGCAAAACGCATTCTTATATCTGCTGGGCATGTAGAAGCGCCGTACAGTAGGTTCTTTGTTTTCCTGGAAATCAGATTGCACAAAGCGCAAGCATAAGCTAGATTTGCCAACAGCTGCTTCACCTATAGTCCAAGCATGTCAGCATTTGGAAGCGCGCATAGATTGTATTGTATGGCGCATACCGAGAAGGACTAGCTTGACATTGGATCCCCTTGCAGACATGATTGTGAGTCTTGTTGAAGAAGAGAGAGAGAGAGAGAACACCTTTGGCGCGGCTTTCTGGTTCGCCGACTTGGCAGCTCTGCGTCGTCACCAAATCACGTGGCTCGGCTACATCCCTCACATGTGCAATACCTTACTACTTACTTGTAGCTGACTGCTCTGAAGCTCAAGAAGCGAGACATGCGGATTGAATTACTGGGCAATACTTGCTCTGATCTGAAGCCGCTGTCGATATGGAAGTCGACGCTTCTAGAATTACTCTTTCCTACGCTCTGTACCTGAATGAGGGACCGGCCAAGGTGGTTTGGTTTATGGAAGACTCTCTGTATTATCCTGATCACAGAGATAACTCATTTAGCACAAGACCACAAGCTGTCATCTTTGTGCTCTCCCTTGTGTCCAGTTCTACTAGGCCTGAACTCATGATGAACAGCATGAGCTCCCGACTACATAGCGCTGCGACTGACTCTTGCGTCCCATGGACTGCAGTGAGGAATCTTACTTGAACAGGCAGGCCATCGACGAATGAATCGTCCCGATACTGAGCCAAATGCAAGTAACTCAGGCGAGCACCATGCCGTACGCCATCAGTCTCGTGGAGTTCATAAGTCGTCCGACCAACCTCCTTATCACGCTCACACCGCGCCGACTTTATAGGTTCTCTCGAAGAGCAGGACGCTGGACTTGACGTGCACGACCAAGCTCGACATTCCTACACAGCAGCGTGATAGGTATCGCTTGACTCATTCAGTCAGGTCAGGATCCATTCCTGCATCGTTACGCCTCTCAAATTGCTCCCCGGCTGCATTATACGGCATTGACCACCGTGGCGCGCAAAATCAATCTTGCGATATATGGTTTGACGACTTGTGCGTAGAAGCCCAACAGTCACCTGTCGGCAGAGACACTTCTCGCAATGAGATTGCTGCACAGATTCTTCAACAAGGGCGATCGGAGCTGCGCAAGGAAATTGTATCTCATCTCATTCACGTCACTCATTAAGAGACGTCAGTGTCAGCTCATGTCGCAGCACAGTCATGACACATGTCGTCGAACGTGCCATCATCACGGCCACCGCTCTACAATGAGAGTCGGACGCGCACGATGCAGCCACGTCGTGCACTGTCTATAGCACTCTTGGCAAAAACCCATGAACCACATGATTGTTCACAGACCCACCTGTGCCTCTCGGCCATACTACTCGAACAAGCCAAGATGTGCCCGGGTGTGGTTGTGTAGCTCAAAGACGTCGAGTCTCTGGCCCTGAGGACCGTGAGGTCTTTGCGGCCGAGCTCGAAGCGCTTGGAACGTCATTGTCATGTGAGTTGTGGCGGTGCAATTGGATCGGCGCCTCATCCATGCAGCAGCTGATAGGTACAGACCACACAGTGCCAGTAACCTTGGTGACCAGATTGCAACTTGCTGCAAGCGCATCATGAAAGCGCTGACTCAAGAACACTGCAGGTATGAGCAGCTGGATCCGTGACTACCTTGTGCATCGATGCGTCACTTACCTGCTCTTCAGCTGATCGCAGTACTCAAGCAGTATGCAAGCATCCAAGCACATCCCACCTATGCGGTCTTGTGGACTTCATATCTTTTCATCTTGATCACGAGTCGCGGAGCCGCTATCTGGGGTCAGAGCTTGAGTGCCTCTCACAGTCTCACTGTCTACGAACCTAGTGCCAGGCCATCTCATGCGTCGCCCACTGAAATGCGTTTGTATTGCCCTGCAGCTTGTCGTCTATCAATGGTCGATTGATTCTCGAGGATGATCGTTGCGCTTGAGACCTCGGGACTATGTCAGGACCACCGTGTCAGTGTGTCACTTGTGGGGCCAGTCGCGGGCTAGCGACATGTCAGCATCGGAAGATCTTTGCGTTGCTTGGTGATGTTTCCGGCGTGGGTTCGCTTATTGTCTCTGACGCCGCTTCTGGCGGATGTTGCACAAAGTCGACACAGACAATAGACAAGTTCACTTAGTTCAGACTCAAGTCCGAGACACTCTTGCAGACAACATGGAGTCATGGACTCAAGAACTTAAGACTGTTGCAGTGACAGCAGCTTAAGGGCAGGCTCAAGTTTGGTTTGCCATAGTCCCTCATTTTCGGTAATCCCGTCAAACTGATTAGCCGCCGCCGCTTCGCCAGTCAGGCCGTGATGTGTCTGAAACTGTTCTTTCGCCACCGCACATGATTTAGAGTTGGCACAAGTCACAGGTCACAGGTTACACTGTTGCGGTTTTACCCTTGTGATCAAGGGCCATTCGTGACCGAGTCGCTATGCTGACTTGTTGCAGCTGCTGAGCATTCTACATGTCTAATCACTAAGGTATACATCAATCATCTGCTGGCTATGGATCTGACCATGTGAGTGCTGCGGGAAAAGGCCAAGACGAATGACTGCATAGATGTCGGCCAATGCCGCCAGAGAAGAGTTAGTGTTTGAGTATAGTATCGGCCGCACTCGGATTTGACACCCAGAGAAGCACACGATCAGCAGTGTCCATGAGCCTGTCGCCACCAGTGACCCAATCCAGAGATGTTTCCAAGCCGCAAGGGCCAGCCGACACTGTGGCGCAGGTATGCATGTCTTCGGCTCGCAATGACATATCGGTGCGTTGAGCAGTGTGCACAGTGCAGACAGTGCAGCTACAGGCTTGCCAACATGGGGCCGTGTGGGTGTCAGACCAGGGCAAGCCGCAAGAGGTCGTAGAAGGGTCTCTGGCAGCAGCAAGAACCCTGGCCGGCACCTGGGCCTGAAGACACTGCACAAGGTGGGAAACGGGCCCTCCTTCAGGGTGGAGGCGCCTTCCTATAGGTCTCCCTCTCTTTTCACATATAGAACAAGACATAAGACTTCCCTCAACGTCGCTTTTGATATTTATATCTTCGCCTTCCAAGCATATATAGCAAGAGACCTGCCCCCTGGCCAGCGCCTTCTCCCTTCACCTTAAGCTTGTTACCGAACAAACATACGACCGCGGCCACGCACCTACAAGCAACAGCGACAATCCACGGCCCAAGTAATAGGAAAACAGACGCTGACTGTCGCACTGGAGCCACACGCTCCTGCCCCGGTCGGGCGGCGCATGGCGCGCAGGTCGCATGCGAAAACAAGAGTAAGTCAACCTCCCTTGTTCATGCACACTTGGGCCCTCGTTCAAACTAGGCGACATTTCGCAATGACATGTCACAACATGTCACAACCAAGAAACGAGCTAACCACAACCAACCTAGACTGGATGCGCAACTTGCAAGCAGCGTCGCATCAAGTGCAATGAGGAACGGCCTGAATGTCGCAACGTCCGTCATCCCTCTCCTGATCATGTGGTTTCGAACAATCTGCTAACGGCCTTCTTGCAGTGTATCAAACATGGCGTGACATGCCCCGGTTACACGGAAGTAACGCGTGCAGCCAGTACAAGCAGCAGGAAGCGCAAGAGCTCAAACGCCTCTGTTGCCAAATCGCTCTCCAATAGCCCTCCGTCCACTTCACGACGTGGCAGTGCGGCTAGCCTGAATGCACAACAGGAGCAACAACCCTCGCCCCCGCCGATGATATGGTCGCCTTCTCCCACAAAGACGACGGCCGAGCAATTACAAGTAGCACAGTGGGCCAGTACGCTACGCCTCTCTGGGAGTGACACAGCGCTGCTCGCTCAATTTTGTGCCGCCATAATGAGATCACCGTCGGTGACTTTTTGCAACGATCAAGCTATTTGGCTAGAAGACATTCTGCCAGCGTTACCTCAGTCCATGGAAGGAGCTCGATCTTTGCTCTACACGCTGCTATCCTTCAGTGCGAGTCACATGGCGTTTTTGACACAGATGCCGTCGTACAGCCGTGCTGCGATTGTGTATCGTGGGTATGCGCTGCAGCTGCTTCAAGGCGACCTGCACGGCGATTTTGACACGGCGGCACCCACCTTTGGTCAGATTTCTCAGGCAGATGCAGCGATTGGTGCTGCAATTCTCTTGGCAGATCAAGCGGCATTGGAGGGAGACTGGCAGGCGAATACACTGCATTTGCGCGGTGTCCAAAATCTATGCACACATGCTGTGCGTGTTCGTCGTGCGTCTGGTGTGGAGACACCAGAGAGCGATGCCGTTTCCAAATTTGCCTCTTCACGAGCAAGTCTGCTGCTCGAACCAGGAGCTCTCATGTCTGAAGGGGTCAACGTGTCGGCCTTGCAAAACACGGCAGACGGACGTGCCTGTCTGCAGTACCTTTTGGCTATGCGCTCGCATTTCTGGCAAGAAAGTGGTCGTCTGTATCCGTCTTCTCAGCAACAACCATTTGCTGGTTCATCGTTGCAGCCGGATAGCACAGAGACACAGCAATTGAGCTTTTCACCAGGTGGCGTGGGTCACTTGCTTGCACTCGCATGCCAAGTGTATGAGCTTAAGGAGATGATTGCAACTCTTGCAGATGGCTCACATACCGGTTCGCACCTCCCTGCAGCTCTGCAAAAGACTCTGCATGGTCTCCTCCTATTTTCGCAGCATTGGACTGTTAGTGTGCCGAAAGCAGTGATGACGGCTGCATTTGAGGAAGATTTGCCCTGTACGATCCTTTTCGCCTACAAGTTTGGGTTGGACCTACTCCTCCATCGCGCTGTGCTGCTACTCGACAAGCACCTCCCGGTGCCGCGCGAAGACATTACGCCAAGTCCAAATGTCGTCCAAGCAAACGCATTCGTCGCCAATTTGTTGCAGCAACAGCAGGTCAATTTAGGTGGTGTTCAATCAGCGCAGCGCGTATGGCTCAATTGGCCTGCATGGACGCATACCTGGTCGCGCGCCTATACTGACCCAACGTCTCTCATGATGAGTGAGGAACGTCGACGGAGTTCAGCAACGCATTCGTTTGCATCGTCGCTTGATTCAGGCGCAAGCTCTAGTAGCTTCATGGGCAGAAATTTGTCGTTGACTGGTGCGCTCTACACGCATCGTCAGGAAGGCGCTGGATCGCTGACGCCACCATCTGTTAGCACAACACCCATTACTAGCACGTTTGCGGCATCGGCCATGCTGCAGCAAGTACCGCTTACTCACAATTTGCTCCCGACTCAGCAACGCCTTCCTTCTTCCCTGGCTGAGATTGAAGAAGGTGTTGCATTTTCCGATCATGCATTCTTTGCTCCAGAGGAGATGGTTCGATACCCGGGTCTGTAATGATGAAAACACACACACATACCGAGACAACGCTCGTTTGCATTCACATTCTTTTCATTCGCCATGGACGGCTAGAGATGCACCGTACTTAGTACCATTTTTTAATTTTACATATGAATTGGACATGGATCAATCTACTTCTTGGCCTGCTGTTGACCTGCTTTGAAGGCATCATTCCGTCTCCCCTCTGAATCTCGTAAGAAGTCTTGCTTGACATTGTACCCATCGCGATTGCCGAGTTTCAGGTCATCAGCAATGCCTTCCTTATCCACAAATGACGCCCATTCGAGACGTGATTTCTCAAGGGTATTCAATTTTGCTGCCTTTTGTGAAGCAGCAGCTTGATCGAGCTTCGAGACTCGCTTTCGTCGTGGTGGTCCAAGCTTGGGTTTGCCTGAGTCTGTTGTATTCTCTGTAGGCTGCTTTTCCGTCTTTTGTTGCTGAGCAGCAAGAAAGGCTCGACCTTCAGCTGAATCTCTCAAGACGCGCTTCTCTTCGTGATGCATCTCGCCTGCAAAGGTGTAGTCGCGCTGGATTGTCACATACTCGTCCTTATCCAGCAATAGCGTTGATGTATCTGCTGTGGTTGATGGAGCATTCAAGGAAGCCCAGATTGCATCCACATCAGCCTTGGACGAGACTGGGGCAGCTTGATTGCGAGTCTCTTGTTCGATCGCTGCATCTTCTTGTCGTTGCGATCGGGTCTTGACAAAGCCAGCCGAATCATGCTGCTCGTCCTTGCCCGTCGCTCTCTCGTCTCGCTTTCGTTTTCGTGACGTAGGAGAGGCCGAGTCTTCCTCTGCCAGCGCAATCGTCTTTTCATCACCAGAGTCATACGCCAGAGCTTGAACGGCCGCTTCTTCAGCATCACTATCGATCTCGTCGTCTTCATCCTCGTCGGCGTTCGCCTTGCTTCGTTTCGCTCGGCTGCTCTCTCTCAGAGGGGCGTCAGGAAGAAAGTCTTCGTCGTCAGAGTCATCCGATGCATCGAGCTGGGCACTGTTTACAGCAGCTTCTCTCGACATGGTGCGAGTCGTTGTGGCAGTCGCGCACGCGTTCAGGGAAATGCATTTTGAGTCGCGCCCAGCAACCAACAAGTTACAGGCCACATATACACATGCCTTGAATGCTATAAAGAGAGGAGAGAATGAGGGACCACAGTCTATGAAAGCCTGATCATCACATCTTCGGCGGCTCTTGTGCCTTGCCGCCCAATCCATCGCTGCCTTCCACCAATGGCGCTGTGCCAGCGGCGAAGATGCTCGACAAATCAAGCTTGTTGGCACCTTCGGGGCGTGGGCCAAGAATAGCCTCGACTTCCTTGTACGAGAGAACTTCCTTGTCCAGCAATGTTTGTGCAACTTTGATGAGCCCGTCTTTGTGAATTTCCAGTGTATCGCGTGTCCGTTGATATGCCTTCTTGACAATCTCGCGTACCTCATCGTCAATCAACCGTGCAGTCTGGTCTGAGTATGGCTTGTTGAAGGATTCATTGTCCACTGGATAATGAACTGTGCCAATCTTCTCAGACATGCCAAAGCTTGACACATACGAAGTGGCCATCTTGGTGACTTTTTGGAAATCATCGGATGCGCCAGACGTCACTTTCTCGCCACCAAAGAACATCTCTTCAGAGACGCGACCAGCGAGCGCCATGGACATCCGGTCGAGGATCTGACCCTTCGACATGAGGTACTGGTCCTTTGGCAGGTACGACGCATACCCGAGTGCTTGTGCACGAGGAATGATGGAAACCTTGAGCATGGCATCATTGTGCTTCAGGAACCAACCGCACACAGCATGACCCGCTTCGTGATGCGCGACAATGTTCTTCTCTTCAGGTGACAGCACGCGTGACTTCTTCTCAAGACCGGCAGTCACTCTCTCAATAGCAGCTTCAAAGTGCTTCAAAGTGACAGAGGCTGCGTGACCACGCGCAGCAATCAAAGCAGCTTCGTTACAAGCATTGGCAATGTCTGCACCGGTAAAGCCAGGTGTCAGGACAGCAAGCTTGCGACCAAGTTGTTCCAAATTCTCCTGTGTGACAATCTTGCGCAAATGCACAGCGTAAATCTGCTCTCGCCCAGACACATCGGGTCTATCGATGGCAATGTGCCTGTCGAAACGACCAGGTCGCATGAGTGCAGGATCCAGCACATCAGGTCTGTTAGTACCTGCCAAAACAACGACATGTTCATTTGTATCGAATCCATCCATCTCCACGAGCAGCTGGTTGAGTGTTGATTCACGTTCATCGTTGCTGCCAAATTGACCACCACGACCACGCGCCTTTCCAATAGCGTCAATTTCATCGACAAAGACGATGCACGGTGCATTCTTGCGCGCATTGGCAAACAAGTCGCGCACTCGAGAAGGACCCACACCGACAAACATTTCCACGAACTCTGAACCACTGACGCTGAAGAAAGGTACGCCTGCTTCACCAGCAGTTGCTTTTGCTAGCAGTGTCTTTCCTGTACCTGGCGGACCGGAAAGAATGGCACCTCGAGGGATCTTGGCGCCAAGCTTCTCATAGATCCCAGGCTCCTTGAGGAACTTGACAAATTCCATAATCTCCTCTTTCGCTTCATCTGCACCAGCAACATCCTTGAACTTGGTTTTGATGTCCGTTTCAGCATTAATCATCTTTGCCTTGGATTTGCCAACACCAAAGATACCACCACCGCCGCCAGCTCCACCTGCTGCACGTCGAGACATGTACACAATGGCGCCAATCAACAGCAAAGTTGGTGCAAAGCTGAGGATGGTCGAAGTGAGACTAATTTCATCGTGGTAGGAGACTGGAATGCGTTGGCTGCCAGGAATACCAAGCTCCGATTGCGCCTCGTCGAGTTTGCGTTCAAATGCATCCACTGAGCCAATGCTAAAGTAGTACGTGAGACCACCAGCTGCTGCGCTGCCAGGGTATGCTTGACCAGCTGCAGACGGATGGAGCTGCACACGAACTCTGTTGCGATTGACAACCGTCAACGACTCGACTAGTCCCTTATCGAGGAACGCAGTGCGAAAGTCTTGCCAGGTGATTTCCTTGCCTGGTGTACCACTGCCACTGATGGTATACAGCAAGTACGCAGCAATGACAAACGTGATGATCTGGTTCGTTGTGATCTCTGTACGGAACTCCTTGGGATCTCCCTTCTTCTTTCGAGGATCGTTCTTGTTGCCATTGCCACCTTGGTTGTTATTGTTGCCACCGCCAGCTGCTGACTTTTGTCCAAAGAAGTGCTGGAAGCCCTTTGGGATGGTCTTCTTGTCTGCAGACTTGTTCTGCTGCGCTTCATCTATCTTGCCATCCTTTTGATCCGGTGTCTTTGGTGATTCAGTTGCATACGACCGCCGTACAGAGAGAGCGCCTTGCCGTGCAACATTGCGGGCAGAAGCAAGACGTCCGGTATATCGAGGCCCATTGAGCCTAAGCCTGAGCATGAGAGGCCGGTGGGAGAGATGGATCTGGTAGAAGTGAGGCGAGGAGTGTCTTGCTGAGTGTGGTACGTAATCGCAAAATCTCTTTGGCAAGGACACAACACACAAACAGCCAACAGTCGACAGCCTGGGCAACATGCAAGCTCATATGCGGTGACTGCGTCAGAGATTTATTTGCTCCGAGAACGTAAAGGATCATGGCAAGCCCAGAGGTCAAGGAAGAAACCGAGGACAAGGCGCGGGTCGCGTCCGACACAGATGCAAGCTTCAGCAGAGCGCCCGATGCCGATATTGAGATGAAGGACGCTGCTATACAAGAGACGGAATGGCTCGACGATGCACGTCCAAGTACTGCTGCTCAACGGTTTCATACCGTGGCACACGAAGAGCCATCAGCAAGCTATCAGGACATTGACGGAGACGACCACAACTCCGACGCGCCTTCCTACAAAGAAGCGTTGCCTGCCCTCGAAGAATTCATCGAGCCGGCAGGCGATGATGATTATGCGCCTAAAGCGAGAAAGAAACGCAGTAAACCGCGTGCACCGCGTAAGCCGCGTCCGAGCGCGCGCCATGGCCATGACTCAGATAGTGATGGGGATCTTATCACGGAGACGGATCGCAATTTACACTTGGAGGCCTACTTTGCTGGTACTGCACCAAGGGAAGATCAATTTGGTGAGCCAGTGTATTGCATTTGCCGCAAAGACGATATGGGCAAGTGGATGATCGGTTGCGATGGCTGTGATGAATGGTACCACGGCGAGTGTATCCGCATCAGCAAGACAGACGAAGCTTTGATTGATCGGTACTATTGTCCACGTTGCCAAAGAAATGAGGTCGGCCACACGACATGGAAGAAGAAGTGCCGCATGGTGGGCTGCAGAAAACCGGTCGAGCAGCAGCAAGAAGCAGAAGAAGGCGTCTCAAAAGGATCACATCAGTCTGGCAAGTACTGCTCTCATGCACATGGTCTAGCGTACTTTCAAATGAGGCTGGGCCAGGCATTACTCACGAAACCGCAAGTAGCGAGTCTCGTAAAGTGCAGTGCGACGCGAGCCGACTTTTGTCGATTGGGTGATCGGGCGCCTGCTGTGGAAGGTGTCGCGTTCACAGCAAAGGAGCAGCAACGACTCTCAGAGTCTCAACAGGAACGTCAGCGCATAGATGGTGCCTTGAGTCGGTTGACGCGGCGACAGCAGCTTGTGACGATGATGCGTGAAAAGGCTACCCGCGTCAATGTCGAGCTGAAGGCAAGGAAGGAAAAGGAACAATGTGGACTGGATGTACGGCTCCTGATGCAAGAAGAGGCGCTGGACGCTCTGATTGAAGACAAGTCGGCAGATTTGGAAGAGCAGTTACGCGGGACGACTGTGGATGACATGTGCACGGTGCCTGTGAAGAAATGTATCAAGCACGCAGGTTGGTTCCAGATACACTCAGATGCCATCTCCTTACAGGAACAGCTACTGAAGGATCGACTCGATGTGCTCAGAGGTGAAGATGAGAGTATCCGAAAGTCAGCCCAAAGACGCATCTGAATGCTGATTGATGCTTGTTGACTCATTGTTGAGGCAGTGTGCATGCCTCGCAAAAGTGAAGATAGTGCGACAACACGAACAACGTAGTCGCGCTTTCAAGATACCAAACACATCTGACACTCTGGCCCCGTCGCACCTAGTCTACTCGAGGACAGAAAGTCACATCCGAGGACCAGATAGCAGAGCGACGACGCTCGTGGACTGCAGCCAGCACAATCAGCCTACCCGAGCATGCCCTTCTCATGCACGCTCCCGCGAGCGTATTTGATTCCAGTTCAGCTGGGCCTCTTGACATCGACTCTCCTGGTCATCTACTTCACCTATGGCCGCGACTACTCCCTGACGGCGTGGGACAGCGTCAAGTTGTCCACCTCAAGCAATCACATGCCCGCCACCAATGTGGAGTCGTTCTCGACATCGAAACCCCATCTTGACGCGCCCAAGACAGGGGTTCCTGGCGACGAGGAGGAGTATGTGGCGCTGTGCTTTACAGCAAAGAACGAAGGACGCAATCTACCAGAGGTATTTCAACACTTCTACCATCACATTGGAATTCGCCGCTTCTACATCATGGATGATGGTTCCCGGCCGCCCTTGTCTACCTTCGACTACCCCATCCCAAGCTCTGCCATCACCTTCTACTATGTGACGCCAGAGGAGCGGCATCAAGTCGACAACCAACTCTACATGAACCGGCATTGTCACAAGATGTTTGGTCACCAACATACCTGGATTGGCTTCTTCGACAGTGACGAGTATCTGGAGGTCGTCTCCCCTGAAGAGACACTGGTGTCAATCTTGAAAGGGCTTGACGCCAATGAGACCATTGGTGCACTTGGCGTCAATTGGAAGATGCACTCGTCCGCCGGGCATCTGACTAGACCTGAAAGTACGCGCAAGTCCTTCACAAAGTGCTTCCATGATGATCCCGACAACAACGGAGAGCATTCCGACAATAAACACGTCAAGTCGTTTGTCAAGACCAAGTACTTCAATGGCAATATCAACCCTCACGTCTACAACCTGCTCAACGATACCATCACTGTAGGAGAAGATGAAGAGCCCTGGGATTGGCAAGTGTTGAGCAACCCAAACCCAGCCTTCAGAATTCCGATTACTCGCAATCGCCTCAGTCTTCATCATTATGCTATCAAGTCTAAGGAAGAGTACGAGGAAAAGATGGAGAGAAGCAAGAACATCGAAGCTGGAAAGACAGACTGGGGCTTTTGGGACCACGTCGAAGCAGGGCCTCTCACAGATTGTTTCGAAATGACGCACTACGAACCGTAATCGATCAACTGAGATAGTCTGATTCTTCTGAGTACTTTCTTGCCAGGTCTTGATCGATGACTCTTCATCCACACATTCAAGACGGATACCTGAGAGCGCCACAATTGTTGACCAATACCAAGGCCAACACCACTTTGTCTCGCAAGTCCACAACCAAGCCTGTCGATTCTGTACATAATTCATATGCCGTTTGGCTCTCTGAGAGAAACCGAGATTTAGCCAAATCGGTCAGTCGTCCACGAACGTAAGCTCGTGTCAACTCATGGTAGTTGGTAGTCTATTCTCTGTGCCATGTGCATCACGAAGTCTGAGCTGAGTCATATATGTTGTACCGAAATGAAAGCGCCGTTGCTTGACCACCACGAGCTCAGGACAATTGTTGATGATTTGATCAATATCTCTGTTGTAATAGCAGCCCCACTTTTGAGCGTGTTGGTCAACACTTCTGTCCAGGATGCGATTGATAAAGGCATACTTGGATCGGCCATGTTCAAGCAGCATGATTGTTCCTGTTGGTCGCAAGAAGGATGCAAGGTGCGAGAGGTATCCTGATGGGTCGGCAACGCTGCAGAGTCCAAAGGTCTGCACAATCGTATCATACTGCTCTCTATTCGAACTCAAGCCTTCCATCTGCTGCGCTTTGAAGGTTGCTGGCACCTTTGCACGGGCAGAAGCACACTTTCGCCATTTAGCTTCGCACAGCTCCATCATTTGTGGCGATTGGTCCACAAACGTGATGGAGTGTAGTTGAGCAGGCTTGTAGTAAGCTGTATTGCGACCTGTCCCACATGAGGCCTCTAATACATCTCCCTGAGCTTGTCTCAGCAAGAACCAACGCAGCCAATTGAGTCCCATCAAAGTTTCATCGAACCCAATCTCGGCATCGTACGTTGCAGCAATATCGTCGTATACTTCATGCTTTGACAAGCTGAGGTTGTCTTTTGGCTCAGCATCGACTGATTGTTGAGAGTCCAGTGAAAAATAGCGGTATCCTGCGTAGACTGTAATACCATATACAAGCACACCACCACAGTAGAGTGGCAAGCGTGACCTGGCAGTTCCGTGGGCTTTTGATATTGGGATTGTAGAGCGGAAGCTAGAGGCAGTCTTAGGAGGCCGACTGGGAGAAGAGCGAGATTGATGGAGCACTACTTTTGGCAGGGCCATGCAAGCTGCAGGCAATGCAGAAGTTCAATTCAGGCAGCGATGAGTGGTGTGTAGGACGACGGGAAGATGAACAGGTGTTCTAGAGATGCACCATGCGTTTGGCCAACAAGCAGAACAGAGAAAAGCAATCGCACAGGCTACAGATACAGACTCGCAGTAGATGAAGAAACAGTAGTAGATACTCGCAGACGCCAAAACTTGCCACTCACCTCAATTGTCTCGCCAGAATTTAGGCCAAATCCTTGGTCAAGAGGGCATACTCAAGGATGAACTTGCCCTCTTTGTACACTTGATCTTCCTCGTATGCCTTGTCATACTTCCAGCCGACGCACTGATCACAGCGGCGACAATGTATATCGCGCACAAGATGCTTGCCTGTCGTCATGTTGCGCTCCTCCTGTCGCTGCTCATTCACATTACAGACAGTCTCGAAGAGGTACGCTTTGCCGTGCTGTCCTTGGAAGCTCTGCTGTTAGCCATGCAGCTCTGTGGTCAAGCGATGCGCACTCTTGCAATGACAGCTTCCACAGCAGCTAGGTGGGTCTTGCACTTTGCGCAGCCGTAAACCTTGCCTGGTTCCTTGTCTATGTACTTGTTGTAAGAGAGGCCCATCTCGGGCAGCTGCTTCGGACGCCTATAGCTCAGGTATTCAACACCTCTTCCTGATCTCTAGTAGTAGTCGCTTGTAGCTTCGGCGCCTTATGCTGCGTGTGGGGGAAAGTCGCGACCGCAACCTCTCACCAGCTGAAGCAAACACTTCGCTCTTTCTTTGTTGCCAGGGAGGACAGGGCCGAGCCATGCGACCAGGCTAAGGCAAGGGGTTGGCAAAGGATCACTTGCCAAATGGACGCAATCAAGCAGGCACGGGTAAAAACAACATCGACTAGGAGAGTACACGTATGGCTAACCGCAAGATACTCAATGTGGAACTCCTACGGCAAGGCGTCAGCTTCAGAGGCACACTGTTCCTGACCATTCATCACCTGATATTCTCCAGTCCACAGGACAAGCTTGAGTTATGGATCTGTTTCCCCATCATCGCCCATGTTGAGCGACGGCCACCGTCCGTTGGTGGGTTCTCTGCATTGCGCATTCGATGTCGCGATTTCACCTTTTTGACGCTGCATTTTGCAGAAGATGCAGAATGTGCGCGTGTCTTTGAGTCTGTCAGGAGTCTGACGTGCGTCCCAACCATTGACAAGCTGTATGCATTTTCGTACAAGCCAGGTAAGGCTGAGCAGCAGCTCGATTCCTGGAGATGCTATAAGCCTGAACGCGAGTTTGCGCGGCAAGGCGTCGGCAGTACATTTCCCCAATGGCGCTTGTCTCAGTTGAATGCAGACTATGCCTTCTCGCCCACTTACCCGGCCGTGCTCGCAATACCAGACTGTATCTCAGACAACGTCCTCAACTATGGCGGCAAGTATCGGTCAAAACAACGTGTGCCGGTCCTGACGTATATTCATGCTCTCAATGGATGTACCATCACGAGAGCGTCTCAACCCATGGTTGGTATCAAGCAGAATCGATCCGTGCAGGATGAAAAGCTTGTGCAAGCCATTTTCAACACAACGCAGCAGCGATCCGATGTGTATGGATCGAGCTGTTCTGGTCATCTCATTGTAGATGCACGGCCTACAGCTAATGCCATGGCGAACGTCGCAATGGGCGCTGGCTCAGAAAACATGGATCACTATCCATCTGCCAAGAAGGTATATCTTGGTATTGAGAATATCCATGTCATGCGTGACTCACTCAACAAGGTAGTCGAGGCAATCAAGGACAGTGATCTGACACCTCTTCCACCGTCGCGCGACTTGCTGCAGAAGAGTAATTGGCTCAAACATATCAGCAACGTGCTCGATGGCGCTAGCATCATCGCCCGGACCGTGCATCTCGGCAATAGCCATGTCCTTGTTCATTGCTCAGACGGCTGGGATCGTACGTCGCAGCTTTGTTCACTTGCAGAAATATGCTTGGACCCGTACTACCGTACCCTCGAGGGCTTCGTCGTTCTGGTGGAGAAAGATTGGCTTTCCTTCGGTCATCGCTTTGGTGAGCGGTGTGGTCACTTGTCCTCTGAAAAATCGTTTGTCAGCGGAACTCAAGCTGCTGCTTCTTCCCAGATACGAGATCCAACGGCATCGCCAGAGCGCGATCTGTTCGGAGCGGGTGGTCGTGATCGTGCGCGAGAGGCCATGACTGCCATTACAGGGATGGGCAAGAAGTTGGGCGAGGTGGGTCGATCTCAGCAACACCTCAAGTACACGAGTCCAATCTTTCATCAATTTCTCGACTGTGTCTTCCAATTACTAGTACAACATCCAACTAGGTTTGAGTTCAATGAACGCTTCTTGCGGAGATTGCTCTACCACACGTACTCTTGCCAGTATGGTACATTTCTTTTCAATACAGAGAGAGAAAGGGTCGAGGCGAAATTGGATCAGCGGACGAGATCTGTGTGGGATCATTTCCTGGCGAAGCGAGACGCGTACCTGAATCAGGATTACGTGGCTGAGGCTGCTGCAGACGGCGAGAGTCCACGACAAGATACTTGGCTCGAGTGCAATGTCAAGCTGGTCAAGTGGTGGCACACAGCCTTCAATCGTGAGGATGCCGAGATGAATACTGTAGAGGTACGGACTGCTGCCGGTGCTGGCGACGAGGTGGATGTTGTGGATACCAGTGTAGACACTCTGTCTGCAGGAGCTGAGGCCCTGACAGTCTCGTAGATCCGATGTGACTGTTCAAGTTCCTTCTATACCTCTCAATGATTTGGCATCACGCGACCCGTCATCAGCTCACGAATCTCCACGACGTGACACCACAAACATTCAATTACTGCCATGATGCAGCTCAAGAACCTTTTCTCGACGAAGCGGCAGCTCTTCAGCTACATCACAGACTATCTCGTCATATTCATCTCGGTCGCTGCTTTTGGTGCACTAGATAGAGCCGACCCGCACCATCAACCATTTTCATTGAAGGACATCAATATTCAGTACCCCTATGCATTGGATGAGCGGGTCTCTGCAGCTCAAGCAGGTGTCATTGCTGTTCTATTTCCATTGGTCGTACTCGTTTTGTGGACACTCGCAGTGGAAGGCCGTCTGCCCCTTCCAGCGAAACGCAGACTTCGCTTTATCGAGCGACTCTGGGAACTCAATCTTGCTATTCTTTCACTTGGCCTCGCAGTTGGTATTGCTCTGGTCGCCACCAACGCACTCAAAAACACAGTCGGTCGGCCGAGACCTGACTTGCTAAGTCGATGTGTTGTTCGAGCCGACAGCGCAGATGCATCTCCGTTTGGATTGAGCACAAGCGAGATTTGCACACAAACAGATGCTGCTGTTCTGCGTGATGGCTTCAAATCCTTTCCGAGTGGGCATTCGAGCATTAGCTTCTCTGGTCTTGGTCTTCTTGCATTTTGGCTTGCCGGCAAGCTCAGATTGATGGACGGCAGGGGACATATCTGGAAAGTGGTCGTTGTCATGATTCCTATTGCAGCAGCGACACTAGTCGCAGTATCACGTATTATGGACAAAAGACATCATGCGTTTGATGTGCTTTTTGGATCAGCACTGGGTATCATTTGCGCGTGGGTGGCGTACAGGCAGTACTTTCCTTCGCTGACTTCACCGCAAGCTGGTATTGCCTTTGGGCTCAGATCATTTGGTAGAGATCGTGCTCCATACGGCTCGGCGCGAACAGAGAGTAGCGGTGTGGGTTCTATCCCCTCCTCTCAAGCGCCGCTTGATCGAGAAGTACCATTGCAATCATTCGCAAGGAGTCAAACCGGCCTCGATCGCGGGTACTCACAAATCAATCTTGGCAATGAGCATGATCAGTCACCATCCATGGAATTGCAAAAGGATGAGCATGTTGTGTAAGAGGTGTGCATGTTCATTATGACTACTTTTGCTTCTTAGTGTACTTTGCCTCATCCCATTGATAACCTGGAAACGGTATCAGCATACCCACTCTTGCCTGGTAGTCCTTGTATTGCGGATACTTTCCCGCAGAGATGCGCTCCGTAAGGATTGTGCTTGCCTGAAACAAGATTGCCAAGGACAAGGCACCCCAGCCAGTCCAGTTGAACCAGACACCTGTAGCAACGACAGAGTACAGGTACACGCACAACCAGATGAGTTGTTCGCACAAAAAGGCTGGGTGACGTGAGTATGCCCAGAATCCTTTAGTCACGAAACCACGTTCGAGCTCAGCTGGCGAAAACTCGCGGTAGGTATTGTCGATGGTAGCAGTGCCATCGCGATGATGATTCTTGCCCTCTTGATAACGCAGCTGAGTGTCGTCAGAGTAAAGTTGTATACCGAGCAGGAAGATGATGCATTCGAGGAGAAGCACATCTGCCCAACAAAGTGCGCGTTCTGAGCCAACAAGCAGAACAATATAGCCTGGCATCGCGAGCATCATGAGCAGAATGTTTTGTGCAATAGCAATGAAGAACAAGTTCAGCAAAGGCCATGTAAGTCGTGCAAGAGGGAGATTAGCACGGACAGTCGCCCAACGGTAGTCTTCCGCATCCCACTTGTAACCACCCTTGCGAGCATAATTGCGTGTCAGGCGTACCGTCCAGATGAATTCAAGCAGAAACATGATCCATATACGGGGAGCCAATAGACCATGCTTGCCAGTTCCAGTAAAGTACCCGCGAATGACAAAGTGGAGCTGGTACGTGGTCGGCAAAATTGACCACAGACGATCTACCTGAGAATAGTTGCGAGAGACTTCGCTGACGGTATATACGAGCACTGCATTGAAGATACAGAGAAGGAAGGCAAAGACTGCTGGATTGCACTCCAAGTAGAAGCGCCATAGAGAGCCCGCAGAGAAAACGACGTCTTCCAGATTAAGCAGGTCAGGTTTCAGGAATGGCCTGACTGTCGTATTGAACGAGGCCGCGTCAGACAACGCATACAGCAAAGGCATGCCCGGGATATGCGCCATTGTCTGCTAATGCGAGAATAGATGGCAAGCTTTTATCTGGACAAACGAGGGCCTAGCTAAAGGTGGCACGTCCAGAAAAGAGAGCGTGAAAAGGGAGAGCTTGTTCAGATGAAGCAATACCGAGCTTACACGACGACAAGACGAAGTCGAGTGCTCCACGGTCCACCAGGTCGCTGTCCGACCTGATGTAATCAAATTTGAGAGCCTATTTCACTAAGCTTTTTATGGATCTCCAAGAGCTCTGCACGCTCAGTCAGACACCAAATCAGACACCAAATTAAGTGCTATGTAAAGCAGAACAGAGTTGTTCATCCTGCGGCCATCTTACGGCCTTACAACATCGCAGGAACAGACGAGTAGGCGTACAGATGCTGAAAGGGAGAGATAATGCAGTCATCTATCGTAGCAATGTTGAATGAAAGCTGAGGCAAGCTTACAGAATGTGGAAAGAGCAAAAGTGCCCAATGGCTGAGGTGCTGAATGAATGATGGAGAGACGAAGAAATGAAGCACGTACGAAGAAGGGAGCCACATGGCTGACTTCAAGCACCTGCGTCTCCGCTACAGTGAGTGTGTCCTGGCCAAAGTCAACTGACAGGTTCATCAGTCGTATGTGTGTTTGCGTTCACATGTAAAGTCGATGACCACCTTCTGGACTCGCCTAAGATTGAACTTTTCATAGGCTTCAACGGCGTCTTCAATGTTGATGACACAATCGACAAACCCAGCAAACCGGTTCTGCATCTCAATCAGTGCTGGAATCGCTTCGTCCATCAAGGAGCGAACGGGACAGCGACCAGCATAAAAGACAAGGTTTTTGGAGAAACACGCTTCTCCAGTAAAGGGCAATGGAGCATTGTGAACACCCACAGATGACAGTGTACCGAATGGGCGCAAGATGTCAAACCCAAGTCGCAGGGCACTTTCATGACCTACCACTTCGCAGACCGCATCGACGCCACGTTCGTTTTCGAGGTTGAGAAGACTGATGACTTCTTGCGGATCAGCGGGATCCAGCTTGAGCGGAAAGGCTCCAATTTCTTTAACATGATCGAGACGGTCTTGGACGCTGTCGATCGCATACACTCGTGATTGGTTGTATAGCTTGTGTTTTTTGAGGAGATATTCAAGGGCAATCAATGTGCATAAGCCGACAGGTCCAAGACCCAGGACAGCAATAGTCAATTTTTCTGATGCAAGATCGTGTGTTGCAAACGATTCAAGCGCGTCTTTGAGCGCGTTCTTGGCACAGTAGAGTGCTGTCGTCCAGATGTCGCCCAGGAAGAGCAGAATCTTGAGATCGCCTAGCTTCTGCTCGCCCTCGAAACTGTCCAGAGATACGCAGGTACCATTCGCCAATGGAACCCGGACGTACTCGGCCTGGCCTCCATCGAGCTTTGGACTACCAAAGAGAAGACCGTCACTACATCGAGCTGACTTGCCGCGAATACAGAAGAAGCAGCGACCACAAGACGTTGTAAAGGGCACAACGACTTTTGAACCAATTGGGAAGCGTCCAGCATCGACTGCACTACCAAGTTCAGACACAACACCGACGAACTCATGACCGCAGATGAACCCTGTTGAGCTTACTTTTTCAACGCCACGGTATGCATGCAAGTCAGAGCCACAGACGCCAGCATAAAGAACTTGAACTATCATATCTTCGTCATGCAGAAGCCTGGGAGCGGGTCTTTCAACCACAGCGAGATCGTATGCTCCATTGAAGACCACGGCCTTCATGTGCCTACGCAGTGCGAGCTAGAGTCCAATAGATAGCGGATAGATGGGCAGGTCGAGTCTTGCTGTGAAGTAACAGTTGACTCAGTTGACTTGATCTCGAGCTCACGTGAAGAAAGCATGACGCGCGACACAAAGGCGACGAGCACAAGATCTGTTGCTACTTCCACAAAAGCTACTTCGCTCTCATCATGGCAGAGGTAGACTGGCGGAGAGTCAACATTGAGTAGGCAGATACGCCACAGGCGATATAAAGGGCTAACAATACAGCCAATTCGACGAGGACAGACTCGATGCCGAGCAGCTCTTTGATATCATTGCAACAGAAGACTCTACCAAAGTCGCGCAGGACGTCCGGCAGCTCATCTCTCGGTATGCACATCAGGTGCGTCTATATCTACTGACTGACTAGCGGCGATGCAACAGGCGCGCTGGCTGCGTCCCTCTTGACAAGCGATCCAGCACCGTGTCTTTCTGTTCTTGGCACAGTCAAGTCAAGCGACATTGCCGTGACACTCAAGTCACTCTCCTCAGATGATCTGGATGCACTGATGCGAGCCATCTACAAAGGACTCGCCAGTCCTGCTACGAACAACTGTGCGGTGCTCCTCTCCTGGCATGAAAAGGTCGTGGAGCTTGGCGGCGAGGGTGTCATTGTCAGGTGCCTGACCTACAGAGGGGCGTAGTTGTACGCAATGCCGGTTTCTCTGCAAATAAGACTCTAGATCTTCTGTAAATCATAGCTGGCCTGTCTCTAGATCTTGTTCTTGCTCTGCTGCATCTCCACTCCCGGCAACTGCAAACGCCCATTCGCGACTCTCATCCACTGCACAACACGCACTCTGTACTGTGACAGTCGCTACTAGCTCAGAAGGGCTCATGTTTGGTCGTCTTGAGGACGCGCGCATCTTCACAAATGGGCAAAACACGCTTATCCCCATCCTGCTGCGCGAATCTGTGCTAGATAGTGTCTCTTTCCGTGCAGCTACAAAACACTTCGAAGACCAGGTCGAGAATGTCGATATCTGGCTCAGTCACTTTGTCCGTCATTGCCACGACTTTTGCGCGCAGTTCACAAGGCTGGAAGATCAAGCATGTAACTTCCACGGCAAGAGTGTGCCAGTCTTTGTGGAATCGGGTATCGTCGATACAGACTATACTGTCACGGCGCTGTCAAAATTCAGCGAAGCAAATCGCGCTTACTGGTCAGCCATCTTTGGTCATGCGAGAAGTATGGAGGCCATGATGACAGAGCCACTTGTCAAGCTGCAGAATAATGAGCTACGAGAGATTCGCCACTTGAAGAGCGAGTTTCACGCTAGCCAAAAGGCTTTCGATGAGGCATTTCGCTACTATGCTCAGCAGAGCAAGAGCAAAGAGGCGAGTTCGTTGCGAGAAGATGCATTCCAGCTTTGGGAAAAACGCAAGGCATATATCAAAGCATCCTTCGACTATACCATCAAAATGTCGACTTTTCGTGCAGCTCTCGACGCAGCATTGATTGCCGCTTTTGCGAGGTCATACGAGACAACTTCTTCGCACACCTCTGCCCTTGCTTCTGACTTTGTATCGAGACCCTCCATGGGTCGTGTTCTGTCTTGGTCTGAAGAGATGGCGAAATCCTCGCGCGATGCAGAAGAATTGCTCTACAGCATGCGGATCGAGATGGAAGACAACATCGTCAACCTCACGAGCCCTGGGCGTGATCTGGCAGAATATGCTCCAGATCGCAAGTCTCAAGGACGTGGTGGAATTAGCCAGGCTCGTGGAAGGCCTGCAAAACAAGGATGGCTCATGATGCGTGCGGTGAGCGGCAAGCCGGCACGCTATTCATGGAACAGGCGATGGTGCTATGTTAAGGATGGCAGCTTTGGATGGCTACTCAACAACCCAAAGCATGGTGGAGTGGAGGAGAGCGACCGCTATGGAGTCTTGCTCTGCAATATCAAAGTTGCTGTGCAGGAGGATCGACGTTTCTGCTTTGAGGTCATTACCAAGGATCAAACATTCTTGCTGCAGGCTGAAAATGAGCACGATTTGGCAGATTGGATGAATGTGTTCAACCTTGCAAAAGAAGCAATTCTAGCAACCCAAAAGAACAACGAGCAAGCATTCGCAGTGTCAAGAGCTCAAGGTGCTTTTGCTGTTGCAGCAGATGGAACGATGGACGACACAACGCAGACACCCAAACGTGGTCATGCCAAGCAAGATTCAGGAAACCACGGACTGTCTGCTGCTCTGGCCACTGCCTCCAATGTTGCATCGACTCTTGCACAGCCGACCAAACTCTTTGGAAAGTCTGAAGAACTCAAAGTCCTCAATCCATTCGAAGCCCAGGTGGAGACGACCCAATTGGCGCCTTCCACTCTTGCTCCTGCTCCTTTGAATACAGCGCTCACTGCACATTGCATCGCAGACCCTATGACAAGTCTGGCACATAATCCTTCAGGGCTCCAAGCCAATCATTGGGGCTCCATCAACTATGGATTGACGCGCTTGATGAGCCCCGATGATCTCAAGGTGAAAGGCTTTGCTAGTCTCTTGGCAGGTCCAGAGGCTGCCATTGACACACTGTACGCCCAACGTGATAAGGAGCAAGGCGAACGAGTGATGTCAGATCCAGGCAGCGAGCCGGTAGATTATACACCTTGGCTTCGTCGACAAGACGCACAATTTTCGAGTTTGTTCCCACATGCCAAAAATGAACATGTCATGATGGTCTTTCGAGGCACTCGCAAAATGTCCATGTACAAGCCGCTTTTCTCTGGTCGTATGTACATGACGATGCGTGGATTTTACTTTTATGCTCAGTCTGCTGGATTGACGATGCTACAAACCTGTTTGTTTTCCGAGGTCTTGAGTGTCAGAGTTGTCAGGCAAGTAGACCATGACGAGCTCTTGGTCGATATTCATGACATTGGCACAACGACCTTGCTCATTTACCTGGACGATGCAGAGCTGGTGAAGAAGCGTATTGAGTTGTTACTTGGCAACTACATTGCAGACGAGCCCAATCCGGCAACCCAAGTGTTGAAGGCTCTGAGAGACATGCTGCCAGACGACACGGGTGTCTCCGCTAAGCAGGGCTTGTCGTCATACGCCAACGGGTCAGACGCTGAAGCTGAAGTTCAGAAACATCACGACGCTGGTCATTCGCCACATCGACTCAAGTTGCCAAAGGAACCTGTTCTCACCGAGCCGGACGAGCAGATGCTTGCCAAGACGAATGATCTAGAGGTCATGTTGACTGCTAAGAGTACCTTCCACATGTTGTTTGGCAATCGTTCTCCTCTATGGAGCCAAGCTTACCAGCTGTGGGGCGTTGAGAATGGCGAGCAGGGTATGTGGCAGCCAGGGTCGGATGGTACCATGGTACGTTCTTTCCGTTACGCAACATTGCAGACGGATTCACGAACGGGGGTACAGCGCAAGATTGATCGTGTTGACTGGCAAACGATTTTGAAACGGACAGAGCACCTCGATTATACCGTCCTCTGGTATCGCCGTGGTCTGGAGTACCCCTCAGGCGACAGCCTTTTCGTGCAAATGAAAATCAACGTCTCTTTCGTGTCCAAGATGCGCACAAGAATCCGTACATGGGCTGGCATTCATTGGCTCAAGCCTAACTATCTCTCTCGTGGCATCATCACGAGTGCCGTCATGAAAAATCTAGATATGCTCTCGAGGCATCTGCGACATTTCGTCGAGCGAGAAACCCTTGACCGACTAGGCAGCAACAGCAAGACCTCTAAGGCAGTGCGCATTTATGGTCGAGTCGGTGGACCTGGCCAAGTACCTATGGCGATAGGCAAAGATGGCGCTGTGACCATGCCGGTATTCGAAAAGATGACGCTCTGGGGTCTGACCAAGAAGAATCCTTCCACCTTTGTCAAGAGTCTTGCGGCCGAAGCCGTCTTGCTAATCTACACCATTGCGCGCGTCTTGACATCGACCGTGTCGGCACACTCGGTTCTTGCTACCGTCATGGTATTGTCCTTGCTATTCAATTTCTACTTGAGCGGTATGAGCACAGTCGCGTACTGGAATACTCGCTCAGCAACTCGCCTGCTGCGCAATATCGACGAAGCACCGTTCGGCCTCATGTCGCGTGGTATCACACTCAACGATATTCAAGAAATCGCCATGAACAAGACAATCTGGACACCACGAGATGGACAATGCTACGGCGTTTTTGAGCAGTTGTCAAGCTTGCCTGCTGCAAGCAGCCGCTATCACGAAGCTTTTAGAACAACACGCAACGGTTTGTCGCGTACGCGACATGATTTGCTGGTAGCGATGCGTATGGTCAATGGCCTTGAAGCCGAGATTGTCAAGGGTGAGTGGGAGGCGTTCTTGGTGGAAGAACAGAGCCAGTGTCGTGCCGCAAAGCAGCTTGCACTGTCTGACGATGAGCAGCGCAAAATTAATGACCACTGCGATGACTGCCTAGCTTACAGCTTTTAATGGATGGGTTTAATCTGATTTTACATATGATTGGCTTGGATCGAACATGCTGCGGCGTGCTCACCGTCCTGGAGTGCCAAAGATGGAGCGCAACGCAGGCACACGAGGGACAATCTTGTACATGAGCAAGGCACCTACCATACCGACCATCAAGCCAGTCATCTTTTCCTTCCAGGTGTGAAAGTAAGCTGCCGTCATAAGCAGCATCCACCACCAACCGCCGAGGAGCGCAAAACTGGCCTTGGAGGCGTTGTCTGTGAGTAGCGATGATTGCGCCAGGAGAAGGGGCAACAGCTCGTACCAGAGAAAGAGACTTGCATGCGTCAAGATGAAGACATGTCCACTCAAATCATGTCCACCCCGCCAACGACCTTGAATTTTCTTGCAAGCAGCATTCGTCACTGCTGCAAGAGCCTCTGCCTGTTCGCCAATTTCCACATCCGTTTCTACGCCCTTTTTGGCCAATTCACAAACACCACCTGACCAGATCATGGTACGGTCCGTCAACGGCGCACCAAAAGCCCATTGTGTGACTAGGATCCACAACAGAGTCGCCGTCATCCAGCGCAACAATGCTGCTTTCTGGTTCATTATTGAGCCTGGCAGTCTGTTGAGATGCAGGAAAAAGACGAGAGACGTCCAAAGCCAGCCATTCTTGACAAACAAGATATTGAAGAGGTTTCCCTTTGTAGCAAAGTACGATGTTGAGTGTCCCAGGGAAAAGCAGAAGCCGAGAAGGAGCGTGCATGGATAGATGCCAAGAATGATCTTGTCGACCGTAGTAAATCGCCCAGCATTCATCAAGCTGCGAAAGCTGTGCTTGCGACTTTGATCAGGCTGCAGACGCTCACCAGCGTCGGCCATGCTTTCTTCTGCGGCTCTCTAGCTTAGCTCTGGTCAAGCCCTATTTAGTTGGCTGGTTGGCGTTTGACAGGCGGACGTCATTGCGTTGCATCTCACGGGGTTGGCGCGCGACTCTTTCGCAAAAGATGCACACCGAACCAACACATCATAAAGTCGCTTTTTGGTGGAAACGTGCTCTGAGGATGACGCTACAGAGTAGGGGGTTCGGTCAGTCAGCGTTAAGACAAGGAGACTCGCGCTGGACGGCAGCGCCTCCTTGCAAGCACGGTAGAACAGGCACCTGTCCGCTGTATTCGTGCAAAATTGGCGGGTGAAAATTTTTTTCGCCCTGTTTTTGAGACTGACTTGTCGTCTTGAAGAGCCTGGTCACTCCTGCTCGGGTCCAAACATCAATCAAACAGGTAAGAGAGTTCCCTTCCACTCTCTTGGAGCGTCTGTCGTCTCCAAACAACAAATGGCAGCAACTAGGTCAACACCAAAGGCAACCTGGGGCCCCGGAGGTCTCATCTGAGCTTATTGTACCTTTGCCGCATGCGGTCAAAGCGCACAGCTCCCTCCAGTTTACTTTATGGCATATAACGACCACCTACTGCATCATTGCCGGCCCTTGCGGCATTGATTATCAAATCGGTCGGGGTTCTGCCTGGTCCCCGATTGGAGCCCTCGTTCTTCTTGTGCCGGTCCCGATACGCTGTTTCTCGACCGCGTAGTCTAGCATGCCCACTTTGGGAATGTCCCCTTCTCGCTCTCACTATGAGTGGATCTCACCATACTAGTCGAAACGGCTTGCTTCGAAGCTTTTTTCGGGGTTTTGCGAAAAAGCATTGCGCTGGCCAGCCTGTCTGGTCTTGTGGTAGGCTTGCTACGGCAATCCTTACTACAAATACGCTGGGGAACAGCATCACTATTGAGACTAGCACTGGGAGTGACGAGATATGCTGTGTCTTTTATGACCAGCCAATTTGCCTTACGGCACTAAAGCGTTGTTCTGCGTGGAGAGCTGGAGGCACCTTGTGCGGAAGGTTCTCTGTTTTGCTTCCTTCTTATAATGGAGGACAGTAGTTGAGCTGAATACGACGTAGCTTTTTTTTTTAGCTAAATCCCACCACAAACGGCCTATACTGCAACGGCTCACCTAAGCACATCCATGAAACGATGTGCAGTACAGGCACAGATAGCATGCAGGCAATGTTATCGCAGCTTTGGTACACAGAGACTGCTTCGGCAGCAAGAAGATTTCAAAGATGACAGTCAAGTGGCGTTGCGCGTGCGAAGTCTGCAGAGCAATGCTCGAACACTCATCAAGGCTCGGCGGCCTCAAGAGGCTGCCAAGATTCTCGATGAAGGGCTCAATCTACAGCCTTGGAACAGCTCCCTGCATTTTTGGAAGATCGCAACAAAGCTCGGGAGTGCCAATGCAGCCTTAGATGCATGGTCCACGATGCTCAAGCTCGGCATTGTGCCGCGGGCAGAGCACTACGATATCATCTCACAGGCACTCTATATGAGTGAAGATGCAAAGCATATGCTCGTCAAATTTTTCCATGATATGCAAGCCCAAGGTTTGAAGGGCAACCTTAAGTTCTACCAAAACCTCATGACAGGGTGTATGTCGGATGCGCTGCTTGATGATCTAGAGAAGGTGTCGCGTGCCATCAGATTGGATCCAATGCTGGATGAAATTGCCCGAACTCCCACTATGCTTCGATTGTTTGCAGCTGCCGAGGAGAAGTTGGTAACGGCCGGTAAGATGGCCAAGGACGAGAAGTTAAACTCTCTTTCATCATCGTTCGATCATTCAATGGATCCAACAGCAGCACAACAGGAGGAAGACCGGGAGTTCGCCGCAATGACCTCGCCTGACACTCAAAAGGAAGAGATATCTCAGTACAAAGGATTGTCTTCTCTAGAAAGCCAACATGTCTACGATTTGATCTCGCCCTTTTGGGCACCGAATGCAGATCAGACTGGCTCGAAAGAGGCTTGGGCAGAGGCGAGAAGTGTTGTCAGGAATTCTCCGAAGCCTTCTGTTGAAAGTTATCATCTGCTGCTCCGTCGCGCTGAAATGGTAGACTCTTCCGAGGAAGTTCTTGGTGTGCTTCAGGACATGGACGATGCTGGTGTCAAGGCAACTCCTATAACGCACAGGTTGGCCATCTCAAGTATGCTGAAACGTGATGATACCGTTGCAGCGATCGAGTTGGCACAAGTCATGGAGCAAAGCGAAGGACGACTAGATGCAATGATCATGGTTAACCTCCTTAAATCAGTTTGCCGAAAGGGCCAACATGATGCTGCCCTCAAGTTTCTGCGAGACTCGCTCAAGTCGTCCGAAGTGGATGTGACTCTCAATGATAGTTACCTGCGCATCTACCATGCTCTTATTGAAGGTATGATGGACATTGGCCGTGTACGAGATGCTGAAAACCTTATGGAGGAGATGTGTGCGGTCTGTCAACCAATCATCAAGACGTGGCAACTCATGATCGAGGGCTATATCAAGGCGAATCGGCTGGCTGACGCTGCAAAGGCATTCTCAGTCATTGTTGAGCAGCCCTTACTGCGGAAACGCTCGGAATCGGGCGATAGACGTATCGACAATATCATTGCTTCACTCGTTCATGCTTTCCTACAAAAGGACATGTATCACGAGGCAGAACGGCTGGTTAGCCAGTGTGTGGAGCACGGCGACTGGCGGGGGACGAATACAAAAATTTGGCGGCACTTCATTGAGTACTTGTGCTCACCAGCTGTAGGCCGGACCGAGGATGCATGGGACTTGTTTCGATTCCAAGTGGGCAAGATCCCCTCGGCTCAACAGCATTTCCTTTACAAGGACATGCTGGAATTCGGCTGTCTCAACTTGAGTGATACTCAGGCTGCATCAACATTGCTGGCGGAGATCAAGGAGAAGTCGATTGTATTTGAGCAATACGAGTCGGCCTGGTTCATGCACCTGGCTATGCAACATGGTGATAGGCTCCTTGCTGAGGAGATTTTGGAGAGTATCGAAAAGCAACTCAAGGAAAGGGGTGAACGGAAGGGTCCGAGGCTGATTGGAACTATTGAACGGTGGTCCCTGTAGCCGGCTGGCACGGTTGCGAACCAGCCAAGTGGAGCATGAGCATCAATTTCCTGAGTCGAGTCTCTGGACTTTTGAGTCTTGACTCTTGGATGCTGCTTTCGAGAGGATTTAAGCATACTGCATACACCTAGCATCCGGCAATTGCTGTACAATACAGTGTCAGTACTGTTAGAGGAAAGGAACCTGGTGAGCATTAATTTTCTATCACACTGAGACGGAGTTGATCTGCAGACCTTCTTAGTTGAGTCATTTGGCAAACCATCAGGCTGTATTATCAAGGTGAAAAATAGTGAAATGTCACTCGGGCTGTGCACATTGGCTCTAGCACGGATGAGGCGAAGCTTCCTGCAAGTTCCTGTAGCTGCGCCGTCGCGGCGTTCAGATGCCACCAGCGATGTCTCACGACTTTTGCCGGTGTCATCTTATCGCACACACTTCCTGCTTTGTGTATGTCGTTGTACGACAGCTCTCAGCTGCTCTGCTCAATATGAATCTCTAGTGCTTTGGAGAAATCGGCTGTCAGAGTCGAGTTATGGACAGACCATTCTAAACATCAGTCAACTCTATACTGAGCACATACAAAAATGTCAAATCAGAGGCTGAACCACCCGATCTGCGCGGAGTATAGATGAAAGTTTGACACAGCCTGACAGGCGCTATTGGATCCCCCACATGCAGATCCACATTCGCTCGGAAGGCGCTTATCTTTCTACGGCGCGCGCCTCTCTAGAGACTCTTGCCGTTTGCATTGAACCGCATACTAGACATTGCGGAAGTGCGACGAGACTGCTTGAGTGATGCGGCTTTGCCGCAGAACTCCCTTCAGATATGGATGAATTGCGGCTGAATCGCTTCATGAGGTCGATCATGTTGCCCAAGAAGGTAGATTGACGCGCTTCACTATGGTCTGGAGACTCAGATAAGCTTTGCGAGCACGCGACCATGGCGCAAGATCAGGAGTCAACAAAGTACAAAAGGCTCGACAAGTCCTCAAAACTCAGTGCATTGTATCATGACTTCTGCCGTCGCGCAGGGTATCGACTTGGTCGATGCGCATCCGACAGTCGCCACGGGTGACAAGAGTCTACCTCACGAGATTGACATTGGAGGCAAAATCGCAGAGCTGACAGAAAAGACGCAGCATGATCTGATCTTGACTAAAACTGCTTCCACCTCGCTGCAGGCAGGTGACTGGGAGATTCCCACAGACGAGGATTGGGCAACGCTGCGGAAAGTCTCCGGCCGCATCTCGGCCAAGGCGGCATCCGTCGCCATCATCGAGGCTGCTGAACGCTTCAGCTACTATGGAAGCACTGTCTCCTTTACAAACTTCATTCAAAGACCCTTGCCGCCAGGGTCCAAGACGGGCGCTGGTTTCGCTGTTGGCTTGACCCAGTCAGGGGCACTCGGACAAGGTCAGCGTACTGCGACAGCGTTGACTACGTTCAACTCCTTCTGGGCTTATGTGATGCCGAGTAAGGAGCTCCTCTCTCATGAATGCTTGCTAACTGCTTAGCCCTTGGCGCTTACTTGGCAGACGCTCATTGGGGTCGGTACAGGACCATTCAGTATGCAATTGGCGCTGCCATCATTGGGCACATCATTCTTGTCGTTGCAGCCATCCCGTCTGTCATTGCTGTCCCATCGACTTCCTTGGGCATCTTCACCATTGGCATTGTTACCGTGGGACTCGGTACCGGCGGCTTCAAGTCGAATGTCAGCATCTTGATTGCTGAGCAATATACAGACCCAGCGCACGTCAAGACGCTCCCGAGTGGCGAACGCGTCATCGTCGACCTAGTCACCACTGCCTCGTCTCTTTATCTTTACTTCTACATGGCTATCAACTTTGGTGCATTATTTGGACAAATTTGTATGACATTTGCGTCCAACTACGTCGGCTTCTGGCTTGGGTGGACTTTACCTACCATCATTTTCAGCTTCTGTCCGTTCATCATGTGGTTCTTTCGCAAGCAGTATGTCAGGACCCCGCCTACCGAGTCTGTGGTGGCGAAGGCGGCCAAAGCTGTTGGTCTGTGCTTCAGGGGCCGAGGGTCATGGAATCCGGTACGGTTCTATCGCAATTGCAAAAAAGACGACTTTTGGCAAAGTGCAAAGCCATCAGTGATCCTTGCTCGTGGTGATGCCCTGCCAAGCTACATGAATTGGGACGACCAGTGGATTGATGAACTCCGTCGTGGAATCAAGAGTTGTGCCGTCTTCACATTCATGCCCCTGTTCTGGCTCTCCTATAACCAGGGCTCTGGCAACCTTACTTCCCAAGCTGCCACGATGGACAGGGGAAATGTTCCAAATGATCTGATTAGTAACCTCAACCCAATCACGCTCATCATCTTCATCCCCATCTGCGACAAGTTCCTTTATCCCTTCCTGGCTAGACGCGGCATCAACTTTACTCCAATCAAGCGCATTACTTGTGGGTTTTTCCTTGCAGCAATTGCTATGATCTGGTCAGCCGTCACGCAACACTATATTTACAAGACTGGTGCTTGTGGAAAGTACATGAACACTTGCGAGGAGATTGCCTACGCACCTATCAATGTCTGGATCCAGTCCGGATCCTATGTGATAATCGCCTTTTCAGAGATCTTTGCAAGTGTCACTTGCCTGGAGTTTGCCTACACACACAGCCCATCGAACCTGCGTTCGGTGGTCATGAGTATGTTCCTTTTCAGTTCAGCAGTGGCTAGTGCTCTTGGCCAGGCACTTGTGGCCTTATCCGATGATCCGCTCTTGGTCTGGAACTACGTCGTTACCGCAATATTGGCCTTTATCGGAGGTGTTGCATTCTGGTATACATTCCGGAGCCTGGATGCTGAAGAGGATGTTCTTACTCGACTGCCCAAGACGACCTTCATTGGCAAGACGAAGGATTTTGAAGAAAAGTAGTTCATCAACGTAATTATATTCATCGTACATGAATGCCTGAGACCGTGTCTAGCCAGTAAAACTAATTCCCCGGCACTCCTATTCTGGAGGCGCTGTTTCGCCACAAATAATCGACTTCCGAGACCAGATTGCTGAGCACTTCAGCACGCGAGCCCGTCGCTTTCTTTGCCATTTCCAGCCTACCCAATTGCTCGTCTAGCACACCGTCAATTTGGTCATCAAGAATCAATTGGATGACGAGCTGCTCCACCTCGTTCTCGCTTATATTTAGCTCAGAAGCCATGAAGGATATTTGAATTCGACTGTAGGATGCAACCAGCTTGAGCAAGACTGCCGTTCTAACGTTGACGGTAATCTCGCCGACGTATTGTGCGATGAATGGATCTGACATGATAGTACCACGATGCTCTCTCAAAATTCGCTCAAAAGAGTCGATGTCATTTCGCTGATACGCATCAACCAGCGACATCATGCCCTGGATTTCTGGGTTTTGCTTGTAAGGCTTTGTCTCTTGGCTTTCGAACGGGTTGATTTCCGATTGCATCAGCATATTAGCCAGCACGAGGTATTTGAGCACGGAAATGCGCTGGTACAGGCCGGCCTCATCGTAGTTGCGGAAGGATTCGAAAAAGTCTTCCTGTGCAGCGACCCAGTTCTTTTCATGCATGTGCATCTTGCCGCCGCATTCTCGGATGATGCCGAGGATACGTGGATGTGTTATGCTGCTCTTGATGCGTAGGGTGCGCTGATAGATCTCTTTGAGCCGTTTGGTGTTCTTCGTCTCCGTGTACATCTGAATCTCTAGAGCATAGACTTCGAGCAAGTGGGAACCCTTGGACTGATCCTGCTCGCCATCCTTTGTCTCGCAAGCAGCATGCAGCTCCTTGAGGATTTTGTTGAGTCTGCCAAATTCTTTGCGATCAAGCCAGACCTTAGCCAGCTTGAGATTTGTCTTCAGCCATAGTCTATCATTCTTGGCCTCTGCCAGATTTTCGAGCGTCATTGCGTAGAAGTCTTGCATGAAGACTGTATCATCTGACTTGGACACATACTCGAGAATGTTGTTGAGCGCCTTCTCTGATGTGTTTTTCGTCACTGCCGACTTGGTGTATGCCAGCAGCCGCTTGTAGGATTTGAGCGTCGCTTCCTTGTCATTGAGAACATTGAATGAGATTTTGCATATTTGCTTCAGTGACTTGAAGCCCCAGTCTCCCTTCTCCTCTTCTGCTGCGACAACTGCAGAAAGCGCCTCAATGGCGGCCTTTGGGTCGTCCTCTTTGAGCGCTTTTGCCTGGTAGTATTGGTTCTCTAGATCAATGTCTCCTCCTTCTTCAGAACCATCATCTTCATACTCAAAGTCATACTGCTCTTCATCGGACGCTTGCATAAAGTCATCATCACTCATCTCGCCTGTGAACGGCCCAGCTTCTCGGCTTGCTCGTTGGTCGTCGCGGTCGACGTCGCGTTCACGTCAATTTTGAACTTTGCGACCACATCACAAAATCGCATGGATGGCGGCAATGCGGAGGATGTATGGCCTCTGAAGTTGTTGGGAATGAAGCTGATCTATAGATACTCCGGTCGCATCGAGAGGCGGCCAGCTTCGAGGAGGAACAAGAGCAGGCTGTCCAGGAGCGTTTGAACACATTCTACCACTATGCTGGTTTACGACTATCGGACATGGTGGATAGAAATGGATCTTTGCCTGCAAAGCTGAAGCAGGTGACGGTTCTAGGTACGCCTCACACACGGCCCTCGTTTCTGGCCAAAGTGCTGGGTGATGTGCTCAATCAACCCGATTCAGCGACACTCCGTTCATCCCTGGATGCACTCTCTGCGGCGGCCACTCGGTTAGCAGAGTTTGGCATCTACGAGAGTGTTGTGATCGATGTGGACAAGATTCCATTCCATCGAGGAGCGAGTGAACATGATCTTGCGGCGACATTACATTGCAAGGAACGCTCGAGGATATCTGCACGGACAGGTACCGATTTTGGCAATCAGGAAGGAAGTGCCTACGCCAGCATAAACATTCGCAACGCTTTTGGCGGTGCAGAGTCGCTTGAGGGCAATGTTGCCTTTGGCACACGTACGCGAGCATCGTATGAGGCGCGCTTGACGACGCCAATCGATGCGAATCCACAGAGCATCTTCGAATTGCTAGGCTATGCTGCAACACGGGCCAATACCCACGCGAGCCACGAAGAGTTGGTTCAAGGTCTATCTGCGAGTGTGAAGCAACTATCTGTGCTGGGTAGACACGACTTTGGCATTCATGCTGTTGCCAGAACGATCACGAATCTCTCACCTGGCGCGAGCCTCGCCATTCGTCAAAGTGCAGGCGACAGTCAAAAGTTCAGCCTGACACATGCTTTTGTGCATGACAGAAGGGACGATGTCGTGGTGCCTACCACTGGCTATCGGTTGGGCACTACACAAGAGTTGGCCTTACCGTTGACGGAGTCCGCGGCAGCTTTTGCCAAGGCAGAAGTGCAGGCAAGTCGGCACGGCAAAGTGGGTGATGTGGTGCTCAGCCTTTCTGCAAAGGGCGGCTTACTTTGGACTCTAGCAGAGCAGCAGTCTATGCTCAATGACCGTTTCCAACTCGGCGGTCCAACCTCTGTGCGTGGCTTCCAGTATGCTGGACTAGGACCACGGCCACGCGGATCACAAGATGCGCTTGGTGGAGATGTCTACCTGTCTACGTGTGCGTCAATCATGCATCGTGTGCCATTTGCACCAGAGAGCTGGCCCATCAAGGCTCAGACATTTGTGGCCACTGGTGCTTTGCTGCCCCTAGATAAACAGAAGCCTCGACAGACACTCCAAAAGCTACTCACAAATCCGAGCGTCAGTGCTGGCATTGGGCTCGTCTTTCGGCATCCTGCAGCGAGGATTGAGATGAGCTTCTGTCTACCGCTTATTGCTAGGCCTACAGACCAGGTCCGCAAAGGACTCCAATTCGGGCTGGGTGTCGATTTTATGTAGCCTAGACTATCTGACACGCGGCATACATAAAAGACTTTGATCGTCTAGATGTGACTTGCTCTGGCAGATGAGCTTCAAAAGTTGACAGCACGACATCTCATCTACACACCTCTAAGGTTTGAATTGCTGAATGCCTAGTGCTATACAAGGCGTCGCTGTCCTCATGGTCTTCGCACTGGCTTATATAGGCCAATTACTACTCGGAGGCCCAGCTCCAGATACGAGCCAAGTATCGCTAGACACACCCTCCTTATTCGCAATGGCAGATATTCATGGTGATTTCCCCCGCGCTACACAAGCTCTGATGCACGCTGGCGTCATCAAAGACCTAAGCTGGGCATTACCAAGTGGCTCTCGGTTCGTCCAAACGGGAGATATTGTCGATCGTGGACGTGATACACGACAGCTATACCATTTCATGCGTAATTTGACAGCGCAAGCAGAGGCGGCTGGTGGAGAGGTGCATAAACTGTGGGGGAACCACGAGTACATGAATGCCTTGCTAGATTGGCGCTATGTGGATGCAGGAGACTACAAGACTTGGCCATCACAAGAAGCAAGAAGAGCGAGCTTTTCATCGGGTGGTGACATTTTTGAAGACTGGATGCTGGACTATGCAGTGACGTACAGAGATCCAGTGTATCGCGCACACTTCATGCATGCAGGTCTACACCCTGACTATCGCGATTTCGACAGTGTGGACAACGTCGGCCGTGCGTTCATGCGACGTGCAGGAGATGGGCACCGTGATCATAGCAGCTGGACTCCACAAGAGGCTGCGTTCTGGTCCAGCGAAGGTCCCATGTGGTTTCGCGGTTGGGCGCTTGAAGATGAGGCACAGGCGTGTCGCGAAGCACAAAGAACAATGGCAAAGCTGGATGTGGATTTTCTTGTTGTTGGGCATACACCACAATTTGATGGTGCTCTTGCGCGTTGTGGTGGGCATGTCATCTTGCTCGATACGGGTATGAGCAGTGCCTATGGCGGTCCAGCTGTCGTGCTGGAGTTCAAGACAATTGCAGACGCATCTGGCAAGCCCCAAGTGCAGCTAGTCTTGCATTACGACGATGACAAGAGCCGTGAAATCGTTGTGGTGACTTAATCAAATCCGGTAAAAGCCTCGCCATCTTCTGTCTCGCCTTCATATTCTGACTTGATCTCTGGTGATTCCTCCTTAATTTTGCGTCGACGCAACACTTCATCGAGATCTTCGACTTGTGCATCTGTGGTTGTGAGACAGGTGATGCGCGATCCACCACAGTCTGTATCACCCACTTCGTACCAGCCTGTCGACCCTTGAGTCCAAATTTTGATGTGGCCGTCTGTACTTCCACTGCACAGAAGGAGTAACGAGTCTGTTGCTCCCTGTGGCGTGACGGTCTGTACATCTAAACACTTGACGCGGGCTGCATGACCAGTCAGCTCAGAATCGAGTTCTTGCTTGACTGGGTCGAGCATTTGAATGACGCCCGAGTCGAGTGATGCAGCGAGTAATTCCTGACCATCTGGTAGAGTCATGTACCGCATAGCATGAAATTTGGAAGTACCGGCAGAGAATGTATGTTGCAGGGCAGCAGACATGTCATAGAGTTTGATGCTCTTTTCAAACAGAATCGCATACGCGTCTCCTTGTGTGTTCCATGCGACCTGTAGGCCTTCTGCCGATTCGCGTCTCAGAGGTTTTGGTGTGCCAGGGGCAGGCTTGATAATGAGCGAATGCGCGGCTGCCTTTTTCCCAGTGACCAAGTTCCATAATCTCACATTACAATCGGCGCCCACAGACAAGGCGATTTTGCCGGAAGGGTGGATAGATAGGGAGTTGACCTTGCCATGCCGTGTGGCAAGCTGAATTTGCGGCGTCCAATCACGCACACGCCAGATGATGAGCTTGTTATTTTCATCAGCAGTGAGCATATGCTGGGGCTGCTCGCCTGCTGCACAGGGAGCGAATTGGATCGTGGTCACGGTGCCGTCATGTGAGAGAAGAGACCCGAGGTCTTTGCGTTTCCGAAGGTCATAGAGTTTGACAATCTCGTCGACACCACCGCTGGCTAGATACCGTCCACCGACAGCCAAAGAACGCACTTGGGCTGTGTGCGCTTCAAAGAGCCATACGCGGTTGAAGACGCAAGTAAGCTTGTCCTTTTGCATGCTGATGACGGCGTCAAAGCCATGCAAGACATGCTCGTAGGTGCCAACAGCGATCCTAACGGTAGAGGAGGGAGCTGAAGTCTCCGGCACTTGGTCTTCCCTTTGCCGTTTGGTCATAATTGAAGCCGTTTGCTGCCTGGACAATGCAATGCAGCTGCAGCTAGGCCTTCTTCTATATAAGCTCAAGTAGTCTCTTGTTCATGATCCCTTGATCCCGCGCCTGAAGATCAAAATTTCCTTTTTTTTTCATTTCCCACAATTCTGCTCAGACGACAGTCAAGCACCGGTACCACATACTCCAGAGTAGCGATGCTGCCAGGGAGGAGGCAAGAGAGGTGATGCATGTCATCGGGCTGGGATCCATCGGACACCTGGTGGCTCATCACCTCAGAGCAAGAGCTGGACTGACCGTCACGCTGCTCCTCAGAAACACGCCCAGGAATGCAGCCATCAAGGCAAGGGCAGGGGACTATCAGGTCTCGGTGAAGACGGGAGACACGGAGGAACACAGCACAGGCTATCGTATTGAATTGGTGGATGTTTTGGCTGGTTCATCTATAGACACGTTGCTCGTGTGCACCAAAGCATACGACTGTGCGGCTGCTGTTCGCAGTGTCATGCAACGGCTCAACGGCCAGTCTCGTGTTCTCCTCATGAACAACGGCCTTGGTGTCACAGAAGAGCTTGAGTCTCTCTGGAAAACAGACAAGAAACCCAGAATTTTGGAGGCCATCCTCACTCACGGTGTCTATGGCTTGGGCTCGACTGAGCAACAATCACGAATCTGCCACGCAGGCATTGGCGAAGTGACTCTGTCGAGTGACGATCTCGCAGAACCGCTTGCGTCCCTCAATACGCGTGTGCTCGATGCTGTTGCCTTTCGGAAAGCCCAGCTGACCAAGTTTGTGGTCAATTGCTGCGTCAATCCGCTGACAGCTATTCACGGCTGCTACAACGGTCAAGTGACAAGATATGCGTCTGCCATGCAGTTTACAATGCAAGAGTGCTTGACTGTGCTCGCTTGCGCCTACCCGACGGTTCCCCTTGACGCTGCAACCGTCCAAGCAGCTCTAGAAGTTGTCATCTCCAAGACTGCAAACAACAGGTCAAGCATGCTGCAAGACGTGAGTGCAGGCCGTCCAACAGAAGTGGCCTACCTGAATGAACGCGTCTGTGTCCTTGGGAATCGCTTCTCAATCCCGACGCCGACAAATGCCGGCTTATGTCAGCAAGTAAGAGCAGTCACGATTTGTCAATCTACGCCGCGCTGAGTGAGGGAGCCCTGTGAGCGTGCCCCTGGTACGGCTTGGTAGCTCTGGCTGTCTCTGCGGGTGTGCGGCCAGTGCTGCCGGTGCTTCCCGTGCCCCTCACTGCTGCTGCTGTCTCTTCCTTTTTGTTCTTTGTTGGCGCTCACCGTCGCGGGCAATCAACAACTCAAATCAGATGCAGCGACATCCGAGTCCACCCAGACCCAACCACAAAGCGACAGCAGCAGCAACGCACACAACCCAAAGGCGGCGCGCGCCATTCGACCTTCTTCAATTCCCAACAAGTACTTCCCAATGACGAGTATCCTCAAGCAACAACTCAACCAGCAGCAGCAGCAACAGCAGCAGCAGGCAGCCCACAAGGCGACCCTGCAGCAGCGCTCACCTGCACCTGCTTCCTCGTCACCCACGCCAGTCTCGACAGCTCGTCACGGTGGTGGAAGCGCTCACGCTTCGAGCGCTACAACAGGACCACCTGGTGTGTCGCGATCCAAGGAGCCCGCCAAAGGAACCTTTTCAACGCGCCGACCGTCGCAGTTGCAGCAGCGACAAACAGTGCCGCTCTCGTCATTCAAGGGGAAAGACGCAGTCGCTACGTACGCGACGCCCGACCGTTCCGTCTCGCCAAATCCAAAACCACATGCGCAAGATGGATTAGATGAGGAGGCCATGTCTACGGGTGAGGAGACGGATGACCTCGATATGGAAGGTGTCCAAAAGCGTGATATGGCCATTGCCGCTCAGCAGCGACAGGAACAAGATGAAGGAGACGACGCGACCATGATGGAAGACGACGCTGCGGACGTGACGTTGGACGCGTCCATGAGTGGGTCTGGACTTGCTGAGACGTGGTTGCCGCAATTGCTGAGCCAGCATGGACCGCTTGCTATCCGACACTTGACGCAATTTCTGGCACATGGTAACGCGACATTTGGTGCTTTGCAACCTGGACGGCAGCGACGCGTTGTCGTTAGGGCGCTTGAGTCGCGCAAAGGCGTTTTATTTGAGAAAGCTGGCTGGGGTCGCTGGTCCCTGCTGGATGGCAAGTACGACGCGTCACTCACTGGTAACAATCGCGCAGTCGGTTACTTCACCCCTGAATCGCTACCCATGCAAATCCGTTCTTCTCAACGGCAGCAGCAACACCACCAGCAACAAGCTGGGTCATTGGGTGGACATGGTTTGATGTCTGCTAGTCTCAAGCGATCGGGAAGTCGTGCACCTGGCGCTGGTGTGCCTGTCTCTGGCTCCTATCAGTCACACCATGAATTCCTCTTCTCGCCCAGTCTGTCGGTTGGTGTACCGCGCGAGGAAGATGAAGATGTTGATCCACTTGATCTTGATGAAGAATCAGGAACGGATGAAGAGGATTGGAAGACTCTTGGTGCAGAAGGATTAAGGCGACGTGCACAGGCATCGCGTACGCCTTCACACCCTGCGGCTCTGATTGCGTCGAGTTTTACGGACAAGTCAGCCATGCCCATGTCACCTGCTATGATGGCTGGTTCGTATGCATCGCCACGACACGGCCCAATGCAACCTGGCTCTTACTCTGGCAGTTCGCCTTATCCAATTCGGCGGAAATCAAGTGCTGGCATCTATCAACTCCATCACCACCATGCTGCTCATCGTCCCATTGGATCGCCGAGTGGTAGTTATCGTCCACCGACTTTTCCAAAGTCCAGCAGTTTTGTGCGGAATACCAAGATTTCACCAGACAGATTGTCGTCTTCACCACACGTTGCAGGTCATGCGTCGCGAACAAAACCGACGACCATTCCAGGACAGCAGCAAGATGCGGAAGCGGCAGAGGCGTTGTTTATGCTATCGAATTCTCTCGATGAGCGCGAACGAAGTGGGCGTTCTTGAGGAGTTAAAACAAGGAAAGAAATGTGTTACAAGTGTGAGGAGAGGAGATGGGTATCGTGGGCCATCCAGGACGCTTCCCTAGGTTATTGGGAAACTCACCTTGACGTATTAAGCTTTCTGTTTTCTTCTTTTTTTAAAGGCAATATAGGTTCTCAGTAGTATTTCCCCTTTGTTGATTATCTACAATCTTAGTCTTCATCTTGGTCTGGATCAAAGAGATCCAAGTCGAGGCCTGATGGACCATTGTCAGGCATGCTGGGTTGATTTTGTGCTTGATACGATGTCGGCTCCATTTCTGCAGCGCCACTGTCGTCCTTGATATCCTCCTGCATTGCCATCTCTCCATTCTGTTGAGCAACACCCGTGGCACTGCCAGCACCACGCCGCATCATATCCTCCGATGGCCAGGGAAAGAGGGAACTCGCTGTCGCTGAATGGGTTGTTGGATCGAATGAACTCGGTGCAGAGGACGTCTTGGCAAGAATACGCGCATATTGCATCAGCGTATGACACGCAATACGTGGTACCTCCTCTTCTCCCTCACTCATCGCACCCTCGCGGCCACTGAGCCTAGCTGGTTCGTAATTGGATGAGAGGGGTTTGCGGAGCTCTGTATGCAGTGTCCTGAGCACCTGCAAATTCTCCTCTAATTGTGCATCAAGCGCTGATTCTTGCGCTTGAAGCTGTACCATGGCTGTTGATGCTTGGAGATGCTTCTTGGCTTCTACGAGAGCCCGATTGTACCGCTTGTCTGCTTGGATGAGGGCAGTGATGTGCGATTGGAGCTTTTCAGAGATGGCCCCTTGGACATGAGCTTGAGCATTGGTTGCCAGGTGGTCTAGTAAGCTTGTCAGGCATTGTTCATAGCAGTCTATAGCTTCTTGTATGTCCAGCATCCCTTCCTCCCTTCATGTGGTCCTTCTGCTGTCTTCTTGTTCATGGATCGCGAATTTCGAAATTCGAGCAAGACGCGACAAGCGATAAATACACAACAAGAGCTCAAGAGACAAGAGATGCCCTCTCAATCGCAAGCAGCAGGCAAGCGAAGGATACGACGCGCAGCAGACGATGATTCCGATGAAGAAGCCACTCAAGCGAGTAGCAACAATCTCACCGCTACAGAAGTTAAGCGTATGAGTCAAAAACTCGTTCGACTCGCCCTCTCCCTTGAGCATGCACGCTTGCCTATTCGTCGTGACTTGATCACCAAGGAGATTCTTCAAGGTGCGCCGCGACGTGCATTTGCAGCTGTCTTTGAGGCTGCACAGACGAGCTTGCAAGAAGTCTTTGGTATGAGGTTGGAAGAATTGCCTGCAAAGGATAGAAAGAAGGGTATGACTATGACACAAATGCGCAAACTGGCACATACACAAGCAACGGCAGCGACACAGCCTGGGACACAAGCGTCGCAGAGTGCTCGTTCAGCCGCTGTGGGTACACAACAAAAGCAATGGGTCCTGAGAACCACCTTATCGCCTGAAATACGCGGTGCGACGATGGGTGTATTTGTCAAAGGTGAGGCCTTGTATAATGCAGTGTCGGGTGTGATTCTGGTGCTTGTGAGCATGTCGGCTGAACAAACATGCAGCTCAGTCAAGCTCAACCAGTATATGCATCGTCTTGGGTGGGATATTGATACACCTGCCGGGAAACTGGATGATGTTCTCAAACTGATGCGGAAGCAAGGGTACTTGGATTCCTGCAAAGATGACTCGTCTACGGAAGCGGGCGGTGTGCTGCACTTCTTGGGCCCACGCGGCAAGATGGAGACGTCGAGAAATGTGAAGAACCTGGGCAACTTGGTGAAGAAGCTGTACAATGCAGAACCTGGCTCGGCAGCAGCGAAGAAGGTGGAGGCATCCATCAAGGGGACGCTGTCTGTTGCGCTGGGTGAGGAGGAGGAGGAAGAGGATGCTGCGTCTGGCGACGAGGTTGTGTATGAGGAGGTATAGCTGGCCTGTCTACCTGCTAGTACTCTACCTGTCTACTCTACCTGCTAGTATCCTGCTTGGTCTCTTTCTGTTCCTGAATTTCCCTCCACACTCAGACAACCACAAGCGTGACGACACAGAGACACACAAGATGCAAGCATGAACCAGCACATCCCAGCACAGACATACATCGCAGATGCACACACCTCCCCAGAAGCCCTCGACTGCCTCAGACGCGATCTAATTCTAGGCGCGGCAGCCTGTAGTAAAGCCGATCGCGTACATGTTTGGCAAGCATTACTCTTGTCGCGTGAGGGAGAAGTATGGGAGCCTGCGACATCCTTAGCGGCGCATCGCGCTGCATTTGAGCAGCTTGAAAAGGACATGGTCACAGCGAGACCGGATGGTGAACAAGACCCACTGAGTGAATCGGCAAGTCCCTTCAGCCATGTCTCTTGCTTGATGGAGTGCTGACGACCGACAGCCGGCGTGGGAGACCTACTACAGAGATCAAGAGCGCAGAGAGACCATTCGCCAAGATTGCACACGCATGTACGTTCCTACGAGTCTTGCCATTTTGAGCTAATATCTAGCTTTCCCGATGAGCCATGGTTCCACCAGGATCAGATACAACGTACTCTTGAGAGTTTGCTCTTCATCTGGTGCAAGTCACATGCATCCATTGATTATCGCCAAGGCATGCACGAACTCGCAGGAGTCTTGCTCTGCGTTGTTGAGCAGGCGGGAGGCCCGAATGTTTTGGCAAACACCTATGCTCTCTTCGATGCAGTGATGCGCTATGCGGCCAGCTTCTACGAAGTACCGAGTAAAGGCGAGTCACCAGTCTGTGTTCGTGCGAATCACATCCAGCACACGTTGCTCGTCCAATTCGATCCGAGTCTTGCAGAGAAGCTCTCGCATCTCGAGGTGGAGCCACAAATGTACACACTTAAATGGCTGCGCTTGTTGTTTCTGCGCGAGTTTACATTCAATGAAGTTCTAGTCCTCTGGGATCTACTCTTTGCTGCTGACAGAACATTGAAGCTCATGGATTTTATCGCCTGTGCCATGTTGATCAGAATACACGATCGACTCATGCTTCCAGAGACAGACTACAGTGCAGCACTGACATTGCTCATGCGGTATCCGCATCCTGGCACCGTTCCAGCTCTCTTTGTTCAAGACGCATTGGCCCTTCGAGCAGGCGAATCAGGGCAGAACCTCATGGAACGGTATCAAGGCTCGAGCACTGCGTCACAGCGACAAGTGCTTGCCAAACCACCGCTTGTAGAAACATCTACCAATCTTGCAGGCGTTGCTGGATATTCCCTTGGCGCACTCCTGCACCAAACAGATCGCTTGGGCTTGAACAATTACTTCAAGGGGACACTGACAGAATTGAGTCGTGGTGTGACTGAAGCAAGACAGGTACTGAGTCGACAATCGACGGGAACTTCAGGATCACCTAGTACACCATCTGGCTCGCACGTCAATCGCGAACTCGCTGGTCATTTGGCACTGGTTATTTCAAATTTACGATGTGGTGAGCCGCTTGAAGAGAATCTACAGCGGTTGGAGGACTTGAAGTATGTCTTGCAGGGACGCAAGTCATTGGCTGAGTTGAAGCAGGTCAAAGTACCTGAGCGACAACGCCCAGCGACGGCGCCGCAAGCAGAGGCGATACCGACAAGTAGTATAGAGAAAGCTACGGTGAGAGGGAAACAGCCTGCGGTGCCAGCTGGTGCTACTAAACGGGTTAGTTTGCAGAGTGACTTTGGCTTCTTGCTGTAGAGAAATGATTGGCATGATATATAGCCTCTCCATGGACGGTGTCGATATTGCTCAGGCTTAGCTGCTGAGCGTGATGACGGTGATTGTGGTGTCCCTGAAATTGAAATCTGCTTTCTCAGTCTTGACTTCGAGCCGCGACTACAAAACCACCATCCACATTCTGCATCCGCTTGCTCAAAGACTGCCGCAGAAGCCTAGGACACCAGGGCTATATGAAGCATGGGAACGATGCTCAGGCATGGACACTCACCTTGTTCTCAAGTCTCGCTTGCGTGCTTGGCGCTTGCTTCATCTACATCGATGTCATCATCAGGCGCCTACCAGGATGCGCATCCTTCGACCTCATCAACGACAAGCGCATCCTCGTCTCTGGCATGAGCATCGGATCCGGCGTCTTGCTCTTCACAGCACTGAACAAGATGCTCCCAGAAGCGCTTGATTATCTGACGCCTGTCTTTGAGCGAAAGAGTGTCAGTCATGCTGTTCTGATGGCCGGGTATCTTGCAGGCGTTATTGTCTGCATGCTCCTCAACAATATACTCCTGCCATATCTGACACCCGACAGCGTTATCCACTGTTGTGGCGACGAGAACGATGATCATCATGCACACCAGGACGCGCATTCTTCAGCGACAGATGAGACAACGCCCTTGGTACAGCAACCATCGATGCATAGTCTGCGACGCTCAAAGACGAGCTTCTCACAATGCAAACGCACCGATGCTGAACGTGCTGGACCATGTGCCGGGTATTCTGATTTGTGTGCCGCTGATGAAGTGTGCTGTGTTCAACAAAAAGGACGGACTCAGTCAGCGAGGACCGAGCTGACACATACGGGAGTTGAAGAAGGTCATCACCATCACATTCGCGAAGAGAAGAATGATTTCTTGCGCATTGGCTTCCAGACTGCGCTTGCCATCTCTTTTCACAAGGCACCGGAAGGCCTCATCTTATTCCTGTCATCACATGCAGATGCAGCGCTAGGCTTTAGAGTATTTCTGGCGCTAGCCATTCACAACCTCGTGGAAGGCTTTACGATTGCTTATCCTCTCTATCTAGCGTTTGAGAATCGCTTCAAGGCGCTTGGGGCCGCAGTCCTCCTTGGCGGTCTCAGCCAACCCGTTGGCGCACTGATTGGTTTCGCCATCACAAAGGCACAGGGATCGCACAAGTTTGATGAACGATCGCTCGATTTGTCTTATGGACTCCTGTTCTCTGCAACTGCTGGCTTCATGTCCTTCATTTCAGTCGTTTCAATGCTGCCACAAGCCATCAAGAATGATACATCCAGAACAAGTCTATTTGGTGTTTCATTCTTTGCAGGAGTTGCTATCATTGGTATTGCAGGGGCGTTGCAAGAGACTTAAAAGACGCTGGTAGGCCTTTCGATTAGACCATGGATAGCCCAAGTTCTTGTTCCACTACATCCACCGAGTTGGCCTGTATTGAGCGAAATGACTGGCCTTGGAATAAGCCATCCAGGATTGTTCTTCAACAGCCTTTTGCTTCGCGCAATCCGTTTCGACAAGAACCTCGAGCAAACGTTGCGTACGACCTTCTCGATGCAATTCCAACTCGCTTTGAGATTCATCACGAGCGTGAACTGCACGGCCTGAACAACCAGGCGGCTGTTCGTTCTCTCGTTGCAGCTCTGACACTTGCATTGCGTGCACGGACCTTGCACGGCTCTCTGGCCATGCGAGACTTGGAAGGTTGGCAATCCTTGCGAACGCGCGACGATCAAGATGCCGTCCTGGAATTGGTGAAGGGGATCTTTCAATCACGCGGATGGCAACCAATCCTACAAGTTGGCAAAAGTCCCTCTGCACCCCCGCCTGTCCTTGCATTACGCGGCCAGCGCACAAAACGGCGCGAGAGTGTCGATAAGATGCTCAAGGGTTTCAAGCTGAAGCCAAAACGCCGCAATAGAGAAGCAACGTGGACGGCCAAGGATTTGTTGCTGGCAGAGCGCGCATCAACGCCACTCTTCTTTGACTTTTCTACATCGTAAATGAAATTGCAACAACACTCTATGATGTGCATAATCCAGCGACACTTCTTTGTTCAAGAGGGTGAAGGTGCCGTTGGGCTCTTCACGCCAAGGGCACCACTGAGCCGCTCTGCAAGTGAATTGCCAACAGCCTCAACAGCGCCCCCACCGATCTTGAAGATTGTGCCTTGAGAGGATGAATCTTCCTGCACCCTGAACAGCTTGACGTGTGTGCCCGTCCAGACGCCTACAGCACCGACATTGAGACGTGTTTCGGAAATGTAGACATATCCCCAAAGTAATGACTCAAACCAAACTTTTGCCTGATCAGACCAAACAAACGTCCGTGGATTGGGGGGTCTTGCCGGCTGCGCCAAGTCAAGCGTTGCTCCGGAAATGTATTGTAAAATAGGTCGTGGATCAGGCGTTTCCTGCGTCAGGCGCAAAACTTCAGGTTGTAGTTGCGTCAAGACTTGCATGATGGGTGATAAGTCGAGGTCAGGATACCATGATTGGAACCATGGTGCATCTGCCAGAAAGCCTGTATCTAGTATCGCATGTTGGTATAAGCCAAGGGTTTGCGCTGACCCTATACTAGAAGCCGAATTTTGACGTTGAAGCACAGGCGGTGATTCTCTTCTACCTTCTGGAAGCTTGCCTTTCGCCTTCTCCGACATGACTTTAGGGGAAGGTGTGAAATCAATATCATCAGCCATACTTGGCGTACGTGAGTGTGTGCGAGATCGAGCAACAGGAGAAGATGCTTCGGGTTCAGAATCGTCATGGTCACCAATGGCGAAGCTATCCTTGAGTGGCGCATCTTCATCAACAGCCTTGAGTTTCTCCTTTTCAGCTCGCCGGCGTCGAAGTCTTTGTATTTGCTCGAGACCAGAGTCAAGCGAGAGCTTTTGCAGAGCAGTAAAGACCTTGTTGTTGCGCAGGATGGCGTAAATGAGATGTGGATTCTCGCTGAAATTGTGCTCAATAATGCCATTTAAGACTTCAAGCAAGTATAGTAGCAACTGATGATTGAGTTCATTGGCAAACAAGAAACTCGGCTGAGCGATACTGTTGAGCAGCTGGAGTAGCTTGGTAGATGCCATGATGCTGAGGCCATTGAAGTAAGGCGCTACATTGCTCAATGTCATGAAAAGCGCTGGATAGAGACTGACGAGCGCGCCACGCGATGTTGCAATGAGAGAGTAGATACTGACGACGAGATAGTCTGCGTACGTGCAGTGTGGAGAAGGAATGCGTACTGAAGCCGGCAAAGAATTGTGTCCCTCGAATGGCTTGCTGAGCGATTTTGCGAACTTGGACTCTGCACTCAGGGGTTGCAGAATGAAGACGCACATGCGCACGAGGCCAATCTGAGCAGGATCGGTCTTGTTTTCAAGCGCATAGAAGAGAAGAAGCACGAGGAAGTCGAGTGCTCGATCTGTTTCGATAAGAAAGGTGCGAAAGCGTCGATTCTGCTGCAACGTTTCCCAGAAGAGGAACAGCATCTCTGGGTAATAGCGAACAGCCTTTTGAGAACCAGGCAGTAGTGCTGTAGATGCCTGCAACGGCTGTTGGAGCGCTCGAAGCATGCCATCTACCATGAAGTTGAAATCCGCCGCTCGATGGAGCTTCTTGAAGTAATATCTAAATTGATCAACCGGCTCGTCCTTGTCTGCGGATTGCTGTATGTAGCATGTTGTACCTGACTCTGGCAGAGGATAGCAGAGTAGCGCAAGCAGAAATTGAAGGCAGTAGGTGACGAGCAGTTGCCGTGAATCCGCAAGAAATGCCGCGGAGTAAGGCAGGGTCCGCCATGTCGTTGGATTATACTTCATGGTGATGTTCAACATGGAGCACAAGATAGCGAGAACCACATTCTTTGGTGTTGTCACCACAAGATGGGTGATGTGACGGTTCTCGCGCTCGACATTGGCAGGGATATACATGCCGCGTGAGATGAGTGCTAGAATGCAGCGAAGCACTTCAATCCTATTGGAGTCGAGTTGCTTGGTCGAGCCCATGGGAATGGTACACCCAACACCAGTCTCCCATATGCTGTAGACCACTTTACCCTTCTGGTTGGGTGGTATTGTGAAGCCAGAGTAAAACAGCAGATCCACCAAGGTATGCATGAGTTCTTCCGCCATTGGCTCCACCTCTTCTGCATTGCTTGTCGCTTGCATTTGTGTCATTTGAATCGATTCTTGCGTCGGCGTCGACTCCTCTGGCGGCTCAACTGACCTCGAGGTCCGCCGTGTCCGCTTCACCCACCAAAAGTTCTCCATTGCATCGTCCATCGCATCCGACTCGAAGATGAATGGAATCAACCTTGTCAAGACACGCAAGCAGTTCAAGAGATGCTGCTCTGGCGCTTTACTCTCATTGCTTGTTGGGAATTGTGCATGATCCTTGAGTGCAAAGAGTCGCGTACACAAAACAAGCAGCAGGCTTTTGAAGTTCTCCGGCGCTTCGTCGCGCGCTCTACGTATGTCTGTTGGCGAGAAGAGGGTAAATACGTCTTCTGCGCCTTCCGGTAGAGTCCAGAAGTTGTGCCAGTATGGGTCATCCAAGGCGATGTTGCGCTCTTCATGCAACCTGAAGATCCCCCTGCGGAAACTCAGCTTTGATTCTTGAGCACCCATGGCAGGAGCTTACTATACAGCAGCTGTCCAGGTATGCCTGCCCCTCTGTCGAGCTACTGGCTGAGTGAGTGTAATGCCTTGGATGTGTGAGGTCTCGTCAGCCCAAAAAATGAGAAAGGCGACGACCAAGCACCAACAAACTTGTGCACCCATGCCCTTCCTCAAAATAACGCTGGTGCGTTCAGGTATGTGCATCTGTTGTGCTCAAAGACGAAGCTGATATCCTAGCAATAGGCCTGCCCGAAAAGACAAATCTGGTACTCGCATCGCTTGGCCTGCGCAAGAGAATGCAGTCGGTCTTTCACACAGTCTCACCGCAGACGGCAGGCATGGTCCTCAAAGTCAAGGAGCTCGTCAAGGTAGAGCAAGTGGAAGAGCGACAAACGATACAGCAGATGCGGTCGGCGAGAAGTCCGCCAAGGGGATTCGTCAAGACTGGATCCTTGCTATGAGCTCCGGAAAATCTGCATTCATCATTGCAGGTGCGATCGCCTTGCAGTAGCAACGAATTGACGTCTTTTATGGACATGTACAGACTCTGTTCCTTATCTTTTTTTGTGCTGTCATCATGTCGCGCCTCATTCTTAAAAGGAATACAGGGCCGCTTCACCTTCTCTCGTCTCGCTCCATCGTGAAATCTCGGGGAAGCCTTTACGGAGGTCGACGCCTTCAAGGTCAAACAACTGCTCCATACCCGTTGTCGTTGCCCCATTACTCGCATTCGCCGCCGGCAGCACAGGTAATGCTGCATCTCCATCCGTTTGTTCAATTTTCCTATGCATCCGTGAAGGCGACGGCATGGTTTCACCCCGTGATAGATTTTGTCGCTCTGAACTCATTGTTGTTCGTAACGGTGTACCCTGACTCCCTACCACAGGAACAACTGGTCCCGTCTCACTATCAATATCCATAGCCGCTTGCAATGCTAATCCAGGACTGAGGTGCTGTGTTGGGCTGTGTGAGAGTAATCCATGCGAAGTACCCGTCGGCGTTGTCATGTTACTCACCATGTACTTCCAAAACGGAGCAGGCGACGAGAGTGGCTGCTGCTGTTTGGCAGACGGTGGTAGAGACGGCGGAGTTGCCATGAGCGGAGCGATCCGATCTCGCTCCGGACCAGGTGCATGGCCTGGGAGAGGCGGCGTGACAGAGGCACGCGATACAGGCATACTGTGTGATGCGGCGTGCGAGGACCGTGGCAGCGCTTCCTGCAGTGGAATATGCTGTGGAATCGGAACAGCGATGGCATGGTGTAAGTGCATGTCTTGTTGCGGATGCTGTTGCTGAGATTGAGGCTCTTGTTGTTGCATATGCTGCTGTTGATGATGATGATGATGCTGCGGCAACGGCAGTGGTATGGGTAGCTGCTGCTGCTGATGCTGCTGTGGAGGAGGAGTCAGTGAAGCAGCAGGCTCCTCCTTCCGCCGACGCTTGACACTACTCGCACGAGACCCATTTTGCGTAGCCGGTCGTCTTGACTTGTTGACAAACTCGTCGACAAACTCCTCTTGGATCGTCCACTTCATGCCCTTGCCTGGCTCTTCGGCCCTGCGTGGAACCTTGACAAAGGCTTTGTTCAGACTCAAATTGTGCCTGATGGAGTTCTGCCAACCGCTTTTTGCGAACCGATACCAGCTGTAGTGTGACGAGATCCAGCTGTAGATTTGCGCCAGGGTCAGTGTACGATCCGCGTTCGACAAGATGGCCTGCGATATGAGCGTCGCATAGGAGAAGGGTGGCTTCATCTCTCTGGCATTATCCGCAGCGTAATCCACTTCGCCTGTCGATGGGCCCGGAGTCGTCGGCGCAGGCGTATACGGCAACATATGCGGCAACGAGACACGCGTATTGACCTCCTCCTGCGGGGTGTATCCAGTTCATAGCGCAGTGCTTCCGGCACAAAAGCTGCTTGCACCTCCGGCGGAGAGTCTGGTAGGACAAACATCATCTGCACACCGCCCAACTCCAAGATTTGGCCAGAGGAGAGACGTGCCGTTTTGCGGTCTCTGTAGACCTTGCCATCGACCTTCAAACCGTTGCGGCCGACAATCGAACACTTCCAGAACCGTTCCTGCAAGTCGTACTCGATTTTGGCGTGCAACCTGCTAATCACCTTTGCAGGCCCCAGATCCAAATCCACTTGCGAGGGTGTAGCATCACCAATCTCACTCGCTCTGCCGATACTCACCTCGAGCGCCTTGACGTAGTACGTCCAGTCGCGGCCCGCTAATTTAGCATACGCTTGTACTCCACCGAAATGCGTTGCACTGGCCGCGTCGTTGCTGTGTTCAGTCGCCGCTGCTACTTCGCGGTCAGGTAGGGCGAGGCTGTGAATGACAGTGTTGACTTGGTCCGTGGTGAGCTTGTAGCTTGCTTGGAGCATGGCCGATGCCTTGCGCTTGTTGCCGGTATTTGCATTTGGCGCTGTGGCTGGCGGCGGGGACGATGGGCCGAGTACCTGTGAGAGGGTGCGTGTACTCCTCATCTCTGCTGCTGCTGCTTCTCGCTCTTCCCTTCTCCTCTGTGGGCCCAGCTCGTGAAGCAGGGGATCCTTGAGCAGTTCAGTCTTGTGTGTTTGTTTTCCAAAGTCTCAGACTCAAACTCGCCTGCTGCTGGATGCGTCGCTGGACCAAATCACGACAACGCGCATTTACCCAGTCACACCTACACCACAAGCTATAGTGCACACTCTCATGATTGGCAATGCGTACTCTCACGCATTGCAGCCAGTCGCCACGCTCGTGAACACTGTTGCTGCCATAGGCATCCCGGGACTTCCCGTCAAGCTCATCTTTGTACTGCACGCACTCAGGCTCTCTCTCGCGTATCATGCAACCACCCAAACGCGGCCTTCTTGGGTTCTGGGCATGCTCAGCGTTTGTGCTATGCCCATCTCCGGTGGTATCGTTGCAGGTCTCCTGACAAGCACAGTCCCGCCCTTTCTGCTTAGTGACTCGGTCATTCCAACATACATGGCAACCTATATCGTTGTGCACGTCGCACTCTCTGTCCTTGCGCCATCGAGGCTGCAACGTATTCGATGGGCAAAAACGGTTGGACTCGTGACGATACCCATCGATGCAATCCTCAAATGCAGCAACTTCTGTATCGCCGGTGTCGATGCCCTCAAAGTCCACCCACTCTCAAGCCTGCGCAACACGTTATTCGCTCCAATCTTTGTGGCAGGTGCTATTGGCTCTGCAGGGTATTTGACTATGCACACCTTTGGCTTGTTTTCTACATGGCGGTTCTCAGCAGCGGCCTTTGAGATGCCACAGGGGCTCGAGTGGGACCTCTGGGGCCCCTACGCGCTTTCTCTCCTCTATATCGCATTGCAAGGCTCAGACAGCCGTGTCAATGCAGCAACACGCTTGTTGAGCCGTGGTGCACTTTCTGCAAAGACACGATTCTTCAACCAGGAGGAAGCGCGAACACTTGTCATCTGTACACAGATTGCGGTACAGCTGCTCAAATTCACGGGGATTTGGCTCGGTCGTCTGCCATTCACAGCTCAACCGAATGTTGCACAAATACATGCCGAGCGCATACGAAAGAACCAATGAATCACAACACTGATGGAAGAGGATGAATGATCTAATTTTACAATTTCAAAAACGCAATCATAGTCATTTATCTTGCACAAGCTGCTGAATACCTGCCAGCACTTGGGAGAGCAACTCGGATTGCTTGTTCATTGCAGCCGCCAAGTCGCGCCCCATTTGCAATAATGCTTGTTCAGTAGCAGCTTTCTTTTCTTGCTTCGACGGTAGAGGCTCACCGCGGACACTGCTGTCGAGTTGTCTTGGAGGTCCATGGGTCTTGAGTTCCGTTAAGAATGTAGGTAGCTCAAACGGTGCTTGAGCAGGTGTCACAGTCTTGACAATCTCCAAGGGCTGTGTTGTTTGCAGTGTCAGAGAGATGCCTGCTGACTCTGCTTGCTCGCTGTCGTCAGGAATCTGACGCCTGGTGTATTTTCGCTTCTTGCGCGGCGTCATACTTTCTTCGCATTCAAGTTTGGGTGATTGGCACGAAGACGCACTGCTCCTCCGACTCAGTTGCTCAGCTTTGAGTAGGCGTCGCTTCTCTTTACTGCGCTGTTCCTGTCGTTCGCGCTCAAGAGCTTGCTCAAGTGATCGCGTTTCACTTGCATCCTGTCCACTTGTATCGATTGCAACATCGAGCGGTGTCTGTTCCTTACCATCTTTGGTCAAGATGGATGCACCAGCTTCCAACAGCAGCGAGACAACCTCGCGGTTCCTCACCTTGCGACAAGCTTCATGCAGCGCCGTCGAGCCAAGTTTGTTGCGAATATCGACTTTTGCATGTTTGTCGAGTAACAAGCCAACCACATACGCATTGCCAAGCCGCGCAGCCGTATGAAGCGGCGTATCACCCTCATGATCCTGAAAATCGGTCTCCTGAATGATCTCAAGCCATTGCTCCGTCAATTCGTCTTCACCTTCCAGTACAAAATTGTGCAGCTGATCCCGCCCAAGACGGTCCACCGATCGTGCACCGCGTCCATCGACACTCAAGTGAGACGCACGAATACGTGCACTGCGTTGCGGTGAGTGGGGCGTTTCAGATTGCTGCGCATCAACGATATCGGAAATCTTCATGCGATTCTGTCCAGGCGCATCAAACTTGTCGCTGTACTTTCTGAGTAACTCCTTGACACGTCCTTCTTCTGCTTCACTTAGAGCAGAACATCCTGCAGTGTTGCGCAGTGTCGGATTGGCGCCTGCTTCAAGCAATAACTGGCAGACTTCATAGTGATCATTCTGCGCAGCATCAAGCAATGGATAATCTCCTTCACAGTCGCGTGCATTGATTGGCGCACCTTTACTCAATAGAAAGGCCGTCACTTTTGCATTCCCCTTGAGACAAGCATCGTGAAGCGCAGAAACACCAGCATTGTCTAAGATTGTGACATCTGCACCACGCTCAACAAGCGCCATGACGCGCTCCAAATCGCCCTTGGACGCAGCACGATGAAGTTGTGTCCTTCCATGCGCCTTGTCCCTCGCATTGACCGATGTGCCCTTTTGAGCCTTTGGTGGTCGACCCACAGGACGTGCGCTGGATGCACGGCTACTCGTCTCGGAGCATTGTTGTTCATACTCCTTCAATAAGCGTTCATTCACAGGCGATAGTTCCCTGTCTGATTCGGAATTGAGCGACGCAAGGCCCATGGCCTATCCTCTCGTCTCGCGCTCTCCGCACTGCTACTGTGCTGGTGAAGCGCAATGAGGGTGGGTGTCAACTTGCGCAAATCGACGAAAGCCAAAATGCCCACGCAGCAGCAGCACAAGTCGCAGTGGGATAGAGAAACGCCAGCCTCATGGCCGCGACAGCTGTTCAGGTGCTGCTAGGATGCGGTGTTGCAGGGCTTGCTATCGTACTATGCCTTGAAGACCAGCTGAAACCATTGCTCCAGTATGGGAAGACCGTGCAGCACCATGAAGCTTCATCGCTGCAGCGAATCAGTCAATTGACGGTACCCAAACGCTTCTTCAAACACTTCTACCTCTGGTCTACGTGTCTAGGCTTTGTTTGTCTTTATAAAGCTGCTACATGGCAAACAGATTCATCTTGGTCTCGCAGAACAGCACTCATCAATCTCTCGTGCATGCTGACCCACTCGGTTCGTCGTCTCATTGAGAGCGTGAGTGACAGCCAGAGTCAAATGTGGTTCGGTCACTACCTCGCCGGCATCTTCTTTTACACGATGGTCAACCTGGGTCTCTTGCTCGAAGCCGGCCATGTGCGTTTGTTCTGGGCAGTTTGCTTCTTTGCTGCTCAAGCGGTCCAACATCAGATTCATACACAGCTGGAGCAGCTCCGCAGAGACTGCAAGCCAGGACAGTATACCAATCCACGAGGCGGACTGTTTGAGTTTGTTGTTGCACCGCACTTTACAGCTGAGATTGTGCTGTATTTGTCACTTGCAATGATGAACAGGACAAACGTCACGCTCTGGCTTGTGGTTGCCTGGACTATCCTGATTCTTGCCATCAGTGTCAAGCAAACAGATGCTTGGGGTCGTACCACGTTCAAGGACTGGAAAACCCGACCAAAGCTTGTCCCACTACTTTTTTGAATTGCCAAGATCGTAGAGGACATCTGTTCGAATGACATACTTGGCACCCTTCTGCACGCCACTTCCTTCATGCAGCAGTGCATTCAGACTTTCACCGTGAGGGAAGACCAAGACGCTACCCATCCGTGGCTCAACACGAACGCAATTGAGCTTGTGACCAGGCACGAAAAAGGTGGTGTAGCCTTCTTCAAAGTCATCATTAAGGTAAATGAGAAAGGTCAGCCTCGAAAGCTGTGCACCGTCACGCGTGTCATTCAACAAATATTGCTCGCCTTCAGGCTTTGTCAAGTCCAACCCCGAACGTGCCCAAGCACCATCGATATGGGGACGATAGACAGCGCCAGGGACATAGCGATACACACGGAAACGCGCATTGAGTCCGCGCACCTGGCAGCCCTCGAGGACGGCCGGTAGAAAAGGTAGAGCGCGCTGGTAGATTGCTTCCAATGTATTTTGATCGGCAAAATAGTAGAAATTGTGCGCCAAGATACTGACCTGCTGTGTCGCACTGCCAGCAATGGCCAGATCAGGTGAGAAGCCGACGGACTCGCCACCGCGAACGATCGCACGGCATTCGTCGTGCGTCAGGAGGTTTTGTAAGACGAAAGCGCCAGGTACCGAATCCACATTGTGCCTGACAGTTTTCGCATGCAGTCCACTGACAAGCGGCTTCAGTGAAGTGTAGATGACTGCGTCATACTGATTTGGCGGCTTTCGCTCAAGTGCAGGCGTCACCTCGACGACTGCAAAGTTCTTTGCAAGCTCTTCCTGCCGGCCTTCGAAGATGGTGCCGTCTAACACAGACTGTCGCACGTCAAGTCCCGAGACCGGCTGGAAGGAGACATTTGGACATTGATGAAGCGGATCATTGTCCTCTGCCCCAGCAGTCGCTCTGAGTATTGCATCGAGGGTCATGAAAACCTGCTGATCCACACCAGCGCCAGCATCAGCCGCGTCTACATCACGTACCCAGCGCTGCAATGTACCTAGCTTCGCCTTTTCACCCCGAATCTTGAACTCTGCCAAGAGACAGCGCGCATCGACCCACCTCGCATCTGCAAGTGCTTCAGAGATACGTTGCGTGAGTGAGCTTGATGCGCCTGCTCCTGTAGCACGCAGATAGCTGTGTATGGCAGCCTTGATGGGCTTGACCTGTTTTGAACGCTGTAGCGCGGTAGATTGCGCAATGGCGACAAGCGTTTCTGCCGTGACATCGATTTCGTCGACGGAGAGATCCAAGGCTTCGTCGCTCACCTTGCGCCGCTTTGCTGGTTGAATACTGGGCATCTGGGAGTTGCACTTGCTCAACAGATGCGATTGAAGATGTCAAGCGCAAGTTTCCTTGGAGACTCACGAGATGGGCAGCAACACAATTCAGGCCAAGTTTCAGAGGAAGCAAACAGAGCAAATAGTTTCTATAGTCAGCTACTCGACATCCTGCGGACAAGCAGCATCCACGGCAGCATTCGCCTTGAGTTCAATGATTCGTGCTTCTCTAAAGTCCTTCAATGCCGTCCTGACCGCCTCATCTGTGCTGTTGCTAAGCTCCCGCAGCACTGGTGCCACATCCTCTGTTGCCCTTTGTGTCTCATGGAGCGTCTGGCGATCAGTCTCAGAAACGGGTGCAGCGAGATCTGCGTCTACTTTCTTCAAGGCAGTCTGGTAGGCTTGAAGTGCCTCGCCAGCCTTGGTCGCGCGTGCCACAAGTTCTGGTGGTGTCGTTACAAGCTTAATCAGCGCCATGTACTTGGATGTGCGGTTCAATTCCGGCTCAAAGGCATCTTGATAAGCCTTGACACAGCCAGCAGAGACTTCCTTGCCATGAATCTGGTCTGCTGCGACTGCTGCAATGAGGACCATAATAGAAAAATGCATCTTGCAGGAAACCACAATCCAAGCCACCCTCTATATAGAAGCGGCCGAAACGAAACAAGTCGTGCAACATCTTGAAACAATAGGTTTATGTTATAACTTGTCTGGCAAGTCTGGCGGTTGAGGGGCTCGCCGTCCGACATGAAGAAAGAAGTCAAATCATCCTCTTTTTCAGTTACGAGCAAGAGACGTCGCTCACGATGGGCTAGTTGTTGTTGCATCGCATCGATTGTCGTCTCTGCCCTGACAGCGGTCTTGCTGGTTGCACTGCTCTCCGTTGAGCTGACATCGAAGCCCGGTTATCAAAAGAACACACAAGACACCCAGTCAATCGAGACAATGCAACAGTTGCAGACGTTTCGACCACTCATCCCTGCCATCAGCAAGAAGCTGCAACAAAGCCAGACATTGACAAAAGATGAGTTAGCAGGCTGGATTCGTCGTGGAGCAGCCATGACCTCTGCGGCTTATACTGCAACTTTTGATGCGCATAATTGTGCGACCCCGGTGGGCGCCAATCTCAGTCGAACCTTTGCTGGAAAAGATGTTCGAGCGATGCTTGCCCGGGATGAAATTGCTCAACAGACTGTCCTAGCATTCAGTGGTCCAAACGACGTGGTACAAGTTGGCCGCATGATTGGCAGTAAAATGACTGGAGTCGGCAATGGTTCAGTTCAAGCCAAGTATCAAGAATCATTCTTGTCTTTGCGACAACCGATCTTGGACGCCTTGCAGGCTCAAACGGCCCAGCCCTATCCTGTGCTTGTTACTGGTCATTCTCTTGGTGCTGCAGTCGCAGTGCTCATGGCTCTCGATCTCAAATCATCCACAAAGTTGGACATCTCAATTGTCACCCTTGGGGAACCAAAAGTAGGCGACCAGGCCTTTGCAAATCATGTGGATAGCGTTTTCCCTCCCAGCACGATGCGCATGATTCGAGCAGTCCACACTCTAGACGGCGTTCCCAATGCGCCGATATTCGGTGGTGAGGGGTTTGTGCATCACTCAGGTGAAGTATGGCAATACCAGGACCCCATCAAAGCAGACAACCTCGTGCTGTGTGCAGGCCAAGCAGATGCCAATTGCTCCAAGAGCGTTGACGCACGTACTGCACATTTGAATCCACCAAGTCTGGCCATGAATGCAGAACACTGGCACTATGGCGACATTGAGCTTGGCAGCAGGAAGAGTAAACAGTGCGGCCTCTCTGGAGGTCAGCCGTTGTATGTGCTCATGTACACGAGCAGGACTCGCAGTGGGAGCAGTACTACCCCTTCAGATCAGGTGCGGAACAGAACGTCATTTGTCGTTTAGTAGCAATGTAATGGCCTTGAGAGCTTCTCTTTTGGAGATAGCTTTTTGACGTAGCCTGTGTAGGTCGTCGAAACTCAGAATCGAAATTCCGGATTCGTCTCGTCGCATTGCCTCAACCCCAGACTTTGCACATCACATGAAGCTGTTCTTACCGACCGTCATCTGGCATGGGCTTGGAGACTATGGTGCAAGCGAAGGCATCCAATCCTTCGTCAGTGACATCAGCAATTACACAAACGCCTTCGCTTTTGCTGTCGACATGGGTGGACGCGACAGCAGCTTCTTTGGCAATGTCAACGCTCAAGTAGACAAACTCTGCGCGCAGCTCCCAAATATCCCAGAGTTGAAGGATGGATTCAACGCGATTGGCTTCAGTCAGGGTGGACAGTTCTTGCGCGCCTATGTACAACGCTGTAATGATCCGCCTGTGCGCAACCTCATGACTTGGGGCAGCCAGCATAGCGGTATACAGGAAGTACCATGCCAAGAAGACTCTGCCGTCTGCAAATCTGCGCGCGCTCTTGTGCGTAGCAACGCGTTTGGCATGTTTGTCCAAAGTCGCATCATACCAGCACAGTATTACAAGGGCTTTGACCAGGCTGCCTATCTGGAAGGCAGTCTGTTCCTTGCAGACATCAATAATGAAAAGCCAGAAAAGAATGCAACATACAGCTCGAATCTTGCGTCTCTGGATAACTTCGTCATGCTGCAGTTCGAGGACGATGAAACCGTGATTCCTAAAGCTTCAAGTTTGTTTCAGGATGTCCAAGACGGCGACATTGTACCTATCGAAAGGACGACGTACTATCTTGACTTGGGGCTTGACAAGCTAGCCAAGAAACGTGGTCTTCATCAACACCAGGTCCCAGGGAAGCACATGCAAATACGCGATAAAGACCTGTTCAAATATATGGATCGCTATTTTGGCAAAAGGCACGACCTCAAATGACAATCTCAGGCCCAAGCCCACGGCGTGGTCCCTGATAGTATGTTCGCTTTGTTGATCGTCGTTTGCCACTCGCAGTGATGGCTGCAGTCGAGGCGGTGGCAATGAAGAGCAGTGCAGCAATGATGTGAAATGCAAAGAGTGCTTTCGAAATCTATCGTTAGCGGTGTTTGACAGCTCAAGAGCATACCTGGCAAGAATCAAAAACCTGTTGAGCAAGACTCACACCACCTCCAAACCCACCAAAGCCGAAGAAGCCTGTGAAGCCACCGACACCAGTCAGTGATAGTGCAAGTTGTTGGCAGGTAAACCTCAGTGTTTGATTCAGTGAGACGCCGAGTATGATGGTGGCGGCGAACCAGGCCACAAAGAAGACCGTATCAAGAACAAGCGTCAAGATTGGTAACGCCACGCAGCAGCAGCTGGCCAACGTATACAGGAGTGATAGGGCTGAGATGACCACTGAGAATACAATGGCCGGTGGCGGTGATGCGTTTGCAATCGAGCTGCCATTGATTGTCGTGAAGCGCAGAACGAGGGCACTCGCAATGGCCAGATTGATGCCCACGACGCCGATGACCACCGACTTAATAAATAAAGTACAACATGTCCCGGCGTACCGCTGCACATACCGAAGGCCCTCCATACATGATCAAATTCTGCCCACGGCCATTCTATATAGCACTTGGCCATGACATCTGCAACTATTTGGTAGGGTATTTGCTTAGACGACACTTGCTCCACTACTTACGCGTCGCGGATCAGCAGCCGCGTCAAAACCACCTGAAACAGCGCGAACGCCCATGACTATGCTCATACCAGGGGGTACGAATGAAACATTGTGCCCCTTGTCTGCCATGTATGCGACAGTGGCATTGTCATAAGCATATTCAAAAGTCGTCACCGCTGGCGAGACTTGGTCATGTAGTCGAGGTTCCTTGAGTGCTTCCGCAACGCCAGCATTGAGATCCAAAACTTGCCAGAGTGCTTGCACAACGGCTGAGATGATACGCGAGCCTCCTGCTGCCCCTGTCACAAAATAGAACTTGCCATTTCGCTCGACAATTGCGGGACTAATGCTCGAGAGCGGGCGCTTAAAGGGTCGGATGAAATTAGCCGTAGTCGGAATGAAACCAAACGCATTGCGAACACCAGGGATAGAAAAGTCATTCATTTCGTTATTGAGGACGACACCTGTTTCTGGAACCATGACTGTAGAGCCAAAGTAAGTGTTCACGGTTGTCGTCAAGGAGATGACAAGCCCGTTTGCGTCAGCAGCCACCATCTGGCTGGTTCCACTATCACTCAGAATTTCCAAATTATCTGGGTTGTAGACGCTTGCATCTTGCGTTCGTTCGAGTGAAAGCTTTTCTCTGATTTGATCTGCCACGCGCTCAGTCAAGATGGCCTTTTCGAAGGACGTAGCGTTTTTGATGAAGTCAGGATCTCCTAGGGCTGTGCGAAGACCGTATACAAATTTCAGGCTTTCCGTCAAGACATGGGTTGACAGGTTGCCAGCAACGAGATCATACCCACTGAGAACGTTCATCGCTGCCAATGTTATGGCGCCACATGCAGGTGCTGGCGACGCAAACAAATCAAACTCTCCATACTTCACACTGACTGCCTTTTGTCGCAATACTTTGTACCGCTTCATGTCCTTCAGGGACAAGATACCGCCCCTTTTCTCAACAGCATTGACCAGGTGCTTGGCGAGCTTTCCATGATAAAAGACATCTGCACCATGCTTGGCGACCTGCTCAAGAGTATCTGCATAAGTTGGTCGGTAAATGGTAGAATTGATTGGCGCCAACTTGCCATTTGGTGCATAGACGGCAGCCCAAGCAGGGTCATCCACAATGAAGGCGTAATTAGGATTCGCATTCGAGTAGCTTTCGTCGCCAATGACTTTTTGTGTCTCTGGAATCACTCTGAAGCCATTCCGCGCGAGTAGAATGGCAGGCTCAAACAGAGTCTTCCATGGCAGACTACCGTATCGCTTGTGCAGATGCTCGAGTCCGCGAAGCTCGCCAGGCACACCCACAGCCAGTCCACCGATTAAAGAGAGTTTGGGCTCATGAACGTACATATTCTCCGATGCTAGCGCCGGCGCTGCTTCCCGAAAATTGATAGACTCGTAGTCGCCTTTTGGTGATCGCACAAGTGCAAAGCCGCCGCCGCCAGCTCCACAGTGCCAGGGTACCATAACGCCGACGCACAATACACTGGCAATCATTGCATCTGCTGCATTACCGCCGCGTTCGAGCATAGCAGTGCCAATATCGGAACATTCTTGTACTTCAGTCGCGACGGCGCCATGTTGGCTATGTTTCGCTAGACGCGGTGTTTTCGTGGGCAATGATTCGGCGACATAAGTGACGAGCCGCACAAATGTGCTCACGCTTAGCAAGGCGAGCAGAGGAGACAACACTTTGGCAGTATGAGAAATTCTTGATGTAGGTATTCCGAGGAAGGCGCTGATTAATTATGGCGGGGAGTTTGCCGTCTTTGACCTCGCACGCTGCTCCCAGGACGAACGACGCTGCTCCCAGGACGTACCACACTGCTGCCTGGTCGTACCACACTGGGCGGGCGAGCAAGCCGCATACCTGGCGTCGCAAGCCGTGTCGTCTGCTTCTTCACCTCCTCAACAGGCTCCACTTGCCGGGCCCTCGCCAAGTCAGCCTCGAGCTCCATCTGCTTGTTCATCAGATGCTCCGTCGCTTTCTTCGATTGCCCCTTTTCCTTGATGCTGTAGAAAACACCACCCAGTTCAGCAAGCCAGTATGGATCCACTGCCGTGACTGTCGACATGTACGTCTTGCTAGTCAGCATGATCTGATGGTAGACCACAAATTCAGGCAGGTAGCCCAAGCCATAGAGGGCAGACGTCGGGTGCACAGCGCTGACCATGCCAGAACGCAGATTAGAGTACTCTGCCACACCACGCAGCCTAGCTGCTTGATGAAAGTAACCAGAGCAAATGCACTTGCGAATCAAATCCCAATCGGAACCTGCACTGCTCTGGCGCATGCGTTGCTTCTGGCAGATATCTTGCAGCTGCATGCGAATCTCCCTAGCTCGCCTAAGAGACTTGGCGTGTAAGAAGTGCTTTGTGCACCACGCTTCAGAGTACTTTTGTGCCTTCCACTGTTGGAATATGTAGAGCAGTGTCAGATGATCCGATTCTGGCACGCTGAACTTCTCTCGAGCTGCATCAGATTCTTCGGCTCGCTCTTTTGGTCGATAAAAGACGCTTGGAATCGACAGCATAGAAACGATGGTCAGCATTTCATCCATACATCCATACTGCTCCGACATGATGATGAGCTTTGACATGCTTGGCTCCATCGGGAATACTGCCATGCGAGAACCGAGCTGCGTCAAATCTCCGGTATTAGAAAGCGCACCGAGTGCCCATAAATCGAAGAGGGATGTGAGCATGGTTTCTTGCGGCGGTGGATCCATAAAGTCAAAGTCCATCAAGTCCTTTACATCGAGGGATTTGAGCAGCAATACTGTATTGGCCAAATTCGTGCGCTGTATCTCAGGAATGGTTTGCATGTACATTTCCTTTTCATAGGCACTTTCTGTATAGAGACGGTAAGCTGTACCGGGTCCGGTTCGACCAGCTCGTCCAGACCGTTGATTCGCATTCGCTTGCGAGATGGGTGTGATTTGTAAAGAATCCATCTGCATGCCCGCGTTGTATACTTTGAGCTTTGAGAAGCCACAGTCAATGACATACATGATGCCGTCGACCGTCAGGGACGTCTCAGCGATATTGGTCGCCACAATGACTTTGCGTACTCCCTTTTCAGCAGCATCGAAGATCTTGGCTTGCAAGTCGGCTGGCATGGAAGAGTAGATTGGCAGAATGGATAGTTTTGGTGGACTGTCCAAGAGTGCGAGCCTCTCTGCTGTGACTTCACATGTAATCTCAATATCCTCTTGACCAGTCATGAAAACCAGAATGTCACCGGCAGGTTGCGAGAGATGAATACTGAGAATCTGTTTGACGGCAGCGTCCACGTAATCCTCGCATGGGCTTTTGCTGAAGAGCACATCAACTGGAAAAGTTCGTCCCGGGATAGTGAACTGCGGAGCACCGCCGAAGAATGCAGAGAAACGGTCCGCGTTCATGGTCGCTGAAGTGACGATGAGCTTCAAGTCACGTCTCCTGGCAAGGATCTTCTTGAGCAGGCCCATGAGCACATCTGTATTGAGGGCGCGCTCGTGCGCTTCGTCCATGATGATGCAAGCGTACTTGTCGAGATCAGGATCCACCAGAGATTCTCGGAGCAAGACTCCATCCGTCATGTACTTGATTTGAGTCTGCTTCGATGTGCAGTCCTCAAAACGGATTGCATATCCAACTTCTTGACCAAGCTCGACATTCATCTCCTCTGAGACACGCTTCGCAACCGACATGGCTGCCACACGTCGTGGCTGCGTACAACCAATCATTCCCCAACGCGCATAGCCATCTTCGCGCAGAAACTGTGTCAATTGCGTCGTTTTGCCTGACCCAGTCTCACCGATACAAATGATGATTTGATTCTCACGAATGACAGTAAGGAGGGGTTCTCGCACCGCAAACGCAGGCAGGAACTCACGCTGCTGGGCTAGAGTTTTCGTTCTTGCAAACTCAGACGTTCCAGCGTCCTTTTTGAGATGCGAGGCAAACTTCGATTCATTGCCCGTGGGTGCAGAGTCCTGCTCTGTCACTTCACCGACGCCTGTGAGATTGCCTAGCGTGGTGCCTTGAATCGATGCAGCTTTTGCGGCAGCCTTTTCCCGCTCTTTGCGTTCTCTGCGATCTTTGACGAGTGCAGACCCTTTGCGGGCAATAACAGCAATATCGCTTTGTGGATCAAGCACAGCCGAGACGCCTTCCTTGCGCGCTGTAAATTGCTGTTGCCCGTCCAAGAATGGAGGTCGCAAGTCATGAACAAGCAAATGAACTCTATTTTCATGCTCATCGTCAAAATCAAGATCCACGGCGCCTTGCTTTTGTTGTCCGGATTGACGCATCTGTTGCATCTCCCATAAATTATCCTCTTGCCTCCTTGCGTGCTGACGAACAGTGAGCCGTCTCTCTTGTCGCGCGACAAGGGCTGCTTCACGTTCCTGTTCTTCAGAAGCGCTTGTGTTGAATGGATTGTAGCCTTCATCAACAGCTGTATCTTCCACTGTGTAGTATTGACGATCTAATCGGTCTGCCTCTTCATCTTGAGGCTGCTCATATTCATCCGTAGGCAAGTATCTGGGTGTCGCAGTCCAAGCAGCAGGCGTCTCGTGCCGATCCATCCGCGGCGTTCTGACATCCCGCCATCGCTCACGCTCACGCTCAGGCTCTCGACGCGCACGCCTATCACGCAGTCGTTCCTTGGCAGCATCAGACAGACCTGTCCCTACAGAGGGAGTTTCTGCGCGAGTAGGTCGCGTGATTTTACCAGGCACTTTGAAGGTGGGAAACTCGACCTGCTCTGCGTCTCCTGCATCAAGCTTGCGTTTCTTATCGAGCCCAAGCATTGAAGCGCGTGGAGTCGTGATGAGCTTCTTTTCTGGCTTTTTGATGAGCCCTCCACGCATTGGAAGCTCATCTTGAGTGCGCTCAGCTAGTGTTTCTGCGGTTGCATAGACTTGCTTGCATTGATCTTCAGTAAAGCGGCCAAATACTTGCAGGGCACTTGAGAAATGAGCGATGCCTGGTTGTGACTTGTAAAGCTTGATCACATTATCAGCAAGCGTTGTACTTGGTGCAGCATCCAAGTATTTGCCTAGCAGCTGCGCAAGGTCTTGCGACATGCGTGTTGCTCAACTCACAGTGTTTGCAATTGCAGTGAGACGAGGACGCCGTGGTGAGGAAGCGCTTTCAGATGGGTAGAATTTCTAGACATGTCCAGTGTCCACCGGCGAAGTTTGGCATTGGAGCAACACAGAGCAATGACCTTAAACTGCAGATGCCTGGGTCCATACTTGTCTGTCTGTGTTTTTCCATCACCACTGACATGATGCCCATCTAATCTACCTGTCAGTGCTGCGGGAGATCTACGATCCCCGATCTGGCAGAAATTCGGAGTTGCGCCTGCAGGTGTGGTGGCAATTTGATGGCTCCTCATTCTTCTTCATCACCGACAGGTAGACTACGACTGAGTGACGGCAGTACTAACATTCACTAAGCGCGCCGACGGATGCCCTTGCCTTTCTGCTAAACAGGAAGGCGCCCCTCTACCGATGGAGCAGCGCGTGGAGGACAACAAGAGTCGCACAAACGGCCACACGCCAAAATCTCCCGAGGGCTCAAAGTCGCCCAAGTCTCCAGCAAACCGACACGTCAAGCATGACGATTCCGCAACGGAAACACAGCCAAACGCGAGGCAGAAGTCATCGAGCAGCAGGAAACATCGTGTCTTTGTTGTCGGCTCAGTATTTATTGACACAATCTTGACATTGCCTGGGTTACCAGAGCTCGACCAGAAGTTGCGCGCGACTGAGAGCCGCGTTCGTGTTGGTGGCAATGCATTCAATACAGCTGCAGTCTTGGCACAAGACCCATCGACTGAAGTCTACCTCGTGGCGTCAGTCCCAGATGCACAACACTACGATGGTAAGCGCATTCGAAACGCATGCAAGCATCATGGCATTCGACCACTTTTCTTGCCGTCCCCGCACACGACTGCTTGTACGGCTTATATTCTAGAGACTGCTGGACATCGCACCATCATCTCACATGATCCAGGGTCGGCTTTTTCCTTCACAGCCTTCCAAGAAACAGTTATCAACAGGGCCCGGCTCGGCGCCTTGGACCATGTTCACTTCGAAACGCGCGTGCTGAGGTGTCTCTCTGACTGTATTGGTGCTGCGTGCCAGGCTGGCGCCATGGTTTCTGTTGAATACGAAAAGTGTGATACAGCCCATCGTAAATTACGATATGAAGTATCCAAATACGACTATACCGCCATCTTTTCAAGTGCTTGGGAAGACGAGAACCTTGACGAGGTACAGAAAGACGAAGAGACTGGAGCGCCTGTTGGCCTGGGCATCTCCCATACAATGCTTGGCGAACGCGGTGTACTTCTACGTCGTTACTCGTCGAAAGCGAGTCGGACATACAGGACTTATGGCTTACGACCATTACAACCTATCGTGCATCCCGTGGAAAACACAGGGGCCGGCGATACCTATATTGCAGGCGTCATCCTCGGTAATCTTCGCATTCGCAGCAAGGGACTCGTGCCAGTCAACAATGTTGATATCGTCCTTCGACTTAGCGCACAGTACGCTTCTATACTCGCCATGCGGAAGATACAGCAGGTGGGCTTTGAGGGAGTCGTTTCGGGCAGGGCACATTCGAGCGTAAATCAGTCGGTGACGGAGTTTCAGTGGAATGATCAGCGTAAGCGTTAGATTGAGCATTTGCATATGTAGATAGAAGCATCAGGTATAGGATCAGGTATAGGATCAGGTATAGGATCAGGTATAGGATCAGGTATAGGATCAGGTATAGGATCAGGTATAGGATTCAGTACAATTAAGCCTTCTATGGAGAAAAATCAGCAAAAAAACTTTTTTTTTTTTTATATATATATTTGCATTCAAAGCTATCAAGTAGCTATGAGTCTAGAATGTAAATGGTAGGATGAAATGAATGACTTCACGAACGTCTGTGAAAAGGAAGAACAGACGAACAGTGCGGGATTCTCCTACAGGCCTTGAAGCAGCAAGCTACTCCTTTCCTGCGGCATACCCGCTAAAACACCCTTTGAGTCTCTCCACAAGTTCCTGGCAAGTGGAGTGAAAAAAGCAGTCACAAACATGTTTTGCCTTTATATTTAATCTAAAACATGCCTGCATTCCAAAGCCCTCGTAGCTTAGCAGTTAAAGTGCCGTTTTCCGACAAGGATTGCAGGCGGAGATCGTGGTTTCAAATACCACCGGGGGTTCATCTTTTTTGTCATTCTTGACGACCAGCAAGTACCGCTCTCAACATCAACGTCGACAGAAAGGCAAGCTGCAGCGACAAGTTGGGCCTGCCACTTCTTTGACCATGTCAGATCCGCTCACGCTGCTGTCTCAGGCAGTGGCAGCATCTCAACCGCTTCAGCTCTTGTCAGAAGCAGAGGCGCCCGTAGATGACATTCGCGATGCAACAACACTCCAGATTGCAGAAGAGCGCATCGCATTAGATCAAAAGACGCGATTTGAGCGAAGTGGAGAAGCACTAGACTTGCGTACCATCTATTTCGCTTGGCTACACAAGGATGCAGGCTCGGCAGATTACATTGAAGCGTGCTCTTCTCGCAATATTCCCAACTTGTCGTTTCTGGAAAAGCAGGATCTCATTGCGCTCTTGACCGATGCAGCGCATCAATCTAGCTTTGTCGCCGGTAACAAACGGCCAGCAGAGGACGATGCGATTGCAGCAGAAGCCAAGAAACAAGCAACAGATAAGATTGTCCTTTCAGAGGAAGTTGCAGCCATGGCGAAATTAGAGCATCACAGCAAACCCTTCTCTGCTGTACTGCATGGTCGCAAATTGGTGGACTTTTCTAGTGTCCAGCGCGAAGCACGCGACTTCTTCCTGGTCAAGTCAAAAGCTGAACCGGCTGCAGCGATTGCCAAGCCAGCCAAGTCAAGACTGCGTGATCCAATCATCTTGCTATCGCCTTCGGCATCCTCTCTCATTACCATGCACAATGTCAAGAAATTCCTAGAAGACGGCGTGTTTGTTCCACCGGAGCAAGCAGCGAGGGAAACAGGGGGTCCAGCGCCAGAGCTATTATCGCTTGCATACAAATCCAAGCTACGACCGGGATACACATTACGATTCGTGGTGGTCGAGTCGACAGACAAGTTCAAGCCAGAGTACTGGGATCGTCTGCTCGTTGTCTTTACAACTGGACAGGCATGGCAATTCAAACCATATGCGCAGAGTTTCTCAGATCCACGCTCCTTGTTTCAAAAATGCAAGGGAGTCCTTGTCAAATACAGTGATGATGCGGCGATACCTGCTGAGCGCGACTGGAACATTCAAAGCATCAAGGTGGACCGCGCGCGTCGATACAATGATCGCGTGACTGTTTCTGCCTTTTGGCATTCAATTGAGAAATGGATGGAAGAGAAGGGTAAACGTGATTTCTATCGACATGAGCGTAGATGAGCTCATGACTGGAAACTGTGATGGACTCAGATTCAAGACTAAAAGCATCGCAATATTGATTGCTCATACGGCACTTCCTATTTTTATTTTGCTTGATATCATCATAGTAAAGCACAGTAGCCAGGATTCTTGTAACAACCAGACAGCCATGAGCAGTTTCTGTGGCATACAGCCAAGTATTGACAGCTTGCGAGGTCGCTACGCAATCCTGCGACTTGTTGACAGGGTGTGTCGACGAGAAGCTCGCTCAGAAAAAATCTCTGACAGCGCGAACTGTTTAGCAGTCACGCTTCACCCAAAAGACATTGTGATCTCTTCCTCTGGGGCTTGCGATGTCTTTGTCTGCACAAGAGGAGGTCGTGCAACAGTCGCTGCATCTGCAGACAAGCTCCTGTCCAGAGCTTGCCGCACATCGCCCAGCTCATATGGCTTGTGTGCTTCATTTCGAATCTTGTCAATATCAAACTGCTCAGGTGCATCTACAGCCGTCTCCTTCGTCGTTGGCAAAGCTTCTGGCGTGACAAGATTCTTGGACCGCCAAGAGAATAACCCTCGCTTCCGATTCGGCTTTGGATTCATGGTCCGCGCAGCTTCAATGTCGTCCAGTAGCTCACGGGCACGTTCTCGCGTCTTATCCGGGTCCGGGTCTTCAATCTCTTGGAACTCGTCGCTTGTAATTTCAAAGCCAACGAGATTCATGAGCCGCGGTATCGCTTCACGATAACTCATGTGTCCGGTGACATGTTCCGTCACGTCGAGATTCTCTATCGCCTCGATTCCTTCAACGGGTCTTAGCCCAGCAACGCGACCAATACCTCCAGACGTGGCACGGAAGAGGTAGCCCAGGATCCAATCATTCTGTACATAACCATTGATGAATCGGCCTGCGACCACTGTGCGAGCTCTCCGCCAATCGGTGGTAGAAACAACGACTGGAGCGCCGAAGAGGTAGACATTTTCGACAATGCCATAAGCTTTCACTCTTGCGAGTTCTAGGAGAGCGTAATGTATGACGCGTGCACCAAGAGAGTAGCCAACAAGACTGATGGGCCGTCGTCCAAGCACTCGAGAAGTTAAAGAATCAGCTAAGATCAGTCCAGCAGCTTTCGCTCGATCAAGCGAGTTGGACCAAGGGTTGTCAATCAGGTAAGAGAGCTTTGTCAAGACAAGCGGCCATTGCAGGGCACTCATCAGAGCCGTCAGTACAGTCTGACCTAGTACTTGCTGTAATGACTGTGTCAGCACCTCGGTCGCCAAAATATTGCCAGTAGCTTGAAAAGTCCTGAGCAGTTCCGGCTCCCAGAGAATACTGCAGATGTCGCCCATCACGGGATCGATCGTACTGAAGGGCAGCCGCACATCGTCCTCTGATCCTGCCAACCATCCAGGTATCGTGAGCAAAAGATTGACGCGCTTGTTATCGAACAACGGCTTGAATTCAAAGGTCCTGACACTGCTAGTACGCTTACCAGCTGATTTTGTGGCAATGGCGGATCCAGTAACAACGCCACCTGTTGTGATGAGAGCAGCACCCGCACCACCGGCCAAGAAACTTGTCGCTCCAGAGACGCCGATAGTTGTAAAAGCTGCACCCAACCCGGCGCCAATAACAGGAGCAAGGAGGCCAGCCGACAGGCCAATAACGAGACCACCGCCAAGTGTCGCAAGGCCCATCATAGCGTATCGCCTCTTTCTGCTGGTCTTCTCCCGTGCATCGACAAGGCTTCCTTCTTCTTGTATTGTGGGTTGTTCTGCGTTCTCCTGGACCTCGAGCGCATCAGTAACCTTCTTTTCAAACTTGACAAGCTCGAGATAGCTCACACCGAGGACTTCGGCAACGGCAATGAAGAAGACGCGCGAGCGCGCATCGTAAACGCTATCATTCAGGAGAAGCAGGAACAAGTCAAATAAGACTGTCCACCGAATATCGAGATCGAGCGTTTCGGCACCAGCAGCATCTGTAGTGTCTGTCGTGCAGTCTGGTGCCTGAGTCGACGTCTTTTCGTCGAGCTGCGTCTTCTCAATGGGCCCACGCATAGGATTTGAGACGCGAGTGGCGGTCGTCAGCGCTGGCGCCAAGTCCTCTGGACGAATGTGATGCTCACTGAGCTGTTCCATCATGAGCTGCTCCTCTGGACTAATGTCGAGATGCGCATATAGCCTGACCATGATCTTTTGTGACCACAGGATGAGGCCTTCCAAACCAAAGCGCCCCTCACCTTTACCGGCCGAATTGAATATCGTCATTTCCTTGAGCATCGACACCAGCACAAGTTTGCATATTCCAATATATGCGATGCGCTGGCCTTCTGTAAGTAGATTCTTTGTATAGCTAAGCTGCGAGTCCACTGTTGCCTCATCGTCATGGTCGGCATTCGCATTGAAGAGATGGTTGGTTTGTTCGTCCACAGAGTCTACGCTCTTTGCATCGTCGTCGCCTTGTACTCTGGAATAGCCTTTTGTCTTTGAAACAAGCTCCTCGGCGTCGTGCGCGTGCGCAATCACCTTGCCAGACTCGTCGTCGTAAATGTCATGCTGCGCGTAGGCCGGCATAGGCTGCCATTCTTCCTCGACCGTCTCTGATACAACTTCCTCGGTGGCCGCTTGGTGCGACCATTCGCTGAAGGCATGCGCCTGGTCATGAGGCGACCGCTGAGAGTGCCGCTGTTCAATGGCGGGAAGCTCCTCCATCCATGACTTTGCAGAGTGTGTGGTGTCGTACAGGATCACGCTACTCCAGGCGCGAAACCCGGAGACGACATGCATGCTCAAGCTACCGAGACTGGTCAGAGGCTATGCCAAGCGGGTCAGCAAGGTCAATCTAGCTCAGGGACTACAGGCCCTTGAACCTTTGCCTTCTCTTGTGCCAGAAGCACCAAAGCCACCGACTTACTCGACAGTGCTCCAACAAGCTCTTGACAATATCCATGCTTATCCTCATTGTGTCTTGCTGACACGCGTTGGGGGCTTCTACGAGCTATACTTTGATCATGCAGAGAGCTATCATCAAGAGCTGGGCCTGAAACGGTCTTTCAAGGACACGAAGCTGGGTCCAGTTGCCATGGCAGGCTTTCCCTTCTTTCAGCTTGATCGGTTTGTCAAGTTGCTCGTGCAAGACATGGGCAAATTTGTGGCCATCAGCGAGGAAGTGGAGAAAGATCCACTCGATGTCACTTCCAAGAACGCCTTTGACAGGAAAGTTTTGCGTGTCATCACGCCAGGTACTTTGCTAGACGAGAAGTTTTTGGAGCAAGAGACCAACAATTATCTGCTCTCTGTGCATATTCAGGAGCAAGATAATCTGGCTGGCCTTGCTTGGATGGATCTAAGCACCGGAGATTTCTTGACGCAAGAGGTGAGTTTGTCAGGCCTTGCTTCTTCCATTCAGCGTCTGCAACCCAAGGAGATCATTGGTACAGGTCTTGCTGGCTTTGCCTTCACCCCTGTTGAAAAGGCTGAGCAAATATCAGATCAGTGGAAGAAGCTGGTCAAGGACGATTTTTCCTTGCCAGAAGCGCTTGCTGGCTCGACATTGCTGGCATACATTGCAGAAAATCTCAAGACGAGTGTCGTGACGCCACCGGTACGTGTTTCCATGGCAGGAACAATGCGTCTCGACTACAATGCCATCCACTCACTGGAGCTGCGCAGATCTATGATGGAGCAAGGATCAGGCTACAGAGGCTCTTTGTTGCACGCACTCAGAGGAACATTGACAAAATCTGGTAGTCGTCTACTGGCTACTTGGATCGTGAATCCAATCACCAGTGTCGACACGCTCAACCAGCGGCTTGATCTTGTGACTTTGCTGTTAGAAGATGAAGAGCTTCGCTCGCAGGTCCAACGCTTCTTGAAGAATTCCGGCGACGCAGTCCGAGTGCTACAACGCTTTGGTTTCGGTCGTGGAGAAGTGGAAGACTTGCTGACCATTAGCGCCAGCACGACGGCCACTGAATCTCTCTTGGCCCTGCTCAGTCGCCATGCGCGTGCTGAGCCCTTGCGTTCTCGCATGACAGTCTTGGACAAACTGCGCAAAAAGATCACAGCCAGTGTGGATGAAGAAGGTCTCTCCAAACGAAATCGAGAGGACGCAGAAACAGCTGCAAGAGTCATGCAAGAAGTCATGCAGGCAACAACACCCACGCCTGAACGCCGTCGCAAGGCTATCGAGCGAGATGTTTCCTATACGATGCGCAGTACAGCTTCAACAGCACTGAAGCATCTTCATCAAACTCTGGCAGATCTCAGCCTCGAAAAGGAAGCGCTCCAGATGCACCTGAGACAAGAGCTGGGAGACTCGTCACTCACTCTCAAAACACTACCCGGTCTCTCTCATATTGCCCATGTCCGTTCCTCCTCAAAGGCTTTGTTGAATCCGGATGTAGCTCGTGCGGTAGGAAGCACAAGGAGTACACGCTCATACCACATTGCAGCTTGGTCTCTCCTCGGTACGCGTATCGAAGCCACGAGGCTGCAAATCCAACGGGAAGAAACGCAGACTTTCCATGCCTTGCGCAAGCTGGTGCTGCAGAACATGGCTGCGTTGCGAGAGAATGCCCAAGTCTTGGATGAGCTAGATGTCGCTTGCAACTTTGCTCAACTCGCATCTCAGCACAATTGGGTCCGGCCGATACTCGAAGAAACCAGCACGACTGAAATCATCGGCGGACGTCACCCCGTGGTGGAATTTTCACTGCTGGCCAAGGGTCAACAATTCCAACCGAACGACTGCCATTTTGGCGAGGAAAACATGTATCTGATCACTGGTTGTAATATGGGGGGCAAATCTACCTTTTTGCGAACAGCGGCAGTCATCCAAATCCTAGCTCAGATTGGCTCGTATGTACCTGCACGTCATGCTCGGCTTGGCATTGTCGACCAAATCTTTTCAAGACTTGGTAGCGCGGATTCGCTGTATCAGGATGAAAGCACCTTTTTGGTAGAGATGAAGGAAACGTCTGCGATTTTGAGTGGTGCTTCAGGCAAGTCACTTGTGCTCATGGACGAAGTGGGAAGAGGCACGACATTTGTGGATGGCATCAGCATTGCATACGCCACACTAGAGAAGCTACAAGAAGTTGGGTGCCGAACACTCTTTGCAACGCATTTTCATGATCTTGCCAAGCTCATGAAGGACTTCCCCCGAGCCGGCATGCTTTACACGGATTTGATTGAGGAAGAAGACGGATCTTTTACCTTTGAGCATCAAATGAAGCGCGGCGTTTGTACAGATTCGCATGGATTGAAAGTGGCGCGCATAGCAGGCATTGAACAGAGCGTTTTAGACACAGCGCAGCGTGTTCGTCGTACACTCATTTGACACGTTTATCATCCCCAGTGAGGTCTTCATCGGATCTACGCTTGCTGTCCTTGACAGCCTCGTCCTCTGTTCTCCGCTTCTCGTCAAACGTTCTTTTCCTCATGTCGGATCGCACAGGTATGTTGAAGTCAATCGATTCGACCTGCATGTCTGCAGCTTGGTTGAGAGATTCGACACTGTGGATTGTGCCATCAATCTGCCATGCTTCGAGTGGAGGACCCTCGACACGTGAGCAGTACAGGGTACTTCTGCTAACAGCGAAGTCAAGGTAGACGTCGCTGCCGACGCGTCGCCAACCGGAGCTGCCGAGGACGTCAGTCGCCAGGGCAAGCACAAAGATACCCGCAATACCTTCAAGCTGCATGAACAGGGAATCTTCGCCATGTTCGAGTTTGGCGACTGTAGGGACCTCGCATTTCGCCATGGCCATAGGCTCTTCTAGTGAAATTTGACCAAGAAGCTTTCCTTGCCGCCAGTCCCAGACTGCCAGGAAGTCATCGCCACCGCCAGAGATGAGAACGTCGCCGACAAGAAGCAACGATGTCACGAACGCTTCATGCGCAAGAAGGAAATTGTCGACGATGTAAGCCTTGGAGTACTGCGAGACACGAATGTGCTCGTCCCTGTCGGCCGTGATGATCCGTCCATCTGAAACAAGCATGTCTGTCAGGATGGAGACATGTCCAAGGATGGGCAGGTGTAATTGGCCAGCGCTATCCTTGACGGGCTCTTCCTCATCCTCCTTGTCGTCTGCCTTGTCTCCTTCCTCTTCCTTAGTTTCTTGGTCTTTCTGTTCGCGTCTCGCCTTTTTATCTGCTTTGCGCTGTTCCTTGGTCTTTGGCAAATTTGTGACCCTCGGCTCGAACGATGAGCTCTGGCCATGTATAGGGAACGAGTAGACATCGCCAAACTTGTCTGCGACCAAGACATCCCGGTCATCGGCGAAAATCACACAACTCGGTCGTTTCGTTGTTTCCCTTTCAGATTCAAGCTTCCCGCTCTTCAGGTCAAATACGCGTAGCATCTTGTCTTCTCCTACAGAGGCAAGCACACCATTCTGCACAGCGAGCGCAATGATGGCGCGACTTGAGAATGACTTGAGCTTGTCTGTGTCTGTCAAGAGCCCTCCGCGCCAGATCTCCCTTGAGCTGCCGTCTGCGGGAGAGTAAGACTTGATGATGCTGCCTGATGCATAGTAGAGGGTGTCTGCGTCTGCACAGAGCCTCTGGACCGGCTGCCGCATCTGTCGCTTGAGCTTGTCGTCTCTTGCAGGAAACTTTTTTTTTTGGTAAATTCGCGACGAGCAGAAGAGCTCAAGACAAAAGGACACCAGGTCGGCTCCTTCTAGACTCTGAAAGCACGCCCGACGATGAGGCAGAAACGGGCCAAGGCCTATAAGAAGCTCATGGCGACCTACGAGCGCACTTTTGCATTTCGACAACCATATCAGGTACTCTACACTGCAGATTTTATCGAAGCTTGCCAGCAGCTGCATCTCGAGGCGCAGGCCGGTGTCGCTCGTATCTTGCAAGCGGATAAGCATGCTCAAGGCGGTATCAAGACCATGATCTCGCAATGCTGCATCAAGGAGCTCTACGACAAAAAGGCGAACGACAGCATTGGTGTGGCCAAGGAGATGGAACGCAGACGCTGTGGGCATGTTGAGAAACCAGAGCTACCGGCTGACTGTGTGTGTGAGTGCGTGGGAGCCAACAACAAGCATCGATACATTGTTTGTACGCAGGATGCCACTCTGCGGCAAAAGTTACGTCTGGTGCCTGGCGTACCACTCGTGTACATCAATCGCAGTGTCTTGATCCTCGAACCACCCAGTCCAGCGACATTGACGAGGAAAGCAGAGAAGGAGACTGGCAGACTGGGACTGAGTGTTGAAGAAGCTCAAATTCTCGGCAAGCGCAAGCGTGTTGCTAATCCAACGGCTGTGGGTTCTTCGGTGACAGCACCAGCAGCAGCAGAAGATACTCCTGACGACAAGGAAGAGTCGACGGGGGCAGAGCAACAAGAAGTGCAGGCACAACAACCTAAGAAACGGGCACGAGGTCCAAAGGGGCCCAACCCGCTGTCTGTCAAGAAGCCAAAATCTATACTGAAAACGTCCTCTATATCAAGTGCTGCTCCAACAGCCAAAGCACCTGAGGCGAAAGCAATAGCGGCAAAGTCTGCAACACCTGCTCCGGAGAAAGCATCGGATGAGGTTCCCCAAGCACAGAGCAAAAGAAAACGTCGGCATAAGAAGGCGACTACATCCACTTAATCTAGCTTACCGGTCAGCAGTTCCTCGCGAGCATGGTCATTGGGCTGCTCTCTCAAACGCCTACGAATAGCGCGGCGCGTCAAGATTGCAACGACAATAGCAAGTGAGCCAAAGACAAGCACACCAGCCTTGATTGGGTGTTCACCGACGCGTTTTGCATTTTGCAACGCAAGGTCGAGGCTGGACTTGGTGCTCTTTGGTTTCAAGTTGCCGTGCATGACTTGAGAAATGGCGGAGAGGATCGCCTCTTTTCCAACTGGGATCGACTTGCCTTTTGCATCAACATCCCAGTAGTGACTAGCATCATCGTCTGCAATTAATACGCGTGAACCATGGACAGCCAAGTCGATGTTGTATGTTGCTTTGAGCCACTTTGACCAAAAGATGCCATTGACCCAAGCGAAGCCAACCTCAGGGCTCCCTTCGACCTTGACACGTATTTGCTTGGCTCTTTCAACAGCTTGCTTGTCGCCACCCTTGAGAGCCTCTCGTAGCTGATCCTCCTTCTTTTCACGCAGCTCAAGCTTCTCTGCTTGTTCCTCTGCGAAATGATCGTCATTGACTTTCTGGGCGGCATCCTTCAAGACTTGCTTTTGCAAATCAAAGGAAGGCACATCAGGGTCAAGAATTGCCAGGACGACACGATGACCACTCATAATTTCATGCGAAGTTTGTGCTGATAACTCAGGAACAAGTGGCAACCAATTCGCTTTCATCCAAGAAATCATCTTGCTTGTATCGCGCATATCGGCTGGCCCTAGTGCGTTATAGTATTGCGGCTTGCGGTCCTTGATGACGGCGAGCTGTGGAAATGTCGTGACTCGGAATTTACTTGCTAGAATCTCGTTGGATGTCTTGACGAGGGGTGCATGACCGATGAGGGAGAGTGATGTGCGATCGAGTGCTTCAAAGTCTTCCGTCGTGGTGGCATAGTCGTAGAAGTAGAGGAAGACCACCTCATTCTTCTTTTGGAGGCCTTCGAAATCAGTCGCATCGACATCCTTGACTTGCGAAGAAGCAGCTTTGTTTGCAAATGCAACAAGATCACCGAGACCACGCAGACCATTGTAGTCGACATGCTGAGTTCCCTGAAAGACAAGAAGGGTTGGGTAACCACGTACCCCAGCATCTTTGCACAACTTGCTCTCCTTGTCACAATCGACTTCGCCGATATTAAGTTTTCCCTTGTTTGTTGCTGCGAGTTCTTGCCAGCTCGGTGCCATGGCCTTGCAGTGAGAACACCATGTCGTATAAAACTTGATGAACCACACGTCCTTTGAATCGGTGACGTGCTGCTTGAAGTTGTCCGTTGTCAGCACCATGGACCGACCTTCTATATTCGGCACTGTCTTTTGGGGCGGTGCGGGTACCATGTCCTTCTGCTTTGGAGCCTCCTTGAGCTTGATCGTTCCTGTTGCGGCCTCCTTGGGCGACGAGACTGTCTCACTCGACGGTGACTTGGCCATCTTCAGCTGTTCCTTGACAAATGTCTCAATCATGCCCAATGGATCATCCGTGACCATGTTTGGCAAATCTGCAATCTTCTTGCCATCGCGGTAGAGGTTCATGGTGGGATAGCCTTGCACCCCTTGTGCTGCACAGACATCATTTTGCGCAATACAATTGACGCTGGCCAGCGCAATACCTTGCTTCTTGCCATTGATATTCTTCTCAGCCTGTTCCCAGAAGGGCGCCAACTTCTTGCAGTGGCCACAAGAAGGGCTGTAGAATTTGATGAACCAGAGGCCTTTGGAGACACTTGGCTCGAATGTGTCGCTCGTCAATTCATCCCCACCTGCAGGATCCTGCTTGATGAGAGCAGCAGAGACGAAGGGGAGGAGCAGTAGCTGTAGCACGCGCCCTCGTCTCATGGTGGTCGCGCGACTTGGGCTTGTGGTGTGTTGTGTATTCGCGTCTTGACAAATTCGTAGAGGTTACTACTAGCTACAAGGTATCATCAGGCTCAATTTATGGTGAAACGAGGACAGAGCACAGGAGAGAGGCCGTTTCATGTAGACATGAGCTAAGAGAGGCTAATTGAAGAGCATGTACTCACCCGTACTGCTGAATTGCTTGTTGCCGCGGATAACCTTGGTCACGGAATCCAAAAAGTCCTTCTCACTCGCCATCTTGCGCCGTGCTCGAATGGCAAACATACCAGCTTCCGTACACACACTCCGTAGCTCTGCACCGGTCGAGTTGGGACAAAGCCGCGCAATCAGCTCCCATCGGATATCGCGCTCAACGCTCATGCTCTTTGCGTGAATCCTGAGAATATTGGCTCGACCGTCATTTTCAGGCAGGGAAAACTCCACCTTGCGGTCAATTCGACCGGGTCGTAGCAGAGCAGGATCGAGGGTATTGGGTCGATTGGTGGCAAAGATGACTTTGATGTTACCGCGTGCATCGAAGCCATCGAGTTGTGTGATGAGCTCCAACATGGTTCGCTGGACTTCATTATCGCCTCCAGCACCATCATCAAATCGTGCTCCTCCAATAGCATCCACTTCATCAAAGAAGATAATGCATGCCTTCTTAGTCCGAGCCATTTCGAACAGCTCGCGCACCATCCTCGCACCTTCACCGACGTACTTTTGAACCAGCTCTGATCCAATCACACGAATAAACGTCGCATCTGTCCGGTTCGCCACTGCACGCGCACAAAGTGTTTTTCCTGTACCAGGCGGTCCATAGAGCAAGATACCTTTTGGCGGATCGATACCGAGGTTAACGAATCGCTCGGGAGAGAGCAATGGTAACTCCACCACCTCGCGCAATTTCTCAATTTGCTCCTTGCATCCACCGACATCCGCATAAGTAACGTCTGGCTTCTCTTCGACTGTCATCATCGTCACGGACGGATCAATCTTTGGCGGTAGAGGCAGCATGATGCTGTATTTTTGGCGATCCACACCCACACGCATGCCTTCCTCGATATCGGTGGGTGAGACTTCTTCACCCAGTGCCACGACAAACTTTGCAATTTGCTTGACATTAATGACATACTTGTTCTTGTCTGGGTCTTGCTCATCCTGCATAATCTTGGTACACCGCGCGACCTGCAATGGATGCTGTTCACTCAGCCGCTGCTTGTCTGATGGCAGATCCCATAAGGAAGGCGGCGCCAGTCCCGTATCTGACTCCTTGACACCAATTTTATCAGTGATGCGTTTTTGAACTTGCTTGATTTGGTCTTCTGTGGACTTGATGCCTTGCTGGTAAGGACCTGCGCCGTATGTCTGGAGAAGAGCAATATCCTCGGAGTCGAGAGGGACAATCTCCTTTTCTTCCTTCTCTTCATCCTCTACATGCCTGTAGTTGCTATGCGCTTCCCAGTCTGCCTTAGGCGGCATCGTTCAAGTGAGCTGTAGGCGCTATATGCTAGACCTGGCAGCTGACTGGTACCGAGAGTGAAGGGTAGAGGGTCGAGTGGACATGACGCGTCTCTTGTGCTGTTGCTCTTGCCCTAACCCCAGACCGCGAATTTGAAATTTGAGAACACGAAGAAGCAGCAGCAGTAGCAGTAGTAGAAGTAGTTATCGATCAACAAGCCATGGCCGTCAATCAGTCCAATGCTACCTTCAAGGCAAGACTCATTTCTTATTCATGAGCAGCCCTAACGATCCAGGACAAAGAAAAGCCAGCAGAGGTACGGCGAAACAATATCACGGCCGCGTGCGCCGTGTCCGATGCCATTCGCACGTCCCTCGGACCCAAAGGCATGGACAAGATGATCCAGACTGGCTCCGGAGAAGTCATCCTCACCAATGACGGCGCGACCATGTACGTTCACTTCACAATTTTGCAGTGCGTGGACTAATTCGCTAGTTTGAAGCATTTGTCGGTCATGCACCCAGCGGCCAAGATGCTGGTTGATCTCTCTGCTGCCCAAGATGTCGAAGCAGGAGATGGTACCACCTCTGTCGTGATCCTTGCCGGTGCTCTGCTGAATGCCGCCGAGAAGTTGCTGAGTCGTGGAATTCACCCGACACTAATTGCAGAGTCCTTTCAACACAGTGCAGCCAAGGCTGTTGAGATCCTAGAGAGCATCAGTACGCCCCTGCAGCTAGATGACAGGGCGTCTTTGTTGAGAGCGGCCACGACTTCGCTCAGCTCCAAAATTGTCTCGCAATATTCATCATTGCTTGCGCCCATCTCAGTGGATGCAGTCCTTCGCATTGCTTCGTCGGGCGATACAAATGTGGATCTGAAGGACATTCGCATTGTCAAGAAGGTTGGCGGAACAATTGATGATACCGAGCTGGTAGATGGGCTCGTCCTTGCACAAAATGCCATCAAGTCAGCCAATGGACCTGCACGTATGGAAAAGGCCAAGATTGCCGTGTGCCAATTCCAACTCTCACCGCCAAAGCCTGACCTTGAGTCGCAAATTGTTGTCAATGACTATCGACAAATGGACAAGATTCTCAAGGAAGAACGTCAATACCTGCTCAACATGTGCAAGAAGATCAAAAAGACTGGCGCCAATGTACTTCTCATTCAAAAGTCCATCCTGCGTGATGCAGTCAACGATCTCTCCCTCCACTTCCTCGCAAAGCTCAAAATCATGGCCATCAAGGATATCGAGCGTGATGAAATTGAATTTATTTGCAAAACCACTGGATGCAAGCCTATTGCAGACATCGATTCATTCACAGAGGACAAACTCGGCTATGCTGAACTTGTTGATGAGGTGCAATCGTCAGGCAGTCGTGTCGTCAAGATGACGGGTATCAAGGCGCATGGCAAAACGGTCTCCATCTTGTGTCGTGGTGCCAACAACCTCGTTCTGGAAGAAGCAGATCGATCGTTGCACGATGCACTCTGTGTCATTCGCTGTCTTGTTAAAAAGCGTGCACTCATTGCAGGCGGCGGTGCGCCTGAAATCGAAGTCAGCAGGCAACTCGCCTTGCATGCACGGACACTGACTGGTGCGCAATCACTCTGTTTTGCAGCCTTTGCCGAAGCCATGGAGGTCATCCCAACAACATTAGCAGAAAACGCAGGACTCAACAGTATCAAGGTGGTGACTGAGCTGCGTAATCGCCACGCCGCAGGTGAAACCACGGCAGGCATCAATGTGCGTAAAGGAGTGGTGACCAATATTTTGGAGGAGAATGTCGTGCAGCCATTGCTTGTTTCCACCAGTGCACTAGAGCTCGCTGCGGAAACGGTCAAGATGATTCTCAAGGTGGACGACTTTTGCATCAGTCGGTAGAGGTTTATCTTTGCCCGACAAACATGATGGGCTCGCATGGACCGAAGGCCCGGACAAACAACAAACAAGGTACCAAGCAGGCGTTCTGGACCAGCTTCTATAATCTGGCTGGTCTGCTTTCCGTTTCTCTTAGGCATCTACAACCACATAGCATTCCATCATGATGCCGTTGATTTGGCTATCTGCCATCGCTCCACTGCTCCTCGTAGTTGGCACCATTGTTGCCCTTTTGCAAAGACGCAAGCGCCGTCTGGATGTCGAAATTGGTCAAGCAGCAACATTGACACGATCGTTCTGGGGTTCTCTCCATCAAGAAGGCCCAAGAACTCAGAGGCTCCAGCGACATTCTACCGCAAAGGAACGCAATCAGGGCGTCCACCCATCTGCAAAGCGCTGGTCATTCTGGAACATGCGTCGCGCCTCACAAAATCTACGACTGCCAACGGCACCCGGTACCCCTGACACCCTCAAACGCATTGGAACAGCCACCACAACAGGCAGTCATGGCACCTTGGCTGAAGTTCGGAGAGCATTGTCTGGGAAACGCGTACAAGCGCATCAAGCTGAGTTGCTACGGTTCCAAGCACCACCGTTACCATTGCCGCCCAAGATTATTGCCAGGGAACAAGGTTTTGCTAGTGTCGGCAGTATTCCACTTCTGATGGATGTTGGGCAATCGTCATTGCAGTATATTGTACCAAAGGGCCAAGTTCATTCACCAAAGATACAAGAAGATCGACCACAATTTGTGGTCAAAAAGGCAGCACCTCTCGCAAAGGAACCAGCACTGCAGATACCGTCTTCCCTGCCATCGCTGCATGCACCTGGTGTCATTTCACATCCCATCATGGTGAATAAGGCCGAGCCTGTCTTATTTCCAGATGTACCGCCTCGTTCACCACCGCAACCCCCTTTGCCACCATTGCCACCTAAACCGTACAGCACCGACACTGTTGGCCGTTGGTCTATCGTCTCTGACGAAGCAGCACTCGAACTTCTAGTGCAATCTCGGAAAGCACTTGCCCAGCTCGATGCAGCTTCAGACTCAGCAGCATCTCTGAATAGCTCCTTGCATCGAGCGCGGTGCGAGGCAGTCTTATCACATTATCGGCCCCTATCCTCAGTTTACTCAAGTAGCCATGCAAGCAGTATTGTCAGTAATGTGAGCTCACCGCAAGAGATAAGTGCGACCGACAGTGACACACTTGCTGACACGCCGGATCGTGACTTTGATTTTGGTGAGTTTTATGGGCAAGAAGTTGGTGATAGGGAAGATGGGCGCGAATCTTATTATGAGTATCAGTTTGAAGAAGGTTTAACGACTGCGAATGAGGTTGATGTTCGACTGACAAGGATCAGTGAAGCACCATCCATCTTGACGAATGAAACGGGGAAGCCCTGGTACCGTTGGCACTGACTTGAGCACGCTGGGTGCCAACGGCAGCCTGGATTCTGTCATTGATATCGCCAATCTTCAGCATCTTCGCATTGGGCAAAGATGAGCGACTTGTCTCCAGTGCCGAGAACCCAGTAGCACTTATGTCCAAGAGGTGTAATTCGAGGTAGAATGTATCGAGTGTCGTACTTGATATCATTTCTTTCGCAATAAACACCGAATTGGTCCAACGATCTCGAGATTCTGTTCACAGCAGTGAACCATGTATCTGGGAGGTTGAGCTCTGGGAACGCATCGTCCGCGTCTGACTTGAGGATCAGCCTGCAATGGCCACCAGTGGTCTGCGAGTCGGGCAGGTAGCTTTTGAATGCCGGTAAGTCGTGGAGTTCAACGTTGTAGCTTTCGATGCACTGGATAGTGAGATACGGTTTATCGACTGGCCCAGCGAGGTAGAGAAAGCACGCTTGAGGTCGAGCAGGTACAGCTTTCCAGTTTCCCAAATTGTCCGGCGGTAGAGCAAGCATATTCAGCTGTCTGGGATGAGGGGTGCACTTGAGAAGCCAGGAATCAGGCTCAGTGAGTGGGATCGACTCAGCTGACCGAGTCCAGAAGCAGCTGTGTCCAAGTGGGTCACCCTGGGTCGGTAGACTTCCTATATCAAGGTCGACGTTCCAGCAGAAAACAGCATAGTTTTGTGGCGAGTGGATGTATGGGCCCTTCGCAAAGAAGTATTCCTCGAATTCAAACGCATTAGGATACAACTGGAGCATACTGGTCTTCTCCACGAGTCGACAGGCTCCTGGTGTATGCGTTTCCGTAGCGTTTGGCTTCTTAAAGGAGAGGACTGACTCAGGGCTATTGTCAACATTGACTTTCAGCACAAGGTCCGTCGTCGTGCCTCCTTCCCCATATGAGAAATATGTCGGGAAATCAGTCGTTGCAGCAGTCCACTCTTTCCCAGCCCAAAAAGCAGGGAGGGCAAGTGTGTGTAGAGCAGGGAAGGCAAGTGTTCCGATAAGAGGCGTGAGCCTACAAAGCATCACGCTGTCAGGACGCTAGAACAAGTATTGTCGACGTGTTGCAAGATTCGTTTGGGCCGTAGGAACTGGTGTGTGTGGAGCATGTCGATTGGAGAGTTTCCACTTCTTTCCGTAACAGCACAAGAAGGCGTGACACCGTGTTCGTATTCGTGCCGGATCGGACTCTAGCCGAGAGATTCTACTGCTTGCATTTGCCCAATCGAGAATGTTGTGTTGTAATCGGACAGTTGCAACAATTATCAGGGGTAGAGCAGATTGTTCCACATTCGTCCGTATTTTCAGGCTGAGGTTGCACCGCATCCACTGATCATCAACCAGATTGGATGTGTTGCAATCTTTCAGACTGTGCGAGAGGCATGAAAGGCTGCACAGTGTTACATTGCACAGCTTGCTTCTATGGGCACGACTGCATTGAGATTATGCAGAAACACTCCAGACGAGTACACGGACAGTCCATCGGCCCATGCGACCTACGCCTCGAAACTTCTGGCTTTCCAATCAGGTCACTCAAAAAGTTAGAGGACACCCAGCTCAGCTGCAGGGGCAACACAAGAGGTTTGATTGAGTGCAGCGCATGGCGAGGTTACAGAATGGACAAAAGGACGCGTCAGACAGTTCGCTGGTGACGCTTTGCCGGCCTCGTGGGAGACTAGGCAGTCTCTTGTCAGAATAGAACGACGATGCGAGCACTGAACAGGACCAGCAAGACCTGGTGGTCAAAAGATATTGTAGCTGAGGCCGGAATTTGAGTGGCTTCAGACAAGTGCTGTAGTGTTCGAGACTTGGCGGAAGGAGACTGCCATGTCCCGTGCTTGCCTGCAGTCACTAGCTGACACGCATACGACCTGCCATGGCCGGGATGATGGCCTGACGAAGTTAGAGTTTGGCGACGATCAGTCACTGTCATGGACGAGATCATGGTTCTGGGATCAACATCTTGCAACTTTCCAATATTCAAGCATTTCGAGCTCGGTGCCGGCCCAGCGCCGATCGCGGCTGCAACGGTCTTCCAAGGTTTCAGTTTGACAGCTGAGATGATTTTTGAAGCCGACGTTGACATGATCGTCTGTAAGACGCCGGGAGAGTCCTCGGGGAATAATAGTATGATGATACATAGCTGAAGGATAGTGGAGGTTGCCAGCACAATTGGATCATGAGCAGTCTTCCCATTGAGCTCGAGCCTCCAAGACAGGTGCTGCTGCGGTTGCGGGCTGTGTCTGTGGATGGATGCTGCCGGGCAAGAAAAGCCGAGTGCGTGCGGTACAGCCACAAGCAAACAACTGTCAGATCTCGCCCTGAAACTCAGCACTGGGCCAGCAGCTGATGAATCAATGATGCTGCTTCTTGGCGCTTCCGGGGTAGCGGACGAGCAACCAGGAATTGAGAAAAGTATTAAGCAGCACAGCAGCCAGACTTGGCTGTCGTCTATAACTCACATACTCAGTATAGACGCTGACGAGGATGTCGCTGGCAAGCAGGAGGCCCAATGCGCCGACCAGCATGCAATTGCCCACTGCATCACCACAAGCAGTCTCGCCAGTGTTGAATCGGCCAATTTTGACGCTGCAGCGAGAACAAGGGTCTACAAGCTCGGTCGATACCCTCACACGCCGTACGGTTGGCCGATTCTCTACACCCAGCGTCTTGTCTCTGGGCAGCCTTGCATCTGCACTGCCGGCCTACAATGACCTACAGGAGACTGAAAATCCGGATGTCATCACAACGAGTTGTGAGGTCCCAGACTCATCCGTTGTGGACTCGCCCGTGCCAATGCTGTCGCCGGACGAAGATCAGACTCCCGGCCGGCATACACGAAGAAGAATTGGGGGTAGGAGTAAAAGTCGGCGACGCAGCTTCACTTCCTTCTTCCGGCTTGCTCAAAAGCAAGAAGTCTCAACAACAGTACAGGCGCTGTATTCGCCTGGAATTCAAGTGGCTCAGCCATACTACCTACCATCGCGTGAGCCTCGCAATATTCGTACTGGATTCGCAAGGACAATACCGAGTGCATGGTCTGCGGACGGCGAAGAGGCAGAACTTGCCATTGATCCCATGTATTGGTTTGCTACCATCTTTCGCTTAAACGCATTGCTCGCAGAGGGGTCCGTTCGCCAGGCTCAAGCGTTGCTGTCACAGGATCCTAGACTTTGTGATAAAGTATCTCTTGTCAAACGATCTGAGGCAGCTTCACTTGAAGCACTGCCCCTCATGAGCAACGAGACACCATTGAAGGCTGAGTCCAGGAGTATTCGCTCGCGTAGCGTGAGCCCTGAAGTCATCCGAGCGGCCTCGTTGGCCGGGGTCGCTATGCCACACCCTTTGCAGGCAGACGGCTTTAGATTCCCAACTCTGCCTGGCTCGGTAGAGCCGGAATCAGAGAGATTGTCTGTCTATTACGATCCGTCAGGGGCCCGTCAAGGCTCCTTGGGCAGTCGTGCTTCATCTGTCTTGAGTGCCTCAGAAGCCTTTGAGATGGCGCGCAGGGGCAGTGCCGTAAGCACCTGTTCGGACATGTCTGCTCGTTCGTCTCGCTCTGCGTCCAGTCGACTCAGACAGATGCGTGACAAGCTCGGAAATCTCGCACATCTCGGCCGTGAGGAGTACGTGCTGCTCTTTGAGTAATTGCATGGTCGTAAGAGGCCTTTTTGAAACTTTCAGCGACGGCGACATCTTTCTTTATCTTACTTTTAGCACTTTATGTGTACTTAGCAATCTTGAATATTGCCAAAACTGCTTGTTATATCTCCTATGCTCTACTTCCTATGATTGAAGAGTCTCGAGCGGCGCTTGCAAACGTCAAAGCAGCAGCTGACACACCGCCAAGGGGATGGCCTCCTGGCCTAATCTACATCCGTGCCCCAGTTCATTCTCGAGCTCTTACAAACGACGCTGAGACTCTGTGCAGCCTCTTCAACGTCAAAGACGCGACTTCTCTATCGTCTAGGCTACGCCAGGTGTCCAGAACGGGCCCGTCGCCCACCAAAATCCAAGCAATCAAAGGCCCATCACATCCTGCATATGGTCAAAACGGGCTTTTCGCCTCTCGTTCACTTCCGCCTGGTGCACATGTACTAGACTATCTAGGGCTCTACCATCTCTCTGCAGAGAACGACACAGACCTTACCTCAGACTATGATCTCGCCTTGCGCGACGGTAGCCGCTGTCTCTACCTCGGTATAGACGCCAGCAAGCTTGGCAACGAAGCACGCATGATGAACGACTATCGCGGTGTTGCCTCTGCACCAACTTGTGTCTTTCGGACGCATACATTGAATACAGGTGAACTCAGAATGGGTGTGTTTGTGGTGGAAGATGGTAAGCGGAAGAAGGGACTGGCTAAGGGAGACGAGATTTTAGTCAGCTATGGCAAGGGCTTTTGGAAGGCTCGCCAGTCGGACTAGATGCTTTTCATGGACAGGATATGCACTAGCCAGCCGTTGACAAACAGAAGGTGAGTAGCATGACATGAGCGACAGTGCTCCCGGCTTACACGTGTAACATCTGCATGAATGTCTGGAACGTAGTCTCAAAGGCTTTAGCCTTTAGTCTAATGTCTACTTGGTGTCAAGTTGGTGAGCCCCTTTGGTTGAAAGAGTTGCAGTTGGGTGTTGTGGATTTCGACGCTCCCAACCTCCCACACAAAGACACGAAACGACGCCAAGCGCTCACATCACAGACGCTTCTTAAGACAAGCCCCTCGTCCATCATTGATGCGCCGGGCAGGGCTCAAGCTCCTCTCTGCCTCCTCGTCACACCCAAAGTTCAAGAACTATCCGCTGCCACTACCCTTTCAACACATCAAATTACGCGGTGAAGCGACAGGCGACGATTGTTCCATTGCAGCGAGCCATTACCTCGGCGTCGCAGATGGCGTTGGTCAATGGAATCGCAGAAAACACGGCTCAGCTGGACTTTGGTCGCGTCTCATGATTACCTTGTTTGCAGAGCGCGCAGAGATGCTTGCGCATGAGGCGACATCTGGCGCGTCACAGGCGATACCGGCAAAGACAGATGCTAGTAGACAAATGGAAGGCAAGCGGATAGTGGACTTGCTGGAGTCAGCCTACCATGAGATCATGGCACTATGCAAAGATCCGGCCGCCATGCCGACGGCGCCTTCTCCTAAGGGCGATTTCACAACAACCAGCATGTCTGATCCAATGAGTAAGGGTGAACGTATGCTCAAAGATGATGGGGCAGAAGTGGAATATCAAGGGTCAACAACACTGCTTGTGGGCTACCTTCCGCCAGAATCGCATCAACTGCATGTCGTCAATATTGGGGATTCTTCATTGATGCAGATCCGTCAAGGGACTGTGCTCTTTGAGACGGAGCCGCAGTCGCATTGGTTTGACTGTCCTTTTCAAATTGGTCACAATTCACCGGATACGCCGCAAAAATCGGCTGATCTGACGAGCCTCGACCTCCAAGAAGGAGACATGCTCGTCACGAGCACAGATGGGCTAGGGGACAACGTCTATCCTGCACAGATTCTCACAGTCATTGCTGAAGAGCAACGGAGCGCTTTGAAAGACACGGAAGAAGCGCAGCAGGATGACCTGAACCGTATCAGTGCTCGCCTTGTCACGTTGGCGCGGGAAAAGATGGCAGACGAATGGGGAGAGTCTCCATTTGGTGACAAGGCCATTTGCGAAGGCATCGGCTTTATGGGTGGCAAAAAGGACGATGTCAGCATCCTCGTCACCAAGGTCGTGCGTGCCTAGGCATCTGTGGCCATTTGTTTTCAAGAAAGCGAGCGACGGCAAAGTGTAACGTATATCATGACATCTATAGAGCACCTCTTTGAATCTTTCGACGCACTGTATCCTCCGTGTCGCCAGACTTGTTGGCTGTTTTGGCTCGTACTTTTCGAGGGGCATCATCAAAGTGGCCACCACGCACTGCTCGCTCTATGCGATCAGAATCGCCAAGCTCATCTGCAAAGTCATAGACCGTCGGATTCTTGCCGTATGCCAATCGCGCCACATCGACCAGTATCCGTGCTGTCAGGCCCCAGACAATTTTGGGTTCCGGCGCTTCAACCTCATCATGCCGACCATGCAGCTGAAACTTGTGAAGCTTCCAGCGACTATCATGCCAGTCGAGCCAACGACCATCATACCCCTCGCCCTGCAAGATTTGTGAGAGCCGAATATTGAATATCTCTGCTACCTCATCCAAGTTTGGCACAGGAGTCCACCGATCATGCGGATTGGTCGGGCTAAAGGCCACACAAGGACTGACCAGCAAATTGTTCTTTGCAAGATAATACGGCAGAATGGTGATGCGCCGGAACGGTGTGTCCGGGGATAGCCCAATCTCTTCGTGCGCTTCACGCAGGGCGCATTGCCAAGCATGCTCACCGGGATCCCTGCGGCCGCCAGGAAAGCTGACATCGCCAGCATGCGATCGCATATGACTAGCGCGCAGTGTCAGGATGACTTCAAGATCATCAGCATGCGTTGGCGACGGATAGAGCAAGACGAGGACTGAAGCGTGTTTTGTAGCAGGTAGGTTTTGTACAGCAGCGGTCACTTGCGGTGGAGATGCATGACGTGCCAGTCTTGCGAGCATATCTTCAATCATGCAGCTCACAGTCCAGCTAGATATCAATGCAATAAGCTATATTGATGCAAGCTCAGCTGTATCCGATGTCCTCGACGCGAATTGCGGAGCTCGGCGCTTGCCGTTGCGTAATTCGACAGCTACAACTCGACCGTTCAACGGCAGTGTACTGACACATGTTCAGAGTCCTGCCAAGAGATCGTAAGCTTCAATCCAAGAGAAAAACTCTGACTCCAGTACGCTTGGACACGACGCTGAAGTGTGGTCAGTCTTTTCGGTGGCAGCAGCACAAGCAGAATGGCTTGACGACGTATCGCTGTGCTCTGCACGGCCGGATAGTGTCCTTGACACAGCATCCTACTCACATCGCCTATGATGCTCTTCCCAAGCTCGAAGATACAGAAGCCCTGCTGCGAGACTATCTCAGCCTGCAAGTACCCTTGTCGGATCTCTACGAGACTTGGGCATCAAAGGATAAGCACTTTGAAAAGGTGTCAGCATCCTTTCTCGGGGTGCGCATGTTGAGGCAAGACCCGCTCGAGTGTCTATTGTCCTTTATATGCTCTACGAACAACAATATCCCACGTATCACAATGATGGTGCAAGCTCTGTGTCGAGAATACGGCGCTTCATTGGGAACACATCCCGATGACGGGATTGAGTACTATGACTTTCCTGTTTTGGATGCACTTCAACATCCGTCATTGACAAAAGAATTGAGAGAACTTGGATTCGGCTACAGGGCCCCATATATTGCCAAAACTTGCAGTATGCTTGCTGCACTGCCACCGACACATTTGCATGATTTGCGCTCCCGACCATATGCAGATGTGGTTGCAGCCTTGCAAGAATTCTCTGGCGTCGGACCCAAAGTCGCTGATTGTGTTGCACTTATGTCTCTCGACCAGCATGCTGCTATCCCAGTCGACACGCATGTCATTCAAATTGCGATGCGAGACTACAAGTTTCGCCCAAAGCCAGCACCGAAGAAGAATGGCAAACGAGCGCCACGACCTAGTCAAGGGAAATTGGTCATGAATGAACGCGTTTATGGTGAAATCAGAACCTTTTTTCAAGACTTGTGGGGGGCTTATGCCGGCTGGGCTCACTCTGTCCTGTTCGCAGCAGATCTCAAAGCACTTCAGGCAGGAGCAGCAGAGGAGGCCATTGAGCATATTGTCAAGGCTGAAGCAAAGGCTGAATGGCATGCAGATGTCGCAGTCAAAGCAGAGGTCAAGGTTGAGAATGGGGACATTGAGATTAGCGCAATCGAGGCAGTCAAGGTTGAGGAAGGTGCCGAATCAGTAGAGGAGGAAGCAAAGGTCTTGGTTGAATCGCCTCTGAAGAAGCTGCGCCTTGCATGATGGACTTCTTATTTGCAGAAAGATGGCAGTGGGCCTCACCAGCACGATTAGACACTTTGGCTACACTGCAGAGCTGATAGCCTGATACTGCTTCCTGCAGTACACTCTGAATCGTTTCTCGCCTCAGACACTCGGATACAGGGTCACAGTCATCTGACAAGATTAAATATGTACTCACGCATTGCTATATGCTGAGCTTCCCGTCAACGTAATTATCTCGGATGTCATCCAGTCCACTGCCGCAGACTTAGCGTGCTTCTGGGCAAGCTCCAAGATCGCTCAGTCTCGACTCTCGACCAATTGCAAACATCATCAGACGTGGCTCACGCAGAACTCCAAGGCCATGCATGACCTTCAACATACTTGACCATTGGCCAATTCTCAAGCTGCTTGTATGCTCGCCATTCAGCTATCTGAGGATTCAGGCTGCGACCTGTGGCATCACTCGCGCGCGAGGTCGCGACGCTGGACCCAAACTTGGTTGCCTTGCGATTCTTTGATCCATTGTGCTATTTCGACACTACGCTGTGTTAACGATCCGCCCCTGACAAAGCTCAGCGGCCAGATCATGTGAAATGATAACGCTTGGTTTGATATTCCTGTCTCTGCTCTTTGACCATTTCCTGAGTGGGGCTCCAGCATTTCGGGCGGTATCAAGAAGCTGCCAGCCTCAAAGATGGCCTATTGGTAGGCCAGGCCTGGCTCAATGCATGCTGCCCGTGAAATGGAGAGTGTTGGCCACTGGCCAGATGGTGTGATAGATTTGTTGAGTGGTTGCCGGCTGGCTCACACATCATCTTACCTCAAGCTGTGGTCTAGCCTAGTACCTTGCATGCTGCCCCTGAAACTAAGAGAGTTGGCCGTTGGCCAGACCAGGTGCGGAATCTGTGTCTGAAAATAGAACCGCGCGTCTGGCTGCTTCTCTTGTTCAACCCCTGAGTAATGACATCTCTACACATGACTCAAAGCTGAAAAGTGTAAACTATATGCAAGCTGCCATCAACAAGGCCGTGCAAAGAAATCACAAACGGCATCTTACAATCGTCATTGCAACTATCTAGTCTTTGATCCAGCCAAATAATTCCAAGCTGAGCCTCAGGTCTGCAAGGAGTGCCCGCGTCGTTTCAGTCCATGCGATCTAATCTTACATGCGAGCATGGGGCAAAGCTAACAAATCTCTGATGTCCTCACCTGTCAGATTGGATTGTCGTGAAAAGGACACGTCTTGCTCGTCAAGTCACTAGTTGGATCGTTTTCGTCCTGCCGCCAACAATGAAGATCCATCACTCCAAACGCCCGTTTCTTGAGACCCTCCAGCTTGTGCTTCAGCTCCTTCTCAGTTACTCAGCCTTCTCGCTTCCAGCAGCCCATGCAGGCTCTCCCGGTGTAGATGTCTGGACTGCCTTTGGCCCTGTGGCACCGGCCGAGGCTTGTTGGTTCAAACTTTTCATCGCCCGCGGCCCATCGGCATCGGCGAGGAACGTCGAATATGTCAGTCTCAATTGCCTCAATGCATCTAAACCCGCCCTCATTCCAGACGTCTGCATGCTTGCTGAAAAGACAAGCTTCTTGAGGCTGTTTCGCTCGCTTGACGCTCTCGGTGAAAAGCAGTTTGTGGCAAAAGGCCCCTTCCCAACGTCTTCGAACGATTATGGCATCTTGTGCAGGTTCAATGCTGACAACACCGGCTTGATGTCTGCCCCACTGCAAGCAGATCCAATAGGTGCGACTTGTAATTGGAGGGAGCTCGATTCCAAGTTCACTCTGGAATGCCGCAATAATCGCCCAAAGTTGATCAATGGACTCCCAGTATCTGGTCACACAGTTATACCTCCCAGTACACAGGCATGCTTCCTCGAAATACAAGGCCTGGACCATCTCGTTTTGCCTCAACTTAGCAAGAAGTGCATCGATGTACGGAATGCAAAGAACCATCTACCCGCCCTGAGAGACTATCAGAACAATCTCTATTTGACTGGTGGCTTCTGTGTGCTCATTCTTATCAAAAACCTGGGTCAGCCGGAGGCCGTCCAGAATGACTGGCCCAAGGTCGTCCTGAACAAGGAGCAATACGTTGTGTATTGTCAGGCAAAGAATTCCAGAACTGACCCAAGATCTCTGCCGACCCACTTGTTTCTTCGAATTCCGAGATGCTACTGGGTCTTTGCCGCTAGCGAAACCATGCTATTGTTGGAATGTGAGGAATCGATGCAGTGGAGTTAGCTTACGGCGTGATACTCTTTGATTCAAGCTTTTTCGGCTTGCTCACTTATTCACTCAAGCATCCATAGCCATTTCAATCATTCATCCTTTAGGTTGTCGTGCGCGTCTGATAAGATAGGATCTGCCCATCTGAGTGACACGCGCCACCAGATCTCAATCTCGGCAATGTCGCACTCTACAACTATTACATCACGACGCGCAATCAGCAAGACCACACTTTGCGAAGAGGCAACGCTTCTTCACCCCTACATACCTAGCAACTGCAGAGATGGTACAAGTCAAGGCCGATGCACACGCAGACACACCGCTACAGCTCATCACATCTTACCTGCAGCAAGCCAAGACTGCGCAAGGCGAGGAGAAGGATGCCTTGATTGACGCTGCTTTGGATCTAGCGGCGCATCTCGATGACTACTTGACTCTCTCAACAACACCAGCCACCCAGGAACTCAATAATATGATTGATGCAACGCTTGAGCAAGACTGGGACGCGCTGCATGCTTCTGGCAAGACACAGTTCAAGTATACATCCAATTTTTGCGCTGGTACCTTTGAAGCACAGTTCGTTTCTACCTTGTGCCAGCTCGTGCAGGCAAAAGAAGTGCTTGAGATTGGCATGTTTACGGGCACGACGGCTGGTGCCATCGCACAGGCACTCCCGGCAAACGGTCGAGTCACGACCTGCGAGATCGATCCGTTCCTCAAGACGCATGCTGAAGCACAATTCAGCAAGGCTGGGTTGCAAGACAAGATCGAAGTGGTGCTTGGCTCTGCGCATGACTCGCTTCCACTGCTTGCAAAGCAGGGACGTGTCTATGATCTCATCTTTTTGGATGCCGAAAAGGTTGGCTATCTCGCGTACTTCCAGAAAGTGATGGAATTGGGTTTACTTGCTCCAACGGGTGCCTTTGTCGTGGATAATACACTCTTCAAGGGACATGTTTATCGCCAGGGCGAAGATGATGAAATGACAACCGCATTGAAGCACTTTAACGAAACGGTCAAGCAAGATCCTCGCGTCCACGTCATCCTCTTGCCAATCCGTGATGGTGTCAGCATTATTACACACAAGCCGGCGCATCTACGTTCGGAGGATCCAGTGGTGTCTGGCTATCTCGGTCAGAGCATGACTCAGCGATTCAAGCTCACTGGCAAATCGGCTCTTGTGACGGGTGCCGCTCAGGGTCTCGGACGCAGCTATGCGCATGCTCTATCACAGGCAGGCGCCGCCGTGATGGTTGCAGACTTGTCGTTTGAGGCAGCCGACAAGGTGGCTGAAGAGATTCGAGCAATGGGCGGACGTGCCTCTGCTGTGGCCGCAGATGTCACAGACAAAGCAGCTTGCGATGCTATGGTCAAGGCGTGTGTTGATACATTTGGCAAGCTCGACATTGCAGTCAACAATGCAGGCGTCAACCTGTCGTCTCCTGCGGAAGACTCGTCAGCGGCAGAATTCGAGACGACCATGTCTGTGAATGTCAAGGGGGTCTTCTTTTCGTGTCAAGCGGAAGCAGCGCATATGCTGGACAAGCAAGACCGCGTCATTATCAATGTGGCAAGCATGTCGGCCGTGGCGATGCCTCACCCGCAAAAGCAAATGCTCTACAACACATCCAAAGCAGCCGTCAAGAAGATGACGGAGAGTCTTGCGGTAGAGTGGGGAAGTCGTGGCATTCGTGTCAATGCAATTGCTCCTGGCATTGTCAAGACGGACTTGATTACCAAGAATGAATCGCTTGGACCGTTGCTCGAGACGTGGTTGAAGCAGATTCCACTTGGTCGTCTTGCAGAGTTTGACGACTGTCAGGGAACGATTGTCTTTTTGGCTTCCGACTTGTCACGATACATGAATGGCACAACACAGATTATTGATGGAGGACAGCAATTTTTGTAGCTACTTTGATGCCTAGACGTTAGATTTTAATGGCATACAAGCTTCCCAGTGTTCTCACCTTTTCAACAGTCTCCTTTTGCAATTCATCGATGCTCTTCTTGCTGTGCTCGCCCTTGACGGCATGCTCAGACTGAGTCTGGTGAGCGTGGTCCACCTCCTGCTTGCCATGCTTTGCTTTTTCTGCCTGCTTCTTTCCTGCTTCGTTGGCTGCAGGATCGGCGTAGAAACGCTTTGCCATGGGCATAGCCACTGTTCGCTTTGCAAGTGTTGCTCGGATGACGGACTGCATGTTGTAGTGAGTGGTGAAGGTTGTACGGTTGTACTAAGAGGTTGATGTTGTCGTTCCCCGGACTGGCTACGTCATCACCATGACGACCTAGGCTCAGCTAGGCAGACTCTCGAGTCTCGTTCCTCAACGACGGGCAATAGCTGCGGCATGACGCGCACGAGAGACGGTCTGGTCACTCAATGGACGTGCAGGTGTCAACTCCTTGAGCATCTCACTCACGCATAATGCACTGATGCAAGTTTTGAGCTTTCCTTGAAGATTAGACATGTCTGTGACTGATGACTTACGACGTGCTTCCTCGAGGTCTCGCTTGAGATGACGATCGAGGTCTTTACGACCAGCTAGCAGGTTGCGTAAATGACCTACCCATTTGCCAATCAGCTTGAGCAAGTCTAGATTCTCGACATGCTGGAGTCCTGCAAAGTACGCGCGCATGGCATCGAGTCCTGGCAGCATGACAGTTTGTACGTTGTGCTGCTGTGCGCGTGATAGCTCTGGACGCTGCTCAAAGTACTCGCAAAACTCGACGAGGTCGTGCAGGATGTCGTCGTCTTCTTGTTCGGTGCTTGCTGCGGATGTCTGCATGGCAAAGTAGTTTGGTACAGGAATGCCTGCTTGCTTGAGAAGGCGTCCAGCTGACATGATGGTACAATGAGGACAAGTGTTGGAGGAGTGGGTCAAGGTATTGTACAAAGTCTAAGCCAAGAATGCAACACCGCTACTTCCACAGAGTCTCCGTCACATCTCCATCGTGATCAAACAGCTGTCCAGGCAACACGCCATTCTTGCCCACAGTACCACTCGCCTGCTTCAGTGCCTGCATAGCTGATGTCGTTGCTGCACGTCCAAGGGGTCCACTAAAGGTACTACTGCGCAACGGTGCCGATGGCGACAGGGTCGCTTGCATATTGACGAGACTTGGCGTGATGCTGAGTGCAGAGAGCAGTGGTGCTGGTGAGGGTGAGTACAGCAAGCCCGTTGTGTGAGACTTGGACGAGGCATCCGTCAAGATGGACTGTCTATCTTCCTGCTTGCTTGCCAATTGCTCTGCCACCTCTTGTGCTACTACTTCGGTGATGTCCATGGATGCCTTGAGTCCTTGGTTCAGCGAGACCTGCGAGACTGCAGCGCTTGCGATGACTGCCGCTTTGCTTGTTTCCAGCGTCGATTTGAGAGACTCTCTTGACCTATTCATCAAGTGCTCATGTGCTTGCTTGAGCTGGAATGCTTCTTCATGCTTGGCAGCTGCATGGGCTGCTGCTGCATTGCGTAGAGACTCATAGCAGACGAGCATCACCACCGTCAGACAAATCTATCGTCAGCGCTCATACCATGTCACCTCAAGCTTACAGCATAAAGGATATTGTTTTGCGCATAGAGGGGATACTCCTTTTGTAGCTCCAGTAGCACGCGTGCGCTCATATCAGCCATGACGGTTTCATTGAGTGCAGAGAGTGCAGCTCGAACGGGTTCAGAGACTGCCAAGGTCTTCCTTCGTGGCACGCAGCAGCCCTACACGTCAGCTTGATTGTTGAGGTAGTGATGTACCTGGCTTGGTAGCTGAATAGATGAGATGTGCAGGACCGTGTTTGGGTCAATCGCTGGCATGCGTCTCTGTGCATCTTCAACGAGGTGTTGCAGCTCAATCGGAAGACGCTGTGCTTGGAGTGCATCCGAGAGTATTGTCAGGCTACTGAGATTGGACTTTCCCTTGTGATTGAAGAGGTACAGTGCCCATGGTGGACATACCGCGTCTGAACCGCGTGCAACGAGCGTAGCAAAGTCTGTCAAGTGCTGCAACGCTGGAGTCTGAGGTCAGCCTGGCTTCTCTGCCGGTTGCATACGTCTGCAAAGGGGACTTGAATGAGTGCACATAGCTGCCTGAGGATGGTCTCTTGCGTATCACCTGGCATGGCGAGGGAGTGAGAGGAGAAGTGTGGCGTGGGTGCGACATAATTAACGGTGGTGCGTGTGTCTGGACGCTGCTGGACGCGCTCTAGGTAGCGTCGCACGAGAGGAGAGATGAGTGGTTTCTGTGAGACCATGTCTAGTATGCAAGAGTGTAGCGTAGGAGTAGTGTACTAGTATGGTGTGGTGTTGTAGTCAGTGCCCCTGACTGCAACACAAGGAAGTGACTTTCCATCTGAGCTGACCTCTCAGCCTCAGACTCTGCTTGAAGACTGCTTCCCTCTCATCACCATTAAGACATGGCCGAGCTTCTGCCAGCCTGCCATCCGTGACGGTCCGTCAACTTGGACCTTGGACCTTGGACCTTGTAGAGCTGAGCCGGGATTACGTCGAGATTTCTGGAAGAGGGGCAGCCAATGAGCGTGCGCGCCTGTGACTCTGACCGTTGGCGGCTCATGCAGGAACAAATTTGGCAGATGGGCCCGACAGCACAACAGCAGCAATAGACTGATACTGTCTGTGCTGGCGTATGAGCTAGAGGGCAGTGAGACGAGCTAGATGATGTGCTTCGCGATGCTCTAGTCATCATGTCAAAGAGGGTAGAGACTTGGCCAGTGCCAACTACGCAAAGGGATCTGTCGCGGCCAATTCTGAACCCCGCCCACGACCACGCTACGAGTCCATGGCACCGCACCACACGACATCTAAAATTTGATGCGGGCAGAGCACAGAGCGGGCGGCCCATGCCCAGAGGGTTGAGTCTTCATAAGGCATCACCCTTGCTCTCTTGCCTTCAGCTCTTCTTCATTCACTCGTTATGCTCGTTGCAACTGTCCTCGCCCTCTTTGCGGCCTCCGTCACAGCCCAGGCACTCCCTCCAGTCTGTGCACTCAACTGCATCAACGCCCAACTCGCACCCAACGGCTGTTCATCGCTCTCAGACTACGCATGTGTCTGCTCAGACTCCTTCCGCGCCTCGGCCGTCCCTTGTGTCCTTGCAGGCTGTTCAACAGACGACTTTAGACTCACTGCCGACACCACCAACCAAATCTGTACAAACTATTTCAACGGACAATACGGACCTGTTGTTCGCGCCGCCGCTGGTGGTGCTGCTGCTGGTTCAAGTGCCGCTGCTGGACCTGCCGCTGGTTCTGTCTTGCCTGCTGCAGCCTCGAGTATGGCATCAGGCAGTGGTATGCCTCCTAGCGCTACCATCACACTCGCTCCTGCTGGTCCCGGTGGAGTCGCTGTTGGCGGAGCTGTCGTGACGGTGACTGTTACCGTTGACCGTTGCCCAGCTGGCGGTGCTGCTGCCGCTCCAGCTCCTGCTCCTACACCTGCCCCTGCTCCTGCAGCCATGTCTGGAGGTGCTGCTGCTGGATCCATGGCAGCTGGTTCAATGGCTTCCGGTGGTGCGTCTGCTTCTGGTGCTGCGACACCTCCTCGCGTCACCTTGCCGGCCTTTGTACCACCTCCTGCTGGACGATCTGGTGCCATGAAAGTGCACTCTGTCGGAGCCTTCCTCCTTGGTTTGCTCGCTTTACTCTAATAATCTATATCATCTATGCAGCGTGAATCTCAATACCTGGTGGACTACCGAGTGCCGTCTTGATTTGTGCATATAAAACAAATTGTCCACTCACAAGGAATGAAGTCATGAGAATCCTCGGACCCAAGCCTGCCCAAAGACCCCTGAAACCCGTTTCTCTTGCAAGGACACCGAGTTTGTGTACAGCAGATCCATCGCCGCCTTTGCCCTTGTTGATTTTAGACAGCAAGGTATCCGCTGGGTGTGACAAGACTGCTGCCACGACACCTGCGCCGATACCAGACGTTAATTCCACGAGTGTTGATTCAGCATGCGATAGTTTCGCTTTACGTTCCTCGCCAATCGCTTTGAAGATGGCTTCATTGAGCCACTCGTGCGTAGTGAATTGACCCACTGCATATGGTACTTGCTTGCACAAGAGTGGAATGAAGCCAGAGTAGAAACCCTTGAGTCCCTCTTCCCTTGCAATCCGTGCAAAGCCAGGCAAGAGGCCCGTTGCAAAACCACGCTCAGAGACGAGTCGGATGCGGGTCGCTTCAAGTGAACAGAGCAAGACATCTGCAAAAAACTCGGCAGCGGACGATGCACCGAGGTAGATGGCCGTTCTACTCGACATGGCAGCCTCTGGACCGCCTGCCAAGTCAATAAAGGTCTTTTTGAAAAACTCATAGCCAGCGAATTTAGCACCGCCTTGAACAAGATAGCCTGCTGCAGTTGCGCCAAAACCAGTCAAGAGCACAGCTGGACCTTCTGCAGCGACAATGGACCGAGCAGCTGCGAGCATGCCGGATCCTTTGAGTGCGCTATCCACTTGAATGCGGGTTTTGACGACATCGATAGGGGTGGTTGCACCGTGCGTTAGAGTACAGCATAGTGCACCGGCAGAAAAGAACTTGCTATAGTCTGAGAGAGAAAATTGAGGTGTCGTCGCCATGTTCGTGATGTGTAGTAACTTGTAAGGAGCTATGAGGTCACTTGTCGCGGGCTGCGGTGTCGGCAAAAGAAGTCTCCGGCATCTCGAGACACCTGGGCAGAGACAACAACATGAAGCGAGCATACACCGGCAAATCTACTGGCGCGTCTGCCAAGAAACAAGCTGTCGACGAACCCATTGCCTCTTGGGATCTCTCTGAATTACGACGCGTCCAAGTCAAAGACTTTAAAGGCAAGACTTTGGTGCATATCCGCGAGTTTTACCGCGACAAGGAGACGGATGAGCTCAAGTATGGAAAGACGGGCATTGCATTGACTGTGGAGCAGTGGGGCAAACTGAGTGCCATTTGCAAAGAGGTGGACGCAGTGTTGAAGCCAGAGGGTAAGGAGCAAGAGGAAGAAGCTACACAGACACCTGCAGCGTAGACAGCTTGCTGAACGCTTCTCTCAACACAACCTCATCCACACCATCCAAGAATGCAAATTGACCAATGCCACCACACACCACAGGCAACCTCAGCTTGCCACCACGAGACTTGATTGTGTCTTCTTGAGCATGCAACAGCATGTCCACCGTCAGCGCGTCATGCCAAACCGGCAAACCCAACTTTTTGACCACCGCTAGCACGCGCGCCACATCACTGCTCGAGACGAGCGATAGCCGCTCAGACAAAATCATGCACAGCACCATATCAATGGCAACCGCTTCACCGTGCAGCAAGGGCTTGTCTGTGGACAAGGCAGCAATCTCGAGCATCGGAGAGAATGTGTGTCCAAAGTCGACAATCCTGTAGAGCGTCGCCTCTTCGAAGTTTGGCTCGAGCTCCTCTAGCATGCCTTGAATCGCGCGCCGTACAACCTGTGGATGCCGTGGATCTTGCTCGAGCAAGCGGAACAGCTCTGCGTCCTTGATGAGTGCCATCTTGAGGATCTCACCCATGCCATTCGCCATTTGCCGGTCAGAAATGGTTGGCAAAAACGTCTCCGCATCCAGAAACACGGCAAGCGGTGCATTGTACGTGCCGAGCTTGTTCTTTTCATGCAAAAAGTTGCAAGCCGTCTTGACACCGATAGACGCATCAATGTTGGCGAGCAGCGTCGTTGGAATCTTGATGATGGGTGTGTTTCTGCGCCAAAGGTTGGCTGCAAGCGCTGCCACGTCGAGCACTACACCGCCACCGAATGCCAGTACTGGATCTCGCCTGTCGGTGCCAAACTTTTTGATTGCCTCACACACGCCTAGAACTGCCTCAAACGTCTTGTGCTCCTCAAGAGCCTGCAGGACATGGTAGTGTGTTTCAACTTGGTGGTGGGCAAAGTATGCTCTGATACGGGCGCCAAAGAGTCTATCAACGTTGTGATCCAGCACAACGAATCGCTTGAGGTGGTCGCGAAGTGTCGCTTCCTTGCACGTCAAGAGCCGCAGGTTATCGAGTTCTAGCAAACCAGATACTTGCTCCACCGAGTACTCGAGATGGATGACTGCAGAGGCGGTGAACTTGCCTGTGGTCAGGCCAGAGGTACCGCCAACACGCAGACCGTTGAGGCCGACTTGGTTGACGTTATCATGGGGCCATGCACTTCTGCATGTTGTCCGCTGCAGCTGTGTAGGGAGTCTGGGTAACCAGAGTCGGAGGAGCGGCTGCTCACTGTATCCGTTGAGGTGCGGCGTTCCATGCTGCTTGTATAGATGTTGAATCTGCTTAAGCGTGGTCCAGGGTAGGCTAGTGTGCTTGAAGTTGCAGAGGTGTTTTGCTTATAGGGGTTTATCTGCTTATCTGACATCATGACCATCTGTGCACTTGCCAGGTCTTGCCTTAGGTAAGATCAGCTCGCCCTGCGCTTGAAACACGGCCGCTGGTCCCATCTGCGCAGCAGCGATATAGCCGAGATTCAGATCTGGTGGCTTCGGACAGTTGGCCAATCACGGTTGTGGACGTGAGATTGAGGTGTCTTCACGTCACTTACTGCCAACTTTCAACTTCTCAAGGAGTCAAGGTTCCCCGATCTATGCAGCAGCTCTTGATCTATCATCTATGTCATGAATCATGAGTCATGGCAGTGTATGAACAACGTCGTAGCTGTCCAAACTGGCTAGACTTTTAGAGTCCTACTATGCCTCCGACCGTGGCTCGTAGATAGATGGGCACGCTGTTGCTGCATCCAAAAGCCCAAGGCAGTACTACGGAGTCTGCGGTGCTCAAAAGTGTTTACGAGTCGGAGCAGCAAGCAAGCAAGCAAACAAGGCACGGACAGCGGTCAAGCAAATGCAAGCAGTGGCAGTGGCACTGTTTAGAGCACCGTTTTATAGTGCAACTCTGCGCTTTTCCTGCGCATTTCAAATTGGCCCAGGGGGCCCTAACCCAGACAATTCGCGACGCGCCAGTTCGCGTCTTGCTGTTGTCCTCAAGTATCTTCACATCTATCACAACTCAAAAAGGAAGGCAAGACACGCCTGACACTGTCGTGAAATATGCCACGCCCACTAGACCCTCTTGTCGCGCACAACTTCCACTTGAAAGGGCCATCGACCGGCGCATCTTCTCAGGCCACTTGTAAACATTGTGGCCAGACCAGAGCCAGAGAAGCACTCCGCCTGAAGGATCACCTCAAGATTTGTGAGGCATATCAGAATCGGGAAAGACACAAGCAGGAAACCTTACCTCTTATTTCTTCTACGAGCGGAGATCTTGCACAGCTACAAAAATTGGCTGCCGATGTGTGCTTTGAAGACAATAGGCCCCTTTCAATGTGGACCACACCTGCAATGCGGCGATTTCTTGCGAAATTAGCTCCAGCATTCAAGCCGCCCAGTGACACCTTGGTGCGACGCAAGCTGTTACCCAAAGCGTATACGACTTTGAAGCAAGAGGTGGATGAAATTCTTGCTCATTCTAAAGAAATACAGCTTAGCATTGATGGCAGCACTGATGTCAGAGGATATGGCATGACCAGCATATCTCTCGTCCACGAAAAGGGTTGCTTCACGCTCGAAACAAAAGAAGTTTCCACCCACAATGATGGGGCACAACAACAATTTAAATGGCTCAAAGCGAAAGCTCTTTCCATCACCCAGGGCGATCTGAGCCGTCTCAGTTCTATTGCATTCGACACTTGTGCAACACAATTGAAGGTCTTTCATCTCTTCGAAGCTGACGACGACTTCAGGCATGTCTTCATCGTCAGATGTGATGCCCATGGTATTGCCTTGTTCATTCAAGACATTCTCAAGTCTCCCGAGTGTGATAGCGCTAGGAAGACGGCACAGCTTCTTGTCAATCAAATAACCAAGAAGAAGGCTATGCTCTCTCTTCTCAAGGAGAAACAAGAGGGCGTCTACGGAAAGGTCAAAGTACTCTCAAACATGTGTGATACTAAATGGGCAACCTTTCTTGATCTGTTTGAATCAATCATGAGATCTCGCAGCGCATTGGTTGACCTGGTTCAAGATGAAAGATGCACACTGGATAGTGAAACGCGCGAGGCGGTGGCAAACGTCTCGTTCTGGAAAACCATTAACGACATGATTGCCATCTTGAAGCCTATCAACACGGAGTTAGTGCTTGCCCAAGGTCAAACGGCAACGATGGAGAAAGTTCTTCCTCGCTGGTATCGGTTGAGAGACAACCTCAAAGCTCTTCATGGCAAAAATAGCCTTCAAATCATGCAACTCGTGAAAGGCAACAACGCGTGGAGGAAGTCGCCGCGCTCAATCACAGGTTGGAAGGAGCGGTTCGTCCGACAAACGAACAAGCACCATGTGGCGGCCTTCTTCCTCGACCCTAATACCAAGGAGAAGCCTGACAATGATCAACTAAAATTGATTGAAGCAGCATTTCTGTCAGTCGCTCCTAGCCTGCTTGATGCTGCATCGATGATGAGGAGCTTCATGGCATTCTTGCAGAAGACGGCTCCATTTGAATCCACTGAGCAATGTTGGCAAATGTTTGGTACTGATATGAAGTTCTTTTGGGCCAGACATACTCTCGGAAACGAGGACAATCTGCTTGCTAATTACGCAAAACGCTTGAGTACAACAACAGCCAGTACCGTGACATCGGAACGCTCATTTTCGGCACTCAAGATTGTACAGCATCGCTTGCGCAATCGCCTCAGTCTCGAGCACGTTGACCAGCTCATGTTTGTGCACTTCAACTCCAAGACACTGAGAAATAGCACAACCAAGAAGCGTTCAGTGGTCGACATTGACGACTGTGCGACTGTCGATGCCGGTATTGACAGTGAAGATGCTGCTCTGAGAAGAGATGAGGCCATGGCCGTTGTGGACGCGTGGGCTGATTATTTCGAATTGACTGATCCAATCACTGCTTCGCTTGAAGGGCAAGATATTGACGTCGACAGTGACAGCGACGATGATTCCAACGATCCAGATGAAGATCCCATGCTCTGGAATTGGGCGCAGACCGTATGGCGATCCGCGCGCTGCTTTGCGAGTGAGCAATGGACATTTGGAGTCGACAAGAGTACCACGATAGTTGACTCACATAGCAATTTTGATCATAGGTCCAATCGTAGAGCGCGTTTTTCGAATAAAGCGAATACGGGCCGTTGGTGACGGTACATGAGCTCTTCCTGAATGGGTGGATGGGCATTTGACGTCTACAATTGAGACACTGAGCGAGCTATCGGCTCAGTCACCTATATCAGATGGATCCATCCAGTTATTGCTCGACACTGAGTCGACAGACTCTTGCCTGTTCTCATCCGGCGGGTCGAGTTTTTTGTCATTGACCTTGTAACCGTCAGAATGGATCCGTACAAATGTATAGCTCATGGAGAGGTCCATGAACAGATCATTGTAACGGATCTGCTCTTATACTCCTTGGCTTTGTAGCATTTGTTTGGGTGCTCGTCCATCTCAAGTGCAAATCAAGTGCCACCAACCAGTCGATGCGCAGGTTTGAGTGGCAGCATCCACCACGCAGCTGGTATCGCAGGGTGCAGTTCCAATTCAGCTAAGTCTCCTAGCACGATCAAAGGACAGGATCTTTGGTACCCACCGCCCTTCCATAGACGCACAGCGAGGTGCAAACTGCGTCATCCGTGGCATCTGCGGGAACGAATGAGCGAAGCAGAAGGCACAGTAGCCGCTGAGATCTTATCTAGCCAGTCCGCTGCACACAGCCTGGCCTAGTGACACTGACACACTGACACGGTCACACAGGTGACAGGTCATAGGTATCGCTGCCGCTCTCTAGATCATCGGCCCCTTTTTAGTGCGGCCGAAAGCCGGAATGATCGGATCCATGGCCGTGGGCCATGAATGAAATCATAATGAAAGTTTGACGTAAATGACAGCCTTCAAGATCTGCCAACTTTGCCAACCTGTGACAAAGACCAACCTTCTAAGTCACTCACATTGAGCATAGGTCAAAAGCTCCGTCAAAGCTCAAGACATATGCCAGGAGCAGAAGACTCAAGAACAGATGCAGCCCGCAGGGTAGATTCACAAGTATATGATCGCCAAGGAAACCGTTCAGACTCGAATACGTGTATGAGACGCATGAAGGACGAGGAGAGCACATCGGGACTTACCAATTCGCAAGACTCTTCGTCGCGTGCCCGGGCACAACAAAAAAAGCGCCATCGGACTATCAGGTTTTGCCTGATTGGATCAAGAACGAGCTTGTTGCTGGTATGGCGGAGTTCGTCGGTACTGTCCTCTCTCTCATGTTTGCCCTTGGAGGCTGTAATGTTGCAAACGTGCCAGCGTCACCCAGTGGGAATACTACTGTAAGTTCATCATCCGGCACAGATACTGGCATTCTACTCTATATCGCGCTTTGTTTCGGGTTCTCGCTGACAGTCAACGCATGGGTCTTCTTCCGCATTAGCGGGGGCCTGTTCAATCCGTAAGATCGAGCACTTTTCATTCATGTCCATCAAGCTGACTTACGATAGAGCAGTATCCTTTGCACTCTGCCTAATCGGCAGCATCACGCCGCTGCGTATGGTTTTGCTGACCATTGCACAGTTTCTTGGTGGTATTGCAGCTGCGGCAATCGTTGATGCGCTCTCACCCGGGGCTCTCAATGTGTCTGTATCTTTATCGCAGGGAACTAGCACGGTTCAGGGTCTTTTCCTGGAGATGTTCTTGACTATCATGCTTGTTTTCACTATCATCATGTTGGCAGCTGAGAAGCACAAAGCTACATTTGTGGCTCCTGTCGGCATTGGCTTGTCGCTCTTCATTGCACATCTATGGGGTCTCAAATGGACAGGCTGTGGTGCCAACCCTGCGCGCGCATTAGGACCGGCAGTGGTCAACACCCAGTTTGAGGGTTACTTTTGGATCTATTTTGCAGGCCCGTACATGGGAGGCGCAGTATCTGCCTTCTTCTACTGGGTTAACAAGCGACTCGATTTTGAAGAGGTCAACCCAGATCAAGATGATGACCCAACAATGCGTGCTGAACTCAACCGCGTTCTTGATGCACGAGAAGGGAAAGGCGAATCGAGCACCGCCGAATCTGGTAACAGACAGCGTTAGAAGGACCTAGCTATAGCTATATACGCAGCATTCTGGCATGTCAAAATGATAGCCTTGTGTTTGACTTCATGCAATGATTCGTCACATTGCATGCTATTCAAAAGGAGCTAGGTATACCAAATAGCCATCTGAATATCGGACACCCCCTTCTGGAGCCCTCAACTTGCTCTTTTTTTTCCCGTTGTCTTACATACCTACTCCTCTCAGGACTCTATGGCCTATATAGGAACTCAGCGGCACCGCCGCTTGTTCTGTCTTCGAAAGATACACGCCTCACGTGTATGGCTTTTCCAATACTTGTCCTCGCGCGCAACGGATTGCGGCACTTCCTGTTTCGTCATTGTTGGCGATCTGGCCTAAGCCGATATTTGTTTATATAGCGGGCAACACCGCTGTTGGAGGGCCAGTAGAGGCCCCAACTTGCTCTTCGGACGCACCAGCCTTCACCATGAACCCCTCACCCCGCTAGACGAGGTGACCACGTCGAACTGTTCCCAGGTCGGACAGCCAGACAAATCCATTGCGCGCGAGGACAGGTATTGGAAAAGCCATACACGTGAGGCGTGTATCTTTCAAAGACAGTAAAAGTGACTATGCCGCTGAGTTCCTATATAAGCCATAGAGTCCTGAGAGGAGTAGAATGTAAGACAACGGAACAGAATTAAAAGAAAACAGTGCGAGACTGGCTGCCGGTGTGAAATCCTCGGTGAGTGCTTATGTCTTATATATATGTCTTTCAATGCTATAGACTACAGCTATGGTTGGATAAATAGCTTATGTAAGCAAAAATTGTTTCAACATTCATATATTATAAGACAAATGTCCTGGGAAAGATTATCTGGCTCAACGGGCTTCCAAACGGAAGATCAAGAGTTCGAAACGCTTGCTTGGTCTAGTCGGTTATGACGTTGGTCTCATATTGCGCAATGTGCTGTGATATCTGAAGGTCGTGAGTTCGATTCTCACAGCGAGCACTTTTTGTCGTTGCCACTTGTGACCGTCAATACATGTCTTGAACCCTTACGATAAGCTGCGGCCGCTGCCAGTGCCAAACCTCGACCCTTGCAAAAGTTCCCAAGTGTATGGTTCTCTCTGTGCCAATGCTGCACTCTTTAGGCCTTACAAGCATGGCATTCTTGATATGTACTCAGCAGATGGAGTCTATCCGCAGACTATTCAGTCTCATCGAAAAGCATCCCTTCTTTTTGGTGTGTCGGTGTTTGAGGGATTCCTCGTCGTGGCACAATGCCAGCTTATTGTGGTCTTAACGGCTTCGAGACGCAATCGACATCCCGCTAATTTTGCCCTTGCAGCAAAGTCGTACTTGCTGTCACTTATCTTTAGCGTTGTCGCGGCTAGATCGCGACGGCAGTAGGTACAGACTACTTGGGTTGTTGATTGCTGGACGTGACTGACTCTTGGAAGTTAGAGACATGGCGCGAATGCAGAATTGGCACATCCGGCCGTGAAATCAAATCCAATCAAATTCAGGGGTACGCCTACCCAACGTGGAGCAAGTTGCCAGCAACAGCGACGAGATAGACGGTCAACCTGACCATGGAGCAGTAGACGCATCAGGGAGGATGATCAAAGTAACACTCATCCTGCCCCCTGTTTTTTTTTCTGCCAAAAAGAGTCTGCACAAGCAACCATGTCTTCTGCCATCCCCGCTATCGCCCCGTCGACACGTCCTCGTGACGACGGTAGTGTTGACGAGGATGTTCGCTCACGGCAGCACATCAACCCCGATGTCGACAAGTCCAATTGGGAGCGCATGGTCGAAAGAGGCCCCGAAAGACGCAAGCTCAGCGGGATGAGTTGCTTGAAAACCTTGAAAATACAGTCAAGGCCTGGCAGGCAAATGAACCGCGTCGCTAAGCGGTTCATCGAAATAGCAAGTATCGTAACCACTTCTTGAGTTGCTTTATATCATATTAATACTAGTAGCAATGCCATAACGCTGAAAATACACAAAAAGGTCTCTCAGAGCCAAAGAACAAGGCCCAAGACAGCAACACTGCTCAATACTGAAGCATGCAAACGTCCCGTTGCCATAGATGATGCAGGAACAGCTCCAATTGCTGCATTCGCAATTGCAACTGGTACGCCTGTTGCAGCACCAATCACGCCACCTGTCACATTGGCAGCGACACCACTCGCAAGCGCCAATGTCAATCCCGTACTGGCATCTGCGGTCCCAGCGCCAATGCGTCCATTCGACACGGCATTCCCAGGGACACCCACCGCAAAGCTATACGACAACTGTCCAGCCCTTGCACGCGCAGCCGAAACAAACGCTGCATACGACCATGTCAAGTCTCGAGCGCCTTGTTGAATGCCTGTTGTGCGATTGATTTGTTCAGACATGCTAAAATTTGCACCGACGTAGCGTTGTTGGAGTGCAAGGAAGCGGTCTGCATACCGACCAAACGCAGCCGTTAGACTTGGCAAGTCACTTGCACTGACAGAGGCGGAGATGTTGAGTTTTTTGTAAAAATTGCGGTTAATATCGTTGACTTGTACTGCGGCATTCGCTTGCTTGAGTTCTGTTGCTGCAAGATATAGTGTTTCTGCAACGGCAGACATGCATAGAAACCATGGATTGCCTTGTGAAGACTGGATGCCGTCATACACATCTGAAGGGTACCTGCCAATCAAGGGTGTTGACCCGGAGATATTGTATAGGCCAGTCATTTCATCAATCAGAGTGGCTGTAGAAGCAAGCACCTTGTCGTTGGATGGACGGTAGCGATGCGAGCCGTGAATAGCGCCGAGCAAATTACCACAGTCGGTACCAGTCGGTTTTGTGCTATTGAGCATGGACATGAAGGTGCCTGTCGAGCTGCTATTCCAAAATGTATCGAGGTAGCTACCAAGCTGCACTTCTTGTGCTGCGTAATACTCGCTCTTGAAGACAGATGCACCGTCTGCCAGTGCGCGCGCTTGAACCATGGCGGTGAAGAAGTGTGTACCATTGCGCTCCTCCCACAAATCAAAGCCTGGTGCTTTCCAGTTGGCAGCGACGTAATCCAAGTCTGGCTTGACGACGGTATCTAGCACATTCTTGATGTATGCAGCATCTGTTTGTGTGGATAGGTAGCCAAGAATAGCAATCGCTCGGAGTGCTGGTCCATCTCGCTGTGGTCTGCCCCAGGGATCATTAAAGGCCGTGCCATTCATGTAGTACTTGGGTTCAGCGAGTCCACCGGTAGAAAAGTTGCCAGATAGAGTGACCAGACGTTGAAGGTCGTATTCATTCTTGATGTATTGTCGGATGAATGCATCCAAAGACTTGTCGCCTGATGCGTACTGGTTGATGATGGTTCGCATGGTCAGTGCCGAGTCTCTGGTCCATTGGTAGTAGTAGTTTTGACCACCCGATTCACCAGGTCTTGCTGTATCGCGAGCAAGTGAGGCTGCAATGACGCCTGGAAAGTCGACGGAGTTTTTGGCGATGCCTGATAGTGCGGCGTTCGTCTGTGCCGTGACATAGTCGTTGAGGGAGAGGTCTTGCGGTGCTGCTGCAACGAGGCCAAGAAGGCCAGCCAAAAAGAGTGGTAGCATCTGTTTGATGAGTGTGTCTGCCACTGTCTGGGTGGAGGCTGCTTATAGCTGGAGTCGGAGTCGCGGTGGCCCGAGGAATTCTGCTCCATCGCGTCGTACTACAAGTTGTGACAATACACAACACTCTCAACACTACACTACAGTGCTACAGCTACACCGAGTAGTGCGTGAGTAATGCTTCTGAGTATTTTGTGGCAGTTGCCTCTTTGGTGGCAACGGGCGACTCGGTTTCCGGATTGGGCAGCCAGCAATGCGACAGGTCAGATAATAGCAGCAGCAGAATGCACAGTCACATCTGAGCAGTTTTGACGAGAGACAGTAGTAGAAGCATGCCCATATACAGATATCAAGTATATCTGTAGGGTAGAATTGATGTGGTACTAGCAGCCGCAGACTGAAACTACTTCTACCTGTAGATGACGAGTCGACGACGACAACCACAACCACAACTACAAATGTCCTCAGCTAAAGAAAATGCAGCGCGCGTCTTGATTGCTTCCATTGCTGATGAAGACACTACCACAGGTCTCCTCCTCGCTGGCACTGGCCAAAAAACAAGCGGCTCACAAAACTTCCTCATCGTCTCTGGCAGCACGCCGGTCGAGACAATTGAAAAGACGTTTGACAACTTTGTCAATGAGCGAGATGATGTCGCCATCCTCCTCATCAATCAGCATATTGCAGAGCAGATCAGGCCGCGGCTTGATCAATACACAAAGGCATTCCCTGCTGTCTTGGAAATTCCCAGCAAGGAACACCCATACGACCCAGACAAAGACTCCGTTATGAAGCGTGTCCAGGTATGTGTATGCTAGCATCTCACAACTAACGTTAGAAACTATTTGGTGATGTCTAACCCTCAACTTTACGATACACGGCAGCTCTCGCCTTACTCCTAGCAAGTGATCCCTTACTCTTCTTCTTTTTCCTTGCGCCATCCGGCTTACTCGCACGCTCTCCCTCTAGTGCCAGCTCCTTTTGCAACAGCTTGAGCTTTGCCGCTGCTTGTGACCCCATCAAATTCTTGACACGCCCAAGCTTTGCCTTGTCGCGCGGCTTCAAGTTTGGGTTGGTGATTTGATCGCGCTCTTTTTGCTCAGACTTGTGCTTACTTGGCATCTTGGTGGCTCGCGTTACTCGCAACTTGCGGCCCTTCTCACCAAGCTTCTTTTCATTGAGAAGTAGAGCATTCTGCACGGAAGATGCATCCTTGAATTGCACATACGCAAAGCCCTTGCCGACATTCGTCTTGCGATCCCGAATAATGCGAACCGACTCAATCTCTCCGGCAACACTAAAGTGCTTCCACAATGGTTCCTCCTTCGCTTCAAATGGCAAGCTCCCAACAAAGACACACTTCTTATTCTCATGCGCAGCAGGATGCGCAACGCTGTCCACGCGAATATGCTTTTCTAGGAAAACACTGCCGTTCAGGGAGAGTGCTTTGCGTGCTGCTTCTGGATCATTGTAGACGATGTAGGCATTGGCTGTATCGCGTTCTGGATGGAATTTGCCTTGCACGAAAGCCACTTTTCTGGGTAGAAGCTCTGAAAAAGCAATAGAGCGGAATCGAATGCTGAGGACACGACCATGTTGGCTGAAGAGTGCTTTGAGTTGTTTGAAGGTGGTGTGAGAGGTGATGACAGTGGTGGGCAAGTTGCCGCAAAAGACGGTAGATTGTGCCTTGTTGAGTTCCTTGTCTTGACGCTGCTGAGACTCATGCACGAGATTGTCGCCGGCCGGCATCTCTTCACCCTCAGAGTCAGACACAGAACCAGAGTCAGACACAGAACCAGAGTCAGACACAGAACCAGACGCAGGCTCTACAGGGGTCGGTTCATGGGTCGCCTTTTTCGCAACAGGCTCATCACTTGCTGCCAGTTTCGACATGTACAAATCTTCCAGCAAGACATCATCGCGCTTCCGTTTCTGCTTCTTGCGCTTCTCCTTGACGGGTACCTCGACTGCCTCTTCTTCACTTGCTGCGGGTTCTGGTGCTTGCTCGACTGTTTGTGTGGGCTGTTCTACGTGAAGGAAGCGGTCCTTTTTGGGTGCTGCCTTGATGGGTCCTGCACTGGCGGCAAACAAGTCTGCGATAGTCTTGTCGATGGCCGTGTCCATGATGCAGTCGAGTAATAAATGTATAGCTAGATGTATAGCTCGTCGCTGGATATAAATCTTCTTGCGTGGGAGAAAGCAGCAGCAGCAGACCACCACCACCTGGCAACCTGCCCTCTCACCAACTCACTCAAGACACTCAGCAAGGCGCATCCATGGAAGAGGCACCCGCCGCAGCCTCACCATCGCGCGGCACCCTCTTCTCTGATGACGGCAAGTCTCTCACTCCAGAATCACAAGCCTCCACGCAACACCTCGATGAACACGACGACGAGCTAGAGGAAGAAGAGGAGGAGGAGGACGAAGCGTCTGGGCAAGGGTCTGTGGCTGAAGACGAAGACGTACAAGAAAACGACAGCGTCATGCAGGATGTCGAGATCCCAGATGACCTAGACAACTTGTCTGCCTCTGAGCACGATCATCAGGACTCAGAGGCCGGATCAGACGCGGATGTAGAGGAGGTCGAAGAGCCATCGCCACAAGTCGAACCGGTTGCAGACATGGCCATCGATGTCGCTGATTCGCGCAAACGCAAGCGCTCAGCAGAAGTCTCACCCGGCCCCATGAATATGAAGCGGCTTGGTGGTATTACGCGGTACGATGAAGTCCTCTCAGATGATGACAATGAGAATGATACGGCAAATGAAATCAAGGATATTCTACTCGGCAAGGTCACGTCTCCCGACGCTGAAGACATGGAGGGCGATGTCGATGCAGAAGTCGAGCCCGAGGAAGCAGAGGAAGAGGCAGATGTGGAGGTAGAGCCGGAAGCAGAGCAAGAAGGCGACGCAGACAGCGAAGCGGCGGAACGCGTGCGACATCGACAAGACGCCATGGCTGCGTTGCGCGACATTGAACAAGACTTTGCATCCTTACGGCAAAAACTATACAACGAACGTCTGCGACAAGTCGAAGCGGAGATTGCACTTGCAGAGAGCGGCGACCATCCAATACTCCAGGAGAAGGCAAATCAAAATGCTGCAAGGCATACAACGCGTCTGCAGCGCGCGAAAGTCCTCGTCGTGTCGCGTCGCAAGGAGATTGAAGTGGAGTACCAGGCTAAAAAGTGGATGGCGCACTCACAGTACGCGCAGGACCGTCAAAAGCTGCGTGCTGGATTGCTATCAAAAACATCGGCAGAATGGTTTCAGATTCATCGAGAGAAGCGCGTCATGGATATGGCAGTACCAGAGTATGGCTATGTCGTGCCCGAACGAAAGGCAACGCAGCTCAAGCACAGGCGCGATCACAATGCAGAGGTGGCCATCCTGGCGAGTGTCAAAAAGTACATTGGCTTTCCTTGTGCACCAGAAGTCTCTCAAGCTGCAGCGAAAGAAGTTGAATCAGATCTCGCAGAGATGGGCATCCAAAAGAAGTCACAACATGTCTCCATGTCGCAACATCTCGGACAGCATCATCATCACCACCATCATGCGCCAAAACCAACACACCATCACCACCACCATCATCATACGCATACGTCTGTCCATCCATCCCGCAATGCATCACCACAAGTCCACAGCAGTACGTTCGACTTTAACAAGGCCAAGGAGCCCTTCCCTTTTGCTATGCGTCCTCCTCAAACAGAGACAGCTAAACCGCGTACATCGTCCATCAACAGTCTGCTCAGCAGTGACAAGGAGCCACGGCTTCCCGCGCTGGGAGGTGGACGTCAAGAGGACAGCAACAAGCACTATGCGAATTACTGGCAAGAGCCAGCGAAAGGACCGCCAGCGTATCAATTTGGTAAACCCTTTGAACCAGCGCTTGGACAATCACAACCACAATCCGTACCGCCGTCTATGCCTCAGCATACTATCCTCGCGCATCCTCAAGCGCCCAAGGCCTCTCTTCCAGGACAAATGTATGGACACGGCTACCAGCATCAAGCCTATCAGCCGCAATTGCCCACATTCAGTCAGCAGGCCTTTGGCCCTCAACCACCGCCAGGCTTCAAACGTCTCTCGACTCCATAGTATAACAAATATGTACAGAAAACTACATGGTAAAGGCGACATTCATATTGATTGGGTGACACGCCGACATTTGTGGAATCTGCGTAAACTCGCCCTCCTTCATCTCGCGACGCAGATTGTTGAGGAGCTCCAGGAAGGACTGGTTGGGTTCCTTGAGCAAGGCATTTTTGAACGCATACGTCAATGCGCCTTGTGCCTGATCACAGATCGTTGCATCTGCTGAGGTTTGATCGTCCTTGCATCCCGTAAAGCAGATGACATCTGCAGCTGACGTTTTGGAAGCCTTGACGGCGTCGCCTTGACCATTGGCTTGCGAGATGGCAGCAAGCAATTTCTGCGTATCGGCACCTTCCGTATTGCCCTTCTTGAGCTGCTGACCGAGCTTGATCAAATCTTCGCCGGCATTCTTCATGAAATTTGGCTCGGAGATGACACCCTTGGGGGAGTAGAGGTATGGCAAGTCCATGATACTGCCAGAGTGGCAACAATCAAAGAGAGCAGTCAAGCGACAGCCTGCAGGCAAGGGCCTGACACAGATACTGTGGATCTCGTCATCGACAATTTGACCATTCTCCTGGTAATCCACAGGACACATGGTCTCGTCGTTGCCATCATCCTCATCGCCATCTTCATCCTCTTGACTTCCGCCGTGGCCAGAATAGGAGAGGAACAGGTCATCACCCGGCTTGGCACCACCCACCAGCCATCGCATTGCAGTCAGGATGTTTTCACGCGTTGGCTGACCCTTCTCGTTGGTCTGGTCGTCCGTCAAAACGACCATCTGGTCAGCCGAAAAGCCATAACGTTCAATGAGGAATTCCGCCATGTTGTGCACTGCAAGTTAGAAGGGTTTGAACATGAATTCATACCATCATTGATGCATCCGTTGAGCTCGCCGTCTGTGCCGAAATAGTTGATGCCAATCAACAAGGCTTTCTTTTGACCCGACAGATCAGATGGCACATACTGCATGCCTGGGCCAAACTGCGGTTAGTATCAGCAGGGAAGCGGATGACTTGCCTTTTGAGCACCGTGAGGGACATTGCGAGGTGGTTTGTACTGCTTCCCGTGCTTGGGCGGCTTGGGTGGACCAAGATAATGGAGATTGGCGAGGTTGGACCAGCTGGGTGGCAAGCCTTGCACAATACCAAAGTGGTTCGTGTTGCTGTTGTAACCTCCAAGGCCAACACCAGAGGTGAAGGTCTCCGTGTATGGCATCTGACCGTCCGTATAGCCATGGCTGGTGGCCCAAGACGTGCTGGATTCCCAGGTTTCGGTTGTGTGGGTCTCTTCGTACTCTTCGTACGCTTCCTCGTTGTGGTACTCGAATTCTTCAGACTCGTAGGCTTCTTCCTCTTCCTCTTCCTCTTCCTCTCCAGAGGCGACAACTTGATCTTCTTCGTCTTCCTCGTCTCCGGAAGCCACAATCTCTTCTTCTTCGTCTTCTTCATCGACATCTTCCTCATCGACTTCTTCCTCTTCTTCAGCTTCCTCTTCCTCTGCTTCCTCCTCCTCTTCTTCTTCCTCTTCCTCCTCCTCCTCCTCCTCCTCTTCTTCTTCTTCTTCTTCCTCCTCTTCCTCTTGTTCTTCCTCTTCTGCGTGTTAATTCAGTGATTTAGCAAGTGTCGGCTTACCTTCTTCTACTTCCTCTTCGGAGTCTTCAACATCATCTTCGTAGTCGCTCATCTTGTGTATCCTTTGTGAATAGATATACGCCTGAGGCAACAAATCGCGCGCCTAGGCGCTTTATATGTTGTTATCCCGTCAGGCAAGTACTGCAGAGTCCAGACTCAGTGCAAAGGCAGAAGCTGGAATTCTTGGAGACGTCCCAAAAGGGGTAGGCCAAATAAGCGTCGCTGATTCCGCGATCCTGGACCAGCTCTGAACTATTGCAATTGGTCTATTACTGCATCGATGCTGATGAGAAAGACCACGCAGCAGCCGTACGGTAGTCTCGACTCTGGCTCGCAGGCACATCACATTGACACTGCAAATACCAGCTCCAAGCATACTCGTAGCATATTGAGCATAGTCTCACTTGAGCTGGATGGAGTCACTGTAGAGTCCAGACAATATAGTCGAGGTTCTACGCTTTGCTTGACCTGTCAAATTGATTGCTGCTATCATGCGGCCCGTATCCCCAATCATCTTGTTGATTCTTGCATATTCCCCTGAATTGCGGGGGCCGTCGAATTGGGAGATTTGCCTGTTAAGCGAACCTGTCATCTGGAGCGCTCGAATCCATGGACTTCGCGTACAGACGCGACTCAATGTTCCGAGTTAACTCCCAGAGTCCCAGCTAGCAGCCTAGCATTACCGCAACCGAACTAGACGGCTAGCACAAAATCATCGATGTTGAACAATGTCGTCTTCAGTCGCGAGTGCGCGAGTCGTACAATAACCCTTCCATGGCCAGTAGCGAAGGAGACAAGACCATGCTGTCCAACTTCAACAAGCTGAGCTGCTCAGGTTGAGCACAACATTCACAAATAAAGAAGCAGACAATATGTCTATTATACCTAACGCTTGACGATGTACGCCAAAAGCACACACATATATAGCGCATTCTCATGCTGGCACTGGCAAGATGTTGGCACAGGCAATACGCTTCTTGGCATTATCATGAATGACCACACTCCGACCTGAAATACCAGACCCGACATCCACTTGTAGGCGCTCGTCACTATAAATGTGGCGATAGACGGATGACCTGGTCTTGACGCGATACACTTGTATCTTGTCGTACTTTCCAGACAAATCTCCCACTTGGCACGCATGCTTGTTGTTCATGTCACAAACATGCGTGTCTGTGATGCCGTTGGTATCGAAATGCCCACCTGCTACCAAGCAGTCTTTTCCCGGGTCAGTGATGCGTTCCGGCACTGGCTTTTCGTGGATGTGGTAGGAAAAGTTGCCAATGCTTGCGTCAAAGTTGAAGAGGCGTATGCCAACAATCATTTCATTGATGCCGTCATTGACATTGGCCGAGGTGAAGTGGATGTAACCTTGAGGCGAATCTGATGGGCCATTAAAGACGGCAGACAGCTGTGTCCCTGGAGCACGCTGAGGTATTGTTGCTGCTTGAGCAAGACAGATGAAAGCAAGAATGAACATTATGTGTGACCTGCATTGAATAGGCTTGAAGGGTAGAGAATCTATATCATGGACGCCCAAGATTCATCACTGGAATGGTTTCAGAAATGAGACGACAGATACAACGTCCTGCTGAAACTGGATTTGCAGGTGGGGAGCGGCTATCGGATTATCAATGTTTACTACTGTGAAACTCGACGATATTGGCACAGGCCAGACGCTTCTTGTCCTTGTCGTGCACAACCACAGAGCGGCCCACAATGCCATTGCCTTCAGTGGTGAATGCCAAGAATGGGTCGTCAAATTTGATTCTCCACGTCTTGGCTGGCGAGGCGACTTGGAGAGCTGGAACTTTGCCGTATTTACCGGACAAGTCGCCATCTTGGCAGAGGTCGGGGTGCTCATGGTCACAGATGACTGTGTCGGCAACGCCTTTGGAGTTCAGGTGACCGCCAGCTTGCATACAGTCGATGGCTGGATTTGTAATGATATCTGGCACCCGATTCTGGTGAATGTGGTAAGAAAAGTTGCCCGCCGTGCTATTAACAAAGTTGGTCAACTTGATTTCGATATGAGCTACCGGCGTTGCTCCGCTTTGAGTCGTCTTTGGATAGAAACGAAAATAGCCGTGAGGCGAGTCAATTGGGCCTGCCAGTGTGGCGTTGTAGCGAACCGCATCCACTGTCTCTCCGTGCGTGCGTGCTAGTGTGCATGTACCCAAGCTGAGCAGTGCGACGGGGCATGCGATACGCTGAGTGAGATGCATCTTGAAGTCTGAGCGTTTTGCGCCGTCTAGCGCTTTATGCCGCAAGACTTGCATCTACTCCTGACACTTTGTATGACACTTCGTATAGCGAAGCTCTCTTTGTTTAAGGAGTATCAGATTGAATGCCGCATTCGCTGAGCATTGCGAGCAGCTTCGTGGATGTTCAGCTAGAAGCGTCAGCCAGCTGACTCTTGCCGGATCCAATTTGCATGATTAGAAGGCCAGCTGCAAGCCAAGAGATGGTCTTCAATACAAGGTTCAGGGTGTATTGCAAAGTACGCGTCGTCGTTAACCCGTGGTTGTGGGCAGGTTCGTCTTTTGTTTGGGCGAGTGGGAGATGGAGCCTCATCACCAAGACCTCACTGTCCACTCATCTGACTACACATTGATTGAAGCTGAAATGCAAATGACTTTAATCGAGCTATTTATCATGTCTCGCTGCCCTGATGCAGTCTCTGCTGAAGTCGTCTTTTCTCAGGCTAGCAAATCCTTCCCTGCAGACGCACGCATCAAGCTCGAATGCATCACAAACCAAGACGGAAGCTGCAAGCACGGCGAGCTCGAATGCAATGGCAACAAGATTGAGCTCGCTGTCGAAGCAGTGATGGGCATGTCCTTCAACATTCTCAATTTTACCGATTTGTACAATCGCAACTTTGAACAGATTGGTGTGGTTCCGTTGAAGCATCTAGATGATTGCTTGTCTGCAGCAGGTCTCACCACAGCACAAAAGGCTGCTGTCATTCAGACATACGAGGCAAAGGGAGATGAACTGATGCAAAAGAGCGGAAAATACACGCAATCTCTCGGCGTTCGCTACAGCTGCACCGTCCGCATCAACGGCGAGATTGTTGGCATCCGCGACAACAACGCATGGAAGGAGCTCAAGCACGGCATCGATGGGTCACCAGAGAGCTGGTCAAAATTTGTCAACAAGGTCTCCAATCACTAAGCAATTCTAAAGCATTGTGGCGACAAGAGCCACACTGACGAGTCCAGCTGCTAGCTTTTGCTGGGTGGATGCGCCATTTTTGTGCTTCTGTCTGTTAGTCAGTGTTTTGATGGACAATCGCTTACGATGCTGGTCGAGTTGGTGCTCTTGGCATGGCTGAATGTATGAGGCACAACCGCTTGGCTCATGTTACCCTCTGCTGCTCGGACAGGACTGGCTGCCGCCTTGATTGCTTGATCGACGAGCCTGGAGTAGGCCGTATCCATCTCAGTCGTCATGACCATACCGTCATGGTCGAGCATATCATCGTCGGCGACACCGAGATCCTGGACGGCAGCAACGGCACAGGCGAATGTAAGAATGCTGAGAAACTGCATGATTGTTTGAACGCCTTTGCAGAGGCGAGCGAGGCCTTTTATGCCAGCTTCTCGGTAAGTCGTCGAAACTGACTAAGTCTCAGGATACTCAAACGCCGCACCTGCGCGACGACCACAACGAGAGGCGTTGCAGATGAACAAACAGCAAGTCTATTTGCTTTATAGCTTGCATAGTATTACTCCATTGTCTATCAAACCCTGACCATGTCTAGCATGTCCTCCTCTACGAGCGCAACGGCCATACGCGTCCTGTCTCAAAGCTCACAAAGCGCATACAGCGCCAGTCCACCCAGCGACGATGCGCAAAAACCAGATCCATTGACGCAGCTGCGCGATTATCTGACCTCGCCTCCACTCCAACGCAAATCATCCAACCTAACGCGCGCATACCTCTCTGATCGACCACGCCGCATCACTTTTTCCTGCGTTTGGGAATCGCAGTGTCGTGCAGGTCTGCCTAGACTTTTGCTCTTACCGTACGTGTGTCTCAATCAGCAAGATTTGCAGCGTGACTTGGAGCGCATGGTAGGTAGAGAGGATCCCGTGACGGGTCCATGTCATGGCGCTTCACTCATCCTCCACTTTCCATTCCCGAAACAGCAGCCGTGCCGGTTACGACCAGCAGATTGTTCTGTTGGTTTTCGCAGAGGAGAAATATGCAAACTCATCAGCGATGCATATGAGAGTGCCTTTACCGCAGCATGGGTCGATTCGTGCACGGACGATTCATCGAGTCGTGTTCCGTTAGATCAATTCAGAGTCGGTGGTTACACGGTACGAGATTTACTGCTACGCAGTATTCTCTGGGATCCAGGCTTGCAAGAACTTTCATGCGACATTGAATGTTAAGCTTGCATAGGGCCAGTCAATACTTTTGAGCGTTTCCGTGTAAATGCAGGGCGTGCATGACCATTCGGCATGCTCGTATCCTTTCCCAATTGTCGCTCAGCAAACGCTTCATCACTCTCCTCCCAAATCTCAGACAAGACACGTGTATACTCCCCAGGGATATGGTCAAACATGACAAAGGGGATAAAGATGCGCGCTGCGATCCAGAGCCAGCTTGCTTTACTGCTGCGAATAATGCGAATGGTGTGCATAGAAAGAAGACCAGAGAGTGTCCAGAAACGCATGGGCGGAACATAGCCATCTTTGTAGGTGACATAACCTTGGGCTTCATCACTGCCGTCGCTCTCGTCCAATGCTGCGATACTCTCCTGGATCTTGAGGGAGTCTTGACGATGAGGGGTCTTGAGGGAGGCGCCTTCCTGGAGGGCTTGTTGAGTCTCCTCCATAAGAGGACGTAGATGCACCGTCATACCCGGACACTCTGCAAACTCCAACTTGAGAAAACGAAGCGGATCATGCGCCAAGCCAGGCTGTCGTGGCACCATATCTTGCGCATTCACCACCTTCCATATATTCTTCGAGTATCCCTTGTGATCCATCCATCGCTTGAATTGCTTGTCGGCAAGTCTCGGCGTACCAAAGCCACAAACGTGAATTTTGTCGGCGAGTTTTGAAACGAGGGGCGAGGAGGTGAGGAGGGTCTGTGCATACCACACCACAGACAGGGCAGCGCCAAGTGAGTGTCCAGTAACGAAAATCTTTTCAATGTCATACTTTGTATCGTAGTCTTCGAGGACCTTTTGAATCTGCTCAAAAGCAGTGATTTTGTTGCGACTGAGTGGAAAGTTGACATCAATCGGCTGCATGACGAAGCTAGCAGCTGAACGGGTCAGTAAGCCAGGCAGACTGAGCAAAGCAGAAAAGATGGAACCGATGCTATCCTCTGCGTCATGCACGAGCCGACTCGTCTTGCGCTTGTTGGCGGGTCGCTTGTTTGAGCCTTCTGTTTCACTGGCAGATGTATCACCTGATGTATTGCGCGGTTTTGGTTGATCTTTTCGGTGCAATCGCAGTGCCTTGAGAAAGCCATAGTGCACGCGACCGGCATGTTCGTCTGAATCATCGAGATCAGCAATCTTGACAAGTCGACCCTTCAGATCCGTCATGACATGCATGAGATTGAGAGGTTCTGTGCCACGAAAGCTAATGACCACTACACCATCCTTGACGGCCAAAAAAGCTGATGTGTTTTGGTAAAAGACTGTCCTGAAGGAATCCGTCTCGAAGCCCGCCTTTTTCAATTCATGCAAGATGACGGGCTTATCCTCATACGCCAGTTTTGCGAAATTAGCAAGCGAGAGGGCTGTGCGTACATCAAACTCTTCTGAATCGGCAAAGTAGTTCATGGGTTCGAATGTCGGTGCTGTGCTATTGACAACAGAGATGCGACGACCCGATGCATGTCTACCGACAGACGAGTACTGCAATGCGCGCCGTAGTACAAAACGATCCCAAAACACAAGCAGCCTGAACCACAGGAAAAAGGTAAGAATAATAGGAAACTCGAAGCATCGCCTCACGAGTTTTGGAGCGTGCCTGATGAGTCTAAAGGGCAGCCTGAGTGCAGCTCGAAGGGCTCTGAGGGAGGAGGAGACGAAGATCTTTGTGAGGGAGATGGAGACGAAGAGTGTCATGAGAGGCACGAGGCCGACACCTAGCACAGCAACGAGCAGCATGTAGATGGAGGTACGCGCGTTGAGGGCGTAGAGGGATGCAAATGCAGCGAGGGATGCGAGGAGGTAGTACTTTGCGAGCGACGAGAAGGAAACAGCCATGCGCTGCAGCGGGTATTAGAGACGCTGCATGGTCTCTGTAAGTTAGACTGTAAGTCTTAGCAGATGCGTGTAGCTGTCTGTCTGTTGCTGTCATACTCCTCAATCTTGGCTCCAGATCTGGCGATGCACGTGATAGACAAGACGCACCCGGGTGTCTGGCAATGAATATTCGCAGTCCCGGTCGAGACAGCGAGAGAGAGAAGGAGACCACACCAGACAGAGGAGACAAGAGGCAGCAGCAGGACACATTATATTCAATCATGACTGGTGAGTAGGCCTGCGAGTGCCAGGCATTGTCGGGAAGGGGATATGCAGCAGTGTGCGTCGCGTCTGGAGGCGACACTGATTCCATAACCCAACCAACAGCCTGGCACGACGACGTTCAACAAGCATACTAACCCATCTACTAGAGCAACACCGTCTGTACGTCAAGGGAAAGCACATCTCCTACCAACGGGCAAAGCGCACAACAAACCCCGACGTATCCCTCATCAAGATTGAAGGCTGCGACACACCACAAGAGGCTCAATTCTACCTCGGCAAGCGTATTGCCTACGTCTACAAGGCCAAGAAGGAGATTCGCGGATCACGCATCCGTGTCATCTGGGGCAAGATTGCAAGGACACACGGCAACTCAGGTCTTGTGCGCGCACGGTTCCGAAACAACCTGCCGCCAAAGACATTCGGTGCATCGGTGCGCGTCATGCTCTACCCTTCCACCGTCTAAAGCGACAACTTACGTCCATCACACACATCCGACAAGTCACTTGGCGCAGCATACCTTTTTCCCAATGATGAGTTGCTAAGCAGTCCAACCTGATTGCTTGCAGAGTCTTCCATTAGCACGATGCACTACATACAAAACCATCATCACTGACTCTACGAATACTAACTGAATGATACTTGAACGCACTGCTATTTGAAAACTGAAATCACCATCATGTCTGGTTGAATCATGGATTCATGGTCAGTACGCCTCCGTCTGTCCAGGGACATTGCCAACGATGTCTGCCCACTTTGCATCCATCCAAGCCATCATATCATCCCACATATCCATGAATCGCGAACCTGCCTCTGATGCAGCCTCCTTGCCATCCTCAGCTGCTTGTGCCACTGCGGCTTCCGCGGCCTCGACAGCAGCGGATGTCTTGTCTGCCAGCTGTGCATTGGTTGATAGGACTTGATCCACGGCTTCTGCAGACAAGGCAGGTGGGTCATTGACTGCCGTCTCGCTCCCGTCGTCTTCCTTTGACGGGATAGGCGCAACGTCAGGGACTTCATTGAGCACTGGATGACCCATATCAATAGGCAAGGAGCCAATCAATGTAGGCACCTCCGTCATCCCCTTCAACACTTCCTCAACCGACGCATTCGTCTCCTGTACCGCCGTGGATGGCGCTTTCCCACCCAGCATCAATGCGCACACCACAGCACCACCAGCAAGAAGCAGCACAATCAAAAAGACCACCCCGAGTACATGTTTCGAGAGCTTGCCACGACCCTTTCGCATAGCCTTCCTCCATTTTCGCTGCTGTCGTTTATTTGCCTTTTTACCAGCTGGTGTTGCATGCATTGGGTCGTCTTCGAGAAGGGTATCGAGCGCATCTTCTTCGCCACTGTCGAGATCACTTTCTGTGATGTGTTCTGGTTTCTCATAGGCGGGTGGGGGGTGTTGCGTGTCTTGGGATAGGCGCGCATTGAAGTCGTGTCGGTCAAAGGCGTCGCTTGATACTTTGCGGTAGTTCTTGGAGCGCGTCATCCTGTCTTGAGTGTTGGAGTAGTAGTTAAAAGTAGTTGGTCCAAGTCGCCTCTTGAGTTGTCGGGGATCTTGGCACGTGAACAAAGACCAACACTTGGACAAACTGATACTAGTCTTATCCTACTTTCCTCCTACAATGGATGGAGCAGCTGCAGGAATACCGCATCTGCCAAGGCTTAGACCTCTTCTATATCCCCGGTGTCGTCTCTCCCACTGAACAAGCGCGTCTCATTGCCAAGATCCAAGCGTCAAAAGCCTGGCACACGCTTTCTAATCGTCGCTTGCAAGCACTGCCCTCGCAGCTGCTACAGGGTACAACCTTGCTGAAACAAGCATTACCTGGGTACCTGCAAGAAGTGATAGAACGCACACTCCTGCCACTAGGTGTGTTTGAAGCGTCCCCTCATCAACGCCCAAATCATGTACTGATCAATGAGTATCAGCCCGGTCAGGGTATTCATGCGCATGAAGATGGGCCAGCATATTATCCGCTAGTCTGCACCATCACTCTGGGCAGTCATTGCGTGTATCATCTCTACAACAAGAGTGATCGACAAAAAGTCGCAAACCTTGTGCAGGAGCCTGGATCGTTGCTCGTCACATGTGGCTCAACGTATACGGACTATCTGCATGGAATTGATGAGGTTGAAGTGGATCAGGATCTATCGGAGGCGTCTATTGTGAATTGGTCTATGCTTTCTTGTGCGTACCAGCAGACGACACTGCCTCGCCAGACTCGAATCAGCCTGACATTTCGCGATGTGCTGAAGGAGAGAGCACTGGTCAAGCTGGGTAGATAGCTCTGCATATATGCCAGATACAGTACAAGACCAAGTCAAGAGTAAATCGTTGCCTCCCCATCTGACTCTGCCCGTGACGTCTTCAACTCAACCACGAAGCATCTCAGACGCGTACACCTCCCGTATGAGCATCGTACGTTCTTGTTTTGTAAATTGAGATGCTAACGGGCAGACACTTCGTTATCGCTCCCGGCTAGGGACAGCCAGGGCAACCTTTCAAGCAAGTGATGACTTTCGTAGTGTCCACGAAGCCATTGCGCAAGCGCTCCCCTCAGCCGACCCAGCTTCCCTTGCACTCTGTGATAAACCCTCTGGCCCCTTCACCTCCTTCAATACACTCCATGGCAAGACTATCGCTCAGCTCGGTATGAAGCATGGGGATATGCTCTTCCTCCAATTCAGCGATCGTGCATCAGACATGCCAACAGAGACGGAACCTGTCAAAGCAACGGCGCATAAACTCTCTGGTGCCTCTGTACCCATCAAACCATCTACGCGACCACCTGCCGTATCAGCAGATGCGTGGAAGACGGTGAAACAGCACCCCGTGGATGATCAGCTAGAAAAGCAATCTGGCAAGATCCCAAGGACGCGCGATCGGATGTGTAAGCATGGCCCGAAAGGCATGTGTGACTACTGCATGCCTCTTGAACGTAAGCATCCGCTCTACACAATGAAAGCTAACGACAGCCTTCGATGCGACGTACCTAGAGGAACACAAAATCAAGCATGCATCCTTCCATGCACACCTCAAAAAGGTCAATAGCGCAACCAATAAGCCGGAACTCAATAGCTCCTTCATTCCACCACTTAGCGAACCAGTGGTCACAGTCCTGCCGAATTGCACAACAGGACACGCCCCTTGGCCCGGTGGTATCTGCAGCAAATGCCAACCCTCCGCAGTCACGCTTCAACGCCAAGATTACCGAATGATGGATCATCTTGAATTTGCGAATCCAACCATTGTCGACAAATTCTTGGACTATTGGCGGAAATCAGGGCATCAGCGATTTGGGTTTTTATTCGGTACTGTGCAAGCCTATGAAGGTGTTCCCCTGGGTCAAAAAGCCGTTGCCCAAGTGATTTACGAGCCACCACAAGCGTGCCATGCTGATGGTATTGAACTTTTACCCTGGGAAGACCGTGCGCTCGTCATGCAAGTTGCTGAGCGATGCAATCTAGAATTGGTGGGTTGCTTATTTACCGATTTGACCGATGACGGGTCAGGCAAGGGTACCGTCCTGCGGAAAAGACATATTGATTCTTTCTTCCTCTCAAGTTTGGAAGCACAACTTGCTGCCTTGTTTCAATCTGAGCATCCCTGCAAGTCACATTGGGCAGCGAACGGGCGGTACGGCTCGAAATTCATCACTGCCGTGGTCTCTGGGAGTCCTGATACAGGCGCTATTGACATTGCTCCTTACCAAATCTCAGAACAAGGAGTTGCCTTGTTCTCTGCACATGTTGTCGAACCCAGCACAGACCCAAACACTATTTTGGTATGCAAGGAAGAAGACGATGCAAAGGTATACATTCCTGAAGTGTTTTACTCAAAAGTCAATGAATATGGGCGACAGGTCAAGGAGAATGCCAAGCCTGCATTTCCAATGGAATACTTACTTGTGACGCTCACGCACGGATTCCCAAATGAGCCGCAAGAGCGATTTGGTGCGACGTTTCCTATTGAGCATCGTGGTGCGATTGGCGAAGCTGGCGATCTCGCAGCTGTTGCGAAGCAGTTGAAATTAAGTGAGTCTGCTACACAATCAGGCCAGGCATCCATCAAGGCCATTCAAGATTTTCATCTCGTCTTGTACCTCGCTTCACTGGATATCCTCTCAAAACAAGAACTTGGCATGCTTTGTGAAACGGCCGCAACGGGCAGTATGGAAAAGGCACAGGGACTGATTGAGTCTGGTGGGTGGCAAACGCTCTTGGCCATTCTCGAAGAATCGACTGGCGGTAAGATTCCTCCTGGCGCACTAGGAAAGCGCGCTAATTCAGGTTAGTCTAGACACTCCTTGGCAAAACACAAGTTTACTGATGCTTCAACATTAGGCGAGGATGATGCAGGTGCATTGGAGAGTTTGACGATTGACAGTGATTCAGATACGACGCGACAAGCAGCACACCGAAAGAAACGACGGCTGGAACGCTACTAAGTTAAATTTCCAATGCTACTCATGACTTATATCTTGGCATCTCGGTCTCCTAATATGCGCTGAACCTGCTCCTCTGGCGAGTCGAATAGTGCCTTGTATGCGTCTCCCACGCTAGCCACAAGATCCGTTGCCATCATGCCGCGTCCTTTTGTGTCGAATGCATGTCTTGAGCAAAATCGTGTGGTGGCACAAGCGCCAAACGCAGCCAAGAGCATACAACGCTCGGCGTCCATGTGATCTTCTGTATCTTCTTCCCACAGACCTGCGCGATACGCTGCTTGCCATGAGAGAAACGTGCCCATCGTACCACTCAGGACATCACCTTGACCTCCGCACCGTTTCAATCCTCCAGGCATATCCACAACAAGCGTTTCTTTTCCATTTGAAATGTAGTCTTTCGGTCCCTTCTGTACGATTGTCACGCCCAACGTCTTGCTTAGGAGGAGACATTGCTTCTCTTTGCTTTCCTTCTTCATTGCTTCCTTCAAACCAGCGGCTTCTGCAAGACGTCCAAATTCAACAACGTTGGGCGTCAAGACACATTCCAAGTACCCTTGAACGAGGTTTGGTTCATTCTTGATGAGCCATAGACCATCTGCGTCAATCACGAGCGGCATCTTGCGTTCCTTGAGGGTCTGTACAATGGCTGCTGCAGTCTTTTGCATGAGTGCATCGCGACCGAGTCCAGGCCCTAGACTCACACTCGACATGCGATCAAAGAGCGGTGTCACCTTGTCCATCATAGCATCCACATCACTCTGCTCGCTTGACTGGTCATTCGATTGGCGTAAAATGGGAAAGACAATCAAGTCTGGTGAGTAGGACTTAATGACAGAGCCTGCTTCATTGTCACACAAGATATGGCCCATATCTGCACCGAGCAGCATTGAAGACATGCAAGCATAGTACGGAGCACCTGTGTAGTTCTCTGAACCACCAATCACGAGTGTCCGGCCTGCTTGACCTTTATGGAAGCTTGGCGAGAGTCTTTATAGTATGTCAGCGGTTGGATGGTTCAAGACTGATGAAGCTTACGGTGGGATTAGGCGCTTGACTTGCTTGAGCGTCTTGAGCAGCTGGGCCATGTCTGCTTCGTCAGCCATCAGAAGCAGATCCTGAAAAGTCTCTTGAGCTGTCGTCTGTGCACATCGAGGTCGTCGTTGCGTCGTTGACCGATGCGACCACGACGTCATGCATGCGACCACAACACCAATAGCGCACCGATGAAGCGCAAGCTGCCTTCGTGGGTCGAGGAGCAGGCAGAAACAGAGACAGTACACAAGTCGCCAAAAGTCCTGCTGGAGGAGGACGAAGCTGCCACAAAGGAAGAAGAAAGCGATGAAGAAGACTACTTGAGCATGACGTTCGATACTGGCGAAAAGGCCAGCTCTTTATTATCCAAACATGACCGCGAGCGTTTGAAGCGTGCCGACAAGGGACGCGAGAGACAACCGACAGAAGAAGAGAGGGCTCATCAGGCGCGTGAAGAAGCGCTCGCTAAGCCCATCCATGCTGTTCCGACCTTGTCAAAGGCGATGCGCATGATGAACAAGATGGGCTATCAAGAGGGCACTGCACTAGGCGTCCAAGAGTCCTTCCAGAAGAACGCCCTCAAGGAACCTCTCGCACCCTCTGTGCTCGCTGAACGCGGCGGCATTGGCTTGGCGGCAGAACAAAAGAGACAATTCATGGCACAAGTAGAAGCTGTCGAGGCGGAAGAACACGCTACAGAAGAAGGCTATCGGGAAGCAGTACGAACAGAAAAGGAGACACGACGGCTTGAAGGTCAATTACACGCTGCTCAGGGCGTTTGTGAGCGGCTTGACGTGGACACACTCGGTGAAGAAGCAGTCACTGCAATGCATCGTGTCAATGTGCTTTGGCGATCGCGTGTAAGACACCGGCAGGCGAAAGAGCGAGAGCGGTTGCTACGGCAGCAGATGCTGGACCATGCGCTCAGCTTCACGAATCGGCAATTCAATGATGAAGATGCACTGGAGCATATAAATGAAGATGCTGCAGTTGACGAAGAGCAGATGATGGAGCGGCGGAGGAAGCTGAGAGCCACACTGGAGGAAGAGGGAGAAGAAGAAGCAGACGAGGAGCTGGATGCATTTGAGGCTTTGGATGTCGGTGAGCGTTTGGACCGCGTCTTGATCTATCTGCGCGAAACATACAGCTACTGCTTCTGGTGCGGGCACCGGTACAAGGACAAGCAGGAGCTGGATGAGCTGTGTCCTGGGCCGCATGAGGAAGCCCATTAGCTCGCCTGTAGAAGTAACAGTAGAACTAGTGACTATCTGGTCTCTCGCCTTGGGCCTGGTCGTGCGCTGTGTTCCAAAACTTTCGAATCCTTCTGCGGCTCAAAAACTTCAAGAGCACCAACCGCCCCTCATCCTCCAATCCTACAGAGCATAGCCAGGCACGCATGGTCCGCGACTCCAAGCTATACGATACACTCGGTGTTGACCCAAGCGCAAGCGAGTCTGTAAGTCCCATCTTTCTTTCCCGGTCAATTCGGGGCAAGAAACCACTTCCAAGACGATGACTAACGCAGCAGGACCTCAAAAAGGCGTATGTCGACCTGGTAGCCTCATTCAACACACAAACTAACATCCTCCTAGGTATCGCAAGCTTGCACTCAAGTATCACCCAGACAAGAACCCCGATGCTGGCGATAAATTCAAGGAAATCAGCCACGCGTATGAAGTCCTAGCCGACTCCAGCAAGCGGCAAATCTATGACCAGTATGGTGAGGAGGGACTCAGCGGAGGTGGTGGCGGTCATGGTGGTATGAACCCAGAAGACTTGTTCTCACAGTTCTTTGGAGGCGGCATGTTTGGTGGCGGTGGTGGTCGGCAGCAGCAGCGTGGCCCACAGAAGGGTAAAGATCTGTCGCATGTCCTCAAAGTCACCTTGGAGGACTTGTATGTGGGTAAAGTATCCAAGCTTGCTTTGCAGAAGCACGTCCTCTGTAAGGCGTGTGATGGCCGCGGAGGTAAAGAAGGTGCTGTGAAAAAGTGTGCTGGTTGCGATGGACAAGGTGTCAAGATGATGATGCGACAGATGGGACCCATGATTCAGCGATTCCAGACTGTCTGCCCAGACTGCAGCGGACAGGGTGAGACATGCAAGGAGAAGGACAAGTGCAAAGAGTGCAAGGGCAAGAAGATTGTCAATGAGCGTAAAGTGCTTCAAGTCCACATCGACAAGGGCATGCAGCATGGCCAACGGATCGTCTTCAACGGCGAAGGAGACCAAGCACCTGATACAATTCCAGGCGACGTCATCTTTGTGCTTGAGCTCAAAGAGCACGAACGCTTCCAACGCAAGGACGATGATCTCTTCTACCAAGCACATATTGACCTGCTGACTGCGCTTGCCGGTGGCAAGATCCTAGTGGAGCATCTCGACAACCGATTCATCGAAGTGCCCATTCCAGCTGGTGCAGCCATCAAGCCACAAGACTTGCGTGTTGTGGAGGGTCAAGGTATGCCGTCCTACAGGCATCACGAAATGGGCAACCTCTACATTCGCTTTGCCATTGGCTTCCCTGCAAAAGACTGGACCACACCGGACAAGATTGCCCTATTGGAGCAAGTATTGCCACCACGGCCTAAAGTCAAGCTGCCAAAGGGCGCGCATTCAGAAACGTGCGAGATGGAAGAGATTGACCCTATGCAAGAGGCGCGGGCGGAAGGACGTGCCAACAATGGTCAGGAGGACGATGAAGATGGCGAGGGAGGCCCGGGTGTGCAATGTGCTCAGCAGTAAGGGCGCCTCCTTCTGCTTGGATGTACTTCACCCTGCAGGCTCTCCGCTTGCGACCCTTAGATTTGTTTCATTGCTTTGTAGCGAGAACATCATGTCCCTGCCATATCTCTGGCCATGGAGTCGCAAATAGTGACTGTTCATTCTAAGTTGCCTGACCGTATTTGGACATCTGCTCGAGGCGACTGAAGCCGACACCACAAGCGCTATAGCTCGTCACTCGCGGGCGCATTCACTATGCGGCGCTGGGCGCTCTTTTCATTGTGTTGTCTCGGAGTAACGGCACAAGCAGACAGTATACCAGACAGCGTGCATATCATCCACGTCAATGATCTTCATTCGCACTTTGACCAGATGACACCCAAAGGCGATGCCTGCGATATAAAGAGGAAAGCTTGTGTCGGCGGCTACGCTCGCATCAGCGCACAGATTCAAGAGTTGCGCAGGCTGCATCCAGACAACAGCCTTGTACTCAATGCTGGAGATGAGTTCCAAGGAACCTTGTTTTACACGTACTACAAAGGGTCAAAGTCGGCAGAGGTCCTGAATCGTATACAATTCGATGCAGTAACTCTAGGAAATCACGAATTTGACGATGGATACGAGCATCTTGTCAAGTACTTGCGCAACTTGACATCCCCGGTCGTTTGTGCCAATGTTAGAACCAAGGTCGATGCATTGAATGACGCGCTTGTCCCGACTTTGGAGTTGCCAAGGCTTGGCATTGCAATATTCGGCCTACTGACCCCTGATACAAAGTTCATCAGTTCGCCAGGAGATGAAGTCTCATTTGCTGAACCGCTCAAAGTGGCGCAAACCCTGATTGATGACTTGCGTGGTCGCGGCTTCAAACGCATCATCGCTCTCACACACATTGGTTATGCAGAAGATCAAGATCTTGTTCGAGCAACGCGAGGATTAAGTCTGGTGGTCGGTGCGCACAGCCATACATTTCTTGGCGATGTACCTTTTTCTCAGGGGCCATACCCGACACTCGTGAAGGACCTAGATGGCTTCGAAGTGCCCATCGTGACAAATGGCAAATGGGGTTACAATCTAGGCCACCTCGAGGTAACGTTCGACGAAACCGGTCGAATCAGCGCCTATGCTGGTCAGCCCATCAGGCTTCTGCCGAATATCGAGCAAGATTCCAAGCTTGCAGATGATATTCGTGAATGGAGGAAGCCATTCTTGGAATATTCGAGGCAAGTTGTGGGCTTCGCAACGAAGCGCTTCCCGTCTCCTCTCACGTGTTGGTTTGCTGAGTGCGCCATTGGCAATCTTGTGACAGATGCCATGCTGGACGCACATCCACAGGGTGATGCAGCTATGACAAATTCAGGTGGCTTGCGAGCGGGTCTCGCAAAGGGCAATATCACTATGGGTGCAGTCATGGACGTCTTTCCCTTTCAATCGAGACTTGTTGACCTTGTCCTGACAGGAGCTGGACTCTGGGAGACCCTCGAAAACATTGTCAGCTTTAAGAATCTGCAGACTGGACATCACATCACAAGCTTTGCTCAAATGTCTGGCATGCAAATAGTGTTTACAAGCTCAAACCCGATTGGCAAGCGCCTGGCCAGTTTGAAGATACGACGAAAGTCTGACGAATCATGGGAAGAGATTGACAGGACTGCAAACTATACCATTGTCACACTTGACTTCATGACCAGTGGCGGCGACTTTTGGTGGCCCGAACAAACAGGTCTGAAGCCAAAAGAGCTGCTCGAGAATGTCTTTATCGACTATTTAAAGAAGGAGAAATCAGTGACGCCTATGATAGACGGACGGATACGCGATACGGTCAGCAAACTCAGAAGTTTCCTGGGAAGCCTGATCAATGTGAGCCGCGACTTGACTGCACTTTGGTAAGGCATTCTTGCAAACCCCTCTCGTGACGCTGACTGACAGATTCTCTAGGTTCCTGTCATTCGGTGACTGGCCGACTCACGGTCTGCAGACAATCCGCATGACCACTGAAGCCCTTTTAGAATGGCGAGCACGACTTCGAGGTGCGGCCATGCATGATGAATGATTAAACGCTTGTTGCTTTACAATTTTGCCTTGATGGCACCCAGCCAGCTGTCCTTCTCACCTGTACCCTGTTCGCCGACCCGCAGTACAATGACAGCGATGTCGTCCTCCTTGCCGCCATCATATCGCATGCGATTTTGCCGAGCCTCAACACTGAAAGGACCATTCTTGGTTCTCGAGACGCCGGCCATTTGTGCTTGCTTGACCAAGGCAGCTGCTTGTTTCGCAGCATCTTGCTGACTTTTCTTCATGTACTCTAAAGCATCCTCGAGAAAAATGTTGTCAAAGAATCCATCTGTAGCCAGGACGACCGTGTCGCCCGATTGAAGCTGAAATGTCTGCAGATCGGCATCCGCAGGCTTGTTCTCCAGCTGACCAGGCCGACGCATGGAGTCTGGCATCTTGGCTAGCTGATAGGGTGCATTGAAGAAATACGTCTGTGGCTTTGATGCATACAGAACCTGGCCTGCTCGAGCAATGAAATACCCTGAATCTCCGAGATTCGCAACGGCAAATTCAGCAGTCGCAGTGTCAATGCTGGCAATGAGCGCAGTTGCAGAGCCAAGCTTGATCCTAGCGTCCTTTTGCACGGCACTGTATGCTGTTTGCAAAATAGTCGCGGGAGATTCCGTCTTATTGGTCGAAGTCTTACAAGCTTCAAGGGCATGTTCAGCAAGGCCGCGTGAAAAGACGCTTGGATCAACACCCATATCCTGCCAGCCGCCAACACCATCCATAACTCCAAGCCACAGCTTGTTTTGCTGCTTGCACAGGAAGAATGCGTCTTCACCAGCTCCAATGGTATTAGCACCCTCTGCAGAGGTACTTGCTGGTTCCGAACCGACTTTAGTGCTTGGCCCAGTTTGAGTCGGGCGTGCCCGTCTTTTGGGCACAGCAGACGCACCTACTGTGCAGGAGAAGAGCGTCGCAGCCGCAGCAGCCACTGTGCGTGTGCTTGAAAGCGGTCTCATGCCTGAGCGTGCACGAGCAGAATATTGTAAAGTAGGATGTGTACAATGTAGTCTTGAAGCTGATAGAGAGGGAGCTGCGGTTCGTTGAAGCAAGCTACGCGTCCAGGACATACAAGCACAGCTTAGTCTCTCACGGGAGGTTGACAGTCTGACAAGATACAAGCGTCCACGGACCACGAGTGTCAGCAGATGCAGCCGAGCGTGTGACAAATTTGCGTTCAGGGGTGCGACTGTCGCGATATCTAAATCAGGTCACACGAAACCCGCTCACTGTATAGACGACCAACTTGTCCGTCTTGTTCGAATGTCAGCAAATGATATCATAACAGAATCTCGCCCGTGTGGGAAGCTTGAGCTTTGGTGTGTCTATCGAGCTGACCTCAAATGCTACCTCAATGTTAATGTCTCTTGCCTTTACTCGACACAGGACGGCTCAAAACAAGATGCCAAATCCTTAGAAGAGTCTGTTCGCCTTGCTTTGTTGAAACGTGTCATACCGGAGAATGCGTTGCTAGGCTGCAGTATCGAAGAGACAAATTCCGAAAAGTGCTACTTCAAAAGCCAGGCATGGTCTCTCGCTGAGCTACCTATCGAAATCTTGGATGGAAGCAGTAATGTAGAGCAGGTTATCTGCGCTACACACAACACTGCATTGCCTGTGAGTCTGCCATGGAAGGTACAGATTCTCCCGGCATCAGAATCGAGTGTGGACAATAACAAGTTTTGGCTGTCCTTCACCTTCCATCACGCAATTGCGGATGGCTCCTCTGGCTTGATCTTTCACAAGAAGCTGCTCGCAGCACTCAATGAAGGTATTGATGATGCAACAGTTCCGTCAGCCAGAGATTCGCTTCCACAACCCATTGAGGTCCGTCTCGACGTTCGGCCTGGCCCAGTCATGTTGCTAGGAGAGCTTTGGCAGATTGTCCCATTACCATCCTTTGTCAAGCGCTGGTTCTCCCCTTCTTGCTACCTGGGTCAGAGTACAACATTGCAACAACGGGTGAGAACCCAGTGTCGTCTGCGCTCGCTTGTTTTACCAGCCGATTCAGTCGCAAAGCTACGAGGCACGTCCAAGAAAGCTGCTGTCAGCATACATGCTCTCATCCATGCTGCACTATTGCACGCATTCTCTGACCTGATTGGACAGACGCCAAAGGCATCGCAGAACATCAAGGCTTACACACCCATCAATCTTCGCCCTTTGCTGAAGGGCCAGCAAGACATAATTGCCAACTATGTTTCAACGCATGCAAGCTCTCTTCAACCCAGGAGCACTTTGGTAGAGACCGCAAAAGCTTTTTACAAGGAGATCAATCAGCCAGGTTCGCGAAGCAAAGCACTGCAGCTGTTGGGCTTGTTCAACTACATCGACAATCACGCTCCCCGGCAAGTCAAAGTCAACGAAAAGAAGGACTCCGTGACAAGTGATGGGTCGATCAGTCGCGTCGCCTCTCGTCTTGTTGCAGGCATGCAAAATTTTGTTATGGAACGCCTTGAGCGTGCTACAGAGACCTCGCTGTCGGGCACGTTTGAGATTTCGAATCTTGGCAATTGGCAGCCAAAAAATACTAGCAAGGAGGCAAGCCGTCTTGGTATAGACGATGTCATTTTCTCGGGATCCAATGGGCCGATCGGAGAACTTATAAATCTCTGCGTTGTCACCTTGGCTGGCGGTCCGATGCGAATCATCTTCAGCTATCGAACAAACTTCATCAGTGAAGAGATGGTTGACAGTCTTGTGCAGCTCTTTGAAACTCACCTTGCCAAGCTTTGCGCTTGACCTCTCAGGCTCTCACCCATGAGTCTTGGCGAGTTGAGTCGGTAAGAGAATGGCTGTGCCCGTAGGGCAGCACAGCCGAGCGTATCTCGAGATCTCGAGGACGGGTCCACAATGTCTCGCCGTAATCGTGTCTTGCAAGTACGCGTGATCTGAACACTCGTGCGAGCAAGAGATGAAAATTCGAGCTCGCTACCGAGCCTTGGCTGGGCTGGTCTGGATTTCGGGCCGCGCCCTACTTCCGCAGTCTCGTCTACGCATTTACCAAATTCGGCATCTTGGCCACGTTGATCTTAAGCTGGCGTGTCAGCAATGACACAGCATGTCATCATGAGTATGCTGTTTCCGAGCACAGCCAACATGCATCAGCTGTCCTGCAGCCCGACTCCTGCTATGGCTAGACTCGTATGGTCATGCTCAAAGCAGCTATATCTCGAGTCAGCTGGCAGACCCCTCAACAGAACGGAAATTACTCATCATCTAGTGGTGCAAAAGTTGCGACCAAGCCTATGGTGACAGCAATTCTCCGCGTTTTACACATACATTAGCAGGTGATGTCTGTGGACATGAGACCGAGGTTCTGTGATAGAGGCTGGCCGCTTGAATTCTCAGGGCTGAATTCAGCAACTGTCATCGTCAAGAGTTGACATGATCACGGCGACACTGATATTCGGGCATGGACTTTTGGCTTCCAAAGTCCTCCTGAATTCGGAAGCTTGCGGTCTTGATCAATGCTTGACGTAGGCAGGCTGTGCTTAATGCTCATGCTGAGCTGCCTGGGCAGCTCGAGAAGGCCGGACCGTCCTTCTACCAATGATGAGAGTTGTACCCTGATCTGTCTACAGCCATCAAAGCCAGCATGTCACCTTCAGATATTCCTCCTTCCGGTGCCGGTTCGATGCCATAGATCAAATCATGAGCATTGTCGTTGTTGGCCTCAGTAGACGAAACGAATTCACTGAATCATGAATATAATGCTCTCTGATGGTCGACGCGTGCGCAATACGAGCTGTAGCCTGTAGGTCCAGAACACCGAATCTAGAGGTGTCCGACATCACATTGCAGATGTATCTCGGCGTGACTGCAAGTGTCAATTGATCAGCTTCGACAACCTAATTAACATTTTGACAGACTATCGTCTCAGATCCACACTGCCCAGGTAGGCAAGTATGGGCAGCGTTTCGAACAACCACTACAGTGAGTCAGTGACACTACCTCGTCGACGGACAGACCGCCCTGCCGCCTGGTTCGAAGGCGCTATGCCACCGGCGTGAATGGTCGAGAGGTGTCTCAGATGGGCGGAAATTTTTGGCAACTCCAGCCAGCGACCAGTCAACGACCAGCCTTCTCTCCCTGCAAAGTCTTGCCGCGGTACCCCTTCTCAGCGTGGATGGACTCGCCTGACGCAAGCGCAGATGGAACTGTCTCCAAGGACTCGGTCCATATAGTCCCGTCAGTCTAGTCTTCTGGCGCCGACCCGTATGGCGGCCGAGCTATATTTCATCTCTTGGACCACCCGCATCCTATAATACACACAACATCCAGTCAGGATCTCTAGCATCTCTCACCATACCTACTGAGCAGGCTCGGGCTTGACGCGTTGAAGAATTTTCGACCAGGACAACAGAGACGAGGTATCGAGGCAAACATTTTTTGATCAGCGACCTATTGTCAGTCCTTGCAGCCGGTCAGCAAGTGGCAGACGAGCCTCGAGACTTTGTCTGTCACCTGTTCAGCGTACGATTGCCCAATGACGAACGAGGTTTTATCATATGCGCCTATTCAACTGAGCGATTCGGCGTTGAAGGCCATCAATGATTCCGGCATGGCGGTAGCGGCAATCTCATTAGCGGTTGGCGTCTTTATGCTTCTCATCATCGCCATACAGTATTATCGGTTTCCGAAGCAAGTACTAAAGTTATGCTCAAGCGGTCCGACGATGCTTCTTTATGCAAGTCTCGTGGCGTCGATTCCCTTTTCTGTGTTCTGGATAGTCTCGTGCAGTCCGGCAGCATCGAATAAAGTTGCTTGCGAGATATCCATGTGGGCAATCGTCTTCTTTCTGAATCTCATCATTGGATTCTTGACCGTCATGCTGCTATTATGCGCATTTCTCCTCTCACCCTGGCCCAAGCTTGCTGGATGCTATTACAGGAATTGGTACCTTTGCTTCTTCTTCTTCCTCTCTCTCGGACTCAGTCTTGTCGGAATCTTTACGGGCACTTTCGGATACTTGGTTGATCAAGACACTTGCTGGGTCATTGCAACCAAGACCTACGACACTGAATTGGAAGAGACGCGTGCAAAATATGTGATGCTGGTCATCATGATTTACGGGCCGCTCTACGCATCGTTATTCTTGAACCTTGGCCTCTTTGCGTACGTCGTCGTACGCCTCAACAAGGTCTGGGAAGACCGCAGCAACCTTGGGGTCCAGTCTACGCAAGACTTTTCAAGGGCTCTTACCAGGCGAGTTGCTTTCATTCCCGTGGCTATTGGCACACACGCATTGCTCGTGATTGGCGGCGACTTGCCCATCACGTACAAGACGACAACAGCCATGTTTATGAGCTTTTTTTGCAATTACATTGGTTTCTCTTCCTTCACTATCTGTGTTGCCATGTGTGCAGCACTCATCGATCCAGGGTTCCGCAAGATCTTGCGCTTGAATCATGCAGCTGTTGCAAGAGCTGCAGAGCTAGAGGCAGGAGGCAGAATATCTTATGTTGGAAGCTACAAATACATGGATGGTAATACGAAACACGCCAGCACCGATTCACCAGCCGAAATTGCCATGATGCCCACCTCACCCACTTCACCAAACTCTCCATTCAGCCAGACGAGTTCTTCTGCGTCTACAACGACACGCTCAAGTCGTAAATGGATACCAGCAATCTCAGCACATGAGCTTCCCGAGTTGGCACCCGCACGAATGGATCCACTCCCACAAATACCATCACCTATAGCTCGCAGTCCACAAATTCCAGCAACCATTCGCACTTTTGAGTTCATGGAATCAGTTGGCTCTAGTTGGGTTACTGCGCCAGTCTTGCCAGGTAGGCAAGATTCCTTGACAGTATCAATGCTTCCTGCTGTGACACTCCTGGCTGCACCGCCTGTAATGGCTGCGCAGGGACGTATCTGGGAGCCGAACTTTCCATCGGCACTCATGGTAGAAGATGAGGAACTGGTTGTTCCTGCCATTCGCCCAGGTGCATAGGGTCACCGTCAAACAACGACCTAAACACTCAAACTGACCCCTTATGAACTTTTTGAATAAATTTACAGCGAAGGTTTTGCATCCATTGAACAACTCAAACTCAATTACTCTGTAGTGAATCTCAATTTCGTCCAATTCTTGAAAATACCTCAAAACTTGGCATAGCCTTGCTTTTTTTGAAGTTCTCGCATTCCGCTATCGAAGCTATCGACGGATGCGCGACAATTGCTAGATGCACGAATCTCTTTTGCTTCTGCCATCTTACTTTCGATATACGCAATTCTTGACTTGTTGGAGGGATGGGTACTCAGGAATTGTGGAACTTGTCCCTGAGCAGCTGCTTCCATACGCATCCAAACGGCTTTCGCTTCTTCTGGATTATAACACGCTTGAGCCATCAGCCGCAAGCCGATATAATCGGCTTCTGTCTCCATGTGTCTGGAATAGGGGTTATCCAAGGCAAGTGTTGTGATGCCACGACCGAGTCCCATGGCCAAATCACCGGATCCTGTAACTTGTGCAAGAACAAGCGTCAAACCAAGCGTCAAGACTTGTGAAATGGGGTTCATGGACATTTGCTCAGCGGTATGCCGAGCAACTTGATGTCCAATCTCATGACCCAAGACACTAGCGAGACCATCGGGAGTTTTGGCAACGGGTAATAATCCAGAAAAGACGAAAATCTTACCACCTGGAATGACAAATGCATTTGCTTCTGGTGAATCAATGACATGCACTTCCCAATCAAGTCCTTTCAAGCCACTCACTTGAATCAATCGTTTCGCAACCGTTATGACAGTCTTGGCATGCGGATGCGATGCTGGTAGCATTTTGTTGCCATATTGTTGTAAGATGGCTTGATATGTTTCCTCAGCAGCAGCCGTTTCCGTTCGTGCAGAGACATTCATGAATCGTCGACGTCCCGTCAACTCCACCTTTTCAAGATGCGACACATAATACATCGTACCACCCACAACAACCACACCACCGCCATACTGAAAGCCTGGCGTTTTCCAAACTGCTCGACCGTTCTTGCCACGCACGGATTGGGCGAAGCGTTGGTAGAGCATGCGTTGGACGCGTGGGTCGATGCCTGCTGCTGAAGTGCGGGTGGTTGCATGGAAGGCGCGTGTTGTGGTAAGGTGATGGATATGGCCTGTGAGCTTTGCTTGTATAGAGCGATAAAGGTAGCCTGACATGCTTGTGCTTGATAACAGCTACGTATAGGTTGAGTATCTTTTGAGTCTGGGGAAGGCGACAAAGTGAAAGTGACGCCCATTGGATTGGCGTGTAAAAGGACAGTCACATATACTGCGACAATGATCTTTTATGTTTCTTACACGACCTGCTCGTCATCCACATCCATGATAATGGCAGGCTGGGTCATCAAAGCAGGCTGCACACTACCAGATCCTTGCGCTAGATGCGCATCCAGGGATTGAAGACTATACCCACTCACAGAGCGTTGTCCCGTACTCAATCGATCCGCATCTCGGGTGTCTTCCATATTGTTGTGTAGCATGGATCGATAGTTGTATAGGCTACCAGCAAGCGACGTACCCGTTCGACCACCCATGGCACTTGTATCGCCCGCAGGCATATACGTTGCAGGCGTAGAAGCGTTGTGTTGTGTATGAGCTGATTCAAACGATGTTCGAGCAGAAGCTGGTGCAAGCGCGCGCATACTCGCTTGTGTATCGATACTGCGACGTCGGCGACGTGCTTTTGAGCTAGAAGCCAAGGTCAACATACTTGCATTATCAGCAGCGCCTGTGCCCATCACACCGCTTGTTCGTTGGGAAAGGAGAGAGGCTGCTGTTTGTGGAAAGAAGGTTGGTTGCGTCTCTGCTGTGCGTGTGGTGAAGATGGAAAGAACGGTGGATTCCTTGGAGGAGTGGAGGGAAGCCATTGGACTGTGTGTGGATGCATTATCTGCCGTCTCTTCATCCATACCAATACGAGGGGTATCCACTGTCTCGCCATCTGCTTCAGACAAGTCATCCTCCGTTTTTTCCGTTGCAAGCGGTCTATCTTCTGGATCCACTGGCCGTCTGTCTGATGTATCTGTGAGTGAGAGCATCGACGGCATCCTACTATCGCGCAATCCTCTTGCCTGACTCGGCGCTTCAACATTCAACACGGCAGCATTGGACGAGACACTAGGTGCGCGTGTAGAAATGGTAGGCCGTAGACTAGACGCATCACTACCAGATCCTTCAAGGGAACTCCCCGTTTGCTGGAGTGAGAGAAAAGGCGCGCCATGAACAGACGAGGCTGGTGTGGAGAGGTGATGGGCGTTTTGTGCGTTATTGTTGCGCGCTGCTGTTGGATCGCCATGTGTTGCAGTACGCTTGTATAGTTTTGAGAGCCAGCTGAAGCGACTACTTGCTGAGCCTTTCTGCCTCGAGTGCATGACACTGGCCATTGTGTGTTGTGTTGCTGTGTGATGAAAGCGTGGGGGAGGTTCGAGCGTGTTGGGCGGCGTCATCTCTGCGACAGAGCGCGACTTACTAGACAACATACGCTCTTCTGCTCAGGCATCAGGCAGCAGAGACAAAGCGCGTGACGGCCAGATCAGCAGGAAAGATGAGTGCGACGTACCAGTACAGCGTTGCCATGACGTGCGGCGCATGCAGTGCTGCTGTCAATCGCGTGCTCACAAAGATGGAAGGTGCGTATACAGCAGATCATGGATGAGCAAGGAAGGCTAACTGGGTGTTTAGGGGTAGAGACGATTGACATTGACATGGAGAAGCAGACGGTGCTTGTGTCTGCAGACCCTGGGCTGGGTGCGACGTATGATGCGGTGCTGGAGAAGATTAAGAAGACGGGCAAGACTGTGCATGGGGGCGAGGTTGTGAGTGGATAGCATACTGCTCACTCTCACTAGTATCAGTATCACCAGTACTAGTATCGTTAGTATCAGTATCATTTCCAGTATTAGGAGCAGCACCCGGGACTGCTTTCTGCGCCCGAAATTCAAACAAACTCACAGCGAAAGGAAATTCAGGCAGAGACACCACAGAATAGACAGACACTCCCACTCCTCTCCCCCAGCAACCATGTCAGACACAGAAGACTACGATGCCGTCAAGGCAGCAGAGCTCAAGAAGGCACGTTCCTTCCGCCGTTTCCAGTACCGCGGCATCGAACTCGAGGCACTCCTCGACATGTCCTCTGAGCAACTCATGGACCTCGTCCATGCCCGTGCACGCAGAAAGTTCCAGCGTGGTCTCAAGAGGAAGCCCATGGGCTTGATCAAGAAGCTCCGTAAGGCAAAGAAGGAGGCACCTGCAAACGAGAAGCCTGCCGCAGTCAAGACGCACCTGCGTGACATGATCATTGTCCCAGAGATGATTGGCAGCATCATTGGCATCTACAACGGAAAGGTCTTCAACCAAGTCGAGATCCGCCCCGAGATGGTCGGCCACTACCTTGCCGAGTTCTCCATTTCCTACAAGCCCGTTCGTCACGGTCGTCCTGGTATTGGAGCTACCCACTCTTCGCGATTCATCCCTCTCAAGTAGAGGCACTCAGCAATCCAAGCAAACTCTGGCTCTCAGCCTCTTTGCATATACCACGTTCTTACGAGCAATACAAAATCTCAAAAAAATTCAGTCTCTTCTTCACTCATGTGATGGTTGATTTGTCAATCTCTGAAAGGACCTTTGACATTAAGACACCTCTCCTCTTCCTCTCCCCATCCATGTCCCCAATCGCGTTTGTTGTCGCTGCCGATGCTCTTCCGCCTCTCGTCTGAGCACTTGTGTCTCTCCTTGAATACTTGCCTTTCAACATCATTGACTACATCATTGACTATCCCTGAGAGGTGCAGTAAGATTTACGTAGAATTACTTGCAAACACTCCCCTTTCAATGGTATGCCTGAGCCTGTTCTTGAGTTGTCTGTATACTAGTCACTTGAGTGTCGTTAGACTGCGACAGTCAGGCTTGTCGCATGCGTTCGACACGTCTCACGCACAACCCTTTTCAAAACGACACCGACACGCACATTAGCTCCAAAGGCTTATAGCACTAGGGTCGTATGGAGCGAGGTATCTTCTTTAGCTAGTGCGCCTATTCACAAGATGCCTGCTTTTAGCTGCTCTACTCAGATGCTGTATACGTCCATCCACTTTGGCAATCGAGGTCCACGAGTCCTAACGCTGAACGACACTACTACCATTGAACCGCGGCGATGAGCTTCAAGACACAGACAGACATCTCTCCGTTTATGACTACACCCGAGTGATGTTGGCGGACAAGCTTCCACTACAGCGCAGCATAGACAAGCATCTGTTTGCGATGCAGCAGCGCGACACACTGACATGAAAAAGGAAGGCCGCAGCGTGTGCTCGCAAAATAGGCAAGCACTCAACAAAAGTAATGCACGACGCTTCCGATTGGCTCTGTGCGCTTGGGCTGCCATTGCAAGCACTGACGAGCCGGTCATCTGAGTGCCCGTGGCTTCACCACACAGTGACAAATGTTGAGGAAACACGATTAAGCTGATCGTGGCAAAGCACATTAAGCTCACCAATTGATATTTGGTCATATATCGCTCTGCTCTGCCTAATTACCTCCTTGCCCAGTCGTCACAGTTTTCTACTACCATCTGAACCTTTCTCCTTCATGCAGCTGAAGCCCTTCAATGCTTCTCCAGTCTGCGTCCTTGGCATTCGCCAAAACACTCTACAGCTCATCATGAGCTTCTTCAACTGGGCACTCGAGCTTCAAGACTTCTTTAATCTCAGTCTTTCATTTCTATCAAGCTTTTTTTTTGAACGCGTACGAGCACCTGATTGTCGCGGACTGAGCTCCGAGCTCTCAGTGCTCCTACCCTTCCGTCTTCACAGCCGCGTCTGTGCACCCCGAGTTCCCAGTGCTCACCCCTTTCCGTCTTCTCAGCCGCGTCTGTCTATCTCGAGCTCCCAGCGCTCCTACCCTTCCGCCATCACGCTGGCACCTGCAAGCTCCCAGTGCTATCACACGTCCCGACGTATCTCTGTCGCATGTCTCCTGCTCAGACCTGTCTCAAACTCAAACCTGTTCCGCTCGCAAGCATCACTCGGTCCTCGCCCAGACCTTCATCGGCAACTGCCAGTGTTATTTCCAGGGTCTTTGCCATCGCCCACTTCTATCTCGTCTGTTCAGTTGCCAGAGGAGAAGGAAGCGCACAAAATCAGGGCCCCAAGACGTCGTTTGATTGACGCAATCAAAGTCATGGCTGAGAAACAAGGCATCTCAGAAGTCAAAGCTGTTGAGCAAGCTGCGCTTTGCGCGGAAATGCTTCGCTGCCTGAATTCGCCGAAAGCTCATTGCCCAAGAAATCGCCCAACCACCGGTAGATGTACCAAACAGGCATATTCAGCAGCCTCTTATGACAAGCTGATCTGAATAAGAACGAGGTCGTGGCGGGCTGCAGCAACATGCCCAATCGCACAATTGCCAACCGTTGGATCCGGCAATGCAGTTCAGGCGCAGCTGTTGAGTAGGCCGCAGGTGATCGTCCTCATAGCATCGGGGGCTCAGGATCAAGACTAGTAAAGCGTCACATGCGGGCACCCGTCGCGGAAATTTTGCCGCAGCGTATATTTTCAGGGGGAAAACCCGGGTCACAAAAAGCAGAGTATGCCGCGAAAGTCTCCCGTTTCACTTACACTTCGCTAAAAAGGCCAGCAGTCGCACCACAAGCCTGTACATATTGAGTTGCCATCTGTAGCTAATGCTCACAGATTACAAAGGTCTAGGACAAGTCTGGTAGATGCCATTTGAAGTGTTTTGCCGCGGAGATGATTCTGCATTAGTGCAGATCAGGGAAAAAAGAACGCAGTCTAGATTTGGACTTCTCCGGAGTTGTGCCATATGCCACGTTTTCTGCGATCCCATGACCACGGTTAGCTTTAAATATGCAAACGTCCTCTGAGATGCCAGCTCTTCTCAATCAACTTAGGCCTACGATTTTGCCGACAAGCCAAGAGCGAACTCTGGGAGATCTCATCCAAGGCCTGTCAGTCATAGGCAGCCGTATCTCGATGGCGAACATAAGCAAACTGCTTGGCATTCCATTGTGGGGTTGGAGCCTGATTTTCACTCCGATTGAGGCTGAGAAGATTGCACCACCTGGAGCTTGCTGGCTGCAGATGAACGACGTAAAAGGGAAGGAAGGTTTTCCTTTCAGGAAGGTTTGTCAAAAGACATTGCCACCTTCCTGGTAGTATCACAGGATCTGCTCTCCTGTTTCAAACAATGTCGAAAGAGCCGAATTTTGCGATTCAACCTGGTTCAGTTCAAAGCTCTATACCTTTCGAAAAGGAGATGATCGAGGCCTCAAGGCACCTGAGGATCGCTGTCAGACCTATCCGGGGTTCGCATCGCATTCCCATTGAGCCAAAAGTGACTAGTCCCTAGAGGACACCGCTGCAGCTCTTTAAACCCCGAATCCAAGGCCTCATCCAGGAGTCAGTGCTCATCAGGAGACACCTCCTGGACCCAACTTCGAATCCCGCAGAATCTCGAAGCTCATTTTATATCTAACAATCGCCTCACCCCTGGAGATCGGCACGTCGGCATTGTTTACCCCAACCAGGACAAAAAGGATGCAAAGGATCATAATCCCTACCCGCCTGTGCTTGCGCCATTCAAAACCCATTGGTGTCGATACTTCCTCGAGAAAGTCGTAACTTACAGAGGTTATGCTCGTGATACTAGTACTATTGTTACGAACCAGTGCTTCCTCTCATCTTGATGCCTGAGCAGGTGAACAAAGTCATGAGTTGGCATCGGCACTGTCTGTATCAGCAAAGCCTGGTGCTGCCAGCCCATTTGAAAGCTTAGATTTTCAGAATGCATCCATAACCAAATACACTTCGTCTTATACTTGCCTTGCACCGATGACTTTTCTGGAGCTTTGTGCAGTCTTGCCTTTCGCTTTGACGGCATGCCGTTTTCTGTTGGCATGCTCTCCATCAGTCGGCTGCACCTCACTCACAAGGCACAATTCGACATCAACACCGGCGAGCGCCATTTGATCAAGCCACGCGATTTGTGTCTCTGACAAGCGGTCTCCGGGACCCTTGACCTCAACAAACAGGCATTTTCGCGTGTCCGGATTCCACATGCATAAATCACCAATACCACCGACACGGTGGCCGTATTCCTCCGCGAAAAGTCGACAAAGCTGTGCAAGGGGTCGAGGGCCAATGCACGATGCAATTTCCAGCAAGTCTTGTAATGCGTAATTCCAATTGACACCAACGCACCATGTTTCTCGGTTGCGGTGGATGGTGTCTGTCGCCTGCAAAAGCTCGGCTGCTTTGCCATTCTCTATCGCAGCCAGACGAAGATTAAGTGCACTCGCACGAGAAGGATAAAAGGCATCAGTGGCGAGATCGAGGGGGGCAGTTTGGAATGCTGTCTGAAACACACCAGGAATCGGCAAGAACAAAATATCCCAGAACAACAGACCAAACAGCGTTGTGACAATAGAATTCTCCGAGTGGAAGCCACGCCAGCCGAGAGTTTCGTAAAATTCCAAGGATAATTGCTCAACCGAAACTTCACCGCCGTCCTTGCCACGCCAGACAGAGTGCTTCCCAGTCTCTGGGTCGTCAAGACGCATACCAATCACTTGACGCTTCGCAGGCTTCCGGATGAGAATGTGTGAAAAGTCATGTTGCTGCCTCTTCACGGTGTTCAAGTCGCGTTCGAGACGAACAATCCGATTTTGCAACGCATGGTGGTAGATTTGGTGAGTGTCGACATCCTGCAGACCAGCGACACAAGTCTCGAGCGCCAGGCGTTTACTTTTTCTAACTCCAACTTCTGCCGTTGGCCCAAGAGCAAGAGGATTGTAGTGTTGTTCAATCAAAGCCTTCCGATCGTACCATTCTCCGCGACGACCCACTCGAAAGATCTTTTGAGACAACAAAGCAGTCCATACTTCATGTTCTCGCGAGTATTCATGCCGTTTGGCAAAGACCACTGCGGCTTTGAAGAGTAGCCGCGTCCAGACCCAACCAGCGGTAAAGCGGCGAGCGTAGTAGCGTGCTCGACGATCATGGAGCGGATCGTCTGTGCTTTCAATCTTGATTTGCATCTCCTGATCTTGTTCACACATAACGAGCACTTGCCAGTCCTCGTACACTTGATGAAAAATGGCAATGACTCGATCAAGGCCAGCTTCAGTCTGGTTCGAGCTCAATTCCATGATGGCGTCGACTTCAAACTTGAGCTTAAGCGCATGTTCATAGTCGAGAAGTGCCTGCCGAGAAGAAAATATGGTGGAAAGCCTATCAACCTCGTACGTCGGAAAGTTGCGCTTCGAGATGCGAGCGAGAATGAGCGTCGTGAGCGACTTTTCACTGTACTCGCTGGACCGATAAAAAACTAGATGTAGTCGGTGAAAGAGCATGACTGGCTCATTGGCCAACCGTATCATAGTGCCAGTCATTGAGCGGATGCGAGACATCATCTGATTGGACTTGCGCGTCGGCTTGCTTCCTGCACCGTCTCGATCGAGACCAAGACTACCAGAGCGCGAGAGGCCAATTTGGGAGTGCCCAACCTTCAGCAAAGAAGTGAGAAGCTTATCCTTGGTTGTGCCTTTGCAATTGTAGTCCTTGGCCAAAGTCTTGAGCTCATCTAGAGATAAAAGCGCAAGCAGGTCCTCGAGTGTCTCAATAAGGGAGCCGTCTTCCGCAAAATCCACTGATGGACAGAGCAAGGCCTTGCAGGCTGCTTCGACATTGCTAATGTCTCCCTCATACCCAATCTTGTTGATTCGGAACCAAGCACCTCTCTTGCGCAAAAAGAGGCGAACATATAGATAACGCGCCTCGTAGGGCAAGCTTCGGTACTTGGCCGGTATCTCAAGCTCTTCATCTGAAAACAGAAACGCTTCATGCTCGAGGACCGTATCGAGAGCAGTCTCGAAGGCCTGTGTATATAGAGAATCTCTGTGCTGCTTCCTCGTTCTAGGGTTTGGAGAAAGAGCAACATCAAAACCAAGCTGACCGATATTGCCTGGTGTCAATTCGACATCGTAGCCTAGCTTTGAGCCCGTTCGCGGAGGAGTCCGAGGCGGCGAGCCTTCTAGCTTGACTCGCTTGGTCGGCGGTGGCGAGGGCGATGCAGAGATTTCAGGTCGACTGACAGGCCCAATGAAAGGTTCTAGCTTGATGAACGGAGGCTCCTCATCGAGTGACGGAGATTCTAATAGCTGCTTCATCCATGGCAATCAGTGAGCATCCATTGAAATGAGGCGTTGAATCGGGCCAGTCAGTTGCAAATTGCAAGTACTCGATGTTTTCTAGGGTTAGGTCACACGGCTTCTTTTCACAAGCAGCAAAGCACAAGAAACATCCAAGCTCAAGGAGACGAAGAGGATCACTCATGAACGGGTCGAGCAGGTACGACGACCGCAGGTCAGACCGGCATCGAGACTCTCGTGACACGCGCGATTCTGGGCGCAGCAGCGGGCATGACCGCTATGAACGCGATGAGAGGCGTGACTCACGATACCGATCTTCTCGTGATGATGATGACCGTCGCTCCGGAAGTCGGCGGTCATATGATGACAGATCTTCAAGAAGAGACGAGCCTAGGCAATATTCATCCCGTGATGATCGTGGTGGAGGCAGTGGTGGGTATCGTGGCGGTGGTGCAAGTCGTGATTATGACCGGCCTCGCGGCGGTGGTGGTCCAGGACGCATGGACGGACATGGGTATGCTGGTGGTGGCGGAGGAAGCGGTGGTGGTGACAGACGACCTCGTGAACGCAGTCGATCGCCTGTGCGTCCACGCGAACCGACACCCGACCTCACGGATGTTGTGCCCATTCTTGAACGCGTACGGCGCCAGACTATGTGGGACGTAAAGCCGCCTGGCTATGACGATATTTCAGCAGAGCAAGCCAAGTTGTCTGGTTTGTTCCCGCTGCCAGGAGCACCGCGCGCTGCTGCGCCAGCTGATGCAGAGAAGCTCAAGGCTTTCGTCGAAAAGGGGTTGGCGAACAAGCTTGCCGACTTGCAGCCGTCTAGTGCGCGGCAAGCTCGTCGTGTTGTGGTGGAGAATTTGCCACCGTTGACGGAGGAGTCTGCGTTGGTAGGTTTCTTCAACGACATCATGTTCAACTTGAACGTGGGAGAGCGTGGCAAGCTACCTTGTCTCTCTGCACAAATCAACAAGGAAAAGGCGTATGCATTGGTGGAGTTACGGACAAGCGAGGAAGCGACATGTACCCTTGCATTTGATGGCGTTGCCTTTAATGAAGCCAAACTCGCCATTCGCCGACCGAGGGACTATATTGTACCGGAGACGAGAGAAGATGAAAAGCGCACAGACATCATTGGGTCTGTCCAAGACTCACCCAGCAAAATTATGATTCGCGGCTTGCCGACAGCACTTGCCGAGGAACACTGCATCGAGCTGCTCAAGTCATTCGGAGAACTCAAGTCATTCCTGCTTGTCAAAGACAGTGACTCTGGCGAATCCAAGGGCTTTGCCTTTTGCGATTTCAGTGATCCGAGTGCGACAGAAATTGCATGCGAAGGCCTCAACGGTATGGAACTTGGCGAGTCACCTCTCAGTGTTCAGCGTGCTTGTTTGGGCGCAAAGCAAGTTGCACCACCTGTTGCTGGTCTTGCTGCACTTTCCGCATTGGCAGAATCAGAAGCGCCTATGGATGCAACCAAAGTACTCGTCTTCTTCAACATGGTGACTGCAGAGGAACTCAACGATCCGAACGAGTACCAAGATATTTGCAATGACGTTCAGAGTGTCTGCGACGCAAGCGCGCCTGTCGTGGACATCAAGATTCCCAAGCCAAGTGGTGGTTCAAAAGTCAATCCTGGTGTTGGCAAGGTCTTTGTTCGTTTTGCAGATGAAGCTGGCAGTACGGCTGCGATGCATCAGCTGGCTGGTCGCAAATTTTCGAATCGCACCATATTGGCGACGTTCTTCCCAGAGGAGAGCTATGAGGCGGAGGCATTCTGAGATTTCCTCTCTTAGGACAGTTGATGTACTTTACTTTACCTTCGCCATTGCCACTGTCGTGATTTCTTGCTTGTACCTTGTCAGCCTTGGGTTCATGCCAACTTCATGGTGTCTATTGGCTGTGCATCTGATCGCAAACTGAACACGCAGCAGTAGACGAGCAGCGTCATTGACACACACCAGCAACCTGCCCCAGGCCATGCGGACACAGACATGGGTGCTGTCGCTTCCTTTGGTGTCGGGCATTCTCCTCAAAGACCCAGTTGCTGAGCCTTACTTTGACATCGTCTTCAGCGACGACCGTGTCGCGTCAAAAGAAGCACACGCCAAACTTCACGACCCCGTGCAGCAGAAGTACAAGTACCGTCTCATCCATGACGGTCGCGAAAAGTATCTTTGTTCTGTTCCGAACATCACGAAAGCACCTAGTCAGCGATATCGCGACCAGAAGTTGCTGAATGGCGATGAACGTGCCGCGTCACAAGCCAAAGAAGCAGCGATGGCGAAAGCAGCTGCGCAACGCGGTTGGGATATTCTCAAGAAACTAGATGGACATTGTATCTATCGTGGTATTGGCTGGTGGACGTACAAGTTTTGCTTTGGGAAGCATATCGAACAGTTCCATGCGAAACCGCCAGCTGTTGGGCAACCTTTTTATCCGCCTGTGCCAGATCTGAATCATGCATCGTACTCGCTAGGCTCTAGACCTAATCCGGAATCGAGAGCTGCGTCAATGAAACTAGCGCGTGCACAAGGCGCTGCTAAAGCATTGAGCATCACATATGATGGCGGTACGTATTGCCCCCTGATTCGCGGTCCTCGCAAAACAGAAGTTCGTTTCCAGTGCTGCCACAGCGATAGCGAACATATTGCGTCCATCAAAGAAGTCTCAAGTTGCGAGTATCTCATTGTGGTGCATACCTCTCGATTATGTCACGATATTGCATTCATGGAGGAAGCAGCCAAGCCGAACAAGGAGATTGTCTGTAAACTCATCAGCGACAAGCCGGCGACAATCGAAGGCGATCAACGTGCAAAGAAGCCTGTCAAGGATCTGCGACAAGAACCTCCTTCTCCTGGAGTTGATACTGCCAAGAAGTTACCTATACCCGGTGCTGGCAAACCCGCTGCTACGAACGATAAATCTGTTCCTGCACCAAAAGTCAAAAAGCCCAAAGCAGCTGACACACCTGTACCTGTCGAGCCCGTTGCGCCAACACCTGAAGCTGCACCAGCCGTTGACTCAACAGAAGGCGTGGCGCAAGCAACCTCTGAGCCTGTGGTAGACGCACCTGCAGAGGACAAGCCAGACGAAGCTGCAAAGCCGTCGGCAGAGGCGAGTGCGGAAGCATTTGTGAATGCCGTGTTGGATCATCTGGGTGCTTTGTTTGAGGAAGATGCTCAGATTGCTGCCGGCGCAGTGCCAGGTGGCGCAGGATTGCCGATACGTGATCGTCCTGGTGCTGGTGATGGTGCCCCCATGCAAATGCCGATGGGCGGAGAGCAGAATGCTCCTTGACCTCCGTGTGATTCCACCGCCAATCTCTAGCTCAACAATTTGCGTAGCTGCATAGCATATTTTCAAGCCTCTTCCTCTTCACTGCAACTCCTGCATAAGTGTCGCATCCCAGCAATGCCGTGCAAGTTGCTCATAGAGCACGGGCTCAAGCTTGTCAATCCAGCTGACTGCCAGCGTCGTGACAGTCTTACCCTTGAGCGGTGGGAACTTTCTGAGAAGTGCCATGGGTGAAGCTCCTGGTGCCATGATTGCTTCACGCATCATGATGATTTGTGCCAGGACGCAAAGGACATTGAGATGCGGTCCATAGGCGACAAGAAAGTCCCAGAGGACAAGAACTTCCTGCAAAGGTGGTGTGCAAGCGCTCAAGGTCATGATGGAGGGAAACGCATAGACTTCAGCAGTCAGTCCTTTACTCTTGAGATGAGCAGCGAGTTTGCCATCCAATTGAGCAAGACATCGATCAAGCAATGTACAGCCCATATGCACACCCACCAGCGTTGGTGATTGGACATACAATGGACATTCTCGCTGCAGCCAAGTCTCATAGAGCTCAAATGCTTGCACTTCAGAATGACACGCATACAGGAATGGCGCAGCGAGGATATTCATGCCTTGCACATACGGCACACCACTCCCATTCGCTTCCATACCCTTCTCTGCTTCACGATCCAGTGCATGCCATGCGTGGGCGTTGAGGAGACGAATGAGGGCGAGTTCACTGACACGGTTCTTGAAGCCGAGATCGGTTGCGAGGGTACGAAACGTGTCATTGCGTATCTTTTGGTAAGCAGGCGATGCACCACGCTCAACAAGCTCTAGGTATTTATCTGTAGAGGCCGGTTCAGCTTGTAGCAGAATGGACCAGAGGAGAGGTCGCAGATGGTCTTGAGACGTGGGAATGCCTTCGTTGAGGATATGCAGCTTGAGACTACGCACTAGGTCTGGCAGGTCTTGCGGGGACGGTCGCTGTGACAGAAAATGCTCGAGCTCTGAATCATCTGCCATACAGCTTCGCTCGCTCTACCCCTCAGGTCTTGGCAAGGTCACGGTGTGGCTGCTTGGTCCAATGTCGCGTCTTGTGTTTTGATTTTGCGCAGAAAAAGCGACGACATCAACCATCGAGCAGCTACTCCTCCCCTCTGCTATAGGCTTCATCAAGGCAGCAAGGATTAGCTCAAGACTACATGTCAGAAGAACCAAAGACAGGCACACAGCCGCCGCAAGAAGCAGACAAGCAACAGGCACACGGGTCCAACAGTACCCATATCTCTGACGACCTACCAAGTACCGTCAAACCCATTGATTCAGCTGAAGAGCGCGCAGCTCTCCAACAGCGCTACACACAATCTCGTCAAGAACTCAAAGCTCTGATTACTCGTAAGAAACAAGTGGATCGTGATTTGGCGGCATTGGAATCACAAATCTATAAGCAAGAAACGGCATACCTTGAAGAAACGCAGCAAGGCGGTAATCTGGTACGTGGATTTGATGGGTATCTCAAGGGAATTGGGAATACGCGTAAATCCACCTTCAACGAAGCAGACCGGTTATTTTCCTTGTCGAGTGTGAGTTTTAGTGAAGCGGCGAGTGGTGTGGTGGGTAGCGGTAGTGCGAGTTTCCTGCCAAGTCATGCGTCCACGATCATCCCTAATATGCCATACCCAACGAGTCGACGAGAGACTGGGGAGGTGGCAGGGACGCCTGGTGTGGGTAGTGGAAGACGGACGGGTGGATCAACGGTGAAGCGGCGGAAGGAGACACCAGCGGGGTCTGTCGCTGTTAGGACGGACGGTGAGAGTGATTCGGATGCGAGTCAAGGTGATACAAAACGGGCGCGTGTGGGCTATGTAAGCTAGCCAGCGTTGGCTCGTCTTGTCCATACACAACATAAATGAAGCATGATCTGTAATGTGGTTCTGCGTTCTGTGGGGTGTATAAAAAAGATATGGAATGGTGCAGATGTCAAGAATGAGAGCCTGATCAAAAGACAGAGCTGCTTGGGACTGAAGGGGTGGGTTGAAAAGAAAATCCATGGCAACATCCTCGAGAAGTGAAATGGGAAGGAGATGTCGGAAAGAGGTAAGAAGGTACCTGAAGCAAACCACAAAATGTTGGCAAGCTTGAAAGAAGTCGTATCGCCAGTCGCTTGAAAGGAGAAGGGTCAAAGGGACGTACCGAAGAAAAGGAAGTAGTCCCTGAAGAAGTTGATGAGCATGTAAGCTCTCATTTAGCGGCAACTTGAGCTGCCGGTTGCATGAGAATTTCTGGTGTGCGTGTTCGGAGCGGAAGCCTTCGTTTCGCAGCAGATGCAAAACGATCGAGTGTAGATTGTCCGACGACCGAATAGGCCGCTGCAGCCGATTGTGTTCGATCGAGCAAGGGTAAAGATTCCTGGCTGCTAGTCGTAGATGCAGTCAAGGGTCGCATAAAGTACCTTGTTTCTGAAGTTGTTGATGTCGCTGGACTACTCGCAGTGGAATCATCCGTCATTGCAGGCACTGCACATTCAGGATGCGACGCGGAAGAAGGCATTTGACACAACCTGGGTCTGGCTTGAGGCTCGATGCAGACACGTACAGGACTCAGCTTGAACGGGTGTTCCACGCACATGGAGTGTCGCCTGCCAATTGGACATGCAGGAGGCCTACTGCAAGCTGATGTGCGGATTCCTTGCATTTCCTCGGGAACACCAGTGAGAAGGATACCGATGTGCGGTGGTAGTCCAGTTTGTTGTTGCTGTTTGGCAAGAGTCACCTGTCGCAACGTCGGAAGTGCATCTTCCTGTAGGCTGAAATGCCTGACTCTGAGGGCATAGGGACTCTGTAGTGTTTGCACATCCTTTGGTTGTTCCTGCTCGAGCCGCACAGTCTCCTCGACAATTCGTAGATCCGGACGACGCAGCTGGATGCCCAGCCTAAGCGCGCCATCCAATTCGCGCAAATCGATAGGTTTGCACACACAGCCATCGATCCCTGCAGCGGCATACCGCGCCCGCGCTGCTGGTGTGTCACTCGTTGTGCAGGCAATAATCACCAATGCTGCACCTTCCGGCGTGGCGCGGATTTGTTCTGCAACTTGTACACCAGAAATGCCTGGCATGTCGATATCCAAGAGCACTAAATCGAGTTGTTGCGCATGCTGTTTGTAGTGTGCCAATGCCTGAAATCCATCTGCGGCGTGCAACAAGGCATCGTGATCCACAAGATCTGGAAAGTGGTGGCGAAGTGTTCGATCGAGGATACGCAGGTTCATGGCATTATCGTCGACGCAGAGGGTGCGTAGTTGCTTCTGCATGGTGGTTGTTGCTGCTTCGTCGATGGGTCGAAGGAGCAGTGGCGCATCGCCGAGCAGGGAGTGGCTCCGTGAGCGCGCCAGGATTGTGGTCCCTACTTCACTGGCTTGCTAGCAGGAGTCTCGAGTAATGCAGAGTAGCAGGATGTGTGTATGGGAGGTGAGCTAGCAGTGGTAGTGCGTGGTGAGAGTGGTAGTGCTGGCCAGTTGGCGCCTCCTTTGCAATTCCCTGCTGCTGGGCCCTCTCTCGCTCTCTCTCGCGTCCGATCTTCCGGTCTGCGCGCGCTTATTCTCCCTCCTGCTGACTGAGCCTGCACTCGGCGCCTCAAGGATCGAGATCCAGTCCACGCCTGCTTGGCCTTGGCATATGATCAGAGTCAGATCAGACTGCCAATTCTCCGCACACTTGTGAATCGATCGAGTCATCTACAAAAGCACTTCATATCAGCGGCCCCAGAAAATAACGAGCTGCCCGTCAATGCTTGTCATGTGATAACAACAGGCCCAATAGCTGCACAATGTACTCTATACTACACTGTCGTCGACTCGTCGGAGCCCGGCATCGGTAAAAAGCCGGTCACGCTAGCTCACGGAACCGAAGCCCCACGTTTCTTTTGACAACTTGACATGTTGCGTTACTTGCGTAGCTGTCACGCTGATCCAGTTGATGCTACTTGCTTGTCGACCCGCTCGATCGAGTCCAGGATCCCTCTCAGTGCCTTGATTGCTAAGCGGATCTGGTTTTCCTGAGCAGCACGCAATCACCTTCGCTTCACAAAAACAATGGACGCTGCAAGACCATTCTGCTCGCAATTGTGTCCTTGCAGGCTTGCACGCGGAGAAAATAATCTCGTTTGCATCTGAAATCGAATCTACCACATGCCTCGGCTCCAGCTACACAGTTCAAACAGACTGAAACAGTTGCGATAGCTCGAGCTCTGCATGATGAGACTAAGACTGCAGTCTCTGCTAGGCAGTACCAGCACTGTCCAATCTTCAGCGTCCATGTCTTCATGACTATTACCATCTACTACTATCTGGACAGTCACTGACAACTTGTTGCATCAGATGATCTCGGAACTTAGGCAAGTCAAGGTTTCGAAGAGCACGGCTCGTTACAGTTGCACATCATGCAGCACATGGCAGCTCATGGCTAGCAACCTCAGTCTGGCAATTGCTGTTAACGGTCGCGATTCATCGAGCTACCGAGGCTCCATGCACATAAGCATAGCAAGCAAAAGGCAGACGCCATGACTCATGAGTCTATGGCAGATATGGTCGAGCAGATGAAAGATTGCATACGCTTGCAATTTGACATTTGGAAATTGTAATCTCGTAGGTCGTGAACCTATAATTTACCAAGAATCATCCATGCTGGCCCTTGTATGCCGCTTCTAATGTTTTCTCTGCTGCTAGAAAGGTGTCAATCCATCAACTACAGCAAAATTCTCCAGCGGGTAGCTGGCTGAGTCTGATACAAGTGTTGAAGTTGAGTTGGTGCTGAGATGTGACATGCTTTGAATTTTTGACAAGACCTTCTGCAAAGATCGTCCCCTTAACTGCAAATGGCACGGGCCAGCCAGGCGGCCCAGGCCAGGTGCACCGTGCAGGGTTTTCAACTTTTCAACCAGCGCTAGACTTGAAAACGATAGCAGGCTTTGTTTGGCGGCATACGAATTGACCACGGGCCTCGCCCTCAGACAGAGTCTGTGCTTGGCACTGCTTGCCCTGTGAACACCGCCTACTGCTAAGCTCCAAGGTCTAGTCGCTCAGCCAGCCCATCTTCACAAATAGCCGAAGTCGTGGGCAGGTTAGGTTATTTCCAGTTTAAGTGGGACTAGAACGAAACGTGCGTCAGCGTCAGGCAGCTACGATGCCAATACTGCTCTGTTTACAAACTGACTACGACATTACAATGTGTTACTCACAGACGTACTCGCTAGTCGTGTTGGTTGGACGCATGCAGGACTGCTTTGTTCAAGTCTCAGGTTGATCTTCAGACGTGCGTGCAATGCACAGACTTCGCGAGGACACACTGCCGGAATTGCAATCACGACGCTCGTTCCTCTTTAAGAGGCGACCGAATGCATCGGCCAATGCATGTTCTGCCTATGAACAGCCTTTCCCGACCGTCTTCGGGAGGTGCACAGGTTCGCGCGTGCAATGAAACAAGCTGTTGTTATGATATCATGACATGATTACAGCCAACTATAGCTATTGAGCGCAAATGACCCATCAAGAGTCTTATGGTCTGCCTAATCCGGCTCTGTGTCCTTGTACACTTGTGCCAGTTGCGAAAGACCGTTGCTCTCTTTGCGGCTTGCGGGAGATTTGAGGACATGGCTGGCCAATGAGTGCGCTCGAACCGTTGACCTTGCGAATCCGGATCTCTGGGACGTGCATCGTACTTTTGCGCTTTTAAGATTTTGCGCAAAGGTGCGGAAGGCCGGACACGGTTCGCCGCTGCCCTTCTTCATCTCTCGGCAGATGCAGCGGCAAGACATGCTTCAAATTTCATGACACCAAGGTAAGTGACTAGAAAACTTGGCAGGGCTGGCGATGGCGAGCCTAGCACCAGACGAAAAGCACCTTTGCATCAAAAGTAAGGCCTCCCGCTACCGACCGCCATCCTTACATTGCACTTCACACCGCTGAGGCCTTTCATCTCCTGGGGTTGAGCAAGAGTATATCACTGCTTGACAGGCCGCTTCTTTTGTCAAACCTTTCACGAACAGACCACCCATCATGTCGAGCATGACGCGGTCAATAACGCGCAAGTTCAAGAAACTTGGCAAAGACACATCTGCCAGACTAGGCAGTATTGGAAGCAGCAACAGCAGCAGCGATAGCAGCGACAGAGAATTCAAGCATGGTGCAGACTGTGAGATGAGTTCACCATCGAGTCCAGCGTCCAGCAGTGGCAGCAGCAACAAAACCATCACCTACGCATTCGATAGCCCATCCAGCGACGCATCGTCTTTTACAATCACAGATGGAGACAGTAGTAGTCGTCGCAGTATACGCTCCTCACAAGCAGCCAGCTTTATGGATAACGCTACAAAGCGGCTTTCCACAGGCTCAAGTGTATACGACCCTGGCTATGGCGCTGGTTGCTTTGCCGTCAATCTGGAGGAACTTTTGGCTGAGCAGGACTTGCCAGAGTGGAACGATCCAGAGGTGCAACAACTAAAGCAAAAGGGCCTGCACAAGTACACAGCTCAGGACTACACAAGTCTGCTATGAAGACGCTTCCATCTTAATTCATTCTAGCGCATTCAGCGGGCTTTGGCTGCCTTTCTTTCTTTGAGCTGTGCACATGGGATGTGTACAGCTTGCCTGCCAACTGTATAGCAACGCCGTGCACAGAAGCCACATCAGACGAGCAAGTCTCGAGATCATCGGCATGTAAAGTGTAAGGCATTAGGTAATACATTTCGCAACTGTCGCGTCGTCATCCTGCTTGGGCTACATAGGGTAGACATGGAGATGATGAAGCCATGAAAGTATTGTGGAAGGCACTGTTGCTAAACAATTGCGAGCAGATTTCATGACATCTGAAAAGCTATTACAAATTCTTGCATAGTCTTTGCTACGTTACCAGAAACATGTCGGGTCTATGCTAATCTACTGGTCACATACCAAGTCTGTGCTAGCTACTGATGATTGTTGCCCGTGATGATCAAATTGCCTTCCTCGAGACGCTCGTCGAGAACACGGTTCAACTCTGCACGAGTCGTAGGATCATCATCCTGACCTGGGTTGACCTCCTCAAACTTGAGCTTCTTGTTGACCCAGTAGAAGAAGGCAGATACTGCGCCTCCCATGTACGGGCCTGCAAAATAGATCCAAAAGTAGCCCTCGAATGAGCGGTTGGTGATGGCAGGACCCAGAGCACGCGCAGGGTTTGCGCCGCAACCTGTCCAGTTGACTCCCCAAAGGTGAGCAATGAAGAGAGCCAAACCAATACCAACCGGAGCAATGAAAGTCGCCTTGTGTTTCTCAGCTGCTAGCATGATGATTGTAAAGACTAGCATGATCGTAAGGAACATTTCGAGGAAGAGACCTTGTGTGATGCTTGTTCCTTGCGACAGCGCAACAGACACGTTCAAACTGCCTGGCGACAAGGAGTCCACAATAGCTGCTGCAGTGATACCGCCAAGTAGCTGAGCAAGTGTTAGAAGCGCCATGCGAAGGGGTGTGATGGCGCCAATCAAGCAAAGCGCAAATGAGACAGCCCTATGGTCAGCACAGTCTTGTGAAAAAAGGGATCATACGGGTTGAAGAGTCCTCCGCTGATGCGGAAAAAGACCCAAGCATTCACAGTCAGCGAAAACCCAAAGCATAGCGAGATGTAGAGCAGAATCGACACGTTGGTTCCGGAAGTCACGTTAATGGCCGTCGAGCTTGAAGTGTCTGCAGGGACATTGGCAACGTTACAGCCACCCAGTGCAAACATCAGGAAGAGCACCGTGCCGATAAACTCTGACATACCAGCAACAAGCTCATTTTTGATCCAGTTTGGCAGGAAGTGAATCGTTCTGTGACGCTTCTCGTGAACCTCTTCTGTCGGCAGAGAAAAGATTTGTGGAATCGGGATCGCAAGACCCGCGCTGCTCTCTTCATCTGCAGACCTTTCCTTGGATCGGGAAACTGATCCAGGTCGTCCATCTATGGCTGAGCGCACCGAGCGGCGGTCAGTGGATGGCCTTGTTGTTGAGTGGACCTCAGTCTCCACGTTGGTAGGAGGATTGTCTGTCGTCATCGCTGCTGCTGTTGTCACCAGACGAAGTCCGTGTAGATGGAAAGTAGGTGATAGATACCTTGACGGTGGGCACTGGGCGGACTAGCATCTTATTATCTCAAGTCAGTCATGTGTGACTTGCGCTTGACACAGAATCTTGCTTTTCCGTGGTCAGGGATCCGCAATGACGTCTGTGACAGGGCCTGACAGGGCGCATCGGCTGGAGTCCAGCCATTACTTTTTTGCAGACCCGCGCTTGCACATGGCAAAGCCGCCCAATTGCATCTCAAAAGTCATCGAGCTTGTGTCTCTGATGAGCAGCTTAATGCTTAGCAGACCGCTGGCTTCATGTGCTGTGGCTGGTCGGAACGCGCAATCGAGTTACTGTTCTCCCGAGCAGCTGTATCGGAGCAAATATGGAAGCTGAGGCTCTAGTCGTAGCCATGTACTCGTAGCCGTGTAGTCTGTAGCCAAGTATGCCAGATACTCTGTTTAGCAGGCCATGTATGGCCCTACTCTGCGCAATGGTCATGCGCGTGTGCAAATCAAACATCAACGTTCAGCACCTGCTCCGCGCTTCAGCTGCTGATGAGGTCAAGAGCGAGCGTGGAAGGCCTTGAGTACTACTAGGTCACCTTGCATCCATGGCTGCGATACTGACCTTGAAACTGTAGGTTGTAAAGGCTTGCAAACTGTTCCGGACAGTATCTTTGCGACTTTCGGTCGCTCGTGCGAACAAAGCCAGATTGACACGCCACTGCACAACAAATCACCCAAAGCGCATCGCTAAGGTGCCCAGGTGTCCCTAGTCATCGGACTTTGTCTGCTCTTCAAAAAGGGACCCTCGACCCTTTCATCTTCTGTATGCTCCAGTCTCTGTCTAGAAACGCGTTTCGACCTTTCCAGGTCAATTTTGCTCGCTGTCAATGCTTCAAACCCAGTAAACGAGCTTTCAGCCAGTCGACTAGCCGCTTGCTACGTTCGAGACGGGCCAGTCAAAAGATAGACGCTGCATCAGATCGGGCGACTACTCCGGACCTGAATAGTCATCGTTTGACCGATAGCGCTTTGTACAGATTACGCTCATCCCGGTCTGAATATGAAAAGCAATCGCGTGAAGAAGATTCCTCCCAGTCTCGCCATCAAGGCGAGCGCCAGGAGGAGTTCAATGCATGGGAGTCTGCTCAGACGCCGTATCAGAGGCTTGACTACGTAAGAGATCGCCGTCGCCGCACTGGCACTGTCATTGCTATGGGCTTCACGGCCATCAATGGCTACATCTGGTATCAATGGTCCCTTGCTGAGCCGGATAAATTTGAATCTATGCGCGGTGGATTCTCAAGGGCAACCTTCAAGGACAGAAATACGCAAGCACTCCACACCTACTTGATTGAAAACTTCACCTTGTCAGCGAATAACTGGCAAGAGCATCGCTGGCACACCATATTGTCCGCGGGGTTCAGTCATCAAAGTCTCTGGCATCTTTTAGCTAACACCGTTGGCGTTATGAGTTTTTTCCCCATCACTGCCATGGGACTGGGCGTGCCTGTCGCTACCGTATCCTACTTGGCATGCATTGTTGGTGGCAGTTTATTGACACTCCACCGCAAAGGTGTGGATGTCATCGAAGACGTCAAGGATGTCGTGACTGGTAAAGTTGAGTACGGCGTCTCGAACGATCTAGCCTATGGCACTAGCTTCCAAGACGAGCTCGCCCGGCTCGTTGGGTTCGAAGTGCCGAGTTGGTCAATAGCTGAACAGAAACGGCGAAGCAATGCTAAATTCCAGAACGATGTTCCTGGTTTGGGTGCAAGTGCAGGGGTTTGTGGACTCTTTACCATCTCAACAATGATGGCGCCGACTGCCGGGGTCGCCGTCTTCTTCATTCCCTTGCCGGCTTGGCTGGCTTGGTCTCTCCTGACGGGCGTCGATACGCTGTGTACTTTTGATGAAGAATCACGTCAGAAACTTGCCGACAAGATTGGCATTATGCTTGGACATGAGGCTCATCTTGGAGGTACGATAACCGGTCTTTTGACAGCGGTGCTCTTTTTTGGGAGGCTGTTCCGCAGATGAGGTGTCGAACAAACAATACAGCAGTCGTATATAAGCTCGAGCAATGGTCTGTCTCCGTCTGAGAAGTCTGTATTGAGACTGCCTTTTTGTTCTTCGGGTAGATAGCAGGAGACACGTGTGCGGCTCATAACGGGGAACGTTAAAATTCAATCAGATGCGACAACCCGCAGCACACCGACAGTACTGTATTATACCCAAGGAGCCGAGACTATTGCTCGGCAGTGAGGCTCAACTGGCCTAATTGTCACTTGGTAGCACTTGACCAGAACACCCAGTCATCGCGTTGTCAGGCTATGTTTGTGCCACCATGTCAGATGAGAGAGGTTCAATAGACGACGCGATGCAATCAATCGAAGCAGCCCCAGTGATCAAGCAGCGAACGCGGTACAAGCACTCTGACTATGTATGCGAAAAGTGTCGACGCGCTCACAGGCGTTGTAAGCATGACCCTCGACTGGACCCTAATTACGATCCAAATAAGCCGCGCAAGCGTAAACGACACGACAGGGGTGATGATGCGGACGGAGCAGGCCAATCGAGTGTCGCTTCGCTTCAACAAACTGCTAGCGAAGAGGGATCGATGCGGCTGGAATCTGTGCCAAATGAAAGTTTCTTGTTGGATGAGCTGACGCCGACAGTAAGTTTGGAATGTCCTCTGCCTCCTCCAGCGACAGAGATTCAGGACCCGACGAGCGAACGCCATATCGAGCTGCTGACGCACCTCATACAGGCATTCTCCATATGTCCGCCTTCTGAAGTTCACAATGCACAATGGCGCCAAATGCTTCAGGACTCTGAAGCGCTCAGAACAGCTGTCCTTTCATTGACTATTCTGCAGTCGCCTCTGCATAGCGAGCGACTCGATGAAGCCTTAGGATACAAACATACGGCAGTCACTTTGCAACTGTCGGAGCCCAGCTACGACAGTGACTACTATGCCCACTGTACTCCACTCTTCATCAGTTTACTGCTTTGTCTGTGTGAGTTTGCCTCACAATCACCCCTGGAAGTGCTGGCTCTGCATGCTTCACAAAGCCGTCTGTTGCTCGATGGCTATTTAGCTCAAGATGCTCTGCCTGACCTCTTCACGCAGATGATGATGCCCTCACTGCAGGAAGATTGCGCAATCAGCAAAAGGCTGCTTGAACGACATCCCAGCATTGCAACGCCCTTCTTATTTGTCTTTCCAGGTATTGATATCGCGCAAGACTGTGCAGTTGGCAACGTTCAAGACCTTTTGGGTCTTGCGCTGACTGGCTATGCGCTGGCCCTCCGGCCGCCTGGTGCGTATGGCCATGCTGTGCTTCGATTGATGTTTCGCGTCTGCTTGCATGTGATTCACCGCGACCTACTACCCTCTGCGCAACAACGCTTTGCGGATCTGATGGTGGAGACGCTGTACGTACTGGCGACATGGCTCGAGTACTATGACCGACCTCATCCAGGCCATCTCAGAATGAGCCTGTGTGCCAAGATTGAAGTCGTGGAACACTTTTTTGGTACGATGGTCTTGCCTAGAGCAGTCGTTGACCTTTTGGACGGGCGGCCGATTGTTGAGTCGCTTCCATCTAATGTCTTTTAGGCTTGTATGTCCATGTATGTGGATGACCCCTCACTCTAGTCGGGCCTTCTAGCGAATACAAGAGTAGATATCAAGAACGAAGAAATGCTTATGATGACCATCTAGCTGATCCCAAATGCCATGCCGGGCCAACCCTGGCAATTCCGCATGCAATCCCACCCGAAGCTGCACGTCCAATTGATTGCTTTCCAAGGTTTTCTGCTTTCTGGGGAAGTCGGCTGCCAATTGGCCGCAGATCTACGACCAGACCACCCGACAAACCGCCTGACTACAGATATGTTTAGGAAAGACTCGGAGAGAGCTGCGACGCTTGCGAGCCTCGATCTCAACCTTAATCAGACATCTGGGCCTGCCATTCGAAAGCTACTTGGTCATCAAAAGCATCTTCTTCACCGCGACAACAATAACCAAGGCAGCTTCTAGGCAAACACGCATCGGATAGGCGATCTGGTAGTTCACGACGTTGATTCACATGCGCGCCTGAGATCCAACACACTTGCTACGGTGAATATTGCCTTCTGACCGAACTAGCAGAACATATTCTCGACATCTAGCGACACCACCGCCATTGTCTTCTCCGCGAAGTGTGTGATTGCGCGATGCCACAGAAAAAGACGGCTTCCTCTCGGGCTTCTGCTCCTAGGCGAACGGCTCCTTATTCACACAACAATTACGTTTGTGAGACTTGCAGAAAAGCACATAGACGTTGCAAGCACGACCCAGGGGATGATCCAACATACGATCCAACCAAGAAGTTTAAGCGCATCAAAAACCAGGGCCAGGAAGGATCCACTTCACCTGGTGCTAGCGGAGCGATACCGCAGCCTGCTGTGACCTCTGTCCCTCGAAGCGCTGGTATGGGTCTTAACGAACAAGGGAAGAATTACCTTCGATTACAGCCGCCATCCTCCCCACGGCTTTCATTGACCTCTGAGCTTTCTAGCGGTTCCATGCTTCTCACAGCAAGCACTGGTACCAGCTTTCCGAACACTGCTCACGCCTACTCAATGGACTATGAGCAATTGTTCATGGAAGTCTTTGATGCTTTTGTCACAACGCCAATGCCTGTTCAATGCTGGCAAAGCGAGTGGCGGGCCATGCTTGAACTTTCGCCTGCATTGCGTGCCGGTTCTGTGTGTTCTCATATGCTCTACAAACCCTGCAGCCCGGCGCAAATACAGGAAGCCTTGGAGTACAAGCGCGAAGCCAACCTCTTGGTCTTGTCAGAACCCAATGAACCCGACACCGAGTATTGGCGTCGTGCCACTGGTATCTTTTTGGTTGGTTCACTCGCGTATTGTGAATTCACATCGCAGGCACCGCATGATGCATTCATGGCTGCGCTGACTAATCTACATCCATTCTTACTACAATACGTCCAGCGTGGGTTTTTCCCTCCTGCACTTGCGGCATTGCCATTTGGAGATACGCTTGAACGTTTCCCAGTCTTACCAAGAGCTGTCGCTGCTTTGCCGCACATCGCACAACCCTTCTTTGAGCTCTTCCCGCATGTTGATTTTTACACAGGATGGAGTACAGGCAATATACAGAATCTCATGTCCATCACGCTTGATGCGTGTTTATATATGCAAGACTTGCCAGGTACGCATGGAAAGCAAGTGAGGAGTCTGGTCGCGCGACTTATGACTTTCAATACATTCAGGGAAGTCTATCCCTGCGATGTGAATCCGTTTGTTGTGCTCATGACAACGACGGTCTATACATTGGCGATCTTGCTGGAGTATCCCGATCGGGAACGGCCGTCTCACTTACGACAGGACCTGCAAGTCAAGCTTGATTTAGTTGAACGGTCAGGACCGCCGATTGCATTCACGCGTTCAGTTATCGGCATACTGGACGGTGAGAATAGTCTCGCGAGAGTATTACGGGCAAGATCGTATTGGGCTTGAGTGCATATGCCCAATTGTAGTTTTATTTGATCACACGAGCATGCACGTAGTTCTAAATTTGTAGTCCAGAAAGACTCAACTGCTTTACAAAGTGATTTACTACAAGAATTTGAATAGGGATGCTATATGTACTCTTAAAGAGTGTACCTGAAGCCAGGTGTGTCGTAGAGAGTGACCTCTCCAGCATCGACACGCTTGTTCTGCCTCCTGTAGTAGAATGACTGAAGACCAACAAGGGTTCCGAGAAGACCAGTCAGAGCAATGGTGGTGGCCATACCAGAACGGTACTTGGGTGCCTCCTTCTGCACAAAGATGGTGGAAGCGATGATACCACCAATAGCACCCCATCCAGTCTGTACGGCAGTACCAACGGCACGACGACCGTTGCCGACGATGTTGTTGGAGGAGAAACCAATCGTCATAGGAATGTTGACGTTGGCAGCAGCGACGGCCAAGAAGATACCAAAGTATCGGACCTTGGTGTTGACGACATAGCCGACAAGTGCCAGACCAATGATGACCATAAGACTGTTGAACATGATGAATGGGCCACGAGTCTTTGCCTTGTCCGAGAAGTAAGAGACGATGAGTGCGTAAGGGATGGCAGCAATGTAAGGAGGTGATGAGAGGACAAGTGCCTTTTCAGCCTTGTATCCCATACCGGCAATAATGACAGGAAGGAAGTAGGCAAGAGCGTAGGTCGAGGTGGTGGCACAACCAAAGATGACACCGTAGAACCAAAGCTTACCTTCGGCAAGGAAACCAAGAGCCTGCTTGAGGGTAATGACCTTGTGGTCGTTCTTGGCATCGTGACGATCGCGCTCGAGCAATTGGATGACGGCGCGTCGTTGACGGTCGTTGAGCCAAGCAGCATCCTGTGGGAAGTCGGAAATGATGAAGAATCCAACAATGGCAAAGAAGCAGGTAGCAACACCCTCGCAGATGAAGATGTATCGCCACCCAGCAAGACCGTGTTTGCCGTTGAGGTCAGAAATGGCGGAAGCAATGAGACCAGAGAAACCGGAGAGCAAGGCACCAGTCATGTAAAAGATGGTGAGCCTGAGCTGGAGTGCGTAACGTGGGTACCAACATGTGATGAGGTACACGGCTCCGGGGAAGAAAGAACCCTCAGCGGCACCGAGCAGCACACGGAGGACGGCGAGTGTCTGCCAGTTCTTGACGAAACCAGCACCGATAGAAACAACACCGAAAGCCATGCAGACAGCCGACAAAAGGTATCGGGTACCAATGCGACGGAGGAAAACGTTGGAGGGCACCTCGAAGAGGAAGTATGCTGGGAAAAAGACGAGGAGAACAATGGAGTAGTAGTTCTGCTTGGGGTTGAGCAGACCCAAGTCCTTGCCCATACCGTCGACACGCGCAGCCGAAATGTTGACACGGTCGAGCAGCGCGCAGGCATAGAGCACACAAAGGATGGGAAGAAGGACAAAGTCAATCTTGAGGTACAATTTCCTCATCTCCTTGTCGGAGAGGACGGCCTCAGACGCGCCAGATGCGCCTGTAGGCACGCGTCCAAAGTCCTTCTCCTCAAGGGAGTCCTCGTAGGTAGTGACACCATTGTTCTTCACGTCGTCACGGGTGGCCATCGTTGCTGAGAGGGGCGTGTAGAGGTCCATGGACAGGTGGGAGGCAGCATCTTCTTATAGACAGCTGCCCCTGATGGAGTCCTTCGGGCTCGATGCCGTGTACCCCGGACTATGGACTGTCCTGTCGAGGGCCGAGGCCGCGCAAGGGTCGTAATCGGGACATAGTCTGCAGCAATGTGGAGTTGGGTCTGACTGACAGTGACTGTAGCACCAGAAAGTTAAACTTCTTTTTCTGACACCTACCCCACAGTCACCCGCGGGCGCCACCAGCCAAAAAGGGCGCCACCCCGCGAAAGCCGCATCAAAGAGCAGAGAGCTGGACCAAGGAGAAGAACGCGACGCCCCGGGCAAATCAAGGCGAATCGCTGCGCAAATTGTAATTCCCAAGTGTCAAGCGTGACCTGTCGCCTGACTTGCCTCTAGATTGACAAAGACTCTGCAGCTGTTTTAAGGATAGTACTCAGTGGGTTGACTGAAGTGACAAAGGGCACTAGCAGTGACTTTGATGGGTAGAGACCAAGGTCACCATATAGAAGCAGTGAAAAGCTGGTCAGAGTTTACGCTGTTGATTATGGTTCAGTCGCTCCGGACATACGAACAGCTAGACCAGGCACTTGGAACTTGGAAGTTGGAAGGCAAGCTGAAGCGCGCTGTTGCCGGGGTTCGTCCGTGAATTGTTGCAGCGTGCACAATGCACAGACCACCAGCCAGCGCTCATTTCTAGACTCTGACAACTCTAGTCAAGCCAAGCGCGAGCTGCGCGACGTGCCATCAAGCGACAAGCGGATCGACGATGTCAGCGTACGCGTTGACCACTTGGCACAAGCAGACAGTCGGCGCTGGCAAGCAGAAACGATCATGTCTAGTGCCAGGTTAAGTCAACTTTCTTGACTCTTGACCGTGGCATTCACCAAAGAGTCTTCAGTTGAGGAGCTAGAGCGAGTTTCTAGTCCACTGTAGACTTAGAAAGTCACTGTAGACTCTGAGTGTAGAGTCAGTGTAGACACTGAAGAGTTACTGCAGAATCCAGACACTACCGGACTCTACTCAGTACCAATGGGAAGCGTTGGACATTGAGACGACCGGCTATGATCGCAAACACGGGGAACGTGCGAAGTTCCATGATCAAGTTCCATCGCGAAGTAGAATTTCCAGACCAGTCATATCACCAGACCAGAGTCAGAACTTCTCAGAAGTCCAAGGCTGCCAGCACGCGCATCGCCGCAGTCTATTATGACTATCTGCAGAGATCAGACTACAGTCTATAGCACCTGGCCCCGTGCCAGTTCATCGTCACCTGGGCCGGGCAAGCATGCTGCATGCATTTGGTGCCTCCATGCAAATTCGCGTTGCTTCGCTAATTTCGCTCTTCTTCGCTGCCACGAAATGTGATTCAAACACGGCTCAACCCGAGTCAAGCGGGTTTGGGTGCATCGGCAAAGATCTATTGTCGACCACTTGACAAAGTTGACAGTTTGTCCGGTCCCGGAGACGGGAACGCCACTCGAGAGTCGAGACACTCGATGACTCGACGATGAGCTTTGTCCTCCTCTCTGCTGAACTACAGTAGTCGTTCTTGACAGTTGACGCACTCGACGCTGTGTCGCAAAGACACCGACCACAGTCACTCCTGGGCTCTTCTCCGAAGAAAGGTTGCACGCGTAGCTAGGCCGTTGTTGACTTGAGTTACATCCTTGCTTTTTCTGGCAGTCCAAACCTGTCCGTGGTCAAGACTCGAAGTTCCAGTCAAACTGCCAGACGATGGTGCTTGGACTTTTCATTTCCTTGCGCAGGAGCTTCTTTTTGTGGGGTACCGGCCGCCCATCTCACCCGTCACTGACTCACTGACTCACTGCCGTCAGGCGTCAGCGACTCGTACCTAGCGAGTGTGTCCATAACGTCGACAACGACGACGAGTGTTCAATCGCCGCTGAGCGTGTCTGGACTTGGCAAAATCTGATACACCATGAATGACCATCTTGCAGAGCTGAATGTGCGGACGATGAGACTCTAGCGATGGACACCATTCAAAAGTGTTGGAAATGGTGACAAGTCGCAGTATGGATGCTCAGCAGAATAGTAGGGACAATATGCAATTGGCTTACCGGCAGTTGCATGCGTTGGTCGCCGTGAGAGGGATTGTTGAAACTAATGATCGACTAATCTGTTGTTGGTCTGCTTACTGGCCGCCATGCATCGCATCAGGCCCATGAAAGTGCCCGGGGTCTGCTGTCTCAGCATTCACTCCTCATCGGCACACAACTCGAAGCGACAATTGTAATCTGATAAATATCGCGATGAATTCGCAGTAGCGGTTCCATATCTCATCTAGTGCAGCAAATCGACTGAAGCAGTGTAAAGCAGGCATCTGGGTCCTCAGCAGCGAGCAGTCTGCCACTGAGCAGTATCGAGGCCGAGTATGACGCTCTGTGCCCCTGAGAGTGCGAACCCCGTTCAGATGGGACCTCGGCTCAACTCCGCAGTTGCTTCCCGGCAACGACACAAAAGATCACCAAGACACAGATTCACACAATCCTCGACAGACACACAGCAGAGACCAAACTTGCTACCAGCGCAACATCAGATATGTTCATCAAGGACAGACTCTTCATTGTCACAGGCGGTGCTTCAGGCCTTGGCGCTGCAACTGTTAAATCCCTCTTCGATCACGGCGCACATGTCGCTATCCTCGATCGCGACGAAGAAGCAGGTCCAGCCATCTGCAAGGAACTAGACAGTAAGCGTGTCACCTTCTACCAATGCGACATGGCCGACGACTCGTCTGTTGAGAAGGCCGTTGCAGATGCCATTGCGCATTCGAAATCAGTTGGCATCCCATTGCGAGGCGCAGCGACATGTGCAGGTGTCGGTATGGCCGGCAGAATTGTAGGTAAGGGAAACAAGCCCTTTGATCTCGAAACGTTCAAGTATGTCCTTCAAATCAACCTCTTCGGCACATTCAACGTCTGCCGTCTTGTCGCTGCGCATATGGCATCACTTGATCTGGATAGCGAGGCGAAGGAACGCGGAGTCTTGGTGATGGTTTCTAGCGCTGCTGCGACTCAGGGACAGGTTGGACAAGTCAGCTATGCTGCCAGTAAAGGCGCAATCAACGCACTCACACTTCCAATGGTGAGTTCCTGGAAATGATTGCAAGAGCATCACTAACGATAGGCTCGTGATATGGCCAAGATTGGCATCCGCACCGTGACAATTGCTCCGTCGCTTTTTGATACCAACATGGGCAAGAGCACGCCCGACAAGGCTAGGGAAGCACTCGAGTCGATGCTTGAGTTCCCGAAGCGATTCGGCAATGCTGCTGAGTTTGGTCACATGGCCCGTAGTTTGATTGAGAACACCTACGCCAACGGCGAGGTCTATGCCATCTCGGGCGCTTCACGTCTTGGTAAATTATGAACATGAGACTGAACAGTCGCTACACATAGAAAGCAAATCTCAGATCACTTCGGCGTAGTGAGAGGCACAGACATAGTGGAGTCGCCAACGAGCTGTCTTAACAAAGCCAGTATGGCTTGTTGATTCTTCCATGCATCCTGTCGTCCAGCATCCACAATTTCTTGTACGGAAGCTTCCAGTGTATTGGAAACGTGCTCAAGCTTCATCACTAATGCATCCAGTCGCGCTTCCATGTGAAGGCGGCTCTCCTTGACCGTTGCCTCGAGCCTGCCAATGGAGAGCTCAATCTCATCACATCGTCCAAGCACAGGACGCGGTGTCGAGCTCGGTTGGAATGACTCTACTGGCAGACTACACGGCGGCGTGGTTTCGACATCTTGAAGCCCGAGCGAGTCTCGTGGCAAGTCGAAAAGTCGCTCTGCAGCGATGCGCGAAGTAGAGATCTCGGGCGAATCGTCATCTGTGTCTGGCTCGTCTGCACCTGAGGAAGTAGTCAAGGATGAGATACTTAGAGAGAGTGCTGAACTGGGTTTGCGATAACGAAGCGTCAGCCTGAGACTCGGTGGTGGGGTCCGCAGCGCACTCGGTGGCCGTTGACTAGCTAGCGGGCCAGGCGTGTCCATCGCATGTATATCGCTTGAGGCCGGAGATGGAAGTGCAAAAAGTCTTGAACGGTTCTTGGGTATTTCCTCTGGCTGCAGCTCGATAGCTCGACAGTCTGTGATTGCCCGCAAATCAGAGCTCCGTGTTCGCATGGGACTGAAGCGACCTTTCTTCTTTGGCGACCTCCCGTACTTGCACTCGGCATCATACTTCACAGGCCTGTGATTGTACAAGTCACGCCAGGTTCTGGTAGTGCAGGCTCTTCGGGGTCGAGTGTCGCCCATTCGTGGATGGGTAGATATACCTGGTGCTCGAAACTGTGCCTGAAGCGCCGCACCAGAAGTCGACAAACGTCGTGCACCCCTCTCTTGGGACAAGGAACCAAATCAACTTCGACTCAGACACCTAGACAGTTGACAATGTCGATATTGCGATTGCGGCTTGCGGCTTGCTTGCGACTTGCTTGCGGCTTGCGGTCGTTGGAATTGGCCCTGCGCGATTGCGGGACAAAACCATGAAGCTGCCAGATGCCGCTAGCTCGTGCTTCTCGCACAACCAGGTCCCAGCAATTGCTCTGTGCGGGACTTAGCAGTGAGCCCGACGAGCGTGGTCCAGATCAATCTTGAGCTTCGAGTCAGCTTCATAGCTTGAGCAATGAGCATACACAGCACAGATCCGGAGACTGAACCCGGGGACTGAGTGAAGTTCTTCAGATGGGCTGAGGACAATCCCCTCGAATGGCTGGGCTATCAAGATATGGCTTAAGGTGTACCGTTCTTGTCTTTCATGGAGGAAACATGACACTGACCATTGCTCGCTCAGTCGCTTGTGCTTCTAGCGGGTATTGAATCCCACTGTCATCCTCTTGGCTGTCTTCTGGCTAATCATAAACCTTGAGCAAACCAGACTCCCCGTCAGAATCTGGTTCACTGAATTGATTTGCCGGATCGAAATGTGTGCTTTCGATGCTTGGATCAGTAGAAACGCGTTTCGCCAAGGCAGACGTAGCCGTTTCGAGATCGCCTAGCAAGACCGCGACCTGCTTCTGAAGGATTACTGCATCCTCGTGAGATTGAGCCTGCAAAGTTGCCAACGTTGACTGGAGAGTCTGAGTAGCCAACTCTTGTTGTGAGAGACTTTCTTCTGTTGCCCTTTGATCATTCGACTTTTGAAGGTTGTATTGATCCCATTGTCGATTGACAATACCCTCGAGCTCTGCTATGCGTTGCTTCAATTTCTGCGCCTCTTCCTCTCCAAGGAGGATTCCGTTGATAGTCTGGACAGATATGGATCGCTGGGATGGCTGTGGTTTGACTGCATTGAGGTCTGTCGTAGCAGAAGTCATTCCTGCTAGGGTTTGACACTCTGTGCTCATGTGGAAGTCCGTCGTAGAGCTTCCGAGTGTGTTTGAAGGGCCCAGCGGCGAACTTGTCAGTGCGTATTGTTTGTCTTGCAACGAGGAGTCCGTGGAGGATTCATTCTGAGGAAGAGTGAGGGTTCCGTCGATCGTATGTTCGACTTCTGCAGCTTGATGCTGCAACGATGTCGGGTCTTCGAGCCCTCCATTGTCCGCGTTGACGTCCGATTCCCATCGCTTGAACTCATCGCCATAAAATGGCATCTCGCGTCTGAATGGGTGATCCGGATACTCTTTGAAAACGAGAATCATATCTTGCAGCAACACCATACGCAAATACCTCAGTAGAAAGTAAAATGACTGTGTTATTCGATTATGTGTTTCGACGGGGCCCAGCCAGAAGTGGATCTGGTTGATCAGTGTTTCAGGCGGTTCAGGAAGTGCTCGCGACAATGAGAATTGGCCTCCAGCGCGATCGAAGCCGGCTAATGTACGCATCAGCTTCAGGGGTAGGAACTCGCTAAATCTAAGACGAGGGGAATCTTTTGTGCCGCAGCCCGTTGCGTCAAGTGGTATCGTTGCCATTCCGTTGAGAGGCAGTTGTCTGTCTCGAGACAGGCGATGCAAATGCGTTCCAGGATCAAGTCTGATTCCACAGGCACTGAAGACATCTTTGACCATGTTCAGATGTGCTGCTGGGTCAAGGGAGGTTTCATTCGTTTGACCATCCGTGAAGAGCTGAAAGCATGACCACTTCTTGAAAGTCGCAAGATCTGGCGGCGTTTCTTTCTTCATATGCCATCGCCAGAAGCAGTGCATTGCTAAAGCATTGTGAGAACAGACGTGCCAGTCGCTGTGACGAAGTGCACCCATGACATGCTTGAGGCGGAAACTCTCCAAGTGCGGGCGACTTGACGTCAAGGACATACTAAAACATAGTTGATCTCCCTCATCTGGAAGTAACTCACAAGACAAGTCGGACAATTTGATATCTTGCAGACCTCCACCATCCATCGCGAACGACTCGGCCATGATCAACGATAACCTGCTTGTGACGGCAGCCGAGGAGCCTGCTGCAGCCTGGTACAGTAGGGTTCTTGAGCAATGAAGGAGATCATTTGAAGTGAACTCTGCCATGACGTGTCGCTGGTTTTGTACACGACCCAAAGTCTTCAGCAGCTCGTCGACCCGTCCATGAGCCTCGCCTGGGTACGTGTTGTTGTTGGTGCCAGCTGCATACTGCACTCTCCACAACTTGAGAACAGCTACTTTCATATAATTTAGCTTACTTATGTCAGAAACACCATGCTTGGAGTCGATCTTCGGCATTTGGCCTGATGGATAGTCCCTGAGAAATGTATAGAGCTTGTCTTCGTCTACAAGATAGCGCTGTGCATCTGACAGATGCGAATAGCGATTGTCACAGAAGGACTTGAAGCTCGACTGGTAGTGTTGGTAGACAGAATGGCTTCTGAAGCACTTTGGCATGTACTCTATCGTCTCATTTGTCTCTGCAGAGACGTTTTCACCAAATGACATATCGCATGAGTTGGACCTTCCAGGCGCGCAAAGCACGCATATACAGCTCGATCGATGTAGCACTAGCCTTCAAAGTGGCTAGCTGCCGTTACAGAGGAGTTTGAACGTCTCGATGCCTAACAAGATGTAGGTTGAGATGATGGAAGGGCAGGTAGAATGTGATGAGTACGTTCAGATGGCGAAATTTCAAAATCGCTCCTCGATTAAATGTAGATCTAGACGCTTTGCTTCAATAGCTAGCGGGCTAATCAGCGACGGATTCAATGAGCAGCAAGGAATACACTTGATATATTCATTTAAATATGCAATCATCAGAGGCAAAAGAGTCTCAAAGCTGACTAGAACGGTGAGAGCCTATTCAGCCATCAGACAAGGCACCTTGCAAGGCTGCGCGGTAAGCATCAGAACTGACCTGCTGGCTGAAGTCTTCTGACGTTGCACACCCATCGAGCTCTGTTCCAGTCAGTCGTTTGGTCTGACTAGCCAGATCGTTGTCCAATTCGCGAACACGCTTGCAAGAAGGCGAAGTTGCCAAGAGCGACGATTCCATACTCTGCGTCGGTGCAGAGATGTCAGGATTGACGAGTGAGCGTTCACCGCGCGGTGCTTTCTCAAGATCATACGACGCCGAATGTTGCAATGTGTCAGCAGTAGTCGCCAACCCCGCCGCCAGCGATTCAAGCTCGGAAGTCAGACGCAATCTCATCTGTTCAATAACATCAGCTCTCTGTGGCAAGTCTCCACGTAGCATATTGGCTGCTGTTTGCATCACGTAAACAGTCTGTGTCTGAGACTTGTGCAGTGCAGCCAAAGCATCCTGTGTCTGCTTCTCATACGAGGCGAGCTGCTGGCGCATAATATGTATAGACTCTTGTAGATCCTTCAGTTCATCATACACTGATCGACCAGGCAGCTTTGAGGGTACATCAGCAGACTGTGAGATGCTTACTCGGCTTTGGCCTGACTCTTCTGAGAGATTTGACGGCTTCGATGGCATGGAGGGCCCTGGGCTTTCATCTGATTCGCTGCTCGACGATCCATCTGGATTGCTCGAGGCCTTCTTGCGTCGTCTACGGTCAATAAGTGCAGTGAGGCGGGCTGATGCCGGCTTTGGATATGGATTCCAACCTCTGTCCACTTGCAATTTCCAAAGATTTGCGACTGCATATCTTGCATTGGAGAGAGAACTTGCGGACAGAAGAGGTCCCTTGATAAAAGAATTTCTGTAGTTTCCATTCCTTCGCCTCGCAACCTCTTCAGTCATCCACTTGAAAACCTTGTTCTCTGTCACCAAAAAGCGCTCCTTATAAGAAAGTTCTGTGAAGTGATTGCGGCAAAACTCGAGGAACGAGTATTGAGGACTTCGATAATCAGCTGCGGCGGTCTTGACCAGCGCAAACATCTGGCTTGTTGTAGAATCGGATGCAGAGCCTGCAGGACTCGATGAACGTCTTGCATCACTGTCAGTCTCTGACTCATCCGCTGAATGAGAGGCGTACTTTGCTAGTTCTTCTGCATAAACTTCCTTGATGAGCCGCACGGTAGGATCCGACAACGGTGATGGATGCGGATGAGAATTGGTCTGGGCCGCAACTTGCTCGTCCCAAAGATCCACAATCGATGAACGAGCAAGCACAGTCTCCTCCAGGGACAAGCGATCAGCTGTCTGATTCGTCATGAGTGTCGAGCTCTCTTTTCCGACAAGTAAGCCATCCTTCAGCCAGTCATGCAGCTTGCCTTCCGTCACGATGCTGCGCGTGTCCTCTGAGAGCCCTGCGTACCGAGTATCGCAGAAAGCCTTGAAGTGAGACTGGTATTTGAGGCGGGCCCCCTCCTCTGCGCATGCCTGGTCAGGCGCAGTCATACTGTCTAAGATCCAAGCATAAACCTCTTTTGGTGAACGAAATGATGTCCGCGCTTAGTAGCGTTTGAGCGGCTTCAGGCAATGCCAGCGATCGATTTGTCAAACAGAGGTATTTTGCACGTCCTCAGGAGCAGCACGTTGGAAGATTCAGTAGCTATCGAGACAACGTACGTGCATGCGTGTGGTTGAACCTTGACTGGACCGCCTGCCTGCCACCTGGCCCTGGCAGTCTTGAAATCCGATGTTCAGATGCAACCGTACTGTCAACTGCTATATAAGTGCAATTTGCACAGGAACATCTCAGCAAGCTCTATAGATGCAGTAACATTTGATATCTGCTGAACACCAATCGCTCGACTGTTGGTTTAGCCCTCGCAAAGAGCTGCCACTGTTTCCCGAAGTCTCGAATGACAATAGATGCAATGGCCTTCCAAGCCAGCTACTCGCCCTCCAGAGCACTCTGCAACGCTGCACGGTAGGCTTCGAAATCTGGACGCTCACTAGACTCTCTATCCAATGTACGCCAAGCAATGGCCGAGCCATCCCATTGACGAAGCCGCTTGCTCTGACCTGTCCTTTGACATTCTATGTCGTTTCGTCGTTTCCACGTTGCCATTGCTGGAGCAGGTGTTTCAATCTCATGCATTGACGAAAAATCATCTGATGAAATCACGAAGAATTCGTCAGGAGGGCAAGATTCCTCCTCGTCATGCGTTACGGATAGTGAGAAGGATACGCTGGGTGTCGATGGCTGTGATGATGCATCGAATGCATTCGCCATTTGCGCCGTTACTCCGTCATTGAGAGAGACAACGTTCTGACAGTCACCTCGAAGGACATGATTGACTTGTTGCGCTGCATTGTTGATGGACGACTGGGATCTGACAACTTTAGTGATCATCTCTTGCGTGTCTCGTCGAGCCAGATCAGACTCTTGATGCATCGCTCGTATCTCGCCTTGTGATTTGTTCATGTGGGTTCGGTACCCCCGACTCGATGAACCCGAGGAATCAGACGGCGTCGATCGTCCTGCTGCTTTGCGATAGTGGCGTTTGGACGTTATAGCACCGTTCCTCCGCTCCTGCAACTTGATTAATTGATTGATGCGGTCTGAAGTAGGTCTGGGATGGGAATTGATTCCTTGGCCAACCTGGACTTTCCATAGCAGGCAGAGTGCATACTTGGCATTGATCATGGTTCCAGCAGTTAAAAAGAGACGTTCTCCGTTCGGTCTCTTCAGCTTGGGGCTCCGTCGGACAGCAATATCATCAGCCAACCATTTGTAGAGCTTCTCCTCCGTCACCAGGAATCGCTCTGCTTCTGGTAGTTTGCTGCAACGTGAAGCACAAAACTCGAGGAATTGGCGTTGATATGTTTTGTAGACAGGTGCAATATCCTTTGTTGCCGTGTGGATGTCGCGCTGCACGGGTTCTGAATCGCCTGTCGACGCTGCAGGACTGATTGAGCTCCGTGAACTGTCATCTATATTGTATCCAGTGGGTGGCAGTGGAACTGACTTCAAGCGCTCTGCATTGACTTCTGCGTATGATTCCAGGAGCTTCATGATGAGACCTGCCAAGGGTGCGGGATGTAAATGGGTGTTTGTGTGTGCAAAGACTTGCTGTCGCCAGAGTTTGACGATAGCTGTCTTGGCATCATGCGCGTCCTTGAGAGAGAGCAAGCCCCTTGTACCGTCCGCTAGAATGAGACCAGAGCGCTTCTCTCGTACAAGCAACTCGTCCTTCAACCAGAAGAACAGCTTGTCTTCACTCACGTTGTAACGCTTGTCGTCCGATTGCGCAGCATATTTGAAGTCGCAAAAGTCCTTGAATTGCTGTTGATAGACAAGATTACTTTCAGTCTCGAGGCTGGTCTGTTGGGACAGATTCATGTTGGCTTTGTTGCTGAATGTAGGCGACCTGTATAGTCCACGAAGGGGTCTTGTCAACACAGAATTGGCCAGTAGATCGCAGAGCCTTCCTTGCGGTCTGATTGCTCATACAGTAGTAAGTCTTTCTCGCGATCGAGGAGAGCGGAGGTAGAGCTCGTCGTTAGGGCGACCCTGATGGCGTGAATGCGGATCGATGCAACCTTGAATTGGTTGGGAGACACGACATTGTATTTCAGATGGACTCGAGACTACATCAAGCAGGCTGCAGAGTCCTTCGTCGAATACAGCTTATTGAGACAGAGAGCAGAGCGGATGAGATGCAGCATAGAATCGCTAGATGTTCTCTACTACGTGACAGCATGGAGGACTCTTCAGATGGGATGGTGATTTCCTGGCGCGATTCTGTCGAGAGGAGATGCTTATCTGTTTGCATGACCATGAAATCACTTCTTCACAAGACCCATCTTCCGTATAGCTGCTGCTCTTTTGAGTCTTGATGTCCTAGCACACTCGTGGGTCGCGACTTGGTTCTGATTGGTGGACTAGGCGGATCCTGATGCAGCTGAGAGGAAGACTCGCTTGGTGGCGATAGTCCCAATGCCCTTCACGACAAGACCCAAGCGAGAAACCATTTGCTGACTGATTTGCATCTCATTTTGCATGTCATGTTGCAGCTTCTCGATAGAGGCTTTCACGACATCCAAGCTCTCAGATTGGGACTTTTCAAACTCAGACAGCTCGATCTGTCTCTCTTTACTGTCTGCCACCATCTTTCGTTTCAACGCTTGACTTTTCTTACGCAGTTCTCCCATTCGGAAGTTCAAAGACGTCGATAGGTCGCAATCGGACGATTCCGTCTCATTGTTTTGCAGGCTACTTGGATCGAAGGGAACACCTTGGTTCTTACACCTTTTATATTGTGCCGTCAATTCATAGATGCGATTCGACATTGGATCTGGGTATGCATTCAGACCTTTGCGTCTCTGAGCAGCCCAATTGAAAGAGACAGCATTCATAGCAAACTTGACTGTAGAGAACCCCAACCCGGAACACGAGTGTATGACTGCTTTCCTCCTCGATGTAGGCTGGATAGCCCTGCGAACCATAATGACTTCTACGAGCCATTGATAGAGTTTCTCCTCAGTCACCAAGTATCGTTCTTCAATGGGTAGAGCAGCGTAGTGAGTGCTGCAGAATTTGTTGAATTGTCCGACGTAGGTTCTGTAGGACACTGGTAGCTCTGCAGACGCAAATACAGCTTCAGCGTCAGTAGGGAAATGAGAAACCCTTGCCTGCCGCACTGAGGGAGCGTCGCAAATGGCGACTGGAGAGTCCTGTGATGAAGGTATCACTGCGCTCATCGCGACTTCAAGAGTAGCCCGACTTTTTGAGCTTATACCGTCAGATGATCAGGAGAGCATTGAGGAGAACGCGGTGAGCCGACGAGCTGAGCTGATTGACACTGGGCGAGTCGATGGAACCTTAAGGTCGTCGACGTCGAGCGAGTTGCGCCCATCAGATGGGAAGACGAGAGCGAAACTCGAAAATCAAAGAGATCAGTCTAGCCATCGCAAGACGCTATGAAGTACAAAATCAAAAGACAGCACACTCAATGCCTATCAGCACCTAGCTTTCGTGCACTCAATCTGTGTCCGAAGAGCCCACGCGCACTCCTCGCTAGGGCACCGAGACTTGGACTGCTGCGATGCTGCGACGAGCCAACACTCTCATCAGCGAGGTACTTGACAAAATCGCGAGACGCCTCACAGACAGTTGGATGTTGTCGTTTAATGCTGCTGACTGCGCTCAGCAACTTCTCACGAGCATCAACGGAATCCATGTCAGCGGCAAGGAGCGCACTTTGAAAGGCAAGACACCACGTACCCAGCGCATCATCTTGCGCAATCTTATCGGTGAAGCCTCTATTGTCGCCGTGTTGCATCGATAGAGCAGCGGAGGCAGTTTCAAGGACAAAGTGATCTTCCACCAAGGCAGCAATTTTCCCTTGCAGTGCCGGCAGACCGCCCTCAAACAGCGTCGTCAGTGTCGCGTGACCCCCTGCTTTCTCAAAATCACGCATTGCAACGCTATTTGGTGATAGGGATGCAGAGAGTGCGTACACGAGCACCCGCTGCACATCCGACTCCTTTTCCTTGGAGAGTCGTATCAATAGCGTCTTGGTGAGTTGCGCATGAGGAGGAATGACTTCTTGTGCATTCTCATTATTCCGCAGTGCAGAACCAATCACAATAGCAGCTTTGCTGCGACAAGCAGATTGCTCAATAGAGAGCAAAGCCGCCAAGTTTGGCAAAACAGAAGAGTCTGCGATTCTCAAACCAAACTCAAGTTCATGCGCCAATTCTTCAAGTGCATCCAAGGCTTCCAGAACACGCGCGGAACATGATGTGTCTGCTTCCAAGGTTTCCTGAGCAGCTGCAAATGTTTGCAATGCACCGCCTGTGACTGCACCGCGATTAGGTCGATAGGGTTTCTTCTTACGCTCTGCAGTTTGCACAGGCGCTGCTGCTTTTTCTTGTACGTCTTCACCAGGGACAAGCGCAAGTGCGGCTGCTGTAGTGGATGTCGTCGAATCGTCTGCGCTATCCAATAATTTTGCCTCTTTCAGACCAGTCTCAACATTGATACGGTAATGTAGACCGCCTGGTACGATTTGGTCGTCATGCACGACTTGGAAGGTATCGGTTGGCACGAAGAGGGAGGGGTAGCATTTGTCTGCGTGGCAGATTGTGTGTGAGGAAGCCTGATTTTGCTGCGCTGGGTGGCCAATTGCCTTTGCGAGGACAGGAAGAGCGAAGAGGGCTGGGAGGGTGAGCCTCATGGCTGATTAGGTAGGGAGCAGACTGCTGAGCAGAGAGTGCCAGAGAGTGTGTAGCGCTAACCTGTCTACGTGTCTGGTGCTGCTGTCTGGGGAAGGCACGTGACTGGGATCTGACGCGCGAAAACGCCAAAAGAGAGAAGAAGAGAAGGAAGCAAGGAAGCAAGAAAGCGTCTCTTGTGATCATCTCAGCAGCAGCGATGGGTGTGTGGACCTTTGTCTTGGCGCTCCTCCTCGACCTCGTCCTCCTCGCGCACGCAGTCTACGAAACAGTCCTCCTATCCGATGTCAGCGCAGACTTCCTCAACCCAGTCGATGCAGTCAACAAGATCAACCCATATGTCCTGCCCTCCATGGCAATCCAGGGCTTCCTCACCTTCCTCATGCTCGTCACAGGTAACTGGTGGTCCTTCCTCTTCAATCTGCCCCTTGCAGTGTGGAACGGCAGCAAGTATGCAGATTTCCCTTTCCTGCTTGCACATGGGACAAACGATGGCTAACCGGGTGCTTCTTCTAGGGTGCTCAGTAAGGACTATGCTCTCGATGCAACAGAGATCTTTAGGACACTCAACAGAAACCAGATGCAGTGCTACATTCGGCTGGCGAGCTACATGCTCTTCTTCTTCTGGTAAGTCATCTTATTGCTTTGTTGATGAGATCTGTGGCTAATGGTGCAGGTATCTGTTCTGCATGATCTCTGCGATTGTCATCGACGACCACTGAGCGATACAATGGAAGAGCAAAGGCCAACACTGTTTGCTCGATGCCATCTTGTCAAGTGAACTTGATACTATCTGCTACATCTCTGGGACGCATCCTGACAGGTGGCTTTCGGAACATGCTGTATAGAAAGCTATGATCCATACGGGTATCTCTAATGCAGGTTGCTACATCTCTCTTTGGTCCTCACTTCCACTCTCGCTCCTTCGACTGCTGTACGCCAAGTCGCATGTCGCCCTCTATCGTGGACACTGCTTCTGTGAGCTTGTTTCATCGCTAACAAAGACTGCTTCCCGCTCTTCCTGTACGTCATGCCAAACGCTCTTCTGCTGCAAGTCTCTCACAAACAAAGCGTCATAGCATCGTCGACCGTGGATCGCGCACTGTGGGGATGAAGCTACCTCTCAGTTGAGCAAGCTCTTCTGCAGTGGGTTCAATGAGCATACGACGCTTCGGCAGCGCTCTTGTAGGTTGCTGCGTGACTTGAGATGGATCTACTACTGCAGTTGGAACAGTGTGTTCCTGAAGCAATCTCTCCATCTTGCTTGCTTGCTGCTGCATCTGTCTCTGCTATTACATATATCAGTCTATTGCTGAGTGCTTAAGAGAAGGACTCACCAGATCTTGTAGTATCTGTGTCTGTGCACTGCTCTGCTGCTGTAGGAGACTGATTTGCTGGTGCTGGTCCCTGAGGAGAGCGGTGAGGGGTGCGAGGTCTATTTGCTTGGGGAGTTCAAGGGACATTTTCTTGAGCCAGAAGAGGAAGTCTTGTGTGCTGTGATCCATCATGGCAGTGTAGTGTGCGCTGCTGGACTGCTGCAGTCTATGTGACGGGTATCTCGGTGTGTAGCCTTGTAGGAAGGGGAGAAGGCGAGTTTTGTGCCGTCCCATCTCGTCGCACCACCCGAGCAGCATGACACCGCATCACACTCATGATCACACTCCCTCTCTATCCCTGACCACAAACAAAAGGTGTCACTCATGGCAGACGTCAGATATAGGGGCAACAAGCACAAGCAGCCCGCTCTCGTCGCAAGGGATGGCCCCCTCGACCAAAAGGTAAATAACCCTCTCCCTCCGTTCTCTTTTCCTGGGCAGCTATTCTGGACGCGTCTTTGTGACAAGACATCAAATAGGCCATAGCCAACGCAGACAAACACGTCCGCAGGTCTCCCTCTATGGCTCAAAAAAGCGAGCTGCATGCCCAGGTGGCAGCCCTCAACGACAGCCAGCTTGATGTCTTCTTCACCATCGCGTCCAAGCCAACCAGGAAACACAAATCGACAAACCATACTGACCAAGCCCAGATCAACGCAGCTCTCAACAACCGCTCAACAACGCAATGGAGGCTTGCCTTTGCCGTGATTGTCGCTCTCGCTTTCGCTACACGCTTCTACCGTATCGACTTTCCGAGTAAAGTGGTCTTTGACGAAGTTCACTTCGGCAAATTTGCATCGTACTACCTACAACGCACCTACTTCTTCGATGTCCACCCACCGCTTGCTAAGCTGGCTCTGGCGTTTGCAGGTTGGGTGATTGGGTATGATGGACACTTCCACTTTGACAATATCGGCGATGACTATATTGTCAATAAAGTGCCGTATATCGGTCTTCGCGCCATGCCTGCGCTGCTGGGTAGTCTGACTGTGCCGGTTGTCTTTTTGACCATGAAGGAGTCTGGGTATGGTTTACCTGCTTGTGTCGTTGCGGCAAGTATGGTCCTCTTTGACAATGCACACATTGCGCAAGACCGTCTGATTCTGCTCGACGCAATGCTAGTGTTTAGCATGTCTTGCTCTATCTACTGCTACGTCCGTTTCTACAGGCAGCGACGACACCCCTTCTCAAAGGCATGGTGGACATGGCTCTTCTTGACGGGTACAGCACTCTCCTGCGTCATGTCTACAAAATACGTCGGCTTATTCTCCTACGTCACCCTTGGCTTCGCAGTCGCTATTGATCTTTGGGAGCTCCTTGATGTTCGCAAGGGACTCAGCATGAAACAATTCCTTCGACACTTTTACGCACGCGCACTCGGTCTGGTCATCATGCCCTTCTTGCTCTACCTGTTTTGGTTCTATGTGCATTTTGCCATCCTGACACGATCTGGGCCAGGTGATGAGTTCATGTCGCCTGAATTCCAAGAGACCCTCTCCGACAATATCATGATGGCTGAATCGTACCCAATCAACTATTTTGATACGATTACGCTCAGGCACAAGGACACGAAAGCATATCTTCACTCGCACCTCAACAACTACCCGCTACGATACGATGATGGCCGAGTATCTTCTCAGGGTCAACAAGTCACAGGATACCCCTTCAACGACACCAACAACCAATGGAAAATTGTACCAGCCACACCCTTCGAAGGCGGTGAGGTCAAGGGTATCCCAGTCAAACACAGCCAAGCCTTTAAACTCATCCACACCTTGACGGATACAGTCTTGTTGACACATGATGTCGCTTCACCACTCTATGCCACCAACCAGGAGTTCACCACCGTCTCACAAGAACTCGCTGCAGGTGAGCGGGATGCCGATACACACTTCCAACTTCAACTTGTCAGTGGCAAGAATGAGCAATGGCGTACTAAAGCCGGGTTGTGTAAACTCGTGCATGTCCCAACAAAGGTCAACATGTGGTCCGATGCAGCACCGTTGCCAGACTGGGGCTTTAAGCAGCAGGAAATCAATGGTAACAAGAAGGCCACGGATAGTGGTAATATCTGGTACCCCGAGTCTATCGTTGACTTGAACGACCCGGCACGCATGGTGAAGGCAGAGAGGAAGGTCAAGAAGTTGCCCTTTTTGACGAAATACTTGGAAACGCAGCGTCTCATGTTTTACCACAACTCAATGCTCACTTCCTCCCACCCCTATGCTTCGGGACCCATCAACTGGCCATTCTTACTGCGTGGTGTCTCTTTCTGGACAAAGGACGATACAAAGCAACAAATTTACCTCGTTGGCAATGTCTTTGGCTGGTGGCTGGCTATTGCAACCTTGGCAGTCCTCTCGGGAGTCCTTGCCGCTGATCAAATTGCTCTTCGACGTGGTCAAGATGTCTTGCCCAGAATGACTCGTGTTCGACTCTACAATTCAACTGGATTCTTCTTGTTGTGTTGGGCAGCGCATTACCTACCCTTCTTCCTCATGGGCAGACAACTCTTCTTGCATCATTATTTGCCCGCTCACCTTGCCTCAAGCCTCGTGACGGGCGCTATGGTGCAATTCATCTTTTCACGCATTGGACGCAAACAGGTCTCCTTGTTTGCTTTGGACGACAAGCTCGTCCAGCAATCGCCCTTCAAGAAGGATTCCAAGGAAGACTCGACGGTGTCTGCATCCGTCATGGTTGAACGGGATGAAAACTCCCTCCTTATCTGGGCTGTGACGGGACTTCTGGTGATTGGTTTGGCTACTGCATTTGTTCATTTCGCACCCATCACGTATGGATTGCCTGGATTGACAGTGCCACAAGCATTGAAACGACAAGTCTTGTCGTCGTGGGATATGCACTACCTCAAACCATAGAAAGCCATGATGCCTTCAGGCTTCGTAGCGGAGACAGATTTTGGGGAGTCACTCGTAGAAGAAAGCGAAGGTTTCATGAATGCATGATTGATTGTTTATGCTGAGGCTATGGATTTCCATTTCCCTGGAATAATGAAGCAGCACTGCTACTGCGCTTGCTAAACAGCTTACCAAACTGACGCTCCACAAAGCGGCCATCCAGCGGCATACCAGGTGTTGAACTTCTGCTCTGCAATGATGACAGGTCACTCTGCATCGACTGCTTGACACCTTCTGGTGGCGGTCTTGCCTGTGCTGTACTTGGAGAACGAAAATACGATTGTCGTTCATGCACAGGACTGTGGACGGGTGAGCCGAGACCATGCGAACCACCACCAATGCCGGCGATACCACCAGCACTACCATGTGTCAGTCCACCAAGCAAGCCATCCTTGGAGAAGATCCCGCTGTGTGACTCTACAGGCGAGCGTGCATCTCCGAGTACCTGTAGTTTGTCGAGCAATGGATGCGAATTATCGAGTGATGCAGGATCTTCCCTTCTTGCGGCATTGACCTGTTTATTGAAAACATCAATCAGTCGCCCATGTTGCTGTCGCGACACGCCCTTGATATCGAGGACTTTGACAAAATTGCCAACAGAGGCATCGGCAATGATAAAAATGTAATTGGCAACAAAGCCCTCTGGCGGATTGACCGAGACATGCAGAACTTTGAGTAACGTCTCCAGTCGACCAATCTGTTTCGAAACAATCGCTGCATACGCAGCGGTCGTCTCAGCGCCTGGCAGGTTGAGTAAAGTGGCCTTGATGCTGTAAATGTCCAAGAGCATCTGCTCAGCAGCCACCTCATTGATGGGCTTGCACTTGACAATATAGCCACTATAGCAACGCACGAAATTCTCAACAAGGCGATCGCAGAAGGAGCGAATGAAGCGATCTTTGCCGAGGTTGTGAAGGACCCGCTTGCCCTCGCGCAAAAGACCAGCACTGAGCAAAGAGACGTATTGCGATTGATCACCAGATTCACTCATGCTTGACCAAGAAATCTTGAGCATGTCGCGCAGAGCAGTATCCACCACTCTGTCGAGATGGGAAACAAGCAGGTCCATGCTTCGTCCCATTAAAGACAAGAATTGGCTGTGCTGATATTGATAGGTGATGCGCTCAACGAAGGGCGGCGAAATCAACTGCTTGATGCGTTCTTCGAGCTGGAGTGTCGTTTCTGAACAGTATTCGGCAGTGCGAAGGACCATGATGATTTCCTCAACGGTAACGACACCATTTGAGTACTTACTAGCGAGAATCAAATCATGATACTGATTCAGGTACTTGGCCATGACTTTTGCGAATTCCCATAGTGGCGCGCCTGTTGATATTTCGGCACATTGCGTTGTCGTAGTCAGGTAAAAGTAAAATAAGTCAGCTGAGGAGGGCAAGGCTGGTTCGTCCAGGGTCGGCCAGGGAGCGCTTCTGTAACCTGCCAACATGCCTGACAAGACCTGATCTTGCATATCGACAAAGAGATTGAGGTACGGCTCAAAGGCTTCACTGATGCGGTAGCCGCGCTGCTGTTTATCTGACGCATCGGAATGGACGGATTTCACAGAGTCAATCGAAGCTCTTGGCGCTGCCCCCATGCGCTCACCCAAGTAGCGCTCAAAATCGAGCGTTTCCTGAAGTGCTTGCAACAGTAATTTGATGTTGGGACGTGAGCGAGCCATGACAGTGACGAGATCTTCTTTGGTGCTCTCGCAACCTTGCCGAATAAGCTGCTCTTGCAAGTGCCAAGACTCGGGGAATATCTGAGCATGCTCATCTTCGTAGCTGCGGAAGACGCGTTTAAGCCAGGCATATCGCCGAGAGAGGTTGTCGAGCGAGCCGGCCTCTTCATGGCCTCGAAAGACATTGCGGTATTCTCGTAGCTGTGAATTGATGTACCATGTCGAGATACGCTCCTTTGGGCCATCACCGAGGACCTCAACAAGCTGACAGCCTTGCGTCAAGACTATGCGTGTTTGAGGGGAGAGACCTGTAGAAAAGTAGCCTTCGAAATCGCTTGCCACCTGTTCCAGAAGAGATCGCTGCAAGTCGGCAATCTCTTGTGACAGCACCGCAATTTGGGGTATAGATCGATAAGCTTTGAAGTGCGTCATGAGCTGCAGTACAGCAGATAGAAGAGAAGCAGTCTCAGCATACTTCTTGCTAGATGCGAGCCGTTGCAATTGATCAAAGGCAGAGATAAGCATCTGTAGTCGCTTGACAATAGTCATAGTGGCGGCCACATTTCGCTTCGCTGTATCAAGGCGTCGGATCTCCTTGGTGACGCTCGACACAAAGTCCTCCGCCTGGCCTGCCTTTGCTTGAGTCGTCGAGATTTCATCATGAAGTAGCTTCAGTTTCTCCTCGACCCTGCCAACGCATTCAGCTGCAATCTCCTTGTTGGCCGTGACCCGCTCCTGCATCTCTGCAATAGCATGTCGAAGCTGAATCTCGTGCCGAATCAGCTTAGACTCGATACGAGGCAGCAACGACAATGACTCAAGAGAGGGAAATAGCGCATCCAAGTGGTCGGTCGGGCTGTAGTCTTGAGCCGTCAACTGGCTGGCTGGGAGGCGCTCAGATTCGCCGCCATGCATGACACCGTAGCGTACAGCAGCTTGTCTGGCCAGTACAGACGCGCTTGTGCTTGTTTGCTGTGCGTGTTCGTATACGTGATGGAAGTCGCGCGCTGGCCAACACCCAGACATTGCTCCGACCATCGCACCTTCCAATCAACCCACCTCAGGCTTCTAGGCCTGTCTTGGTCAAGTTCTCCTGAAGCACGCTGCTTGCCTGCATGCGAACTCCTATCTCATCTCGCTTCAGGCCGGGCTCATTCTCCTAAGTGCACTTCATGGAAACGATCTTTGAAGAAAGCTTGTGAACAGAAATGTCTAGAGAAGTTCTGGAGACCTGCGCATGAGTCCTCCTCAGCACAGTCAAGTGGTCGTCTGTCTATGAACGCGAGAGGGCATGTTGCTCTACCCATTTCAGAACTCTCCTTTCCCTTTATTGCCAAGACATTTACCATGCGCAAACATTTGTGCAAACATCTGTCGCATCTCCTAGAAGTCACGACTCATCTGCTATTTTACACGGTTCTGCCCCAGGAAGAGACACGCCTTTGACTAGCATACAATGCTCTTCTTGTTGCCACTTCTTGGAGTCGCGCTTGCAGAAAGTCATACTGGCTACGCCGGCTACACATTCGTCGTCCTTGGCGACTCCGAGATCGCTCCTGGTTCAGGTTAGGAGGTCTTGCATACAATACAGATTACTAATCGCAGGCTATGGCGACTGCTTGAATGAGGTTCTGCCTGGTGCAGAGGTGCTCAACTTTGCCGTTAGTGGCTTTTCGACAGTTCGCTACTTGAAGAACAATACACACCGTGCCTTGGTCAAAAAGGGTGCTTTGGAAGCCAAGAACAGACATCAGACTGTCATCTGTTCACAGGCTTTCGGCAACATCGATGAAAAGCGAGGGACTGACTACTTTGTGCCCCCAAAGGAGTTTATCAGCAATATGAAGGAAATTCACAAAGAACTTGAGAGCGTTTGTACACGAGCTATTTTTTCGACCCCTTTCGCTCGTCGGTATTACTATGAGAACGGCACCTTCTTGGAGAATGGCCTGGAGTACGTCGACTTAGGCAAACAGGCAGCACGCGAAACAAGCTCTGTCCTCGTTGACCTGCACCTTGTCTCTGAATCTCATCTTCGCACATGGTCGTCGGACAGAGCCTACAAGATGAATAAAACCCCAACAGACTACACTCATCTCAATAGATACGGCTGCCAACATACAGCACTGTGGTGGGTGACACAATTCAAACGCGTCTTCAAGGATTTGGACACACCACCTGTTCATGCGAAACGACGACATCATCATGCGGCATGAAGAGATGCACGGGTTCCTTCCTTCACTTCAATCATTTCTTCTCTTTTCAATGCTATCTGGATAGTGACATTCTCAGATCACCTCGATATTAATTCATTTCCATGCTGCTTCAAAATGCCTTTCTTGTCCTCAAGAGTCGCGAAAGACAGCCTTGAAGCAAGGTTGAGAATGCTGGCCAACCTAAGGAACAGGCAGAGGCACCCCTGACGTGATGAGCTCGCAAAGTCGCAGACAAAATGGTGCACCCCCTAAATGATCAACAAATCTCATTGATTGAGCTCCCACATGGTGTGTTGCCTGCCCTCTGTTCAGAGACAAGACCTTGTAGAGGGAAGCAATCGCAACACGGCAATGATTGACCGCACTTCATAGCACCACGCGAATTCGCGCACTCAATCACATGGCGATCCTCCCCCTCACCTTTCAGTGATGGATGTCTGACCTATTCGGGGTTCGCATCGCATTCCCGTTGAGCCAAAAGTGACTAGTCCCTAGAGGACACCGCTGCAGCTCTTTAAACCCCGAATCCAAGGCCTCATCCAGGAGTCAGTGCTCATCAGGAGACACCTCCTGGACCCAACTTCGAATCCCGCTCGAAGCTCATTTATATCTAACAATGGAAACTCCTGGAAAGTGGCTTCAAGATAGGGTGAGGAATTTGGTCCCTCAAACAGCCGGTCATTTCAAACATTCCGTTTGAGTTTGGGCCAAACTCAAACCAAAGTCAAACTAGCCCTCATGTTTGGCCCTCTGGTTTGGTCACCAAACCCAATCCCGAACACTCTACTACTCAAACGTTTGGAATGTTTGGTTATGTTTGGTATTGTCCCGTGAGTCGCGACTCGTGACTTCATTAGACATGACATGAGCCCTGTGGTCACTTCTGTCACTGACTGTCAGGCGGGGCTGTGCCGCTGTTTCCAGACTGCGACCTTTGACGGTATGACCTGTCACCTGCGTCTCCGCGTGACTGCCGAGGTCTGGACTCCAGGACTCTGCACTGTGGAAGTGAGCCTCTGAACACTTTTGTCTGCAAAGCACAAGATCTCGCAATTACTGGCATGTCGAATCTATTCACTCGTAGATCTTCTGCAAGTAGTAGGCCAACCGGCTCTTTCAACGACGGCGATGGCAGTTCACAGCATTCGCTCTCATCAGTGTGCACACCAAGCCCTGGGCTGTTCACACAATCAAGGCAAGATTTGATGGACAGCCCAACAGATACATCGGAGCGAGCTTTCTCTCGAGGGAAGTTGATATGCACTGACCTGCGCAACCGTATGTCTGGACAAACACTCGAGAGTCTGATGTGCCTCGGTAGCTGGGTGCCCATGTTCCACCGTACTGTCTGATGAATCATGTTCATCATAATGGTTGACGTGCTGAAAGACATAGCGAACTGTAGTTGACTGTTGACATTATCATCTAGTGACTTGGCATCTCCCTGGACCCTCGGCTCTCGGTCAAGATACCGCAACGTAAGCCAAACTCAGCCCAAACTCGTGTTTGAATTTGACAAGTTTGGTCTTTATTTGGTACCAAACTCAAGCACAAACATGAAGAGTCTGAGCTGCTTGGTTTGGTCCAGCATGCTTGGGCTCATGCTTGGTCGACCAAACTCAAGCCCAAATAAATAGGCTTGTTTGGTTTGAAAGACCAAATTCCTCACCCTACTTCAAGACCGAAATGCCCTTTCGTCGCTAGGAGTAGGCTGGCCTGCCCTTCGAACGCACTCTCACCCAGGAATTGCGATACTGGCCATGTTCATCCTATTCGCACTGTTGATGGCCATCGTCTATGCGACAAACCAAGTCGACTATGCCCAGCACACATTTGTTCTCGTTGGAGACTCGGAAACGGCTAATCATACAGGTGAACCCTGAAGATTTGATACTCAGCAGACAAGCTAATGGCAGGGTATGGAGGCTGCCTAGAAGACTTTCTACACAAATCAACGGTATTGAATTTTGCCATCGGTGGCTTCACGACGAGGGACTGGCTTCGCGCCAACAACACAGCACATCGTAACGAAATGTTGAAGGCTGCGAAGGATGCGCGAGCGAAAGGAGACGTTGTGATTTGTTCGCAGGCCTTTGGTGCGAATGATGAGAAGGTTGGGACATATAAGTACGTTCCTCCAACCAAATTCTCGCACAACATGGGAAAGATTCACATGGAGCTGAAAGAGGTTTGCACTTATGCCATCATCACGACGCCATACATCCGTCGATGGTATAATCAGGATGGAGTCCTGAAGCCAAACGGCGAAGAGTACGCTGCATTGAGCAGGGGCGTAGCGAACAAGACCCATTCTATGCTGGTCGACATGCACGCGCTTTCCGAACGGCGCCTAAGCAACTGGACACCTGTTGAGGCTTACGCAATGAACCTATCACCGGGTGATAGAACGCATCTCAACCAGAAGGCCTGCAAACAAGTGGCGGAGTGGTGGGCAGACGAATTTTCAAAGGTCTTTTATCGATACTTGACACAAGCTGAGAATGTCCATGTACCAAAGGACAAGAAGCATCGATTCTTCACACAAGATGAGAAGGTCCAGGGACTAAAGGACAAGAAGGCGCCTGTTATCTGACGCGGAGATTGTGATACTCATTCATTCTAGAAAGTCTACAATGACTCTACAATAATCTACATCTTAATATGATCTTATCCCCATTTTCAAGGGCGGGGCCCCGGGTTCTCCATCTGAATATGACACAACGCCCGAGTTGCCCCAATAGTGGATCCCATCCTAACCAGAGTGAACACATTCCCCAATTCTTTTTGTCTTATCGCGATGGTTCAAGCAGCTCAATGGACTTGCAAAGCAGGTATCATCAACGGTACTCGTGATGCACAAGGTGCGTATGCTAGAGGTATTCGGTATGGGCATGCTTCGCGATACCAGAAGCCCGTCGCTGAACCAGCGCGCTCATCTGATTCTCCCATTGATGCGACACGTCGTGGATCTGCCTGTCTGCAACCACCGACGGCATTTGATGAAATCATGGGCGGATCATCTATCAAAGGGTTGGACCAGAGTGAAGATTGCTTGGTCCTGTCTATCTTTACCGGACCGGAAGTAAAGCCCGATAACAACTTACCAGTCATGGTATGGATTCATGGCGGTGCGAACGTCTCGGGAAGTGGAGAAGCTGAGCTGTACCACGCGCATGATCTTGCTGCGCACAACAGAATGTGGTCGTTGTTTGCTTGACATTTCGTCTGGGCATGCTAGGCTATATCGGCAATGGTGCCTCTCCTGCCAATCTCGGCTTACTCGATCAACTTGAAGGGTTGCGTTGGGTGCGAGACAACCTGCTTTCGGCGGCGACCCAAGCAATGTCACCATCTTCGGACAAAGTGCAGGCGGCGATTCTGTAGCACATCTCATTGTTTCGCAAGGCGCCGAAGGATTGTTTCATCGTGCCATCATCCAGAGTGCTCCGCTAGGTCTTTACGCACAGCGCTCGGCTATGTACAAGGCTATGCAGGAAAATGCAAAGAACCTGGCGGACAATGCCTCCACAGCTGATCTGTTTGCTGCACAACAGCGAGCTCTCGAGATTGGCAAGAAACATGGAAATCTCGGTTACATGCCCTTTGGCGTTACTTACGGCGAAGAACCGTTGCCTGCGGAAGCTGATCTAGCAGCCGCATACACGGCCCGTGCAAAGGCTGTTGATATCTTGATTGGCCATACGACGCGTGAACCTGCCATGTTTGCGCTCGCGATGCCAGTCTTTCGCATTGCGATGAGTATTCCGATTCTTGGACGAGCTGCTGCTGCAGTCTTGACAAGGCAGCTGACGGCGAGCATCTATGGTACAGCTGCTAGTGCATTGTATGCGCGACACAAGGAAGCTGGTGGTCAGGCCACGTTTTATCGCTTTACCATGAGTACGCCTGATGTGTTCACTTCAGCAACACATGTCCTGGATGTGCCATTGATCTTCTCGAACCGAAATGCCTGGGAAGGTTCCAGACTCCTCAAGGGTGTCGCTTGGGAGGAGGTAGAGAACAAAGGGCGTCAGATGAAGAAGCTATGGGCTGACTTTGCGAGAGTGGGCTCTTTGCCAGCTCAACACATCGAGGGGCTCATCACGATCACATGAGGAGGCAATTACGAAACCTGATAAGGTGCGTAGACATCATGACAGCGCCTTCTTGCTTTCAGTATGGTAGGTAGAGTCACTAAAGTGGTCATTCTCGAGTCGAATCGAGCGGCCCGCCGGCGTATCCCACTTGTTCAGACTTCAAAGCCTGAGCAAGAGTCCTATGAATTATGATCTCAGACTCTGTAGGTCACATGTCATGACTCATGCTTCATGAAACCCCATGTCCCTCCCGCGATTTGCGCACAGATGGGCTTGGCGAAGTAGCGAGTGCTATGATTCCGCCTTAAGCTCATTCGACTTGGGCCAAAGTCAAATTCGAACTCGAGAGGTGTTTTGGTCTTGGCGAACAAAGCTCCAACGAAGGAACCAGAGTGCTAGACAGATGTTGTGTGTATAAGGTGTCAGTATCGATGGGAATATTGACCAGCATTTGCAGCAACAAGTCTATGGCAGGCGGCGGAGTATTATCCGAGTATATCGCATCTCCATCCTTTCTGCTCGAGATTGCGCGTGGTCTGACAGCTGCAGGCGAAATTGACAGTCAGCCAATAGCAGGCGAGCAGCCCATCTGACGACAGCTGACAAACCGACAACCGCCAGCGAGCCGCATGTCAGCCGATTGCACAGTGCACTAGGCTCAAGCGCTTAAGCAAGGGCATGTATAAAGAGGCCAGTCCACTCTCAAGTCAGGGCCCATCTATCTTCATCTGCTCCACACTTCTACTACTACAAACATGGTCCAAGTTGCTACTGCCAACCAACAATTGGCATCACACCTCGAGAAGGTCGCTGCACGTCACCAGAAACACATTGCCAAGATTGAAGCGCACAGGGAAAAGGTGCTTGAGCGGGTCGAACAGCACAGAGAGAAGATTCTGGATCGCCGAGAGAAGGCCATTGCCAAGGTGGAGCGTAAACGAGAACAAGCCATGCAACGCGTTGAGGTGCACCGACAGACTGCCTTGCAACACCGGGAGAAGACCCTGCAGAAGCTCGAGGATGTACACTTGGAGGTGCTCAACAAGGTCACCCTGATCCAATACGGCGACGATGGCGGCAAAGTGCTGGACGCCGAGCGCAAGCACTACCAGCAATCACACCAAGCGAAGCGTTTTGCAACGGCAGCGATTGATGACACCGCATCAGAGATTGATGTGATTGTTGCGGCGGAGGATGACATGTCTTCTACCGATTGCTCGCCAATGATTACACCTAGCGAGGAGCGCACGAGGACACTGAGCAGCAGCTCTGGCTCCAGCCTGACCCTGGGTCCTGACCATGAGCCCATCATCGGACGTGCTAGCTCGGAATGGAGCCGTGCTACCGCTATTTCGAGGCGGCCCGCCAACCTCTGTCACTGAAGATGAGTGGGAGGCTGACAATGATGTTTCATACGTGTATAGCTTAACGAAATACCCCCAGTACTTCCCTCTATTTTCATGATTTCATCTGGTCAGCGGTCTGTGCGGGTGTTTTGACAATTCTCGACAACCAAATCAACAAAACCCATCACCATCCTATAAAGCACCAGACGCACCCGTCGCACAAGCAGGCCTGACCCTCGCGCCTGCATGAGAAGCACCCGAGAACATTCATTGACCCACCATCAACCGTACAGCGTGATGGCCTAGCTGCATCATCGTGTCGAACCCCCCACAAACAGAAAAAAAACAATGGCGTACAAGCCAATGTCACACAACGGCCATCTCAACGCCTATCTCGATGAGCTCGCTCACAACACCAATGCGCGGCGCCGATACGGTCTAGAGGACTCTGTCTCCCACTTGGACATCCTTCCGCCGCCGCCACCCATCGCCGACTACGGTTACTACAGCAGTGGCACTACATCGCCCACACAAACAGACTTTGCGCCGCCGTCATCAGCATCCTCTGTAGCGCCGTGGCCGTCCAAGACGCGCTTCGGATCAGCTCAAGTGACGCGGCCTTTACGTCTCACACCCACCACTGGCGGTAAACAAGGTCGCTTCCAAGCTCTATTCGAAACGGCCCTATCACCGCGTGTTCCTGTCAGAGAATCTGCTCGCTTTTTGGAACGTTTCCGCTATGTCTTGTGTACTTCTCAGCTTCTGGCAGACAAAGTTTTGGCAGTCCAACAACAGCAGCAAGGCCCGCAACGACGCCTTGGTAGGTCTGAACTGCGTGCGCCGTCCAATTTCCAGTTCGATGCAGATGAACAAGCTACGTGGGATGAACGCCGTGTGGCAAAGTACTGGATGGGCTCAGGTGGCTGCGTTCTACTCGTGTCCCTCCTACTAGTCTGGTCAAACAAGCGCGCCGCTACATCAAGTACGCTTCACAATAAATCCAAGGCATCGGCAACACTCTTCTTGACATTACTTCTTGCACGCTTCATGTGGGCGCAGTCACGTCGTGCGTATCGCAGATTATTGCATGTTCGTGCAGCAGATCGATGTGAGCAGTTTGTACTACATTGTCAATTACTCGATAGCTTGTGTGCGCAAGCGATCCGGTTCATTGAGCAGGATAATGCTATGCAGGAGACTGTCAGGTTTACTTTGACTGCATCCCTCAACTTACTCTATGCAGCGTTGGATCGCAGTTTTGATGTACTGCAGGGAGTTGCGAGTCTGAATGAATCCAGCAAACTTGCAGAAATGTACAATATCGAGCTTCGACCCATCCAACAGGGTGAAGGTTGTTTTGACGACACGATGCATCTCACATGTGATGCAAGTAGCAGTGCTGGACAACTGACTGACTTGATGCAAAATATTCACCAGCGACGACGTAAAGTGCTCTGCTGCCTGCTTGCCGTTCAAGCAGATGGCAGACCAGACCATACTGCTGTTTGGCGAACGGTTATTGAACAACTTGCTACATTATCGCAACTCACTGCTGGACTGGGTCATCAACTCGAAGAAGTACTCCACACCGCAGCGATGCAGAAACAATTGCCACCCATGAGCAGAGTGCAGCAAACGCGTCGACGTGCGCGGGAGATGACGATGGTGAGTCAATCATTACGTTCCACACAAGCACGACTCATTACACTACGCCAACAATCTACTCTTCTTCTGCAAGGAGATGAAGTAAGTGAATCAGAAGACCATGAGGTTGCAGCGCGAGAAGCGTTATTGAGGCAGTATGATGCCCTTGGCAGTGATTTAGATGCCTTGATGGCAGATTGGCAAAGTGGTCGCGATGCCCTTGCCCATTCTCAACGTCCTATTGTACCGATTCGTGCATTCCTGACGGAAGGTGCGGCTGATACTTCTACAGCAGGACACGCAGGTGCTGTGTCCAAACGACCCGATTCCCTTGGCTTTTGGGGACCTCGTATCTCTGTTTTGGGAACAGGCGGATTGTCTCTTGATCGCAATGATGTACAGAGCTTGGATGCTGTGTTTGAAGGGTATTCACTAGATACCACCAAGCAGAGTGGTGATGAAGGTCGAGCGAGACAGATTGCAGCAATGCGAGCTGAACGAGAGGCGAAACAAGCACGGACTGCCATGCGATTGCAGATGCAACATGCTGCAACGAGTGATGCGTCTACATCTCAACAACATCGACAAGTGACGTTTGCATCTATACCGAATGTTCAGGAACGACCAGCAAGTCTTGTTCAACCACAACAGCAGCAGCAGGGTGGCAGACGGTTACGTGGATTGCGGCTGAGTATTGGCGTCGCACCGCAACATACCTACAGTGATCGCTTATCCGTTGTGGGTGAGGAAGGGAGTATAGATGCTCGAAAGCGGATGACGGTGGGTGGTCGTCCTGTTTCAGGGTATGTCACACAAGCAGATGCAGCAGCTGCTGTTGCTGCTCGTAAACAACAGCAGCATGGTGCAGAGACCCGACGACCTGCTGGGATGCGTGAGAGTCTTGTACGGAATGTGAGTACGGGGAGTGATGGATCTGCTTTATCCCTTGCAACATGGGCGACGGGGGATTCTGGACTGGGTGCATCGACGGCGAGTTACGGTAGTCGTTTTTAGGATTAATTCAACAAAAGGGTTGTAACTTGTACGGCATAGCACGAGCATAGAAGGACAAGGATCAGGAGCACTCTCTTTGAGCTACGGTGACAGATGGAGCCAAGAGATCTAAGATCTAGTAGCAACTTTGTTTTTTAAAAGGACGAGATGAAAGATGTGGCGGTCGCCTTGAGCTTTGTCTCAGAGTCCTTGGAGACACTGCCTTCCTTTGAGATGGTCGACATGAGTTCCGACTCGGAGGACTTCAAGTGAGCCAAGAATTTCTTCTCAAACTCACCGATACGGTCGACGGGGATCTTGTCAAGGAGACCATTCACACCGCAAAAGATGAGTGGCACTTGCTGCTCAACGGTGAGTGGGGAGTACTGCGGTTGCTTGAGCAACTCAGTGAGACGCTCACCACGAGCCAATGTAGCCTTGGTACCGGCATCCAAGTCAGAACCAAACTGAGCAAACGAAGCAACTTCACGGTATTGAGCCAAGAAGAGCTTGAGCGAACCAGCAACCTGCTTCATCGACTTGACCTGAGCAGCGGAACCGACACGAGACACGGAAAGACCGACGTTGATGGCAGGACGGATACCCTTGAAGAAGAGCTCAGCCTCGAGGAAGATCTGTCCGTCTGTGATGGAAATGACATTGGTTGGAATGTAGGCAGACACATCACCACCCTGCGTCTCAATGATGGGCAATGCAGTGAGCGAACCACCACCCTGTGAAACGTTCATCTTGGCTGCACGCTCGAGGAGACGAGAGTGGAGGTAGAAGACATCTCCAGGGTAAGCCTCACGGCCTGGGGGACGACGGAGGAGCAGAGACATTTGACGGTAGGCAACAGCCTGCTTGGACAAATCGTCGTAGATGATGAGGGCGTGACGACCGTTGTCGCGGAACCACTCTCCCATGGCGCATCCAGAGAAAGGAGCGATGTACTGGAGAGGAGCAGCCTCGGAAGCAGTAGCAGCAACAATGATGGTGTACTTGAGGGCGTCGTTCTCCTCGAGTGTCTGCACGAGCTGAGCAACAGTGGATCGCTTCTGACCAATAGCGACGTAGACACAGTAGAGCTTCTTGCTCTCGTCAGAGGTCTGATTGATGGCTTTTTGGTTGAGGATGGTGTCGAGTGCGACGGCAGTCTTACCAGTCTGCCTGTCACCGATAATCAACTCACGCTGACCACGGCCAATGGGGACCATGGCATCGACAGCCTTAAGACCAGTCTGCATGGGCTCCTTGACGGATTCACGGGGGAGAATACCGGGTGCCTTGAGTTGGGCACGACGACGCTCCTCGCCCTTGATGGGACCCTTGCCGTCAATGGGCGCACCGAGTGCATCCACGACACGGCCGAGCAAAGAAGGACCGGTAGGGACATCGACAATCTGTCCAGTACGCTTGACTGTCTCACCTTCCTTGACCAATCGATCGTTACCGAAGAGCACGACACCGACAACGGAGGCCTCGAGGTTGAGCGCCATACCCTTAACACCGGAGGCAAACTCAACGAGTTCCTCTGCCTGAACATTGGAGAGACCGTGCACACGAGCAATACCGTCACCAACAGTCAAGACACGACCGGTCTCGGCGAGGTCAGCGGCAAAGTCAGATCCCTTGATGCGTTCTTCGAGGATCGAGGAGACTTCGGTGGGCTGTGCCTTGGCCTCTGCGTAGCCTCGGACAGATGTGTAGACGAGAGGTGTCTTGTTCCGGATCTAATGGATGGTTAGCCATGCTTGACTGGGTGGTTGTTAGGGGGGAGTTGTGGGTGGTGGTGACGAGTGGATTTGCAGTTGAGCGGAATAGAGAGAGAGTGTGTGGACATGGATCGAGTTGGTGGGTGCATTGGACCTGGATTGAACAGATGCTGCCCGTGCTGTTGTCCATCTACACGTCCTCTCTACCTCCTGCACTGTACCCATCGAGCAACAGACACGGACATGGAGGTCCGATAATTTCCGCCAAACAAGAGAGGCCCTGTTTGATGCTTGCTCCCCCCATGGAAAATGCACTTACGGAAGCGACGAGAGATCGACGAGTGACCTGACGAGCAGCATGCCTCGCAGAACCGCGGAGGACGTTGAAACTCATGCTGCGTGTAGCTTGAAGGAGTTGCGTTTGGGTGTATGGAAGTCGGAGGGGGGAAAGGACGAGCCGGGAAGAGAGAACAGTCACTCATGGCAACTCAGCAGTGCAATCTATCACGTGTTGAAGTGCTGTAGAATAACTAGAACAGTACTAGAACAGTACTAGTAGAGCTAGTAGAGAACTACCTCCTCCGCCTCTCCGCCTTCCTCGCCTCAGCCTCTCGCAGCTTACGCTCCTCCGCCGCATCCTCCTCCCTTGCAGCCTTCGCAGCACGACGCTCCTCCCGCTCAATGTCACTCGCATGAGCCTCCATATCCTCGTCACTGTCCACGTCCCTTGATAGATAGTCGGCCTTGCGCTTCCCAAACAATCCCCAAATCTCTGACGAGAGATCCTGCTTGCTGCGTTGACGCTGGCTGTATGCCTCTTCCTCTTCCTCTTCAGATGCAATGAACGAATCTGCATCCTCATCTTCATCCTCATCCTCATACGCAGGACGACGGGCAATCGAAGAAGCCTGCTGCCTTGCCTGCATCGTTGGCAGCATCTTCTTCCTTGGTGCAGCAATCATGCGTTCCCGGCCAGCAGGAGCACTCGACAATGCCTTCTTCTCCTTGAGGTATGGCAGATTCTTCCCTTGTTTCCGCCACAAATCATTCTGTATTTCCTCAATAGTCCTTAAATCACGCTTACCATTCTTCTGAAGTGCTTGTAGCGGTGGCAGCGATTGTGTAGGTGTTTTGGTCGATTTGCTTACCTTGCTGCCCGCCTTCTTCCCAGTCATGCGAGTCAGTGGCTGCACCTCATCAAGATGCGGCGCACCACCTTTGTGTGATGCGTGACGTGGCGGTAGGCCCACCATACCCGTACTCTTTGGCGACGCACTCGTTGATTTCGTGCCATACAAATGCGACGGCGTCGTCAATCTCTGCAACGGCGCCATCTTTGTCTTGACCGTCCCTTTCCCCTGTGGCCCAACACGATTCATTTCCAATCGCTCACGCTTCTCTCGCGCTTCCACAACAGATAACGGTCGTTTCTTTGCAGCAAGCGCCATCGCAGCTGCACGATCCCTCGCTTCCCGCTCAGCGCGCGATTTTGCCTCTTTCGCCTCACTGATCGCTTGTGCGCGTTCCTGAATCACACGTTGTCGTGCTTCCTTCTCTTCATGCGCGCGACGTGCTTGTTCACGAATTTCTTGCTTTCGAAGCGCTTGCAGACGTTGTTCCCGCTCTTGGTCTGCAGCTGTTGATTCGGCGAGGAGGCGGCGGTAGTCATCTCTGCCTTTTAGAAGCATCTTGGCATTTGTTTTGATGGATCTTTGATAGATGTCAGGAGAGTAGTCTGTTTGAAGTTGCGCAGTTGACGTCGCCCACGGAATTCAATTCCACACGACTACCAGCACACAAGAGCAATCGCAGTAGAAAACGCGCCCTGCCTAGCCTAGCCACGAACAGCTCATCACTGGACTGCTGCATGTCGATCGACTACGCCTCCCTCCCCGAACATTCAGGCTTCGCATCCAATACACAAACCAGCGAGACACATGCCGCACACCAAGAATTCGCACGACGTCAACGCGCGCGTCTCATTGCCGTTCCTACAGACGATGTGAAGATCAAGCAACAACTGCGAGAGCGTGGTGAGCCCATCATTTTATTCGGCGAGGGACCAGCGGATCGTCGAGATCGTTTGCGTTATGTATTGTCGTTGGATCAGCATGGTGGTGTTGCAGAGGGTGTGATGCAGGAGGATGAAGAGGATCAAGAGGAGGAGTATGAGACTGCTGGCTCAGATGCGCTCTTGCATGCACGAAGGGATCTCTTACGGTATAGCATCCCACGCGCACAAGCAAGACTTGCTCGACAACGACAAGAACAAAACATTCCTGGCACACGTCTTGTTGCTGCTCGAAAGGCAGAACATGCACGCTTAAAGGCATTCACGTCACAAGGATCACAAGTGGCTGCAGACAGAGCTTGTTCCATTGCACGGTTCTCGCCGGATGGTGCATGGATTGCAACAGGTGCTTGGTCGGGTGATGTGCGTATCTTTGATAGCACGGCATTAGAACAAACTCGAAGAACAGTGGGACATACGGATAAAGTCTCTGGCTTGGCTTGGCACCCACAAGCAACGTTGGGTCAGTCCCCGAGTGCTCTCAATTACATCTCTGGAGGCGGTGAGGGAGATGTTTGTTTATGGAGCCTACAAGGATCTGAAGAGCCACTTGCTCGGCTACAAGGCCATACGGGTCGTGTTGCACGGTGTGTCTTTCATCCATCAGGGAAGTATATCGCTTCTGCGTCATTCGATGGGACTTGGCGATTTTGGGATGCGGAAACAACGACAGAATTGTTGGAGCAGGAAGGACACGCGCATGAGGTTTATGCATTAGCGTGTCAAGACGACGGTGCGTTGCTTGCGAGTGGTGGATTGGATGCGATTGGACGTGTTTGGGATCTTCGATCCGGTAAGACGATTATGGTCTTGGATGGTCATGTCAAGCCTATTCAGGGACTTGATTTTTCACCGGATGGATATACGATTGTCAGTGGATCAGCAGATGATACCATCAAGGTGTGGGATGTTCGACAGGTCAAATGTACACAGACGTTGCCTGCTCACAAAAGTCTTGTGAGTGATGTACGCTTCTTTCGGTATCAGGGTCAAGAGACCTTCTTTACACAACAAGGTCAAGAGGGGGAAGCGCCAGTGCCGCGATCTGGGACATTTATGGCGTCGAGTGGATATGATGGAGCTGTGAATATTTGGAGCACGGATGACTGGCGGTTGATCAAGACACTGGTGGGCCCGGCGGAGAAGAAGGTGATGAGTGTGGATATCAGCGGGGATGGCACACAACTGTGCTCGAGTGGCTTTGATCGCACTCTGCGGCTTTGGTCTAGGTAGAGGAGAAGATGCAAACAAGCATAAGCAAGCAGCAAACAGCATGAAGATCACGAGCATGGTCGGTGCAAGTCTATTGTGCATTGCAGAGATGTATGCTAGCTGCCTACCCTTAGAGCAGCGTCATTTTTGAGAAGAAAAGCATAGAGAGAGAGAGTAGTGCACACTCTATGCCTCTGCGTCGAGCTGCTTAAAGTAGTCGTCCAAGTTGGAGCCATTCTCCCAATCCGGGACAATCTTGCCATCGCCAGTCTTTTGCGATGCAGGAAGCTTCGACTGCGCATAAGCTGCTTTTGCCTTCTTGATGAGTTGCTCTTTTGTCGCATAGGCAGCTTCTGCCCGTTTACCCTCTGCGGCTTTGTGCAGGGTTGCGTTGTGGAAGTAGCCGTAGAGGAGACCTGAGCCTAGTGCCACGTACCTCAGTACCTGTTGGATATGTGTGTTAGCCTCGGTATTGCCAGTAAGACAGGGCCTGGCAGCGGGTCCAAGCACATCGGACGAGAATGCCCGAGACTCGCTCAGCCAAACGTCGAGAGCAGCAGACCAGGACCAAGCTTGCTGTGGTTCTCCCGTGTGCCTGCATGCTGCTGTCCTTGTAGTGACTGGCTTACGTTGGTGGTTGAGGATGCCATTGCCTGCCTAGGATGGTCTGTGTATGCTTTCTCTTGCTCTGTCCTTGCTCTTGGCTGCTTGACTGACTGACTGCTGCCCTTCACTGACTCTTCTGACTGCTGCTGCGACCCTAACTGCACTCGACAGGGTTAGGACCAGCAGCACACTTCACCAACTCCCGCAAGCTCCCCTCCCTCGAGCTTCCCTCTCTCCCTGCTGCTGCTGCTGCTAAGTCCCAGAGTACAGCGCATCACTCACCCACAGTCATGTCGACCACAATGCAGCTCACTGCAAATGTGCGAAGGTATGCGATCCCCAGTCGCCACTTACTTCCGACACAATCTCCATATTGAACAACGCATAGCTAACCCCCCCTTTCAGGCCAAACTACTCTGCTGCCGGCACAACCGTTGCAGTCAAGACGAACCACTTCAAGGTCGAGAAGCTGCCTGATGTAGACATCCAGCAGTGGGACGTCGCTATTCCCTCACTCGGTCGTGCTCCTTCCTCTAAAAAAGCTGAAAAGGAACGCAACGTGCGTATCTGGAGCCACCCCCAAGTCCAGCAACTGCTTGGCAATGCAAAGATCATCTACAACGGTATGGCTGTTGCCTGGTCTACCGGTCCTATGCCCTTTGATTCGCTTGATCAGACAATTCTGATTCAGGCGGGCAAAAAGGAGTATGAAATCAAGCTCATTGTGCGCAAGACCGTCAAAATGTACGTGTCCCTCTCTCTTCTCATTCACCCGACTAACTTTGCAGTAACCTCAACACGCTCGTTGAAGCACTCAACATGCGCTACAGTTTCGAGGATGACCACATCATCCAGTGCATCAGCTTCCTCTCTGCTCTCCTCCGCGACGGCCCAATCAAACGCTTCCCAACCGTCACGAGCTTGACCTCCTACTTTGACCGTACCATCAGGGGTAATGTCTTTGACCTCGGAGGCGGCGTCCAGCTGTGGCGTGGTGTCTTCCAGAGCGCTCGTCCAGCACCCGGTTGCATGACCATCAATGTCGATGTTGCTCATACCGCCTTCTACCAGCCAGACTTGAGTGTCCCTCAATTCGTCGCTCTCAACTTGGGTTTGCGTTCGCCCGATGAACTTGCTCGTCTTCAGCAGCACCAGTTGAGGCAATTGAACAAGATCCTCAAGGGACTCTCCATCTACACAAAGCACATGGAGCGTGGTGGACGTCCACCTCGTCAGCAAAAGATCTTCATGATTTCTCGAGACACTGCCGTCACTGCCAAGTTTGAGAAGGAAGGCAAGCAGTACACGGTGGACCAGTACTTCAAGGAGACCTACCAAATCAATCTCAAGCACAAGAATGCACCCCTCCTCGAGATGTCTGGACCTCAAAAGACAAAGTTGCCCATGGAGTTGTGCTTTGTTGCTGAAGGTCAACGATTCCCAAACACATTGTTGACGGGCAAGCAGACTGCAGAGATTGTGAGGAACGCCGCTCAGCCACCACCTGATCGTATCCGCTCCATTCAGGACAATGTCTCGAAGCTTGACTGGCAGAATGATGAGATGCTGAAGAACTTCCACATGAAGATCAACCCACAACCCATGATTGCCAATGCTAGGCTCCTTCCTGCACCGACCATCAAGTTTGGTAAGAATCAGTCTTTGCGCCCTCAGGGCGGTCAATGGAAGACAATGGGCAAACAACTTTTCAAGACAACGACCCTTGACTCTTGGGGTATTCTCAACTTTGCAGACCCGCGTGATGATCCCTCGATGTTTGAGCGAGAGGTTGTTCAAGCCGCTATGCGATATGGTACCAATGTTGTTGTGAAGCAGCCATTCAAACAGCAAGCCAACAAGCACGGCAACATCAAGCAGGTTGTTCAACAATTCTACATCAAGACCTGTGAGACCTTTCAAAAGACTGCCAATGTGCTCTTCTTCATCATTCCCGGTCAAGGTGGTGATGAGCTTTATGGTGCCATCAAGGAGGCTTGTGACGTGTTGATTGGTATTCCCTCACAATGCATCTCTGCTGCCAAGTTGCGAAAGGCCAATGCTCAGTACTGTGACAATGTCTGGCTCAAGGTCAATGAAAAACTCGGTGGCCAAAACACACAACTTGACAGTTCCCCCATCTTGACGGCACCGTTCCGTGGACCTGTCTTGTTGCTTGGTGCAGATGTGTCGCACCCGCCACCTGGTATGCTGGGTGGTCGTGCACCTTCGATTGTGTCGCTTGTGAGTAACAAGGATAAACTCGCCACCAAGTACATTGGTCAGGCTAGGTCTCAAGGTGCTCGTGTTGAGATGATTGATGAGATGAGGCCCTTGGTGAAGAATGCAATTGGTTGTTATGCCAAGAACACGGGTATGAAGCCAAAACACATCGTCTACTACCGAGATGGTGTTTCTGAGGGACAGTTTGCTCAAGTCAAGCAAGGTGAGCTCAAGGCCATCAAGGAGGCTTGCAAAGACCATCAGATTGAGTGTATGGTGACAATTGTTATTTGTCAGAAGCGACACCACACCCGATTCTTCCCCGGTAAGCCACAAGATGGTGATCGTCTCGGCAACGTCAAGGCCGGTACGCTTGTTGATTCGCAAATCACGCATCCCGTTGACTTTGACTTCTTCTTGACTGCTCACACGAGTTTCAAGGGAACGGCTCGACCAACGCATTATCAAGTGATTCACGATGAAGCTGGATTCAAGGCTGAGCAGATGCACAAGTTGACGCATGACTTGTGCTACACATTTGCACGATCGACGACCTCGGTGTCGCTCGTTCCAGTGACGTACTATGCTCATTTGGTTGGTAACCGCGTCAAAGCCTACTGCCATGGTGACTCGGATGTGGGATCCATGAGGTCGTCTGAGCCTGGTGGTCAGCAAGAGTCAGATGAGGGCAAATTACCTCAATTGAATGCAAAGCTTCGTGAGACTGTCTGGTATATCTAAGACCCTGTTGGGCGCTCTTGGTCGCAGATTTTCTTATGGCCAATTCTGCTGCGGCGAACGCAAACACTTGTATCTCAATGAATCTTAGTTAGCATGTTATCTGATCTTCTCTACTCACATACTGATGAGTCTGCTCTGCGAAATGCGTCTTGTGTATGTTGTGCTTCTTGACTACAACGCTATGCTACATGCTAGCGTCCAAAGATGGATCCAAAGAGACCCTTCTTTGCACTTTTACCAGGCGTCGATTGCTCCTCACTCTCAGCAGCGGCGCCATCCACCTCCATGGGTTCCTCCTTTCGAACTGCTGTTGTCGACTGAATAGTTGCATCGCCAGCTTCCACAGCACCAGACAAGTAATTCCATGCAATATCCAAAACAATGGGTTTCGCACCAGCAGACTTGGCCACCAAGCTTTTTGCATCCGTCTTGGCAAGTTGTTTAGCAGTTCCCGTGTACCATGCCGCAGGATCCAATACAGTACCCGAGTCAGTTGCAGCATCACCAGATAACGCGAGTGTGTGTTCTGCAATATGACGATGCAGTCGTTGTTGTAGCGCTTGGAGGCGGCTTCCTTGTGTTTGCTGTTCGCTTGTGACATGTGGGTCAGAATTGCCATCTTGTCGGTTGTTTGTCAAGTATGTGATTGCCTTATTGAGAAGCGCGATACCAGCGAGGGAGACACCGTGAACGTCGCTGAGCAAGACGCATCGTTCTGCTTTTGCGCTCGTTTGTTGCAGAGACACAAGTGAAGCTTGTTCTTTGGATACTCCTGGCAAGCCTGCCGCTTGAGTGAGCCGTGCAATCGTTTGATCGAGCACAAGAATGCCTTCCCTTGCAGGAAGTGTTGTGATGAGTCGCTTGTCTCGTGCGAGGTAATCTTGGCCCGACTCGAATTGCGCATACGCCTTGATGAGTTCCAGATCTTGTGCTGCATCCTGATCTTCCTCTGCATCTAGCAAAGGTTGTAGGGTCTCTAATGTGCTTGTCCATGCTGCAATCACGGTATCCAGTGCATCCGTTGAGTCTCGACTTCGTGACGCAGTTGCACGACCAGAAAGGGCCGTTGAGATGGAGGCAGCCAAGTGACTCTGCTTCAACGTGGCCGTTCTACCAGCCCAACTGATTTGCGAGACGAGCGTATCGGATGTATCGTTTGTACCATCACCACAAGTTGCGGTGCCCGTGGGTGTCAATGCCTCCGAGTCAACAGACAAGATGAGTTGTCGCCACGTCTGATCGGCTTGTGCGTCTTCCGTTACGGCGGTCGTGACTTGCTCAATGGCAAACGCATGCAGATTGAGGCTACGTTCAGAAACAGTCTGTGAGGTATACAAGACATATCGGAGTCCTGTCTCGACTGCTTCTGTCAATGCAACGGCTGCATTGTTCTTCTGCCTTTGTTGGGCTGTATTGTAGACTTGTAAGCCAACAAGAGCGCGTGCGTAGAAGTGAATGGCCAAGTCGAGGTTACTGCGTTCTTGTTGAAGTAGTGCAGTCAGGTAATCCACATACACTGCCCTTTCCAGCTTCTCAAGGGCCGAGACATTGTTCGTCTCTGTGGTTGTTGTCGCGGCAAACTTGATGGCTTTGCGGAATTTGGCAAGAACCACTTGATGTGGACCTGCAGCTGTTTTCGTCTCCATCGCAGCTGACCAGACACGTTCTGCACTCAGCACGGGGAGTAGCCATGCTGGGCCACTTGTTACTTTAGTCTTAGTCTTGCTTGTGGTTGAGCCCTTTCTGAGGGTATGCAGTTTCCGAGTGAGGTGTTTGTGGTAGCGGCCGTAGTCTTCGAAGCGGCAGTATTCATCGCGTTCAAACTCGACGAGCTGAAGGAGAGACATGCTGCTGCGGTGCTTGGATGGTGTTGGTGTCTTGCTGCTGCTGTCTCGCTGTCTTTTGTGCGTGGGAAGAATCAAGAAAAAGTGACAACCAGGAACAATTATACAAGGACTACTCTACTGGTGCTAGAGCTGGAGCAGAGCTAGAGACCTAGAGCTAGAGAGAATGGAAACCACAGAGCAAGAGACAGTAGCCGCACCAGGCACAGACACCCTCAATGTGCAAATCAACTTCACAACCAAGGATGCATCCGTCGCCTTTGACCAAGATGCTCCCATCCTCGTACCCACCTCCCTCAAGCGCTACGGCCTATCTGAGGTCGTCAACCATCTTCTAGGCCAGCAAGATGAGCCTGTTCCCTTCTCCTTCCTAATTGACGGCGAACTCCTAAGCACCTCTGTCCAGGACTTCCTCACAAAACGCGGCCTGTCGAGCGAGACGGTCCTCAATGTCGAATACATCCGTTCCATCCTCCCACCTTCCTTTCTAGCATCCTACCCACACGACGACTGGATCTCTGCGGTAGCACTCCAGGGACAAGACATCGTCACAGGATCTTACGATAGTCTTGTCCGTGTCTGGGACCAATCGCAACATTGCAAAGCAACAGGCATCGGCCATACCAATGCTATCAAAGCAGTCGCCTATGCTGGTTCCTTGACGGGTCAACAGGCAAATCTAGCAACAGCGAGTATGGACCGTACACTACGGCTCTGGCAACTCCATGCTTCAGGCGATGCACTCACCTGCACGGCTGAACTGCGTGGTCACGTCGCATCTGTCGAGTCATGCGACTTGCATGGCACAACGCTTGTTTCTGGCTCATCAGACGGTATCTTAGGTCTTTGGGATACCTCGGATGAGTTGGGACAACCATACATTGCAACGCATCAAGCGAAACGGAAGCGACAGCGTGGTACGGGTGTCGGTGTCTTGACAAGTCGACAACTCAAACAAACACACAGTCAACCCATTTCACAAGTCATGTTGAATCCACAAGATGCGTCACTGGCATACTCTTCTTCTTGGGATAAATCACTCATTGCCACAGATTTGACAACGATGCTGCCCATCACAACCATTCAGACCGGTTCGCCTCTCTTCTCCCTACTCAGCATCCCGTCGCTTTCTATTGTCTTGACAGGTGGACAACGCAGTGTACAGGTGCATGATTTGCGATCAAACCAACTGACACGCTCGACCTTGCAAGGACACGGTAACTTTGTGTCTAGTCTCGCTAGAGCACCCATCATGTCTGGTGTGAGCAACAATGCATACCTCTTTGCAAGTGGCTCGTACGATGGTGATGTACGCGTCTGGGACTTGCGTAACGACCGGTCACTCTATGTCATTGGCCGTACAAAACAAGAAAGGAAGGAACGGCAGAGTACCGGCAGTAATCAAGTCATGTGTGTGGCATGGGGTGAGATGGGCATTGTGAGTGGTGGTGAAGATTGTCAGCTACAAATCAATCGTGGTGTGCATCAATCGATCACTGCATCAGCGTCTGCTTAGTCCAATTGGATCCAACGTTTGAGAAGACCGAGCGTCCAGAGATCTTGTTCTGCTTCGTTTCTTTCCTGCATCGCACGTAGTATGCGTTGTTCAAACATTTCAGCCGCGTCTGCTTGGTAAGTCTCTGTTTGCAGTGCAGCAAGCATGCGGATGAGGTAGAATAAGGTTTGATGACTCGCTTCACGGGATTGGACCGTGTTGGTGGCCATGTCATATGTCACGAGCAGGTGTCTCCGGATACGCTCAACCAAGTCTTTAAAGAGTGCGATGTCTCGATCTCCACCGGTCATCTCATGAATCGAGAGTGCCATGCTGGTGATTTCCAACCTCTGGTCATGTTCAAGTGGATGATCTTCACCTGCTTTGCACACCGGTTGATGCGCACAAGTCTGAATGATGATGGTTGACCACTGTGGCAGCAGCGAGACAAGTCCAACAACCACTTGCTTACTCGCGTGCTCTGCGTCTCTTTTGGCGCTGCTATCCGACTCGAGGCACGACTTCCACCGTTCTGCTGCAATGCGCCAGGCTGTTTTGCAAAGCGCAAGCAGGTCAATGACAGTCTTGCGCGGTGTGTCTTGCAGTATGCATCGTTTCCGGAGGTATACGACTATAGCGCGTCCAAAACTCAATAGCATAGCACCAAGACTTGACTTCGTCCCCGGCCGTGATTGATAGAGCACTGTTAGTGCATGGAGGACGGGTGCCGCAGGTGTGTGTAACGGAGAGCTCTGTAACAATCTTTCATGCAGTACTGGGTCCAGCGCCGTACTTACGAAGACTTCCTCATCGCTAGCGCGAGGTCTGCTCTTTGTTCCTCGTTTGCGAGGGGCCACCGAGTCTTCGTGTTGTTGTTCTTGCAGTGCAGCTTGTGCACGAGCGAGATCTGCACGGAGGCGTAGCGTTTCATCTTCCAATGTGCTGTACCGCTTTTGCCAGAACACAATGCCATCGATGTAGTCTGTCTCCTTGTAGGTGTGTTGGCGGGGCGGGCCTAGAACGAGTGCGATGCGCAATGCGGCGAGATGCGCTTCAATCGAGACACCTGGCGCTTTCGACTTGACTATCTGGATCGCCTGCTGTTAGCATACCACTCATGAAATCAGATGATGCGCACAAAGGCAAGGGACAAGTCGTCTGGCCACATCTGTCGCTGTGATTGTCCATGTATGATGGTTGTGAGAGGTGGTTTCCCCTTACTCCGTGCCATCTGATCTCGAGCGCGGGAAAAAGAAAAAGTCAAGAAGCAGCAGCAGCAGGATACACACCGACTCTGCTCCTCCATTAGATCTGCTACAACGATGCTCAAGGCAGCGAAACCCAAGACGGCGAGGACGAAGCGCGTCATGGACGACAGAGCGCCCAAACTCACGGAAAATGCAAAGCAGGCCATCTTTGTGCGTTCCCAAACAGCCAATGCCATCACGCAGTCTGTCTTGCAGGATCTCATGGCGCTCAAGAAGCCAGATGCACAGAGTTTCAGTAAGAAGGATAACAAGATTTTGCCATTTGAGGATGCATCGTCGCTCGAGTTCTTTGCAGAGAAGAATGATGCCTCGTTGTTTGTGGTGGGTACGCACAGTAAGAAGCGACCCAACAACCTCGTGTGTGCGCGCATGTTTGACGGGAGTGTCCTCGACATGATTGAAGTAGGCGTTGAAAACCCCAAGTTCATGCATGAATTCAAGGGCAGCAAAACAAATGTCGGTATCCGGCCACTCATGCTCTTCTCGGGACCGCTGTTTGAGAGTCACCCGTCATTCCGACAACTCAAGAGTTTCTTGCTCGACTTATACCGCGGACGCGAGATCTCAAGCATGGATGCCGTTGCACTTCAGCACATCATGGTGTTGACCCATGCAGATTCATCAGACTCCTCCATCCTGCCGCCTGTACAGCTGCGCGTCTATCTCATCAAGGCGCACAAGTCTGGCCAGAAGCTGCCGCGAGTTGAGCTCGAGGAGATGGGTCCTAGTTTCGATTTGCGAATGAGAAGATTACAGCTACCTGATGAAGGTATGCTGAAGCTTGCCATGAAGCGTCCTACAAAGCAGGTGGCCAAGACAAAGAAGAACATTCAAACGGATGAGATGGGTGACAAGGTGGCGCAAATCCATATTGGCAAGCAAGAGCTCGATAAGATGCAGACACGCAAATTCAAGGGGCTCAAGCGGTCGCGCGATACAGAAGAGGATGAGCAGGAGGGCAGTGATGACTTTGAAGGTGATGACATTGTGAGTGAGGATGATGACAGCGAAGAGGAAGAAGCTGTTGCAGGCGGTCCAAAACGTCTTCGGCAGTAGATGTCTAGATCTCTTTTCTACATACATATAGCATCAGCGAGCACTTTTGGTTTCTACATTTTCTGGTGTCGCCTGCCCATCTGGTGCACGCTGATCGACGACGGCTCCAAGAGATCGCCCACCTTGCTTGCCCATTGCACATCCTATCTGGCCGCGCAAACGGCATGCTGTCATGGTGTTCTGCGGATCTGCCTGCCAAAGTGCCATTTGCCTGCCAGTTCGCCAGTCTGCTCTTCCGGGTCTTCCCGGTAACCCGGTGGCAAGGCTGATTGCATGTTCGTCCTCTTTTGGCGACATCGACTTTTGACAAGTCGCGAGCTACACCAATCGGGAGATAGTCGCTTCACCTGCTACTGAAGCTCGGCTCAGATTCGCCGCCTGCTCAATGCTCTCATAAATCAATGAATGAAGAATCATTGTAGACGCACTCGTCAGACTTCCCTATACCATGGATACCGCTGTCGATCAACTAATGCTCGCAGGGTACTGCCCTTCTGCTTGACACGGAGATGCGCTAGCCCGACGGACTGTGTCACTTTTGCAATGACGCGATCGCGCGAGCCTAAGATCTGCTACAGTGTCCAAGTGTCTGTGAGCTCTGTTCCGTTTTACAGATCTCCTTGCCCGACAACTTACGCGGGCCAAGGGCCATGGCATTGATGACAATCCCTTGTTTACCCCAGAAGACGGATGATCGTCCATGCAGACCCACAGTAAGACAGACGAGTAGAAGGAAAGCTAGCCCATGCTGCTGGTAGCATTCTATGAACATGCATACTCGAACCGACGAGTGCTACAAAATCAAGTGTATCGCCACTCTGATACCTATTCAAAGGCATCATTTCAGGACTTTCTCTGAGGTACAGCAACGCACATCATGCACTTTTCCCTCATCTCGTCCATCTTGATGGCGACCATTCAGATGACTTGCATCACATCACTGCCACTAGGCGTCACAACGATTGTCAAGAAGGAGGACAACAGCACAGCGCTAGAAACCTTCTTGCCGCCAGCAGATAACGTCTTGAGCTTTTGCAAAGGTGCGCAAAGTTACTACGATGCCGGCCAGTCTGACTGCTTTGAGCGGGCTGTTTGTACAAAAGGCAAGCTTGGATGTGGCGACCAATGCTATGACCCTGCATGGTACAAGTGTCTGAACAATGTGGTGTATGGAAGCCGCGGGGACCCGTTACTCAAGAATGCGACGGATGTACAGGTTCAATTTGCCAAGATGATGGAGAGTTTTGAGCTGCGACGGTGATGAATGGGCGAGGCCAGCTTTGCTTCATGATGAACGTATCACGAGGAGGAGACTCCAGCTATACATGTATACTAGACAAACCGGCCCAATTTGCATATATATACCATGTACGGTGTCCATCAGCTGTGCCTGAGCGTCTTCCGGAAATAGTTCACAAGTCAAAGCGCGCGCGCCGGCCCCGACCACGAACACAACACAGGAGCAAGAGCAGATCTGCTTGTTTGCGCTCTACCTCCTGATGCAGTCAGCTGCTCTACGCTAAACAAGCTTCACTCACTGACTCCAACATCAGGCCAAGTGGACGGGCAATCAATGCATCAAACCGCCAAATCAATGCCGTCGTCGCCTGCAACCTATCCACAAATGCCAGGGCGCAGCCCACTCGACGACCTAGTCTTTGCTGCACGGGGCACGACAAAGTATACAGAATCCGATGCAATGAGTACCTTTACCGTCGCAGAATCATTCTTTTCTACGGATACCCGGTTCAGCTCAGACACAACAGTTGCGTACAAGGATTACATGGGTTCTCAGGGACCACAGGAAGTGTACCATGAGCAAGCCCTCACGCAAACGTCTCTCCACCCCAAGCAGTTTGATGCGCAATCTGTGCGCTCATTTTGGGTAGAGCCGGAGCCTGTTCACCGGTACACAACACCAGATCAAGCGCGACGACCACAAAGAGCGATAGCGTCACGGGATAGCGTATCTAGTATCGCTTCTGATGCGACCGTCAAGCCAAGTCCTCACCAGCATGCACTACAACAACTAGAACCTAATGGCTACTCTAACTTTCATCAACCGCGCGACATTCCGCGAGAGCAGTATATCGTTCACAATCCTAATTCTCGGACGCCATCCCCGAATCAGCCAGAGGGCAGTATGTATGGCTTCCTCATGAAACCACATACGCGCCGTTCTGTGTCTTCTGGCACTGGACAGCCTGGTATGATTTCACCCAAGCAACTCATGCGTGCACTCAGCAAATCTGGCAAGTCACCACGGCAAGCTGAATCGCTACGCCATGCTTCCGACCCTGCTGTAACCTCCCACACGCCAGTGAGTACCAGTAGCGGTTACAGCTCACGCATTCCAAGTGATAGCAAAACACATGGAGTCGCGTCGCCTCGGACGCCAGGCGGCTCGCTTCGACTAGATCTGAATGATTCGCGGCCACGTAGTCGACTTCCGCGTAAAGACCTCATGGCGAGCTTAGAGAGTCTGCAACTGGATGGTCGACGTCCATCACCGTCCATAGAGGCGAGAAAATCGCATTCTGCCAATCCGGGCAGTACGCCTGCTTCGTATGCAGTCGCCGGTGGATATGCGAGTCAAGAAGTGGAGAGTACCCGACGGCCTCCGATGCGTGCACGCTCGACGTCGCGTAAGTCAATGAAGCCCGGTAATCGACAAGTCTCACTCAACGACTCGCCCATGGCGTCACTTCCGGATAATGCACTCTCACCGGATGATCATGTGGATCTCGGTATCGAGCAACACGAAAAGAACATGCTACCCCAATCAACGCATCATTTCAGAAAAGCTGCTGAAGCGGGTGATCCTGTTGGTTGTTTGCTCTATGGTCTCGCATTACGGCACGGTTGGGGTTGTCGTGCTGATGTCGACAGAAGCCTTGTATATCTCGAACAGGCGGCACAAGCAGCGAGTGATACAGTCCATGCGTCTATGCGACGCTCTATGATGGCTGGGAAGAATCTTGGTGCAGAATTGGCTGTTGCCATGTTTGAGATTGGCATGTCGTATCGCAATGGTTGGGGTGTTGCTGCTGACAAGAAGCGTGCAGTGGAGTACTTCGAACTTGCGAGCGCGTGGGGCGATGCTGATGCGATGATTGTGCTGGGTGATTTGTATCTGCGCGGTGATGGTTGCAAGAAGGATAAACGGAGAGCAGCTCAAATACTGAGAGCGGCTGAAGCTAAAGGCAAACGAGATGTTGGCAACTCGTGGATCTACAAGAGTAAGTATGACTGATAATCAGGCCATACCTGTGAATCAAGATTGATGCAGCATAATGAACTTGACCCCTTGAAAGTATGGATGATGCCAGAAGCTCGTGGCCTCAGCCGCATCCTACAAGACCCAAGGCTCAGCATCATTCTAGTTCATGATCGTCATCATTCCCACTCAGAGCGCCCAGCCAGCTTACGCACATCTGTTCATCGTCACCGCTGGTGTGATAACGTCTTGTCAAGTTCCTGATCACCGTACGTAGTGCTCGCCCTTGACGAGATGGAGAACGAGGCATTTCTGCACCAACAGGCCAAACGACAAAGAAAGCAACGCCACACAAGACGCTACTTGCTGGATGCGCTCATGTCTGAGGCAAAGCTCATAGGCACGTTTGTGCATCTCAAAAAGAAACCAGATGCAGAACGTGCTCAAAAAACGCTACAACGCGTCGCCAACCATGTCATGCCAATCCTCAAAGCTCGTAGCTGGCGCGTTCGTACCCTTGCTGAATTCTACCCTGAGCAAAAAAACTTACTCGGTACAAATCTCAATCGAGGACAAAAGATATCGTTGCGATTGAGGCAGCCATTTGATGATAGCTCACACCTTGAATTTGAAGATGTCATGGGAACAATGCTACATGAATTAGCGCATATCGTACGCGGTCCGCATGACGAGCAGTTCTACAGAGTTCTAGATTCACTCAATCTAGAGTATGACGCACTACTGAGTAGTAGCGCCGGCAAGTTCTTGGAGTTGGGCGAAGGAAAGACACTTGGTGGACGGGCAGCTGGTCCAACACAGCAAGAAATCAGAAAAGCCGCTGAGCGAAGAAAGAGAGGGACAGGACCACAGGGACAAAAAGTTGGGGGTGCTTTATCAGGTATGCTTTCTGCAAATCAACGTGCTGCTGAAGCGGCTCAGCGACGCTTGTTTGATGCGAAATGGTGTGGTCATGGTCGAGCTGAAGACCCAGTCTTGGTGGATGAAGAGGAGGAAATTTCCAATGATGAAAGTCTAACTATTATGACAGACGATACGAAGGCCAAGAGACCAATACAGGCGCAGTCTGATATTATCATCATCGAATCTGACGAAGAGACGCCCAAGCTCAAGCCTGCACTACAAAATCCAAACAAGAAGCGCAGAAGAGCCGATGAGAATGGTGATTATGCAAGAATGAAGCAGCGCGGTCTCATCAGAGATACTTTACAAGACCACCTCGCCAAGCTGGCTGCAGACAAAGCTACCAAGTCTGGAGACAAAATGACAACTATGCCACTTGCTACGATCCCTGGCCGTTGGTTTTGCGGTATTTGTACATTAGCCAACAAGCTTGGGGATGCCTACTGCGATGCGTGTGGCACTGAACGACCCTCCGGAGCGAATCGACTTGGACAACATTGGCTCTGTGAGGGCTGCTTGCAAATGAACGAAAAGAGCATGTGGATGTGTATACGTAATAATCTGCCCCATGTTTCAATTTTAACTAACAAGCTAGGCTGTCAAGCGATCAAGAAGAGTTCGTAAATCATAAGCCCGAGACTGGATGATTTGTTTGTACTTGGAGTAGCTGCTCTTTGGGCACGAACTGAGCTGGTTGTTGCCCCGAGTCACGTGCAGCTGTTCCTGTCTCTTCCGTGTGCTGCTGACCTCGAATGTAAGCAGACAACCACCACACACATCTCAGACCATGCTCGCTCTAAGAAAGCAGGCGCTGCAAGTACGTACATCCCAGGCCATCCTCGGATAGCATTGCATATATCACACACAGCTAACAACCACCAGTGCCGCGCCTTCTCGACTACCCGCGCAGCCAACAAAATCATCGGCAACCGGCCACTTCGCGCAAAGGAGGCATCCTCCGTCGGCATGATTGGCTCAAAGTACCCAGTCATCGACCATGAGTACGATGCACTCGTCGTCGGTGCTGGCGGTGCAGGTCTCCGTGCAGCATTCGGGTATGTCCATCTATTGCCACCCCGCACATGGAAAAAAGTGTATCATGTAAGCTGACACTTTTCTCTCTCTAGACTCGCAGAAGCTGGATTCAAGACTGCTTGCATCACGAAGCTCTTTCCAACCCGTTCACACACTGTCGCAGCACAGGGCGGTATCAATGCCGCGCTTGGCAATATGACTGAAGATGATTGGCGATGGCACATGTACGACACCGTGAAGGGATCTGATTGGCTGGGTGACCAGGATGCTATTCACTACATGTGTCGCGAAGCACCGCGAACAGTCGTGGAGCTTGAGCACTTTGGTATGCCATTCTCGCGAACGGATGAAGGCAAAATTTACCAGCGTGCATTCGGCGGACAGTCGCTCAAGTTTGGTAAAGGTGGACAGGCATACCGATGTGCTGCCGTTGCTGACCGAACGGGCCACTCACTTCTACACACACTTTATGGACAATCGCTGCGTCACGATACAAACTTCTTCGTTGAGTACTTTGCCTTGGATCTCATCATGGAGAATGGCGAATGCAAGGGTGTCATTGCCCTGAACCAGGAAGATGGTACGCTTCACCGATTCCGCTCTCACAAGACTGTCTTGGCGACTGGTGGTTACGGTCGTGCTTACTTCTCTTGCACATCCGCACACTCGTGCACTGGTGACGGTATGGCCATGGTGGCCCGTGCTGGTTTGCCACTCCAAGACATGGAGTTTGTGCAGTTCCACCCAACTGGTATCTATGGCGCTGGATGTTTGATCACTGAAGGTTCTCGTGGTGAGGGTGGTTACCTCCTCAACTCTGAAGGTGAACGATTCATGGAGCGTTATGCACCTACTGCCAAGGATCTGGCTTCACGTGACGTTGTTTCGCGTTCCATGACCATGGAGATTCGCGAGGGTCGTGGTGTTGGTCCAGACAAGGACCATGTCTACTTGCAACTCTCTCACTTGCCCGCAGAAGTGCTCGCTGAGCGTCTGCCTGGTATCTCAGAGACTGCTGCCATCTTTTCCGGTGTCGATGTCACCAAGGAGCCCATTCCAGTTTTGCCAACCGTCCACTACAACATGGGTGGTATCCCAACAAACTTCCACGGCGAGGTATTGACTGTTGACAAGGCCGGCAAGGATCAGGTTGTTCCTGGCTTGTTCGCTGCTGGTGAAGCTGCTTGCGTCTCTGTACACGGTGCTAACCGTCTCGGTGCCAACTCACTCCTGGACATTGTTGTCTTTGGTCGTGCCGTGGCCAACCGTATTCGCGACACATTGACACCCGGAACACCACTATCAGCCATGCCTGCTGATGCAGGAGCTGCATGTATCGCTGATTTGGATGCTATCCGGACACGCGAGGGAACACGCTCAACGGCTGAAGTGCGTCTTGAGATGCAAAAAGCCATGCAGAGTGATGCAAGTGTCTTCCGCACGCAAGCCTCCCTTGATGAAGGTGTGCAGAAGCTCGCTGCAGTGGATAAGAAGTTTGAGAGTATTCACATCCAGGACAAGTCGATGATCTGGAATTCCGACTTGTTGGAGACGATTGAGTTGAAGAACTTGTTGACGTGTGCTCGGCAGACTGTCAACTCTGCAGAGGCACGTAAGGAGTCTCGCGGTGCGCATGCGCGTGAGGACTTTACGGAGCGTGATGACAAGGACTGGATGAAGCACACTTTGTCCTTCCAGCCCACACCCCACGGCGACGTCAAGCTCAGCTACCGTGGCGTCATGTCCAACACATTGGACGAGGCAGAGTGCAAGGCTGTGCCACCTTTCAAGCGTGTGTACTAGACGATGCGTATAGTTAAAATAGGAGAATGCTGTTTTTTGCCAGTGGTGTACATGCACACTTGTTATCTTCCCATCCCACCCCTTTTCCCTGCAGATGATCAAGCGCGAGAATTTGAATTTCGGTCGCGACGAGACAATCATCGGCCAACTGCGAGCTCCAGCACTTCCCGTTGACAGGCCTCTGTAGCTCTTGCACAACAGACCAAGGCTCAGAAGGATGTGTGGTGGTCACAGGACGCCGAGTCAGCTCGGTCGTGCTCTCAGCAGTGCAACACTGGTAGAGAACGGTACACGCGATGCAACCTCCCTCGAAGAAGAGAGCGAGCCCTCGTCGCGTGAAGACCCATACTATGATTTCCACACAGAACGCAAACACTTTGATGAAGCGGCGAAGCTAGCGACACATGCATCTCCGTCGCTCAGTGCCTTGTCGGGAAGTTTGTCGGGTAGTTTCCATGCTGCTCCTGGTGCGGCATTCTCACTCCTGCCAGGTCAATTTGATGCGCCGAAACGGGCTTCGCTTGTTGGTGAAGCTTCGTTCCAAGCAGATGGTGAGAATGTGCAAGGTGACATGGTTCAGGTAATGGCGACGCCGTTATTTCCAATGCCGCATAATCACAATGGCGTCGATGCCGGGTGGAGTTTAAACACAGATGCAATGGAGGAAGAGATTCTACCGGAATTGAAGGCTATCTATACGTCTTTGAGGAAATGCATTGAACTGCGTCACAAGTATCTGGGCAAGTCTTTGCAACGCGAAGGCGATAATCCCAAGGATGATGATGCCTCGTGGGAGGTGTATCCACCCTTGCCGCCACCAGCTTGGCAACCAGAGAGTATCGACGGCAAGCCACAGGCTTTCGTCAAACCAGCCATGGAAGGTCCGCCTGGCGAAAACTTTCAATTCGACCGATGCAAGATTCCAGAGCGCGAAGAGCTCAATTTCGATATGGATGCGAGCGGCGTCTACCAAGTCCTAGATGAGCGAGGCACGCCCCTTGTGGATGTGCCCACGCTCAAGGACTACTACGTTGATCTAGAGGCTGTACATGATGCGAGCTCTGAAGGCCCAGCCAAGTCATTTGCTTTCAGGCGCCTTCAATACCTCGAGGTCAAATGGAACAGCTACACGTTGCTCAATGAGTTTCAAGAACTCGCCGATACAAAGCGTGTGCCACATCGCGACTTTTACAATGTCCGAAAAGTGGACACCCACGTCCATCACTCGGCATGCATGAACCAAAAGCATTTGCTGCGCTTCATCAAGGCGAAATTGAAGAAGGCGCCAGATGAGGTGGTCATCTTCAGAGATGGCAAGTACCTGACGCTGCAAGAAGTATTCGAGTCTCTCAATTTGACCTCATACGATTTAAGCATTGACACGCTTGATATGCATGCACACAAGGACTCCTTCCATCGCTTCGACAAGTTCAATCTGAAGTACAACCCAATCGGGGAATCTCGTCTCCGAACAGTCTTTCTCAAGACGGACAACGACATCCAGGGTCGCTACTTGGCGGACATCACACGCGAAGTCTTTACTGATCTCGAACAAAGCAAATACCAAATGGCAGAATACAGAATCTCAATTTATGGTCGCAGTGAAGGCGAGTGGGACAAGCTTGCCGCTTGGGTCATTGACAACAAGCTCTACTCGCACAATGTCCGCTGGCTAATTCAGATTCCAAGACTCTACAATCTCTACAAGGAGACCCACGTCGTCGACAATTTTGCAGATGTCATACGAAACATCTTCAAGCCGCTGTTTGAAGTAACGCAAGACCCATCCAGTCACCCGAAACTGCATGTCTTCCTGCAGCGCGTTATTGGATTCGACTCTGTGGACGACGAGAGCAAGTCTGAACGTCGCCTCTACCGCAAGTTCCCACTCCCTAAACAATGGGACACTCGGCAGAATCCGCCATACTCTTACTGGATTTACTACATGTACGCCAATATGGCCACACTCAATGCTTGGCGTCAGCGGAGAAAGTTTAACACTTTTGTCTTGCGTCCACACTGTGGTGAAGCAGGCGACACGGATCACTTGGCATCCACCTTCTTGACGAGTCACAGCATCTCGCATGGCATACAGCTTCGCAAAACACCCTTCCTACAATACCTCTTCTACCTTGACCAGATTGGTCTGGCCATGTCACCGCTCAGTAACAATGCGTTGTTTCTTGCTTATGACAAGAATCCGTTTGTCTCCTTCTTCAAGAAAGGTCTGAATGTCAGCATCTCGACCGATGATCCGCTCATGTTCCATTTCACCAAGGAGCCGCTCATTGAGGAATACTCCATCGCGACACAGATCTATCGGTTGAGTTCCATTGACACTTGTGAACTTGCACGCAATTCTGTCACGCAGTCCGGGTTTGAGCGCGAAGTCAAGAAGCGCTGGTTGGGGAATGACTTGGAGACCATTGAAAAGACCAATGTGCCATTGCGTCGCACCAACTTCAGGCGCGCATCCCTCAGAGAGGAGTTGAGCATGATTGGGCTGCCATGAGGTGGACAACTAGGAGGAGATTTATATGAACCTAATCTAACGCCATATTACATGCCATAGTAAGCCATTGGCGCATGTGCTGTCCGCTCGTTGGTCGGGTAGGTCGATTGAGTCGAACCATTGTCGCGACATGCCAAGTAGGGTTGTATGTCATTTGGCCGCAACTTGGCCAATTCCCCTTGCCGTGCAAGTTGTGTGATGTTTTCCGGTTTCACGACAAACAGATTGCCCAGTTCTTGCAGAAGCCTGAAGCGTTGGTCTAGCACTGGTAGACCCCAACCATGGATACAGCTTTGGTAGAGTGAGATATCTTTGGTGGCGACAAGACCGCCCGTCGCATTGACGGCGAAGCGTTTGTAGTGATCAAGCAAGAGATGCTGCACACCGACGCCGACTTCAAGCAGGAAGGAATCCTTGTTGCTACCAGTCATGTATTCCTCCGCTTTGTCGCCAACGAATCGCAGAAAAGTCACCACTTGCTGGTTGGTTGGTGTTTGCAACGTGGACAGGTTAATGTCTTCTTCGCGCGCCTTGTAGTCTCTCTTCTGTTGCTTACTGAGAAGCATACTGGTCCATTGAAGTGTGGCATCGACTGTCCGTTGCACAAGCGCATTAATCTTGCCGTTGATGCGATTAGTATTGTTGCCGATGCGCACCGTCATGTCGCGCTTCACGGACAAATTGCTCCCAGCGAGTGGCAGAATGACCGTATCCACGTATGTAAATAACAGGCGTGCAATACTCGAACTCTGCCGGATACCACTGAAGCACTCGAAGGTGGGCTCGAGCTTACTGTCGGCCGCAATGAGCTCGTCAAGGGCTCTGTCCAGCCAAGTCTCCAGGTATTGCAAGGAGTAGTCAAATAGTACACCCAAGAAGGCAAGCGCGTCACGGGCCACTTCGCCTTGAGACAATTCAACACATCGTCCAACTGCTTCTGCGTGCCATTTGAGCATCCGACGGACGTAATCAGCCTTCAGCTCACCATCAGAAACATCGAGATCAAGCTCCACGTCGCTCGGCTCGCGCGAGTTGCGAATCACTGTTGGCTTGCGCTCTATGCCAGCAAGTCGCAGTAATCCACCAACACGGCCGCCATCCTCTTTTGTATTGAGCTTGCCTACCATGCGATCGAAATAGGTTGTTGACTTTTGATTCTTCCGAGCGTCATGGAATCTGGTGAACTTGTACAGTAAGGATGAGTATAGTTCTGAAAGCGACTTCTTTTCCTTTTCGACGTAACGGCCGCTCTCCAGATAAGGTACAAAAAGGTCCTCCTCGTTTGTGTCTAGCACCGTGATGAGCAATTGTGAATCTTCAGTTTCGCTCGAGGGCATATTCTTGACTGTATCGACCAAAGCACCCACAAGAGAATGTGTATTCTGCAATGTCCGCAGATAAGCAAGCGTCGATGTATTTTCGGCATACGTTAAGACTTCCTCGAGGCGCAATTGGATGGTCTGCGCAAAGATGCGCTGCAGGAATAGAGACTTGACGGTGACGGCCTTTGGAAAGATGCGATGCATCATTTGAAACTCGTCCTTGAGGGTACGCTTGATCTCTCTGAAGAGCACCACCAAGCTCGGATCGAGGCCGGGTGGCTCTGCATCTGGATCGGCGAGCGCAGTCCACAGGTCGCCGTGAGCGACAAACTCATCCTCTGGGCGGAAGAAGAAGTCGTGCTGGTTGACAAATGCACGATGCACACTATCACCGCCGTTGAATTCGTACAACACTGTAGCACACCGAGACATGGCGCCTAGGTCGCCTTGCCGATATGCTTCATCGAACTCAGCCAAAACATCTCGTTCTATAGTCTCTGTGAAGCGTTCAAGCGAATCAGTTGTGTTATTGTTGCCTTTGAGCTCAACGTCGCGGCACACTTGCAGCAAACTCCTGACGAACTTGGCTTCCTCGACAGTCATCTTTTTCCTTGAGAGATCATTGAGCGCCCGATCGTTCTCGCGGAGGGCAAGGTACGTCGACAACACCCTGGCAGATGCTTGTGCTCTGCCCAGTTGTGACGAGAGCAGCTCAAGCGACCGACCGATTTCGACAGTACTTTGGCCGGCACCGGCAATCATCTCATCCAATGATTGAAAGCTGTTGACTGTCGCCGCAAATCTCGCATCAAGCTGCTTAACGCGACGCGCATGCTGGACCTCCGCCTGCTTGATAGCTTGTTGCGATTTGGAGTGCTCCGCATCCAGCTGTTCTTTCAGTTCTGTGAGTTGCGCAAGGGCCTGCTCAAAGTCTCGTATAAGCGGCTTGGGCTCGAAAGCATCCCCGGGATCAGCCCGCTGAAGCCTTACTTGCCGCCCACTTAGTTGTTCGATGAAAGCTCTGATGTCAAATTTGCCTTGGAAGGCAGCGGGTTCGATGAGCTCTGCAAGCTGAGAATCGACTCCAAGGCCTGATGGCCGCGACATGAAGGGAGTTTGTCTGTCGTTGCAAAGCAGTGCAAGATGGGGATGCGCGTGTGTCGCAGTTTGTGTGGTCACACTGTGGTGGGATTTAGCTAAAAAAAAAGCTACGTCGTATTCAGCTCAACTACTGTCCTCCATTATAAGCAGGAAGCAAAACAGAGAACCTTCCGCACAAGGTGCCTCCAGCTCTCCACGCAGAACAACGCTTTAGTGCCGTAAGGCAAATTGGCTGGTCATAAAAGACACAGCATATCTCGTCACTCCCAGTGCTAGTCTCAATAGTGATGCTGTTCCCCAGCGTATTTGTAGTAAGGATTGCCGTAGCAAGCCTACCACAAGACCAGACAGGCTGGCCAGCGCAATGCTTTTTCGAAAAAACCCCGAAAAAAGCTTCGAAGCAAGCCGTTTCGACTAGTATGGTGAGATCCACTCATAGTGAGAGCGAGAAGGGGACACTCCCAAAGTGGGCATGCTAGACTACGCGGTCGAGAAACAGCGTATCGGGACCGGCACAAGAAGAACGAGGGCTCCAATCGGGGACCAGGCAGAACCCCGACCGATTTGATAATCAATGCCGCAAGGGCCGGCAATGATGCAGTAGGTGGTCATTATATGCCATAAAGTAAACTGGAGGGAGCTGTACGCTTTGACCGCATGCGGCAAAGGTACAATAAGCTCAGATGAGACCTCCGGGGCCCCAGGTTGCCTTTGGTGTTGACCTAGTTGCTGCCATTTGTTGTTTGGAGACGACAGACGCTCCAAGAGAGTGGAAGGGAACTCTCTTACCTGTTTGATTGATGTTTGGACCCGAGCAGGAGTGACCAGGCTCTTCAAGACGACAAGTCGGTCTCAAAAACAGGGCGAAAAAAAATTTTCACCCGCCAATTTTGCACGAATACAGCGGACAGGTGCCTGTTCTACCGTGCTTGCAAGGAGGCGCTGCCGTCCAGCGCGAGTCTCCTTGTCTTAACGCTGACTGACCGAACCCCCTGCTCTGTAGCGTCATCCTCAGAGCACGTTTCCACCAAAAAGTGACTTTATGATGTGTTGGTTCGGTGGTGGATGCTCAGTTGTGAAAGTTTCGCGGCAGACTCAACTGCAACTGCCCTTCCAAGTTCTGGCAGTCTCGCACTCCAATCTCCCGCTGGCCACAAGTATGTTTCTACGGGAGGTGATTCATCTCAGTCACTTGCACTTCTAGGTCTCTACTCGGGCTTTAAATCGAATGGACTCTATGCTTAGTCTCTGCGTCCGTGGTTGGGTGCTCGTGAGACATCACAAGTCATGCCCATTGTCCATGGCCATTTTCTAGCGCGAAGCGGCTCACACACGCTTAGCACAAGCCTTGTGGCCGCGAGTGCTCGGTTGAGGCGCGTGCACTTGGTCAAAAAAAACCTTCGTGCATCGCCTTCTGCACTGGCTAAGAAGATTGTGCATAGCTGCTACTCTTAGTTGGTGTCACGAGTCACGACAGGCAAGCTGAGGCAACCATTAATACGCAACACTGAGCAAAGACCGCCGTCGCATATAAGCGACTGAGGTACCACTAGCCTGGTAGGCCAGCACTAGCTGCTTGATCCTGACAAGTTGACATGCCTTGACGATCTTGTCACAACTTGTCAGGTGTTCTGGAAGTGAGAAGAAATGAATGGACGGACAAACAAACAAACAGACAAACAGACGAGCCCACCTGATCTCTCGCAGGTTCACAGGCTGCCGCATGAATCAACAGATCCCTGACGGCAAAGCAGGCGCGCATCCAAAATTGGTATCATCTTTTAGTGAGCTTCTCTATCCACGCGAGTGCTGCTTTGAGCCAAGTTACGTGCTTGTCGTGCTCATGTCATAAGGATGAGCGGCAGCTCTCACCTCCTCTCAGTCATAGACGCTGCAGCGCGTCTGTGATCGTCAGTCTAATCAAACACTCCTGTCAATCATGCAAACATCTCATCTTAGAACTCGCAATGACAATTTCCTGTGCGTGGTTCAGGCTAAGCATGGTGCACAGGCTAGGAAAAGTCAGCTGCCAAATACTTGCCATGCGGCGACTCATCAGCATGCAATTTTATTATTGGAACCCCTGACCCATGCCCTTTTATAAGTGCTGTTGGCCCTGTCCAGGTCCTGGCTTCTTTGTCTTCTACACAAGTTCCCTTTCATGGTTCGTTTGTCTCGCGTTCTCGCGGGCCTCGTCCTCAGCGTCCCATCATCACTGTCTGCTGAAGTAGGCAAACGCTCGCCTGCACCACACCATACGCACCACAAGAGGTCTGGTCCGTCCTCAGAGCAACGTGTCAGGCTTTTCGTACTCATCCAAGGTGCCGACTCTGGTGGAGCCTCAACGAAGGGTAGATCCCATTCGGCGGGCGCAGCCAAGCTAAGCGAACAGCCGCCAGCCAAGAAGGCTAGCCTGCCAACCAATCCTACTAGCCTCTCTCCTCAGCCCACACCGTCAGTCAAGTCCAATGTGGGTCTGCCGGCAGAGGAGCATGCTCTGCAACGCAACTCGGTCACAAAGCCGGCCCTGAAGGGCAAACATGGCAATGCTCCTTTGCAACGCAACTCGGTCACAAACCCGGACCCGAAGAACAAAAATGGCAATGGCTCTCCCAAGTCAGGCTCTGGCTCTCACGGCTCTGGCTCTCACGGCTCTGGCTCTGGCTCTGGCTCTGGCTCTGGCTCTCGCGGCTCTGGCACTGGCTCTCACTCTGGTTCTCCCTCTGGCACTCACTCTGGTTCTACCTCTGGCACTCCCTCTGGCACTCGCGGTCTCCCTCCCAAAACCTCGTCACCCACAACTTGCAACGCATCAAAGAAGAAGAACGGTCCCATCGATTTTGAAGGTGGTGCCGGTGATTATTCCGATGGCTGTCTCCCAGACAACATTGTCAAGGACGCCCATACCTACGTTGGTGATCCAAATGATCCACTCTATCCTATGACGAAATTCAATCACAAACTGACGGATAAAGATACCCATAAAATGTTCCCATCAACGCCTTACCCAGACGACTTTGGTCCCGAACCTCCACTACCGAAGGATGGTCCAAACTGTTTCAAGAGCGACCTTCTCAACCGGCCATACAAGAATGAGAAGAATCGGTGTGTTGCCAACAAATACTCAGACTTGGCCGGGTGTCTTGATTCTAGCAAAGGCTACAAACTCATCATCCTCGAGAATCTTACAGTTCCTCCAAAGACGACACTCACGATGAATCTGAAGGAACAAACTGTCTGGATACGAGGCAACGTCACCTTCCTGAAGGAAAGCGGCATCGATTTCAAGGCTGGAAAACGGTCGACATGGGGAAGAGGTAGCGGGGAACGCCTCATGAAGGTCTCAGGCTCAGACTTTCGCATCACAGGTGAGGCAGAAAAGGGTCAGCCCTTCGGTGCCTTTGTGGCTCAGGGTGAATATTACTGGGACGGGATGGGATCCGACTCGAATGCAATAATGCAGAAGCCAAAGTTCTTCAATTTGGTCTCAGTACACAACGTGTATCTTGATCACGTCTCTTTCATCAATTCCCCCGTTCAATTCATGGCTATCGACACAGCCTCCAATGTGCACATACAGGAGGTCCGTTTTGATGACAGGACGGGCGATGGCAACACCAAATTCAGGGCGGCTCGCAACACTGACTGCATCGATATCAGCAAATCGCACGACCTAACCTTGAATCGATTAGTGTGCTGGGGTCAGGACGACATGGTCGCGGCACACAGTGTGCAGAACATTTGCGTTACCAACTCCTTTGCCATCGGCACTCATGGTATCTCCGCCGGCAGCCTTCAGCATAGCGAGGAAGTGATCAATTTCTATGTGGCAAACAATCTCCTCATCCAGCCGATGTTTGCTTTTCGAATCAAGTTTACCGCCACTGCTAACGGCGTGGTCAAAGGGTTCAACATCCGGAACAACCATGTCGTGGGTGCAACGAACGCCATCCTTGCGGTGTTCCAGGATTACCAAAATGGTAAACCAGGTGGCAAACTCGGGCAAGCTTCCAGGATTACCGACCTCTCACTCGTCGGCAATAAGGGTGATGGCTTCGTTATTGCTCGGTTGCATACGAATAACAAAGTGAGTCTCGGGCAAGTCAAAGACAACCAGTTGCAAGGAGGAGTGGTCGAAGGGAATCATGCTGGGTTGAATAAACTGCTCCTGGGGGGTTGATGCTTCTGTTGCTATCGACGTTCCACTAGCCGGTCTAGCGAACGTCTCACTTCCTCTCCCAGTTCATCCTTCATTCATTGTCCTCGGTAAAGCGCAGCTTATTCCGTAGCTTACACGTTTCCTTTCTTTCCACCCGTTGATTCATTGCTGACAGGTGCATCTATGTGATATGCAAGTTGGCAGTGCGTTTGCCACTGTGTGCATTTCTCTGAAGGAGACGTCTTTGTAGGAGACGCTCTTGGTTCTCTGGGAGAGATGAAAACCATGCAATGAAGGAAATTGACACAAAGTGTGACAGACCAGCTGAAGTGTTTAATGAGATGCGCCATGAAGAAAGAGTCTGAAAGACAACCTATCGCTGAGATTTGCCCGGGATCGAAATGCCAGAGACTTCAACAGCGCCAGTGATGCCCGCATGTGAGATATTGAAATGTACACAAGCTGCACAAACAATCTGCAAAGCCTTGTCATCGGACGAACCAGTATTGCCAATGGCATTGACGCCCTGGATTGTCACGCCGTTACCAGGAGTCCCAGAGGCTCTTCCGTCATAATAATTTTGCAAGATAGCGACAGCCGCTACCTTGATGTCGTGGAACCGATTATTTTGCCACAAGACGCCTTTCACGGATCCTGCGCCGCCAAATTTTGATGTCTTTAGGCGCACGCCATACATCCCACCATTGACAGTACAGTCATGAACCGTGACGTTCTCCACAGTCCCTCGGGAGACACTGATGGAAAAGCCATGGGTGCCTTGTGCCACGACTCCAGTGATGGAGATGTGCTTTCCATCATTGACCACAACAGCATCGTCTTGTGTTGTGATCTTGCCTCCAATGATATTGATGTGTTCAGACCTGCCAATGTCGAAGGCGTCTGTGTTTTGAGCGCCGAACTGCTCACCAGCTGAGTTGTCAACCTTGACATTGATGATATTCAGGTAGCGAGCAAGGATGCTGACAGCCTGAATAGGAGTGTTCTTGATTGTGATATCTCGAACTTCCGAGTTGTGGAGGTCATGCAGCCAGAGGCAGTCCGGCTTGGTGCCGTCGTCCTTCTTGTTGGCCCAGTACTGCTGGCCGCCACCATCAATAACGCCATTACCGCCCACCTTGACATTCTGACCACTGATGAGCACTTGGGGTCCTTTGCTCTTGGCATAAGCGAACTTGATGGTGCCAAAAATGGTGAGTGTTGCACCTGTTGCCATGTTGAACGCAAGTGTCGTCGAGGCAGGTACAGTCATATCGCCGACAGCTACGTGCGATTTGCCTTGACACTGCTTGTGGCTAGCCATGTCGGTGACCACGCATGAACCGGCGGGAGCGCTTTGGGTTTGGGCAGAGGCTCCCGTAGTGCTCTTGGTGCTTGGTTGCGTGTGCGTGTGCGTGTCGCCTTGCTTGTTCTTCTGATTGACATTCTTGTCCTCGGCAGAGCTTGGTGGTGTGTGCGTATGGCCGAGCTTGTTGTTCTGATTGACCTTCTTGCCCTCGCCCAGGTGATGAGCATGTTTGAGCGTGTTGGATTGGTCTCTCTTCTTGAGCGGGACAGGGTCTGCGCACAATTTTGCAGGTGTATGTCGAGACTGCAGGACATTGTCAATCTGAGTTCGGTCGTTTGGGCTACGTGGGCTGCTGTGTTGAGACAGACTCGCCACGAGGGCTGTCCAAGAGCACAGAAGTGCAAGGTTGAGCATAAGGGAGGTTCAGAAGCCGGCACAAGTCCAGAAGAAGTAGAGGAGGCTTGTCCTTTATCTAGCTATTAGCCAGATTCCAGCGGCGAGCCAAGACTGCCAAGCTACTCTGAGGTGCAAACAACTCAAGCATGGCTGGACCCAAATGACAAACCGTGGTCACTATTTCTGAAACATCGACCTCATGTCGTGACATTGGCCCCTAACAAAGGAACATGCCGGGAAATGAGGCTGCCAAAGAAGGGTGGCAAGCACATTTCCGAGTGGCCAATGTTTCTTGTTTGCGTCGAAGAGACTGGTGCGTTCTTGCGAGGTCATTTCTTCACAGGCGTGCAGAAGGGAGACTGATCGCAAGGACTTCCTATGATCCCCAGGGTTGCATGTGTAGACAGATGTCCGTGCCTTCTGCCGTATGACTTGTCTATGTTTCGTGATGTTGTTTAGCAAAAGATGTTTGATTGCACAGATAACAAATCAAACAACACAAGCATCTGAGGTTGCATAGTTTTCTGATAGTCGTCTGTTGATCTGTCAAGGTCACAAGACCTGGCGCAAGTTCAAGCTATGTCGAGACCTCCCTTGTCTGCATGTGCTGTTTGCTTGAAAAGTGAATTCTAGACTTGAATCCGTGTAATAGTCTCCCTAAAGACCATACTAAGCCTCAAAGATTGCAGGAGTCATCAGACGAGGGGCGAGCAGCATCTCCAGCATGCAAAGGGCATAGAGCCCGCGGAAAAGCTCAGGCTAGTGTCTAGATTAACAGAGTACATGTCCACTTTCCGTTGCAAGACCAGGCACTGCCCAATACTGGTATAAGTGCCATATGACTGCCAAATACTTGCCAGCTGCAGTTGTCGACCAGGAATGTTCAGATGGGGCATCCATCCACGTGATAGCAGTCACATAACTGACAATTTCCGAAATTTTGTTGCAGGCCGCGACCACTCGTCAGCTCAGCGTACTCACGACCCTGCTGTCCTCCCAAAATCTTTTGACTGTCTCTCTGAAGACTTAAACTTGTTAAAGATATCATGAAGGTTCTCGCTGCATACTTGCTCCTCGTCCAGGGTGGAAACACTTCCCCCAAGGGTATGTCCTGACAGCTGGCGGTGGTGGAAAGCGATTAAGAAGAGATGGTCGGGCTCATGCTTGCCTCGCGCGCGGTTTACAGGTGGCAGGCAGTGCAGGCAGTTGTGTCCATTGTGTCCCTCCATCTGCCTGCATACGACACAGCAGACCCTCTTTTCACGCGTCCACAATCTCATCACCGCCAATAATCCAATTTCAATACTAACAAACCACAGCTGCCGACATCACAGCTCTCCTCGAGACTGTGGGCATTGAGGCCGACGACTCTCGCATCTCTGCCCTCCTTGCTGAGGTTGAGGGCAAGGACATCAACGAGCTCATCACTGAAGGTACCAGCAAGCTCGGCTCTGTGCCATCCGGTGGTGCTTCGTCTGGCTCTGCCCCTGCAGCTTCTGCTGGTGGTGCCGCTGCCGCTGAGGCTCCTGCAGAGGAGAAGGCTGAAGAGAAGGAGGAGTCTGACGACGACATGGGTTTCGGTATGTTTTTCTCGTTACTCGCTTTGTTCACTGCTAACCATGCTCAGGTCTCTTCGACTAAACACCTTTGCATCTCACCCTCATATCCAATCCTATCACTGCATATCCACTTGCCGTCCCGTCGTGATTGCTGACCTACTTGTATTGTTTGATCATATAATTGTCTCTAATAAGTACGAGCCTACTTGCGTTCATGCCGGACCCACTGGCCCTCAGGCACAGACTCCTCCAACGCCTCCCACGGCTTCCAAAGCAGCATTCGTTCCGCCAACACCAACTCCGCCTGTGCAGTCTCCAAAATCTCCTCAACAAGTCCATCCTCAAGCTGCGTCTCCACCTCTGGCAACGCACCAGCAGCTGCTTGTTCTGTAGCAGGTCGCTCTGTCGCCGCTTCAACAACTTTGAGACGATGCTGCGTTAGAGCTTCTGTGGCTTGCCTGTAAACAGCATGTTGTGGCATGCGTTGCAGGACTTGTAGTGTCTTGTTGTACGTCTCAACAAGCAACGGTTTTGGATTCTCAACAGGGTTCAATCCAGTCAGACCTATTCAATTTGTCAGCATAAATCTAGCATGACTGTCGTAACAGGCAAAGATTGTTTGAAGCACAACATCCTTGATATTCCTATCAGTAGAGAGAACTTACCTGTTGTTGCAAAGCGTTTGACGCTGCTGAAAAGCGCGCGAGAGATGTGCATCTCAAATGATTATCGCTGAGGATCGCTGATCTTGCTGTCAAGCGCTGATGGTCTGTCCACAGGGCACCTGCTGTAGAATGTCTCCCTGTCGTGGTTGTGCTTGCTTGCAGTCGCTGAAAGTGGCAACCTGTTCAGATGGTAACGTCAAATGTCAAAGTCAGCAGGCAGTCGTCAGCAAGGAGCCGCCAGCAGCTATCGGCTTCAGCTCACGCTTTACTCATCTGTTGACAAGGATATTAAGGAAGCAAGTTAAGAAGCTATCTAGGTATGTGATTCATCTGCCAGCAGAAGTCCAAGAATGAGTCTATCCTTCCGCAGTGCCGCAACTGTAGCGGTATCGAGTCTTGCCGTAGATGTTGATTCGATGCACTGAGCAAACAAACTTGACACAGGGTAAGGCCGTGGGGAAATCGAGGATATTTTTGACGCAGAACCATTGGTTACGCGGGGGTCTCGCATTTTTGGAAATTAGGACGCAGTAACCGATGAGGCCATCCTTCCCTACACCTTTAGTATCAGTAGTAGGCGTGCCATTCAGATCGTCCCAAACGACCACGAAGCTGAATGAGTCAAATGGTGAGCTGTAACTTGGAACGAAAATCCGATCGTTCTCACACTTTGAATCAATCAAGTTCTTGCGGTGATCCACTGTCGGCGTTCCGCAGTTGTACTGGAACTCTCGCTCGTCTTTATGATTGAGAACAATCTGGATTTGACAAGCAGAGGTGATGCAGGCTTTGAATCCCCGTTCGAGGTCCGAGACACAGTTCCAAACAGAGTCTTTGTCAGAGGCCGGCCTACCGGGCACGGGACCTCGCACACACCAAAGGTATGGCGGGAGAGTAGCTGTTGCGGCATTCAGTGACTTGAGCTCTTTACCTCCGTCAAAATCAAAGTCCCAGTAGTCGAAAGTCTTGGTATTGGCAAATTGACTAGCCAACGGCATGTGGAAGCGACCTTGATAGCAGTTGGGATCAAGCACTTCCAAAGTTTTGTAGCCGCAATCAACGCGAAGCGTGTACGAGTTGAACACGCTGAGGAACTTATACTGTCTCACGAAGCGACAGTGGTGATCAATGCAAGTAGGCCATACTTTGGGGTCGTAAGTGCAGACCCATAGTGAATGCGCCCCCCAATGTGGCTTACCAGGGTAGGGGCCAAGTACACACAGCAGGCTCTGATAGCTCAAATCCTCCGAATCGGCGTTGACTTGATAGATATTGTCCTCATTGTAAATGGCATACTTGAAAGTGTCCAGATCAGTGTGGAGGGCTGGAACCACCATACGTCCTGAATCACAATGCGGGTTGATAAGGTTTCCTCGCTGTAGTTGGCGCACGTTTCGACACTCAACCTGTATCGCTTTGCCCACATGTTTGAAGGTGCAGACTGTGCCAACGCACTTGTCCCATGCATTCGGATCCTCGCGGCATACCCAATGAAACTTGGGCTTTGTGTTCACTTCGGAGGGTAGTGGTCCAAGCAGACAGTACAAAAATCCTGGCAAGGGCGTCCTCTTATCATCTGGATAGACCACATAGCCACGGCCTTGACCCGGCATGAAGTAATTGAAGGGGCCTGTGATGGTTCGTTGCTTTGGCAGGGCTGGAAGGTATCTGCCTTCGTAGCAAGTCTTACTCAAGGCGCCAGCGGCAGTGCGACCGCAACGAGCAACGTAGACATACTCTTGAGACAGGTCTTGCTCCTCTTCAAACTGACAGTAATGAGTGATGCAAGCGGGCCATTGCGTCATCTCACGCACACAAACCCAGTGCTCATGAGGGGCGTCATTCCTCCGATCTGATGCTGGACCCTGCACACAGAGAAGCGATTGGAATGCTCGAGCCTCAGAATCAGTTCTGGGAGCCCCAGTGTGCTTGCCGTTGAAGCGGAACTCTTTGGGGTTGTTGTACATGTAGTAGCTGATAGTTCGGCGTCGACCAGGTGACTCAATAGGGCTTGTGAGTCTGCCATTTTCACACTTGGCATCCAGATAGTTGCCCTTCTTCACGCCCACATCACAATCAAAAGTGATCTGCCCAGGACTTTCTTCAACGATGCAGTGGGTCTTGACGCAGTCATCCCCCCAATCATTGGGGTCCGTAACACAAATGAACTCGCCTAGTTTGCGATGAAGCTCCGCTGTGAAAGACTGCACACAGAACAGTGCCGCAGGCAAAACTGCGGTTTCCTCGCTGACATCGATGGTGCTAGCGACTAGGCTGATCGTTCCGTCTTTGTTGAGCAAATAGTAAGTAAGTTTGGGGCTTTTAGGGCCGGTGAATTCACGAGGAGGACTCTTGAGGTTGTGCCTGCCGCAGAGTGTTTGATGTCGGTACGTGTAAATACCTGATAAGCCTTCAGCGCCGATAATTTGTCCATCTTCAGACATTACGACAGACTGGCGGAAGAGGCATAGGAGGACGAAAATGGTCGAGAGCACGATCATTGTCGGCTTGATCGACTGCAAAGGCGCTGCTGTGAACGCAGATGAAATGGTGTCTAGTGAGCATTATGCCAGCGCAGCAGCTTTTAGGGCTGCCGCAAGGTCTGACATGCTCCTAAATTGAGATTGCAGGAGCATGTCAGGGACCATGAACCTCCTGTACGACTTTCGAATGGCGTCTAGACGCTCGCCGTCCGATGACTCGGCGATGAGAGACTGCGCCAGTAGTGATGGAGACTATAGCTTGAGCACCGAAGCGAGAGTCATGCAAGCGAGTCTGCGCACTACTACTCTTGGAGCTCATCAAAGACTTCGACTCTCTTGGAGAAGACTCTAAGCCCCTTTTATGAGCCAAGCACGAGGCTGAACATCAGCCCCTTAGTGATGTTGTATAGACATGCAAGCTTGCGAGCAAATGTAAGGGCAATAGAAAGGCTCGCTCTTACTGTCCACTCACCAGCAGAGCTGATGATAGCCTGATGCCCTGAGGGCCTATTGGCTATCAAGCCCGCTATGCTAGCAGGCGATATGTCGTCAGTTGATAGGAGGACGAATACGTCGCCGACGCGATGCTTCCGCATCAGATGGGCTCAAATTCAATCGACAAGGCTCAGCTCAGAGGAGGACTAAAACATAATAATAGAAAGAAGTAGTACAGACGCCATCATCATAGCAAATGCAAATGGCGAGCGTGACACGGAAGTATTCAGAACAATCAAGCAGGCTGAAGCACCCTCACGTCTTCATCGGCCGAGCTGTATAATCTGGTGATGGCCCAGTAACGCTGGTCAACGTGCGTTTTTCTGACCCAGGCGCCGGGGTCATTTGTTGATTCGCCGGGCGATAACCTTCTCGCCGTCTCCGCCACCACGCAACCAACACACCCAACGCAACAATCATAAAGACCACAAAGAGCGCCATGGCAAGCGCAATGCCAATCACAGCGCCCTTCGAAAGGCCTGACCCGGTACTCTTACCAAACGTCGCTTGCTGTTCCGTAAAGATTGTGCGAATCACACCTGAACGTGTCTCTGCTTGTGATGTGCCACTCGCAAGGAGGTAGGGCGACCAAGCAACACCATCAAATAATGCAGCTGCGAACGTACCATTGCCGGTGAGGTTCAAACGACCAGCAACCAGGAGTCGTCGATCAGGCGCCATGATGTTGTTGGATGCACCACCAGACCTCTTTGCGAGCTCCACGAATTGCAAGTCGTAAATGACACTGCCTGCACCAAGCGCACCCGTACTCAAGTCCAGAATGGCTGAGCCATTCCATTTTGCGAGATAGGAGGAGGAATTGTCTGCGCGCATACCAGCGACATAAATGGAGCTCGTTGCATTGGTATCCGTCACAGCAACATTGGCAGACCCAGGGAACCTCTCACTACCCGTCACACTCGCAAACGAACCCGTATCAAAGGCAAAGGTTGCAAGTGACAAGGAAGAGCCATTGATGCTGAGATCACCAGCAAGCAATAGAACAGAATTACCAATCCATGTCGCTTGGGAGACATTGCCAGAGAGACCGACACCAGGACGCTGCCAAGTTGTGGTGGCGAGATCCAACACACACAACGACGGACACGTCAATGCACCAGCAGCATCAAAACTGCCAGCAACAACAAGCTGTCGTACACCAGGACGTGTCGATATGGATTGGACGCGGACATTACTGCCCGTCAATGCAGCAGGTTGTGTGGTGGCCATACTGTCACTTGCAAGGTTATACAATGCCAGACCACCAAGTGTGGATGCGCCAGAACCAGTGATATTGCCACCGAGGTACAAGACATCGCCATCTACATGCGACGCAAACACTGTACTCGCAGCAGCAAGACCTCCATTATTGGTCAGACCGGCAACTGTACCATCTGCAGAGAGCAAAGCAACATTGGTGATTCTGCGACCATTGGAGTCCGTTGCATCGAAGCGACCACCGACGATGGTGATGGACTTGGTACTGCTGTTGTAGAAGTTGAGGGTCTGCACGTCGAAATTGCTTGTTGTTGTATTGGTTGCAAGGGAACGAAGTCGAGTTGTACCATTACTGGATGAGAGCAATGAAGCGACACCCGGTGCAGCAAGCGCATAGGATGCTTGGAGACTGCCCGTGAGATAAGTTCCATTGACTGCTGCAGAGGCTGTTGAAATGCGACCAGCGGCATTATTGACTGAAGCTGCCCAAGTACCTGTTGATGGGTTCCAAAAGGCTGATCCGCGCGTTGAAATAGCCGCTTGACCGCCATTTGCGTTGATGCTCGTAAACGTACCAGAACAACCCACTGTACCATTCAGCAGAAATAAGTTGCTCACTGCACCGTCGAGGCCTGAGCCGAGTGCTTGCCAGCTGTCTTTGGCGGTATCATATGCAACGACATGACTCGCTGACGTTGTAGCGTTGACAAGCGCAGTGAAATTGCCACCGAGATAGAGGATGCCATTATACACGAGCAACGCCGACACTGCTGCATTTGTGCCTGCATTGCCAAGCGAGGATGCGGCGTTGTTTTGCAACTTGAGCACATTGGCGATACCATTGCCAGAGAAGTTCCCGGCAGCATACACCGTATTTCCAGATGTCACGAGCTGTGTGATGACAGCATCAAAACCGAGCGAACGACCGACCTGATCAGCTGTTGCATTGAGTGTTGAGACCGCTGACACGCTCGGATCATACTCAAACAAACCATTCAAACTTTCCGCACCTTCCAGTGTGCTGAGCGGAATGAATTGAACGCGAGATGCAACAGTATTCTGAACAGGTCCAGCACTACCCAACGCAGACAAAACAACACGAGGCCTGAATGAAGCAGTCGAAGCCGCTACAGTGCCTTGAAAGACAGTATCATACTTTTCATAATTGTTTGTTTGGAAGAGCGTGATATTGGTGGGTTGTGCATCGGGGGACGGATAGACACTGACGAGGACTTGACCGCGCGAGGCGCAAGAACCTGCAATGAGACATCCAGGCGTATACAAACGAACAGAGTACGTGCCTTTCTGTGAAATCTGCGGGAAGAAGGTGACGCTCGCCGTGTTGTCAGTAGTAGAGAGGAATCCAGGGTCATCGCCAAGCTTTGCAGAGATCCAATTGCCAACTTGTTGCGAGGTCGAGGTGAAGGTACCGGTTGCACACGTTGGTGCATTGAATGCCGTTACTGCATATGCATTGATGTCGTCCGTGAATAGCTCGAAGCCACGCAGTCCAGCACTCAATCCATACCACCCACTCATGGCAATCGTGAAGCCCGTCATTTGAATGACATTGACAAACTCAAATTCGGTATAGTTGACGCTCGTCGAGTCGCTCAGTGGACATCGCGCATCGCAGTAGGCGCGGCTGCCAGTGGTTGGGTCGGTATACGTCAAGTTGAGAATCCCATTGATGGGTTTTGCAATGAAACGAAATTCGCGCACGCCGCGGCCATCGCGATGTGTGTTGTAAATGCGGAATTTGGTGGGTCTGATGGTGTAGTTGAGGGCAGAGGACCAAGAGGCAGGGGCGTTGTCAGCGGCGAGCCAAACGGATCCCGGCTCGTCTTGCTTTGAGGAGCACAGAATATTGTTTGGGTTGATGAAGCCTGGGATGGAGGAAGGGTTCTCAGAGGTAATGTAGGAGCTTTGAAGGTTGACTTGCTGAGAGGTATTGGAGATTGAGGTCGTGCCCTTGTCAATCATGTCAAAACGCCCACCAAACAAGATTGCATTGTCACGCGCCGTGATCGCTCTAACAGGTCCATCAAAGCCTCCAAACGATAGATCCAGGAAGGAGTTGGATGCGGTAGACCAGGCCGCTGCGTTGCTCATGTTGGCATTGTCGTTAAAGTCGCCACCGATGTAAACGACATTGCGGGAGGCATCACAGTAGAGCGCCGAGACTGGGCCTGGTACGCCTGTTGAGAGCGGCGCAAAGGTGCCTGCAGCAGCATCGTACCGTGCAACATTACTCGCCTGTACACTGCCAATTTGTGAAAAGTTGCCGGCAATGTAGAGAGATGTGGTTGTGGATGAGCTGTTGAATGCGCAAACAGCAGATATGACACCATTACTTGTGCCGAGATTGTTGTAGTATCCGTCTGGCGACTGGAGCACGAGGGAGTCAGTGCTAGCGTTGGAGAGAGACTCGAGCTGTCGCGTATCTTGATAAAGACTGATGCCGGAGAAGCGACCACCGACAACGACGCGTCCAAGGGAGGATATATCGAGCGCTGGCTGAGTAATGGCGGTCGCATCTGTTGAGCAGAATGCTAGACTGAATAGTGCGAGTGAAGACGCATAGTGCATCGAGAGAAAAGGAGAGGGAGCAGCGACTTTTTTCAAGTGCGGCTTCGAATAGATAAATTGAGAGACTTTGGTCGCTGGTCGCGGAAGTAGGAAACGAGTGTGAATGCCACTGGGTTGTGGTAGATGCTCTGCTTTGCTCTGCTCTCTGTTGCCTACGGGCCCTGATGCCCTGGCTGCGCTCGTCGGGGGGTTGTGCTCTTGGTCTCCTGCTGCTTGTTCGTCTTGTGTGTTTTGGTCTTTTCCCCCTTGGTTGCCCAACACGTGCAGCCAGAATTAAGGGGCACGGCATACATATACTTACTTTGACTTACTTGTACTTATACTTACGTGACTTATACTGACTTGTACTTACAGCGGTCATATGCTCACACCCTCCCTCGCCTCCACCGCACTCCAAAATGCAGCATAGCTCCACGTCAAATCACGCGCACCCATCTGCTTGCCATCCTCGCGGTGAAACTGCTCCGACATGCCCAGGGACTTGGTCACAAACTGCTGCTCCACTTCCAAGAACGAATCTGCAAATCGATGCATCTTGTCTAGAAAGTCCGTCAGCTCTGTGTCTTTCAGAGTCTGCCCTGATTTCAGCTTGCTGTCCACCATTTGTGCGAAATAGACATTAATCTCATTCACCTGAAATTGCTTGACGGCCGCAATCTCCCGCATGGCACGGTACAGGACTTCTGCAACTGTCGACGTGCACAGGAACCAAGGATTCCCCAGTGAATGTGTCGAATGTCCGTCATAGGTATCAGACGGGTAACGACCAATAGCAACACCATTCAACTTCTTGTTGAGTGGGTATAGCGACTGCATGGATTTCACCAGCGATACCAAGGATGCCAATGTTTTAGCACTAGACGGACGATACAGCGGTGCTGTTCCACCAGCACCATGCAGCACACCTAATAGGTTGCCGCAGTCCACACCCGTCTTTTTGCCACTCCTCTTTAGCGACATGTGCGACTTGAAGGTACCTTCGTTTGTGTAATCCCAAAACGCTTCAATCTGTACTGCGAGTTCTTGATGCCGCATTCGATACCACTCTGAAGCACCCGTATCACCAGCCTGCCAAAAGACTTCCACAGCCTCTCGCAGACACCGAGATTGCACCATGTTAGTGAAAAAGTGCAACCCTTGCTGTTCTTCCCAAAGATCAAAGCCTTTGTCGTCCTGCCAAGTACGTGAAACGTACTCCACATCTGGCTTGACTATATTTTGAAGTGTCTCGGACACGTATGCTGTATCCTTAAAGTGACGCAGTGCTTCCATGATGACAAGAGCACGTAACGCTGGACCATCATGCTGTGGACGACCCCAGTCTTCATTAAATGCTGTGCCATTGACGTAGAACTGGTCGTTAGTGTTTCTTCTCCTGCTTGAGAGCTTACCTTTGGCTCGCCAAGTCCACGACTCACACCTTCAGTCAGTCCATCACTGAGGTTTGGTACTTTTTGCAATTTTGCAGTATTCGCAATGAATGCCCTAATCAAGGACTCTAGATCTTTCCTACCGCCCGCAAACAGCTTGACTACAGGCTTCATCACAATCGCTGCATCTCGAGTCCATTGATAATAGTAGTTTGCACCGTCTTGTGGCGCTGCAATGACGACACCAGGATAGGGCGAGTCGACACCATAGATGTTGCGAAAGAGTCCTGCCAAGGAAACATTCTTTTGTGCAGTGAGCCATTGTGTGAAGGGCAAGTCTTGTGGTGTACTACTACTGACGAGGTCCCTGAAAAAGGGTGTTTGTGGGTGTGTATGCTTGAGTAGCTGAGCAGTACTTGTCAGAATTGAGCGAGTGCTCAGCAGAGCAAAGCAGCAGGATCTGAGCTGGACCTTCATTGTGCAGGATCAAAGTTTCTCTCCGCAGTCTTCAGTAGCTAGAGTAGGAGTAGTAGTAGTTGGTAATGGATGGAGGTTGCCATTTGCCTTCAGATGAAACAGACGCGACATCCATTGACTTCATTCAGCCAACACGCGCAACAACCATACACCAGCTCCAGTCTCATGCGCTAGCCTACTTCCTCCTGCTCTGCCAATGGACCAGGCAGACAAGCGCAAACAAGAGATTGCCGCGAAAAAGGCAAAACTAGAGTTACTACGACAACAACGGATCGATCGTCAAGCGGCTACCACTTCACTCCCCGTTCGCACCACTTCGCCGCCTTCTGCAGAGGTAAGTTACCGCCGCCAACTGCAAAGAGGCAGCACTGATGCATAGACTCGCGCGCAGGAACGAAAACAGATTGATGAATTAGTCAATGCACTCGTTGGCGACGCACACTCAAGACGCAGTTCTCGGCCAAGTACCGCTGCGTCTGCTAGCAATGGCGCGCCTGCATCTCTACCAAGTGAATTGCCTGTCACACCTCTCAAAGAAGCGGCGATAGCGGAATCATCTGCCACTGCATCGGTTGCGGTGGTAGGCATTCAGCATACACCTACAAACGGTGCATTCTCTGCGAAACGCGAGACGGTGATGTATACAAAAGCGACACAGACATCGGATGATGCAGAACTTGAAGAGGATACGGATGAGGACGACTCTGCGCGTGATGTTGCCGCAGCGGATGCGGCTGCAGCCCAAGCAACGCTCGCTGCACAAGAAGCACTCATTGCACAGCTACGAGAAGAGATTCGTGCAGAGTTACTCGCGAACGAAGAGGAAGAGCGGCAGCGCCGGCTTGAGCAAGAACCACCACCTCCTCCACCGCCTGCTGAGTTGAGCACCGGGAGCATGATACAGCGGTATACAGCGGACGATACTGATCTTGATACGAACGGGCAGGATGCACAAGTACGACTGGTTGCTCAGCTGAAAAACTCACACTCTGCGCATCGCAGCATTACTTATATCCACTTTTCACCGAAATTCCCTGAACTCGTCTTGGCGGCGTATAGTCGCAACCCATTGGCTCCGAGCGAATCAGATGGTCTGGTTCAAGTGTTTAGTTTGTTGAAGCCTGATGAGCCAGTGTTCACCTTGACGGCTGGTTCAGAGATTCGCATTGCGCAATTTTCACCATTTCATCCACAGCTCATCTTTGGTGGTGCTTATTCTGGTCAAGTCCTTATTTGGGATACGAGAACACCCGGTCTACCGATCCTCAAATCACCTCAAACTGCTGGACGTGGGCACAGTCATCCAGTCACAGCCATGCAACTCGTTGGAACCAGACATGCACACAGTCTTGTGAGTATCGCAGCAGATGGCACAGTCTGTTCCTGGTCCCCTGATGTCCTTGCAAAGCCACAAGACTTTCTACAACTACGCAACCTACCGCCTGCGAAACTCGACGACATTGCGCCGACGGGCATTGCAGTGGATGCAACAGACTCAACACGCTTCTTGATGTCCACTGAAGAAGGTCATCTTGTGCGTGTTCATCGACAAGATCGAGCAGATGCAAAAGCGGGTGTCGATCCACGTATCGTGTATCGTGGACATCTAGCGTCCATCACAAATCTCGATCCACATCCAGCAGCGGCGCAACCAGCACAGCAGAGTCAAGCTGGTGGTCTAGCTGGGTGGGTTCTGACAAGTTCGCTGGATTGGAGTGTGAAGCTATGGAATACAACACCCACGACGCGTGCGGTCGGGACAATTGCTGTGTCGTCACAACATCCCTATGGCGCAACAGACGACGTACCCATGATTGTGGTATCACCCATCATGGAATTTCCCAATACACAACCCGTCTATGATGTGCATTGGTCACCGCATCGACCGGGAGTCTTTGCACAAGTTGATGGTGCTGGTGAACTGCAGATTTGGGATCTATGTCAAGGTTCAGAAGTACCCGTGAGTCGTATAACGCCGGGATTGGGTCCAGGTGAGCCTGCAAGGGCGCTGAATAGACTTGCATGGGAGATGGAGCATGGGAGGCGGATTGCAGTTGGTGGGTTGGACGGCATCTTGAACGTCCTGGATATCGGTGAGCTAGGTGGTCCAGCCACTCAAGAGGAATGGTCGACCCTCACAACGCTGATTGAAAGGATGCAATGACTTCTAAATAGACGTAAGGATGCCATATGCTGTCACTGCATGACTCAATGCCGGCTCTCGCGCTGTTCAGACATGTGTAAGAGAGGCTCCGCCACAGGCTGTTGCAGACCGACCCCTCGAGCCGCTTCTACCATCAAATCACCACGCTGCGATATCGTATCCTGCGCAGACATGACCAGCCCCTGTCGCTGCGCATGCTGTAACCGTACTTGCTCTTCCTGTGCTTTGAGAGATGCAGCCACCGCTGCTGCAGCTTGCGCTACCTTCACACCCCGTTGCGCTCGCTGTTTTTGAATTTTAGGAGGCATGCGTGCTTTGGAACCTTGTCCATTTCCTTGCGACTGTCCACCATGCACCATTGGATAGGGAGAGGGTGCTGATTGTTGTTGCCCATGCGTCAAAAGCGAGTCAATGGCCAACATGCTCGGTACATAGGGCACTTGATCACGACTTGTCGCCAACACTGCACCTTGTGCATCCAGCGGCGTCGATGAAGCAGTAGCAGGATCACTATACGACAAAGTCGCTTGTGCTTGCGCAATGGCTGCTTGCTGTTGTGCCATTTGTAGAGTCGCTGCAGTGCGTGGATCCATCTCGAATAGATTCGTAGTGGCTGGATCATCATGCGCTGGCTGAGTTTGCGTGCCGAGCGTTGAGGCAGATTGTGTTTGTTGGCCTTGAATTGCGAGTGCAGCATCGAGGCGTGACTGGAAGTCTGCAACAACTTGCGCCGTTCTTGGGAATGCTGGTGTTGTTGTGTCGAGTAGATTCGGTAGACCCAGCCTGTCGCCTTGCTGCGACGAGTCATGCAAGGGGTGACGAGGCGTACTGGCCAGCATATCATCCATCATAGTCAAGTTCTGCGACGGCACCAAGGCAGATCCGTTTTCTTGACCAGCCAGCAATCCTTGTTGCTGTTGACCCGATGCCTCACCTTGCTCCATGACTGCTGCTTTCCGTTTGCGTCTGATAGTGGGTGGTCGTGCATCGCGATGCGCACACCCGGCTTTAAGAAGTTCGAGGAAGGCTGTCTTTTGCTTTGCATACTCACTCTTGCTGAGGGTCGTTGACCATCCTCCACAGCTAAGATGCATGCGTGAGCAAGACCCGCATATAGGTTTCAATTCGTCACTGCGCTTGTTAGTATGGGTCATTGCAGATGAGTGGATACCATTTGACTTTGCGGAACTTGCAGTTGAGACAGCCTTGCTTGCTGCGGCGAAAGACCGTCTTAGCTGCTTCATTCTGGCTGGCAGGCGTACCTAGAAGAGTGTCGCGTCAGTCTGTGTGCTTCCTGATACTTGGCAGGCCTAGAGGCGCGTCGCATACACCGTACGGGCAATGCGCCATGGGCGTATGAGGTGCGATGGGCTCACTTACTCATTGTCTATATCTGGTCAGGAACAGCCGAAGCTTGCTGTGTGTGTTGTGTGGTGTGGTTGTCTGGTTCCTGCGCAGTGTCTGCTGCACTCTACTGAGTCTACTACGGGCAACAGCTACTTCAGCCGCACATATGAACTCGGGAACAGGCCCTTCTCACCAGCAGCATTGCGGCCCTCCCACCAGCCCTCATCCACCTGCTCGATGTGGGTAATCTCCTCTCCCTCCTCAAATCCAATCTCCCCTTCCTCGCCCACCTCGTAGCCATACTCGGCAACAGCACACTGACCCTTCTCTGACCCAGCACCAGTCTTGCTCGCAGGAGCAGCCTGTGCCTCAACGTCACCCTCCACAAGCTCCACGTAATTGGCAGGGAACAAGCCTTGCTCACCCACATCATTCGTGCCAGACCACCAACCTTCGTCAATCTGATCAATTTCAGTCACCAACGCTCCTTCAGCAAGCGAGACTTCTCCCTCCTCAGCAGCTTCATAGTCATACAACACACGCGCTTGTGGTTTACCACTCGCTTGCTTGGCGGGCGCAGACGACGCTGCTGCTGCTGGCGCCACGGGGCCACCACCAATCTTGGCGGCAAGCTGGTCTTTGAAAGTGGATTGCGTTGGAGCACTTGCTTCTGCTTCCGCTTCTTCTTCAACTTCCTCTTCAGTCTCTGGCTCAGGCTCTGGTTCAGCCTCACGAGCTCCTGAAGGTCGTGTGTTCATAGGTGGTGGCGGGGGTACTGCAACCTCCTCTTCTTCCGCTTCCTCTTGTTCAGGGGAAGCCGCACGAACAGGCGGTACACTTCTTGCCACAGCAGCAGGTGGCGGTGTTGGTGCCACTGCAACAGCGGCAAACTTCTCCTTCAATGCACCCACACCACGTTCTTCTTCCTCCTCTTGCCCATACTGTGCAGCCTTCACAGGTGCTTCTCTCTGCACAGGTTCTGGAATCGATTCACCACGTTCCCGTGCTTTCCGCTCTTGCCAAAGTTGCGCAGGCGTTTTGCCATCTTCTGCACCAAAATTCTTACTCAAACCACCGAGTGCCTTGGACCCAGTTGTTTGTTGTCCAGGGAGTGCAGGTTTTGTGCCAAAGGAAGGTTGACCGAATCGACTAGCTAGCGGATTAGACGATTGCCGTGGTCGCGTTGTTGTAGGTGGCGCCGTAGAGCTTGTTTCGTTGTTTGTAAAAGCAGACATGCGATCTGCCAAAGCGCCTGTTTTCGGTACCTCTGCAGGACGATAGGTCGTTCCCGTACTGCCTCGAGACGGCGCTTCTTGATCACCGGATCCTTGAGCACGCAAGGCGGCAATATCAGGTCGGCCAATCGGTTGGTAACTCGACTTGACGGGTGCATCTGCTGTGTCTGTAGTTGTTGCGGCTCCTATGCCTGGCAGCTTGACTGGTTCTGCTTTTTGCTCAGAATCCCAATCTGCCACTTTTCTCGTCGATGCAGTCCTCACAGTTGGTTTTGCGCTGGCTGGCGCACCAGGTGGCAGCCTAGGTGCCGTTTGCGCCATTGGCTTTCTCGCAGAAACAAGCGGAGCACTGCTATTCTGCTGCTTGAGCTGATTCACGAGTGAGTTTGTCTTTTTCGAGCTTGTTGGTCCAAAGACGGAGGATGCTTGGCTGACGGTATACTTTGCACCGGATGCGTCTGCCACCTTCTTCTCAATCTCTGCCATTGCCACATCATCACTGGAGCGTGCCGTTACTTGAACATGGTAACCAGTGAGTTGACCCGCGACAGAGGCAAAGTGCTGTTGGAAGATCCCTTTCCTCGGAGCGCCATCACCACACCAACCCACAAGGACAAACTTGGGTAATTGACTATTGGGTTCGGTGACTTTGAGGAAGGCATACTGGAGCCGTCCGTCACTGAATTCATCGGGAAATTCGTCATAGTCGGTGCTGCTCGTTGCTTGGACTTTGAGGGATTGTTGGCCTTCGTAGCCAAAGACTGCCCAGAGGAGATCACCTGCTTTGATTTGCTCGTAGGCATGCTGCACGTCTGTACCAATGGAGATGCTCATGCTGATGCTGGATGATGACTTGTGTAGTAGTGTGCAGACCAAGTGTGGAGGTGACGCTGAAATACTCGACACAACTGCGACATGCCGCCAAGACTCAACCAGGCTGTGTCTGCTTGCTAGTAGTTCTCGGAAGCTGAATCTCGCACTGTTCTTGGCACAGTGCAAGACCGCTAGAGGTTGGGCTCTTGCTACTTGCTCATCACGGCTATTGATGCACACACATGCACAACATGCACAAAAGAAGCTGACACCGTCATTCAGCAGCAAGACCAAACAAATCGATGCAATCGATGTCACGTTCCTTGGAACAGCCTCTGCTGTACCGAGTGCGACCCGTGCTCATTCATCCCTCGCCGTTCGTATGGCAGGCGAAATTTGGCTATTCGATGCAGGAGAAGGTGTACAACTTCAACTCTACAAGTCTTCTCTGAAGCCTGGTCATGTTCAGCGAATCTTCATTACCCATATGCACGGAGATCATGTGTTTGGCTTACCGCCACTCGTTGCTTCTCTTGCACAAGCACAAGAGGCAGAGATTGATGCAAACGCTCCAGCGCGTGTCGCCTTGGAGATTTATGGACCTCGTGGACTTCGTGCATACCTCAGGAATGCATTACGGTATACGTATACCATGACGAGTGGATTGTGGTGCGTACATGAATTGCTCTTGCCCGGAGAATCGCCCATCTTGTCAGCTGAGCAACACGAGAAGGATAAGCATTCGTGTGAGGCAGTTGGCAAGACTCTGTATGCTTCTCAAACACAAGGAACCATATTGTTTCATGATATACTACAATCGCCACATCCACACGTCTGCGTCCATGCAGCGCCTATTAAACACAGCTGCCCATGTCTCGGCTTTGTCCTTGTTGAAGAGGACGTTGCAGGGTCCATCCCCTCAACCATGATTCAAGCCATTCAACGCAATGCAGCAGCCATTAAAGCAGATTGGGGTCTGGCGCAACCCATGTCGCTGCTTCAGCGCATCAAGGAAGGTGAATCCATCACTTGTCCAGATGGAACATTGTTGGAGCCACCGCCTCGACAGCAGGGTCGGAAGCTTGTTATTCTTGGCGATACATTTGATCCAAGCAATATCACTCCGTTGGCCATGGATGCCGATTTACTCATACACGAAGCAACGAATGCGTACTTGCCTGGTGTGCCAGGCGCTGAAGTCAAGGATTCAGATACTGCTGCGTCTGTTCAAGCGACAGCTAGAGCGCATGGACACTCAACGCCTGATTTGGCAGGTGCGTTTGCAAAGCGGATTCGAGCAAAGCAGCTCATTATGAACCATTTTTCATCCAGGTACAAGGGCGATATGGCTGATGCCGAGGCAGCGGTCATTATGGATGCGATTCGTCAGCGGGCAGTCGATACATTTGGCAGCGATGAGGTGATGACGGCATACGACTGGATGAATGTCGTTGTTCGCAGAAGCAAGAGGTAGAGACTACCGTAGAGTAGAGCACTAGAGCTAGACTGAGTGAATCGAATTTTGACGTCAAGTGCCTACAACCAACCAGCCAACCCGACGAGCCCAACGACTACATGTCGAGGCCGCGAGGGAGCGACCTGCCGGCGTTTCCTACACCCTCACAGTTTCAATCCTCTCAACAACCAGCTGCGCGCCCAGCTCGTTCATCTACCGCTCAAATACAACCGCAACAGCAACGACCCGATCCGCGTTACGAGCCTCGTGCGACAAGCGCTCGACTACCCTCTGCCAATAGTCTGCCGCCTGCTCCGCGGCACGTCTCACAAGGTTACGATCCACGCCAGTCAACAGAAAGTTTGGCACACGATATGCGACAAGCGAGTTTAGGTGGTGCTTCACACCGTTCAACGAGTAGCGCATCACACTATACGGCTCATTCACAGCAACGCGGACCGATTGTGGGCATTCAACCGCATACGCGTGCGACTCCAGCGACCTTTCATGGTCAAGCTTTTGGGATCGCCCCGGAAGCAACCAGGGAACCGCCCTACGACAAGGTGCTGTGGAATTTGTTTTGTCAGGTGGATACAGATGGCAGTGGTGCCATTTCACCAAAAGAGCTATCTGGTGCCTTGATTAATGGCAATTTTACACCATTTGATATCGTGACGGTACAACTCATGGTTCGCATGTTTGATGAAGATCGCTCAGGCACGATTAGCTTTGCTGAATTTGCAAAATTATGGGCCTACCTACTCGAATGGAAACAGCTCTTTGCGCGCTTCGATACGGATGCGTCAGGAACCATTTCATTTATCGAATTTTCCGATGCGCTTGCTGCGTTTGGGTATCGTCTATCAATAGAGTTTGCTCAATTCCTGTTTAGACATCACGAGCGTGATCGCAAGCAGCGGACAAAGGAAATGACATTTGACTTGTTTGTTCAGGCCTGTATCACGTTGCGTTCCTATACAGACATTTTCAAAGCGTTTGATACCGATCAGGATGGAGTTATTACGATTGGCTTTGAGGATTTCTTAAGGGTGCTCATCAAGAACAGATCATGAATGCAGCTTATGAATATTATTGTAGTATCAACCTCAAGCAGCAACAGGAAGCTGTGTGCTTGTCGACACTGTACTATGAGGCGATGCAGAGTCTTCCTTCTCTTGCACAAATCGCAACGAAGCAGCAACAACAGCCGCCGCTGCAGCAGCTGCCGCTTCCGTTGTGGGGCTCGGTGGCAAGTTCCTAAATCGCTTGCGTCGAGACACTTTTTCTTTGCGCATGCCAACAGGCCTTGCCTTGCCATGCAACTTGCTGTACAATCCACATGCATTGCATACAATCGCACCATTCTCGTCTTTCCTCCAAAGCGACGTTTGCGTACCACTGCAGTTGGTACAAACAGTCGGCGTTGTGCCTTCCTCAATTTTGGTGGTGAGTTGGCGTTGGACGCGGTTGAGGGGACGATCGTGATTATACTGCTTGAGGTACAACCCACACGCATTGCAGAGAGAGTGTCGCTTACACGGCGTGCGTCGCCAGAGTGGCGTCTTGGTCACACCACAATTGTGGCATTGCGTCAATGGCTCTTCGTCGCTGCTCACTCGTGTCTTTTTGAGCTTTTGTCCGGGTTCCTCATAGACGGGCTCCTCCGCATCGGCAATGCTGCTTTCGCGAGAATAGGAGAGCGTGCTCTGTGCAGGACTCAACGTTTGTGGTGGCACATCGGCTTGTTCTCGCTGCTGTCGCAGTTGATGCTGCATGGACGTTGCTTGCAGACTTGTTGCATAAATGGTCGAGCCAGCCAAGCTGAATTGATCTGCCATGGCGCGTTCAAAGGCCAAAGTCGACATGGTTGGTAGTTGACCATCCACGAGCAACGCGTCTGCTTGGTCCCAGTCAAACATTGTGTCCACATCAAACCCTGGCCCGCGCAATGCTGGCGCTTCGAGTTCTAGCGACTCGAAGGGGAGAGGTTGTTGGAGGGCATCCGGTGAGCTCTGCAATGAGCTCGCTTCAGAGCCAGAGAAATGCCCATCCTTTGCATCGAAGTCATAGTCTTGAGGTGCTGTGAACCAGCTAGCCTCTGTCATGGGTGTATCCATGTACGTTGTCTTTTCGTCGACATACCCCAGATCAGCCGACCCTATGCGCTGCAAAGCAGACGCACCTGTAGGGCGAGCAAAGATCTGGGTGTAGTCGATGGCGCTTTCTGGATCAATCAACATCATTCCCGACGTGTCCTGAGCCTGTTCCGTAGAAGAATGCCATTTTTTAAACTTGGGTTGTTGAAAGTAGCCTGGGTTCTTCGATTCAAGCAGACATGATGGATGTAGTGTATCCGGTGTCTGTTTGTATGTGGAGGAAGAAGCCTGCCCTGGGAGTGTTGTATGGATGAGGGGTGAGGGAGCGATACAGCGTCTTTTAAGTTTTTTTGTTGGATACTTGATGAGTGGATGTGAGTCATGCTGTGACTTGCCTTGCGCTTCCGTCTCTTCCGCCAGAAGCGCATGACTCATATGCAGGGGGAACGCTGCCTCGCTCTGACTCGGGACAACGGGGGCCTGTAAGAGTGTCTGAGTGCTTGCTTGGCGATGCTGCCTCCTGGTTCTACCGGCCGCTTTTATGTGACTGTCTATTTCCCGTCCGCATTGAAGGTGAGCAAGGTCCTCGATTGCAACGTCTGGAGTCAGTTTGGTGCGTGCAAGGGTTTGCTTACCGTGACTGCATGCTGCTGCTGCCTGCGTATTTGTACCAATACGTTGCCTCTGTGTCCTTGCGGTATCTGTCGCTGATGCGCGTCGTGAGTGTGCTGCGGCTGTTGCTGGTGTGTTGAGAGGCCTCCACTTGTGTGCTTGTAGCTTTGTGCGCTTTGCCGGTCTCTCTTGCTGTAGATCGCCGCCTAATGCCTTGGACTGGAGCTGCTCCGAGGCCCTGTCCGCCATTCAACGCAGCATCTGGCGCTCTCCCCTTCTATCCTTGCTGTCTCTTTCTTTTCTCCCGCCAGTTCTAATCAAATCAGATCCGGATTACAGGATTGCAGGATGTCCGGGAATCTGATAGCGCAACCAGATGGGCAGCAGGTGTGTCTGTTGTATACTAGACGATGCAGCTGAGTATCGTCTTCCTAGAGGTGGAAATCTCGAAGAAGATGTCAAGCTGCTGCGACTGTCGGTTATTCACGTTGGAAGATGCACGCTGAATAACTGAGCCTTTAGTGCCCATTGGACTGACACTGCTAGCCAGACAGAGGCTCTGCATTCAAGACCTCGATCAAGCTTGACTAAAATTGCAGCAGCCTAGACAAGCAATACGACCCACTGCCAGTCCTCTGCAACCCTGGAGTACTGACTGTCCTGACCCAGGTACTGCCACCCATCTGAACACTCCCTTGGCATGACGACGCTGCACTCCAGCACTCGACACCTCCACCTAGCCAGGCTGCTATCATGGAGGACGTGCTCGAATCCGTTCAATGGGATCGGTCAGAACCTGCCAACAGCGACGTCCAAACCCTCGCCGCCGAAACGAGAGCTGCTGTCCAATCCACTTCTCCACCACCTGCAACGGGTAGCGATACACTGATGGCGCAGTACACAGCTGAAGAAGCACCAATCTTATTCAACACCCATCCTGCCATGCGACCCACGAGTGAACAAGATGAGCGGACGAAAATTGCGTGCATTGTCAGTGACCCGATTCACGAAGCGCCTGGTACGCGCGACGCCTATGTCTCCTACCTCATCACCACCACCTCCACCTTTCCCGGTTTCCAAAAGCCAGAGTTTCGAGTGCGGAGACGCTACAATGATTTCGTCATGCTACACACTGCGCTAAGCAATAATTATCCAGCCTCTGTCGTACCCCCGCTTCCAGACAAACATGCATCCGCCTACCTCAAAGGCGGTCGCTTTGATGCCGAATTCACTGCTCGACGCTGTTTCTCACTCAACCGCTTTTTGCATCGTTGCACCCTTCACCCAAATCTCAAACGAGCGACGGAATTGCATACGTTCTTGGAGTCGCCAGACTGGCATGCGTATACGCGCACAATGCATCACACACGGCGCGGTACAATGGATGGTGCTTCAAGTAGTGGTATGATGGACGGCCTAACAGACTCGCTCATGGGCGCCTTTTCGAAACTTGCCAAGACGGATAAACGCTTTACGGATGTCCGCGAGCGTTCAGATAAGCTAAGCAAGGATCTGGCAACAATTGAGAAACTGGTAGGAAAATTGGTACGGCGCGAGACGGATGTGCAAGCGGATTTTGATGAAATGGCAGGTCATTTTGTCAAGTTGGCAGAGATTGAGCCAGAGCTCGATGATGCCTTTCGTGCTTTTGCAAAAGCAATGAGTGGCACGGCGCTGCATGTTCGCGATCTCAGAGCGCATACTGATGCGGCGTACTTGACGTCCCTACGTGATCAAGCATCATACAATACAACACTCAAGCAACTCCTCAAACTACGCGATCAGAAACAGCTTGATTTTGAAGCATTGACGGAGTATCAGCTCAAAACAACACTCGAGCGTGATCAGCTCGCGAGTGGTCAACCGCACACAAACTTTATCCAGCACAAGGTGGAGAACTTGCGTGGTTTGAATCATGATGCTGTTCGCAAGGAAAAGCTACGCAAGCTGGAGACAAAAGTGCATGAATTACAGTCAGAAGTTGAATCAGCGCGTCTTACGAGTGAAGCATTTGACGAGGAGGTTGTGCGTGAGGTCAAGATTTTCGAGAGTACAAAAGGCGTCGAGATGAAGGCGAGCATGCGGGACTTTGCACGCGCCAATATGGACTTCTACAAGAGTATCATCCAAGAGTGGGAGTCTGCTGGCAAGAGGCAAGAAGCATAATTACAGAAACACTCTATCATGAATTTTACCATCCATTCCTCGCATGGTGTATGAGAGGACGCCTTCTGGCAAAAGCTCGAGTGTTCCGTAGTGGTGTTCTAGTTCAGTGACGCTCATGACGGACGCTTGTTCAGGCACGACGCGCTCATAATCCAACGTGCCACCACCGCCACCTGTCGTGATGTATGTCACGCCCTTGACTTTGCCACGCTGGTAGTTATGCTGATGCCCAGAAAGCACCAAGTCCACCTCGTACTTTTCAAACAATGCCACATACCGTTCCTTGACAATATGACCCCATCGCGATTCGCCACCTGTCGTCCATGCCTCTGGTTCCCAAAACTCGACAAATGCCGGGATATGCACGACTACGATGCGTTTTGCCGCAGACATGCATGGTTTTGTGGAGAGTGCTTCTTGCAACCAGTTTTCCTGGTCAGTATTGCTGTCTAGCAGTAATAAGCAGACATTGCCAGGTAGGATCAACTTGGCTGTTGCGACAGACGAGTAGGGGCTCGGTGCATCATGGTTGCCACGCGCCATGAGCCATGCAAGACTGGTGAGTCTGGCATATGCTACTGGCATGAAAAAGTCGGTGGACCAGGCACGCGCAGACGCAGCAGTCTGAACAGCATCACCCACATGAATCATGCCATCGATAGAGTGTCGGCGCAAACGTCGTAGTAAGCGCACGAAAAGACTTGCTGCGAATTGATTATCGCCCACGACACCGAGACGCCAGGTCTTGGTCTCTCCGCCAAAACTCGCACAGGTATATGTCTTTGAGAGCCAGTCCCCGACCTTGACTCGATAGTGGAATGCAGCAGCATGTGTTCGTGTGACGAGCGCGCGATAGACAAACGTGTCGTGATCTCGAGAAGCGTCGAGTCTGGCTGGCATGACGACGGCATCGTCACCGAGTAGCAGAGCAACTGGTGAGGGTCTGCGATCATGGCGTAGCTCAAAGACGACTTCATAAGCGTCTTGTCCGATGACTTGGACGAGTGGTTCTTTGCTCAAGAGCGAAGCATAGCCAATCGCATAGAGAGCGTGGTGATGCTTGTAGCGCAAGTGGAAGGCTTGCACGGCGAGGCCAGCGCGTATAGCTGGCGCATAGGATCGTAGCAGTAGGAGGAGAGCAAGGACACTGAGGAGGACGGCAGCTTGCCGCCGCCTAGGCATGCGCATGCAGTGAAGTGGGCAGGAAGGATGTCGCCAAAACTATACAAATATACGCTATACAAGAAGAATCGCATTGACGCAGCCGTCATTCTCTGGGTTATTGGTCACCTGGGCGTACTTACCCCAGACCACCTTGCCTCCTGCCGTCACCATACCGAGCTCCGAGACATTCACCTCAATGACTGTTCCCTTGGTCAAGACACCCAGTTGCGTGTACATGGGACTCTGTGGGTTCTTTTTGACACCGAGGATAGGGAACTGCATGGTGACGCGCAACTCGGGGTGTGTCACATTGGCCTTTTTCTGACGCAGCGCCATCGGCCGAATGAAGCGCTCATACTTGACGGGTGTGCGCGTGAAGCCCTCACCCACAAACGTCGCCTTGGTCAACATGCGCTTCCATGCTTTTTGATTCTTGCTTCCAGTCTTGATGACCTTGAACATTTCATCCTCGGCAACACCGCGTACTTTTGGCAGTGGCACAGCAAACTTGGCAGCCTTTTCCTTTCGTTTTTGCTTCACCATGTTGGAGAGCATCTTGGCATTCTTTTCGCCTTCACGATCCAAGAGGTAGGCGGGCACTGCACCTTGCGGTGTAGCATCTGCTGCTTTTTGCTTTGTATTCCGCTCTTCATGCTGCCGCAGCGTCTTCTTGAGCTGAATCTTTTCATTCGCCCGCTTCTTGTTGAGAATCTTGGCCTTGATGCCGGTGACTTTTTGCGCATACTGTGATTTGCTGTGTGCTTCACGCGCGAGCTTCTTGCGCTTCTTTTCCTCGTGATCGAGGCGCTTTCCATAGCGCTTCTGGTGCTCTTCGATGTACTCATTCTGCGGCATCTTGGGCGTATAAAGTCTTGGTCTTTGTGTAGGAAAAAAGAGTTGAGTCTGCACCCGAAATCCCACGCAGACTCAATAGTTCTACACTTCAAGCTTGGAAGTTTGAACCCGACAGTTTATATTTGACGTCTATAGCTAGGCCATGGCAGAGCGGATACGGAAGCGCACTCTAGAAGCCAGTGTGGATGTAAACCAAAGAAGACCGCCTTCGCCGCTGTGCAAGCGCATCAAGCCAGCTTGCCTTAAACCAGACCCCATCATTTCTCTGCACGCGCCACGACGCGTTGGCTCGCCCAAGACGCTCTCAGATTTCAAGTGCGCTGTCTGTAAGCGTCATCAATATCTACGGAAACGAGTCGTGCAGACGGAAGATTTGCTCACTGTCTGTGCAACATGCGAAAAGGACGTATGTATCATTTGCAGACGCGTTTGTGAGCGCTGTGGCAAGGAGGTATGCAGCGGCTGCGCGATAGACAAGGGACAGGATGTGCGGTGCAAGGATTTCTGTCAACCGCATGAAGATTAAATCTACGAATCGTCACGAGGTTGCATAAACGCAAGCATCTCGTTTTGTGTCGTGACCCTGCCATGGAGTGTATGCAGGCTATTCATGCCAAGCATCGTCTGGTCCATACGATACAGCGCCGGCAAACTGTTCGGCTTGGAAGCGTCACCAAGGCATGGCCAGGTTGGTACAGGCATCAAGTAAGTGACGCCGTCCTCTGCGAGCATATGACTCCGATCGCTGCGAAAGTCACGCAAATACGCCGTTGCAGAGATGATGCGAAACAGACGATGAAAGGTTGGCTGCAGAAACGTCTCGTCTTTAAGTACTTCGCTCGCATAAACTGCCAGAGGACACGGCCAGGGTACATCGCTATCAAAGTCGTACACAACAGGAGCGGAAGCGTTTCGTTGGAGGAGAATGACATGGTAACCCCAAACGACAAGGCCTTGTGGATCGCCGAGTTCAAGACGCCGTCTATTGCGCCACAGTGGAAAGCGACCGTCTGCATTGCTGATGATGGCAACGTACAGCTCGTCAGCAGACTGCAAGTGACGTGCAAGGTGGTATATATTCTCTTCGCAGTAGCAAGCAGCATAGGGCATCTGGGAGCGATCGAGTGGCATTATGAAGCTTCAGTGTTATGTCCAGTAGTGTTGAGCAGGAGGCTTGAGACTTGTTGCTACTGAGGCTCAGCCTCGGCGGAGATGTGAGCAGTGAAGGCCATAGAGACTCTAGCTAGGTAGACTAATGGCTAGAGAGTGTACTCAATGTAGGCAAGTCAGTGAAGCTACTGCTGCTGCTGCTGTATGTGAATGTCCCACGCTTGCACTTCAAACACTCAACGACACAACCCATCCTACCCCTGAACTAGCCCAGGCGCGCCTCGGCGCAGTCATCGAACCTCTCTAGTACTAGTCAGGCTGCTCAAAAGAAGTCTCTAGCCTTGGTCAATCTCGCACGGCATCAAGCGCTGTGGTATGAACGCCGCGATCGCTAATTTCAGGTCGCATGACTGGCCACGGCACAACTGTCAACAATGTGCTGGTTAAGGCAGCAGAAACCAGCAGCACTAACAACATGTTCACCAAATAGCTGGAATTCTTGCGTTTCATGAGAACGTATCTACAGTCTTGTCCACCCTTTTGGCATGAGCGACAAAAACCATTTCTAGCAAAGCCCCTTATCCGTATCACTGACGCAATCAGGCGCTACTGTCAGCAGTCTTACACAGGCGTCAATGGCTACCGAGGCTGGAGGCAAGCTCCGTTGGATGAAGCAAGGGCCAGTCTTTGTGAATGTCAAGCACGGCTTGTTGACGGATCAGGCACTCTCGGCCAAAAATCTGTCGTTACACCTCGACCAAATTTCTAGGGATAGTGGACTGCTTGTCCGCTTCACATCGCATGGATTTCGTCGTGGGATGGCCCAGGATGTGTGTCATGTGCCTCCCGAGGTCTTGCAAAACCAAGGACTTGCGCCGGTCGATGCACCAAGGGCATCGCTTGGACACAAAGCGCGAAGCACCACGATTGAGTATGCTGGCCAGGACAACATACGGCACCTGGCGTACCAGATTCAGCAGAGCGATACTCGCAACGGGAATGGCAGCAGCAGTACGAGCCTGACAACAGACTATGCTGGACAGGATAACATGCAGCACCTGATTCGCGCTGTCTCTCAGAGTACCTGCAACGGAAGTGACAGCCACGCCGAAACTCATGCGATGTGAAGCGGACAAGCAGTCCACTATCCCTAGAAATTTGGTCGAGGTGTAACGACAGATTTTTGGCCGAGAGTGCCTGATCCGTCAACAAGCCGTGCTTGACATTCACAAAGACTGGCCCTTGCTTCATCCAACGGAGCTTGCCTCCAGCCTCAGTAGCAGCAGCCTTGAGAACAGCGTTGACGCTCAAGTCGGGCGCAATGGCACCATGTCGAGCAGCGTGGACAAGCAGGTGGGTGATGAAATCGACATGAGGCGTCAGAGGCAACAGCCCGATTCGAATGACACGTTTACTTGAGTCGCGCTTGTGACCCTTCTCAGCACGAAGCGTAACGTCGATCGAGACGTGCCTCTGGATGTCGGTGAGGTAGCCGTACTGAGCATTGACGACGACAGAGATGTCCTTGTATTGCAGACACTCTTCACCCGAGTATCCTTTTGACAAGGACAAGTCGCCAACCCTGCAGCCGAGACTAGCAAAACAGACGGCTGCAAAGCAAGCCTGAAGCGCCATCGTTGTCTGGCGCGAGCGGTGACTTGGCAGCCCGGAGAGGGTATAGAACAGCATCTTCGACAAGGCTCTGAAGCCGATTCGCGACCGAACAAAGTAGACCCTGCTACAAGTCAGACCAGCATCCTCACACTTACTCAGCAAAGTATCCATCAGCTTCTGCTCCTCTTTGTCCCAGGAAAATGCCGAATACTGCGTAGCGCAGTGGTTGACAAGCGAGCCCATGCCTCTCTCAAGGTCAGCACCACTAAAGGGCATTGGACTCCTTGATTGAAATACGCTTTCGTCTTGAGGATGGAATTGCAAACTTCATCAGATCTGCAGTCCGTAGCACCATTGTTGATGTCTCGTCTGCTGAACACGTATCATCAAAGTTTGGCAGGACGCGAAGCACTCAAAACAAAGCTTGTCTGCAGTCTTGAACTTTGGTGTACTAGGAGCAGCGCGTGGTTGGGAGATAGACAGAGACGGACAAGACAGCTTGTTGAAGTCCGTAGTGTAATAGGTTTAGCTTGAAGGAAGCTACGTCGAGCTCAGCTCAACTAGATGTAATGCCGTCCATTGAGCAGGAAGCAAAATAGAGAATCTAAATCCTCAAGGCGCTCCAACTCTCCACGCCTTGCGACTACGGTTCCTGATGGCCGTCTCAGTTGTCATTTAGCCGTGAGACAACCTCAAGGACCATACAACGCAGCGCAACAGATGTCTGAGTCTCGATGTCGTCCCGCATGTCGGTCAAACCCTGGGCCGATGAATGATATGCTGCAGTATTGAAAGGAGCAGCGTCGGCGAAATGACAGTCAGGACGCTCTCAATCATGAAAGGCATATCCTGCAGAGCGCGACAGCAAGCTGCCGATCGAGGAAGAGGCTTTTGAGCAAGCCTGCGTCGGCACTTGGGCATCTGGGCATTTCAAGAGGGGCGCGCCTTGCTCAACAGAGGTGTAGCTGAACTTTTCTGGTAGCACGTGTCTCTGCTTCGCCAAGCTATACGACTCAGAAATCTGAGTTCAAGCACGCAAATAGTGCTTCGTTGAGCTCGTCTTCAAGCGTAATTGAGACGAAGAGTGAAGGCCCATGATAAAAGAGAAAGAAAAAAATGCGTTTTCCCCAGCCGGGAATCGAACCCGGGTCTAGTCGGTGAGAGCGACTTATGATAACCCCTACACTACTGAGGATCTGTTGTCTCGAACCTGCTGTAAAAGTATGACGGCAAAAACAAAATTGCTGACTAAGCAGGAAATTAATCCTCTCAATTGACCGTCAGTTGGCTTGCACGCCCTCGTCCGATATTCCTCACAAGTTCTTCACCTTACCAATTGGCCAGAAAGTACTCAAGTGAGCTTTCGAGAAAGTCACGGTCTACTTCCACAAGATTGGCAATGGCCGAAACCGTAACTACACCGTGACGGTCGTTGTGACGAGTACAGCGATGGCGACTCGACCACATATAGAGATAGCGATGGAAGTACGGCTTTGTCAGTATATTGCATCATATCCAATGCGCTGAAGCTGTGATGCTACAGTAGAGATGCAGCTGAACGAGTTGCGCAGGGCAGTTGCAGGCGAAGAGCTGCAGTGTCTTAAAGCGGCGCGTCTTGCCGAGGGCGTCTGCTGCCGTCCCGGCCTTGTCGCAGATGCCTACAGAGATCTGCTTGCAATGATGCGTATAGACTACACAGATTCTAGCTGATGCAAATGGTCTCCCAACTTGGAGGTCCTCCTACTAGCATGAGTCTTGGCGCCGCGCACACTCTTTTGCCCTGCCCGCAAGGGAGTCTGCAAAACACCCGCTGCCTCGTCATCTTCTGTATAGTTGTCTTCATAGGAAATGACGAGCTGCTTGATGGTTGCTTGCTCCGCCAGTTCTGCTTTCCTCGACGCTTGTGCAGACAAGACGAGCTTGTTGTCTGCTGGCAGTTGCAAATCGCGCGTCTTGCCCTTGCGCGATAGAAAACTGAATTGCACTTGTCCCGACGTGGGCGTCTCTTGCATCGGCTGGATGCGGCGCATGGGCATGGCGACTTCGAGAGGCCGCCGCGTCTCGTGTTTGCGTGCATCAATCGACTCTGTCATCATCTTGCTAAATTCTCGTGCAAAGTCTGCCTCGGCCTCCTTGTCAAGGTCGTCTTGTTCTTTGCGCTTCTGTAGCAAGACAACTTGCTCGCCGTCATCCTCATCGAGCTGTAGATTTTGAATCTCTTCCTCATCATCCGACTGAAAGTGGGCCTGCGGTGACGTCTCGGATTCATCACTGGAATCCTCCACATCAACAATCATAGCTGCAGCCTTGGCAGCCTCGTCCAGCTTGGCATTCGCCTCTTCGAGCGTCTCCGCCATGTGCCAATTTTTGTCGACTGCAGCAAACGTATCGAGCACACCAAATTCAATTTCAAGCGGCAAGGGTGCCTTACAAAAGATGTAGCTTTGCAGTAAAGCCAGGCTCAGGTTGCGTTTGGCGAGGAGTGGCGGTCGTTGAAAGGCGGAGGCGCAGGTATCTAGCAGAATGCACGCCAGCCGCACGCGAAAGTGGTCATTCCGTGGGTCTATAGCACATTCGACGGGCAACGGTCGGGGACCATGACCGAGCGTGAGCAGCAATTGCAGCTGCTCCATCACAACTTGTCCGTCAACGAGCCGGTGGTTGTACAACTCACCAAGATACTTGGCAAGTGCAATGCGCTTTTGATGATGCCGAAAGTTGTTTTCCTCCAGGCCAACACGCATCTCTTCGAGGACTGCATCAATGACGTGCGTTGTAAAGCCAGGATGGTACTTGGCCAATCCACCGAGGACAATGGCAAGCAATGGGATCGCCGAATACTTGACTTTCCAAACTTTGACAAAGATGTTTTGCAGCCATCCAGGACCGTCGCCTTGCCATGGCAGCTTTCGAATTTGCTTGGTAACCATCTCGTAGGTACGACGGGAGAGATCAACGTAAACTAATTGTCGAATATAACGCTCCATGGGCTCGCGCTGCTTGACGGGGATGACTTCACGCTCTGGCGGATTGACGTAGTAAAATGCATTGTCAATGAGCGACCTTTCCACTCCCGAAGCATTTTTGCTTTTGCGGTGCAGCACCTCGAGAAAAGCAGCCATTCTTGTGTGTGTAGCATCGCTGCGCAAGAGGTAGCGTCCACAATTCTCCAGCATACTCGCAAGCACTTCAATATCTGTTTTGGAAAAGTTTTCGACAAGGAGCTTCAAACAGTGAAACGTGACTGGTGCGCTGACTAGATCGAATTTGATGAGTTCAGCCAGGAAAAGAGCATTGATGGCGCGCAAGGGGTAGTCTTTATTCAGTCCCTTACCGTTGACGTACCGCCTCAAATCGCGATGCAGAGACTCGACCATCTTTTGAGCGATCGAAGGCAAGTGTTTTGAAAGCGTTGCAACAAGTCGAGCATAGTAGGAGAGAATATCGGTACGCGTCTTGCTGACTTGCAGAAGCATTTTGACGAGTCGATTGCGGGAGGCTTTTGTGTTGAGAAAGCTGAAATCAATGCACGCCTGATCAATGAGCTCTCGATTGTTGAGCTCTGGCAGCCTGAGTAGTAGCGTGTCGAGCTTTGCTCCAATGGTTGCAGGTTGAGGCTCGTCCTCTTCTTCTTCTATAGGGTCCATGTCATCAAAGTCCTCCTTTTCTGGCTCAACGTCTTTCCTCGGCTCCTTGTCGTCGTTGAGCAAGTCGCCGGGCACAACCTCTTTCAGATCCACCAGCTCACGGTAGAAGCGGCGCTGATCGTCATCCTCCCACAAACCCAGATAATCGTCGCCTTCGTCGCCGCGCCGGTCAACGCCAAATCCGCGAATCATGCTGGCCTCTTCCGCCAATTGCTCCTCTAATGTTTGCAGTGTTGGGAAGTCTTGATGAAGAACTTCAGCGAGCGTTTGCGCACCTGCGACTTGCTTCTCTTGAATCCGTTGTTGCTCGAGCAATGCTTGTTCTCGTCGGGAAGACGCCTGGCCCTGTGCAATGACGTGTTCTTGTATGCGTGCAGCTTCACGAATCAATCGATCATGTCTGGCCAGTGTGTGTGACTTGAGCAGCTCAAAATACTTGAGCAGAATGGTGCACATGCTCGCCGTGTCGTGTGAAAGGATGATTTCCTCAGACACATCGCTCTGGGTGAGGTGACCAAATGCCTTGACAAATGAAACGACAATGCTCAAATTGACAAAGTCCTTGTCGTTTGCAAGCAGCTCGCGAAGGCAAAAGAGGGGAAGCGGCTCGTCCATTTTGCGCTTCCTTGGCTCTGCATTCGCACCATCCAGGGCATCTTGTATCGTTCTAAATACGCCAACAAGCCATAGCTCCGTCACGACACGCAGTAGTGTACGCTGTCGAGTCACACGCGTCGATTCTTCCTTCTCGCGCTGCTCTGCTGATAGACTGTTGAGATAGCTCTGAGGTGGCGGCGCAAGTCCACGCACAAGCTGAAAGGCAAGCTGAATGGTGAATGGCCGAGAAAAGCGTCGATGAAGGAGCTCGACCGTCTCTACCGCAGCAGACACATCAGCCGTCTTGACCTTGGCGAGTCCTTCCGCAAACGCCGAAACGACCTCACTCATGTACTTTTCAAGCGACAGCGTCACAACATCTTTTGCGAAGATTGGGACATTTTCCGCATTGAGGGCCATGCGCGAACGCTTGATGAAAGCTGTATTTTTCTTGAGCGAGCTGTCGAGAGATGCGCTCACTTCGAGCGTCATTTCACCCGTCCAAGCTGCATGATTGAGAGCTCTGCGGTGGCCATACGGATCGCCTTGACTTGGAGCGCCTGTACCTGGTTGCTGTCGATTTGCATCTGCCTGATCCATCCATGTAGTCGTAGTTGATGTGTTGTCTTGGTGAATGCACATTTCGAGCACGGCAGCTTGCACTCCAGTCACCCCAGCAAGTGCATACTGGCCAGGCCTGTTGGAAGCAGCTCTGGCTAAGCGAAGGTCTCAACGGCGAGTCTACGCCCGTCTATAGCTTAATCTTGTATACTTGCTTAGTCAGCCCCCAGGAGTATCAGTGCAGCTGCATTGCCCACAACTGGCACTACATCTCACTGCGCACGCCCCTCAGGAGCCATAGAGTCGACATTCAGGGTCCCGGCGCGGCCGCCGCACCGTTCTAGCTCACCCACCAAGCAAGCGACCAGTCCGCCACAGCGGCGCACGCATCTAGGCCACAAGCGCGAGTCGAGCATCACCTCATCTGTCGAGTTCCTCAAAATGAACTCAGAGACCATGTCGCAGGTGCAACGGCCGCAGCGGACGCCGTCATCTGTTAGCACTATGAGTAGCCGGGATTCGTTGGATGCGCAGGTGGAGAAGCCCGAAGAGGAAGAGCTCATGCGCATGGACGAGGAAGCAGCAGTGCCTGTGCGAAGCAAACCTAGCAGGTGGAACCTGTGTGCGAGGCGGCATTTACTCATCATTGGCGTCATTGGACTCGTCATATGGTCAGGCGCACTTGCCTCCTTTGTCTTTCGCGGCTCGTTTGATTCACACACACATCATCCAATTGCAGAGAGTCGTCGATTGACGCTCGATACGGCACAGTCGCCTATATGGATTGCGCATGAGCATCAAGTCGATTGGACAGATGCGCATGGGGAAGATGGTGTATTTTTGATACAATCAGAGCAAGACTTGCGCCTAGCCAGTGTCAATGGCACGAACGAGGTATTTGTCAAGGCGTCTGACATTCGCGCAGATCAACTCAAGGGCAGTCCGCCGATTCCAGCGACAAAGCATTGGATCTCTGCAGACATGAAATACCTGCTGCTTGCTTCAGAGGTACGACCTAATTGGCGACACTCTTTCACTGCCAAGTATTGGGTGCACAACGTCGAAAAGAAGCAGACCATTTCACTGATTCCCGATGACCCAGAGGCCATTCTTGCACATGCTGCTTGGGCGCATAAAGGACATTCCATCGCATTTGTCAAGGACAATGACGTTTATGTACGCCACAATATGGGCGACGTGGAGCGTGTCACTTCAGACGGCTCCAAAAACATCTTCAATGGTATTGCTGACTGGGTGTATGAAGAGGAAGTGTTTGCCAATGATGTGGCTCTCTGGTGGGCGCCTGATGGCAAATCATTTGCCTACCTCAAGACGGATGAAAAGCGTGTGAGGGAGTATCCACTTGAAATGTTTGTTGGTAATGGTGCGCCTCAGCAGTACCCAGACATCGAGTGGCTCAAGTACCCAAAGCCAGGCACGGCGAATCCTATCGTCAAGCTGTTTCACTACAACTTGGAAAGCAAACAGTCGACGCAAGTGACTGCGGAAGGAAGCTTATCCGATAATGATCGCCTCATTACAGAGATCAAGTGGCTCGGCCCTGAAAAGCTTTTTATGCGCGAAAACAATCGCGACAGCGTCATTCAGCAGACCATCATTGCAACACCCGGCAAGGGAGCCAAAGTGACGCAGACGCTCAACATTTCTAGCATTGACGGCGGCTGGTTTGAGATTACCCACAACACACATTATATTCCAGCGAATCCAGCACACAACCGTCCAGATGACGGGTATATTGACATTGTCATTAGCGACGGCCACTTGCATCTGGCGCTTTTTTCTCCAGTCGATGCAGCTGAGCCCAAGATGCTGACCTCTGGCAACTGGGAAATTACGGGCGGTGTCCAGGCCATCGACCTCGAACGTGGCCTCGTCTACTTTTTGTCTACAAAAAAGAGTTCCACAGAGCGACATTTGTCCAGCGTATCCATGGTGACTGGCGAGATTTCAGACATCACCAGCACAAAAAATGAGGGGTACTTTTCAACAAGCTTCTCACCAAAGGCTGGTTACTATCTTCTCACCTACTCTGGCCCTGGTGTGCCCTATCAAAAGTTTCTCAGCACAAATGACCCATCCTTTGAGATTGTGCTTGAAGAGAACTCAGCCATCAAAGCTCAGGTGGCCAAGTACGACTTGCCAACCAAACACTACTCCACCATCACGATCGATGGTCTTGAGATGAATGTCATGGAGCTGCGTCCGCCAAATTTTGATGGCTCCGGCAAGACCAAGTACCCAGTGCTATTCAATCCTTATGGAGGTCCAGCATCTCAGCAAGTGCACAAACGATTCAAGCAAGGCTGGGAGGCGTACCTTGTGTCTGATCCAGCTTTGGAGTACCTTGTTGTAACAGTCGACGGACGTGGTACTGGCTTCAAGGGCCGCTCTCTCAGAACACCCATCCGTGGTCATCTTGGCAGGTACGAGGCTAAAGACCAAATCGAAGCCGCCAAGATTTGGCAAGCAAAGCCGTACACAGACAAGAACAAATTCGCCATCTGGGGCTGGTCCTTTGGCGGCTTCTTGACGCTCAAAGTACTCGAGGCTGCGTCTGGCGTCTTTCAGTATGGGATGGCCGTAGCACCTGTGACAGATTGGCGGTTCTATGACTCGGTATATACTGAGCGCTTCATGGGTTTGTTGGAGGAGAATCAAGCAGGCTACGAAGAAACAGCCGTGACCAACATGACTGCATTCTCGGAAGCGAAACGGCTGCTCGTGATGCACGGAACAGGCGACGACAATGTCCACTACCAAAACACCTTGACATTCATCGATCATCTCAATCAAGCTGGTGTTGAGAATTACGACCTGCACGTCTTTCCAGACTCGGATCACAGCATCTACTTTCACAATGCGAATCGGCAAGTCTATCATCGCTTGACGAATTGGTTGACGCGTGCGTTTGGTAAGCGAGATCCGGCAGGTGAGGATAGATCTTGGGTTGTGCCTGCATAGTTTCCTGTAGCAGTTTAGCGTATTCCTGCTTGTTTCCTCATCGTCATTGACCGCAACTCCCGCAACCACACTCGAGCAACGAGCAACACACCATTGCAATGGCTCAGATGCTGGGCATATGCAAGGCCCTCTATGACTATGCATCGCAGCAGCCAGATCCGAATGAGGAAGATAGAGAGTAAGTATACTTACCAACATGACATGAGTTGACCCCAGATTGTCCATCGAAGAAGGCGAGCTGCTGTACATCCTAGACGAAGGCGAGGATGGCTGGTGGAAGGTGAAGAAGAAGGCCGAAGGCGATCAAGAAGAAGGCGACGACGGTCTAGTACCGGCCAACTACGTGGAACGCGTGAGTCTCCGTTAAAGTAGGTTTATCTGACAGCAGGCGCAACCCATTTCTACCGCGACGGCGTTGTACGACTATGAGCGACAAACGACAGAGGAGATCACCCTCAAAGAAGGCAGTGCTGTACAAATCTACGACAAGGATGACGCAGATTGGTATCTTGTCGGCACTGCAGGCAGTTTTGGGTTTGCTCCGAGCAATTACTTGGAAGAAGGCAGTGCTCCTTCTGCGCCGGTCGCGCCTGCTCAAGCTGCTCGACCTGCCTCTCTACTGGCTCTGCCCACGACGCTACCCATAAGAAGCCAAGCCCCTGATTTCACGGACCATACGCTTGTTGAGACGGACGAAGACGATGAAGAACCTCCGCGGCAAGCGCCACGGCCTGTCCTTCCTACACGCGTGCCGTCTGCCCCAGAAACGCCGCCCAAAACAGAACAACCTATGATGGCTCCCCGGCCGGCTCCTGTAGCCGCAGTGGCGCAGTATGAAGAGCCTCAGCAAGCATCCAAGCCATACAGGACATGGTCAGTGCAAGAGGTCGAAGGCAAAAAGAAGAAGAAGAAAGGGACCTTGGGCTTGGGCAATATGGAGATTTCATGGGCGCCAGACAAAGCATCAGAGTCAATCACGACCTGGCCCATTACAAGCATTGTGCGCTACTCAACAGAAAAGAAGCACGTTTTTATTGACTTGCAAGGACCGCCACATGGTGCGTCATTTGACTTTCATGCAGGCTCAAGCGATACAGCCGATGAGATTAGTACGTGCCTTGGAGAGTTGGTAGGTGCAGCGCGTGCGCCGGGTATTCGCGAGATTGCAGGTGCCTTGAAAGCGCCCATCCCTGACTTGCCAGAGAATTCTGGCTTAGCACGCAAGGAGAGAGAAGGTGGATTTGCATCACAGCGTCGCTCAGACGATGAAGGGGACGGTGCAGATCTGCCTAGACCTGGAGAAAAAATGGCGACAGTTATGTATGACTTTGAAGCGCAAGGCGACGATGAAGTAACTGTGAGAGCTGGTGCGCGTGTTGTGATTCTAGACGACAAGGCAAGTCGAGACTGGTGGAAGATTCGTGCTGGACGACATGAAGGTGTCATTCCTGCGGATTACCTAGAGGTGGCGGCGCCCAACAAGCAGCGTGCAACAAGTGGACAAGAGCGAACACGCAGTCGGTCTCGTGGCGGTGAGCGTGCCAAAGAGCTCAAGCCGCAAAATACAGGTGGCAAGAGTAAGCCGGATCCGAGCAAAGTGCGTTCTTGGACAGATCGATCGCGCTCATTCAAGGTGGATGCGCAACTACTTGGATGCTCAGACGGCAAGATTCATCTACACAAAGTCAATGGTGTCAAGATTTCAGTACCGGTTGCCAAGATGTGTGCTGAGGATATTGAGTATGTGGAGCACAAGACGGGTCGTTCCTTGTCTGCACCTGAACCCAAAGAGCTGGATGCGCAGGAGCTTGCGCGACAACGGGAGGAAGATAAGGAGGCGCGTCGCAGAGAAGCTGCTGCGGCGGCGGCCGCAAATAAACCTGTCTCTAGCTTTGACTGGTTTGACTTTTTCCTGGCAGCTGGATGTGATCCAAACATCTGTCAGCGCTATACGAATGCCTTTGAAAAGGAGGGTCTTGCTGAAGAGGATATGGCTGATTTGCAACCAGAACTCCTTCGCAGAATGGGATGTAAGGAGGGCGATATACTCAAAATTGGCAGACATGTGAATGCCAAGCTAGGACGCACACAGTCTCGCGAGGAGACGAGTTCACCGTCTCTGATCTCCGGACCTGGTGGTGTCCTCAAAAATAACACACGGCGTGGTCGACCAGAAAGGAACGGGCAAGTCAATGATACCGTACAAGCGAGTGGTCTCAAGATGGAAGGCTCAAGCAATGCACAAGGATTTGAGGATGATGCGTGGCAGGCTCCGAGTCAGCCTTCACGACCTGCAGTGAGTGCGAGTAAAGCGATGGATGACTTGTCACTGCTTGATCAGCCGCTGCAACCGTCGCATGCACCAGCGATAGACTTGGGACCTCTGCCGCCTGCTCAGCTTGAGGCACAACGCACTGCGGCCTCTGCTCGCTCTCAATCAGTTCCACCGCAAGCAATTGCTCAACAGCAGCAACCTGACTTGATGCAGCAAATTGCGCGCATCAAGGCACAACAAACGGCTGCTGCTGTACCTGCATTCATGCCACAAACGCAGTTTGGTAGTGCGATTGTTGCACACAAGACTGGAGGTGGTGATATCAGTCAGTTTGTAGCACCACCCCTATACCCACACCAGACTGGATATCAGCAACAGCAGATGATGATACAGCAGCAACGGCAACTGGCGATGATGCAACCGGCACCATTCCAAGATCCTTTCAAGACTGGCAGTGCTGCACCTTACCAGGATCCCTTCAAGACGGGTGCTGCACCTCAAATGACTGGCTTTGTACAACCCATGATGACGGGTTATGTTCCACAGCAGCAACAGCCAATGGGTGTATTCCAACAACAACCCATGATGGCGTTACAACCGCAGCAAACTGCATTTGGTCAGCAACAGACTGGATTCAATCCTGCGCAACCATTTGGACAATCTGCGTTGCCACCGTTTGGAGGACATATGGCACCCCAGCAGACTGGATACCTGCCACCACAACAAAATGTATTTATGCAACCGCAACAGACTGGTTTCATGCCGCAGCAGCAACAGCCGTTTGGTGGGTTTAATGGATTTGCAGGGGTTATGCAGCAACCACCAATGATGATGCAGCAACCGCAACCACAAATGAGTGCTGGTATGATTAAGATGCAGGAAATGATGGCTCAAGCACAAGCGCAGGGTGGGCAAAATACTGGTGGTGTATTTGGAAGGAGTGCATCCGCTGGTCCAAGTACAGGGCCGCGACGAGCAAATCTCAATGCAGCAAGCGCATCGAATCCGTTTGGGTTTTAGATTTGTTGTTGTGGGATCATAGTCTAGTTTTATCTATGAGGGTGCCTTGTCTCAACCCATCGACGACATCCATGATGGCCAGGGCGTAGGCTTCATCGCCACCACCTTTGAGGAGACCCATGACGTGTGAAGTCAGTTGCATCATAACATCTTCTTCGCATCGTAGACCGGCAACTGCAATAGCAGAGGTGAGTTCTCGTCCAATCAACAGAGTTGGGGAGAGGGCAGCGCCATAGCTGCCTTGGATAATGAGGTTTGCGAGGTTTGGATGGAACGTAGCAATCTTACCACGTAGCTTTGTGGCGAGTTGTTTGGGTGCGTAGATATCATCCCAAAGACCTGAGCCTGCTTCCATTTGTTGTGAGGAGGTGGTGTCCTTTGGTGTTGGCCGAAGTGGCAGCAGAATCTTTTCAATGTCTGGTTGTAGGACTTTTCCTTGAGCTGCTTGAAGGGGTGCAAGACAGAGCAAGACGCGTGGTATACCCAAGAACGGGATACATTTCAGTACAGCTTCCCTCATGGCTGCACCGATATGTGCATGCTGTGAGGCTGGAATGTGGGGATCTTGCAGGATAGACTGCCACAGACACTGTATGCCTTGGGGAAAATTAAAGCCTGTATAGCACGCAGCAAGAATAAAAGGCCAGTCATGGGCGCGATGGCATTGGAGCCTGCGTTTTGCAGCGTGGATGCTGGCGAATGTTTCTGACTGCGATTGCTGTTTATTGAATCCGCGTGGCAGCTGGATGGATTGTTTTGCAATAGCAGATTTGAGCTCTGGAGATAGAGAGGGCATGTGCTAGCTATAGACAGTATAAGCTATAGACAGTATAGCTAGTAGTGTATGTAGTCTGTAGTCTGGGGTAGTTCTGGACCGGGAGCAGCCGATCAGATGGGCAGCACGCAATAAGCAGTCACAGGCAAAACAAGAAATAAATCCAGTCACGTGCATGACCAGACAGAGAAGGAACAGAGACAGAGACAGGCAGCGACAAGCACAAGAGCAAGAAGCATTCACACATCAGCAATGGCTCCTGTCGCAAAGTCAGGACTCCCCGTCGGTGCCAACAAGGGACACATCGTCACTCCCTTCACCGCCCCAGTCAAGCCATCCCGCAGAAAGGGAGCGCTTGCCAAGCGTACGGCCTTTGTGCGTGACTTGATCCGCGAAGTCGCAGGTCTCGCTCCGTATGAGCGTCGCGTCATTGAGTTGCTCCGTAACAGCAAGGACAAGCGTGCACGAAAGCTTGCAAAGAAGAGACTCGGCACACACGGTCGTTCACAGCGCAAGATTGAGGAGTTGACCAACTACATTGCAGAGTCCAGGTACGTCTTGTGCTCTACATTCTGCAAAAAGCTAACATCTCAGGCGTGCAGGACACTAAACAGCTGCTCTTCTCGCTTTCACGACCCTCTCGAGGCACGAGCGTTGCTTCGACTTGCTCAGTCTCATACCTCATTCAAAAACATGCATATCCACAACATATCTATGCTTATGCTTCTATTCCAATGCCCTGAATGCATCACGTCCGAATCGATGCCGCCAACCAACTTGATTTACAATGTCACTCAGAAACCCTTTGACTTGCTCACTACTTCCGTGTCCGCCGACACACTTCAACACTGTAACGCCACGATGTTGTGTCACCGTCCAAATCAAGCTCTCCTCTTGTTCCTGTGCAGCGGCAGAGGCTGCGGTTGATCGAAATCCCATGATCCGTTCTTCTCCCTTGAATTTTGCCAGGAGTAGTGTGCTTGCCTTTTGTGTTTCTGGTCCAGCCAGCAACAACGTCGCAAGACAGTGTCGTCGACCAAATTGTCGTGCCATACCAGACTGTCGTTCCAAAAGCTGTGCGTCTCGCAGGAGTAGTCTGTCTTGAGAGTCACCAGCGAGGAAGATGTGATTGATGCTCTTGTAACGTTCGAATGCCCAAATCTCGCCATTTGCAACACGCCCACCCAAGATCCAATCTAGCACAATACAAGAGCTTGTCGTGTCTGCTAGATGGAAACGTTGTTCTTGATTGTACTTTGCATCTGTAAAAGGCTGTACTGGATCAGGTAGCAGGACTACAGTCGCTGCATGTGCAATCCGTACATCCAGTATCTGACGCGTCTCTCTTCTCTCGTGCTTGCTAGGGACACTTGAACTCAATTGGCCGTGTGGACGGACCTTGAAGACTTTTGTAGAACCTTGTGTCAGGAGCGCCAAAGTGGCACCTTCTCCTATCGTAGCGTCCAGTGCAATACAATCACCGCCGACCAGCCCACCACCATAAGAGAGCATGTAAATAGGTTGACATCCTTGTGATGGTTTCGGTGCAATGAGTTTTAATGGCTGGAGGTCTTAGTTTACTTTGTGTGTGTTGACGAGAGCTTACATAGGTAAAAGCGAGCTGTGAGAGGTGGAGGGTGCCATGTAGCTTACACAGTGTCAAGTGGCCTTGACCGACTTGTTCAGCAATAGGGCTAGCGGACACGTCAGAAGTCATGAGCTAGCAACACGTCTTTTAGATGTAGAGTGCATGGAATGGTCAGAGATAAGATGAGTTTTGAGATTGACTCGATTCAGGACTTGTGCCAAGATTCTTTTCTATGGTCTTTGTATCTATTGCGCTACACGGTGCAATCAGACGACATCCTAAAGACATAATAGTGTGTGCATCCAAGAGAAGGCATCGCACCAGCTCAAACCAGAGCAAGGTACCTCCAAGACTATTTTTTGGTGGCCTCAAGAATATTACAGCGCCCCCACTGGATCATGTTAGCAATGTGCAAGAAGAGCACATGAAGCGACATACAATAGTCTTCCTTCATGGTACCGATTGCGAACTGTACAACTGTGTAAGCAAACTTGCAAAAAATCACAAAAATGGAAAAGGAAGCATACAATCTCTGTTGCATCAACACGCGTTCCAACGAGCTTTAGCCGGACTTTTGAGCCGCGTTCAACTTGCATGTCATCGCCAGAGTAGTTTGGTGGATTCGCTGTAGGTTCAAACTTGAGTTCTGACGGAAGAAGCTAGACGTGTCAGCCATACGATTCGGGTCTTGCGCAAGGAATGCAGAGCCGTACATGAGTCGAGACAAATACAGACAGTGGTCCTGCATCAGCAAAGAAACCCATCTTATTGACAACCGAGACAATAGCATCCACGACTTCTCCCTGATTTGTGTAAGTCTGAAATTCTCAATAGAGCTGCAAACATACCTTGAATGGCTTCCAAACAATTGCTTGGTAGGCAACTCTGAATTCCGCTACGCCTTGACCTTGAATAATCTTACCAGGCGGTATATCAAGCGAATCTGAATTGAGGACACAAATGATGTAGCCGTATTGACCATCGCAGGTGCCTTCAACATCTGCCAGCAGTTTTGACCGAATGAAATTCCGGATATTGGGTCCAAAGAAGGACGGATGAAGCTTGATGGTGTGTGTGAGCTCGAGTAGGTAAAACATGGAGAGCTTGTGTATTGGTGTTTTTAAAAATGCAAGCAGCAAGAAGAGCGAAAAGCGATAAAAGCGAAAAGGAAGAGCGATGCGAGGGGCGATGAAGCAGAGGGAACTTTTGAGCTGTGATAGACACGAGCGAGAGGAGGCAGTAAGCTAAGGACTGCTGTGGGATGAGCCAAAAAGAGGCGGGTCTGTCGCCGAGTCGATGTATCGACACACAAGCAGGCGATAAAGTAGGCACAGCCAAGACTACTCAAAGCTGGAGATTTGAGGGACTTTGATGAGACCGAGCACGACCTGGCACTGGAGAACCTCTAGTAAAAGAGGCCTTGCAGATGAAGGATGTCGCGTTTTTGTTTTCGGTGCTGTGCAGGCCCGGGGAGGTGAAACCCAGAGGGAAACCAAGGGAAAAAGTGCTCGAGACTTTTCCTCTTGTTGTCGATGATCCCTTTCGATGACGGGCAAGCTCAGCGGATGAGAGACGCCGTGCAGGTGCGGTTGTGTTGATGGGCGGGCGATGTGCGTGGTTGCGTTTTTGCTTGTGCGCTTCTCTGCTTGCTGCTGCTCCACCCACGCGTGCACCAACACACTCATCTGCTGGTAGCGCTACTTTCTCTTCACTTGCTGCTGCCATCTGGCTGTCATCCATCTTCTAGCTAGAAATGGACCCGGCCCTCTTTTCTCTCAGAGCTCTAGCATGGCTGACGAGGTACTCTTGCTCTCAAATACATTGCTATGTGACTGACTTGATTCAGTTCTGCCATTGCTACGACAGGGGCCGTCGTTGGCCTGACCTGCTCAGCCATCATTCGTCCATTCAGCCGTCGTAGCTGCTATGATATCAACTCATTCATCGCAGGCAACCTCTGGCGCTACTTTCAATGGCTATTGTATGTCACCTCTAGAGTTCTCTCATTCTGACTCTCTAGCACTGGTCCACATAAAGCACGCATCACATTTTCTGGTGATGCATTGCCAGAAGGAGAGAACGCAATAGTCATTGCAAACCACACATCTTATTCAGACTTTCAGCTCATTCACTCTGTTGCTAGCAGTAAAAAGATGCAAGGCCGATGCCGATACTTTGCCAAGTAAGACCCTATTGCATATACAAAACTGACAAAAGGGATGAGCTCAAGTACATTCCCATCCTCGGCTGGGCCATTTACCTGTGTGACATGGTTCTCGTGTCTCGCAACTGGATCACCGACCAGAAAGAACTTCTCAATGTTTTTGGGCCAATCCGTAAGCTACGACTTCCCATGTGGCTCATTACCTACGTCGAAGGTACTCGCTTTACGCCCAAGAAGTGTAAAGCCTCGCAAGAGTTTTGCGAAAGTCGCAATAAGCCCATCTTGAAGCATGTCTTGTACCCTCGCGTTCGTGGATTCTATGCAACGGTTGAGCAATTTCGAACATCTCACATCAAGGTGGTGTATGATCTGACTCTTGTCTGGAGTAAGGACGGGAAGCTACATGCTGCCCCGACCCCTGTCGAGGTCCATGGCATCTCCGACCTCAACAAGCACTACAAGTTCCATGTCCATGTCCGGCGATTCAATCTGCAGGATCTGCCACAGGACGAGGCAGCAGTCGCTGGATGGCTCGAAAAGAGGTGGGTAGAAAAGGACCAGGTGCTCGAGGCGTTTGCACAAGACTTTGAAGGAGCACGAAAGACATATAAGGCATTCGATATGTAGGCCCTGAACCTATAGATGGATTCCTGTACATCCATGCTATGATGATGTCAAAGACGTTGCGTTGAGTGCTGCTGCCAGGTTGCGCTCGATAGCATCATCCAACGCTGAGACTGGCTTGGCGTCCTTGTCTGAAGCAGCCTCATCATCTTCCTCTTCGTCCACGTCTGCGGCTTCATCCTCCTCATCGCTGTCCTCTTCCAGATCATCGAGCTCGTCAAGCTCACCCACGCCACGTTCTTCGAAAAGAGCTTGCAGCTGTTCAATGCTTCCATCCTCTTCAGCAAACTTGTTGCCATTAAGCTCCACGAGCGCCACGACGGGCAAACCTTGCTTCGCAGCCAGCACCAGTGCCTCCAAGCCTTTTGCATCAATCTCATTGTACTGCAACCGGAGTGTCTCTACTTTTGCATTTTCACCCTTGGCGAGTGCTTCAAAGACATTGATGCCGCCTCGCGCAGAAAGCAAGCAGTCACCCACAGCCAGCTCTCGGAGACTCGGCCATTTTGGCAATGCAGCAGCCAGCGCTGCAGAACCACGCTGTGTAAAAGTATTATCCTGCATGTCCAAACACTCAAGTACGGTACAACGACTCAATCCATCCCGCATGAGTCCTTCAATCCCTTCTGGCCGAATGCCATTTTGTGGCATCTTGACCGTTTTGAGAGTCTCTGCGTGCTGTGTAAAGCATGCCACCCAGCTACTGCAACTGCCATTCTCGAGACGATTACGACCACAGATGAGTGTCTCGAGTTTTGCGTCCGTGTTGGCGGCCAATGCGCGAGCCATACGAGCGCCTGCTTCAGGTCCCATTCCATTATTTTGCAAGTACAGATGCTTCAAGGGCTTGTGCTTTGTGAAGAAGTCTTCGAGTGGCGTTGCAGCAGTGGGTCCGAATGCATTGTCACACAAGTTGACGGTGTGCAGGTCTGGACATTGCAAGAGAGCACCGAGGAGATGTGTCAAGGCAGCAGGAATCTCTTCGCGTAGACGACCAGTAAAGATGTCGGCCATTTGTGCATTCTGTTATTAGATGCGTAGCTTATTAGCAGACATACCTCGAGCTTCCGCTTATCCTTGAGCACGGCAGCAAGCGCTTCAGAGGCTTCTACGCCAAATGTATTTCCCGAAAGGCGGATTTCTGTCACATCATCCTGGAGGTCTTTGAGAAAGGGCTCGATGTCAGATGCCGTATTGAACTTGATGCCTTTGCCCTCTAGCGAGAACACAGAGGCCGTCATGTGTACAGATGTCGTTGGCGTGTTGATGGTTGGTTGCTCAAAGTCGGCGCGTCGAAACTCAATCTGCGACAAGAAAAGAGACAGTCACATCGCAGAAGGGACACGTATTAGATTGCGATGACTAGACCAAGACCTACAAGACATGAGATGACGCTCCTCAAATGTAAGACAAGAGTGTACAGGCTCTTTCATTAAATGCAATGCACCAACCTTTTTCAATAACCGCTCTGCTACAAGGCCTTATTCAAGCCGGGCTGCTTTGCGGGGAGACGAATGGGTAGTCACAGGTGTGACAGGTTGCGACCAGTTCCCATGTTGCCGAGCAGATCGTTCCGCTGTTGCTGCTTCAAGCTGCACCGAGTCACTTTCAACACGCAATGCCGGTCTCGTTGCAGAGGAAGCATTGCTGCTTGCGGTCCCCTGTGAATCTTGTGGACGCCGAGTAATGGCCTCGACTGTATGACTCGATACTGCTGTACGCGTCGCCAGCTTTTCCTCACATCGCTTGAGAATGTCCTTTGTTGTCAAGTCTGCCGAACCGGAAAACAAGCTTGTGTCTGCCAAGATGGTCATCAAGTCGTCCGGCACGACGGAAAACTCCTCGCTGTACTTGATCATGGCATACACGGCCTCGATCGCAGCAAATGAATCATCCATGTTGTTTGCTTTGCCATTGGTGATGCGTGAATACAAGATATTGGGAGCAACAACGGTGGCGAGGTTGTGCTCATCCATCTTGCTGCCAGACTCTTCATCAACATGAGCAAATTGCGCGACCCACGCAAGGAAGGAGAGCACCACTTCCAACGTATCTCGATGTGCCTTTGGCAGCAGGCAACATGTCAGATGCATGATACGATACCTGACTTCCTCACTCTCATGCCGTTGAGACAGGACAAACAGCTTGTGCAGCTTGAATGTCATGAGTGGATCTGGCAAGTCTCGCAAAAACTTTTTGAGCAGAGCCGCAAGCTGAACGGGTGTCTCTTCAGCAAAGTTGACGCTATTGCTGCCCTTGTCAATAGCTTCACTGAGATCCTTGAGGCGCCGAATGTTGCCGTTCTTGCGAAAGACACCCTCAATAGACATGTCCATACCTTTCATTGCCATGATCAAGTCATCCACAACATCCGGGATGCGCAACTGACCAGGACCATTTCCCAGTGTGCTTTCAACAGCATTCCGCTCAACCAGCATTTCTAGAGGAATCTCAAAGGTACCCTTCTTTTTGGTCTTCTTTTCATCCTTGGGTGGCTTGAAGGCTTTACCAAACTTGCCCCAGAATCCACCTTTGCGCGTTTCAATGAGATCAAGAAGCTCCTCCATATTGTAGTAATCTCGAACAAGCGGTTCGAGCGACAAGACGGCGATATGCCGTACAATGAAGGCTTCAAGGGCAGACAACTCTGAAAAATACGTCTTTGTGCGCATACCAAGCGACAGCATCGATTCATTCTGACTCGACAATTTCTTGCGTAGATTGTCAGGACCCGACAAGTCACCTTCGTGCCGCAGTTGTTCACTCGAGCTCTTCTTGAGGGGTGAGCCTGGTTTTCCTTTTGGCTTGCGCAGAAAGGAGATGGGTCTTTTTTGCTTTTGTTGTTCAGTTTGAACGAGTTTGCTGAGATCGTCAAATGTAATGCTGCGTTCTTTTGGCATTCCACCTACTTGACCATTGCTAGTCTGGTCATCGATCAACTCCGCAGGACTTGAATTCATGTCTGATGGTCCACGCTCGTCGCCATGGTGTAATTGTCTTGCTTTGGGTGGTTGGGTTGACTGCGGTCGTTTCATGTGCGTTGATCGTAATCTTCTGATATCGTTCAATGTGGTTGCATACGACGCAGATCCATCTGCATGGGTATCCTCTGCATCGAATGATTTTGAACGGCCTTCAGGTTGCAGCTTGCCCGGTGCAGGTAGATCAGCGCCATGACCACTCGACGAGTCGTATTCCTTGAGATTTGGATCTTCTGCACGGTTAGCATGTCCTTGTCCAACAAATTGTAACAAACCTGATGTATGTGGTAAAGAGTGACCCGTCTTGAGCGTTCCATAGAGTCTCGATAATGCGGCATGCAGCAAAAAAATGTACTGAGATAAACGACTCACATACACGAAGCTTTCCCGTGAACCAGGTCGAGCACTCGCACACGCCGCACAGGTGACATGTCCTTGCTGCCGATTAAATTGCGCATCCGACCATTCACGCTGTAAATCACGATGACAATATGCGCAACGCATACAAGCGAGATGGAATCGTAATGGACCTGTTTTGACGCATGCTTCATCGATGGCTTGTCGACAAGCAAAACAGCATTCATCAAATTGCTCTCTCGTGTGGCGTTGTTGGTCGGTATTCGCTGCAACGCCATTTTCTGGCAAATACGGGGATGGAAGGGAGTGTGCCACTGCTTCACGGCTGAGACTGTCGAGTTTTGTGAGGTACGTGCCAACGGCTTTGGTGTCTCCGCGATCTCGTTCCAGTTTGAGTGAGCCAGTCAGGGAAATGCGAATGAGGAGTTTGAGGTAGTGCGCGAGACCGGTTACAAGGGACAAGAGTTCTTGCGTGATGCCCAATTTGCGAACCCCGACTTCTTGCGTTTTTGCAAGGAGCGTAAAGAAGGCAATCACTTTTTTACAGAGCATTTTCGCTTCTCGACTGTATGGCAAGCCCTTGCCACTGCTTTGAACGAGGGCTGCTTCGAGATGATCGAGTGCAGAGAACAAGACTTCGACGTGTGCGATGAATTTGACGGCAACGAGTACACCGTCGATGTACGCGCCATTCGATACATTCAAGAGCATATCGCTAATGCACGCGGCACTCGATTCTTCAAAACCCGACAAGACATTCCAGATTTGATTGACTTTTTCCTCCATCTGTGCTTCCCGTTGTTTTGCTTCTTCCGCTGGTAGTTGGGCAAACTCCTTTGTGAGACGTTCTTCCTCTGATCTCGAAGCGAGCTTGACATTCCAAAACTTTTGAATCATATAGCATTCTGGATGCCAATGCTGATCCACACCATGCCGTTGAATTTCCACAAATTGCTTGAGGATGGACGTCTGACAGCCATAACATTTTTGTGCAAATTTGAGGGAAAAATGGTAATGGCACAAGACATTCCCTTCATGCTCATAGTATGAATCTTGCGCGCCAAAGACTGTGGGACAGATGCTACACGTAAAGTGTTCGAGATGGAATTTCTTGTCGAGGGCCGTGATGTAGGAACCACGGAGTGCACCTTTGCATGTATGACAGAGCAGATTGAGACGACGAAAATAGTCGGTTTCGCAGAGGGGTCTTTGGTGGCCTGGCCGATCCGGGTCATCGAGCGGGAAGAACTTGGCGGCCACGGTCGTTTGACAGTCCTGAAATTGTTAGCAAGCTTGAATGTTGCATAGAGCTTGCATACGCCGCATCTGAAGCAGTCGAGGTGGTAGATGCCGCCCAGCGCCCGTACAAACTGGCCTAAGTCTATTAGCGCGTTCCTTTGCTTATAGGTAGCATAAGAACATACCTGTCATCTGTAAGCCACAATGACTACAGAGTTGTCTGCTGCGATCCGCGCGATCTCCTGCATCATTGCTTTGTCTCGCTTGAGACCCGACATGGTGTTGTGCTTCGTTTGTTGTGCCAAGGGTGAAGCCAGCAACGGCTTCATGAAGCTCTTGTCTAGGCTTCTCTGCCATAGATGGCGCGCGACGAGGAGAGGTAGAGGGGTCTTGTGTATTGTGTGTGAGGGTGCGTCAAATTACCTAAAATCGAGCGCAACCCCCGGCCTCGCGTGTAGGGGAGGACGAGTCAAGAGCAGGCTATCTCTGAGTGCCGGAGTGAGAGCGTGGCCGCGGCTCCTGTATGCAGTGGTTGAACGTGGTTGTGTGTGTCGCGACCAGCAGTTCAGCGGGGGCCCTTTGTCGCTGTTGTGAATATTGTTTGTCTGTGCAGCTGGGATGTGCCGAGCGTCTAGTTCACCTAGAGATGCGGGTGCTGTGCTTGCCCGTCTGCAGGATTGTGTGCAGTGCCCGATGGTGTTGCGGCCTGTGTGTATTGATCTCTGTCTGCCTCCTCTCAAACTCCAAATTCCCTTCCCTCTTTCCCTTGCTCTCCCTTGCTCTCACTTCCTCTCTACCTGTCTCTGCCTGCCTGTCTGCCTTTCCCTTTCTCTACACGTGTTTTGGGTCAGGGGAAATGTGCTGCTACACCCAAAGCTACAACTGGAGCATACTACTGAAGCACACTACTGCCTACTGCCTAGTTATCTATCGCTGCTATTATTGCTATTGCTCAACTCTACACGCTACATTCAACAAGGCCAGTTGTCATCGCTCACAACCTCTCATCAAGACCCGACTCCTTGTACAACTGACAAGGCCAAGCCATCCATAACAGCTACTGATATAATGCTCACAGAGCGCCATATCCAAGGCTTACGCTCTCCAAACTCAACCACAAAAGAACGCGTCGAAGCCTTTGTTGCGCAGATGAGGCCGTCCAGTCCAAGCGCAAGCCTAGACTCACTACACTTCTCATCACCGACAGCCTCACAGCGCCAGCAAGCTGAAGCGGCAGCAACACAAGCCATGTCTTGCTCACCCAAACAGCCGCAAGAAGTGCTAGAGCATAGACCATCACCAGCACACTCAGCGACACTCAGTCCGCCTGACGAGCCTGGCAAGCGCAAACCTCCTTCAGAGGACGGTTCTCTTCTTCAACCATACTACGCCCTCGCACACTGCCAGCTCGTCCCAGATGCTTGCGCAACACAACATACAATCGACTCGATACAGCACATCAGCACACCACAGCCCTATCAACGTCGACCGCGCGCAAAACCACGCAAGAGAGATGCAGATGGTCGTATCCTTCCCAAGACACCGCCACCGAAAGGAACCCGCACACGACGCCCTAAACCAGCGACTATTTTGGCAAAGAAATCAACATTACCTGGTGCATCACAACCATCGAGATTCGTCAATACAAGTCGGCGTGTCACGGTAAGTGTTGCCTACAAACCAGCAAACGCTGATGTGTAGCTGCCGCAAAAGTATTCAAGCATGTCAAAACACGCTAAAGCAGGCGGTGTTCCAGATTTGACATTTCCAAGCATGCAGACTTTTGCGAGACGAACAGATGATGCAACGTTGCCAGTACAGGAGAATGCACCAACTTCACGTTCAGCAACGCCTATTACTTGGTCGAAATCACCCTCGATACGTGAACCGAGCGCGTTGCCATTCCTTGCCTCTGTGCCGGCGGTCGGTTCAACGAGATTGACGCATCCACCTCCTACCTTGCTGCAGTCAGCAGTCCATCGCCCAAGCGTAGAGAGGCAAAGCAGATCTGCCGTCATGGTTTCCTCAGAGCCACCTGGTATCGACGCAAGAGACGAAAGAGCTCTACCGAGATATCCACTTAGAATCAGGACACCACCGTCACCTGTCCTGCCAAATATCTTTACGCATCGCCGCTTACCCACGCCAAAGCCAGTGCAGCACTCGCACGCTACCGTGGTAGAGTACGATCCTGGCTATGCCATCCATGCAATGCGAGCCTACCCAAACGAATCGTATAGAGCGTCGACTGCTCATGGACGGCAGTGCTCCGATCTCGAGTATGACTGCGAAGAGGAGGAACACCTTACACAGAGCGATTTCTATCCGCAAACGGCACAGTCAGAGGCGCCGGTCGCTTTCTGGAGACCCTTTCGACGTGGCTAATGCTCCCTCCGTATGCATGATTTGATCGCGAAACTCCGTAGCCTGCAACAACAAAAGGTCTTCAGGTAACTTGCATCATCAAGCTCCAAGAGAAGCCAATGCCTTTTTCAGCTCAGCGATACCAGTCTCGATATCCTCGAAATTCAAAGCGCTGACTGCCCATTTTGTGTGTTTGATGGCTGCATCGATATCATCCTGTGATACTTCTTGAACCGGCTCGATGAGTGCAGGTGCTGGAGGCATATTCACGACAGGTATATTGGCAGGTACGTTCAGTTGCTTGGTTGGCGGTGGCGAAGAGGGCCGAAGAATGGATGCACCATAGGACTCAGGCGAAGTGCTCGCAGGCGCAATCTCTTTGTCGTCTTCAACGGAGGGAAAGTAGGGATTGGTGGCTGATAGATCACGCATTGTCTCTGGTTGCAGCGTCGACGGAGCACTGACATCTGCACCTATACTTGCGTCTTGAACAGTCCCTTGCATCAGCGCATCCAACTCTGCCTGTTCTGCTACGGTCGGTGCAGCCGCTTCAACAGGCAACGCATCACGTCTCTTCTGATTCGGATCCTTCCCAGCTGCAAAAGCAGATTGAATACGCATTGCTTGGACCTTTGCATACTTGCGCTTATCAGCCAACTCCTTCTCCACAGCACCGAAACAACTGCACAGCTCAAGGAAACCCGCTGCAGCAAGGAATTTGGCTGCCGTAGATTGTGTTGCTCGAGCAGCTTTCTCCTCACGATTAGCATTGTCAAACACTTTGAGGGCAAATGAAGTGACTTTTGACTTTCCTGCTGCATCGTCTTCAATCTCAGTGAGACCCTTGTGCTTCTTTCGCATAGATTCTAGGCCATCTAGTAGAGAAGAGAGGTAGCCATCCACTGCTGCACTGCGAACTTTTTGAGCAACAGCTTTTTGGACAATATAGTAGCGTGACCAGTACGCAATAGCAGGCTCGATCTGTTCTAGCTCATCGGCACGCGTCGCTATAGGACGTAGATGTTTTAGCTCTTCAGGAAACGACATGCTGAGGCTTTCAGCACAAAGCCTGGCTGTCTAGCACAGTTCAGCAAGATCCAGCTCTAAAAGTGTGCTGGTGTGCGTCAGAATCTGGGGGGAGACAACGCACAAATGCAGCTCATCATCCGCAGCAAAAGGCACGACCAGCCCTGACACTAACTATTCCTTGCCCGGCTTTAAGCACGCATCCAGTTTTAGACCTCTCTCAGCAATCTACCTTCCTTCTTGGTCATCCCTGGTATCAATCACTGGTCCGCTCACCTTTCATGAGACTTTATGCGCTCTCGCTGCTGGCAGTGTTCGCATCAGGCTATTCAGCAGCGGCACATACAAGGCCCAGAGACTATGAGCATCGCGATTACTACGCGCTCGAGCTAGCGCATGGAGCGAATCTTGATGATGTCCTCAGGAATCTTGGCGCAACCCTCGAACATCCCTTTGGCACGCTGCCGAATCATTATATGGTCTCTGTAGGGAAAGAGAATGGCTTGCATCTACATAAGCGAGATGATAGGGTGCCTTACTTGATTCCACAATTACCACGGCAACGCGTCAAGCGAGGTGCTGTACCTCGGCAAACTGTGGATCAGTCGGCGGTGCAGCTGGATGAGAGTAAGGTTCTTGTTGACTTCATCACAGGTGTACAACAGCGGCAAGATATTCACGATCCGATACTCTATCAGCAATGGTATCTATTCAATAGGCGTGATGCAGGGTTGGATATCAATGTGACGGGTGTCTGGGAACAAGGCATTCTGGGGAAAGGCGCCGTTGTTGCCCTGATTGACGATGGTATCGACATGAACTCGGAAGATCTTGCGGCGAATTACTATGCAGAGGGTTCTTATGACTTCAACGATCACAACCCGGTACCGGTACCAAAGTTGTTTGATGATTATCACGGCACACGGTGTGCTGGCGAAATTGCAGCCGTACGCAATGATGTGTGCGGTATTGGTATTGCATATGAAGCCAAGGTTTCTGGCTTGCGCATATTATCTGGTGTCATTACTGACGGCGATGAAGCCATCTCCCTCAACTATGACATGGAAAACAATTGGATTTATTCTTGTTCCTGGGGACCCACCGATGATGGCAAGACGATGGAAGGTCCACATGATCTCATCAAGCGTGCTATAGTTCATGGTGTGCAAGAAGGTCGAGGCGGCAAGGGCAGTATCTTTGTCTTTGCAAGTGGCAACGGCGCCATGTATGGCGATAATTGCAATTTCGATGGCTACACAAACAGCATCTTCAGCATCACCATTGGCGGTATCGATCGAGTCGACCGGCATCCGTCCTACTCTGAACTCTGTGCAGCACAGCTTGCAGTCACCTATTCATCAGGCGCTGGTTCTTATATCCACACAACCGATGTCGGTGGCAAGTGCGCCACCTCTCATGGTGGAACATCCGCCGCTGCACCCATTGGCGCTGGCATCTTTGCACTCGTCCTTGGCGAGCGTCCAGATTTGACTTGGCGGGATTTACAGTACTTGTGCATGCAAACAGCCATACCTATGGACCTAGAAGATACAGACTGGGAGGATACGCCAGCTGGGTACCGATTTAATCACAAATACGGATATGGAAAGATGGACGCCTGGGCGATCGTCGAAACGGCCAAGACGTGGAACTTGGTGAAGCCGCAGTCTTGGTTTAATACCCCTAAAATCGTTGTGGAAACACTGCTGGGTGATGCAGAGCACAAGGAGGTCAAGTCTACCTTCGAAGTGACCCAGGATCACCTCAAGGAAGCCAACCTTGAACGAGTCGAGCATGTCACTGTGACGGTCAATATTCAGCATCAACGGCGTGGCGATGTGACTGTAGACCTCTACTCACCCCATGGAATCCGCTCAAGCTTGGCGACGATGCGATCAAGGGATGTGGCAGATACGGGCTTTGTCGATTGGACATTCATGACAGTCAAACACTGGGGTGAAGATGGCGTGGGCAATTGGCAGCTCGTGGTTGGTGATCATGAGGAAAATAGCCAATCTGGCAAATTTTTGGACTGGACCATGACGCTATGGGGCGAATCTCGAGATGCAACAAAGGTCAAGAAGCTCCCAATTCCAGGCGAAGTGGTACAAGAGCCAGTGGCGACAACATCAGCGACTGTGGAGGTCACATCCAAGCCGACTCTGCCGAAAGTGGCGCTTCCTACCAGTACGCCCGATATGCCAGTGCCTGATCGGCCGATTGTTGAGAAACCGGAGGAAGCGCCAGCATCGCACAACAAGGAACCGGAACCCATGCCGACCACCATCATTCAGCCTCTGCCGGATGACATTCAAGACGAAAAGAAGCCTTTGAAATGGTCTTCAAAGAAAGCTGTATGGATCTACGTGGCTGCTGCTGCGAGTGTTGCGTTCGTTCTGTTCGTGGCGCTCTTCTGGTGGCTCTATGCACGGCGTACGCAAACCGTGTCGCGCGAAGACTATGAGTTCAAGGAGCTGCGTGCGTCGGGCGGTCAGGCTGGTGAGCTGTACGATGCCTTTGCAGTGAATGACTCTGATGATGAATCAATACAAGACCTGGACGAGCTAGATCCACTCGCCGGGAGACATTTATAGGACTTGGTAGAGCTTTCTGCTCATCTGAACTTCCTTCTCACGTGAATTTGAAGCTGGCAACTGAACCACAGTAGCAGCGTCATGGTCGCATCCTCATAGCAACACGCCCAGCATGCGGCTCTGGAGGATAGGCTACTGGCTGGCTGGTCTATGTGCCCTGGGAGAGGCAGCAAAGGGCCCCGTTGTCAAGAAGACGGGGTTTGACACATTGCCCCAGAGATATACATACTTTGAGGACAGTTCCGTCATACTATACCACGACGGCCGGCATGGCAGACTATTGCGCTCAGAAGACGATGGCGTCAATTGGAAGCCAGTCGAGAATGTCCCTGATAAATTTGTCACAGGCATCTTGTTGCATCCATTCAGTGACAAGGTAGCATTTGTCATGGGACCCGACAAGGTACATTACAAAACGACAGATCGTGGTGCTTCATGGAAGGAATTCAAGACGCCATTGCCGCAATCTCAAGTACAGACGCCACTCGCGTTCAATGCGAAAAAGCACGGTCATATCTTGTTTGCCGGTGAAGAGTGCGACGGCAAGGGTGGCTTCTGGGGTCGGCACTGTTACGACACGACGTACTACACAACAGACATGTTTGACAGTAAGCCAAGCAAGATGCGCGAGCATACACAAAACTGTATCTTTGCGAGATCTACAAAGGTCTTCAAGGAAGGCGCCAAGGATGCAGTGCTGTGCGTTGACGAGGATGCTGACTCGAAGCAAAAGTTCCCGCTTAACCTGCGGCTTATGGCTTCACACGACTGGTTCAAGACAGAGACGCACATTTCAAGCGACAATGGCCCTATCCGTGGTGTGATTGGGTTGGGAGCGGTGCAGACTTTCATTGTTGCTGCTACCAGGTCGCCAGGCACAGATGAGATGGTGCTTTATGTGACCGACGATGGTGAGTTGTGGGACGTGGCTCAATTTCCGCATGATCAAGATGGACTTAAGGAGGATGCATACACCATTCTCGAGTCGCGGCCTTATGGCATCCAGGTTGACGTGCAGCAAAGCCATTCATTTGGAGCTCTCTTTCTGTCAAATTCGAATGGCACTTACTTCACGAAGAGCATTGACTTCACCAATCGCAATGACCTGGGCATTGTCGACTTTGAGAATGTTGCCAACGTGGAGGGCATTGTCCTTACCAATATTGTCTCCAACCACAAGGAAATGTCCAAGAGTCGCTCAGTGAACAAGAAGCTGCAGTCACGCATCTCATTCGATGATGGCCGGAAATGGCAGCCACTCAAAGCTCCAGAGGACAGTAAATGCAAGGTCAGCGACGAGGATTGCTCGCTTCACCTGTATTCTGCGGCCGCACCTCACAATGCCGGTCGAATTTTCAGCAGCACAGTACCAGGCATTTTGATGGGTGTGGGTAGTGTTGGCGAGTACCTGCTTCCGTACGACGAATGTGACTTGTTCATTTCCGAGGATGCCGGTGCGACCTGGCGCTTAACGAAAAAAGAAGCTCACAAGTACGAATGGGGAGATCAAGGCAGTGTTCTTGTTGCTGTATTTGACGAGGACGCTACTGATAAAGTCTTCTACTCCTTCAATAGAGGAAAAGACTGGGATTCAATTGACCTTGGCATCAAGGTGCGTGCGCGGATCCTTACCACGACACCCGACTCGACCACTGAAAAGTTTACGCTTGTGGCAAGCCGGGGCAAGGGAGAAGAAGACGAAAACAACGCATACGTCTTTTCGATCGACTTTACCGGTATGCGCAGCAACAAATGCAAGCTCGATAAAACGGACGACAAGGAGAGTGACTTTGAAAAGTGGTACGCTCGCTACGATCCTGTTGGCAATCCGACTTGTTTGATGGGCCACAGACAATTCTTTTGGCGGAAGAAAGCGGATCGCGATTGCTATGTCGGCGAGATATACGATGACCCTGCAGCTTACGAAGAAGACTGTCCCTGTACCGACACTGACTTCGAGTGCGACTACAATTTCGAGCGCAAGGACGGAAAGTGTCTGCCGGCCAAGCTGTCTCTCATTAGGCCAAAAGATGCTTGCAAGGACGGTGCCAAGACGTTCGAAGGTCCAAGTGGCTACCGACTCATCCCTGGAAACACTTGCAATAGGGAAAAGGGTGTCACTATGGATGCGCCGATTGAACGTGACTGCGAGGGCGGCGATTCACCTGAAGGAGACGCCCCGGAAGCAGATGGCAAGATCATCACCAAGACGACCGACTTTGACGGCCACGTTCGACAGTATTACTACTTAGAGCGCTCGGAGACTTCTTCTGGCAGTGACGAGACCATCATCATGGTGCTTGACAGTGATCATGTGTACAAGAGTCATGACGGTGGCAAGGTTTGGGAGCAAATACTCAAAGACTCTTCAATCGTCGCTGTTGTTCCCAACAGACACTTCAAGGACAGGGTGTACTTCTTCACCTCTGGTAAAGGAGCCTTCTATTCAAAGGATCGCGCCAAGACAATCACACCCCTAGAGATGCCATCGCCACCCAATAGACATGGCAAGGATATCCTCGACTTTCATGCCGCCAAGTCAACCCGTATGCTGTTTACGGGCGAGATGGGCTGTGAGTCCAAAACCGAGGGCGAGTGTCGTCCGACCTCCTTTTACACAGAAGATGGTGGCGAGTCTTGGGATAAGCTTCTTGATTATACAGATGATTGTCGCTATATTGGATCGACCAAAGTTCAGGCGGACTCCAAACTCATCTACTGCTCTGCCTGGGTACCAGAATCAGACACGGATGCCTTGCAGCTCTTTTCCTCGGTCGACTACTTTGAAAATACAGTTACGTTGTTTACGAGTATTGTTGGCTTTGCCGTCTTTGAAGAGTTCATTGTTGTTGCAGAGATTGCTGAGGGCAAGCAGTTGCAAATGCAGTCATCTATTGATGGTGAAACCTTCGCTGTTGCACAATTTCCTCCCAAATTCTCAGTTGATCATCAGCAGGCCTTCACAGTGCTCGACTCTGTCACAAAGGCCATCTTCCTACACATCACGACGAATGCCCACAAAGGCCAAGAATGGGGATCTGTACTCAAGTCCAACTCGAATGGTACCTATTACGTTACCTCGCTTGATTTTGTAAATCGCGACTCGAGTGGCTATGTCGACTTTGAAAAGTTGCAAGGCTTGGAAGGCGTCGCTGTGGTGAATACTGTTGCGAATCATGCAGATGTGCTCAGCAAAGGTGTGCGCAAAGCTCTGCGTACGCAGATGACGCACAACGATGGCGGTGTTTGGAACTACTTAACCCCACCAAAGACTGACTCGGAAGGCAAAGGCTTCAGCTGTGCAGGCAGTCTCGACAAGTGTTCGCTGAATTTGCACGGCTACACTGAGCGTGCTGATGTGCGGGACACCTACTCCTCTGGCTCAGCTGTTGGAATGATGCTTGGTGTTGGCTCTGTCGGATCTGAAGTCTCAAGCTACGAAGAGAGCAATACATTCATCAGCTCAGATGGCGGCATCACTTGGCGAGAAGTGCACAAGGGACCCTACCAGTGGGAGTTTGGAGACCAAGGTAGCATTGTTGTGGTGGTCAAGGATGGTGAGCCGACGGATCGTGTGCTCTACTCGACCGATGACGGCGCTTCCTGGCAAGAACACATTTTTGCTGGCGAAAAGATGCTCATCCACGACATTTCCACGGTCCCGTCTGATACGAGTCGCCGATTTCTGCTTTATGCCAAGCCAGAATCAAGCAAAGACGAGATGCGTACCATCAGTCTCGACTTTGCCGGTTTGACGGACCGGAAATGTGAGCTCGACGAAAACGACAAGAGCCATACTGACTTTTACCTTTGGACGCCATCGCATCCATCCAACGAGAACAAGTGCTTGTTCGGTCATGTTGCCGAGTATCATCGCAAGGATCCTGCCAAGACGTGTTATGTTGGCAGCAAGATCCCTGCGCTACACAAGGTCTTGCAGAACTGTACCTGCTCTCATTATGACTTTGAGTGCGACTTCAATTATCAGCGCGCTTCAGACGGAACCTGCCAATTGATTCCAGGGCTGGCGCCACCAGATCACGCGCAGATTTGTACACAAGAGGGCGTTGTTGACTGGATGGAACCTACTGGCTACCGCAAGATTCCTTTGACGACGTGTACTGGCGGTCAAGCAGTCGACGAAGGCACGCGGCATCCTTGTCCCGGACATGAAGAAGAGTTCCGCAAGTCTCGGAAGCGTCTGGGTGGATTTTGGTTATTCATGCTGGTTGCATTGCCATTTGGCTTGGCTGGGTGCGTCGGTTACATTGTCTATCAGCGCATGGGATACAGTCAATTGGGTCAAATCAGACTTGGCGATGATGCGCTTGGTGCAGGTCCAGGACGGCCCTCAGCGGCAGATTTGCTGGAGTACCCTATCATTGCGATTTCTGCGGTGGTTGCACTCTTGTCTGCAATACCCATGATGGCGAAACTGACCTATGGGGCAGTGTCACGTCGCTTTGGTCGGTCGAGTCCCTTTGACTCGCGCGGTTCATTTGCACGCAGCGGGTATGACCCACTGGCTCGGGAAGATGCTGGTTTATTGTCGGACGATGATGACTTGTAATGGCTAGCTTAGGATGGCAAAGATGATGATATGTGCATGATGAGGAACAAGCGCTATAAATGAGATGCTGATGCAATGTAATCATTATTGTTCTTTGGCACGCTGAACTTGTGACGGCGCGTTTGGTAGTACGACATCGGAGAAATCATCTTGCTTGACCGCTGTGATGGAGTAAGTGTCTTTGTTGTTAGTCTTGAGCCGAACGTGTGTGACTTTGCCTTACAGACTGAAGCGATGAAGCCGACGAGGGCAAGACCGATGGCCGCATTGCCGAGTTTGTATGGACTGCGTGCCCGCTTCAGCGCGTCCGAAACACCGAAGCCGCGCGGATTGTGGTAGGAGTGTGTCCCTTGGGCCATTTGTATTGCACAGCAATGGAGAGTACCCTTGTACGTCGCTGTTCAGGGCGCCTCGTCGCATCTGTCGCAGGTCGGCAGCGTGGGAAAATACAACGACCACCACGAACACTCAACGACCAGCTCACAGTCTGCTCACTCTCCCCCTTCATCATCTCCAGACAGTAGCCTGCTGGGCGCGTCCGCGTGACATTGTAGCTCGACATCAGACTCAGAGAAGGTGGTGTGTTAAGTTCCGGCGGAGAAGGGAGCAAAGCGCAAGGGAGAAGAAGCCGTGATCAAATTCTGATTGTTTCGTACCTTGGAAGCATCTGCAGACGTATCGACACGCGCACTAGTCAGGGACTGCCGACAGAATACAACGCGCAGTTCATAACAGATGAATGCTGTTGCGTCAAGACTCAAGCAGCTTCAACAAGCGAAAGACCTCGTCGACAATGATCCGTCCTTCTTTACACAGATAGTCGTCGGCTTATTGCCTTTGACGAGCGATCCTGAAGTCGTTGTTCAACGATGGGTTGCCGACTTTCTTCTTCAAGCCTTTTCGAGCGTGCAATTAGATACAGAGGCCAAGTTGGATTTGTCACTCAAATGCCTCGAGACACTGTGCACGCTCATGGTACAAGGGCGCGATGTACCAACGACAAAGAGTGTCATTCAGGCTGCAACAATTGCCTATCCGCTTCTCTTCCGACATGTGTATGTAGTCTCCACCACAACATTGCCTGACTCGTCTGGCTTTGATGTGCTGCCTTTCAGGTACGCCGCCAACTTCAAGATGGGGCAGGGGAATGCGACCACTGCAATTGAACAAAGCTGACCATTTTACAGAGCCTTACATCCACAAGCAAGTGAGATTTGGAAACGTACATCGGCCCTGAAATCAGCCATCATGGGCTACTGGGATGGTGCACACGAGGGCCTTCGTGTCTGCTGCTTCAAATTCGCTCAACGTGTGATTGCAACGCAAATGAAGGGTGCCAAGGATCCACGACTAGCAGATAAGTTGGATATATCCTTGCTGCTCGTGCAACCACAGCACCCGCTATTGCACGAAACAGAGTTGACTGCTGAAGCGCAGGGTTTGCTGGACCGGATGTGCTTCACCCTGACTGACCAACCAACGTATGTCTGCTGATCCCTTGTGTATGATTTGCTGACGTGCAGTATTCCTGGTATATTAACGGCTTGCATCAACTGTCTCTGTGTACTAGTCAAAATTCGACCCAGTGCTGCAAACAAGATCATTAGCGCTATACTAGCACTGGATACAAGCAAGCTCGTGGAGCAAGATGGTACTATGAAGGCCAAATTGCAAGCCAAGTTTGTTGATAAGACTATTCGACTTGCTCTGACACATCTCCTCAAGTATGCTTCATCCTGCTATGAGCTCAACTAACAAGCAGACACAATGCCGCTGGTCCACTTGGCAACCGCATACAACAAAACCTCCTCGGCACCGCACGCAGAGATGAAGAGCTGAACAAGAAGAGAGCCGCTGTCGAAGCGACCGATCCAACAGCTAAACGACTGAAACTCGGTGATGCCGTAGATGGTCGCGGCACACCCACTCCCAATGTCCTATCCATCCCGCCACTACCAGAAGGTCCTGTGTCACTGGCAACTGTATTCAATTTGGCTAATGACAATGCCTTGGCTGCCTTTGACGTCCATCAACTGCCTTCCCATCTCGTCAATCAAATCGTATTGGCATCCCTTGCCGCTGTTGACTTGGAGAAATTGGCTGCTGCCGTGCAGACAACACGCGATCGGTATGCAGCTGTTCAACTTCGTGCTTCAGCAGCTGCTACAACAGCCACTGATCTTGTTCCGGGTAAGTCTGCGGATACGTCGTTGCAAGCCCCCGTGTTTGCACAAGTCTTCAAAATGCCTGAACCACCGGAACAGACACCTGCCACGTTACAACAGTTGTGTACGTCCCTCTGTGCGCGTGTTCTAGCGAGTCGTGCAACAGCTGAAGCGGCTAGCAGTCAATCTCTGGGAGTCACTGGAAAGCAGCAACGTCCGGGTGGTCTTGCAAAACGCTTGGGTGCAGCGTGGGATAAGGAGAGTTGGTTGTTTATGACGATTCGGCTTGCAAGTCGTGGACTTGGCAGGGAAGGTTTGGAGGAGTCGGCTAAGTCTGGTCAAGCATTAAGTAAAAATGGGTCTGTTGGTGGTGTGTCTCAAGCGGCGCGAGAGATGCTGTATGCGTATATCATGCAGGATTTCAGGAGTCGACTGGATGTCTGTACTGCGTGGCTCACTGAAGAATGGTATCACGAACAAGTGTGTTTGACGCGTGCACCTGATATGGCGCAACCTAGTCGGTACGAGACGTTGGCTTTGCGCGTCCTAGATGGCATTTTACCATTTATTGAAGGGAAAGATCGATTATTTATGCGATTCCTGTCGGATCTGCCAGACTTGACAGTTTCATTGATTGGGAGGCTCAGAGTCTTCTGTCTGGATCCAGATCGGTCAGCATTGGGCTATACGACACTGCAGTATCTGGTGATGCTGCGACCGCCCGTCAGAGAGATATGCTTGGATGTGGTTGAGCGGCTGTACATGGAGGACAAGTCCGAGTTGGCGCAACAGGAGAAGATTTTGAAGCGATGGCGACCTGCTGCGATTGATGCTGCGGCTGTTGCCAAGCAGGAGGCTGCTGTACCCATGCAGGTAGGTGCGTAGGTTTCCCAATTTCCATCTCGTCGCAGCGAATTTTGATTTTTGGGTCGCGACTGGACGGCATTGCAGCATCAGAGCAGAGTACAAGGGTGTCAAGAAGGCATTGGGGGAGGCATCCAGTCAGGATAGACCATACAAGAATCATTGAGACAGGTATAAGCGACTAGCTGATTGGAACGGGCGAGGAAGCATCATGCTCCATCATTCTATGCGGCCGACAACCTCAAACCAAGACAGAGACGCCGAAACAACACAGATGATGCGTGACGAGGCGCGGATAGAGGCTGATCGATTGCGCAAGGAAATCAGTCAGAGCGCCACTGAGTTGCAACGGCTCGAAAAGCTGAGCCAGCAGGTACGGCAGGGTGGGTATAAACGCAGTGTCACGCCGCCTCCTCTACAGCCAAGTAAAACGACACGGCCGGCCTCCAGTACGAATGGGCTGGAAGCACGCGTACCGAGTCAAGGGAGCTTACGCTCACCCACAACGAATGGCGCACGATCGAGCAGTACAGGGAAACTGATTGAACACCTACAGCATGAAATGAGTGGTCTCAAGTTGACGGCAGAGTCGTATCGTCGTCAATTTGAGTCAGAAAAGGGTGCACGCGAAGCGCTCAAGGTGAAGTATGATGATATCGAGGGAACGTTGTCGACGGCGAGGGTAGAAAGTCGGTCGCATGCTTTGTCACTAGCGAGAAGTGATAAAGCGCTCTCTGCTGCGATTGCGGAGCAAGGTCGACTGGCAGGAAGGCTCAAGGAGGAGGAAGCGGCACGTCAAGCGATTGAGGAGGCTCGTCAAGGCGACGTGACGGCCATTGAGGCCTTGAAGGAAGCTATTGTCAAGGAAAAGGCCATGCGAGAACAAGTTGAGCAGGAACATGCTGTCCTGGCAGACCATCATCGTCGCTTCAAAGAGGAAAACCTCGTACAGCTTGCAGCGTTACAAGAACAGTTTGCAGCATTGAGGAAGGATCTTGTGGGTGATGCAAGTTCGCAGAAGGGTGTACAGCAAGCACAGAGTGAGCTTGCTGCATTGCGCACAGAGCAAGCAGCGCAGCTTGTGGTTATCAAGGCAGATCGAAGCGCATTAGCTGTTGCACGAGAGGAGGAAGCTCGGATACTGCACGAGACGGTACGACAACTGGAGGAGGAGGTGGCGCGCGTGACAGCTGAGATGGAGGCGCGAACAGGGACGTTGGAGGAGTTGCAGGGGCAGTGGGAGCAGATGAAGCAGAAGGCCTTTGCACGGTCTGCTGGGTGATGACTAGAGAATGAAGACGAGTATTGACAGTAGATGAGTAGTCTAGCTATTGTAGCTCATGTCTCGCTACAGTCTGGTCTATTCGCTCTTTCCTCCTGTGACGAAATTCAAGAAGCAGCAGACGACTCAGCACAAGACACAACCACGGAGGCCTCTTGAAGAAGCAAACAGACAGGGAGAGACATAGGCACAAGGACAAGAGACGAGGAGTCAGGGACGCGCTTGTATGCAGAGAAGCTACACGCCTTCACGCGCAGGCAATACAGATTCGCCGTTTGACCTGGGCACCTACAACACACCAGACAGGCGGCCCTCGACCAGTATGGTTACGCCGCTGCCAAACGACAAGATGTCTAATTCTCTGGAAGACCTCATTCCGCTTGTCAATAAGGTAGGCTCATCATCTGCGTGCTTTTTGAGAACAGAAAAAGGCTAATGCATGTGCTAGCTGCAAGATTTGGTCTTCAACACGATCGGCTCTGATACAATTGACTTGCCGCAGGTTGTCGTTGTAGGCAGTCAATCAAGTGGCAAGTCCTCTGTCCTTGAAAACATTGGTACGTCGTCACTCGATGGGAAGGCCTCACTAATGCATCTATAGTGGGACGTGACTTTTTACCGCGAGGAACAGGTATTGTGACGAGACGACCCTTGATCCTACAACTCGTCAATACAGCGCCGCATAAGAGTGCTTTGTCAAAATCACCGCGTGGATCGGGGTCGACTGGAGCGCGTCAGGTGTCTGCGCTGCAATCACCGTCGCCAGTAACGCCCAATACACAAGCTGAAGGTGATGATGAATGGGCGGAATTCCTACATCTCCCTTCGCGTCGTTTTCAAGACTTCAATCAAGTGCGTACAGAAATCGAGCAAGAGACATCGCGCATTGCTGGCCTCAATAAGGGTATCAATCGACAGCCCATTCATCTCAAGATCTACTCGCCGCATGTTTTGAATTTGACACTGGTGGACTTGCCTGGACTGACCAAGATTCCAATTGGTGACCAGCCTGGTGATATTGAGCGTCAAGTCCTGGCATTAATCAGGGAGTATATTGCAAAGCCCAATAGCATTATCCTTGCTGTCTCACCAGCCAATGTGGATCTCGTCAACTCGGAAGGTCTGAAACTAGCACGACAAGTGGATCCACAAGGGAAAAGAACTATTGGTGTCTTGACAAAGCTCGATTTGATGGATCACGGCACCAATGCGCTTGACATCCTCTCTGGCCGTGTATATCCACTCAAACTTGGCTTCATTGGGTGTGTCAATCGCAGTCAGCAAGACATCCAAGGTGGCAAACCGCTTGCCGATGCGCTCGGTGCAGAACGAGAGTTTTTCGGCAACCACCCAGCTTACCGCAATATCGGCAACAAGTGCGGTACGGCTGTGCTTGCCAAGACGTTGAATACAATCCTCATGCAGCATATCCGCGAGAAGTTACCCGATATCAAGGCTCGGCTGAATACACTGATTGGCTCAACACAGCATGAACTCAACACGCTCGGTGGTGAGATGATGGGAAAGGCACATCGCGGCTCAACCATCTTACAACTCATGACCCGTTTCGCTACACGCTTTGTTGCTTCCATTGATGGCACCTCTTCTGAAATCTCAACAAAGGAGTTGAGTGGTGGTGCGCGTGTCTACCACATCTTTCATGCAGTCTATGGCAATGCCCTCTCACAAATTGACCCAACGTTCAATTTGAGTACGGGTGATATTCGCACAGCGATACGCAATGCAACAGGTCCACGCGCCTCATTATTCGTCCCAGAGTTGGCATTTGACTTGCTTGTAAAGCCACAAATCCAATTACTGGAACCACCGAGTCAACGATGCGTGGAACTTGTATATGAGGAGCTCATGAAGATTTGTCATGCTTGCGGTGGGAATGAACTTGCACGGTACCCGAAACTACAGATGCGATTGATTGAGGTGGTGTCTGATCTCTTAAGGGAACGACTTAAGCCAACAAGTGATTATGTCGAGAGCCTGATTGCCATTCAGCGTGCGTACATCAATACGAACCATCCGAACTTCCTGGGTGGTGCAGGGGCAGTATCGACTGTATTGCAGCAGAAGAGTGATAAGGAGCAACAACGGCTTCGAGAGCAACAGCCACAATTGCCTGGTAGCCATGGGTCAGGTCTGCAAACACCACAAACGGATCGCATGAAGCGTGAGTCTGTGAGCAAGCATGCAAAACCACATGATGCGTATAAATTGCGTACAGGGTCGCCTGCACCTGGTGATGGCAACAATGACAATGGTCGTGATCAGTTTGGTTCAGAGCCTTCTACGAATGGACATACACGGACGTCTAGTATGGCGCAAGTAGGGACTACTGCGAATGCCAAAGATGGGTTTTTGACATACTTTTTCGGCAGCAAGGAGCATGACCCTCAACAACACACTGGTGCTCCTCAATTACCACCGCGTGCACAGGCCATGGACCACCATGCAGTGGTGCATGATGGATTCCGAATGACGAGTATGACGCGACAAGCTGAGGATATTGCCAGCAGCATGTCTGCTGACATGCAGGAACCCCAACTGACGGATCGGGAACAAATGGAGACGGATTTGATTCGAAATTTGATTTCTAGTTACTTCCACATTGTCAGGGAGACGGTACAGGACCAGGTGCCCAAGGCTGTGATGCATTTATTGGTGAATCACAGCAAGAGTGCGATTCAAAATCGATTGGTGGCTGAGCTGTACAAGGAGGAGTACTTTGACATGCTGCTGTACGAGGATGAGGGGATTGCACAGGAGCGAGACAAGTGTGCGACGCTGCTTGGCGTGTACAGCGAGGCGAGCAAGATCATCCAGGAGGTGTTGTAGTCCATCAGCCGTGTAGCTCGCTCAGTCGCGGCCAATTTTTTGTGTTGGGACTCAACTGACACGAGCAGCCAACAGCAGCAGCAAGTAGACAACCAGAGCCACAGAGACAGGGCGCAAGAGACAGCTGCCATCCGTATCCTTCACTCACCGAGCACGGCCTGCTTTCATCCTCATCTTCACAAGCACAACACTGCGCATCCACGTTTGAAACGCGCCCGCGCCTACCCTCTTCGGCCTCTTTGCGCCTTCACTCACTGACCAGCGCAGCGCTCCCTTGTGTGCGGCTGTGCATTGGCAGATCAAGTAGCAAGCTCTCTCTGTCCATTCGACGCAACAGCTTGCGCTTTGCAGTCTGCCACTCCCATCACTGACGCGGGGAAAAGCGAACATCTCCATCTGCAAGGTGACAATATACGACGTGCTTCGTTGCTCCTGAGCCGCATTGAACCACTGCGCGCGATCTGTCCTCCTGTATCCTCAGGAGGCAAATAAGCAAGCGAAGAGAAAAGGGGGGGTTTTTCGGTGCCAAGCCGACTCACAAAACATACCCGCGTGAAGGAAGGATCGAAGCGAGTAAGATCGATAGCAGGCTTCACTGAGCTCCGCGCATAGTGTCTGCTTCTACAACAACAGATCCTGCCACAACATCCATGTCAGGATCAATGGGTGCTCGCGAAGAGACCTGTCTACCAAACTACCAAACGAGCCATATCGAAGAACTGCCTTCGCCTACACAAGTGCAGCCAGAGTCAGAGTCACCTGGTAGGCCTAATCTCTCTCTACTGTATTTCGGCTAATATCCTGCCAGAATCATCCAGATCCTCGTCACCTTCCCTCAACATCCTTGTGCCCTCAGACGACATTGCCATCAAGGTCGACCCGGACCGGCACGTCGACTATCTCTCTCACGAATGGACAGAGAATGATATCTGGGTGTCTTGGCGCCAAGTGACAAAGCAAAAAGCCTTCCTGCAAAGTGGTGTGCGGTTGGAGAATGCATCTTGGCGGACATGGGCAAAGAGTCGCAATAACCTCAAGACCATCTCACCAGAGACGCTCAACTGGCTCAAGGACTGTGATGTCACCTGGCTGTATGGACCGCTGCATCGCGGAACACAGTTTGCTTCAGCACCGCAAGTCAACCATGTCACGAATCCACTCTTGACGCCGAATGGACGACCCCATCGTCGGGGCAGTGAAGAATGGTTGCCGACACCGCGATTGGATCAAGTTGAGTTGCCATTTGCGGCGCAAAAGGCGGTACAACGGCAAGCGAAGCCTATCTTGAAGAAACGGTCCAACTCGGAGATGATGCTTGCTCGGCATAATAACGTCAAGGTAGACCCGCTACCGCATACCGTTGCGATACTACGGCAGGAGGATACAGAGGAGGATACAACGGATTCAGAGTCAAGACCAACCAGCTCAAATTCACTCTCAAGACCAGTAGCGACACGAACCTACTCGGCTCATTCGGCTCTGCGTTCTGCCAGAAAGCAACACTTTAGAAAGGAAACAGGCGGTGACCTACCAACAAAGCGCAGAATTCACTTCAACGAATCCGTGGAGCAATGCATCTCCATCATCAAACCTGATCCAGATGACGACGACTACGACTCGCAGTCGAGTGATGATATGCCCGTCATGCGCATCTCTGCTCCGCGGCCACCCATCAACATTGCAAAACTTCCGAGCACGACGCTCAAGATGCCTGCAGCCAATATGAATGGCCATGTGGCAAGCTATGGCACCCCGTCCAGTATATTTAATGAAGACGACTTGTCTGATGATGAAACACACGTGTCAGCATCGAGGTCCGGCAAGAGTCCCGTGATACCGTCCACGCGATCAAGCAGGTCCAACTCCACCGACAGTGCCATTCTACCCAATTATGACGGTGTACGTGAAGATGACCCGCCGCCTGGCATTCTTGGACGGGCTGCTGAAGTTGTGACGAGCGCAAGGGATCTCGTGAGTGTCATTTGGAGCGCATCTGGATGGCGGCGAAGCAGCGATACGCTTTGATCAACATTCAACAGAAGGTTTCTTCTTGCAAGCATTCACCCCCAGTTATCTCTAGATGGCGCGCTCTCTTCACTTTTGTTCTTTTCCTCCTTCTCTTTTGGCTCGGCGAAGCCATGAGTTGTGTTTCGCCTTTTCCTGCGACCTGCAACGTTCCCGGCGCATTCATTCACATTGCTGTTCTTTCGGGCTTCAACAACTTGCTCCTTTCTCGCGGTGTACCGTTTCAGGTTCCCAACATTGACTCAGCTTGCTTCACCATATGCCCATTCTTCTTCCTTTCTGCTTCTCTTGGCTGTGTATGGTATCTCCAGTCTTCATAGGTCATTCCTTCACTGTTGACTTTATGAAATTATCTTTTACAAACCAGTTGGCAAAGACTCACTTGATTTTGCAACCGCCAACGCCGCTGCACGCTCACACCGTCGTGCATGTTTCATATTGGCCATTTCAACACGCATTGCCGCTGCACTCGATCGAAAGACTTCTGCTTCACTCTTTGCCAATTGACAACGCGTTTGCAGTAATGCAACTGTCGCTTGTTGTTGTGCGATGATATTTCGTAGTGATCCTTGTTGCTGATGCGCAGCATTCAACAAACGGGATTGTTTATCAGTGAAGCGTGTCAATGCGTTTGTCAATGTTTCTGAGAGTTGTGGTTGCAGTGTCGCTATGAGGGCAAGCAGTGCCGCTGCTTCTTTATTCTCAAGTGGTTTTGTATGGGTCTTTGATGGAGACTCTGAACCAACTCCTGAATGATGCGTGCGATGGCCCGTCTTGGCGGGTGTAGGCAGTTGTTGGTTGTGAGCAGGTCGTTTTGGCGTGACAGGTGACTCTGTCTCGAGATCTGCATCTGTGCCCGTTCTCTTCCGCGAAGAGGAATCACCTTGCTTGAGGACATCGACCGTTCGAGTGATATGAGGTGTGACGGGTGTGATGATTGGTTGTGGCGGAATAGCAACCGCTGGACCTGCAGCAGCACTCGCCTCGTCATAATCGGATGCTTCCCAAGTCACTTGTGTGCCTGCATCAGAAGCAGCAGATCCGCCCATGGCAGCTTTGTAAAATAAGAGAATACGCTTAGTGTAGTCACAGAGAAGCCGGCTCCCTGTCTAGTAGCAGATACAAGATGACCAGCACCTTTGGAAGAGCAGTTTGTGCGTTGTGATGTTTTCTTGTGCGGTTGCCAAATTTCGGCTCGCTCCTCTTTCGTCATGAATAGTGCAACAGGCTGCAGACACCTCGACTGTCTCGACACATAACCATCTCTTCAAGCTTCAGACGCTTATGGACACGAACAAACAGCTATTTGCTTAATCTTGCTGTCTCTGGACACCAGAACGAGCCATCATGCTTGGCGGAACGCCGTATGCCGGAGCCATCCCTATGGACTTGCAAGCTTCCTTCAGCCTCGACGACCGAGGAGATCAAGAACGTCTGCTACAGGATGATCTTGATGAAGACTATCCACGCCAACTCCCCCCTCCGAAGAATTCAAAGCAAGCTTTGCTATTGATGGGCATTGCTGGAGGTGTTGTTTTCCTTGGTGCGCTCTTTATGCTCATGTCTTTGCTCTTTGGCAGCCGGTCTGCTACACAAACAGGCGACTCATTGGCCCATCCAACCTTTGGCGATATTGGCTGCGTCTTTCCCAATGAAGTCATCAGTCCCACTCTGGTGGAGAACTTGACTCTGCACGACAACTCTCTCGAGATACGCGCATCGGGTCGAGGTATCGGCGATATCGCCTTCTTCACCGAAAAGGAAGTCGACTTGCCGTACGTGAATATGGACGTCTTTTTGCAAGGTCAGTACAAGAGCGACTTGCAACAAGTCTACACTCGCGCCAAGGCCGGTCTATTTGAGCTGCAGACACCTGAAACAGCAACAAAGGGTTGCATTCGCTACACACTCAATATCCATCTCCCACGCAAGCTGAAGACTGTGCTTCTGAGAACTGCAGCCCTCACGCACATCACATTTGCTAATGTCGAGTTGGCTACACAAATCGACCTCATCCACATCAGGATGTTGGGGGACGCTGCCAACAACTTGCTTTACTTACCTGAAGCGCGGATACGCAACACTGAAGTAGACGTCCAACATGGCTTTGTAGTGGGTACCAGCTTGCTGTACGAGACGGTCAATTTCAACCTTCATCAAGCACAGGCCGATGTCGAATTTGTTGCTATGGCAGGGGTCAATACAGTTACAGGTCTGAAACTGAGTACATATACAACAACGGCAGAGAAGACCAAGTTCGTCATTCGAAATCCGAAAAACCTTCCAATGCACAGTTTGCATGAGTCCCTTCGAGAGGCTTCCTTGTCACTCCAGTATCCGGCAGCCTTTGCTGGTTTGATCACAATCACGGCGCAATCTTTCTCGGCGCGACAAGCGGATGTTCATCTGTCTCATGACTCTGTTCCTGTGCTTCGTGGTGAGCCTAGCCATACCAGTCTCACCATCTATGCACCAGAGGGTGATGTTGAGTTGGCCTTCAATTCATGATTGCTTAGACAACGGCTTATTGAGTCGCTCAAATCTCACAGAGGCAGAGCGTTGATACAGGGCTCAAGTGCCCGCACCCGAGCAGTCCCACCAAGGCATAGAGTGAGTTGTTCTCATTAACCCCTTCGAGTTCATGGCTTCCTGGAAGGCATCTGAATTCTGAAGTGTCTAGATTCAAGGCTCAAAGCTCACCAGGTAACATTTCAGCCCCTGAAAGCGCTCAAATTTGCGATCTCCGATGTCTCGCGCACTCTTCACTCAGGAGAGGGTATTGTCGTTGCCACGTGTCCATCTAGCCAGTAACGTGACGTCTAAGCTGTAGAGACTTGTCCTGCGCGTTAAGATGATACGGCTCATCCCGGGTCATGTGTCAGGGCTGCTGGTATGCATTGTATGCCAGTGATTGCATTAAAAATCAAAGGTCATTTGCGAATCTTTAATCGGCAAAACAGTCGACAGGAGACACTGATTTGCGTTTGTCACCCTAAGCAGATGGTGACATTGATGCACATGCAACCAGAAAAACTGCATTTCTGTCCTTTTCGCTCATAAATGCCTTGCTGGCATGTTCGTCTCTCTTCCATCCTTCACCAGTCACTACACCTTCTGCAATCATCTCATGAAGGCGCTGCTCCTGCTCAACCTGTCCCTGGCACTCTTGACAACGAGAGCCGCCAAAGGCAAACCCGATCCACCTCCCCTACAGCGGGAGATGGCCTCTGCACTTACCTTGTCGATGAATCGATGGCCGGCGAAATAATCGAAACGACTAGGCGCCTGTACTTTGGCTATCATCCTTGGACATCGCAGAAGGGTATCGAGAATATGGTGACCCTCAACCCTGGAAATGGAAATGACCACTTGCCGGTCGTGCTCGCCTGCGTCCTTGCTCGTAACCTTCCCAATCTTCCTAACGGTGCATCCGATACCATGCATGTATGCACTTCAGAAGCCACCTTTCCATGGCCTGACTGTGTCAAGTCTCAGAACGTCTTGCTCATGCTTTTCAATCAGTATCAGCTCACGAGGGGCGTGCCAATCCCGGAGCACAACAGGTTCAAAGAGTTTGGTTATAAGGATCGTAAGTTCTACGTTCCCGATGTCTCGCTTTTCAACAACAACTCAGCGCGCATGCAGGTGGACTACTTTCCGCTCGATGCAAACACTACAAACACTAAAGCAACAACTATCGAATCGGATCAGCCGGACACGTACAAGAATCTGGCGTGCTGGTTTGGAAGTGAAGCGAGTCATCTTCCCAAGGTGTCAGATGAACTCTTCTGCGCAGATCGTGGCACCCTCCCAGCTGAGCTCAGCAGCTACTTCTGCTTGTTGGAGCAGAATATGCAGTATGATTCGCAAGACCAGAACAGCAAGCCAGAGCCCAAGATTAGGTTTCATTGCGATTCGGCCGACAATCTTGCGCGCACGAATCCACCCTCGGGCACGAATCCACCCCCTGGTTCAAACCCGGACGACAAGGAGCTTTTACCGGACGGAAATCCTGTTGCCGACACTTGCGCTCCTGACCTGAAAGGCAAGTACACTCTGCTGGACAAGACGAAGTACAAGTCGCCGTACTTCAATTACTACATCTACACCGATTTGCAGAAGATTCCAGCAAATGTTGTATCGAATGCATTCATCTCCATCAGGCGCGACCTGAGTGCCCTGGACGATCATCTCGTTGGTCCTCTCTACTGCGTTGAGGGCCACGATCCGAGCGCTCTGGATAATCCTGACGCCAAGAGCCCCATCTGCGTCTATGACCCTCGTGACTGGCCTGACTGTTTTGTGGCGCACTGTGTCATCACATTGGATACGCAGAACAACTTTGTTCCAAGGTGCATGAAAAAGGTGGTCGACACGCCATCTGATTGTCCTTACAGAGCTCCCCACGACATGCTCTACCAACCTCGCACTCAGTTCGAGTATTTTGAGGTTGGCGATGGCGTCAACCCATTCCACCGATACCACAGCAACGCCGATGGCAAAAACAATGATGGGAGTTTGCAGAACATGCAGTGTGCATTGAAAGAAAGCCCCATCCAGCTTGTCAAGGAGGACAATCCACCACGACGCGCCTTGACATGCTGGCCCAAGGACACAAAGAGGCCTCTCGCCGTTGACGACTGTCTCAAAACTGTTTGCACATTCACTATTGGTACAGTTGACAATCTTGGCACTGTCTTCATGCCTAATTGCGATAACGTTTTGCCCGCATACACAACAAAGTAGATGCTGTGGCCCGACCGTCTAGTGAAATTTATCTCGTTCTCAGCTAGAAACCATTTCAATTTGATCGCTCTATTGCGCTACAGCAGTTGTCGTCTTGACTGGCTATTGTGTAGAGCATTCATCCTCCCTTCAGCATATAGCGCGTCAAAAAAGTGTTCAGGGGGAAATTGCTCAGGCTCGCAATGAACTCCTGATAAAGACTCCCTCGCAGGATCTTTCAAGGCGAAGAGCTTAGTGCCAACGTGGCCAAGTTGTCCTTAGACAATAAGCTACTGGTGGCATGATTGGCATCCTTGGTAGTCTCGCTTTACTTGCGCTGCCGTTGAGCTTGACTCAAGCAGTCTACACTGAGCCACCCAAATGTAGCGAGGAAGGTCTATTCAGCCCAAAGCCAGGCGATCCAGCAACAACGCCAAGCAAGATTTTCACATACTTTGCTTACGAAAATGGTGCTTCAAAGAACGAACCAACAGTGCTCATCTACCCTCATTCATTGCCTGCGCGCTTCTTTTGTCTGCAAGGACCAGTGTCCCCTTGGAATAAGACCTTGGTGTGGTTTTGCGCTGAGGATCAGCTCCAGTGGCCCGACTGCACAGACAAGCACTGCGTCGTTCGACCCAGAGCCGGCAGATATGAGTTGACATGCGGTGTGCCAGTGGATGGCCGCAACGACCATGACAAGGATCTTTGCGATGTCCCATTCACGATTCCACGAGAAGACTTGGGTGCTGCATCTGCACGAATGGTCATTTCGTTCTATCCCTTTCTGGCTATGGACACAAGCGAAGGTGTTCAAACGAAGATCCCGTCAAACACGACCATCCGCATCACGCAGGCGCAATTGAATGACGAGTCGTTTCGCAACTTGTTTTGTGCTTTTGGCCCTGCTCCTGGCGCTGGTGCAGATGCAGCTCACGGGACATTGTATTGCACTTCCAATCCCTCTCAAGTCCCTGCCTGCCTCCAAAAGTTCTGCTCAATCGATACTGTCGTCTTGGACCAGCCACCCGGTAGCACTGTACCAGGCGAAAAGCGTTTCATGTTCAAGTGTGGTTTCACTCTGGCCAATCACTGGTCCCAGGACTGCTTGGGTGGTAAAGCCTTTGCCCCTCGCTTTGGAAACAGTGGCTCGTCAATCAAGTACCGCCATTTTGGCGACGGTGATCTTGCTAGTCCTCCCAAACCTGCAGATTTTGATATCCAAGGCGACTTGATCACTGCTGAGTACGGTGCCTTGCCATTCACCCTCTTCTGTCTCCGGGCAGTGAGTGATATCGATGTCGACGGCACAGCACCCTGGCTGTGTGTGTACGATATCCGCGAATGGCCACAATGCGTCGCCAAGCACTGTGTTTTCGGTGAATATGACGGGTTCATTTCGTCGAATTGCGATGTGACCAATGACTCCAGCAACCAGCTCGAGCCAGCATGCGAGGACAATAAGTGGTGGGTGCCAACGTCGGGGACCATGCAAAACTCGTCCAGGCACTCTTTCGTTTACTATCCCTTTGGTGCAACGGCCGAAACGAAACCCGCCACTGTCACTGCAGACGCGGCCGACGCTGGAACTGAGCATTCCTGCGCCTTGGCAGCCGCCCCAGACAGCAAGATGACTACAGCTCCGCATGGGACTTTGTACTGTGGAGACCCCAATTCGAAAGACTGGATAAAGTGCATCACATCTCGTTGCCTCATCAAGCTCCAAGACTCTGGTTCATCCAAGGCTTTCGTGGCAGACTGTGCTAGCAACATTGAAACAATTGGCAGTGGTAGAAAAGCTGGATCTTCTTGAGAGCTGCGTGTAGTTATGCTGGCCATAAATCATGCATCGTAGTCTTAGTCTTAGTCTTAGTCGTAGTCTTAGTCTTAGTCGTAGTCTTTCGCTTTGCCTGATCGCTTCCCTGTGCCATCTGAATCTGCCTGCGTGCGACACCACATCCATGACCTTCGCACCACTGCTACTACTGCAGCCATCATGAGCGAACAGGTCCTGCTTCTCGATAGCTCCCTGCGGAATTGGGCCTTGCTGCCGATTCTGCTCGTCATGATCCTGGTCGGCCTGCTCCGGCACAATGTCACTATCCTGCTGCAGTCGACCCCGAAGCCATTGGACACAAAAGCTGTGCGGGAACAGCGCGCCCTTTCTCGAGCCGCGCTATTGCGCGCTAATGGTCATCATCTACCTTCAGACGCCTTTGCTGCGCGTAGAAGTTTCTTGATCGACGCGTTCACCAAGGACGCCTATCTCAAAGACCCCTCAGCCAAAGGAAGACCAGCGGCGAATCCAATGACCGACCCTTCGGCGATGGATGGAATGATGAATATGATGAAGGGAAACATGGCGAACATGGTGCCTCAGATGGGTCTTATGGCCTGGATCAACTTTTTCTTCTCGGGCTTCGTTTTACGTACGTTGCTGCATTGCGGATTTAACGCTAACAACCAGTCAAGTTGCCCTTTCCGCTGACACTGCGGTTCAAGCAAATGCTTCAAAGTGGTGTCATGACGCAAGACTTGGACGTAACCTGGGTCTCGTCCTTATCTTGGTATTTCCTCAACCTGTTTGGGTTGCAATCCATTTACGCACTCCTGCTTGGCGATGACAATGCAGCAGGCAGTGTCAACGACATGAATCAAATGGGAGGCGCTGGTGCAATGCAAGCTTTTGGACCGGGACAAGATCCTTCCAAAATGTTTGGTGCTGAAATTGAAAATCTTGAGGTGGCAAGTCATGTTTGGATCAATCACAATGTGGCGGAGCGTGTACTGGCTAGATATTCAGACGAGCTATGAGTACATAGACTTGCATCATTCATGAGTTGCTTTATTCAGGATATGCCTACTGTGATACGCAACAATCAATTGATGTACCACAAATGCCGAGTGTCGACGGCTTGCTTGCGAACGACACGCTTTGGGTCGTCTAGCACGTCGCCCAATGCTTTGAGCGTCTTGACCTTGAAAGGCTGCAGTTTATCAACGCGCAACTCTTTAATCAAGGAGGCCAAGAGCTTGAGGCTAGCAACCCGCACAGACTATCATTAGCTTGGAAGCGAATCTGAAGGACTTACCGGTGTATTGGTTGGCGACGCACGCGTGACTTCCAGCAGACCTGGAATAAGTGTCGACAAATGCTGCGCGACGATATCCTTGGCTTGCGGCAGCAATTGGTCTACCGTCTCGATTGCCGCCAGCTTCATACCACTTTGCTCAAGACTGATGCACTGCAATAGAATCGGCAGGATTGTGGCAATCTCTCCCATGAACACTTCTCGAGGCACATTGGCAAGAATGGCCGACATGCACATCAGATAGAGATGTCGACTGCCTTGCTCACTTTGTGCGAGCTTCTCCGTTAGTCGTGGCATCGCCAATGCGAAGAACTTTTGCTTGTGTAGTTTCTTGACTTGCAGGTGATTTTCCTTTGAGACGTAGGCATCGTTTCCAATGAGGACGCTGAACTTCTCGGCGACCTGCTGACCTTGACTGCCCTGCCCGATCAAGTCAATAATCTGGACAACACAAGCCTGTGCTTGTTTGTGTGATTTGAGGATGAGCGCCTTGGTCACCCAAAGCAAAATATCCACATTCGCAGGACCCGTGAATCCTTTTTGTGCCAAGAAATGTTGAACGGCAGCACCAACATCCTCCTCAGCGCTTGTCTTATTGAGAATAAGGCAGGTGAGCCGATAGAGTGCAAGTCGTTGAAAGTCATTACTGCAAGTCGCTGTGAGGTTGATGACACGCACCAAAAAATCAAGGTTAAAGGCATTGATCAGCTCGATTTCACGGCGCAATCCCGCATAGCCGGCCACAAAGAGGGCGACACTGTTGCGTACATGAACATCTGTCGTTTCCGGATCCAGCGGTTTGAAGGTTGTGTCAATGTGCGGTACATATTCATTGAGCCCACCGTTCATGAAGATGGCGAAGAGATTGGCTGCGATATCACGCTGCTTTTCGATTGTGCAGGCACGTATGATGAGATTGACGATACTGCTTGTGACAAGCAAGACTCTTGGGTTGGCCATGGCGTGCGATGTGTCGCGGGGAACAACGGTACGCTGAAGGAGATGAGGAACGACTCGATCAAAGTGTACAGCCACGTCCTTTTCTTGTTGAACAAAGCGCTTGAGGCAGGCGTGCAGTGTTGACACAACCAACTGCGTCAGTTCAACGAGGTTGGAGGGATCTTTGCTTAGCCATTCATCCAGTCGGCTGTAGAGTCGAATGACGAGCGTGTCGAAAATAGCTCGATCGACAGCGAGCTCATACAAAGCGTATAGTAGCCGCTTCAAGATGGGTTTGCTCTCATCTTGCTCTACATCGAGAGGGAAGCGAGCAAAGACGGCCGGGAAGGTGAGCTCGAGAATCAATGGTGCTCGAACGACTGCAAAGTCGGCCAGAGCAATCAAGGCCTGTTCAGCCAATTCGCCCTGTCCATCGAGCAGGACGTCACCAAGATACTGAATTGTTGTGCTGCGCTCTTGTTCGCTGCATAGCCCATCGACCTGTGTGAACTCGACAAGCGTCTTGAGCGCTGCGATGCGTAGCTCAACGGCTGAAACACTCGATCCTAGCAGACTGCCAGTCAAGACGCCAAATAAATCATCCTTGAGCGATGCAAGACACGATTCTTTGCCACCGAGAGGTTTTCTCAAAGACCCTTCTACTTGCTGGGCAGCGCCAATGAGGCAGCGCAGCACGTCGAGCAGTTTTTCCTTACGATTGATGTCGTTGGTTTCCTGGTACAATGCTAGCCAGCCTGCCAAAGTCGATTTTGTAGTCACATCGAGGGCCAGCGGAGAAGCAACACCCACGGCTTGAAGAATTTTGCCGCATGGTTTACCTGACTTGAGTTCAGCCTGACGAAGCTGATCTATAGCATCCGTCATGATGGGCTGTAGCCAACGCGCAAGGGGCCCTTGTTTCGGCATTTCAGAAAGACCACGACCGAGACACTCTGTAAGATCTGTCAAGGTTGCAAGAGCAAGTTTTTCTAGTTCAGGATCTTCAGCGCTTGTGATTTCAAATTTCAGGGCCGCCCAGAGCTGTGCGGTGTAGGCGTCTAGTGTTCGTGCTGTGTAATTTCGGCAGCATGCTGAGATTGTCATGAGCGTGTCGCGTTTGACAGAGACCGCAATGGCATTCAACTTTTCAAGCAGCTCTGGTATGAGGTAGGGTGCGAATTGATGGGTTGCGCAGAGACAGTCGCGAAGACGTTGCTTGAGATCATCAGTAGTGATGGATGTCGGGTCGTCTGGCGGAGGCCTGAATGTGATAGGAAAGTAGCAATAAACAACATCAAACAAGTCGGAGACGTGGTTGACAATGTCGAATTCTTGCAGCAGGACACGCATGATGGAAAAGGCGAGCATGAGATTCCTCGGATCCTTTTCTCCTGACATGAGAGTGATGATACCAGCAAGGAAGGGCTGTCCCATGGCACGCATATCTTTCCGGCGTGTGGCCACCAGGTGATCCACAATGAGGAAGAATCGATGCCGTGTGCGTTGAGGCAAATTTGGCGATGCCTCTATAGCGGAGAATAAGGCAGAACATAGTGTCTGAGCGTCTTCACCGGAGAAGCGAGACATCTTCGCTAAAGCAAGCAGAGAATCGAGTGATGCGTCGAGACAGACATGGTCATCAAGCTTATCGTTGAAGAATTGAATCATGACAGTGATGTGCTGTCCTGAAAGTGTACTGCCTGGAATTTCAACCAGCAATTGACTAAGCAGCTGCATACTTCCCGCGCGAATCGTGGCATCTGTCTGCGTCAGGTGCTCGCCCAGCGCAGTGACCACCTCGAGGAACGGCAGTTTACCATTCGCAATGGCCTGAGCAAGCTCGAGCACCACTTCCTGCCGGTCCGAGTCGCCCGCAGACGACCTCAGGTATGTGCTGACGAGGCTCTGGATGTTCATGGCCATCTGCACAGCGGGCCTGCAGCTGAGTATGGATATGATGTCGTCGTCGAGGTCTCGCGCGGAGATTTGAATTTGCATCAAAACTCTGTCGCGCCTTCGACTGCTGCCCCTGCCCATCGGACCATCTGCCAGTCGCCCCTCTGACACGCGTTTCAGCGCACACTCTCTTGCTACATTGATAACGACCCCCAGTGTTGCAGCGTGGCACTGCGCAAGATAAAGGGCCAGCTCTCTTTTACCAAGCTGCGCGCATAGTCAACACTGTCGCATCCCACGCAAAACCATGGCAATGCGCTCCATGTAAGTACATCCATGACCTACAGAGCAGTCGCTTACTGTCTAGCTGCCGTGTCATCTCCGCAGCCAAGATTGCAGAGCCTTTTCAGCAAGAAATCAAGAGCAACGTTGCAAAACTAGGCTATTCGCCCGTCCTGCGCGCCTTTCTTGCCAATAGCGACCCGTCAGCCAAGGAGTATGCAGATTGGACGGCCAAGACGGCAACAGGCCTGGGCATCACATTCGATTTGCAGCAAATCAAGCGCGAGGAGCTGGAAGCGGCCATCCTTGATGCAAACAAGAATCCAAAGGTCAATGGCATCATGAACTACTGGCCAGTCTTTGATAATGTCATGGAGGATACACGCGTTCAGCAGCAAGTCGACCCACTCAAGGATGTGGAGGGCTTTTCTCCCGTCTTTATTCGCAACCTATATGATAATGTGCGCTTCTTTGACCCACCAGCCAACTTGATAAAGTCCATTTTGCCCGCTACTCCGCTTGCGCTTGTCAAGGCACTCGAGCATCTTGCAGTCTACAATCCCTTGCTGGAAGAAGGCTCAAGGTTGTATGGTAAAACCATTACCATTGTCAATCGCAGCGAGATTGTCGGCCGACCCTTGGCCGCACTGTGTGCCAATGATGGTGCCACCGTCTATTCAGTCGACGTGACGGGGATTCGCAAGTACACACGAGACAGGCTGAAGCTTGAGCGTCACCGCTTCGAGGAAGTCGAGATGACTGTGGAGCAGGCTGCACAGCTCTCTGATGTGGTCATCTGCGGTGTACCCTCGCCTGCGTACAAGTTTCCCTCTGCATCTCTCAAAGATGGTGCGATTGCCATCAACTTTTCCTCAGCAAAGAACTTTGACAAGGATACGGTGAAGGAACACGCTTCGATCTATGTGCCCAGCATTGGCAAGGTGACGATATTGATGCTTCTGAGGAACTTGCTTCGCCTGTCGCAGAACCAGCACAATTTGGCAGTTGTCTCGCAAAGCAGTGTGTCGGCCAAGTCGGCGATGGATGTGCGGGCGTCTCTTTAGCTATTGTGCTCCCTATAGACTGCGACAGACTGCATTGCATAGGTAGATAGGTGTAGATCTGCTTCAGTCCTTTGGCTGTCGGCACTTGCCTGCTCCCTTTTCACATGCGCCGGAACTCCACACTCGAAGCAAGATTTCTGCAGCACACCAACCCTCCTGCCCCGGCGCCTGCTCTTGTGACTGGCCGCCGTCCTTTCATCTGTTTAAAGTCTTACGCTCTGCTTGCTCTACTGCTCATCTCTCATTTGCATTCGTCCGTCTGCCATGGACACGCTCAATAAAGTCCTACTGGACCCGAAATACCATGATCTCCTCGCCATCGTCAAGGGCATGCGCAATGGTCTGCCGCATTCCTTGTATATTTGGCCATTCACTGACTATAGGTGCCGTCTATGGAGCCAAAATCAGGGCGCCGCATGCCGCCGTCATGACTTTTCTATTCAAGACTGGAACGTGTGTGACCCTCTCTTCATGACGATGGCTAATGTGTCAGTTTCAGAGAACGCCTCGTCGCTATCTTCAAAGCGACAAAGCAGCATTCGCAGAATCTAGCAGTCTATGTGACCATCTACAAGACAACCATGTACGTCTTGCGTCAACTCAATGGCAAAGAACGCAGCATGGATTCTTTCCTAGCAGGTCTTCTTGGCGGCTACGTCGTCTTTGGTGAAAACAACAACATTAACCAGCAAATGGTGCTGTATGTCTTCAGTCGCATTCTCCTCGGTGCAGCCAATTCCTTCGCCAATTCGCCCAGCTCACGGCATCCAAATCGACCACGCCTAGCAAGCCACGAAGTTCGGGAAAAGGCATGGCCGGTCTTTGCTTCTGTGTGCTGGGCCAGTGTCATGTGGCTCTGGCGACACTACCCAGACGAGCTGCAGCCGTCCCTGCGCAACAGTATGAACTACCTGTACCTTCAAAGCGATTCGTGGACGGAGCCTCGCAACTTCTTTTGGCATAATCAGTAATGGACGGGCAGTTTCGTGCATCTATCAAGCGGGGGTACATAAGGGCAGGTATCAGGTCTATAGATGTAAGCTGGTGTAATGTGACTGTGGCTCTGGGCGATCTTTTGACGTGCGACGACGCGCTCAGTTGCAAGTTGAGCCTGAGGCAGGAGACATTGAGGTGTATGCAGTAGATGAAGCAGCTAGAGAAGCACAAGACGCCACTAGAGCGGATTGTCGCTCCCTTGGCAACGCAAAGCAATGCGCATCTAGTTGTCCCTGCCATTCTGGTGGTAGCTTATATGGCGCGACTTGCAGTGAGCTTTGGCTCTTATTCTGGTACGCCTGCATGTTTGTGTGCATGGTTGACTGACTTGAAGGACAAGGCGTCTCGCCAATGCATGGCGACTTTGAAGCACAGAGGCACTGGCTTGAATTGACGCAGCATCTGCCCATGAGAGAGTGGTATTTCTACGACTTGCAGTATTGGGGCCTGGACTATCCGCCATTGACGGCCTTTCACTCTTATGCACTCGGGAAGATGTGGGTCACACTGCATCACGAACATATCTGACAATAGAGGCTCTCTGCTCAATGAAGATTGGTTCACCCTGGATACATCGCGCGGTATTGAGACGTACGGCGTCAAGCTCTTTATGCGTCACTCTGTGATTGCTTCAGAGCTGCTTACTTACATTCCCGCTGTTTTGCTCTTTTCTTCCCTGAACAAGGACACGGTACTACATCGTACGGTAACGACACTGACGGTACTCTTACAGCCTGCAGTCCTGCTTATTGACCATGGTCATTTCCAGTACAATACAGTCATGCTTGGGTTGATGACTGCGAGTCTCTACTTTATGATGCAGGGCAAAGTCAATCTCGCCGCAGGTGCCTATGTGGCGTGCTTAGCATTCAAGCAAATGGGCTTGTACTATGCACCTGTCGTGTTTGCGTACCTGCTCTCCGTTACGTATCAACAACCTCATCGGTTTGTGTTACTAGGGATGACAACGGTCGCGGCATTTGCCCTGTTCTTTGGCCCATTCCTGCTGGTTGGCGGTGTCTCTGGTTTACAGCAAGTCATCATTCGCATGTTCCCCTTTGGACGAGGACTCTTTGAAGACAAGGTGGCTAATCTCTGGTGTGCCATCAACGTTGTATACAAGCTCAAGGCGCACATTAAGGGAGAGACGCTTCAAAGGATGAGTCTGCTGTTCACCCTTCTCGGTGTTTTGCCTGCAAGCATTAAAGTCTTTCTCAAACCACAACCCAAGGTCCTCTTGCTGGCCACATCCAGCTGTGCCTGGGCCTTCTTTCTCTTTTCATTCCAAGTGCATGAAAAGTCTGTGCTGCTGCCCTTGCTACCCACAACGTTGCTGCTCTACTCGTCGCACTTGTACAAGAGCTGGATTGGCTACATCAATATTGTGGCCATCTTTTCGCTCTGGCCTTTGCTCAATAAGGACGGACTTGGCTTGCAATATGCTGTGCTCAGCTTGTTGTGGATCTGGCTCTGCGGTTTCGGTCAGTCAACCGAGTCGATGCCAATTCGTGCCTTTCACTATGCAACGTACCTGGCCATGGTCGCGTGTCATGCACTAGAGCCATTTTTTGCGGTCTCTCATTTGCCTGATCTATGGACTGTTGCCAATGCTCTCGTCAGCTTTGGTGCCTTTGCTGCGTTCTACCTCTGGACACTCTACCAACTCTTGCTCAGCTAGGACCGGGTCATTCGGCGTTCCCCACACTGCCGGAGGAATAAGAAATAATTCGTGGGCAGTTCGAGTTGTAACCCAAAAACCAAAACTCAAAAGTCTCAAATCGCCCCGATCTCGAATACGTCATGGGGCAAAAAGCAGGCACAAGACCGGATGACAAGCGACTACTTCTAATAGCCAAGGCCCCTCCTACAAACACAAGCCTACAATATACTTTCTGTTGTCAAAGAAAGGGCCACTACTCTGCTACTCTATTTAGTACGCGCGCGGGCCAGACTTGATAGGGAGCCGACGCAAGACAGTCAAACGCTCCATCTATTTGTTACAGTGCGCCCGCGTGTAAGGTGTTTGCGGACCTGACACAGAGCAAGTTCTCTCTTCAAGAACTCACTAGAGCATCACCAAGAAAAACGCGATCACATTCAATCATTCTTAATACAGCATGAGCGCGCCTGGTATCAACCCCTTGAAGCTCTTTGTGGGCGGTCTCAGTTGGGGCACCGTCGATGCAGTCTTGTATGATGAATTTGGCAAGTATGGCGCAATCGACGAGGTACGTTTTGACTCCACCACATCATGCGTCAGCTAACAAACCTCAGGCGATTGTCGTTCGAGACAAAATGACTGGTAAATCGCGCGGCTTTGGATTCGTTCGTTTTCAAGAAGCAGAGGATGCGCAACGCGCAAAAGAAGCAACGGATGGACAATCCCTCGATGGTCGTGTCGTGCGCGTTGATTTCGCTAGTGAGAAGCGTCGTGCGCCCATGACGGGTATGAATGGTGAAGGCGCGTTGTATGGCCATCTGGGTGGTTCTTCGTTGGGCGGATATCCTGGAATGGAGATGGGTGGCGCGATGGGATACTTGCCTGGTGCGCCGTATATGCAAGATGCAATGGCGATGCAGCAAGTGTACCCGCAACCCATGTATCCTGGTGCTGGAGCCATGTATGGCTATCAACCGCATCAGCTCCAGCAACAGCAGCAATACCTCGCCATGCAGCAATATCAGCGCAGTCAGATGCAGCAACAGCAGCAGCAGCAACAGCCACATCAGCAACAACATCAGGGCATGTTTGGTTATCCACAGCAACACCAGCAGTTTCAGCAAATCGGTGATAGCAAGGGTCCTGAAGAAAGGGCCGACGGTAGGGTCGACTTTGAGTAAAGGCTTACTCTGCACACCTGGTGCTCGGAACAAGATGTACACTAGATTTGAAGCGTCTAGTTTTACTGCAGCCATAGAAGATCTAGTTCCAAGCACATCAAGCTTCTAAAAATGTGATTAAACTGGCTCAAGCGATAAAGGTCTATCTTTTTGAATATCAAAACGGACATGATCTAATGGGTCTGGACCTCAGGCGCAGACTTTTCATGTGATCCAATGGAACGCTTGCTGTTCTCAAGATCATCGACATAGTCTGGGTTGTACTCATCCTCACCCGACAACTCCTCGAGTGTCTTACGTGCAGTCTCGGGAATCAACAAGGTCAAGGGAATGCCCATGAACATGAAGAGTGCAAAGATCTGGAGAACGTGGTCGAGCCACGGTGATGCATTATCCTTGGTTGCACCACGTGTTCGCAACGGACCAATGAGTACTTGAGCGACAATCGCACCAATCTTGCCAGACGCAGCAGAGATACCGTGTGAGGTGGATCGGTAGCGTGTTGGGAAGACTTCACCTGGAACAATGAAAGTTGTTGTGTTGGGACCAAAGTTGAAGAACAGGTTGGCCAAGCAGTACAGTGCAAACTTGCCGTTGGTGTTGATGTGGTTGTAGCCAAAGCCAAGGATGATGAAAAGGGCGGTGAGAATGATGAAACCCATGAGCTGAATGGTCTTGCGGCCGAATCGGTCAATTGTGAGCACAGAGAGCCAGTAGCCGGGAATGAGACCCGCACATGAAAGAATGATATTGCCGACGCCCTGGTTGTACAAAGTATCGTAGACAAATTTGTTCTTGGGTGCAGAGTAGCCAATTGCATTCAACACAATGGATGTGTTGAGACCAAGACCGTAAAAGGCAACATCAAGCATGAACCATGATCCAGCAGTGCCGAGAAGGACTTTGCCATTCTTCCATTGGCTGTAGTGGCGGATGAAGTCACGGAAGGATGCCTTGGGAGGGGCAGTGGGGTTGCGGTCGTTCTTGTTGCGCACACGAGCCACTTCCTCCTCAGAAGTCAACTTGGCTGCACCAATCTTGCCAGACACGTATTGCACGGCATCCTTGGCGGCGACCGTATCATCACCCTCGACGTCGAGCGAGTAGCGGATTGTCTCTGGGATGGTGAGACGGAAGTAGAGGGCAAAGACGGCAGGAACAGCGCCGAATCCATAAATGATTCGCCACGACTTGTCTGCTGCAATTTGACAACGCTCATTGCAGACAGTGCCTCCAGAGAGGAATGAGTCCTTGAAGCCGATGGTGCAACAAATGGAGACGATGGCGCAAGTGAGCTGGCCCCATCCCTGGTTGGCAAAGACGGCACCCATCATGGCACCTCTCCACTTGACTGTAGCAAACTCAGAGGTGATGATGGCAGAGAGTGGGTAGTCACCACCGACACCGGTACCCAGAATGACTCGCCAAAAGATGAAGACACCGACGATTTCTGTTGAGCGACCGCCGGCTGTGAGGGCCAGTCCAAGGGTGGCGACAATAATGACCATGAGCTCAATGCCATACATCTTTTTACGCCCAAGCACATCAGCCAGGGCACCAAAGCCAAGTTGGCCAATGACCGTTCCAGCGGATGTGGCAACTTTGATGGCAGTGTCTGCATTTGACGGCACTTTGCCACTCGAGTAGTAAGCGAGGCCCACCAAGATGTTGGCAAAGTTGACTGCGAAGATGTCATAGGCATCGGTGAAGAAGCCGACTCTAAGGAGGTCAGTGATGTATATTTAAAAGTGGGAGCATACCCAGCAACAATGATGGCCCGGACGTGGTACCAGGAGAATGGCGCAGAGTCAATGGCTGCGAGTGCTTCACGGCGCCTCTGCAGGAGTGTCGACGACATCTGGCGGCGGTGTTTCAGGTGTCTGTTGGTGTGTATGGGAAAAGGATTAGGGGGGCTGCAGAGTTTAAGTAGAAGCCGGGCCATGCGAAGGGAACATCATCGTGCTGCATTGTATACGGTCGGCAAATGCTCCCTAGATGACTCCCTACCTGTCGGCCCTGTGCACCTCGAGCAAGTCAGGCTGGTGGGCGGGTTGTTTCTGGGTGTCGCCTGCCGAGCGTGGTTGGCCAATAGCAGGCGCGCGCGGGAGCATGTGCAGCAGGGGCACACTCGGGCTGGACTCCTGATCATCTACCGCCGAGTGCTGCTACTATGCTGGTGCGAGACAGCTGGACACGGCTAGGTCACTGAGTAGAATTGCCGTAGAATAGACTGAAGACTCAGTGAAGAGTCGCATGCATCGGCTACTCCTGCTCACTGGCCCGTCTCTTTTAGCCTGCTCGCCAGATCTTGCCCATGACAGCTACAGTGGCCAGTGGCACCCCTGCTTCTATAGTCTAGACTCTGGACGCGCTTGCACTGATGTGACCTTGCATGGAGCACAACTACCGCGGGTCAGCTGCAGCTATCTGGACCAAGATGCAAGCTACAGCTAGCGGCGGACATCAAAGAAACCACCCGGGCATGATCAATGCAGGACCCCCATCTATTTCAGCATCTCGATATGATATGCTGCTCCCTTGACATTTGGTCTGCTAGCCTACATGAGCACAATCAGCGGAATCTAATCTGCAAGAGCAAGGCGTACATATACACATCAGCATGTCGCGTCTGAGCTAAACGCTTTTCCTTTGCTCGGCAATGCTTTCTTTCGCAAGAGAATTCGAGACAGCTTCAGGAGTCGCATCTCTTGCAGGTCTAGACTCTGAAAGCAGCTGTTCAAACGGGGAGCCTGGCTCGTCTCTGAACGAGCTGTATTCGCAAAGATTGCTAGCTGAAATCCAGGAGATACCACCTCAGTCGCCGAGCGTGGAGCCACGTTGCAGCACGAGTATCAACATCATCTTGGTTCTGCATAACCAAGCTTGAGCGATCGGGTCTGCGTGAAGTACCAAGGCGACCATCCAACGCAGCATATAATCCGGTCTGTGAGCTGTCAAAGACTCACACGTCACAGTCATTGTATGCCCTATCAGTAATGGATAGCTGAAACCAGATTATCCTTCGATTTCTACCCCATGGATTCGTACAAGGAAGCAAGTAAGCACATTGCTCATTTCCTCCGTTACAACGACATGTGGGCTTATCAACGAGACGCAACATGGATTCGCCTCATGAAGCGGGTGGCTCCTGAAAGCTCTGAACGCGCATAGAAGGAGCACTCTATCCTCTGCTTCATGAAGTGCAAGAGGCCTCCAAGATATCAGCCAGCTCTCAAGCGATATAGATCCATTGGCAAACCTTTCGTAAGTCGACTCCTGCACAGAAAAAGACCATAGGCTGATCATCGTGGAGCTATGGAAGAGTCCATATCACTTTCAGCTTTCTGCTGGCCATGTCAAGCCTTCTGACGGGAGCTAGGGCTGGCCGAGACCCTGAACTTCCTCATAACTACACTCCGGTAGTCTTGTGTTCGTTCGCTCAATCGCAAGGATACGATTTGCGACCTGAATGTAAGGGCGCGTCCCATATGTGCCGCCTTCCAAGTATTATTTTTTTGTGCTCTGGAAGGCGCTCTTGCGGCACTTCTGTCGGCGAGGTTCAAGGCAAGTACTATGACTGTATATGCGGGTGTGGCCCCGGAAAAAGCCGGCCAAAATAGCGGTCCTTGGGCTCGGTTAGAGGACAGACAAACAGCACCATACACATGTGTAAATCTCGTCCTAGCCTGGCAAGATATTGTCTGAGCGTTATGTGTCGTGCTCGAATCAATAGCGGCGGTAGCGTCAAGGTTGGTTACGGCGCGGCGCCGCGGGCAAGGCCTAGGAAGACTCGCCATCTCGAGAACCTCTGACCGATTGCAGCATCCGAGAGCATCGCGAGCCTTCGCACACCAGACCTCCCGCTGCAACCATATACTGAAAATTCCTACTTCTCTTGAGAAGTTATGCTCATTGATGGCGTGTAGATGTCGCACGATTTGGTTTCGTCTAGGTGCCCCGAAAAGGCCATATCAACGGTAGCTAAGGCTATTTCCGGCGCAATTTCACATCCATGACTTCTGCCTGTCGCGACTTGGGAGACTTGCATGGATGCCCGATTGACTGCCGTGTGCAGAGATAAGGCTTCTTCAGGCACTTGGCTGGCAGCTGCGGCGAATCGAATGCTTGCCCGCGGTGCCAGATGTTCAGCTTTGCTACCACAGTCATTTGCAGCTGTCCATGGCTAAACTATCGCCATCACCGAAGTACAACTGCAGTAGCTACAGTGTGACTAGCTGACTACATTTTATTGTTGCAGTTGAGCCGATGGTGTTCCAAAATCTCTCTTCGCATGGAACAGGCACGTCGAAGCTCTGTTGAACATAGGCATACCAAGCGCCCCATGAGACAAGAGAGAATCTTCGAGACCATCGGCGCAACTATCATATTGATCATATTGAATGCAATGGCACAATAAGGCGACCAATTCGACCTCGCTCTCCTAAGATGGCCATCCCTGAAAGGGCACCAGCATTCGCTGAGAGCAAGGATCGAAAAGGGCAGGGTGTTAGATATAAATGAGCTTCGAGATTCTGCGGGATTCGAAGTTGGGTCCAGGAGGTGTCTCCTGATGAGCACTGACTCCTGGATGAGGCCTTGGATTCGGGGTTTAAAGAGCTGCAGCGGTGTCCTCTAGGGACTAGTCACTTTTGGCTCAACGGTAATGCGATGCGAACCCCGAATAGGTCTGACACAGGGCACCTCCGTTGCCACCGCCTGCTCAGCAAACAGTTTTTCAATGGTCAAATGGCAAAACTCGGTATCCAAGAGGTCTATGTATGAACCAGTGAGCTGAAGGGCTGCCACCTCCGCTGCAAGCGGGTGGAATCAGTCTCCGAAGTCTTCTGGGGCTTGCCACAGCGTTCTGGTCGCTGCTCTTGATACCTGGCATCAACGGGATTGCGTATAATTCGGTGTCACTTCGTCTGACTCATCCGGAATCAACGGAGATGGACGACCTCCTGGCTGTAAATACCAGGATGCCATTGGCGATCGACTTTGCGCTGGCGTCTAATATTGGCCTGATCGGCCTGAACCATCTGAAAACTTCAGGGGCAACCACATACAAACCGAAATCTACAGTACATTGCAGAATCTAGACTTGACAAAAGTGTTTACATGTTACACGTATGCAATGCAGTGTAGAAGGCTAGTAATGTAGACCATACGAAAAATATGAGAAGTATGGAACGTCGGCATGTTTTCATCACTTGAGCTTCTTACCATTGTACATATACATCCAGCCGGTTGTCATCATCGCAAATAGGAGTATGAAGAAGGTGACGAAACGATTTACTAGCTACAGACGAGCGACACTGCAGTATATACTTTGGTACTCTATTGAAATGCGGCGCATACTTTAGCATTCTACTTGAAATGCGGCGCGTTGAGTACAATACCCATGATGAGACCGGCGATGGTACCGGCAATGGGGATCGTCATGATCCAAGAGAAGACAAGCAAGCCTACACGCTGCCAGTTCACCGCTTTGTATGTTCCATTGCAGAGTCCAACTCCTACCGTCGCTCCAGTAATGCACATCGACGTAGAAACGGGCAAAGAGAACTGGGAGAAGACGAGCACAGTCACGGCAGCGCCCATCTCCATAGAAGATCCGCGAGACGGACTGTGATAGGTCAGCTTGTTGCCCATAACGATCATGATCTTGTAGCCGTAAGTGATGAGACCAAGGGAGATTGTTGCTGAGAGCACTGCGAGCTGCCAGACAGGTACAGGTGCTTTCGCCTTTGCGGCATCGCCAGATGTCCAAGCACCATAAATGACAGCCCAGGGACCGACAGAGTTGCCGATGTCGTTAGCGCCGTGAGCGAAGGAAGCAGTGCAGGCGGTGATGATTTGAATGAAGGAGTAGGTGTGCTCGACCTCGTTGGGGTACTTTTTGGCGTGAGCGTAAACTCGTTCCATACGCCTGCCTTCAGGCGTTCCGTGAACACCAGTCTGTGCGGAGTGAATATCGTAGTGAAGTCCATAGAGGGCACCGCAGACAATCATGGCAGGGATGCGCTTGACGAGGGTGATGAGGTTGTGCTTTTCGTAGATTTCACCATCACCGATTTTGTTGTCGCGGAGAGTACGCATGGCCCAGCCGAGAGGGCCACGCTTGAGGCAGAGACGAGCGTTGAGCTTGGCCTCACCAGCAGCGACAGCCTCGGCGTATGTGAGCTCGGGAACACCAGACTCGTTGGCGTGAGGCGAGTAGGAGACGGGGCGGACCTCAGAGTTGGGTTCACCTTTGCCGGCAGTTTCAATGTCGCCGTGCTCCTTGAGAGAGTCAGCAGATGAGAGGGACTTTTCATCTTCATCCTGAACGACGGCGTAGTTGGGGACATTTGCCTGCTCGGAAGGCTGAACGATGGGACGCTTGAAGAGGAGGGGTCCGAGGGCAGCGTGGTACCACTTGACACTGGCATCCTTCCTGACGACCTTGGCGTGAACATAAGGAACAAAGAAGATGGCAGAGAGAACAGCAAGAGCTGCACCAGTGCCGACGGTCACTCCAGCAATGTACGTCGGGGGCTTCTTGTTGAGGCCGAGCTTTGGTGATCCCTTGTAGACAATAGAAAGTGTGCAGATGGTACCAGCAACAAGGAAGAAGAATGGAGCAGTCCAGACGGCCCATGGAACGGGGTTCTTGCGCATGTGAACAGTGACCTTGATGAGCATGAAGATGCAAGCACCGAAACCAGCGGCAATCGCTGGGGCCATACCGAGACCAGCAAAGATGGCACCGAGACCCTTGCCCTTGTTCCATCCCCATTGGACCTGGTTGACACCGACAGTAGCGACACCGACACCAGCAATGGCAGAAATGAGAGAGTAAGTGGAGGAAACGTGGGCCGAGTGACGTGTGCACCACATCACCCAGATGGACGCACCAGCCAAGGCACATGTGAAGGCAAGCATCTGAACACCGGCATCGCCACGGAAAGCAGCGTTGGGAATAATACCGTTCTTGATGGTATCAGCGGTACGGGCACCTACTAGAATGGCACCGAGCATCTCGAAAATAGTTCCGAGCACCATGGCCTGACGGTATGAGATGGAACGGGACGACACACTAGTAGCCCAGGCGTTGGCCACATCATCTGTCTTGTCAGCATGGAAAAGTCAAGTTGGCAAAACATACTGGCACCGTTGTTGAAGGCATCGAGGAGAGCAAAGAATGTTCCGATCGCAAACACGTAATTGTACTGCGTGAGTTTCGGCATCTTGTCGAGGAAAGTTGAACAGGTGGTTGCTACAAAGTGCCGTTGCGGCCATCCTCGCAGCTTTATACATATCAGCTGCTCGGCTCTACATACTCGTCCTGTAAATGCTCTACAGCCTTGGTTGAGGCTGTGTAACTGATCCCTATGCGTGTACACTTGCAGCGGTCCGTCCGCGCTCTTCCGCAGAGATCTAGTCGAGGGTGTGGTGTTCGAGTCAGACGCGCTGGCCAATGACGAGGCAGGATTCAGCATCGTGCACACCAAAAAGTTCAATCGCCTTCAGATCTTTGACAGCTCGCTCGCACAAAGCGTCAGAGCCTGGGCCGCTGCCTGGCCTCGCGCTCGGTCCCGCCTCAGCAAGTTTACACAAGTCTGCAGCGAGTCATATTCGACCGTTGCACCACGAGCACGCACACCTTCGAATCATGACATGTCACCGGGCTACTGAGTTACTTGTAACTTGTGACTCTCCAGCTAGTCCACTCGGGTACACAATGCTATACATGCTCCGGCTACCAAATGAATGAGCTTTGCTGTATTCGAAGCAGAAGATCCTTCGACTGTCGAGTCGCCTTGTCGACGCTGTCGTCTAGCTACTGCTGTAGTTGGACATGTGTAGTTTATGATCAGCGGGCTATTCTTCCCCGCGGTGTGCATGTGACTCGCAGAATCTAGATCTGGACAATAGGAGGTAGGGCCATAATCGCGAGCCTTGCTTGATTCTGTTACTGTTTCTTATCGACTCCTCTAAGCGAGTCGAGCTTGCCGAAGGCTGCAACTGGAGCCTGTGGGCCTTGCCACTCGGTCGATCCAAGATCAGCTGTCAAAATTTGAAGTCGACCCTCGTCCTATCGTCCTGGCTCGTGCCATTCAGTGGCATTCACACTTGTTGCTGTGCTGGCAGCGCCAGTTCGCTTCCACCCGAGGATCTCATCGCTCGAACCACAACTTGTACGCTAGTCTAACTAATCATAGCTGCAGACAGAACGGATGATCCTATTCTGGACCCACCGACACCGAGTCAGCTGCTTGAGTTTAGGCCAGTCAGTGTATGGCATGTCAGACTGTGCTGAATCAGATCAGCTTTTGAGGCCTTCAGGCTCCTTTGTCCTTGATTAGACCATCATGTACAATCGGTGTCCACGATGGCAAAGCAATTAAAGTCATTAGACTAGATCAAGCTCGAGAAAAGCAGGGCATCTCTCACGGACAAGCCAGATGGTCCTCAGACTCTTCACAGCAAATGCGGTGTACACTACTAGCACAGGGTATTCTGTAATACTGGACGTGAGAAGAGGCTTATGATCATTCTTGATTTTCGTCTAGGCAGTTGTGCTTGCTACCTCAATGCCACAAGCCGAAGGCAGCAAGTAATGAACCGCAACTGAGAACGAGCATCGCATTGTCGGCACATGTAGGCCCGTGAAGGAGAATCGAGAGAATAAAGTCAGGGGCAACTTTCTCACGGTTTCCACGACGTTTCAAATTGACAGCGTGTCCTTGTTCATCTGCTACACCAACGACATCTGCAGCTTCTATACTCTCACTCTCTACATCTCATACTATTGCTCAAGTACAAAGATGCATCTGCTTCTTCTGGCTCAGCTCGGTAGCGTAGCTGCGCTATATGGAAAGAACTCGCCCGTGATGCAGCTCGACCCAAAGACATTTGACGCTGCTGTCAAACAGACATCCAAGATCAGCTTTGTAGAGTTCTTTGCTCCTTGGGTAAGCTTAAGTAGTGTCAGATTATGATGCTGACTCTAGTGCGGACACTGCAAGAATCTGGCTCCCACATATGAGAAGGTGGCAGCAAGTCTCAAGGGAATGGTCAACTTTGCCGCTGTGGATTGCGACAATGACTCCAACAAACCGTTGTGCGGCGAGTACCAGGTTCAGGGATTCCCAACCATCAAAATCATGATTCCAGAGGTTGACAAGAATGGCAAGCACAGTGTCCGGGTTGAAGACTACAAAGGGGGCCGCACTGTTGCAGCCATCGCCGACTTTGCCGTACGCTTGATGCCCTCCAGGGTCAGGAAGCTCAAGTCCGGCGAGATCAGCGACTTTTTGTCAAAGGAAAATGCCACGACCAAAGTGTTTCTGTTTTCCAAGAAGGGCGCCACTTCGTCCATCTACAAGTCTCTCTCGACGTCCTTTGACGATGCCATCTTTGCTCAGGTTCGCAACGAAGTCACGGACGCCGTTGAGCTCTTTGGAGTCGACACCTTCCCAAAGCTTCTTGTTGTTCCTGGTGGTCAGACAGAGCCTGTTGTATATGACGGAGAGATGAAGCTGGACCCCATGCGAAAGTTCATCGCCGAGTATGCCACACTCCTGCCAGAAGCCACTGAAAACGAGTCAAGCAGCAAGTCCGCCAAGGAGGCCGAGGAGGCAGCCAAAAAGAAGGCTGCAGCTGCCGAAGCGTTCCTCCAGTTTGACAAGGTGGAGACTGCCGAAGATTTGGCATCTAAATGCCTATCTGCCGGGCAGAAAAAGTCGTGTGTCCTTGCCCCTGCACCCTTGCTAACAGATCTCAACTTCAAGGTCAAGCAAAAGGAGTTCAAGTTTGTGGAATACGCAGGAGAGGCAGCGATGGTGCTCCAGATGCTGTCCATTCCTACTGATGAGGTGGTATTCATCAACGGCAAGAAGGGATGGTACATTGTCGCTGAAGGGTCGCCAAGGACAAAGGTCGACTTGCAAGATTGGATCGATCGCGTTAAAGCTGGCGATCTGGCTTCAAAGAAGCAAGAGTTTGTCATGAAGAAGGACGAGCTCTAGTCATTGTTTACGTTATTTAGAATGCGAATAGCCTAGACGCCGCATTACCTGCCATGCGTCTGACAAAGCCCGAGCTTGCTTGAGAGGCAATAGAGTTGGCCCACTTCTTTTTTGCATCCTTGTCGCATCGTGTGTAGGCCATGGCATTCGCACCGCTCAAGATCATGGCAATCACAACCAGTGTCAGCCAAACAAATTCAAACTTGATGATGGCGATAAAGGCAAGGCCGAACCAGATGACGGGCGTGCCATAGAGCACACCCCAAAAGACACGCTGGTCTGTAGCATTGACTTCGACCGACTCATTCGCAGATTCAAAGAGCCAGATGGATGCGCCCGTCTCGTCAGTTTCATTCCACCAACGCAATCCAACCAGCAGACGCCCCGCGACATTCTTGACTGTCCAAAAGTCGAATGCCAGCAGCAGGATGATGAGAATGAAGATGAGAATAAAGTTGCTGGTAAAGATGAGGCCTAGGATGTAGGTGAGGATGGCGCCTGTGCGAAAGGCGAGAAAAAAGACGAGTGCGATTGGATGTGAAGATAATTGGAAGATATGGCGCGATGCCTGAGCATCATTGCTGGAAGCCGATGTCGCTGGAGCTGGCAGAGACATGCTGACAATCAAGGCCTCTCACTTGATTGAGTGATTGCCGGTCGTTGTGGTCGCGTTGTAGTTCGTCATGCGCAGAGTTGGCCATGTCACAAATACGCCCGAGACAAAGACACCAAGCAGCTGCCTCGAGCAACATTTGGCTGATGCAAACTCTACATGTCTGATTACGCCGACAAGCTAAGCAATGGGCGCCTGCGAGCCGAAAGGCCGAGCAAGTCTATGCGAACAAACTCCTTCAACGAACGCTATATCTTGCCGCTGACAGACTATCCGATCCACACAACTTATGAAGATGCGGATGAAGAGCTGGCCATGCAGGCTAGAATAGAGTCTGTTCGAGACTTTGTCAAACGCAATCAAGGCTTGCTGCTCATTGCTCTGTCGCAATTCTTCTTTTCCTCGATGAATGTGTGGGCCAAGCTACTGACAGACGTCAAGCCGCCTGCAGTTCCAGTCTCGACATTTCAACTCATCTTTGTACGCATGAGCCTGACTTATGTTTGCGCAGTCATCTACATGGTGACGCAAAAAGTGGACGACTGGTTCCTCGGGCCAAAGGAGGTCCGAGGCTTGTTGGTCCTTCGAAGTTGTGTCGGCTTTCTTGGCTTGTTTTCCATCTATTTTTCGCTCAGATACTTGCCCTTGTCTGATGCGACTGTACTGACCTTTCTTGTTCCTTGTTGTACACTCGTCATGGGCTTCTTCTTTCTAGGCGAGGGCTTTTCTAAGAAGGAAGCGGTAGCTGGCCTGATTGCCCTCGGCGGCGTTGTGTTTATTGCCCGGCCAGTAGACCTCTTTGGCGGTTCATCACATGATGTCGAAGGAGAAACAACCAATGCTCAACGGCTAACGGCTGTTGGTGTCTCACTCCTCGGGGTCCTTGGCGCATCGGCTGCCTATGTCACAATCAGGCGCATTGGCAAGCGCGCACATGCGCTCATTTCAGTGTCCATGTTCTCGCTTTGTTCATGTCTTATTAGTCTGATTGGACTGATTGTGACGAGACAAGCGGTTGTCGTACCAAAAGGCAAAGGAATGCTCTACCTCTTGTTGATGGGCTTGGCTGGCTTTGTAGCGCAGTTCCTACTGACGATGGGGCTGCAGCGAGAAAAGGCAGGACGTGGATCCAGCGCATTATACCTGCAGCTGTTGTTTGCTGTGGTTTGGGAAAAGGTCATCTTTGACACAACGCCGGACATTTGGAGCGGCATTGGCATATTGCTGATTTTGGCGAGTACGCTCTATGTCGCCCTGTCTACCCAGGCCAAAGTGGTTGTTCCTGAATCGTCACCTGAGGAGCAGGTGCTGAGAAGAGATTCAAGCAGCAGTAGCCAGGGTACGATTGTTAGCAGCGAGGGTGAGTTGGCTGAGGGACGGAGAAGGGAAGAAGCCATCTGAATAACTCTCTGCGCCACATCTGCGCCTCGACTCAAAAAAAGTCGAGAGAAAGCAGCACAGCAGCACACATTCAAGCTTCAAGTAGAAGCCGACGAAGGCCTGGAGGAGGCCCTGAGCTACAAATTAAAGGATGGTCAAGTCATATACAAGGTACGAGCTAGAGCACGTCTTTGGTGTTGTCGTATCCACTCAATCCAATGCCATCTTCCTGGCCGACCCGAAAGCAGGCGCATCAAGCGGGCGCGCGGTTGTCGCCGCCCTTGAACGAGTCATTGTCTGGGATGTCAAGAAGGGAGAGAAGCTCATGTCTTGGATAGACCCGGACTGCAAGGCTGAAGTAACACAGATGGCACAATCACCGGCAGATCAAGATATATTTGCCGTTGGCTACAGCGACGGCTCTATTCGTCTGTGGACCATGGCATCTGGGCAGCTCATCGTCACCCTCAATGGACATCGTTCGGCCATCACTTCACTGGCATTTGACTTGGATGGCATGCGGCTTGCATCAGGCTCGCGCGATACAAACATTGTCCTGTGGGACGTCATTGCAGAAGTCGGCATCACTCGGCTCAAGGGCCATCGCGATCAAATTACAGCGCTACTCTTCTTGGAAGTCGATGGAGCAAGTCATTTGCTGTCTACAAGCAAGGATGCCTTCCTCAAACTTTGGGATCTGACGACATCGCACGCTGTTGAGACACATACCGCACATCGTGGCGAAACGTGGGCGCTGGCGCAAAGCCCAGATGGGTCGACATTGGCAACAGCTGGCCAGGATGGAGAACTCAAGTTATGGTCCATCAATGCCAAAGCGCAGCCGGCCAACAATGAAAAGGTATTTGCTTGCCTGGGCTCATTGCCACGGCAGTCCAAGGCGCGACCAGTGACTTTGGCATATCACGCAAGTGGATCCTATCTTGCAATTCAAGGTGCAGACAAGGCTGTTGAAATATTTCGAATCCGACCAGCAGATGAGTTGGAGAAGCTTCTCAAACGCCGGCGGAAAAGACTGGCAGCCAAGGACAAGGCCGAGCAGGAGACGGCTGAGATCAAGTTTGACGACAAGCATGTTTCCTATGTGACGCTTCGCTCCAGTCACAAGATTCGTTCTATTTGCTGGTCACCTTCGCCTAATTTGACTCTGCTCTGTGCGCTTCACAACAATTCGCTCGAAGTTTATACCATACCACCAGCAGAGTCTCTCAGCAGCAAGCACGAGGTACCTGAATACATCAAAGCACATGCGCTCGAGCTGCCAGGCCATCAAGCAGAAGTGCGGACCTTGACGCTCTCCTCTGCCAACGACATTCTCGCCACCGGCTCAGATGGCTTGCTCAAGCTGTGGAACATCAACAGTGGTGCATGTATCCGCACTATTGAATGCGGCTACTGCCTTGCACTCACATTCATCTTGCAAGATCGGTATATTGTTGCCGCCACCAAGGAAGGCAAGTTGCAACTCTTTGATATTGCAAGCTCTACGCTGGTTGAGACGCTCGATGCGCATGAAGGTGCCGTCTGGTCGCTTCAAGTACATCCTGATGGTCGAACGCTTGTTACAGGCTCTGCAGACAAGACTGTCAAATTCTGGCGATTCGAGACGACCCAAGTCGATGTGGTAGGCACAACGAGACAAACACAGCGACTGACGCTCAAGCACGCCAAGACGCTCAAATTGACGGATGATGTCTTGTCAGTACGTTTTTCACCGGATGCTAAATTACTCGCCGTCGCCTTGCTGGATGCTACTGTCAAGGTCTTTTTCGCAGACACGCTCAAATTCTTTCTCTCACTTTATGGCCACAAGCTCCCGGTGCTCAACATGGACGTTTCTTCAGACAGCAAGATGCTTGTGACGTGCTCAGCAGACAAGAACGTCAAGCTTTGGGGTCTTGATTTCGGAGACTGCCACAAGAGTATCTTTGCACACAACGATGCCATTCTGCAAGTGGCATTTGAGCAAGAAGGCCACAATTTCTTCACGTCCGGTCGTGACAAGAAGATCAATTACTGGGATGGCGACCGCTTTGAGAATATCCTACGATTGGATGGCCACCATGGCGAGGTTGCAGCGATGGCAGTCAGTGGCGACAGCGAGTTTGTCGTCTCCTCTGGTCACGATTGCAGCATTCGTGTTTGGCGGCAGTCTGACGATCCCGTCTTTTTGGAGGAGGAGCGAGAGAAGGAGATGGAGGAGATTTACGAAGATCAACTTGCTGACTCGCTGCAACGCACCGAGATGAATGAGATGACTGACGAGGGCGAAGAAGCTGGACGTGCAGGACAAGCCACGACAGAGACATTGACGGCAGGTGAAAAGATTATCGAGGCACTCGAGATTTGCGAAGCGGACCGGCTCATGATGCTAGAGTATGAACGGCAAAAAGTGCATCGACCTGCAATGACGGTGCCCCAGCGGAGTCCTGTGCTACACGTCCTGAATGTGTCTGCAGAACGGCATCTTCTCAATATCTGTCAGGCAGTCAAGCCCAGCCATTTAGAGGATGCTTTGCTGATATTGCCATTTGACAAAGTCTCGACATTTCTCATCTTCCTCGACAGCTGGGCGCGCCATGCATGGAACATGCCGTTGACGACCAAGATTCTGATGGTATTGATTCGGATGCACCATGCACAGATTGTGGCGAATCAACTGATGCGGCCAATGCTGGACGCAGTCCGCACCCACCTGCGACAGGCTTTGCAACGGCAAAAGGATTTGATGGGCTTCAACCTCGCTGCTTTGGGCTTCTTACAACGCGATCATGCAGCCAATACGCAGACTGACTTTGAGGAACCGGTAGAGCAGCCCGTCAAGCGTGCATTTGCGACGATTTCTTAGAGAGCTAGAGTTGGATATAGCTTCATTTGACCGTGATGTGCAGCACGACACTGTCCTTCAACATAAGATTTGAGCAGCCAGAATGTCTTGCCAGTGATGCATTCACTAATGGTGGTCGATGTGTCTGTAGCAGAGAAGCGTCTGACTTTGCGGATCGATACGAGACCGCCATTCGCGACACTCTCATACAAGTGCAGCCTCTGACGCTTGGAGATGATTTGTGTGCCAAGGACTTCTGGCTTGTTGGTGATGCCTAGTGTCTTGATCTTTTCTACGAGGTGGAAGTGCAGACGAGTACAAGCTTCAGTATCAGGTGTTTGTGCATCATGTCCTTTGTATCGCAGCTCGCTGTCTAGATAGACTTGATCCTGCTTGAGAATATCAATCGAGACTGTAGTCGGCGACAGCTTCATTGACTTGATGAACATATCTGGAGTAGAGAAGCTTTCAAAGACGGCATCGAGCTGCTTGTTCAAAACGACTTGGAAGTCGGAGGTAAAGGACATGATTGGATATGTAGATTGTGGACAAGCTCAAAACACAAAAAGCAAACTCAGGGCCGCACGCGAAAAGGGAAAGGAGACATGGGGTGGTACTCACCGCTGAGTCACCAGCCCTGTGTACCAGGTGGGCCTTTGACACCCTGTGGACCACCGTCCATATCTTGTGTCATCCAACCGCCATAAAAGTCTGTTGTCAGCAAGTGAGATGTAAAAGGCTAGATGGTCTGTACCGCCTGGCTGAGGGACGACGCGCTCGCCGTCGACAAAGCACTCAAATGGGTCTGCATAGAAGCTAATGTACCCCTTGATGGGCATGAAACGCTCTGTAGGCTTGAGATAAGTCCAGCAACGGCTGCTGATTGTGCCCTGCGGCGTGTGCACGTCATAGTAGCTCGCACTGCCCTTCCACTCGCAGTAAGTTGAGCGGGCGTTTTGTTTGAAGGCTGTCATGTCTATGTCTGTAGGTGGAATATAGTATGTGGGAACATGATGCGTCTCGAGTACCCAATAAGCACCTGAGGGGCAGTCTGCAATAGTGCGTCCATTCAGCTTGACGACGAGGTGTCGCCTACAAAGCTCGAGAGCCGGTGGCCTGGGGAAGGAGTGTACATTGAGCTTTGTTCCTTTCTTAGCAGCGAAGGACATGGTAAGTCAGAGAGTCAGAAATCAGAGTAAGTAGCCAGAGAGTAAGTAGTCAAAGTAGTTGAATTATGTCAGCTGCCTCCTGTGACTGTCGCGCCCAGAAAACAAAAAATAAATTCAGACTCAGACACAGAGACCAGCACACAGGACAGAGCAGCACCACCAACTCGACAAATCAGCAAATATGGGTCGCATGCACAGTAAAGGAAAGGGAATGAGCTCCTCTGCTCTTCCCTACTCGCGCACACCTCCATCGTGGTGCAAGGCAGACGCATCCGAGGTCTCAGAGCAAATCTTCAAGTTTGCCCGCAAGGGTATGACTCCCTCGCAGATCGGTGTTGTCCTCCGTGACTCCCACGGTGTGCCTCAGGTCCGTTTCGTGACGGGAAACAAGATTCTCCGTATCCTCAAGTCAAACGGTAAGTACATCCATTGAAGGGCGAGAAGGATGGACGGATTGGTAGGCGCTGTTGCTGTACTCACAACCACAGTGCCCTCCTCTTGGTTACCTTCTCTGCCTCCTATATGCCTCTGTTCGGTCATGTGCTGACAGAGTGATTTTTCAGGTCTCGCACCAGACATCCCAGAAGATCTCTACCACCTCGTCAAGAAGGCCGTCCAGGTCCGCAAGCACCTCGAGCGTAACCGCAAGGACAAGGACTCCAAGTTCCGTCTTATTCTCATCGAGTCGCGTATCCACCGTCTCGCACGTTACTACCGTCGCGTCTCTGTCCTTCCTCCCACCTGGAAGTACGAGTCCGCTACGGCATCCACTCTTATTGCTTAAGATGTGTTCACTGAGCGAGCTGCTCGTCACGACCTCTTTCTTCATAGCAATACACATGCATTTTTGAAAATCTACATCGTTGTCTTGACCCTATCTTTGTATGCTGAAGGTCACGCTGAAAGGACTCGCCTGTTCATTGTCATTCAATTCATGCATGGATACTTCACCTGGATACATCGAATGCTGCCGCAGGCTTGCCCTTGTTTTCTGGCACCGTCTGCCACATTCTAAACTTGAGCCAAACTGCCTCAAAGTCATGCGGCGTTTGTGTCTCGCGTGCACTGCTAGCACTGCGCCAGTAATGGGCAAGTTCAAGGTACTCACCGAGCACAAGCAGTGGTTGACTGGGCCTTTGGTCATTAGCAATTTATTAGTTGAATCGAGTAGCACATACTTGTTGACGGCAAGCCACTTCATACCATGCAAGAGCCAGTCTGCAACGCGTTCCTGCAGGTACTCGCGGACGGGTGCTTTACCCACTTCCTCAGCAATCGCGTCGTGACAATTCGCAACGGATGTCGCACGCGACATGGGTTGTGATGCGGTTGCTGCAGCCACTGCTGTGACTGCCTTGGGTACAGCTGACACTGAGGATGGCTGACTCTCTTGAGGCTTATCCTCTGGTATTGGTGCTTCCTCAGATGAAGCAGAGACAGCTGCAGCTGGGTCTGCAATGGCAGTGGGAACATCGGTCGTTGCCACAGGCGCAATAGCCTCACCTGCTGCCACGGCCGGAGATGCTTGTATCGTGGGATGCTCCTTGGCTATATCTGCTGGCGCGTCTGTAATACGCGTCTCAGGCAGCTGAGTCGCGTCCCTGCCTGTATCTTCACTTGCAGCAGCGGGCACCGCGTCGGTCATGTCTGTATCTTCTGTTCCTTTTGCCTCGCTCGTATTTTCTGGGGCAGTAGACACATCAGCAGGTGTAGCTTCAGCTTGAGACGGGGCAGCAGAGTCCTGAACTGCGTCAGACATGCTCCTACGACAACTAGACGGATGGTCGAGGGTGGTTGTGGTGACTGAGTCCTCTTCAGATGTCACAACTCGTTCAGCTGCTGTATTCTGTGTACTATATGTATCATGTATGGTACTATGGTCCCATCGTAGCCGGAAAAGAGACAGAGGCCACTACAAAGGCAATCGGACAAGAAGCCTAGTCGGCAATGATGACAGAAGCAACACCCATACCAGTGCCAACGCACATCGAGGTGACAAGCACCTTCTTGCCTGATCGACGCAGCTCAGACACGCCCGTAGCAATCTGGCGGGCACCAGTACAGCCGAGTGGGTGACCCAATGCAATAGCACCACCATTGACATTCACCTTGTCCATTGGCAATCCCAGGACACGGCACGAGTACAGGGCCTGCGAGGCAAAGGCTTCATTCACCTCAAATAAATCCACGTCAGCCACAGTCAAGCCAGCAAGCTTGAGAGCCTTGGGGATGGCGAGAGCTGGGCCAATGCCCATGACTTCAGGGTCACAGCCAATAGCCGTAGCGCAGACAAAGCGAGCAAGGATGGGCAAGTTGAGCTCGAGGGCCTTGGAACGCTTCATCATGAGCACACCGGCACAACCATCCGTGACTACTGTTAGTGTTTTCCTGTCACATGAGAGTGACTTACTCTGACTTGAGTTTCCACCCGTCGAAGCACCGCCCGAGGGACCAGCGAATTTGCCAAAGGCAGGCTTGAGCTTTGCAAGGGATTCCTTGGTGGTTCCATAACGAATACCATCATCTTGCGTGACCGTCACCATCTTTGCCTCACCCGTCTTGGGATCCTTGACCTGGACCGTCACTGGAATAATCTCTGCTTCAAAGCGACCTGCCTTTTGTGCGGCTTCTGCCTTTTGGAAGCTCGAAGCTGCAAATGCATCTTGGTCAAGACGGCTGATATTGTAACGAGAGGCAACATTCTCGGAAGTCCAGCCCATTGGCATGGTACAGTCCTTGGCCTGCGCATTGGCAAGGATCTCCTCGCTTAAGACGGGGTCGGCGCGGGGTGCAGCAGACATGCTCTCTGCACCCAGTGCGAGACCCACTTCAATCTCACCGGAGCGAATAGCATTCGCAATGGATTGCGTAGCCACCAAACCAGAGGAACACCAACGGTTCAGCGTGTGCAGCGAGGTGGAGGAGGGGAAACCAGCAGCCAAGGCGGCACCACGCGCACTGTATGCAACGTTACTGCCGCCCGAGACATTGCCGACGCAGATATCATCCACGACGGCAGGGTCGATGCCAGAGTTCTGTGCAAACTCACGGAGGATGGCTAGGACGAGGAGGTCGACTGGAGTGTCCTTGAAGGGCCCCTTGAAGCCCTTACAGAGCGGGGTGCGGACGGCCTTGATGATGACAACATCATCGGCAGAGCCAGTGATGTGCGATGCAATTTGACGGAGACGGTTGGTCATGATGAGAGATGGATGGAGGAGAAGAAAGTACGGGGTTCAAGGTGATGGATGAGTTTGCGGAGAGGCAGCGGCGGGGAGCGAGAGTCCGAGGCGCCGGCTCAGATGGGAAGGCAGAAGAAGTCAACAGATTGCTGCTACCTAGAATTGGGCAGCTGTGTGACAGAGACACCGCGAGTCTTGCGCAGCCATGTCAGCACATCAGGCGCAAGGACTCCCTTGTCAATGATCAGCCGACGCAAATCAGGCTGCAGCTTAGTCAGTCTGAGCACTGCCGCCGACTCAATTCGATTACATACACCGAGATCTATTGTCCTGAGGGTGCTGCACGTATCACCAACGGCATTGAGCACGTCCCCGTCAACATACTTGGCATGGGAACATCCAAGCCACTGCAAACGCGGGAAGCACCGAACATAAAACTGCAGCTTCTCAGACTCCGTTTCGCAATGGGAGAACTCAAGACGTGTGACGGTCTGGCCAAACGAGGCCCAGGCAGAGTCCATCCAAACAGGACGACCAAATGACTTGAGGTCATGGAAGATGAGCGTCTTGAGCGGTGGATACTTGCCTGACTTGGTCTTTGGCATTTCAGTGGTTGTGCGCCAATAGAAATGCTCTAGGTGATCTGGCACAGCAGGCTCGATGAGGGCACCTGGCACAACATTTTGCCCAGTACGAAGGTCAAATGTGCACTGAATCTTCTTCAGGGTCGGAGGCCAAGCAACACGTCTCTCGTCTGGCCACAACAAAGCGCCAATCCCAGCCAAAAAGAAGGTTTCCAACTTTGGCATCTTCCATTGTGCTGCATCTGTTAGGGAGGCACCATCCAGCATCTGCCCGCCGATAGGAAAGACTAGCAGTAGCGTTTGCAGATTGGGCGCGGTGATCTCAGCAAACGTGTCTAGTCGTCTGGCCGTTGCGAGGATATGCGCGGAAAAGGTTTGGAGATTTGGCAAGGCAGAGATGATTTGGGCCGCCTGTTGAAATTTGGGGCAGCGATCAAAAGGGGAAGGCCCAGCCAAGTCGAGCACCTGCAGCTGTTTCATGGTTCGCAGGGCGGGGTACGAACCCTCATTCAAACCACAGCGCAGATTCGTGAGCTGTGAGCCGAGCCCGCGTTGCATCACGAGCTTGTTGATGTCTGCCTCGATACGCAGTGTCTTGAGTGTGCCCCTTGACCGTATGACATACGTCTCAAGGGCTTTGGAATTTGGGACTTTGGCATGGCCTGTAGAGTCCATGTACTGCCAGAAATAAGGTGATTTGGTGATGGTCCTGTGCCAGGCCTTGGAGACTCTGCTGGCACGCACACAGTCAGCCATACTGCAGTTGCTGAATATTTGCCAGACAATCTCCACTGGAAGCAGTGTGAATGGATCTCGTTCTATGCGAGACCCTCGGATACGCTTTTCGACTGCAGTCTTCATTTGAGAAAGTACTTTACGCAACGGCGCCGTGTCTGGCGTGTTGGTGAGACCACGATCATAGTATTTCAGGGCCGACTCGTCCTTGTTCATGAGCTGGTAGATCTTGCCTGCCCTCAGATAGCCCTTGTCGTTAGCATCAAGCACAAAGTAGTCATGGACATGCCTTGATGTTGTGCTTGTCAATTTGGAGCATGCGTTTTGCATCTTCCAGGGCTTCTTGCAGCTGGCCCGTATTCTCATAGCAGGATGCTCGCCTGTCAAAGCGAATGATGTCTGGCGATGCAATGGATGCATTGATGAGCTGATGTAAGACTTTGCCGGTGAGAGGACTCAGCATACTTTGGTGTAGAGCCTTATAGCTGCACTGTAGTGGCCTGCCTTGATGAGGTTGGCGGCCTGGGTGTCCAAGCTTTCAGCAGACATGGGAGAGATGACTATAGCATAGATGGGCTTCAGAGATACAGGAGCAGGCCTAGCATTGACCAGTATTAGACTCAGTATTAGACTCAGTATTAGACTCAGTATTAGACTCAGTATTAGACTCAGTAACTGTAGAACCAGAACTACGCGACCTGAGTGCACGTGCATGGAGTGAAGCAGCAGCGAGGAAGACAACGACGGCGACCAAGAGACACCCAACCAGCATCCCATCGCCGCCAGAGTCTAGCAGCAACAGCAGAAGCAGCAGTGTGATTCGTAGACAAGGGCGTCGCAGCATCCAGTATAGACACATCTGTCCAGGATCCGCAACCCCGGGAAACCCAGCTCATACACCGCCTGCTCCACCGCGACGCATTTGTTTCGCAATAGAACCGATTGCATCACCAACACGGCCACTGTGACACAGCAGATTTGCTCAACACGCAGCCTGCAACAACTCAGAGACCCGGGCCATCAGCATGACGGACGATGGGCCCACCCACAATTGGAAGTTCGCGCAGTAAGTTTGATGACGCATTCAACGCGACCCTTCCCTTGACTGACACATTGTTTCAGGTGCTTTGGCGATAAAGGCGACGTCGAAGATGTCACAGAAGGTAGGTGCCTCATGCCTTTGCACACATACTAATTCCGCAGCCGACATTATCAGCACGGTAGAGTTCGACAGTACAGGCGATTATCTCGCCTCCGGTGATAAGGGAGGACGGGTGGTGCTCTTTGAGCGCAATCACTCGGTACGGCTGCATACACTGCTCAATCCAGACTAATCCTCAAGAAAAAAGGCTGCGAGTACAAGTTCTACACCGAGTTTCAATCGCATGAACCAGAGTTTGACTACCTCAAGTCCCTCGAGATTGAAGAGAAGATCAACAAGATCAAGTGGTGCCGTCGACAAAATTCGGCCCACTTCTTGCTCAGCACGAATGGCAAGTCTCTCGCCTGCCTGGACACCGCTAACAGCAGACAAAACCATCAAGCTCTGGAAGGTGTTTGAAAAGTCCCTCAAGGTGGTTGCGGAAAACAATCTGAGTGATGGGTATGCACAGCAAAACATGTTTAGCGCAGAGACACTCCGTTTACCGCGCATGACCCATCACGACACGATTGTGGCTTCGGTCCCGCGACGGACTTATGCCAATGCTCATCAGTACCACATCAACTCCATCAGCGTCAATTCAGACGGCGAGACGTACATTTCTGCAGATGACTTGCGCATCAATCTTTGGAATCTGGGCATTCAAGACCAATCGTTCAATATTGTTGACATCAAGCCCGTCAACATGGAAGAGCTGACAGAGGTGATTACTGCTGCAGAGTTTCACCCGACGCACTGCAACCAGTTCATGTATAGCAGCAGTAAAGGCACCATCAAACTGGCCGATATGCGGGAGTCTGCGCTGTGTGATCAACACGCGAAACGTAAGCTACCGCAATCCACTACAAAACTAACAATAGTGTTTGAGGAAGAGGAAGACGTCGTCAACAAGTCATTCTTTTCAGAAATCATTGCGTCCATTTCGGACGTCCGTTTCTCCAAAGACGGCAGGTATATCCTCTCGCGGGATTACCTCACCCTCAAGATCTGGGATGTAAACATGGAGAAGAAGCCAGTCAAGACCATCAACATGCATGACCCACTCAAAAACAAGCTCTGCGATCTTTACGAAAACGATTGCATCTTTGACAAGTTTGAGTGTACATTCAGTGGCGATGGCAAGCACGCCTTGTCTGGCAGCTACAACAACAATTTCATGATTTACCCAACGGACCCGAGCGATTCATCAGCAGAGCAAGCAGTCTTGCTGCAAGCAGATAAGAGTGCATTCAAGGCGAAGAAGGGCAGCGACAGGAAAAACAAGGCAGGTCGCGGCTTCAGTCCGGCGCCAAAGAGCTCGATACCGGTCTTGGATGCAGACAAGATGGACTTTTCAAAGAAAATCCTGCATTCGAGCTGGCATCCGCGTGAAGACTCCATTGCGATCGCTGCAACAAACAATGTAAGTTGCTCATTCCTCAGTATTTGCTAACAAGCTAGCTGTTTGTCTTTTCGACTCTGTAAATACATTTCCTGCCAAAGCCTTGCACAAGAAGGGCGATGTAGCAGGTGCCTGACATGCTCGGATAGAAAAGACTCTGTTCTTGTGCCAATATATAGTAACGGTGCTAGTAGTCCTGCTTCCCTGTGTCGGTGACTGACTCTGATGCAGGCTCGCTGCCAAAATATGTTTCTTCCTGGTCCCGTGTTGAAGTGACATTCACACCAAGCGATGCATCATAATCAACTTGTCGATAGGGAAAGTTTTCAGCTTGACCACTTAAGACTTGTTCCACTGCTGTTCTGCGAGCCTTGTCGTCAGCAGTCTCGTCATCACTCTCTTCTTCGACTAGATTGCTAGCTTGTGACAAAGCTTGTTGTGCCCTACGATCTGCGTCGTAAAATGCAAGAAGGTGCTTCGATATAGGGCCACCTATCGGGTCATCAGCCTCTTGAGCGCTGTACGCGTCAGTCAAGGTAGGATGTACTGAGAAGTATATACATTGGATTCGCAAAATCATCAGCTAGTTCATGCAAAGTGCTGAAGTATTCAGGCGTGGAGCGAAGGTACTGCAAGCGACGATTCCGCTTTGTAGTTTCAGAAGGCTCTACATTCAATTCTTTCGAAGCTGGAGCTGCCATGTCTCGAACAAGCGAAAAGCGACCAGCAGCCAAGATGTCGTCGATATTCGAATACTTCAGATGGCAACTCAGACCTCGGGGAACCGATACCCTATAGGCTATAGACAGACTACTTCAATCTGGATATACCAAACGAGTTTTAGGCTCCCTGTATACCTCTCGGCGCGGGAGATCCATATCGTTCTCGGAACGAAGCGCAGCATGTGCCATAGCCAGGGTCTTGGCTGGATCGCGCGCCTTTGCAATACAGTCGCCAATCTCATTTGTAGGTTGATGATGCGGTGGCATGGCTCTTCGATTGTTAAATTTGTTGACTTTGAGTCGCGGAAGGGGCTGATTAATGAGTTCCTCATGCTCATCCCTAGTGTACATCACGAGAGCAGGTGACGATCGTGGCGGTGGAGGTGAGGAGATGGCTTTGCCTAGACAGCTAGGAGATGCCGTTGTTGAATCGGCGAGCAGGACAGGCTCAATCTTCGTTCGTCCAGCGAGACGATTTTCAGCATGCCTTGTCCGCAAAAATTGTTTAGTAGGGTACTTTGGAAGCGGCTGAATAGTCAAAAGCGATTCGGCACTGGGTCGTTCTGCTGATGTCGACGGTTTGTGACGCTCGAGGCTCTCAACTTGCATCCTGACGACGCTGCTTGATCCAGAAGTGCAGGGATCCACTTTCTTTGTCAGATCGATAGGCTCATCTGGAATGGTGATGTACGCCGAGGTGCCTGTATACACACAGTCTGCCAATGGCTTTGCTCTAGTCACAGCTTTGAATGCTCTGGTCCCTTGTAGTAGGACAGCATTCTTTTCCTTGCCAAGCTCTTTCGACGCCACGTTCACCACAATAGGTCCTGGTGCCGGTGGGTTTGGGTTTGTAGGTTGCTCGGTCGGCTTTCTTTGCGGAGAAGCCTTCGATAATGAGATCCCGGGTATGGGCGCATCTGCGCGAGGCTCGACAGGCGGAACAGCAGTTTGGACATGAGGAGCAGATGGAGCTGCTTCTTGTTTGGCAGCAGCTGGAGGCACTGCTCGTACGTCTGCAGCGAGCGGTCCAGCCTTCGCTACATGTGCAGTGACGCCTGGTGGCGCCAGGATACCGTACGGTCGTTTATCATTTGGATCAAGCCTCCGTTTCTTTTTGGGTGGTGCAGCACGCACGACTTGGGGCACTTGGTCATATATGCCGGGTGCAGGAACTCCTGCGAGATCGCGCATCTGGGCAAGCCTAACAACTTCGCGCGCGATTTGCTGGTCATGACGCGCATCTTCCACTGGGAGGTTCTGCCACTGAGGAAATTGTTGATAAGGTGCACGATATCCTCTCGGGAGCGGAGGCAGCGGAGGTACGACAGGACGCTGCGGTGGCGCAGGGTCGTCTTTGCCGAATTGGAACAATTCTCTCTCCAGAGACTTGTTTTGCTCGACCTCTTCAGTGCGGATCGCCTTTTCCCTGGCTGCTTTGATTTCTTGGTCCTAGAGTCAGCATGTCACTGAAGTGCGCGCGCGACTTTACATGTCTGTTGATGCCTTTGTCCCATAGAGGACACTTGCCAAAATGCTCATAACCACTCACCACCGCCTTGCAGATATAGCAAGTCTTTGTTCTACAGGAACGACATGTGATGAGGTTGCATCCATCTTCCTTGACAAAGCGTCTGCCGTTAGCATTGCTAACATAAAGAATGCTTACGCTTTGCAGCCAGGACAGGTTCTGACCAGTGCTTCAGTCATTTGATCAGCGACCCGATGTTGAGCAGCCGATTGATCATTATTCGCTGCATCTTCACATGACTTGCCGGTATGTGCTTCCTTCTCGCAAGAAAGGCAAGTCTTTTTGCGGCAGTCGAGATTTGGGCAGTCAAACACAGTCTCCCCTCCATCAACGATTCGCGCTTCGCCACAGAAGGAACAATTCTTGAGGTCCGTTGACGAGGCTTTGAGCACACTCGCAAGGGCTTCCAGCTTGTCGAGGGCCTGCATTTTGGTTCTGTCTAGGAACTGCTGGCGTTGCTGTATACAGAAATCAGCCTTACAGCCGCTTTGATCGACGCAGTGCATTGCCGCATAGTCGTTACTGCCTATTGCATGAGAGGCAAGCTGTTCAAGGCATTCTTTGCAGTATAGATGGCCCTCGTTGCACTGCGCAAGTTCATCGGCGCGAACGTCTGTAAAGCAGCAGGCGCATTCTAGCTCAGGCAGCTGGCTCATCCAAGAAGCAGAGGAGATGCAAGCTGTAGTCTATAGGCCATCCAGTAGTCTGTATCACTCAAGCAAGTCTCGTCCAGCTCAGCGTTCACGCGTTGTGGTTTGTTATGACGCTGACCCGCTGCAGTTCGCCATTATCTAAGCGAGCCAGCAGATGAACAGCCGCCTCTGACCAACACAAGCATCCTATCCAGGCGCCCAGTATCTTCTGGCAGCCATGGGTGTACTCAACAAGATCAAGGACAAGCTCGACAAGCACGTCCCCAGCTCGAGCTCCAAGAAAGCGCATGAACAAAAGCTGGTTGAAGACCCGATTCGACACACCACAGTGGAGCCTTCCATCAATGTGCCGCTCGAGGAGGGCGACATGTTCCACACAACAGGGCTCGTCACAGATGATCCTCTCAAGGACAAGCGCTACACGTCTAGTGGATTGCGCTCAAAGACGGAGCTGCCAGACACACAAGGCCTGATTCAAGGCATGGAGCACCTCGCTGTGGCTGGTCAAGAGCGAGACACTCACGGCTTACTGCGCGGCATGTCGCCTGCCCTTTCCATCAAATGCGGCCCCCTTTTGCGCTATGTTGACACCGACTTCAGGGCAGCTCAGCCAGTTTGGCAAGGCTCCGTATTAATTGTTGCTATTGACGGCGAGTCGGACTATGCCTCGCGACCGGCGCTCAAGTTGAGCACCGGCCAGGATGTTGCCGGAGAGGTGCTACACACGCAGATGGGCTCATCTTTCTGGCGCTTCCCACTGCAAATTGTGCTTGGCGACCAAGAGCAGCGCATCACATATTGCATCAACGGTTCGGAGCAGATTCCCTTCGTTGTGCCATCCAAGCACGAGACAATGCGCATCATGTTCCACAGTTGCAATGGATTCTCTCTGTCTGTAGACCAGACCAAATTTTGTGGTCCGGACCCGCTTTGGAAGGATGTCTTGCGCAGCCATAACGAGAAGCCTTTCCACGTCATGCTCGGCGGAGGCGACCAGATCTACTGCGACTTGGTCTCACGACGATGTGCCTTGTTCAAGGAATGGCTCAACATGTCCACCATGGAGCACAAGACCGCACGACCCTTTACCGAGGACATGCGCCACGAACTCGAAGCCTTTTACTTTGAGCACTATTGTTGGTGGTTCAGGCAAGGTCAGTTTGGTCGCGCCAATGGTATGATTCCTATGGTCAATATTTTTGATGACCACGACATCATTGATGGATTTGGCTCTTATCCTGACCATTTCATGCGATCTGCCGTCTTTTCAGGTCTCGGCAACGTGGCATTCAAATACTACATGCTGTTCCAGCACCAGTCTCTACCAACTGAGCAGGAAAACGCCAACTCTGCTTGGTGCTATGGTGTCAAGCCTGGGCCATACATCCACGAACACTCTCGCAACATTGTTGCCAACTTAGGCCCAAAGACCATCTTCTTTGGCTTCGACAACAGGACTGAGCGTACCAAGCACCAGATTGTGACGAATGAGACGTACGACAAGATCTTTCACCGTCTCGAGAACTCCATTGTGCCAGGCCAGACGGAGCATCTCATTGTGCTGCTCGGTGTGCCTATCGCATATCCGCGTCTTGTTTGGTTGGAAGAGTTGCTCACCTCCAAGGCTATGGATCCACTTCGCATTCTTGGCAAGACTGGTGTATTGAGTGGCTTTACGCAAAAGTTTGACGAGGGAGTGGAGCTGCTTGATGATTTGAATGATCACTGGTGTGCCAAGCACCACAAGCAGGAGCGCAATGACTTTGTCCTGCGATTGCAAGCTCTCTCACTCCTCCGTTCTGTGCGCATCACCCTACTCGGTGGTGACGTCCATCTTGCTTCAGTAGGAGAATTCTACTCAAACGTCAACTTGCGCATTCCAAGAGAGAAGGACCACCGCTACATGCCCAACATCATCTCCTCTGCTATTGTCAACACACCGCCTGCTGAAGCTGTGTCGAATGTGTTGTCAAAGCGCAACTGTGTTCACCACTTGGATAAGGAGTGTGACGAGACGCAAATTCCGCTGTTTACACACGATGTGAATGAGAAGAAGCTCAACAACCCATGCTTACTGCCTCGTCGCAACTGGTGCAGCATTGACCACACTGGTCCAAATGGTGGTTTGGAGGTGTCTCTCAATGTCGAGATTGATCAGAGCAACCACGAGGGCAAAACCAAGCCGTACGTCTACCGCGTACCTCGACTGGATCTTGTGTCGCACAGCACGGGTCAGTCATACCAGCAACCTCAACAGAATTTCGGGACTGTACAGCAGCCTGGACTTGCTGGTGTCGGGTATCAACAGCCGCAATTCAGCCAAGGCCAATACATGTCTCAGCCTGATGTTGCTCCTCCATTGCAGCCCAGGTACTAGGCCTAGCTGTGCCGACCACATGACATTTTAATTTTGTGCTTCTAGTGATTTATAGGTGTCCATCTGTAGTGAACGGGTTCATGCTTGTACTGGCTACTCTTGCTCCTGCTCCTGCTGCTCAGCCCTGTCCTTGCCGCCTCGCCACCTCACCAGACGGTGATCCTGGGCAGTCTCTTCTGACGTCATCGGGCGTTGCTGTTTGCTGAGCCCGTGGAAGGGAGGAAGAGTGCAACGGTCGCAGCGGGAAACGATAAATACCCAGGAACCCTCCCGTCCTTCATCCACTCATACATCATATACACACATTGGAGACATAGACCATCATGTCTTCTACCCAAGCACAACCTGCAGTTCCTCACCAGGCAACATCCGGTGCTCCAGACCCAGCAGAGTCTCTTGATGCGCGCTTCAAGGCATGGCGCACACTCGTCAAGAATCTAGAGGACTACTTCAAGCACCTCGAGAAGGTCCACGAGTCCTCTGCCAAGGACCACCACAAGCTTGCCAAGGTGCTCGAGGTGCCATTTAAGCACACTGGTCACTTTGAGCAGGCAGGCATCCAGGATGTATTCACTGCCTTACAGACCACAACGCAGCGATGGGGAGCTGACCAGGAGGCCTATGCCAAGGCTGTGCGTCACTCGCTCGTAGCACAAGCATCTACGCTCGAGGATGAGATTCAGTCTTTCGAGAAGCGTCTGAAGAAGGACGGTCTCAAGGGCGCAAAGGGCGTGTCTAAGCTGCAAACGGAGACGCAGAAACACATCGAGACACTTGGCAAGCACACGTCCTCCTTCGAGACAAATCCCAAGGGAGTCAAAGCAGACCACGACCCATTCCTCGTCAAGCGTGGCATTCTTAAGCAGCTCAGCAAGCAGACAGAGGAGGAGAATGCACACACCGAGACCGTTCTCGCCTTTCAGAAGCAGTGTGAGGAGTTTGAAATCAAGATCGTCAGATCCATTCAGGCCATGATTGCGGAAGTCTCGCGACAGCATGCAGCAGAAGGACAGGATTTCCAGAGTTCAAGCAATAGCATGCTCACGACCTCTCAGCAGCTTGCACCCGACCACGAATGGAAGGCATTCACTGCGCGTGACCACAGCTTGCTTAGCTCCAATGTCGCCAAGCGCGACGTCAGCAGCATTGTCTTTGCTGGCGCCGACCATCCTTCAACTGCTCCTGTGCTTGAGGGAGACTTGATGCGCAAGGGTACCGTGATGAAGAAGTACAGTCCTGCCTACTTTGTCCTCACCAAAGCCGGTTTCTTGCATGAATTCAAGAGCAAGAGCATCGAGAGCGACCCAGAACCCGCGTGGACCCTCGACATCAAAGATGCCACCATCGGCGCGCACTCTACCCAGACGAATGGTAAAAACAAGTTTGTTGTGTCGGGCAAGAGCAAGGGATTGCTTTCTTCGAAGCATGACTATGCATTCCAAGCAACAAGCTATGATGATATGATGAAGTGGTGGACTGCACTGTGCAAATTCGCAGCCAATGCCCCGACGCCAGAGTCGGCTGAGCTGATGGACGACTCGGATACCGAGATTGCCAGCCCATCCGCTTCCCATGCTCACGCAGCAACAGCTCCAACAACTGGAACGGTGCCTGAACATGCTGTGCCTGTCGGTCATGCTCAGCCTGCTGCAGCTGCTCCCGGTGGATACGCTCAGCCTGCTGCAGCTGCTCCTGGTGGATACGCCCAGCCTGCTGCAGCTGCTCCCGGTGGATACGCTCAGCCTGCCGCAGCAGCACCTGGTGGGTATGCTCAGCCTGCTGCAGCAGCACCTGGCGGATATGCTCAGCCCGCGACAGCAGCAGGTTACGCTCAGCCTGCCGCGACACAATCACAAGTGCCAACGCAGCAGATGGCCCAAACCAACCTGTCTGGAACTGCCCCTGCCCCTGGGCCATACTAGGTACGCTGAATTGCAATGTAGCCTAACGATCCGTAATTAATCTTTCCTTGTGTCTATGTCCTCTAATTCGCCTTGCTTCGTCTCAACCAGGCCAGTCAGCCGATGGACCGTCAAATTCTTGCAAATGTCAATCGACGCAAGTGGTTGCAAGTATTCGAGCACAATGAGAAGCAAGAAGTCAATGGCCACAAGCATGCAAAACAGCTTGCCTGCATAAACGCCACATCCATAATACTTCTTGAGACGCTCCATGAGTGGCAACGACGCGTTGGCACTGATGTGGTCATACACTTGCTCAGTGCGTGCCGCAATGTTTGTCCACGAGTACATCCTTTTGACTTGGTCATGAAACTTGTCAGTCTTGACGCGTCCACGGCACAGATCATCAATGGCTCGTGATGTTGCCGTGACCAAGTCATCTTCCTCTGGCCTGGCAAAGACAGTCATATGGTCTGGCAACACCTCAGGGACACCACCGACACGCGTGCATACAATATAGAGGCCACACGACGCTGCTTCGACAATGACTGTGCCAAAGGCTTCGGTCAGCGACGGGTGGAGGTAGATGTGTCCACGCACCATGACATCGCGCACATTTTCGTGACGCACTGCACCCAGCATCTCAATGCGATCCTGAAGCATGTACGTTTCCCGCATTTGGATCAAGTCAATCATCTTTGGTCCATCACCGGCCAGGATGAATTTGACTTTGGGATGCATTGCACAGATGCGTGGAATACAAGCAACAAGCAGATCGGCGCCCTTGTTGTAGAAAAGACGGCAAATGACCACAATGACAATCTCCTCAGTCAAAAGCGGTGGTGAGATTGCTGGTGAAAAGTTTGAGCTGACCACGGCGTTTGGAATAACGGAGACCATGGTAGGGTCGAGTGCAGCACGTAGGACTGTGTTTTCCTTGCAAGTGTGAGAGACACAAACGACATGATCGACGTCAGAGAGTGTGAATTTCAGCAGTTTGTTTGTCAGGATCGATGCTGCGTCTGCGAAACCAAACAGAGAATGGTCCGTGAAGCATGTTCGCAAGCCCATAGTCCGGGCATGGAGAATAGCTTCATGACATAGTGAAGACAGAGACGCGTGACCATGCACAATCTGGACTTGCTCTCGCAGGACAATATTGCGAAAGATGGGAAAGAAGGAAAAGACAGTAGGCATGGTTGCCTCTCTGTAAATGGTCAAGAACGGGACATAGTAAACTTTGAGGCCGTTGGTCAGGTATCTCACCCCAACACGATCTCCGTAGCTGGTGATTAGAAAAGCTTAATAGAGAGAAGCATACGCATGCGTAATGACAATGACTTTGTGGCCGCGGTCAACGAGTCTTTGGGAGAGCTGGTAGATGTGCGACTCTATACCGCCTGGTTGCGGATAGAAAAAGTCAGAGACCATAGCGATAGAGTACATGATGGCATATCGTGGGCTCCAGAGCGTTTGCCCTTCAGGCAGGATATGCAGCTAGAGTCAGAAAGCTTTTGTAGATGTGGTGTTGTCCCTGATGAAGGCGACCGCGACGACGTTCAACCTTTGACCTCAAGACAATCGCAAAGACCGTCGTATGCGTGAAGCGCCTGCTTGTTGAGGATGGTACGGGGCGAGCAGGATGGACAGAGCAAGGCGAACGCATCATCAAAGGCACAGATAGCTCAACGGGACGTGGCAGGCGCAGTGAATGAAGCGCTCAAACCTGCAAGGGAGGCGACGTACCCGACAGAGCCTGTTGAGGCCGGCGATGCAGTCTCATCTGATCAGCCGCCTTTGCCTGATGAGCCTCCACCTCTGCCTCTCGAAGCGCCGCCCTTGCCAGATGAGGCTTCAGCAGCAAACGAAGCCACGAAGGAGCAACCTCCGTTGCCAGACGAGCCGTTGCCCGAGTCTACAGAGCCAAGCGACGACGCTGACGGATGGCAAGCCGTGCTAGATCAGTCTAGTCAACGCTACTACTTTCACAACACACGCACAGGCGAGACTACCTGGACCAATCCACGCGTGCCTGCCGGACAAGACACACCCGCCGATTATGCGATTCATTTCACCAACAACGACTCTACTGGAGATGTCGCCTTCCAAGTCCAATTCAATAAGCGCTCCGGAAAGTTTGTACGAGACCCTGAAAAGACGGTGGAGAACTTTACGTCTGATGGTCGCGGTGAGAGGCAGCTCAAAAAGTTCTTCGATCTTGAAGCTTTCAATCAAGAAGGCAAGTCATTCAAGGCAGAGCGGGCGCAGGCTCAGTACTCCAAGAAGGAAATGCAGGAGTTTAAGAAGCAGTACAAGGAGAAGCGTGAGCAAAAGAAACGGTCATGGCTTACAAAGGAGTCGGATGACGTGGATGAGCGACGCAAGAAGAGATATTGAGCCTTGGTCTGGAAAGATACAGCGTGTGTTGTTACAAAATACATGGTTACAAATACATGGAAGAGCTACCGCGCATGGCGGAGATGATCAAAAAAGTCTCTGGACAGCACTTGTATATCGCTGTCCGCTATCGCCACTCTCGACAAGGTCTTCTCGCGCGTCTGGGCCACAGTCAGTCTCAGCAGCTCAGTCAGCTCTGCCAGACCAACATTGACTTGGTCGGCCCGCAATGGACGAGCCACCTTGTCTTCTGGCCGCAGAAATGAGTCCTTGAGGAGTTCTGTGATTGTGAGTCTCTGCTTAGCGTCTCGCTCCAAGCAACCTCGCATGACGCGCAGCAGATCGCCGTCAACTGTCCTGGCAAAGGATTCGTCCTTGGCGTCACTGCTTGCCATGGCAGGCGGGTAAGCCCTTGTTGGAAAATCGATACGATGAGCAGCGTTGGGGATCGCTTGAATCTTTTGAATCATTGTCAAGTGAGCAAAAGGCGTACGGCCATAGACCATCTGGTAGAGAATGCAGCCCAGACTCCAGACATCACTTGCGCGTCCAAGCTTCATGAGCCGTGCTCCATTGCCGCCTGTGTCGGACAATGCTTCCGGCGACATGTAATTGACTGTGCCAATTTGTTGATCCCTGTGAATGTTGGTCGTGTCGTTGCCAATGGTCTTTGCAATACCAAAGTCAATCAATTTGAGGGCTCCTTCAACGAGCAGAAAGTTGGCTGGCTTCAGATCTGAATGAACAATATGCTGGTCATGCACTGCTTGAACTGCCTCAAGCATGTGACGCCAATATAGCCGGATGAAATTGAAGTCTGGCACGCTGTCCGCTTGTTTCGTCAAC